AGGATCTTATAATGATGATGTGTACCACTCGCTTTGATATTGAATCGGAGAAGCTGGCCTTTATTGATGAGTATCTATCTATACAAGAGATTCATGCCAGAAAGGAAGAGAATAAGGCTTAGAAAAAGAAGGAGGAGGTGTTCGATCTGATTAGTGATAATGAGGAGGAGGAGGAGGAGGAGGAAGAGGACTACACTGATACAATATCTGAGCCGAATCAGGTAGCCGATGAGAGTGTCCTTGGTAAAAGACTAAGAATCGAACCAACAGCAACAGCTCTACCTAGTACCCAGGCGCCGCTTATTCAACAAGACGGGAATAGTGAAGACGAAGAAGATGGGATACCTCTTCCACAGAATAGCTGTACCTAAAGGCGTACATCTGGGCGGGTTCCGAAGCGTATACGAAGAGATGAAGATTTATATGAATATCAAAAGCTATAGAAAAGATAGAACCCCAATTACATGCTATTATATTGCGTTAAAATCTGCCTAATCTGCTTCAATTCTATTTCTTCTTTCCGTGTAGAGATGTAAGACGAATACTTGAAAATACGGACCAAAACTGCATAAAATATGCAGGTCACGGGGCTTCCCTAGTTTGCAGTGTTTGAGGAACCTGCAGGGTCTTCAAGAACCTGCAGGGTCGGTTCCAAGAGCCCAAGTGTAGAATCGCGGTTCTAAAAACCCAGAACCTGAACCGGGTCTTGGCGGTTCTGGAACCGGACCGGACCTGGAGAGTCGCGACTCCTGTCGAGGTCTAGTCGCGACTGATAACCAATGGTGGCTGTGGAAAAGTAACTTTTATGGGTCCTTCTCCTACTTTCGGCAGCAAAGATAAAAAAAGGCGGAACCGATGCTCCTGGCGAGGAAGAAAGTTGCAGTATATAAATTCTTGCATCTCCCTGGGACTGCGGAATTCATTTGAAACTCTTGCTCTTTGCCCAGCTCCCATTTCGCAATATGTTGGCAATGGATAAACCAGCTGTCGTTATTGTGCCAGGCGCGTGGCACAGGCCACAGCACTATCAATATGTCATTAATGGTCTCAAAAACCTGGGCTACGAAGCAGAAGGAGTCGAACTTCCTTCCATCGACTCACATCCACCTCATGCTACCTGGGAGAAAGATGCAGAAGAAGTCCGTCGCGTCATCTTGAAGTATCTAGATGCTGGCAAAGATGTCATTACCCTTGCTCACTCATTTGGTGGTATTGCTATGTCCGAAGCAGTTAAAGGACTCGGAAAAGAAAGTCGAGAGGCGAAAGGGCTGAAAGGCTCAGTCTCCCGGCTCGTCTATATGTGTGCAATGGCTTTGCCGAAAGGCCAAAGCTATGCAGGCCAGATGATACCCACCACCCCCGAAGAGGAGGAGCTGGACAAGCAGCGGAAAGAGATGCAGGAAAAATACGGCGGAATTCATTTTAAGCCGGTAAGATTACCTTTCTTCCTTCGATGTGTGTTTGCTTCCAAGGACCATATTATATTAGAGTGTCCCCGGTCCCTAATATAATTTCTTAGGATGGATCCATGGTGCTTGACAAAGATGTCTGTGGCATGGCTCTGTACAATGGCTGCGATCCTGAAGATGCAGAAAATGCAGTTTCTCTTTTAGGGTCATTTCCGGCGGCTCCATTATCTGTGCCAGTTACGTACACAGCGTATCTTGAGATTCCAAGCACGTACATTGTGTGTCGAAATGACCAGGCTTTGGCAGCCTGCATACAAGAAAGAATGGTGGCACAGGGAAATGGTGCATTGCATGTTGAGCGATGTGACGAAGGCCATTCGCCTTTCTTAAGCAACCCAAACTATGTCGTTCGTTGTGTTCGCAGGGCGGCAGGGGAGAACGTTTAGCTTCTTGTCGTGGAAAAGTGGAGACGTATATTTCAGTGACAAGAGAGTTGTGATGTGGAATACCAAATTGCCTGCGTATTTGTATGTAAAAGTGGGTAACACCTCGACTTCGGTATGATACTCTGAATACTCAGTTACACCGCACGGGGACGGCTCAACCCGGACCCTTTCCTTTCTATACACTTAGATTTCTCTTCTTCAATCAATCACTGTTTTCTGATGATTCTGGTAGTTATCCGTCTTCCCATTCATACTAGTCTATGCACTATTCAGCTCTGTCTTGACATACATAGGGCTTTGGTCTAAACATAAGATCCAAGATTTGGCAGATAAAGTATTGCTCTTCTGTTCTATGCCAGGGATATCCCGATATTAGCCGATCAGAATCCAAATGCGCGAATAACTGCCGTCTTCAATCCCTCGAACCCGACTCGGGTACTCTAATGATGTTGACCATTGGGAGGTTCATTGAATTGAACAAGAATGCCCCTTTGATTAGAGTCCTACGGAAACCCCGTAGAGGATATTTCCAACGGCCAGAATTATCAAATACATCTTTCGTGAGGATATAATCAAAATTTCATTTTAGTTTTCGTCATTCAATTCCAAGGTTCCATCTGCTTGATTGCCTTGGAGAATCTGGCCCAAATAAGGCTGTCGAAGCGCAACGGGACTGTGTGGGTGGGTAAAAAGGCACAGATACCAAGTGATTTCAAACCTGAAGTGAAATAGAAGCTAAACTTAAATAGGAAATAGCGGAGCTGCGCACGCTGAACAACGCAAGTAACCTTAGTAATCAAGTGGGAGGTCGCTATGCTGAACCTTTAGTTACGTACGATGACCTGTAGTCACCGTTGGGTCAACGAGAACAGCCGGTTTCACATCAGCTCCTTGAACTTCGACCCTCGCTAATCTGCGCATCCAAATAAGGGCAATTGAGCTCTTAACAGCTGCGTTGGACATTCCAGCTGCCTGTCTTGGAAAATTCATGTTGTCTGCGGAGCAAATCCGCCCCGAGCCACTATTAGGTATCTGTGCCCTCCATGATATTGCGGCCCACCCACCGCTTCCGCTTATGGGTGCGCCCTAAATCCCCGTCACCCCTAAATCCCCGTCACATTTTTACCATGCGTCTAAAAAAACCATCAAATTAGATAACTAGCCTAAATAAAAAAGATCTCCTCGCTCCAGGGCTACTCTAGCCGATTCGGTAGACCTATCAATATCCTCCTGGGGCCTCTTTGGCATATCCAAACCAGTAGCCTGCTTATACTGCTTCGCAAGCTTCCTCTCCTCCGCAGCAGCCTCTTTCTCCTTTCTAGTCTTGATTGACCGATTCGCATCGCGAACGCTTAGTATACCAGTTTGGCTAAGCGGTTTAACCTGGCGCTTGGTAATTGGGCGCCTCAAGGGCTCCTGAGCGGCCCTAATTCGCGAAACAGTCGCTTCCGCCATCATAAGCCGCTCGTAGATTATCCTGTGGTGATTGTGAAGCATTGCAATATCTCGCTGAACCTTCGGGTCAAAGGTAGCCACCTTCTTTGATATCTTCTTCTGATTCTTCTCTAGCGCTTCAATTGACTTCGGAGGGGTATTCTCCACGCTTGATGATAGTAAATTTGTAGGCTCCGGTGATGGAGTTCGGGGTTCTCCATGAGCGCGAAGATCAGGTGCGTGAAGAGGAGTAAATTCTAGCTGGCTAGCTAGTTTATCTACTATATTTTGGCCGTTGACTGGCCAAATACCACGATCTTTGAAGGATTGCCGAATAATTCGTTGGTTAAATGCCTTCGCTCGTACAGGCCCAATTACCCGTAGAAAATCCGGTTTACCACATGGCTGACCACCCCAGAAAGATAGCTCATTATTCATAAGCCGAAATTGCTGCTTATAGCTCAAAAATGGCTTACCATCAAGTGGCTGACAGAGATGTGTTGAATGAGGTATAAAGCCGAATGGTATAATATCAGCTAACTCGCATATCTCAAGGAATTCGAGGGTAAGATGTGCTCCGTGGCCATCAAAGAGTAGGAAGCGCTTTTCACCCTTTTTTAGACGGTCGGGTGTAGCAGTAGCTGAAATAAAATGATATAGCCATTCAGAAGCAATTTCATCAGAAATCCAGCCATTCGGTGAGGTAGCAGTAAGTGTGTTTAGAGGTAAATCCTCACTATTATGGAACCAGCTCTCCATAAAGACCCCGCCGCTTTTAAAGATAAATAGCGGATCCATTTGCCAGCCGTCAGCAGCAATACATTCGAGTGCAGTGATAGTTTCGCCTCGCTCAGCTTCAGCAAGGTCAGGGCAGTGCAATCTACCATTAATAACCTTACGAGACTGGCCCTGGCCAGGTTGGAAACCACACTCATCGAAGTTATAGACTAGCCTTGCAGGGATATCCTTTAGCAGGGTTGCAAGCTGATCATACCAGAAAGAGAGAGCCCCTGCATCTTCGGCTTGAATGCGCTTTGATTCCTTTAGATTCTGCTTCACTGGAGCGAGGGATAGGTGCTTTGGAAGGCGTGATATAAAGTAGTATGCCCAATTCTTGCCAACCGGCTGCCGACCCGCATCAGCGCGCGTAAGGGCCTGATTTGCCCACGCTTCTATAAGCTTTGCAGTAGGCGGTAGGTTCCAATCGCACATTTTGACTATCCAAGCAGTCAAAGCCTTCTCCTGATGTGATGTAAGCGCATTCTTGCGCGATTCAGTGGTAGAAAAGGGCGATCGGGCCTTCTTGACGCGATCGGCAAGGGTAGTTCGAGACACGCTAAATTCACGCGCAGTTTTAGCGATATTCGGCTTTTTTTGGTGTAGAACGGCTTTACAGGCCTTCTGCAGGCGATCCTCGTCAAAATTGGAGTATTTAGGCATATTGGGTGGTTGGGAAAGGGAGTTGAAATCGAATGGTAAAAATGTGACGGGGATTTAGGGGTGACGGGGATTTAGGGCGCACCCATAAGCGGAAGCGGTGGGTGGGCCGCAATATCATGGAGGGCACAGATATTCCAGAACAAAAAACTACTTGCCATTCGGTCGCGTCCGGCTTTCAATGCAGAAGCTGACCATAGTCCCATCCGCACTTTCATAGAAATATTGCACTACGCGTTGGGCTCTGTCCTGAGCTAATTTCGCGATGCTCAACATGTCCAGTCCCGGGGAGTTCGCATCCCCGTCGGAGCCGCAGCGCCGTCAATTTTCGAGCTGCGATCCCTGCAGACGCTCTAAACGCCGCTGCTTTTTCCCTTCTGATGTATCAATTGACCCGAATATCTCTTGTGCGCATTGCGCACGCCTGGGGCATACATGCACATTTAATTTTGCTACATCTCGATTGAGCTCACGACCAAGAAATCGACAGCGACGGAGTAAATTGAAATCGAATCAAGTCTCGGCATATGAATCTGATGGTCACTTACTACCCGAAAACTCATCACAAACCCTTGGGAGAACCCCAAAAAGCGCGTTCAGGCCTTCCAACACCTGTGATGATGATTTTGCCGCATGGCTCAATTTTGACATCGACAATTACTTTGCGAACGATTTACAGCTACCCGCCACGGCTAACCCAACGCTGCTTGCCTCCGAGGCACAATCTGACTCACAAAATGACCGAAGCCGTTTTCTTCTACCAAATCAGTCACAGCCAGCGAATCACGTTTCATATGGGACGAAATTCGTACCTGGGAGCTCATCCCGCAGCCCCATACACCTATTGAACTCGAAATTAGACTCCAGAATACTCAATGAGCGGCTGATCACTATATATGATGCGATCTTTACGGGTTCCGCGACGAGGTTCCTGGATTGCGACATTAATTTATATGCAACGCGAATTCGTTACAAGATAGAAAACAGCAGGCCTGGAAGCTCTGACAAACCGACACCTGCCCGGTTAACGATGCTTCTGGGACCAGATATGGAGTCATTCACCTCATCTCAACAAGCAATAGACTCTCTTGCGGATTCTCTCAATTCATCGGGTCAATTACAGGACAGCGGGTCACCGAGTTCTCGCGATCATACCCACGACGAAGCTTACAGGATGACAATTGTGGGATGTGCAAAATTCTTGGACCATTTTGGAGATCTTTATGGGAATAGAATAAGTCTTTCTTCAAAAAGAAAGTCTGACGCAGCGCTCAATGCAGCGCTCCGAGTATTTGCTTTACAGTGGCTACCTAGTGTTGGGTCTGAAGGAGAGTACTGGACCTCTACTAATGAAATTTCTATCGCCAGATTTCGTGGGAAGCAATCAGCTCGCAGTTCTCTATGCGATCTTTATACTGACGCCTGGTACCAAGCTCGTCTGGCCATCCAGGAAGCGAAGTCGGTTCGGTCCTTTCGGGCTATGTTTGCAACATTAATTTTCGATGGAGTGGCTATCCCAATGAGCGCTCTCGATGATTCAAACAAGGCTGACATAGAGCATGAATTTCTCAGCCTGGGGCTGCAGAAGCTGCGCGAACTAGATGAACTCGTCCAAAACTACTGCGCTACCCTAGGGCCATCATCTCACTACGGTGCTCTTGCGGAAGCCAGCCTGGCCATTGTGCGATGGTCCGGGTTTATTCGTGATACTGGAGCCGCTCTGACGTCAACTCATCAATGTCAACTCCCAGATCCCCTTTCCAACGAAATTAGTAGGTTCGAATTATAGCCATTGAAAATAGGCTAGAATGCAAAATTAATATCTGCCAGGTTTTACCCCTGGAGTTCCAGTGCCTCCAGCATTTTTCTTGTGTACTACGAGAGGGTGCGACCGAACCATCCCTGATATATGTCGACGTGTAGCATCAAAGGCTTTCTATATCTGGAGAAAGATCGCGGATGTGAAGAATGACCTCCGACTGCTGCACGATAATCCCCAGCACCTTAATCCCGAATTACTGAAATCAATCAATTCCGTGGTGGCCGTCGTTGGGAAAATAGATGAGACTCTCCGACCCTTCATCGAGCGCTGTAGAGATATTTTCTGGGATCTTTCTTTGGCATCAAGGGTATCTTGTGGTAAGATCCCTCTTCTGCTATCCTTTTATATCTTGCTGATGCGTGGCCCCAGTTACTCTTGTTTTGCCTTGGAATGCTGGAATACTTGTTCTCGCAGAGGCACTGAAACCCTTTGTAGACCTAGTGAGCCACAATCTGTCGCAGGAAATCGGCCAAAGCGTCCGAATACACGAACGGGAAGCGGTTTCCTCCGTTGCCCAAATAATCGAAAGCGTCCTTGCATTACCCATCGAAGAGGCGTTTAATCTTCAACATGGGCTTGCCCCTGAAGCTCCAATCACCGCCTATCATCTCACCCCCAGCGTTATAACGACGGCTCTGGGGAAGGCTGTGGTGCATACTATCAATCTCCGGTTTTCCTTGTCGCCTGGTCTTGGGAGAACGGATGGAGATCCGGATTTTTCATCAGATGGTTCGTGGCGTAGACAAATCGACTGTCTTATGAAGGGGCTAATGTCGCTTGACGTTACCATTGGAGGATCTCAAACACTCGGACTGGTTTTGAGGTCTTTAATGCACGAGTATGGGGATATCATATCGGAATGCTGGTCTTGTGACTTCGATACATGACTAGGGGACCGGCTTGTATATATACCACTGGCAAATTATGACTGTGGATACGTAATAGACAACCCCACTCCCCGAATTTCTCAGACCGGTGGTTTAGTTCTTGATACTATACGAGTCGGGGGCTCTATGGGGCGCCTTGTCCGAACCGGAGCTCTAATACTAATAGCTCACAGTCCCGTATGAACCCAAAGGCGGTTGTGCTGTTGAATCGCGTCGTAAAAGGTGGTCAAATTTCATCTCTGTTAATAAATAACCTTAGAACCAGTGTATCGAGAGCAATCGAGGCGGCGGGGTCGGGATAAGGGGAGGAGGGTATTGAAAGACCCCGGAAGAGAGGGCGGACGGGGCATCTTATAGGCGCTTATAGGCTGGCTAAGAAGGAGGGGACCCTGGGTTGGGATGCGCAGGGGAGCCATTTTTGGCGTCGCTTAGTCGCCAGTGGAAACAGGGGGAACAATCGTTGAAGTTAAGCGTCAACAGCAGGACAAGAGGGTAATGACTAACAGTGCTAGTTGGGTGCAGAATAGGGGGCAGTACAATAGAGCGGGCGGTCAAGCAACGGCTCGCCGTCCAAAGTTACGGGTGGAAAGGCGGCCGTTTCTGGCGGCAGAGGCTGTCATTGTCGGCGTCGATTTCACAGGTCCCTATATTCTCGTTGTGACTTGTCGTTTCTGTACCGCTTCTCTTTCCTTGTTACATTCTTGCATTTGCCCGAATCATCGGAACTCACCTTCCAGTCGTGTCATAGGCCAAGGCATTCAACGAGGAGACTTATACTCACCCAACAAATCCCCCACGTGGGATGCAACACACACTTTCATTGGTATTCGGCCCGCAGCTGGGGTCCTTAGGGGTCTGGTGGAGTAGGACTCGTGGAGATTACATCGTCCGAGCGCACACCACAACATTGGCGGCAACGGCGGAGCTTTCTTGACCACAAGGGCTCGGCACGACATCTCATTAGCTGCAAGAGAAGAGCTAAGCTTTTCTAGAAGGTGAAATAAGCTTTTATCGTATTCGTCTGCCTGGACAATAACCCGGATTTAACGGAAGCAAAGCACAACACAGGAATGGCTCTGTTTCGCGAGACCTGTCACAGCCTGGCGGCGACATTCCACTTCTCGGAAGTTGTCCTAATCCCGTACTGTATATATACGGGTCATGGAGTTTATTGATCAACACAGACGGAAAGCTGGTTGAGAAGTGTTCACTCTTTTTCTACCTTCGTTTTTCGCCAACATGCCTGCCATGTCTCGTATCGCCCTCACCCTGGGCCTGGCTCTGGGTGCTTCTGCCGCCCCGAACTCAATTGTCGCGCCTACTGGGGCCGAGAAACTTACTGTTGGTCTTTTGGGAGGTATGTTGATCATATTCTTGGCGATATCCACTGCTATAAACACAAACAACAAAAAGTCTGACTTGTGTTTACTTATCGTAGACTACGGCTGGACTGGCTGGCAGCCTCTGCCTCTGGACTTTTGCAACACTGCCTTGCCTAAGCTCCAGGCTGATGGTGTGACCATCCCTCGCGATCTCCAGAATGACTGTGACCCTGGTGACCGCGCTGATATCGCCAATGCCACCATCGAGGAGAGTAAGTTATACACTGGGGAGAGATCGGACGATGCGGGAGTCAAAAGCAAAGACATCGATGCTAACAGCCTGGACAGCTCGCACCGCCAAGTACATCGAAAAGGTCTGCCTCAAGAAGAACTGCTCCGCCTTCATGTCCGTCGGCGACAACTTCTACGACAGCGGTGTCGACTTCACCTCCGAGGGCATCCAGCGCTTCTACGAAGGCTGGGCCAACATGTACGTCGGCAAAGCCTTCGACGGCAAGCCCTGGTACCAAGCCCTGGGCAACCACGACGTCGTGGCCGGCAAAGCCGGTGTCGACTTCCAGACCCGTATCGCCCCTCTGATGGAGGACCGGTGGTACTTTGGCAACGACAACCTGCCCTACTACACCTACGATCTGAAGGGATCCAACTGGACCGCGACCTTCGCCGTCGTCGACTCGGACTGCTTCATCAACAAGTACCAACAGAGCACCTCGGTGTACAACACCGACTACGTCATCGAATGCCACAAGACCACCCAGACCCAAGTCGAGTTCCTGCGCAAGGCCTTCGCCGAGTCCAATGCTACCTGGAAGATCCTCCAGATCCACCACGGTTTCATCTCCTCGTCGACCAACTACACCGAGCTCGCGCCTTTGATGGACATTGTCCGCGAGAACAACGGTGTTGTTATTAACGGTCACGACCACTGCATGGCCCACTACCAGTTCAACGGGACCAACTTTGTTCTCACCGGTGGAGCGGGCTATGCCGAGGCTGGTGATTGCAACTACGGTGTTCCTATGGGTCCGTTTACCAAGTGGCTTGGTGCTAATGCTCAGCAGGCTGCTAATGGCTTTGTCACTCTTGACATTAGCTATAATGCGCTGCACTTTGAGTACTATGCTCGTGATATGCAGCTCAAGGGTGCTGATTATTACCCCGTTGCTCACGATATGGTGCCTTCGTATAGCTTCGATGTCACCAAGCATGCTACCAAGGTTTAAGCCTGGAGTACAGTACTCTGGGGCAGTACCACGCAGGTGGTGTTGGGGTAAAGTGTATAATGTATCGTGAGGTGTTCAGGCTTAGGTTGTACAACTGTAAATAGACAAACAGCACACAGAAATGAAGTGAGATACCCTTTGATTTCATTTCTCAGGGTAAACTATCTACCGAGGGCACTTTTGCCTCTCGCCCATTTCATATCCCATATCTACCTAGGCAACCAGAACCAGATGCAATGCCCATCCACCCAGATCCACTGGGTGAACAGCGAAAGAAGAATAAAAACATGCAAGAAGTAGTAAGTAAAAAGGGGAGGGAAAAAACCCCCAGAAAAGGACGAAGAGAGAAGCAGCAAAAGTAAAACAAACAGAGACGATGCCTGACGCCATTCCCGTGCCATGGAAACTTTTGTTATCGTCATCAAGATATGCCGTGATATATCTGTCGTATTCAGATCTCGCCGAGCCTAGTCTGGTCTGGTCTGAAGTTACCTGACCTGATTGGCCTAATCTCACAGGATCTCAATCTAGAGCTCATCTTCGTACTTGTAATTGATGCGCCGGCCACCAACGAGGCGTTCCTGACGACTGTCGCGACGGTGGCTGGATTTGGAGTTGCTCGATTTGACGCTGCCTCGATTCTGTTGTTCACGCAGGAGGCGCTCGCGGTTGCGGGCTTCTCGTTCGAGAGTGTAGGGATCTTTTTCAGATTCTGATTTCGCTGCTTGAGCTCGTGGTTGGTCGCGTTTCGGCTCTTCACCGTTGGTTTTTACGCGACGAGCTTGAGGCTGGGAGGGGCGATCGTTGGCGTTGGCGTTAGGCGATTCAGATCGGTCGCGACGACGCTTGCGCTCCCTCTCACGATCAGCACCACGGTCACGACCACGATCGCGTTCCCGTTCCCGTTCCCGTTCCCCTCCGCGACCACGTTCGCGATCTCGCTCTCGCTCACGGTCCCGGTTTTGACGGCGATCTCGCTCCGAGTCCCGGTCGCGATCCCGTAGATTCTGCTCCCGATCTTTATCACGATGACGGCTATCTCGAGCGCGGTCACGATCGCGATCGCGATCGCGGTCTCGCTCTCGATCTTCTTCACGCCGACTGTGTCCATCCCTCCCAGATCGATGACCGTTACTGATACGGCTGGCGAGATCACCACGATCACCAGTATCGGATGATATCTTGCTGTGACCATTCGGTTCCTTCTCTTCGGCAACTTGCTTCAAACGATCGGGATGGCGGGGGTCTCCATTCCTCGTGAGACTGCGACTGCGGCTGCCGCCTCGACTATGCTGACGGCGAGATCGATGTGAACGCTGTCCACTCTTTCGCTCTCGATCCTCGTCACGATCCCTGCGTCGTGATGATCGTCGAGATGACATCCTTGACGGGGAGCGCGAGCGGCGGTTAGCGAATTGGGGCTGCCGCATAGTATCTGGTCGTTGTGAGTCTGTCTCTCTCTGGTTGACCCGATTCTCATCGGGTGAACGAGCTCGAGAAGCTCGACCCTGAGATGGCGAACGGGATCGCGATCCTGGCCCCTGCGCTTGAGAAGGAGCTTTCGAGGGAGATCGAGTGCGCATGGCATCCTGGGGAATTTCAGAGTTTCCCCTGCAACGAGTTAGTACTGGATTCATCTCTTGGTGAACAGTGAAGTCTCGGCTTACCTTTGAGAGTGTGTCGGTGTATTACTGCTAACCGATGCTTTTCCATGAGCATGGAATCCTCGTTGCCGTAGTACACTCGTATTTGGGAGACCTTGTCGCATTGCGCGTGGTGCAGCAGGCGCGCCCTCCACGCCAGGATTTTGGGGCGGCATCTGAGGTAGATACGAATTAGGCATTCCGCCCCAGTAACCACCCCCACGACCTCCGGGCATAGGGCCTCGCATGTACCCGCCACGGCCATATCCTGGGCCCATATGGTTTTGATACCCGTTTGGCTCCATCGAACCAGAGGCTTGATCCAGGCTGTCAATAGTGGGGATTCCTTGTAATTGCTGGCCCTCATTATCTGCCTCTGCAGTGCCATCTGCGGTTTGTGCATTTCCATTCGATACGGGGTCTGTACCAGCATTCTCATTCATCCGAGAGGGATCTTGACTGTTGCCAGCAGTACCATCAGTTCCGGCTAGGCCGCCACCGGGGGCCGGCTGACCGTTAGGAAGACCAGAGTTACCAGTAGGAGAGAAATGACCCTGTCCAGAGCCTCCATATCCACCTCGACCGGGACCACCGTGATAATAGCCACGACCACGACCTCGATACCCACCTCCACGGCCGTATCCGGGCCCATAGTAACCAGCCTGATAGTCCGTGTTAGAAGGGTAAGACATATTAGATCCGCCAAATGCTCCTCCTCCATAGGGAGGGCCTGTGCCATTTGCGAAAGCATTGGGATTGAATTTATCTTGGCCGGCTTGCCACATGTTTTGCTGAGAGCCATCCCATCCTGAAGATCCATACATGCCCTGCCCGTTGAAGTTCATTCCCATGTTCATGCCCATACCAGTCATGTTCATTCCGTACATCCCCTGATTTGCGGCCATTTGGTCCATCGCCATGGGCATTCCTAGAAATGGTAGAAGGGTGAGCAAATCGGAAGTTCAAGGAAAAGCAGCACTACGAAGGATCATATAACATACCCATGCCGTTGGGGAAATTGAACATGGAATTTGCCATGTAAGGGTTCATCCCGTTGAAGTTGATATTTCCATTCCAACCTCCTATACCGGGGAAGCCCGCGGGGTTCGCGTTCATCATATTGGCATCAGACTGTTCGGACGGATCCTTCGAGGCCGATTCATCTCCAGCCGGCTCGTCACCGTTGGTAGTGGGCTGGGCATCTGCGTCGGTAGCGGGGGCAGTGCTGGCATCGGGAGCCTGGTCACCTTCTGGCTCGGCGTGGCCATTTGTTTCAGACTGAGAAGGTTAGAACATTGAACAAGTACTCCCATGCTGATGGAGCGCCATACCTCAGTCGCCAACGCAGGTGGCTCGGGCGCATCCGTGTCGACTACCGCATCGACAACCGGAGCTTCGTTTGTAGCCTCCACATCTTTCGACTCCACGGGCGCAGCAGTCTCGGGAATCTCAATCGAAGCCTCGACGGGTTGCTTCTGCTCGGGAACTGGCTCCGTAGGAGTCACATCTTTCTCCGCGGGGGTGGTGATCACGGGAGTGACAGGTGCCGCTGACTGTCGTTCCTTCTCCCGTTTCTTCTCCTCCGTGCGCAAAAAGGCCTTGAGCGTAGTTCGAAGTGCCTTGTTGGGCTTGCACAGATCTGGCGAGAGCGGAGTATGCGCGCATACGGAGCAGGTATCGGGGAGAGATGTTTGGCCTAGAGTAGCGCAGAAAAATCATGTCAGCTGGAATTTTGAAGCAAAAAAAGCATTGCCTTGGCCTCGCAACTCACAGGACTCGCAGATTGACTGGTCACAGCAAGGAAGGCGAAAGGCATTCACCGCCAACTTGTTGCAGATGGCGCATCGCAGCTTGAATGGAATTTCATCCTGGGACAGAGTGCTAGATGCGGTGGAGGATTAGCACGAGCAGCCTTGAAGACCGAGGATGAAGATGAGCGTACCTGGCGATGTCCATAAGACCTGCCGGCGGATCCTCCGCCGCCATGGCTGGATCGAGAGAGACTCGGAGTATGGAACCGTCGCAGAGGAAGTTGGCGTGAGAAGAGGAAGAAGTTTGAGTATCACTGCTTGGGCTCTTGAATTTGGCCGGGCAAACGTTTCGCCGAAGTACTTCAGTACGAGACACGCAAGACACGGGTTTCATACTTTACAAACATGTTTCTTTAAGATGAAAAAATATTAAAAGTAATGATTTGAGATGAGTGAGATTAAAATGATTTAATTATGGCTAAAATATACGACTGAGCTGGAAATCTTGTTGATATTATGCCCGCCGTCAGATTAGATCAAGTAATTTTTGGGTCCATCACCAGGGAGCAGCGATACCATCGTTGTGGTGTCTTCTGTCCGCCTCCGGACAGCCTTTTATCGTCATCGGCGGGGCATTCCCAAACAACAAAGATCAAATCAAAAGCCACGGAAAAAAGCATCAGAGAAAAATGGGGGCAAAAAGAGACATTAGGCAGATCAATATTGGATTATTGATATTCCTGCGAATATGTACATAAGCAGAGTCTAGGCTGCCATAGAGGAGAATAAGAAGAAGGATCAAAAGAAGAAGAATATAAGCGTGGTGGTAGAAATAAAGTAGGAAAAGTATAAAAGGGGAAAACCTGCAGGAGTCAGAAAGTCAAGATGAGATGAGATGGGATGGTTTAAGTAAGAAGGGAAAAAAGGGAAAAGAAAAAAAAGATCAGCAGCTCCACCCGAGCGGAATTTAAAAAGGACGCGACCGCCCCGTAAGGATGGGATCAGAGTCGACACGGCTACGTACTACCACAATACTACATACAGTACTGCATAAGGGACACCAGAGTCTACCTACTAGTAGTCCTGTTTCTATGCAGAGGAGCTTGGGCCATCTGTATCCAAACTCGAATGAATCTCTTCTTTGAGATCATTATTATTTGAATCACTACCTATATATCAGTCCCGTCCTGATGTTTTGATTCAACCCCACTCTTCCTCTTCTTCTTTTTTTCTGCCCTTTCTATTTCAAGAGACTAGGCCCCCCCCACAGCATGACCGAAGAGAATTATCGTCCACGATCGCCCGACTTCTCCTCTCCCTCTCACTCCGACGCCATCTCCAACCTCAACTCCAACTTCACTTTTAACCCCACTCCCTCCTACGCGCCGCAGAGTCCCGTCCACCAGCGCGCCTCCTACGACGCCTCCCCCTTCTTCTCTTCTTCTTATCAACGCCCCACTTCGAGTCGCGTTCCCCAACAGTACGTGCCTCCTTTCCACGACTTCGACGAGATGGCCCGTCGCTCATCGCGTTTGCAGTCCGCGGACGCGCCCGTCCCCGCTGCTCCCGAAATAATGCCCGCCGTCGCGCCGTTGCAAGAGGAGCCTCTCCAAACTCGCCCCGGGGCTGGCATCGAGGTGAAGACCAAGTTCCCCGTCGCGCGTATCAAGCGCATCATGCAAGCCGATGAGGATGTTGGCAAGGTGGCCCAAGTCACTCCCATTGCTGTCTGTAAGTAACAAAGACTCTTTCTCTTTCGTCGCGTACTTTCATCCTTTGATCAACAATCACCAGCGATAGGGGACTGACATGATTTAATCTTCTCTCTACAGCCAAAGCACTAGAGCTCTTCATGATCTCCCTCGTCACCAAAGCTGCCCAAGAAGCCAAGGAGCGCAACTCGAAGCGCGTCACCGCCACCCATCTCAAACACGCGGTCGCCAAGGACGAAGTACTCGATTTCTTGGCCGATATTATCGCCAAGGTTCCCGATGCTCCTGCCGGCCGGAAACATGAAGATGATGGCAGTGATCAAAATGAGGGTCGTCGGAAGCGAGGTGGACGGCGACCCAAGGAGGAGAGTGATTGATGAACGAGCACTGCGCCATTGGACACGATTGACGACGTGCTAGATGGGATCGGCACCCGGCGCATTGATGATCTGGAAGACATTTTTTTTTCTTTCTTTCTTATAGCTGTACTTCTGGGAGGGCGTTATGGCTGGGTTGGGATTTTTTGATTTACTTTTTTGGAGGGGCAGCGCATTGTTTTCTGTGAATAGTTCGGGACAGCGCTACGCTTGGTATACTCGAGTCCGGTTCTAAACAAACAAGAAATTGGGCCGCAATTAAAGCGTTATAATCGCATTTTCAATCGTAGAACTAGTCTCGTCTAACCAGTATTCTCCTCTTCTATCTTATTTAGTCTCGGGCTCGAAAGTCGGGATTCCAAGCTGAACGTGGTTGCTGTCCACCGTCTCGTGCGGTGGATGATCGACGCGCGATACACGCAGTGCCCACCGGCTCCACTCGACTCTCGACCCCGTCAACTCCTCCTCCCCCTCTCCAGGTCGTGAGACCATGCTGCCACAAAATGGACTTTGTGAGTGTCCTCTAGCGATTCACTTTACCGAATAGCTGGGTACTAATCATGCTTCAGTGGTCTCGTCTCATCGGCGGTTCACGCGCGCCGTCCAAGCCCTCGCGGGCCACATCCCCAACTGAACGACTGACGGCCTTCAAACGCTCCTGCAATGCCCTCCAGGTACGTTCATTGCCTGGCACTCGTACTGCCCTGAGTGACTTAAGCTAATTGCAACTGTCTAGCAAATATGGCGCTCCACCAATACCCCCTCCGCCGAGCAGTCGACTGCCCACGCGCACACCTACATCGAACGACTCAACTCCATCCTCAGCGATGAGTCCCGAGGTCCAGCGCCGCACCCCTGTGTCGCCTACGCGGCATCCTCTCAGATCTTCGTGACGGTCACTAAGCTCGCTCTATCATATTACGACGATAACGTGCTGCGATCAGCGACGGTGTTCTTCAACACGCTCATCGATGCCGAGGTCGACGGTGTAGTGGATAACAGGCTCTTTGCTCGCGCGCTGGTTGATCTAGTTCGTCGTGCGGACAAGGCCTCTGGCGAAATTGAAGGTCGGTTGGTGGAATTGCTGTTTGGTATCGCCAACAATATTCGTCTACAGCCTGCTATCCTGCCGGCGTGGTTCGTGCCTCGGGCGACGCCTACGGGTCAGGACAATGGATCACTAGCGCCAAGTGGGACGGAGTTTGCCGGTGCGACACGCAAGGACGAGTTTCCGTTGTTCTATCTACTGGTGGAATATGTCCATAATGACGGGCGGGCGGGTGACTTTGCTCGGACGGGTTTGCTGTATCTGATTGAAACCGCGTCGCGCTCGAAGAATTTGGAGAAGTGGTTGATTGAGAGTGACTTGGCTACATTGATGGCGACAGGTCTGGGTGCATTGTATAGCCAGTTGGGCGGGTAAGTTGATCACTTCCTTGAAAACAAGAGCAGTGCTAACTAGATATAGTTTGACATTCACGCCCACCGATGAGACTGTCCCTCGTATCGTTGCACTCTCCGACCATGCCAAAGAAGAGACGGCATTGCATCCTGCGTTGAGCGAGGCAATGGATGCTTTCATGTCCTATCTACTCTTCTGGCAAGATACCATTGATCATTGCAAGTCCGCGGAAGTAAACGACACGCTCTTGGATCATTTCCAGGTGCTTTTCCTCGAGCAACTTTTGTAAGTTTGATACTCGCTTTTGCCCTATTTTGCACCATACTAATTATCACAGATACCCTTCGTTGTTGGAATCCTCGGATGTAGCTGGCGGTTCCACTGCGGCTGTCTTGACTTACCTCTGCCGGATCCTGGACTCAATTGATCAAGGGGAACTAGTTCACCGAATCTTACATTTCTTGCTAGCCTCTTCTCCACCACCAGAGGAACCAATGTCCATGTCTGTCATGTCTGCCAGTCGTCGGAAATCGCTCGACGTTCTGGCTGCGCTGGCATCAGAGGCAGCCCAGCCATCCCCTTCACTTTTCAACTTACGTGACCTGGCTCTACTTGGACTTCATTCTTCAAATCGACAGACTGTGCTGGCCACACTGCGGCTGTTGAATGTCGTCTTGCAGCGTCATCACCCATTTGCGCGTGCTCTTGTCCACACTGTCCCGAGTCAACCGGCACGACAGCGATCTGTTGGTGCGTTCAACGCAGAACTTGAACATCTTCTGGGTCTAGGCACGTCACTCATCGTTGAGCCCACCTTAAACGAATCTTTCGAGAATTACGTTGCGGACGCGGTCTGGGTACTTGAGTCTCGACTGTGCCTCCCTGTATCCATGGACGCGACCGAAGATGAAATTCCTCTTCCGCTACAGCTTCAGCAGGACGATCCTATCATCCAGGCTCTTCTTGTGTGTGTCGAGAATTTCTTCACCAACAGTGTGATCGTCAACCTTGCCCTAACCGGCGTTCTCATGAGTCTGGCCTCTTCGCATCTGTTTTCACTGGATGGTTGGATCTTGGTCGACCCGGTCCAGTATAACCAAGAACAGTCTTCTGACGACACCGATAATATCCACCGTTCTTATCAAACGCCCACCTGGCCTGCCAGTGCAAACCCGACATTGACATCGGCTCTCGAAAAGCTGGTAACCCAGGTCCGTCAATGGCAGCGGGAACTGCCAGACTTTGATGTCCTAGTCGCAGCCCGACGAGAAGTCCTGCACCAAGAAGACCGCCCACAATCGCCTGATCGCTCACGAGAGCCATCGGAGCCTCCAGTCGCAGCCTCCGGGGATCGATCTCGTCCGTCGTACCCCGGATCCCCCGATCCCTCTGCTCCAGTATCGCGGGGCCGATCGCCGCAGTCCATTAGCTCCCCACCGATGGCTCCAAGCTTGATGAGAGGTGAATCCTCCGTCCGGCCATTAGAATCCCGAGGCTCATCCACCTCTCGCATCGCCGCGATGGAGGCCCTTCGCCAGAGACTGGCTACACCTATCCCTACGACAAGTGCGGAGCCACAGACCGCCGAGTCAACGGACGAGGCCACTACGACAGAGGATGCCGAGGCCGAAGCTCCCCCGGTAGCTACGCTGGGCCATGTTCTGACGAACGTGGTAATTCTGTACGAGTTCCTACTGGAACTCTCGGCTGTGGTGCAAGCAAGAGGAAGTCTCTTTGAAGAATCGGGATATTTGTAATTAGTACCTTCACTGTTGTATATTCATTATAGACACACATATTTACCTTGATCATACTAGTGATGTGATTATCTATTCATTTGGTGACGTTGAGATTGATAGGGTGTTCCCTTGTTACTTGGGTATGTACTCGGCATGCATACTCTACAGTTGCCAGGGGATGAAGTTGATTGGATTAGTGGTTAGTGCGGGCGGGCCCCTCCTTGCCGAACTGGAAAAAGGTCGTGATCGACATAGCATAACCTTAGTAGCATACCTCGTGGGTCCTCGAGTCTTGGAAGAGCTCCATGAATGAGCTTTACAGTGTGGCGGTGTTGAGGATACATAATGAAACTCCAAATAGTACAAGTCACAGTAGGTGATCTGGCCTCTGCCGGATGTGGAAGCCTTCCCACGCAGGTAAGCAGATGAGCCACGCGCTTTGTTACTCTAATGGGCTTAGGATCGACTCAGCTGACGGCAGATTCACTTGAATGCCTGGAGAGACTAGGGTGGGGGTTATTAGTGGAAGATTTAGCGACGCTGGTTTAATACTTGATACTTGATACATTAGTCTGCCATCTGTACTCCGTAGAAATCTATCCTCGAATAGACTAATAGAAAACTCAAGGATGATCTCAATTAGACAAAAAAAAGTATGGTAATCTACAGATAGGAGAGAGACTCTTTTTCTGGAATAGAATACATGGGATAGTTTCAAATGGCCATCACCGAACTTGTATTGACCCCTTGTCCCTTGTTGTCAGCAGAATACAAAGCAAAATGAATCCAATCATTGCATGAATTATTTCAATAAATGCTTTGTTCTCTAGATTGACTATCGTCTCTATAACTCAACACCCCTGAACCCAAGTGGGGCCGTGTCTCCATCTGGTTCAAGGGGGGCGTGACGGCAACGCTGGCGACGATTGGACTTCTCCTTTTAACTCCGTCAGACTTATCCCCAGTCGACGCACCTCTTACACTCTGGTTTCATCGATTCAGCCCCAGTCCCTCTTTTCCTCTCTCTCACCATGCCACAATAACTCTCTTTGTCTCTACTCTCAATCTCGTTTCACTTTCTTATAATCTTCTTTTCCCCTCTTCCCTCCCCCCCTCCAATCTACAGAGTATATAGTATACCTACGGGATGCCCGGCCGCCATGCCCGCGGAACCCGACTTTGACCGCGAGGATCGCGAAGACGCACCATTCCTACCCTCCGAATCCAATGCCTCCGGTAGCGCCAATACCCACGACCACGACCACGACCACAATGACCATACAAAGCCCACACAACCAGTCCCGGCGACAGCGTCCGCACCGGCCTCCGCCAGCAAGATCACATTCCGGCTGAAACTCATTCTCTTCGCTATGGTACTGGCCGTGGAGATTGGCTTTGCCTTCCTCGATGGACCGATGGTCCGCGTTATGGAGTCGATCGCCTGTCGCCAGTATTATTCCGAGGCTGATCCGACGAAGATCGGCGCCAATGGCCAGGTTCCGGAGGAATTGTGCAAGTTGGCGGAGATTCAGGCTGAATTGGCGGCGGTTAAGGGATATCATATGTTCTTCGATGGGTTATTGAGTATGTCTTTTGTCTCACGGGATGGATTGAACTCCAATGGCGAGGGAAATGCGACCCTTTGACTGACTGCTTTTGTTTTCTGGTGTAGGCGCGCTCATGGCATTTCCCTATGGTCTGCTGGCAGACCGCCGGGGCCGCAAATCGACCCTCGTTCTCGGTGTCCCCGGATTCTTTCTAAACTCGATTATCACGATCGCCGTCCTGTGGTTCTCGGATGTACTTCCGCTGCGGGCGGTTTGGCTATCTTCTCTGGCTTGGTTAATCGGTGGTGGACCAGTGGTGGCTTTTGCGATCATCTGGACAATGATGGCTGATGTGACCAGCGAGGCGGAGAGGTAAGCTTTCAATGCCCATCTTTATTTATACTCAGAACTCACCATAGTGTTCCAGGGCCGGACTATTCTTCCAATTCGCCATTGTCTCCATGGGAGCCGACTTTGTCTCTAGCGCCCTCGCTTCGTGGCTCATGACCATGGACCCCTGGGCTCCGCTACTGATCGGATACGCGATTGTGACTGGCGGTTTGCTATTTATATTCGTACTCCCCGAAACGAAACACGCAATCCCATCCATCAACTTGGAACCGCCCAATGTCGAGCTCTCCGATCTCACAGAATCCGATCCCAAACACACCTACCACAAGCCCGAGGAGGCCGGCATGTACCACGATGAGAGCGATGTCGATGTGGGCGACCACGAAGCGCACATGTCATGGAGCTACCCCACGCATCAGCCCCAGTCATTCTGGGGTAAATGCCGCGCCAATTACCGATTCTACATGAAACCCTACCTCTTCATTCTAAACCGGAAACCGGTGCTTCTTCTTTTGACGGCCTTTTTGGTATACCGCCTAAGCCGGGGCTCATCCTGGTTTTTGACCCAGTACATTTCCACGAGATACCACTGGACACTCGCCCAGGCCAATATGCTCGTGGCATCCCGGCCAACAGTTTCTATCCCCGTCTTCCTCTGGGGCCTGCCGTACCTCAAGAAATACGTCCTAAACCCACGACGAACCTCCACCGAAAAAGACCTCTGGCTAGCCCGCGCCAGTATCCTCTGCCTCACCCTCGGCACACTCGGAATCGGCCTCTCCCCCTCCGTCGCCACTCTAATCCCAAGCATGATCATCCAAACCTCCGGATCAGGCTTCGTATTTCTCACCCGCTCAATCATCACCACTCTCGTCGAGCGCGACGAAACCGCCCGTCTATACACGGTGATTGAAATTATTCAATCCTTTGGCAACGTCGTGGCCAGTCTGTCTATTACGACGGTTTTCCAGATTGGTCTTCGGTTGGGAGGATTCTGGATTGGATTGGCGTGGATGATGACTAGTTCGTTATTTTGCATGGTGGCGGCTGCTATATGGTTTTTCCGGCTGCCACCCACACCGCAGACGCCGGAGTTTGTGGTTGGGGAGTTTGATGAGGGGGGTGATTTGCATGGTGTATAGATTTTTGTATAGTATATAGAGATCAGATCATTGATAGGGCGTTGGGGTGAATTTCACTGCATTTTCATATTATGTCTTTGATTCTTTGGTAATCTATTCAATTTTGGAAAATCAGATACAGAGATCTTTCATCTTATCTTGAAACAAACACATAGTTCATCGTTGTTATCTGTCGCGTGGGTAGTCCCTTCATGTTTATATTGGAGAAGCCAGCTCGGCGAGCTACCCAGTCACGTGCATCTCACATGCCAAAGCCCCAGAAATTCCACGAACACAACCACTTTCCCCTCCAAGCCACCGCGGACGTTGCAATGGAGAAGTTCTCCCAGTTTCGGGATCGAGGCAAGTCAAATCTCCTGTCAGGCCGAGGATCTTGACTCCAGATCTAACTAAGTCTCCACAGGCTCGGGCATCGCGCCCTTCCTCCCCATTCCAGCCGAACCACTGGGTTTCCAAGCACCCCTCCGACTGTTCCTCTTCTGCTTTCGGCTTCCAATCTTCATTTTCGTGACTGTGTCATATTTCTTGGTTCTCCAATGGCTTCCTATCGGATCTCTGGGCAAGAAAGCAGCTTTGTGGTGTATATTGGGTGTTCCTAGTATCTGGTGGATTGACCTGCAAGTTGACGGAGTGAAGAAAGGGTGTGTGTAGTTGCTTGACCGTCATGGAAAGTCGCTAACCCTATCTGATAGATCCCTTTCCAAGCAACAACAGGCCCGTCTACCGCAACCCGGCTCCATCATCGCGTCCTCATTCACCTCTCCAATCGACGCGGTTTACTTGGCCGCTATCTTCGATCCAATCTTTACAGCATCTTACCCCAACACGCGACAGGTCGAGCACATCTCTCTGCTCCAGGCCATTCTACGCGCATTCGCGCAGCCAGTGACCAACCCCGAACCCAGTACAAAGCTAGTCGATGTGTCTACTTTGGTGGAGACATACCCCTACCGACCCATCGTCATCTTCCCGGAATGCACCACCACCAACAGCCGGGGCATTCTACCCCTGAGCCGCTCGCTGCTGGGCGTCCCATCCAAGACCAAAATCTTCCCCCTCAGCCTCAAGTACACACCCGTTGACGTGGTCACCCCACTGCCGGGTAGCTACACCAGTTTCCTGTGGACGCTACTGAGTCGACCCACGCATTGTATCAGGGTGCGCATCGCAGAATGCATCATGATTGGACGGAGTTCGTTTGATGCACCACCGGCACGATCAACCCGAAAGTCCACCTTCAACACCAACTATCTCGACACCCTGGACGAGGATACTGCGACTGGGGAAGTCACCGCCAGCGAGAAGGCGCTGCTTGATCAAGTTGGTGAGTCTTTGGCTCGCCTGGGCCGGGTTAAACGCGTTGGATTGGGTGTGGAGGAGAAGCAAGAGTTCGTGCGGATGTGGAATAAGACGCGGCGGACCTGGTGATAGTACCTGTACCTGTTTTCTTGTTAGAGCACTATGCCTGTTTACCCTAGTTAGGGTCGTCTTATATAGAGTTGTATTCATTAGGGACATGAACTCCCACTGTTGTCATCATGGAATCCATCAGCAAGATAAATTCAAATGCGTAGATAACACAATGCCTCGCTAAATACAATGAAGTGTAAGTAGTAACAATCTTATGGATACAAACATGCCAGACTCAAAACCATCATTGCCACTGAAAGCCATTATAGTCAGCAAAGACTACTCAAACAAAGCAGAACACAATTCCTTTGTTACATGTTCCTCCTAGAAACCCTACCTCTATATAAAGACCAATATCACACCCAAATGCCAACAGAACCTCCTTATACCAACCCCAAAACACCCAGAACATACCACTATCTCACTTCCCCATCACACACCTGACCCTCCTAACCCATAACACAACTATCATTGCCATTCTATATCAATGTGCCACCAAAACTACACAACATACAAAACCTGCACCCACACCTACCCCAGCCACAAAACCCCCTGCGCCGAAGCAAATCTACCTACAAAATACCGCCAACACTGTAAACCATTTCTCACCCCGCGACCATCAGCATCAGGAAAGTTCGACGCTGTAGATGCTGAATGGAGTAAATTCCGTATTCCAGATGAGCGGCGTCAACAGAGGGAGGGGATTTGTCCGGATTGTGCGGTTACGTTGGCGGGGGAGATGGGGGGTTACTTGAGGAGGAGGGAGGTTGTGGATGGTATTGAAAAGGAGAGGGAGAGGGAGGATAAGAAGGAGAAGGGTGATACTAATGGGAAGGGGAAGGGGAGTGGATAGGGTGCGTTTCTTAGATAGTTAGTTTTACTATCCGATATTGAATGTTGTGTTTGGTAGATATCAGAAAGGCTTCTTGAATGAACAAATATAGATCGTATTGAAATGATATTATATAGCACAAGCCCAGACAAAAATACATCGCTTTTATGCTCGGGGCAGACACAGACACACACATACACAACAGCAACACCCACACCTCAGGATAATTCACATTTACTCTACAGCATCAGTGATGCATCCCTGGCTAGCATCCTTGACGTTCCTGGCATACTTGCCCAGGGTACCACGCATAGTCAGACCAGTCTCAGGCAACTTGCCAGCGGCCTTGCGAGCCTCCCAGTCCTTGCGACGCTCGGAAAGCTCAGTCTCAGGGACATCCAGGTCAAGGACGCGGTTGTCAGCGTCGATGGTGATAACGTCACCGTCGTTGACGAGACCGATGGGTCCACCGACGGCGGCTTCGGGGACGATGTGGCCGATCAGGAAACCGTGGGAACCGCCGGAGAAACGGCCGTCGGTGATCAGGGCGCAGGATGAGCCGAGACCGTAGCCCATCAGGGCGGAAGAGGGCTTGAGCATTTCTGAAAGGAACGTGTAAGTGAACAAGGAGGAAGACATATAAGAGAAGAGGAGTCACGTACCAGGCATGCCGGGACCACCCTTAGGACCGCAGTAGCGGATGACAACAACAGTCTTCTCCTCCTTCTTAATCTCGTTGCGTTCCAGCGCAGCGATGAAATCATCCTCGGTATCAAACACGCGGGCCTTGCCGGTGAAAGTGGTACCCTCCTTACCAGTGATCTTACCAACGCTGCCACCGGGGGCCAGAGAACCGCGCAGGATCTGAATGTGACCAGTGGATTTGATAGGGTTGGAGAAGGGACGGATGATCTTCTGATCCTCGGGGAAATCGGCGACCTTCTCCAAGTTCTTGGCGAGAGTCTCACCTGTAACGGTCATGCCGGAACCGTCAATGAGACCCTCCTTGAGAAGCAGCTTCAGCAGAGCCGGGGTACCGCCAATGGCGAACAGGTCGGCCATGACGTACTTGCCGGAGGGCTTGAGGTCAGCCAGGAAGGGAATGCGGTCAGAGACGGCCTGGAAGTCGTCAATGGTGAGCTTGACGCCAACGGAGTCGGCGATGGCGATCAAGTGCAGGACGGCGTTGGTGGATCCACCGGTGATGTTGACGACGACCATGGCGTTCTCAAAGGCCTGGCGGGTTAGGATATCGCGGGGACGAATGTCCTCGGCAAGGAGCTTCTTAATAGCACCACCGGCAGCCAGACACTCCAGGTACTTGGCCTGGGAGTTGGCCGGGTTGGAAGAAGAACCGGGCAGGGTCATACCCATGGTCTCGATAGCGGTAGCCATGGTGTTGGCAGTGTACATACCACCACAGGCACCCTCACCAGGGCAAGCGTGACGAATAACATCGAAACGCTGGGGCTCGGTGATCTCCTTGGCGATGAACTGACCGTAGGCCTGGAACGCAGAAACAATATCGATATCGGCGTTGTTCTGAGTCACGGCGCAGCCGGGCTTGATGGTACCACCGTAGACCATGATACTGGGACGGTTGACACGACCCATCGCCATCAGGACACCAGGCATGTTCTTGTCACAGCCAGGAATACTGATGTTGGCATCATACCACTGACCACCCATGACAGTCTCGACAGAATCGGCAATCAGATCACGACTCTGCAGAGAGTAGCGCATACCGGTGGTACCCATACTGATGGCGTCACTGACACCGACGGTGTTGAACTGGAAGCCAATAAGGCCTTGGTCCTGGACACCCTGGCGCACCTTGTTGTTCAAGTCGAGCAAGTGCATGTTGCAAGGGTTGCCATTGAACCAGACCGAGGAAATGCCAACCTGGGCCTTGTTCATGTCCTCCTCCGTGAGACCAACAGCGTACAGCATGGCCTGCGAGGCACCCTGGGACTTGGGCTGGGTGATGGTGCGCGAGACCTTGTTAAGGGCCTTGTCCGCATTCTGGAAGCGGGGGAGGGTAGTCGAGAGAGTCCGGCTATGAAGGGCAGAGTCACTGGTTAGCTAGGAGGGCACAGCATGGCACAGCACAGCTACCGAGCAATTGCAAAGGACGGGAAACATACACAGTCGCATTGGACCGGGACAAGCTCCGCAGAGCAGCGGGCATGCGCGCCCGGGTTTGAGGCAGCATTGTAATGGATGAGGGTTGGCGTAAGGAAAGCAACCCGAAGAACCACGACAATGATAGAAGAAGACGGTGGGGGAGGAAATGCCGGGGTCAGAAAGCAAAAATGGGCGGAAGCTCAGGAAGTCGGAGTTGCGGCGTTTCTCCCCGGCTCCACCTCCACTACTGGCGGGTTCCATCCAATCTTGGGCCCGCAATTGTCATCGACCGAGGATGGGATTTGTGTTGAAACAATTAAGTGTGAGATGCACGACAAAAGAATGTCTAATTCAAGAATATCCACTGACTACATGAATCATGACTGGATAAGGAGACAAAGGGCAATATGCAAGGCTTATGCTCGGAAGGATCACCGATCTACGCTGTGAGGCTCCGGCAGTGCATAAGTCATTGTGGACCTGCAAGAATCGAGAAATTTGAATTTCGAGTAATAATAGTCAAGTATCGCATGTTGCGCATCAAAGCCTTCGTTTCTTGCATCTATCTGTCAAATCTACCTTGAATGGCAAGGCGTGTGTGTTTATGTAGTAGTAATATGGGTATAACAGCTGGTCTAGCCACAAGCAGACAAGTAACAATGGAAAGAAATCCTGAATCCCAGTAGACCCCAGTGGTCAAGTCAATATGCCTCGTAAAATGGAATGTGTTAAATAGAATGGAACGAAAAGAGGGGTGAAGAAGTGAAGAATGAAGGAGGAATATATGCAAATGCAAGGTGGGAAAGGGTTGTGATAATGAAACAAAAGGTAAGAAGAGAAGAGAAGAGAAGTGTGGAGAAAAGAAGTGAGGAGAAATGCAGAGGAAAGAATGAAAGCAAAAGAAGAAAAAAAAGTAATCAAGGGTCAAAGAGTTGAATGAGTCCTGCTCTATGGCACCTCTTTGTCACCTCGTTTCAGCCCAGCAGGAACATCGATCGCATCGCGCACCCACGGAATAGCAGCAATCTCATCCAGCGTCTTCCGCTTGGTGTTGCGCTTGAGTAGGCCTTCAACACAGTGCTGAGCACCGTCCAGGCCTTCGGCCTTCTCGGGGTCCCACTCCTCGTCCTCATTGGCATATCGATACCAGCTCCACTCGCATCGGGCAATCCGATGGGGAGTGCGCGCGCGGAGTTTCGCCGGATCACCACGAGTACCGGGGAGGACGTCGAATGGCAGGCGGTTCTCCATGATGGCATAGAGGAGTACACCGAGAGCCCATGCATCAGTTGCACGGCCGTCATAGGGCTGGCCCATTAGGATTTCAGGAGCAGCGTAGTCCTCGCTACCGCAGCGAGTCTGCAGGAGCGGGCTCTCGGGTGGCTCAGGGATACGTCGAGACAGGCCGAGGTCACTGAGAGTAACCACGGCGCGATCATATGTACGCCAGTCCGTCACCGATTCCATGGCGGGAATTGGCATGGTCAGGAGCACGTCTAGCAAAGAAGTTAGTAGAGTCCGGACGTAGGAACCCGGTTATGGACTCACTCTCGAGCTTGATATCCCGATGAACAATATAATTGGAATGCAGATAACGGACTGCATCCATCAACTCGGCAAAGATGCGACGAATCAGACCCGGTGACATGGGACGATGGCCCGAAGTGGCGAATTCAAAGAGATCACCGCCTGGGCAGTAGTCCAGCACGAGCAGAGCGCGCTTCTCATCACTCCCAAATGCCTTCAATTGCACTAAGGATGGGTGGTTCACCGATTTCAAGATTTCAACTTCACGCTTGAGGGAAACCTCAAGGCGCTCCTCGTCGGCACCACCAGCGGGACCATGCTCGATGATCTTCACCGCAACCAATTTCTGAGTTGTCGCGATGGGTGTGATTTCGCCAGCGTCACCATCAGTGTCCGGAGAGAGGGGAGCTTCGGTTAATTGCTCCACTCGTGCCGCGAGGCTAACCTGACTGAAGGTGCCTTGGCCCAACACGCGGATCTTGCGATACAGTCTGGCCTGCTGAGTGCGAACCGACTTGACCGAGTATAGTTCCTCCGACTTGGACAGCGGTGTAGGGTGGTGAATAATAAGCTCCGTGTCACTATCCCCATAACCACTTCCACTGCTGCGAGGAGGGCTAGGAGGGCGCACAGTTGGCAAGGCGATGCCGCGGTGAACAGCGAGGTATTGCTCGCGATGCAGACCCGTCGATTTAGAATCAGTGCTCGAAGAGGGCGCAATGCTTGGACCGGCACCCGAGACCGCAACTGGGCGCGGTACAGACATGCGGCCCGGGGGCGCATAGTCACTTAGACTGCGATTGCGCGAGTGATGTTTCGTGTGCGAGGAGTCACGACGGACGCGATTCGACGGTGACTCTTGCCCCAGGTTGTCCAATCCATTATAAGGTTTGTTGTTTCGCGGTCGCATCGCTGGAGGACCGAGCATCTGGGATGAGTCACTCAGTCGCAAACTCGAACCGCTTCTTGACGCGGTAGACGAGGTGCGCGATAAGGACGGCAGATCCCCACGGCGCCACGGTGCTCCGCCGCCGATAGGTGATGGTAACGGGGTAATGTCCCCCATGGCGTTGAGTTGGGGCGAGGACATGATCGAGGCTGGAGACAAAGAACCGGCGTTGGACATGGAAGGCGCGACAAGCGCGCGCAAACTCGGGGTGCGTTGCGGGAAGCTGCCGGAGGAGAAACTGGTTGAAGCCAAATAATCGGAGTCGCGATGCGAGCTGGTGGGACGGACGTTGGGTAAATCGGTACGAATCTGCAGCGAGGGCAGGCCTGGTATCGAAGGGTTGGATATGGAAGGGACGTCTACCGGGGCAGAGCGAGGCGCAGAAGAGGCCGACGACTCTTGCGGAGTTTGATCAGGATCGGACCCATGATTGCTGGAAACGGCCTCGTGTGAGGCTGGGAGAGTTTGCGGGCAATTAATAGCCAGGCCTGACCTCGCGGTCGGTCCGGACTCGGGGGTCACCATGGACGTGAGGGCGCGAAAACGGAAAAAGGTCGAACAGAGGAGGAAGGAAAAAGAGAAGGGCGAATCGAGACTGTAGGGCGAGGCAACCCGGTAGTAGATAAGGTGTCTCAGCCTCCAGACCTAAAGGGGTCTTAGCGTGGGGAGGGAGACCCGTTTCAGGGTCAACGGTCTAACGTTTGAGGCTTTGGAGGGAGAGCATATACCGTGAAGAAGGGAGGGGAGACAGAAGAACAAGCGAGTCAACAACGCGATGCCACGAGAATGGACCAGGATGAAATGCGGGAATAATCCCTCTATCTGCTAGGGAAATTGAACGATGACGATCCAACTGGGAAAACCGGGTGGTCAGCTGACGGAGTCACGTACAAAAGAAAAAGAGGAGAAGTTTTCCCCGCATTCGGAAGTGCCAATTTGGGTAAATTAGTATGAAGAGTATACTTAATAATAGATGGATTATTCTTAGTATCATCTTATATTATTCTCCTCTATACTTTCCATCCATCTTCTCGATCCTTACCCTCGCTTATGCTTAATTGACCTAACTCTGAGTAATCTCCAGTAATAATCATATCTCCACCGGGGCAAACAACAAATCTCCCGGTCGGGACTGTAATCTTAGTGTCCTCCGAAGAAACCCGTCCTCCTACAAACAAACTACAAAGTAGTATTTCCTAACCTATAGTTCAGTAGTCCCTCAAACATGTACATAGTAACCATATCTTAATATATCTCAATACGAGCTCACATTTCTTACTTTTCTCGGAAACCATATGCACTCACCAGCCACCCCTCTGCCAAGGCCCAAGTTAAGTTGGAACCAACACGATGGCCTGTTTTATTATTTGCGGAGGGCCCCCTGCAGACGCAGGGGCCAAGTCTCAATGCGCCACGAGAAAAAAAGGCCGACGATGAGTTGGGCGCCAAGGAATTCGAGATCGATTCTACACTGTAGATGGAATTCTACTATGTAATTCAAGTCTAAACTAGCCATGTTAGTACTGGGTGAGTAAAGAAATATGAAAATCAACAACATCCTGAATAATGACATCAGCCGTAGCAGGGACCACAAATATATCCACAACCAGAGCTTAGCTTAGCCTAGCCCTGACCATAGCTAGTCTTCTATACGAACCGGTTCATTCAATGCGGGATTTACCGAGTCCATCTGGCCAATCATCAAGGTATGTATATACGGTCGCAAGGATAGAGAATATCCTATCCGAAGCATGACGTAGGGGTTCAAAATAAAGATGGCTGGGAGCTGCACATTTCTAAATCATGACAATTTCATTGGTCGATCCACAAGAAACAGAAATATATCTACGGAATATATATCCTCGACTCATTCCTGTGTACACTATCCACCATGGTGAATGCTAGGTTCGACTGGACTTGGAATTATTCGAGCCTTGCATTCAAGGTAGAGCCTATGCCCGGTCGCTTACAATCGGAACCTTTATGCACTCGAATAACCCTCGTTAATGCAGAATAGCTTCGAATGGTCCCTAAGGAAATCAATTGACTATTTCCAGGACTAACTGCCAATTCATTTCCTTCTCCATCCTAACATGGATATTCACATCAACTGAGGTTCCACCACATCCCTACCTCCATACATCCCCCTAAAACCGATTCTCCGGCACAATCAATCTCCCCGCCAACTCCCCATACGCACCCTCCACTTCACTAATCATCTGTCCCTGGATCCAATACCCCTTGCCATTGGCCTCTTCCGCAGTCGCAGCAACAATAATTGCCCACGCCGCATCCTCAGGCGAGCTTTTCAGTGTATCCGGGTGGGTCGTCGCCTGGAGACCTTCGACCATCGGAGTCAACGTCAACCACGGAGCAATCCATGAGATAGACACGCCTGCCTCGATAACCTCATTGATCTGCGCTGTACTACGGGCAAGCCCGAGCACCGCGTGCTTGCTGGCTGTATATAGTGGCTGCGAGGAGACAGGCACGTATGAGCCCGCAGATCCGACGACGACGATACGTCCTCCACCGGTCTTTTTCATGTAGTGAATGCCCAGTTTCAGACCGAAGACCACGGAGTTGACATTCACGTCAAATAGACTTGTCGAAGGTCGCTGGAGTTGACCACCACTCTCATTCTGGCCATCGACTTCATCGGCGAGGTAGCTATAGCGAACCTGTGAAGCCATCCGGGCGTGTCTCTCCGCATCGGACGTTTGCAGAAGCGTAATCTCGGGATTAACCGCAGCATTGCAAACCAACAGATAGATAGGACCAAGGGTATTGGTGACGTACTCGAACAACGCGATCTGCTGATTCCAATCACTCACGTCACAGGTCTGATACGTCACTCCGTGACCAATCGTTGTACACGCCGTCTTCAGGGCATCCTCGTGCAAGTCCACCAGGACCACGCGGGCACCATGTTGTGCGAGAAGAGATGCAGTTGCAAAGCCAATACCGCGAGCTGCGCCGGTTACGATGGCTACGCGGCCTTCGAGAATGTTGGTAACGATATCGCTGCTGGGTCTGGGGATGGTTGTCATTGTGGAAGACGGTTGGAGGCCTGAGGATGAACCGGAGTGGCAGAATGGTTGAACTGGTTTTACTATGCACGAGTGGCTAACCCTAGTCTTATATGTGTTGGCATCGTGTGCAGGCCCACACGGAGCTCGGCATATGCATTTCCCGTCTTCTACTTCTTACTAGTGCTTAGATCTTAGCAGCGAGGTGACTTCGGTTATGGTAAATCCGGTCTAATCATGGGCTGATACTATGTGCAACTATTTCCCCCGATTTCCAGTATTTTCTAATCCCATTCTATCCACGCGCTCTCGGCACATGCACCCCGGGTCCCATTTCAAAAGCTCCTCATAGCCCTATCCCGATTCGCAAGAACCTGCTGTGTCACATCAGCCAACGGCGCAAAAGCCTCGAACCCATGCGGAAGACCAGGATAAATATGGCACTCAGTGGGGATATCAGCCGTCACAAATCTGCGCACATACTCCAGTCCTTCATGGACAAAAATATCCAACTGCGGACAATCTAGATACAACGGAGGCAGACCCGTAACACTCTCCACCCGTGCCGGTGCAGCATATGCCTCAATTTTTTCCGTTCCTGCATCTGGACCGAGATATGCTGTCCAACCGGTGATATTGTCAATCTCGTTCCAGAACGCTAGTTCCCCGGCGTGATTGGTGGTTGTTCGGTCGTCTAGCATTGGATAGATCAAGATTTGTTTCGCGATTGGCGGAGATAGAGCCTCATCACGAGCTTTGAGTGTTAACGCTGCAGCTAAGCCTCCACCTGCACTTTCGCCCATCAACGCAATGCGTGTAGGGTTGATGGATAGGCGGGACGCATTCTCGTAAACCCACTGCAGCGCAGTCCAGCAGTCATTTAGCGGAACGGGGTACGGATGTTCTGGGGCAAGTCGATAATCAACCGTCAAGATCTGAACACCCGTACGTGAGACGGATGCAATATGTGGCACTGAACACCCCTCAGCACTCAAGGAGATATATCCTCCACCGTGGATGTGCACTATAGCTGGTTTGGCACTGTCGTGAGTTGCACTTCGCTGACGGAAGTGATAAACCACTACTTGGTGGCCATCGGCGGTCGGAATATGATGGACTAGTTTTTCGATATCTTCTGGTAGAGGAGGTAGATCCTTGATCATTGTCGCCAGCAGGGCTCGTCTGGTCGTAACATCATGGAGTGGTGGTTTGGGCAACTGTGCTAATTGTTGTAGCACTGGGCCAGCCTCTTGAAGAAATTCGGGATGATACTGTAGAGACATTGCAGTTGGAGTGAAAACAAATTGCGTGCTTCAGCGAACCATGCAAATAACAACAAGCTTGACCAACGCTTGCAGGTTCCGTCTCTACTCCGCAATTTATCGTGACGTTCTTAGCTTCGGCTTCTCAATCTCTGCATCCGCTCTGTCTACGCAAAATCCCCATAAACTACTCCCTATTTCCAAGTCCCGTTGAACCTTTCCACACATTTTCGACAACTCTCTCCGCGATCCGAGCGAGGTTGACTGGCCAATGTCCCTCGGAATGCACTAGTTCCCGTCCCGATTTCTCCCCACGGCGGGGAAGCAACCTTTTAGGTAGTTGACAGCGAGGCACGGATTATCGATCCACACCCATTCACTCGGGTCGACATGAGGCAAAAATAAACTCGCAGTTAACTGCCCATCCTCAGAATACAATGACAGACAACGAATTCGGAGCATGTCAAGATCTCCCGAACGCGGGTATCGACGGCAGGTCGACTCTATTGCGTAAAAGCCTTGGCCCTGCATCGTAGTATTCACGTAAATTATTGAAACTAAGTTCAATACCCATGAGTTTCCAGTTACCTACGTTCGATGAGCTTCCACCAGTCGAGGGCATGCCTCAAGGCTGTGCGTGGGGCATCTTCGATAAAGATGGACGAAATGACATTTTTGGTACGCTGAATCTGTTGACGCCAGAGGTAGTCAAGGCTGCGACTGCAGAGGTGCGAAAGGGAATTTCTGTTTCTCTCAAGTGAGTCTTAGTTGATTATAGTTAGTGTCTACAGCCTGCTGACCATCGCGTAGCTGGTCTCTCGAAAGTATCAAAAATCCTGAGTTCTTCCGTAAAAGCCTTTCTCACAAGGTAATGAAGTTGGAGGATGGGGAGACAGGTTCACACTTTGGATTTGATGATGAGGTACACAAAAATCATGGCGTCTTTCTTGTCCTCTCGCTGATGATTGACTCCTCAATCCCAATAGGTTGAGTTCAATACACAAGCAAGCAGCCAGTGGGATAGTCTGTGTAAGTTTCCACGAAGGAGAACCGCAGGATAAACTCTGATTCCTAAGTAGGTCACTTCTTACATCTTCCCACTGGAATGGCATACAACGGAATGAAGCCTACCCTTGAAGGATTGCAGAGCCCATGCACTGCAACCCAAAACCTTCCTACACTCGACAGTCAGTTTTTCCATTCCACCTTCAGTATAACCACTCGTAACCCTGACATTGTCTAGAATGGCACGACCGAGGCTGCATCGTCGGCCGCGGCGTACTAATCGACTACAAATCCTACGCTGACCACAAAGGCATCCAATACTCCCCCTTCAGCAGCCACCGCATCACTCCCTCCGACATCGAAACCGTAGCCGCCTATCAAGGCACAAAATTCCAACCAGGAGATATCCTCATCATCCGATTCGGCGTCACCGAGGTACTCGGCAAACTGAACGCCGAAGAACAAGCCGCGGCCATGTCAACCCACCATGCATGCGGATTAGAAGGTACCGAGGAGATGGCCCGTTGGATATGGAACAATCATTTCGCAGCAGTGGCCAGTGACAACGTCGCTGTGGAAGCTATGCCCCCAATGCTGGATGGTAAGGAACAGCCATTGACCCAATTGGTTTTGCATCAGTGGTGTTTGAGTCTGTTTGGACTGCCGCTTGGGGAGCTTTGGTATCTTAAGGAATTGGCTGAGAAGTGCCGGGATGAGAGAAAGTGGACTTTTTTGCTTACTTCGGCTCCGTTGAATGTACCGGGGGCAGTGGGGAGTCCTGCTAATGCGCTGGCGATTATTTAGAGTGATTTAGAGGTCTTAGTTCTACTATCTTCATGACCATAATATAGTCAAGTAAATGAAGGAGCCTATTCTGTTTGGATCAATCCTATGAGCTCAGCACGGGACAAGTCCTGTTCTACTAGATCAATGAAAATTAATTGCTTCATCCCAGTCCTCCACTTTCTCATAGGACTCCATTGCAAGATTTGTGAACATAAACTCGAGAATAATTTCAAAGTCTAATACATCTAATACCCACATATCACACGAGAAATTGAATTCAACACTTTCATCAGGACGACGTATGGAATCCATCCCACTTCTCCAACGCCTCTGTACAACACTTCCACCAACTTGGCATCCCACCAAGCCAAACGAGCGGCTCCCGGCGCTTCCCAGGGATATTCGCGCCCATATACCACGAATCAGTCTTCGGATACAGGGTACGCTGACTGGCCTCGAAGACCTGATCACGCCATTGCTCGGCAGCCTGCTGAGTAGGCTCAACACATTCAATTCCCTCCCTTTGCATTTTCTCAATAGCATTGCAGATCCAATCAACCTCCATCTCGATGAATGGTGGACCGTTTGCCAGGGATGTTGGGGCCTGCGGACCGTAAACCATGAACAGGTTTGGAGCATCGGGGATCATGAGGCCGAGGTGAGTCAGGACGCCGCTCTTCCACTTCTCAGTGAGAGGCTTCTGGTTCTTGTCCGTGATTCCAAGATCCATAAGGCTGCCCGTGACTGCGTCGTAGCCAGTTGCGAAAATGACGACGTCCAGATCGTGGTGCTCAGCGGTCTCACCGTTGCCAGTCACGACTCCCGAACCGTCGAACTCAACAATGGGTGACTGTTTGAGGTTATGGAGGGTCACGTTTGGACGATCGATCATCTCAAAGTAATCCTGCTCCAAACTCGGTCTCTTTGTGCCGATGAACATATGCTGCTTCAATGGAGCGACAAGATCCATCTTTTCAGGGTTCGACATGCGCTGACGCACTTGCTGGACCCAGTAGTCATAGAAAATGCCATTGGTCTTCTCATCAAGCAGGAAGTCGTAGTAATTTGAAACCAGGAAACTGTAGCCACCTCGAGCCCAGAGTTCATCAAACAGCACTTTTCGCTCTTCGGGCGTAGCCTGATGAGCCGATTGGAAGCGAGTGTTGTGAGCGAATCCGGACACCGATTTGTAGCAGCGATCGAAGATGCCGTCATAGTATCCCTTCATCATTTCGGCTTCTTCGGGTGGAATTGAGCGCTGGCGCATGGGAACGGTGAAGCAGGGTGTTCGGATGAAGACATTGAGCTCGCATTCTTCCTTGGCCAATGTCTGCACGATCTGTAGACCTGATGCACCGTTTCCGACAACACCAACTCGCTTGCCTTTGACATCCAAGTTGTCCGGATAATCGGCTGCGTGGACGAGAGTTCCCTTGAAAGTTTCCAAGCCCTTGAATTGCGGGTAATACTTCTTGTATGAAGATCCAGTCGCGGCGATGACATATTTGCAAGTAGCAGTCAGACCCGTATTGGTCTGTAGAGTCCACCGGCGCGAGACAGGGTTATACTCTGTCTTGGTCACGATTGTATTGAAGAATGTATCCTTGCTGAGACCCAGCACATTATCCACGTGTTGAAAATACCGGCGTAGTTCTTCGTCACCAGGGAATCGCTCCGAGAAATTCCAATCTTTCCAGACGGCAGGAATATTGAACTGATATGCAGGTGTCTCTGAGTCAACACGTGCGCCGGGATATCGATTCCAATGCCAAACTCCTCCAAATGCGCTGCCGGCTTCGATCAGCTTGACGGAGAGACCGAGATTGCGCAGCCTATACAGGGAATTGCATCCTCCAAAGCCGCCACCAATGACAATGGCATCGATCTCGAGATGGGGACCTTCTCGGGTCATAGCTTCTGGATTTTGAAAATACAAAGTCAATGTAGAAGTTAGAATATATGCTTATCCAAACAAGCTGGGAAGAAGCACCTTTTCATCCATCGCGAACAGTCAGCCCAGCAGTACCAGCACGGAAGACCCTTGCCCGCCAAATCTGGAACGGAGACATGATATCCGAAAGCCGCTACCTTCCACTTTGCATGTCATCCTGCTCGGTTTTGCTTAAAGTAATGCAGTTGTTAGTCGTATAGAACTAGTCACCGAAAAAGGAAATCCACCGCGAGAAGGTTTACCACTTCGGCCCACTCCGGCCCCACGCGACGCCACAAGCGAAGTGCATGCAGCCATGGGCGGCACCGCGTGGAATAATCTGAAGAAAGGAAGTCCTACCTGAAATTGTGGGGGTTTCGCGATGGCTGTCAATTCGGAATCTGCCAGCTCCGTATCCGATCCAGAATGGGCGATATGCGTTGCGACGTTTGTTAGGTTGGTAACACTGGCGGAGGTACACAGGAGGGGACCGGCGAGTAAATGAAGAATCACTTGGATGGAAGTAGTTAGCTCGGTGCCAAAGTACTGAAGGTTCACGTTGGCGATAGACTTGAGGGGTTGTAGATTGCTGAATCTCTGCGTTTCAATAAAGAAGTGCCTGTTTTTCAAGAGATATTCCTTCGCTCAGTCGTTGTCTCCTTCTCTTTCCCTTGATCTCCCCATTTCCACCTTCAAACCCAACTCTTTTATCGCACCACATCCATCAATCCTTCCCCTTCATCAAAACACCGTCAACTCCTGTCACCAAGATCATGGCATGCCAAGTCAAAGGAACAGCATTCATCACCGGCAGCGGCTCAGGAATCGGCAAAGCGACCGCCATATCTTTCGCCCAAAATGGCATCGAATCCATGGCTTTAGTCGACCTAAACCTCCCTCTCCTCGAAAGGACCCGCGATGAGCTCCGAGCCCTGTTCCCGAAGATCAAAGTGGAGGCATTCCAAGCAAACGTTGCCGACGAAACATCCGTCGAGAACGCAGTGCGCGAGACGGTCGAGCACTTCGGCGGTATTGATATCGGCATCAACTGCGCTGGAATTAGTGGGGCGCCTACTCCAACTGACCGGATGACACTGGCTGAGTGGCAGAAGGTTATCGACGTCAACCAGACTGGTGTATGGTTGTGTCAGAGAGCTTTGATTCGGCAGATGCTGCAACAGGAGTGGGTGATACCTTTATTAAATGGGGGTTTAAACGAAGATTCTAACTCCAAAATAGGTCCCGCGGTGGCCGTGAAGGGCGAGGCGTCATTTTGAATGTCTCGTCGATGTTTGGTGTCAGTGGTCCTCCTGGGCCATTCGATATCCCCCACTACACAGCAGCGAAACATGGTAAGTGCGCCTATTATCTATGACTCAGTCTTTCATTAACACTAGCAGCGGTGGTTGGCTTAACGAAGATGGTAAGATATTTCTATCTATCAACTGAATTCCGATCATATGGCTAACACAAGACAGGACGCGAAAGCATACTCGCGACAAGGAATTCGCATCAATGCCATCTGTCCCGGGTAAGTCCCCAGCCCACTCTCTATACTACCAAATAGAATCTGACACACATCAACAGCTTCGTCGACACTCCCATCATCAAACAGCAAATTGAATCTGGATCAATGAACGCCGTCTTTGAAATGACACCTGTTGGACGCCCCGCACAAGTGGAGGAGATTTCGGACGCGATCCTTTTCTTGTCCTCGCCCATGAGCAGCTACATGTGTGGTGCAGCCATGGTAGTGGATGGAGGATTTACCGTCTAGAAGTACTTCCGAAGGTCATTTCTACTACATATAAATACATACTGAAATTGAGAAATATGTACAAGAGATCCGTAATTAAATTCACCCGTATAGGTAGCCAGCATCTATACGAGCATAATGTCAAAGTCTGCTTGTTTAGCAATCTCTTGCCAATGGATATCCTTTTCCGGAGCCAATGCACGTCGCTGCCAGAGCTCTCGTACAATCTCGCCCAGGATGTTGATGTTTTGAATGCCATGGCGACTCTTTCGGTCGAATGAGGCTAGCATCCGGGCTTGAAGATCATCCCGTTCACATTCAGCAGCGACGACGAAACTGGCCCAATTATAGGGACAGCCTCCTTTGTCGTTGCTTAACAAGTCAATAGCCTCCAACTCTTGAATGGCTTTCTCAACCAGATCTTGGATCTCGCAGAGTGGCGCTTGACGCAGAGTTCGTCGGAAATAGATGATAGTAGCGTAGTAGAAAGAATTGAGGGCGTGTTGAATGATGATTGACCCAGGGGCATCAGGCGTGGACAAGCTCGGAAAATTGAGATAAAGCTGCAACTCGAGACGATCCAACTCCTCCATCGAGAAGTCGGATTGTGATTCTGCGAGGAACGTGATGTGTGCCAGGTATTGAACCAAAGGTGCCGTAATGCCATGCGAGCGCTCCAGATAGTGCCGTAGATCTGACGATCCATTGAGTAAGGCCATCAGCTGCGACGACATGGGAAGACTGCAGAGCGATGAAAGCGATAAATAGCTTTGCAACAAGCGAGACGCTATCGGCCCCGGGACCCAGCCTCCAAGAATCTCATTTTCTAAAAGGCCAAGTCCACCAGCGACATGTGTTCTCCACCGACTTCTTCGTCCGGACATAGCTTCAGCGGTGATGCATGTAAGCACAGCAGCTAAGGTGGGCTCATCTAGCCGTTTCACCCGTTGTAAATTGTGGCGCAAATGGCGCAGAGCCAGCTGATCATGATACATCGCCACAGACAGATATCGTGGGTCTCGGCGGAGATGGAAAAGACTGAACGCCGAGGAGGCACATATCGCATGGAATATGGAGAGGTGTATATTAGGCTCGTTTGGAGCCGCATCAAGGCCTTTGAGGGCCATTGGCATGAATATTGTTCTGCAGGGATTATCGGGGGTGTCGATCAGTAGCATGTTGCCGCTCAGAAAAACCACCCAGTGGTGCACGAGTTCTGTTTCGGGTCTCGGAAGCTGTATAGGATTTAAGGCCATCATGGGAGACGGGTTTGTCGATGATGATGGAATTAAAATCAGATCTTTGCGTTGATGCTGGTCAAAACGACGCTCCCTGTTCGGGGTTTGGCAATTGACTATCGAGACCATCTCGGTCCGATCATTGTCGCTTGAATCGGGAGACTCAGATGGCATTGGCGAGGGCCACTTATCAGGGCTAGATATTGATGATAAAGTACTCGTAGATCTCAAGGCCTCTGAGACTTGTTCTGGCGACGGCCCAGTCCTGCAATCACTGCTAGAAGCCGACTGATCTGGCATAAGCGGGATTGAGATGCATTGGTCAACAGCGTCCTCTGCAATCTCCGTATCGTGCGAGGGCGATGAGTATGCGCTATTTCTCTTCAAAGTTTCTGCAGACTTGGGTTCATCCGACCCAGGACTAGACGTGGAAAACACCGTAAAAGGCCCTCGTTGCTGAGACGAACCGTCTCCAGACCAACCGTCCAGCTCTGCCAGAAGCGCCGTCACCGCTGCCGAGGACAGATCCTGCGTCGACTCAGGAGTACTCAACCATATCTGTCGTCGTTGCGATCGAGTCCCTGGCGTTTGGGACCATCCCAGACGCAGCCCATACCCCTGACACTGCCAGCCGCTTCGGGAACAGCGACGACAATGCGGCCGTTCGTCATCGCATTTGACCCTACGGGCCCGGCAGGTCCAACAGCCCGTGAAAGTCTTCGTACGCGATTTGGGAGCCTTCACATTTGTGGCTTGAGAGCTATTCGGCATCCCCACGAACTCTTTTTTGAATGAGGGTTGGTGGATGTTCGGGACGTTGGCGAGGATAACAAAAATCAATTCTTCTCGTCACAAATTTGCCTCCCCGCATCGGCACCCGCCGGTCCCGATCTATGTGAGGCTTGACCCCTAACTAAGGACCAACACGGATCACGGATGGCCCTGCTAAATCGGGACTCGGGAGCAATGATTATTGACCGGATACTTCCATGTAATTACTGAGTCGTCAATTGGTCCCAATTAGCAAGGAAATCATAAGTTCTACGCGTATGCATTCTGGGTTACTTGGGTCACTGTTTACGAAGGGACTCTAGTAGAATAAGACAGATTAGATTATCACTTCATATACCACGCAAGGCCTAGATCATTCCAAAGAAGAATGCGTAGAAAATCCTTCATCTGTTCTGGACGTATGTATGTCGTACCAGGTCCCCTTCATGGCTATGGACTTTCAAGTTACCAATCCCATATGCCTCAGGAGCGCGTTTGACACCCCGACCACCACCACCCACGATGACATTTCCGGGGCGATAATTCGGATCCTTTTGCATTCGGTGGATAGCAGAGCCATGAATTTCGGCATCAAGCGGCATATCGCGAGGGTAACCACGGTGCAGTGGCCAGTGAATTAGTTCCCAGTTGCCACTCTCCATCAGGCTCGCGCGGCGTATGGGAATATACTCCATGAAGCGCCAGGCGAGAACAGAAACAGCCGACAGACCGGTGCCGAAACCAAGACGATCGTGCAGAGCACCTTTCGCGCTCGAAGTCACAAGGGCATGGCGGAAGCGTGCAACCGAGGACGGATCTAGGTGCTCTTCTCCCAGACAATTGTAGAGCTGCAGCTTTTCCTGATCAAATTCAAGCCCAGCCCGCTGGGCCTCTTGGACCATCCAGACGAGTGGAGCATGGCTTAGCTGCCACGCTTCACCCTCTTCCACGCTGAAACCGCCACCAATGTCGGCGTGGCTGCCGGGGAACCACACCTCCTGTACATCCTGGACCTCATCATCCTCGTCAGGCGCTTCGGTTTGCGCATCGGCATTCGGGGTCTGTCCGAAAGCCTTGCTAGCTTCTTTGCCAGCGTTCTCGCTGTCTTCAGTGCCCCCGTCTTCCTCAGGGGAGCTATTGACGGCGGGTACTGCCGTCTTTCGTCCAAATCCTCCGCGAGACCGTGGTAGCAGCACCGGCTGAAACTTGACTCTGCGCTCATCGATACTGACAGCATGTCGTATCACGCGAGCACTCGAGCTGTCGTCATTGTTGATTTCAAAGTCCGCAACGCTATTCACAGTGTCGAACAAGCCCAAGAATCGAACTCTGGTCATCGGACGACAAAACGTGTCTCGACAACTGTACATGAATTGCTTTGCCTGCATTTGCTCCCAGCTGCCCTTCTCTGTGTCCCCATTGTATCGAGTCAATTTCCACCTAGAGAAAGCGTCCCAGATAAACGGAATCATCTCCTCGTTGTCAGGGCCCAGCAGCCCAACGTAGTCCAGCATTTCTGCTAGAAAACGCGCCGTGTAAGCTCCACGAGAAAAGCCGAAAATGTAGATGTTTCCATCCGAGCGGTAGTGTCGCATGAGGAAGCGGTAGCCACCCAGGACATGGCGATCGAATGACTTTCCCAGAGCTTGGCTGAGTGTTTTGCTTCCGCCTAGGCGACTGCTCTTTTTCAGAGTCGTGGCTGCCAGGGAGCCTGGCGTGATTTCGGTGCCGATTCCCGCTGTGTACTTGTCAAATTTTATACTTACTTTTGATGAGGCACTGCGACGATGGGCGCGAACTTACGCTGGTAATAAACCACTAACAGAGGCAGGGTGTTAGCTCACTAAATCTGACTAGCAGAGACAACATGACAGCCAACTCACATTGGTGATCAGACCGTGGCGACATGCGACAAATCTTCAGGATATTGGTGTCTGTGCCATTGACCTCGAATGTGTTCCCCGTTCCATCGAAACAAAGGACGATTTGGACTGGTGGTGATTGAGATGCGCCCGCCATGATGGTATGCTGAGCAAGAAAGCGTTGCTGCGATTGCAGGGAAAGGGAGGAGCTGCTGCGTTGGTCTATTTATTTATGATGCAGCGATCATCATCGTTCGTGTCTGCCGTGTCAATCATCTCGATTTCGGGTTAGCTTTTGTTGAGCTGCGGGCCACACTATTCGCGACTTGGCCAGCTCCAAGACCTGCTGTCCGTCAGTGAAGCTAATTTTTATTTGAAGACGAAACCGTGTGGTGGGGCAGCTGAAAGCGCGTGGTGATCCATCTGTGATCCATACCGTGTTTAGCGGAGGAAAGGTTGCGATGCGCGACGCTCCTGACGAGATCGTCATGGTCATTAACCAGAAAGGAGCTGCCGCCCCACAGTTCATCTGCAGAGCTCGATTTTGTCGGGATTGACAGTGCGCCACCTGCTCTTTCGACCTCCCAAGACGTCATGGTATCAACCCCCTAAGTTTCTGGCAGAGGTTAATGCGATGTCTCCAGTCCTACTACTGACTATCCTTTTGTTTTGTGCTAGCGATTGCTCGGTATCAACTATTCTCGTTGATTCAGCGTGAAAGAACGAAATTTCGGTAGCCATGTATGTGCTAAAGCCATTATGCTAGGTCTGAATCTAGCTGTGTAGATATATAGCTGCTTCAACTCAGCTTCTGCAGCAATCAACATGCCTGCTGTGGAAGTTACGGTTAGCTATTGCTAATTTAGTTTCTCGAACCTGCAGTCTTCAGATTTCATGTTGATATATATTTTTCTGGGTGGACCAGATCCGCTTTGTTCGAGCAATAACTGAATGCATAATACGCTATCGAGGAGAGATATATGCATAGCTAGCAAATTGAAGGATGCTGATGAGTTTCACAAATATAAAAGCCTGATATTCAGGGAACGGATTCACGGAGTTTGATTCATGGATGTGCTGCCGAAACTATAGATGGAAACGGCAAGCCGGTCTTCATGGCGCGATCAAGACGGCGATCCCCACAAAGCCACCGTCCCACTTGCATGTTCAAATTGGGTTCCTTGATATATGGGGGTCAGCCGGGTAAAGATTAATCGGAATGAGCCGACAACTTCCGATCGCCAGGCTTCTTAACCAGGAAGAATTATATTTAGATTCAACATCAAAATAGTATAGCATGAGTTAGGCAGACACGATTGACAGTGCAGACTTGCCTGGACTTAGCTTGGGCAAGCACTTGATTCACAGTAGCCGAAATGAGTAGAAAGATATGTTACATGAGAGCTGTCGACTGAAAGTACTGCGCGCGTTGGCCGAAGGTTCGCCGCTCTAGATTTACCTATGCCTGAACTAGATATAGGACAAGCTTTCGAGTGTCATTGAGCTGAATAGCCGATTGATAGTCGTCAGAACTTCAGAATGGATAGATTTGATGTGATAGCAGGGTGATGTATCATGGAAACTACGAAAGACGCGTCACTTGGCCCCTAGGAATGATCTGAAATAGGTCCACTAGGACCTTATGGTGATGAGATAAACAAACCTAGTGGTCTTTCTCCAAGACGCGTTTTATCCACAACCTCCTAAGCGAGTGCCCTGAGTTTGAGACATTTCGTCAGCTAAAATGGATCTTTGAGTCGCGAATAGTCCACGATATGCAGCAGGTGGATGGGGGATATCCACAAAAACCGGTATGGCAATTCGGTTGGTCGTTTCGAGACCCTCAGGCCCCTTGAGTCTATCAAAATATTGAGGCTGAGTGGGAAAAGAAAAGCCGTCATTTTGAAGATATCAGTTATCATTGCCGAATCATTGGTATATAACAGGTTCTGAAACCTCAGTCCCTTGTCAGCGACCTCAAGCGACCTCTTTCAGCTACATCTCTTTCAAAGAAGTCTTCACCTCATCCACTCATTCAAATATACTCCCATTCATTCAATTCATCACAACTCAACAACACCATGACTGTCACTACCACCTCGACTACCACCTCCGCTTCGGCAACCTCCAGCTGCCACGCGAAGCTGTACGACATCCCCACGCACGATGCCGCCTGCGCAATGCCAATGAGGAGCAACTACTCAGCAATCATGAGCAGGTGTTGCTCCTCGGCTTCCATCATCGAGTACGACAGCTGCGATTATTACTGTCTGGCTCAAGGCCAGAGCGTTGGCGATCTAGCCGAATGCCTCATCAAGGCATCCGAGCCTGGTCAAGTTTGGTGCAACACCCATGCCAATGCCACCGCGACTGCAACTGCCACTGCTACAGGGACTGGAGTTGTCACCCTCAGTGCGATGGGTACCGTTGCTGATTCCACGTCTTCGGCCACTTCAAGCGGTGCCATTGCGAGTTCGACTGCCAACGCTGCGGGGGTTTTTGTGCCTAGCTCTTTGTCCAAGTCTGCCATTGGTATGGTTGGTCTTTTGTTTGCCGGGTCGGTAATGGGCCATTTTATTTAGGGTCGTCACAGACTTGGTTCCCTGGGTCGATGCAAAAGTTGGTGGATTTGCATATATAACTTTGTCTCGGGATATTTCGGATGTTTCGGGATTCGAGATTCGGCGATTAGGAGATTTAATATCATAGATGACTCCCGAAGCGCTTGAATTTTGTTGCCATTCTTCGGTGCTGTCAGAGTCTGGAGATCGGATTCAAGTTTCCCCAGTAAGCTCATTCATTTGATCAACATTCAATGCAGGTTGTATCTGATCTTCACCGGACAGTACTGAAACTTGGATGCGTAATAATTCTCTATTGTAAGCCCTCGCAGAATTAAGGATACAGGACAAGACACTGCAAAACAAGCGTCGTAGTCAATAAGCCCAGAAATGCAAGAGACTTTTCTATGTACACAGACAAAAAGCAATAAAAAGTACAAACCCAGAAACACACCCCATTCCCAACCCACGCAGAAATGCGAAACATGGATGCTTTGAGCGCCGGAGTGAAGAGATCTGCAAGGGAAAAGAGTAAAAAAAAGCCGTTGTAATACATTGCAGGTGGAGAAAGAAGCTGGCGGTGATCGGCTACCGCCGGGGTCATGGATAGTAGGGCAGAAAGGGTATGGTTGTTCGGGCTATCCGGGAGGACGATAGTAAGACAGAGACTGGTTCATGCCAGTATTATTTAAAAGAAGGCCTTTCGCGTCACCTGCAGGGAAAAGCATGTTAGCAAGGGTCGAGGGCTCGTAGATAAATGCTGCGTCATATTCGGAAACTTACGGCCCAAGCACCAGCAATTGAAGCTACGATGCCTCCGGAGATCATCATTGGCTTAACACCACGGGTACTCTTGAAAAGCATGCCACTCAGGGCACCGGCCACCACGCTGTTGGCAGAATCGTGCTTGCCGCGCGCATATCCGATAGCCGAGTTGAAGCCGTTGTAAACCATCGCAACCACACCCGCGGAGTTGCCGAGGAACGGACCCCGGCGGGTGATTGAGTTGAGCACACCGTTGAGACGAATCTTAGGAGGAGCAGTGACTGGCGTCTTCCTCAGACCTTCGGCAAGACCCCATGCGCCACCGACAGTCAGAGCGGCCAAGTATGTGGTGCCGGCACCATAGCAAAGGTCGTCGGACCAGCCGCGAGAAGGCAAAACGGAGCGGGAACCGGGCAAAGAATCAAGAGCAGAATCATCAAGGGTCAGATAATCGAGAGTATCCTGGTTCAGGCCGGCCAGGGGATGGAGTCTGGAGGGATCGGGAATGGCGACTTCGGAAAGGAAAGAAGAAGCATCTTGGGCGTTGGAGGAGTCGTAAGGAGAGGGGGGCCGCGGTCTCCTTGCGGCCGCTGAGGTTGTCCCAGATAGGCATGATGGCGGAGGAGGTAGGGATATGAGGTTATTAAAATACACGACGACGAGTCGGAGAAGGAGAACGCTGGCCCTTGATCGCAGCTCCACCGACTGTCGGCGACCAGCAAAAACTTCGGTCCCGTGACTGGGACACCGCGGAATATAGTTAGCCCGACACTAGTCCACTTTGGGAATCACACATCCAAAAAATGGCCATGTTGAAGCCTGAGGCATCGCGGGGAGCTTCGGACAATTTCAATATTTCTGTGGAGTTGGAGTACAGTCTGATTGCAAAGATATCAGGTCATGCCGAATTGCATTGGTGATGAATGCTGAAACATCTCGTAGCGCTCAGCGTGCTACCGTAACCAACATGGATGACATCGCACAGAACGTACAATTCTTATCAGAAAAGACTCTGCAAGATATTGCCAAAGGTCAACTTGTCAAGCTCGCCTTGAATTGTGACGATAACCAGTGAGTTGTAATACATTTGAAAATTCACGAAATCGATCTTAATGCTCATACCTGAATAGAAAAGTGAACCGAGTCTGGCAGTCCTTGATCCAGACGGTTTCAACGCCATCTTTGTCGAACCAGCATACGGCAGCCGCCTGCAATGCAGTCTCAGCTTTTCTGGATGCTGCTGCTACTTCCAAAGTTGAAAAAACAAAGCAATTGGCTCTGTCAACGGAAAATTGGCTCATTGTTTTTGAGGTATTCCTGAGCCGATATGAAGATGCGAAGCCGAAGCCACTCAAGCAGCTTTTGGGCTCCTTGATTAACCTCTTGGCCAAGTATATTCACGGGCCCAAGAAGGACGACATTCAAAAAGCAGTCACAGATGCAATCATTCCCAGTATTGTGCTCGGCGAGCCTAGATCGCGACTGAAGGCTTCCCTGGTGTGCTTCGAGCTTGCTATCCGCAAAGGCGCCATCTCTGGCTCTGATTTTATCTCCTTGCTACGAAAATGGCTTGGAGAGAGCCAGCAAAAATGGGTGCATGTTTTCGAGAATGCTCAGGAAGCTCTGTCTCCAATCAACTCCGAAGAGCTTTCCAGCGACCCGTCCAAGGAGTTGGCGGCAAAGGTTTTCGTGCTTGGCCTTCTTACCCAGACAAACAGTCGTGATCTTTCCGGAGCATGTGGAAACGTGTTGGGGGCTCTTTTGCAGAAATTAAAGTCTGAATCTTCAGAGTGGTCAGTATCCACGATTTGGGTCGCGCCTGTTCGGTACATGATGCTTCATATTGTGGACAACCTGGAAGCCATGTCAACCCAGATCCTTCAGCCTATCTTCTCAGCCGATCCTAGTGGCTTTATGGCTTTTGTGGAGAGCTTGCCCCTCAAGAGTCTTCTGACAGGTGACATGACAGATGCCGAAGATAAAGAGTATATTCTTCTTTTCGCAGCTTTGCAAATAGGCAAGAAGACCAATCTTGTCCATGAAGATTGTAAGTTGAACAACACCAAAACGCCTGAAAGTGCAGTTGCTGACCTTGGTAGATGATGGCTCTAAACCCAGCGAATCTAAGAAGGGTACTCCGCAGAAACTCGTGCTTAAGAGCGAGGTACTGGGCAATTTCCTGCTCCACCGTGAACCGAACATTCGCATTGCAGCCTTGTCGCTCTTAGTGACTGCGTTCTCGACTATCAAGCCATTCACATCAGCTGCCACTGATTCAATTCTTCGTGGTCTTCCGTCAATGCATGCCGACTCTGATTCCTACAGCAGGGGTGAAATCATGAGTCTTACCCGCAAGCTCATAGTTCGTCTCAAGAGTGGCATTCTCAAGCAACAATATTCTACAGAAGCGGCATCACAGGCGACTTCTGGCTTGCCCTCTGGCTTGGTTAAGAGCGATGATGTCACGATGGCTTTCTTGAGGAAATACATCGATTTAATCGCGGGCGATCTCGTTGTCACTGCATCGTACCCACGACATATCAGTGCCTTGAAAGCTCTCAAGCTTTTGCTGGAGTCTAATCTCGACCCACGTACGAACATCCCGCCAGCAAAGTCTGAAGTTGAAACACGCTGGAAGTCTCATATGAATGTCTTCGAGCCTCGTCTGCTCCGGCTGTTGGTCGATCTACTTCTTGACCCATTCGAGGAAGTAAGACAGACTTCTCTGTTGATCATCAACTTTTTCCCTCAAGATATTTTGATAGGCGGTTTCGAAGCCGCGGCCGATCATTCTCCAGCTGTGTGCATGCGCTTGACAGATGCTCTGACTCGAGCTGAGCTCACTGCAAGCAACACTAGTCGAGCTGACCATGCGGATACGGTGGCCCGCCTCTATCACATTCTGTTTTGTGCAGCTCTATCAACCAGTTCTTCTGCAGCAGGCTCAGACTGGTGGTCTACAAAGACGTCAGTCGTCAACTCAATTTTGACCAAGTTGGAGGAACGATTGTCGTCTTCGAAGGGCCTGTTCAACTCGACTTTGCGTGAAGCTCCTCTTCATGGGTACATGTCTGGACTACGGTAAGTCGATGCTCAATACAGGGATATGGTCTATGACTAATTATAAATATTTCAGATATATTGTGTTGATGCCCGATTTCCATGCCCTTCTCCTGAATGGTCCGGATGTTGGAGCCTGGCGGTCAATCCATGATCGCATCGTATCGATCTGTGACAGGGTCTGGGAAGAGGTGAAGCCAGTTCTGTGCATCGACTCTCCTGAGGGCCATACCGACGACCCAATCGAAGATCTTGCAGTGGGTCCCAAAGACATCCTCTCTTATTCATGGAGAGCTCTTCGAGAGTCCAGGTATGTGTCGGGTTCTCACTGGGAAGAAGATTATCGCTAATAGAGATAGCTTACTACTTCATGCGACCATGTTCAATACGACCTATGGGCCATATGGTCCGGATGGGCTTAAACTTGCAGACTTTGAAAAGGTTGGCCGTGCTAGTTTCACACAACTCGCTGAGTTACGACACCGTGGAGCTTTCTCAACCGTCTCCCAGACCTTTGCTACCTGTTGTGAACGATGCAGTAGTTCAAAGGATGCATCCATCCAAGAACTTCCAAAGGGCTGGTACAAGGAGGCCAGAGCTACAATCTTCGAGTCTGCCTCAAAGCTGACTCGACGGTCGGCTGGTCTGCCTGCACTGGTCACGGGTATACTCTGCTCTTTGCACAGAACGCCCTTCTTCAAAGAGGCCATTGATGACCTTCACGAAATTTCTCGTCTGCCCGTCGAATACAATAAGGAACAGCAGTACTTGGAGCTTCCTCAAGTCCACGCCATGAACTGCTTGAAAGATATCTTCACCAACACGAAGCTCGGCCCATTTACTGAGCCCTTCATTATGCCCGCACTTACGCTGTCTGCCGAACGGCTCGGGTCGCCTATGTAAGTGATTGATCCATCGTCTAATGGTTCGTACTAACATCCTCTCTTCAGTTGGGCACTTCGCAATTCTGGTCTGATGCTTTTCCGCGCTCTGTTGACCAGAATGTGTCGCATGGTTCCTGGAGCTGTAGCTGGATTCGGCGGCGTGTCGGGATCTGAACCAGGATCCAAGATTTCATTCCCGAAGTACCCCGGTCTACTTGAGCTGCTTTCCAAGCTCCTGGCACCAACCGAAGGCACAACTGCTCAAGAGGGAACTGATATCGTCACCGAACGAATCTTCCCCGCCTTGGAGTTGATTGGAGAGAAGGTGCCTACCATTGGAGATGACTATGACACCAAGCTATGCAGTCTTGTGCTCGCGCACTTCCAGAGCCCAGTATGGGGCATTCGAGAGCATGCCGCTCGTGTTTATGCATCTTTGCTGACCCGGACGAACATTCTCAAGGATGTTGAGTATTTGGTCAATCTTGTCCAGGAGAATGTATCCGAGAACTATATCCATAGCATTGCTCTCTGTGTTCGATACTCTCTCCGCCGTTTCGCAGCGTCGACCGACGCATTCTGGACAAGTAAGACTCATCAATCCAAGTAGATATGACCGCGGTTCCACTGACCTTCATAGGCCACCTTGACGATCTACTCGCGACTCTGCGAGATGTCTTGGCAAAGTTGTTCGCCGCTGCCAAATCTCCTTCCGTTGCAGCTTGCCTTATTGAGACGTTGAATGATACCCTTGAGAGGAGCATTGCGGCCCAAGCTGAAGGTACGTTGCACTTGGGGTGACTTGATTCATCAAGCTAATATTCTCCCAGATCGAATCGGTTCATTCGTGAACGAAATTTACAATGAACATGACCTTCACGGAGTTCTCGGCCACGCTTTCGATGCTTCCCAAGCCGGATGGAACCTTGCCAGCCGCACTCGCGCATCTGCTCTTCTTCGACGAGCTCTTGCGTGGTGTACGTTGTTGAAAATGCTCATTTCACAGGAGTGGACTGGAATTCCTGCATTCTACCACAGCATCTCACAGTTTGACGCTGATGCCGGCAGTTGGATTCTGGAACAATTACCCGAAAATTTCGCTGAATTCATCAATTACAGGAAGCCGTTGGTGAACTTGTACTCTTCAATCATCCAGGGTGCCCACCCAGTGGACTCTAAGACACTGGCTGCTTCTAATTTGGCCACTGTGCTGGAGGAGATGCTGGACTCGTCACCAGACGTTATCTCCGAGTTCAACCTTCCGTATGATGAGTTGGCGAAGAGCTTCAAGCCCGAGTCGGACATCAAGCAATGGAATCGACATGCTACCGATGCAGAACTTCGACTTCTCGGATGCCTTCTTGCTCTTCGAGCTTCTTCGATTCAAGATCGGTCAGTGCCTTCAGTCAAGAACGATATCCAACGTTGGGTTATCAAGCTGCGGTCTGCTCTCAGGGAGGAAACGGTGAGTTGTCCCATGCAAATATTGCAAGCCAATTACTAACATATAATGCTAGGAATTTACTACCCGCTACGCAGCTGTAGCATCTGTTCAAAGCTTTTCCAAGGCTCTACGCCCTCAAGGTGGTTCAGCGCGCGCAGATGCCGTTCTGCTCGACGTCTATTTGGTTCTGTATGACATGCTCAACGATGACGACGAGGAACTTCGGGACATTGCCGCAACCTCTGCTTCATGGGTGCTCTCCTATTCTTCAGTCTCGCCCACCTCAGCGCTTGCCCTTGGGCCCCTGAATGGAAGCAAGCTACTTGCTACTCTCATCACCGATCATTATTCTGACTCTGTTTACTTTGCTCGTCGTGTCATTCGGTACCTTACCGGGCAGGAGTCTCGCATCAGCGGATCTGACAATCAATCAAGCCTTGTGCCAGTCTCTGTTCTCATGGCACAGCACTGCCAGGAGAGCACCGTCTTATTTGTTGAGGAGAAGCAGAATCTCTTCATTGACGAAGTGCATGAAGTTGATGTCTGGTCTCGCGTGCTCTTGCAATTGAAGCGCAATGCCTATCCAGACACTTTGATAAGGCAAATCTCGAGCTGGGTGTCTGAGGGTTTGGACCACTTGCTCGTGCTCGTGAACCAGGATTCAGGCTCAGATGGGCTGCTGGGCTGGACTTCCAAGCCAGAGTCCTTCACATTGGGTGTTCGTGTCATCAGCATTGCTGCTGCACTTACATCAGAGAGCTTCAATGTTCCAGAGGCTTTGGATGTCGAGCAGGTTGCTTTGCGCAGGCAAATACAGGATCTGTTGGATGCTGGCCAGAAGGCATCTCTCCACGATGACTGGCTATCGCGAATGCGGGTTGTATTAAAGAGTGGCGGTGCAACGGGGCAACAAAAGTAGAGCATATTAGTATAGACAATACCAATTTTCCTTTTTGAAGGCTGTACTTGCTCATCTGGTCGCGTCCCCTTCACGTACCTCTTCGCGCGAATCAAACTCCCTCCCTCCTGCCTGTTTGGTTTGCTTCCTTATTTCGCATTTTCCCATCGAGTGTTTCGATAAAGGATCTCAATTGCTTCCTGGGGATTCCTGTTCATCTTTTGACCTCTCTTGATTTGTCTTCCCTTCGTTTAATTTACCAACCTTCTATCGATCACTCCGAATCGAGGCGGAGTGGGAGTCTCCCCCACCAGCTTCTATTTCAAAATATCGGAGATTTCCATCAATTGCTGCAGGCCGGTCTCGGCCACAACCTACAGAACCTTACGATCTCGCATCTTAATCCTTCGAGCCTATCATCAAGATACCTGACTACGTCGCTACGAATCGCCTACCAGTGATCGGTGGCTGGCAGGGCCTCCTCGACATGCAGGGGAGCCAGCTCATTGCCCTTCTCATTGGCATCCTGCTACTCATTGTTACAATTGGATGGTTGGTCTTCTGCTGGTACCGCCGACATGTCAGTATGGGAGTCATGGCTAGCCAAGCCCGAGCGAGGGTCATGGGCAACCGACGGCATGCCAACTATGATTTGGAGAGAGGTGACCATCAAGGTGACTACATTCCTCGTCCCAAATACAGATCAGATGCCTGGCAACGACCGAGTACGAGACCCATCCCCCGGGACCCCATGGAGCCAGACTACGTGATCCTTCGCCGTACCAACGAGGAAGATGCCCATTTCCGGACTCGTGGGTTCAGAAGAGAGTATCTGTCCCCAGATCGGCGACATCCAGGTTCCCGCGCCGAAAGCGAGCAGCGGCAAGCGCATCGGCGGGATCAAAGACATCAACAGCAACAGCAACCACAGCAGCAGCAGCAGCAGCAGCAGCAAAACCAGGGAAAGAAACAGAAGCACAAGAAGGGCAACCAAAATAACCAGAACAACAACAACCAGAATGGCCAGAAAAACAAGGGGAAGGGGAGCAAGCAAGGAAACAAGAACAACCAAGGGAACCAAGCGAATAACCCGTCCAAAGGGAAAAAGAACAAAAAGGGGAACAACAATGACAACAATGGAGAGGCCCATCAGCAGCCCCAAGAGGATCAGCAGGACAACAACAGCTGGGGGAACGACAACCCGAGGCAAGATCAGCAGGAGGGCAACTGTGGTCAGCAAGACAGCCAAAACAACCAAGATGGCAATAGTTTCTCCTGGGATGACTACGACGCCCAACACAACCATCAAAGCAATGGCAGCCAGCACAACGGAAGCCATCGCGGGGACGACGAATGGACAAACCCCAAGGAAAGTGCAAATTGCAGCTCCAACAAGGGTAGCCAAGGTGGTAGCAATGGGACAGGCCATAAAAGTGGTCGAGGAAGTCACCGCGAAGGTGGCTCACAGGACAACAACCAGAACACGACAGCCTTCGACGCCGGTTGGTGAAGCAGATGTTTTGAACCGTTGGGTCTGCCCAGCAAGATTCGAACAGAGTAATTGTGCGTGAATTTGGCGGCCACTATTTTATATTCTACCAAATTCAGACAAGCCGATTTGATTCAGATGGGTGCCGGATTGATTCTTGAGCAATCGATATCACACAGAGATACACCCATATGCTATCATATTATCATAGTTTGAGGAGACACAATGACCATTTCATCAATTTGAAACCTATATACATCGATAAAATGAACGAATCCAACATGTTTCAAACTGTAGGGAAAAAGTTGGTTCATTGAAAGTGAATGGGCGCTCTGATTGAGCAGAGGGCATTCAATAAATTCGTTGCGGGAAGAAACTGTCAAATCTACATACTTAGAGGTAAGCAAAGCTGCCCGGTGATGAGACACTGCACCTGTCAAAGGTGCCAGAGAATTCACAGTTATAGACATCTGAGAAGTAACGAGTTGGTGATTGAGATAATGAACATCTTTTTAGGTAGCATTACCATTAGACTATTGGAAGAGGAGTAATTCCTCAGGCATCAACTGTCGATCTAAGCTGCGCCACTTCGTCAGTGGTCTTTTCCGCCCGCCGCAGTCGGTGACGTTGGTTCTCCCCGCAGATCCCCCAGGCACAGCTTTGCTAACTTGAGTTCCAACTTCCAAGACTTCCCAAGGCTCCGTTGCACCGGTGCCTGACCTCTTTGGTATCCTCAGAAACATGTGGAACGACGAGGATAACAACCCCTATGGGGCATTCGACCAACACGAGTCCCGCCTATCCGACTCACTGCACTCAGCCGCCATATCCCCCCGTAAGCTATCTCTCATCCTAGGCAAATGGCTCTACCATGGTGCTGACCCAAGACAGCTTCCTTCGAGCATGATTCCACACCCCCATCCAGCCGTGACTCCAACCTGGACCCGCCAGACTATATCTCCCATCCAGAGGATCTGAGTGATCCCGAGGAAGCCGATTATGGAGCCGCAAGCCAACAGTACCCGCGGAAGAGTGTATACGATAGTCGCATCGAGCAGATCCTCTATGAGAACCCGGAAATGCCGATTCTCATTACAGATGCCGGCAAGAATCATGAAGGTGGTGGAAGCTTTATCGTCTATACTATTCGGACTGCGGTATGTTGACCTGCGGAGTAAGCTTCGGACGAGGCTAATATCTGGGGGAGCTGTAGGATCTGGAGGTTCGTCGCCGGTATTCGGAGTTTGCCTCGTTGCGCCAAACACTTGTGAACTTGCATCCGACACTCGTTGTCCCTCCGATTCCTGAGAAGCATAGCATGGCCGACTATGCCGCGAAACCCACTAAGGCGAAGGAAGACACAGCGATCATTGAACTGCGGAAGCGCATGCTCGCAGTATTCCTAAACCGGTGTCGTCGCATGAAAGAGATTCGGGAAGATGGATTGTGGTGGCGTTTCTTGGATCCAAACGTTAGCTGGGTAAGTGGTCAACCTTTGGTGATTAAGTGGATGACGGCTGACATTGAGCTTGTAGAACGAGGTGTTGCACTCCCACCCGGCCTCTTCCGTCCCTAAAAACAACCTCAAGGCTCCTCCTCTCGACCCCGCAAACCCAACGCAAGCTCATGCCTGGCTCCCCGTTCCCTCCTCGTCCGCAAAGCTAAAGCACGGTGGTAGCGGGTCTTCCGGATCTGGAGGACCCCCTTCATCGCCCGGTGATACAAACGAGGGACCTACGGTGCCCAATCCAGGCCCGGATGTTCTCGGCCGTTTCCCACCCGAGTCGCGCAAGTTGAGCGAACAGGAGCTAGACCCGTACTTTATCAACTTCGAAGCCTCGACCCGAGAATTAGAGTTGCTGTTGCAGGGCAATATTGAGCGGGTGAACCGGCGGACACTTTCACACCTCTCGACTCTTTCTGCTGATTTGATGGAGCTGGGTGCGCGCTACAATGGATTCTCTCTATCTGAACAATCCCCGACAGTGGCTGCTGCGATCGAGCGCATCGGCCAGGCAGCGGATACATCCTATATTGAGACCGAGGAGCTATCCACCGCATTGAGTGCTAGCTTTGCCGAGCCGATGCGGGAGAGTGCCCAGTTCGCAAGTGTGGTGCGCAATGTACTACGATACCGGGTGCTCAAGCGCGTCCAAGAAGATATGACTCGAGATGAATTGGCTAAGAAGAAGACGCTTCTCGACTCCCTCGAGCGCAGCGAGCTCGAAGCTAAACGAATCGAACAGTATCTCAACCGCACCTCCCCTCAGTCCAATGGCCCTCGATCGCGGCGATCTCTATCTGCTTCTTCCGCCGTCAGCAGTGAAGGTGGCAGCATGGCCGACGCCTCCACTGACTCCGAATTCCCACCCACGCATGGCGAATCGATTGGCAGCTCCTCCCCACCCCAAAGCCCCGCATACAAGACACCCGAGCCCTCACAATCGTCCCCGGTACACCGCAAGACATCCAGTGGTAACTTTGTGACGAACAAGATCTTCGGTCGCATCAGCCACGCCATCCATGGCTTTGCCGATGTTGATCCCGAGCGCACTCGCCGGGATCAGATCGGCAAGACCAAAGAAAGTCTCATCCAGGTAGGTATATCATGTATCTGTAAACGTCAAGAGTATGGTACGCTAACGATTCTCATGCAGCTTGAGCAAGCACTCGAGGTATCACAGAAGGATACCAAGGACGCTAGTGCAGGTGTGCTGCAAGATCTGCAACGCTTTCAGAAGGACAAGGAAGCCGACCTCCGACGCTACATGGTATGCAATATGCACAGCGGCTGCGGTTCCCACGTTCTCCACTGGAAATCATCCTACTAACCACGGTTTTTCTATTATTTAGGTCGCATATGCGCGCTGTCACCTGGACTGGGCACGGAAGAATCTCGAGACGTGGACCGAAGCCAAGGACGAGGTGGACAAGATCGTTGCGCGGTAGATTGCCTGCTTGGCTGGTTCTTGTAACTTTCTACAAGCTTTGGGCTCGGCGTCGATGGTGTTGGACTTGCAGGGGGCATTCTCTTTTTCTTTTTCCCCCCCCCTTTTCTTGTATTCGGTTCCTTTCTGGCGTAATTACCAATATAGCTGGAATAATCACGCCCTTGATGGCCTCAGCAGGTTACATTTGAACACAATGTTTCCCTTGTAACCTGGATCTTGTTACAAACAGTAGACAGGATTTGTGGCTTGAGCCTGGACCCTCCTACCCCCAAGTTTCTTGGGTCTCGTCTCTTGGCTTTTCTTGGCTCCACCCGAACACCAACAGTGGGGAACTTGACCCCATTGAAGCTCGTGGTGGTTCGGTGTGACCTTGATAACCCTGCTTCAACGACCTTCCATCTCGAGATTTGGACGTTAGTCTTGGATTTGGAGTGAACTGGAGAAAGAAAAGGTTAGGAAGACCTTCTCAAGGTATACCCACACTGAACATCTCAGAACCTATCCGCAAGATCTAATCCCCGGTCTAACCAAAGGAGTAAGTAGGACGAGCCCTGCGATGGGAATGGGAAAGGGCACATTCCACAGACGCCGAACATGAAGCACGAGTGGGATGTCAGTGGGGACCGTGGCGAACGGGACGATCTCGTTGGTCCGTAGGAGTCTTCAGGACGGTGATGATCGACAGGAACCGCAGCCGATCGGGGCCAACCTTCGACAAGGCAAAGGACTGCTGGAACTCGCCCTTGCTTGGTGTCAACTGTGCCTGTGGCCTGCGATAACAGGCACAAAATTCGAAAAGATTCAAGGTTTCGTTCAGTCTATACAGATCCAAAGGATGTGTTGACGAACAGAACAAATGAATCGGAGCCCCGCGCATCTCAATAACACGCCACGGTAGTCTTCCGCATTCATCGCCGGGCAAGAGGGTCCCAATTCAACGCTCCCCGACGAAGCATCCCACGCAATTGAGCTTCAAGTTGATCTACCGAACATTCCGTGCCTTGCAGCTGCTATCCCCTTTCGACTCCCCTCTTAGTGGATCCCACCTCGAGGGGGAGAGAGCCAGTGGACCGCGTAGCATCCCACAAGGCATACCCCTCGAACAGCATCGTTACCCCGTTGAATCCACATCCCCACGGTTGTACCTGTTAACCACTGGCAGGTGGAAACGCCGTGGCGTCCAGACCGAAAACGATGAGTGCCTGGATTGAGCAGCGCCAGGATGATCGTCCGGAGCGGCCACTTATCACGGTCGGCGATGCCGCCCTCGCCCACCGTGGTTGATTTTCGCCAGGAGTGGTTTCTGCGGTTCTTTTGGTATCCATCAATTCCTCGACGCTGGGTGAAGATGTTTATTCTATTGGGACTGTTATGTCTCTTCACCGTTAGCCTTAGCCGCAGCTTGAACCTTCGGGACGAGGCGGGTTTGCAGAGTGATAACGCCGTTGTCCATTTCCCTCCTCCACGTCAGACGGGGCAGCATACACATGATCCGAATATCATCCGTGTTGGCGATACGTATTATCTGTATCATGTTGGCGAGCATATCTTCATTCACACCGCGCCGACCCTGGCTGGTCCCTGGAGGCATGTCGGTAGTGTGTTAGATGCCAACAGTGTTATCCCCAAGGGCGATCGTGCCGTCCCATGGGCTCCCACAGTCGTCGCCGTCGACGGTACTTACTACTGCTACTACAGTGTGAGCAAGGCAGGATGTCGGGACAGCGCCGTGGGTGTAGCCACGTCCCAATCCCCAGGTCCGGGCAACTGGCATGATCACGGTGTGGTTGTCCAGACAGGAACAGGCAATGCATCTAACGTGGCACCATATACCATCTCCAACGCCATTGACCCGGCTACACTCGTTCTACCCGACGGATCAGCCTACTTGACATTCGGAAGCTACTGGACCGGTATCTATCAAATCCCCCTCGGCAAAGACCTCATCTCCCCGGTCAGCACAACCCAACCAGATGCGCGACACCTCGCCTACGAACCGAATGCCATCAGCGCACCGAACCGAAACGCGAACTCCCTCTGCGGCGACCCAACCGGACCGCACGCTATCGAAGGCGCCTTTACCTCATACCACGACAGATACTACTATCTTTGGTTTAGCCACGGCCGATGCTGCGATCTGGATAGAGGCAAATTACCCGCCGCTGGATCAGAATACAGTATCCGCGTAGGACGATCCAAAGATCCCCGCGGTCCATATATCGACCAGTCAGGAAAGAACCTGGTCGACGGCGGCGGCACCGTTATCTACGGATCCAACGCCGAAACCTATGCCCCTGGCGGGCAAGGTGTGATTCGAGTCGGCGATACCGATATCCTGTACTATCACTACCGTGAGTCCGCATCAACACACCACATCCTCATCTTCATCCTCGATTACAAAAACTGATGAAATATGAATCATACAGAAAACAAAACTGTGGGCCTCGCATTTTCTGTAAGTCCTCATCTCTCCCGGCACGCTTGTGGACCGAGCAGGATAGTCCAGGCCTACCCGCCGATCCTCCTTCATTCCCCCTTTCGGCAACGTCATGAATCTCGAAATATCAGCTAACACTGTGGAACAGGATGCATTACTTGGTTTCAATCCACTGAAATATGTCAATGGATGGCCCGTTGCACAGCCATGATGCGATGGAGGATTGGCTTACCCACGTATGACGCGAGCATATAGACAAAGTATCCTCTCTTCATCGCTATATCGATACATCATTCTACCGACTAGAATGTTAATCCACCGCTCATTTCGATCGCCGGTATACATATACATGCCCGGATTCTTCTTCGACTACGGTCTACCTCTCCGACTCTGTGATATCTGCCCCACCACACCATATCCATGACTCTTGGGATCCTGAATTGCGACCAATGATCTATGGCACTCGGACCACCCACAGCATTTTATGTGGATAGTCAATGCTAGAGACAAGTTTCACCTTTTTGGTGTCCAGGTCATTCAGGAAGGGTGTTTTGCTGGCTTCTATCGGGTCAGTCACTTTGTTCAAGTGACGTTATCTGGACTGTTTTGCTTCGATGTTGTACATATCATTTTTCCATCTATACATAGACATGGAGGCGTTGAAATACATACAGATTATGTACTGTGTTTCTTGGCAAGCTTTGTCTATTATTCTTTTGTCTCGTCCTCGATATTGAGCTCGTGTCCATCGCTGCCGTGCACAGGCAAGTACTTTCCCATTGTATGGTGATAAATGTTCATTCAATGTTCTATTTTCACTGCATTGTTGCTAGCATGCGAGGCTTTCAATAATTTAGAGTAAAGCACAATCATCGTGGTCATAATAGAATGACAATGAACAACTCCATATTTTGCAGGATTGAAACTTAGTGACCCATCTGATCTTATGTATTCAGCTATTACTAATAACCATGAAACTAATTAAATAGAACAGGTAAAGGGCTAAATTCTACTAACCTGCAGGTTCAATAATGCCGGCCTATTGGCATACATCACGTGAGACGGACCAGCCCTAACGTCTATCCAGTATCCTGTTATCCTGTATAGAGTTCTGTTAAAGGCGGTAGGTTTCGGCATGTTTCCATGAAAATGTTTGCTTTATATATTACAAGGCTAGCTAGCGTATACTGTAGGCAACAGGTTTGAAAATAACAATATCGAAGCAAAAAATCTGAATGTAGCCTCAGCCCAAGGCAGCAACGTGGAAGGCACGAGCTGATAGTTTGATATAAAATAAACCGGAATCATCCTCCCGTCGGAGCCTCCTTCTTTCCAATCCTCGATATTCTTCTTGTCAAAGAAATACAGTACCCACCACATCTATCTTTTCATCAACCTCAATTCATCCAACGCGCCTTTAAAGGCACCACGCTTCCCTCGACATGTCTTCGCTCACCCTTACACCCGAGCACCTCAAATCTGTTGACGCACCTGACATTGACTTTCTTGACTCGGAATTCTTCAAGAAGGGCTTGAATTAAACGCTATTGCGAGAGGATATGGGGTTTCGACACATAGAAGGCACTATCTTTAAGCTTTGGGTAGTCAAGAGAGAAGAATCAGAATTGTAATAGTTACTAAGTTATTAGGCTAGAGACCTATGACTAGGCAAGGATATCGGACGGTAGAGATCAGATTGGACAGTTAATACATAGAGACTGATTCTTGAAGAGATTAAGAATCCTGAATGCTTGTGGGATCTTAAATACACTAGGGCTCGGGTGGATACCGATGTGCAGGTGACTCGAAGGAGATTCGTCCATGAACCGGCCTCGAAAGTCCGGGGTATCGTATACTTCGAATCCCGTGACATCCTTTGCTTCGTATGCTACGCCGTTCGTTGATCTCTGTGAGTATCTGAGCATCCTCACCAAATTTAGAATGAACGTCTTCGATTATTTCATTCACAAAAGCACAAAACAGAGATGGGTGCATGTAATTCTGAGCAGTAATTTGTATGCCGGGAGGAATCGCAAGGTAAATCAATTAATATTCGGTAGTGTGCAGAAGGAAGGACCTTTAGCAGTTACTCTCACAGAGCATTTACCGGCGATAATTGATTTCCAACAGGCTGTTAGCCACATATATTCTGAGGCATACGCTCATTAAGAAGCTACGTGCGCTTTGAACCATGGACTATGTTCGTCGATTTAACAGTTGATTTGTTATCATGTTGTATTTTGCTGGCATAAGATCACAAAACCTTGGTAACTCTGTATATAAATCATAAAGCACTTAGCCCGATGATCGAGGTGGGGTGAGGGTCCGATTCGTCATTCCCTGTGTCGATCATCATTTCTCTGGCGCAGCTTGGCCCTCTCGTACCTAGTTCCCCTCGATAAATCGCAAACCTTGGAATAAAGAAATGCAAATGGAAGTCCCGAGGCTTAAAATTTGTTTCTTTTCTATACTCCGTACAAAGTACTGCTTTAGAATGATCCAAAGATTCAAATCTTTGGAGTCATGTGCGAAATCCTCATTATTTAAATGTTTTACTACTATATTTTATTTTGAAATCAGACTGCTGACTTCTAAGGCCCCTCATTCTATGTCGTTATGGCTTCAAACAAATGCGTATTATGGTAACATATAATTAAACCTTGATTACTTAAGGCAAGCCGTAGGTATAAGCTTTTTTGGTGCTAGTAAGGAGCTTTTCGAGGTCTTTAATAGTGTCGGCCAAGCTACTTCTATAGCTAGGTGCGAGGAGTTCGGTAAGGAGGTCGGCAAAATCCTATAACTGTTAGTACGCTAAACAAAGCCTCTAGCTTCTGATTCTGAAATATTTGTACTTACGTTGTTAACACGCTCTAAGGTACGGAGGTGCGCAGCTATCTAGTATCCTTTCCTAACAAGCTCTACATCGACTTGCTTTTCTTTGACCGTATTCAGCATATCAGTGGCAGCGGAAGCGTACTAGACATTTTGGGTTAACATGACTTCGGTATTATTAGAGAACAGAACAACTTACGTTGGTGAATGAGTTACAAGCGGCCTGTTGTTGGTCGGCAGCTAAGGCTTCTCCCTTCCGGACGAGATCATTCTTTGCTACTCTTTCAGCATCGGAAAGCAAGTAAAAGCGATCGATAGTATCCTTAGATTTATGGTTAGTATATGACGTAAATTATTGTAATATATGTGGGTAAACGAACAGATGCCTTCGATAGGGCGTTTGTGAGTTCAATGGAGTTTGCGGTTGTTTGCACGTCCTTGGCTAAGACGGTGAAGCTATCAATCCTGCTAACTGCATCCACAGCGAGGGCGGGAGAAGCAACAGCAAGGAGGCTAACAATGGTGCTGAGTTTGAACTGCATTTTAAACGATTTTGTAGTAATGGTGGTTGAATAGGGTCAGGAACAGGACTTCGGCTCCTTCTTATAGATGGTTGCCAGGGATCGACACAATTCACCTCTATTGAGGAAGTACATGGCTATGAGTCTACCAGGCCTAATGAATTTCATACATATGAAGTAAAGATGATCGCTTGTAGGTACGAAAAGACTCTATACCAGGGCTTAGTGGATCTTGAGCTGAGCCCAGGCCCTACTCCATAAGTGGATAGATCTTGATCGGGAACTCAACAAAGTTCATGGGGTGGGAAGAGGTCCTAAAATTGAGGACTTGAATACAACAATGAATTAGATAATCGATCGAACTCATTTAATTTCCAATTAGGAGGATGATTATGTATGAAAAGAGCCCGCAAAGGAAGAGTGAAGAACCGGATAAAGCATTTGAACATGTTTATACACGGAGGTTTTAGTGGCTCGGAGGTATGTTGCTGAAAAAGCATGATTGGCTAGGCATTTTAATAGTTTAATGCACAGCCAGCCCCTGTAAAACGAAATGCAAGGTTAAAAAGGGGTATCTGTGCCCTCTATGATATTACGACCCACCCACCGCTCCCGCTTATGGGTGCGCCCTAAATCCCCGTCATCCCGAAATCCCCGTCACATTTTTACCATTCGTCTAAAAAAAACCATCAAATTAGATAACTAGCCTAAATAAAAAAGATCTCCTCGCTCCTGGGCCAATCTAGCCGATTCGATAGACCTATCAATATCCTCCTGGGGTCTCTGTGGCATATCTAAACCAGTAGCTTTCTTATACTGCTTCGCAAGCTTCCTCTGCTCCGCCGCAGCCTCTTTCTCCTTCCTAGTCTTAATTGACCGATTCGCATCGCGAACGCTTAGTATACCAGTATGGCTAAGCGGTTTAACCTGGCGCTTGGTAATTGAGCGCCTTAGGGGCTCCTGAGCGGCCCTAATTCGCGAAACAGTCGCTTCCGCCATTTTAAGCCGCTCGTAGATGATCCTGTGGTGATTGTGAAGCATCGCAATATCTCGCTGAACCTTCGGCTCAAAGGTAGCTATCTTCTTTGATATCTTCTTCTGATTTCTCTCTAGCGCTTCAATTGACTTAGGAGGGGTATTCTCCACGCTTGATGATAATAAATCGGTAGGTTCTGGTGATGGAGTTTGGGCGTAGAGAGGAGTGAACTCTAGCGTACTAGCTAGTTTATCCGCGATCCTTTGACCGTTGACTGGCCAAATTCCACGATCTTTGAAGGATTACCGAATAATTCGTAGGTTAAAAGCCTTCGCTCGCACAGCCCAATTACCCGTAGAAAATCCGGTTTACTATACGGCTGACCACGATAGAAAGATAGCTTATTATTCATAAGCCGAAATTGCTGCTTATAGCTCAAAAATGGCTTACTATTAAGTGGCTGACAGAGATATGTTGAATGAGGTATAAAGCCGAAAGGTATAATACCAGCTAACTTATATATTTCTAGGAATTCGAAGGCAAGATGTGCTCCGTGGCTATCAAAGATAAGGAAACGCTTTTCACTACTCTTAAGACGGTCGGGTATAGCAGTCGCCGAAATAAAATGATATAGCTATTCAGAAGCAATTTCATCAGAAATCCAGCCGTTCGGTGAGGTAGCAGTAAGGGTTTTTAGAGGTAAACCCTCGCTATCGTTAAACTAGCTTTCCATAAAGACGCCGCTACTTTTAAAGATAAAGAGCGGATCCATATACCAGCTATCAGCAGCGATATATATAAGCGCGGTAATAGTTTCGCCTCGCTCAGCCTCAGCAAGGTCAGGGCAGTGTAATCTACTATTAATAACCTTCCGAGACTAGCCCTGGCCAGGTTGGAAACTATACTCATCAAAATTATAGACTAGCCGTGCAGGGACATCTTTTAGCAGGGTTGCAAGCTGATCATACCAGAAAGATAGAGCCCCTGTATCTTCAGCTTGAATACGCTTCGATTCCTTTAGATTCTGCTTCACTGGAGCGAGAGATAGGTGCTTTGGAAGGCGTAATATAAAGTAGCATGCCGAATTCTTGCCAACCTGCTGCCGTTCCGCATTCGCGCGCGCGAGGGCCTGATTTGCCCACGCTTCTATCAGCTTTGCAGTGGGCGGTAGGTTCCAATCGCACATTTTGACTATCCAGGCGATCAAGGCCTTCTCCTGATATAATGTAAGCGCATTCTTGCGCGATTCAGTGATAGAAAAGGGCGATTGGGCCTTTTTAACGCGATCGGCAAGGGTAGTACGAGACACGCCGAATTCACGCGCAATTTTGGCGATATTCTTTTTTTTTTTTTGGTGTAGAACAGCTTTGCAGGCCTCCTGCAAGCGATCCTCGTCAAAATTAGAGTGTTTAGGCATATTGGGTGGTTGGCAAAGGTAGCTGAAATCGAATGGTAAAAATGTGACGGGGATTTCGGGATGACGGGGATTTAGCCATAAGCGGGAGCGGTGGGTGGGTCGTAATATCATGGAGGGCACAGATACTGTTGTACAACTAGAGAGCCTCGCTCTAAGCACATTGTGTATGTCAAGAGACTATCTCGAGCATATTATTTAACTGCCAGTCACATCTAAATCAATTATAATACGTGCTCATTCACAATTGCTAGATGTTAGAGCTATGTCTCATCTATCGATGAATGAAATAAGGGCAGCACGAGATCCGAATAATCTCCGTGCTAGAGATAATAGTTAATGTATTTTCAGAGAGTCAAAGGTTCGATCTAAGATTTTAATTGTAAGAAGTCGGTGTAGGAAAGACACTCCATTTATGACCAACCCGTCTATCTATTTCTTCTGGTCGGAAATAAGATCGCTGGTGTACAGAGGAGAAAGCACAGACTCCACAACACGAACCATAGTGGGTACGATCGACACAATAATACCAGAAGAAAATGAAGCGGGGCGGCGATCGATAGTTCGATAGCTGAACTTGGGGAAATTTTTGATCAAATGAAATCGGGCCAGACAGGCGCCAGTGCCTAAGGCTGCATTTGGGTTGGAGCCGATTCCCCTGCGTTTCTCAGCATCGTCAAGTGATCCATAGTAATTTTGACGGCCAAATCCCATAAGCCTCTGTTCTTTTGGGGGGAGGGGTTGATGACGTGGTAAAAATACACCATAAGGAAACCACGCTAGTATTGGAGCAGTGGCTTGGCAGGACAAAACTTTTGAGATAGACCTCCGTACAGTTACCGAAGCGAGAGGACTATAAGACTATTTCAATTATATTACTCTTAAGGCCCCTATTCCGTCCTTTAATAAATACTGTTTTGCTTCAGAAGGATAACTTCTAGTGTGATTTTGCTACGAGGGAGGTACACAACTAAGCTAGTAGTTAGCAAAAGTTCTTTCTAAACTGGGAGAATAGGCTTACAGTACCTCTCTCGTTGTCTGTCTGTTTTACGTAACACGCTGCTGTTTGCTCTAGGCTCTAGGGGTTAGACATCTTACAGTCACTATCTAAAGGACCTTATCGACAGCAAAAAAGACGTACCTGACCTATGTAGATAGTTTAGTCCCTCTTAAGGAATAGGCTCTGTGCACGAGGCAAACTAAACTGCCTTCGCTGACAGGATCTGCAACGATCATTAGCTTAATCTAGCTAGAAAATATCAGGAGGGCCGACGTCTACGTCTGATGAGATATTTATAGGTGCAAGGCTTGCTTGATCCCGGTTGTCTCTAACTGTTGCTATCCAGAAATCGCTGCCGTTGGTCCCACCTTGGACATCTACGGACAGTTATATGGTATAATTCCCTATCAGATGAAGCACGGTCGCTAATCATGCAATCTAGATCCGCGGCAAAATCACATTATACGGCTCGCTCGATGCTGGCGCCAAATTGTCGTTTGGAAAGGCCGAGGTGTTCTGGCCTCAAGACGACGAGGTCCAAGAGAAGTACACAAACCTACTTGGTCTGGAAAGCAAGACCAGTGCACCCGCGCCAGGTGAAATCGAACCCGTCTTCCATGCTGGTGTTGCCGTCGATGCGCAGATTGACGTGATCATCACTCCGCAAGCCAACATGGGGATCAAAATTGGTGGCGGCAAGCTCGTGGCCCGGCAAAACGTTGATGGATGCCCAACTCAGTGGCTATGTCAATGGTGACCTCTCTTTCCAAGCCCATGGGGACTACGACTCCTCCGACAACGCTTTCCATTACCGGTTTGGAGCATACCTGTTCTACAATATCGGTTACAAGGCAAAGGCAAAGATCCTGAGCGTGATTGACTGGGCGACCGGAGATCGCATGGCGTATAATCTGGACAAGATGCTCCAATTGTACGAAAAGAAGGGAACAATTCCAATGTCGCACTCCAACGCGGAGAAGAGAGATTCTTCGATCCATAGTGATCGAATCCCTCAAATTGATGCGGACTTGCTTGATAACACTACCCACTCTGTTCTGAACCCAGCTGCGGACATCTTTCGCCGAACTGACATTAGTAGGAGTGGAGGTGTGAACGAACAATCCTCAGGTTGCTTTGGTTAAAACCAGATACTGACAAGGCTTCCAGATCCTAGAACCCCAGAGTTTTCTAACAATGGCAAATGCCCACCCCGGAGCCACTGGTTCAGGGTACCAGAGATGCGATATAAGGCCGATTCCTGTACCCAAATCCCCATCATTTTCATATGGCACCTGGTGACTGACTTGCAACTTCTTCTCAGTCAATTGTGCATTCCTGAGTACATACCAAGTCGTCAATGAGATCAAGGATGCTGATGGTGTCTCTGAAAGACTTACTGAGGACGTTCCGGGTTTGTGTGATGACATTGTCAAGCTTAACCCGTTGCAAAGCCGATTCACATTTTCCCAGGGAGAAAATACACAAGGCCACGATACAAGTCCGTCTGTCTAGATGGAACATGTCGGCAGGCAACAAGGGATTTGAATGCGGCTGTGCGGCGAAGTATTCTCCAGCTACAGTGTGATGAATTCCCCTGGAAATCCAGTGAGCAGGGTAAGTGCTTGCTATTTTCTTTTTTTTTTTTTTCTTTTTTACATGTTACCAGCAATCTGCTAACCTTTCTTTTTAGGAATGATGGGAAGCCTCACGTCTAACTGGAAACAATTGAATTCTGCTCTGCGGGAAGACTCCGACGTACCAAACCTCTGGGTGCCATGGCAAGACAAGACAAGTAAGAATCTTCCATATATTCCATATCCCTTTGCATTTTACTTCTCTAACCTGGTGCTCTTTCGACATCACCAGAGTGGGTCACAGCCGGCGATTACGGGAAAAATGGCGACTACAAGCAAAAGCTTGTTTTGTACGAGAGCGCTATGCCACCCCCAGATGGCGCTGATCAGGTACGTACCTCTTTTGTCATCAATTAGGCACATGCTAATATTTTCTCTTGAAGGGAGACAATGACAAATTTTCCTGGGCCTACAAACGAGACTACGACGTATCCTGGCTTCAGCCACAATCATCACTCACAGCAGGAGACTGGTGGGGTGCAGGTTCGCCCAAATTTGACAAGCCCAACTACCAGGGACCTCTTGACATGGACTCCATTCTCTGTGCGATCAACCACTTCAATCAAGACAAAGCCTTCAAGCTGCCAGGGGCGCACCTCAAGCCTGATGGAACTCCATCAAATAAACCCCAGAAGGAGTACAACGCCTATTGTATGCGAACCGATGCGGGAGGTATGCAGCCGGCGTCCTGGAACATGCGCTTCAACATGGGGAAGTGTCTTGTTAAATTCCAGAACCCTGCGAGCAGCAGCCCGGGTTCATCGAAAAGAGACATGGGCAAATGGCAAGGATGGGAAGTCGAAAGTATGTATATTGGCACTAGAGGATAACATGCTTTTGAGAATCTGCTGACTCTTTTCTAGGCGTTGAATGGGTGGAGGATGTTGATGATGAAGAATGGTTATGATCCTAGCGGCCAGTGGGACGGGGAGGTTTTGGATACTATTCTCATTACAGTCATAGGTAAACGATCGTGAATTAAAACGATTTTCACTTCTTAAGGGATTACTAGTATGATCAAGCGCAATCGTATTTGCTAGGGTATCTATCAACTACTACTAGTGATCAAATTGAAGATCTGCATAGGTTAGACTCCTGATTTACTGATCAGGAATTTTAACGTTTATACGGAGCACTGTGACTTCATGTGACCCTTTGATTCATAACGCCCGGGCAATATCGTTTATTTATTTTTCTTTGAATTGCAGCGGGTACTTGAATAGTTGAGGCCAGTGTTTACACAATTTTCAGAGGAAGGCCATTTTATAGCCAGAACTAAGGAATCACCGGTCGGCGATCTGCACGGAAGAAAGAACGGAGACATCGAAGAGAACAAAAGCATTCATCTGCATTCTTATGAACCAAGCACGATGTCGAATAATCGCCATCAGAGATTTCCAAGAATTCCAAACATAATCCACAACTTGCACGCGCCCGCTTATAGGTCTGCGAGATCCTCTTTAGTCAATTGATACAATTCCTTCCCGATCTCCCCATTGACTCGATACTTCTCATCAAGTGTCGTATACTCCAGCAATTCATACGTCGTCATCCGTAAACCGATGATACTGCCGAAATCATCCCTTTCAGGGTCCATGCGACCCTCGCGAACAATTCGTCGAAGTCCGTCGAGATAAATCACTCGTGGACGCCCGCTTTCAAAAGCTTCTTCATCCGCGATGAAGATGTATGTGGTTGTAGCGCTGCTCTGCATCGTCATGCCCACCGACTCGATCACTGAATCCCGGTCGTCGCGCCACGCTTGAGGATCGCTTTGCTTCCGAGCCGTAAGATCTCTTTTGAAAAATGGACGCATCTCACCATATTCACATGGTTCGATGTACCGTACAAAATACCAGTGATCGTCCTTTGTAATACACCCAAATTCAATAGGGTAAGAGACCTCAGGTAAAATGTCATAGATGCGGCGCCAGTCAGACCCAAAATTGAATATATCCGCATCGTCGAGAACGGCCCACCAAGCCTCGTCGCCAAATATCTCCCCGTTTGTCCATTTCTCCATCATCTCGTCGTGTCTTTTCTTCTCGTCCTCGTCGTTGCTGTAGTGCGTGCGTAGAAGCATAGGACACAGTTCACCGGTGTAGATATTATCGGCGTGCCACCGGAGTTTCTCACAACGATAAGGTCGAAGGATCGTCTCAATTTCTTCCGTGCTGGGCTCCCGCGGGGGAATGAGTAAGGGATCCCCTTCACAGTTTGTCATCCACTCAGCGGGGATGAGCTTTAGGTCCAGAAATCCAGCCACAAGTCTTTTCCGCTGCTGGTCTGGAGTTTCAGCGGAAGAGTGGTCCCAGTTTGTCTGTAGGTACCGAGTTAATGTTTTCATGTCCCAAGTGCAAAGTAAAGGAATGACAAGGTGACAAGAGGATCTTACAATAAAGTACTGCTCAACAGCTAGGTCGCCCCATGGGGGGCCAGTCTTGTCACACTCGTCAGACATGATCAGGATGGGGGTAGGTGAGAAGGAATGATGCCAGGTGGAAGAGGAAATTCAGCGATGTTCCCTTAATCTAGGTCGCTGCAGCCTGCGATGATCTCAGCAGGTTTCACTTTCAACTTTCAGTAGTTGGGAATTCTTGGCACTTGGCACTTGCCCACATACAGAAATAATCAGGAGTGGGGCAGGAAGCACTACATCCATATTGTACGAGGATTACGGACTATCATACTCTCTCCGAGCATCGAGCTACACTACTGCGTTTCGACATTTTACTAGGCCCGAGAACATGGTTTCAGCGCCTTGCTGTTTGTTAGCCAATGCTGGATTTCGGGAATAATCCTAAGGTTCATATGCGTATTTTCTACCGCTGGATTGAAAAAGAATGAATACATGAAGCAGACCAAGTATCTCTGTCAAGTTCGAGCTCTTTTGGCCAGTCGCTCCGATCGTCTGAGTTCAGATTGAATCCCATCGTGTGATGGTTTTCGTTTCACGGATCCCGCATAGGAGCTGCGCGGTAGGTTCTTCCCAACAGAAGTACTAGCTTGATCTACTGTCTCCTGAGAAATAGTGTCGCTAGTCATCGAAGGTTCGCGTACACCATTACTAAGTTCTAGCGAATGAGGTTTGTGATCGGCTAAAGACACCCCGGAAGAGAAGCTGAGGAAGTATTTTGGGTCTACCCTATCCGAGTGGATGCTTAGAACAATACTTCCAAAGTGGTCTCCTCGTTCCTTATAATCTGAGGCTAAAGGGGGCTATCTTTTATAAAGTTCAATAGAAATTCGGCCTGTGAAGTCGTGTCGCTAATTGGCTCCCTTTTTCTATGGGCAAAACCGATTTAAATATTATAATCCTATTTGACCGTTTTCGAGATGCACGGACATTAGTACCGTGATTATCCTGGAGAACCTTAGGGGAGAAGGTGAGGAGGAATTTTGGGTCTTCTCTTTCCGAAAGGACGACTATAGCACCTCGTCCGAAGAGGATATCGTCTTGCTTGCCAATCTCCAGGCTGTAAGGTATCCCTCCCTAAGTACCCGAAATCTTGATAATTTTTTGATCGAGAACTTCCATAGTTTTTGATGGTGTGAGGCTTCTTCTGTACACTATCATCCGACGGTGGGCGGTTGGGAGCTTGATAAGTCAATAATCCAAGTACCAGCTGTTGAATTTGAATGGAAAATTCGTGTCGTATCAGCTTCTTTTGACTTCATTGTAAATAATAACTGAGCGTTATCCAAGGGAGTATAGCGTAGATACTGCTACCGGATTCTTGAAGGATGCTGTATAGAAATTTGGGTATTACAAGGTGGCAGATATGAATGCAAATGGAAGACTATCCATGTCCACGATCACAGATAAGGCGAAAGAAGGTTATCTTAGAGGAAATACGTCATCGGGAATAAGCTTAACTCTATTCCAACGACACAACTTTCATCCCGTACCAACATAATGACTCTCCTAATAATTCTACCATATCAAGATGTAATGAGGATTAAAGATTATGTTTAATCATACTTGCTACGTGTAAACAAGAACAAGTTGTCAAAACACAATTAATATTACACTAGCTTGATTATGGGCAGATCCACTTTTGGCGGTTCGGCCCGACGGCTACATACATAAACGATGATGGGCATAACCCAATCCGACGCTCAGTTCTCGAACTCATCCATGTTTATGAACTCCTCCATCCACGAATCATCTCCCCCAGTCTCACCAGCCATCTCAGGGTACTGGGTCCTGGCTCCAGCCCTCAAATAGCTGTCCGCCCTTTCAAAAGCACGGAGGACGTCGTTGTAGGAGCTTGGCCCAATGAGGCCAGCGAGGAGAGCGTCCCGTGCTTCGATCGCGGCGAGGGTGTCGCGAAAGCAGCTTGGCTCATCGTCGTCGGCGACATCGTAGCCATAACCGTATCCGTATTCAGGGAGGACATTGTCGTGGCTGAGCCCATCGCGGGCGGGTGCCGGTTCTTCGGCCTCTTCCTCGGGGGCCGCAGTCTCCTCAACGGGAGCAGTCTCCTCAGCCCGGCGCGGTGGCGGGAACTCGGGGATTGGTGGGTCTTTGCGGAGTGCCTTTCTCATAAAGTGACGCTGAGCAAAGTTCAATTGGCGACGCGGAGTAAGGTAGACACGGTTCTCTTTGTCGAACCCCCGGCTTGGGCCATCATTCCAGTCTCCGTTCTCGGATTGAGACGAACGGTCCTTTTCGGGGCGCTCCTTAGCGCGACCATTCACATCTCGGAGAGCGGGCTCACTTGTAATACGCTTGGGAGCCTGACGGACGGGGGTTGGGTTGGTGTCGGACATGTTGATGGTTTGGTTCGGGTTTTGGTCGGCTCCGGAGGTATTGTTGATGGCCTGGTTGGAGGTTGGGTTGGTTTCGGCCTTGTTCTGGATAGCCTGGTTGAGGTTTGGGTTGGTGTCGGACATGGTGGTGGTCTGGTTGGAGTCACTCTGTTGGTTGGCAGTTCTTTCCAAGTAAAGACGAGTGAGGTCCAGGTCGACGGTGCGGTCAGTCAGACGAGTCGGGGAGATAGCGGAGGCACGAGTGCGAGAGCTCAGAGGCAGAGGCAGACGACGCGAGCGCGCAGTGGGACGCGATGAAGAGGGACGACCATCAGATGAATCGACCTTCTTATCACTTTTGCCAGCTGAGACACAGCTTTTCTCTTCAGAGTCCTCCGAGGAGGTATCTGCCTCAACGGTTGTATCGGTTTCTTCTTTCTCGGTTTCGGAGTCAAGCTCAGTGTATTCCTTTTCGCCGCCTTGACGAGGTCGAAGGTTATGTGGGCTGCTCATTTTGAATAAACAGGTGCACGGACGAATACGAGGGAGCGTTTCACGTGACTTGAGCCCTTGCTATAAATTTATGAAGCCGTCCAAACATCCTAATCGGGAAGGCGCCGAACGCATGTCGAGATGTGAGCATTTTCGGGGTAGCGCTTCCCGTTTCGCCAATGTTAGGCCCCTAACACGAGAATGCGATTAATAAACACGAAATGGTATAGTAGAAAATATATGAGAGTGTACGGAATAAATTACAGGCGAGCATAATCCTGAGACGCGAAGGGGACACTTCTATACATCGAACCTGGTACGACGAATTAGCGAATTACAACATGGGGATGAAATTGCATGCAGGAACACATCCACCTGTTTACTTACTTGATGCGGTAGGATTAGACTAAACAAATAAACAGGTCTCGAAAAAGAAATCGTGAATACATCAGACGAAATACTCAAGAGGAAAGAAAACTTTGTTTCTAGGCCGGGAAGCTCTAGCCGTTCTATGTAAGTCCTATTCCTCCATAATATGCAATGAAGATTCCTCTGCCATGGCCACTTAACAATGCAATAAAAAGAAAAAGAAAAGGGCCCATAAAAAGCAGAGCAGAGCAGAAAATTCGGACATCCAGATCATGCCATAACCCCTGTCTATTAGGAAGTGTCGATGGCCAGATAGGAAAAAACAGCAGGGAAAAAAAGGAAATATCGTCATACCCCACGACGAATGGAAAATTTCGTGATCATAACTGTAGAAACATGATCATTAGAAACAGAAAGAGAAAACAAAGGCCACCACTTTTTTGTATTTCCCATGCAAAACGCCGTGCGCCATCATGAACATTGGGAGGGAGACAAGGCCTGTATGCATGTATCCTCCAGAACAGAACAATGAAAAACAAGAAAGGAAAATGTTGTATGAATGCCAAAGAAAAGATAAAAAGGTCCAGGGATCTATCCATCTCTTCAGATATCGGAATGCATCTTCTCATCGGTGTCCACACGCAACTCCACAACGGGCAACTCCTCATCCGAACCATCATCCAGCAGAGGCGGGACATCCTCGAAGGAGCCCTCATGCTCCGAGACTGGCCGCGAATTATCAAGGCCACGGAGACGGGTCTCAACATCGGAGTCTTCATTGACCGCCATGTTGCTGTCATTGTCACCGAAAAGATCATTGTCTTCATCAGGGGACGCCGGACGAACGGAGGTCAAGGCGCCGAGACCAAGGGAACCGCCGGCACGTTCAAATGACCACGAGGGCGCAGAGAACATATCGTCGAGGGGATTGTGCGACTCCTCCTCGTTCTCATCATCACTCGACTTCGTGTCCGGAGTCGCGGCCCCCGAACCACCACCGCCCGCTCGGCGAGCTACTCCGGCTCCGGCTGATGCGCTCGACGGCCCATTGGGGAATGAGCCGCCGAGGCGCATGCCGTCCCCCGACGGAGAGGGAGCCCGCGAGTTCTCCGCCGTGCTGTCCTTATCACCGTTCTTGAACTTGTTGACGATGTTCTGAAGAACGGGGCCACCCAGAGGCTGGTCCGAGCGGCGGCGGTAGAACAGGAGGTATGCTTGGGACGATTGCATCCGGTTCAAATCCCCAAGCACAGTCGCCGACGAATCTAAAGTGAGGTGTTAGCCAATCAGATCAAACACTGAAGAGAGAGATTTTAGTGACAGCACTTACCGTTGAAACTGCACCAGTCGTCGGTGATGAAGTTTTTGGCGTAGGCGGTATAGTGGCCGCCCGCCATGCTGCCCGAGTGGTTGTCCACGCCGATCAGGTCGTAGACCAGAGACTTATCCCCTGCGGGACCCGAGACCCAGCTGGACAGGTCGAGATTATCCACCGGGAATTCGACCTTGGTGCCCAGCTTGGCCCGCGAAAAGCGCGACTGGGTCATAAACCGTTTTAGGTGAATGACCAGGATGTCGGGGGTCGACCACAGCTCGAACTTCTTGCGAGCTTGGCGATGCTCCTTGCAGCGTGGGCAGTACCACGCGTCATCCTGCGACAGTGTCTCTTCGCGGCTGAACTCATCGAGGCACTGATCAAGTGTGACGCCTTGATTGGCTCGCGCGTCACGTTGCGCACGGCGGTCGATCAAGGCCTGGTCTTGGATGAATGGAATATCATCACAAGTGGCCGCGCCACGCAGATCGTCCTCGGGTCCTGACTTGCCAAAGAGGGCATCCTTGGCGTCCTCATTCCAGTCCAGGAGGATTGCTTCGGACTGCTTGAGCAGTGGCGTCGATGAGTTCAGCTCGGCAGTCTCATGGTCGGGCTCGTCGGACGGGGAGTCCTCGTTGCTTTCATCATCCGATGCGTTGGATGACTTCTTCGAGACCTATCTGTAATTAGCGAATGCAATCTATTTCAGTTGGTTGAACTGATCAAAACGTACCTTCTTCGGGGGCGGCAGCCGGGTCAAGATGTTCTCGTAGTTGTAGCCGTGCATCTGGCGGCCCTTGGGGATCTTGTCGAAACTAGTCAACACCCTGACGTCAAAGAGACTGAGAAGACCGGGAGGGAAAGCACCAGCCAGGGGATGAGCGGGAGTGTCCTCGCTTGTATCCATCCCTTGGGGTGACGATGCACTGGGGGTTTGTGAAGCATCGCCCATAGAGATGTCCACAATGCTATCATCGCCCTCAACTGAACCGGTCTTGATGCGGGAGTCCGCTGACTGAGCATCTTCTTCATTCATCACCACAGTATCGGAATCTTCAAGAGCCTGTGCCGCATCCTCGGATTCAGCCTTCTGCTTGGTCTTTGATTCCGCCTCTCCCAAGATATCACGTGTAGTCATGTTCGCGACATGACGTAAGATCTTGCGATAGATGGTGGCCATGTCTTTGGCTTCCTCGCGGGTGAAGGAGAGGATGGTAGGGTGTGCGAAAGTCTCAAACCTCACCGGACCCTTCGGGTTCCTGTTCTTGATTTCGCATCGACTGAAAACGGGCACAAGGATACGATCATTCGCTGGAGCATCCAATTGGATGAAAGTCATGACCTCCTTGTCCTTGAGGTGCAGCTCTTCGAAAGGCAGCTTTTGCCGGGTGTAGACTTCCCAGAAATTGCCGCCAGAGACTTCAGCCGCAATAAGCTGATCTGGCGCGAGACTCAGCTTGGTAGCCACAGTATCCCTCCAAGCTCCGATTGTACTTGTCTTATCAACCTCAACCACGAAGCTCTGCGGGCGCTGCTCAAGTCCTTGGAAGACGACATGCCGGTATTCGATTTTCTGCTGCGGAATGGGCAAAGTCAAGCTGCTGAAGGGATCGAAGATGATGCTGACTTTGTCACAAGTAGGGCAAACCAGTGTTGACTTGTACATGCCGGCAAACAGATCAGTGATGACAGAGTCATTGCGCGCCTTGTAGATATCCCAAGATCGAACAGCAAAATCCTCCAGAGCTTGGCGGTCATGGACCATCTCGTCGGTAGAGTCAGGCTTCTCAATGTAGGGCTTCTTGAGAATGCGGTTCAAGTCTTCTGACAGACCATCGAGAAGGAACATCAGGAACTCTTGACTGTCCTGCTGATCCCAGCCAGCCATGGTCGGGTTATTCCGGCCAATTTGGTTTCGGAACTTGTGAGGGTTGAAAGAGGATGGGGGTGGGTCGCGGTAGATCCCTTGAATCAGCCCAGCATACGCCTTGGCGAGGTGTCCAGAGAATCCGAGAGGGTTAGAGGGATTGAGATCCTTCTTGTGGCGGTTGGCTGCATAACAAAGGTCAGTATCAAAGAAGCAGTGAGATTCAAGAATAGCAAACAATGCACATACCGAGGAAGTAGTATGTCAACTCTTCCACAGCCCGAACGCACTGAGTGGCCGCATTCTGATAGCAAGTGTTGCCCAAGTTCGAAAGACCCGTTAGACCCATCCTGTGGCCATGAGGTTTCTTGGCAAAGGGGAATTCACTTTGAACCGGGCTGGTCCGGCCGCTGGTTGGTTGACTCTTCGAGGCAGCGGGAGCAACGGAGGTGATCTCCTTCTTAGGTCTGGTGACGGGAATTCCAAGGCGCTTGAGCTTCTCCGCCGAAACCGCAGACACCCACTCTCCACTCTTTGCTCCAACCTGCTCCTCAAGAACAAAGACATCAGACCCCATCAGACCCGCCATGCTCAGTGACATCTTTCCGTTGTAGTTGTCGTTAGCTGTCTGGTCCTTGAAGGTCTCAAGAAGCTCTCGCTGAGTGCCCTCGCTGAGATCGATGAACGTGTTCAGATCCACCAAGAGATTTCTGCTGGAGGCCGAGATGAGTGCCGACGGAGGGGCGGGCGAGACAGTGCGGGACACGGCGGGAGTGGTAGCGGTCGACGGGTTGAGGCTGGGCAGCTGGCCGATGATCTTCCACACTCGGACTTTGGTAGACATGTTGATGCCCGCGAGTTCCTTCGCTCTCTTCAGCCAGCCCTGGACGCTGCTTTGGCGACCAGCCAGCATCTTGGCAGGCGGAAGGGATTTCTCCTTCAGGGACTGGGGTGTAGTCCCCGCAGCGGGGTTGGCCAACTTGAAGATGGTGAAAATTGGCGGGTTCAGCTCATACATGATGTTGTCGGAGCCATCCAAGCTGGTGTTGTGTGCAAAGCGAACGATGGTGGGCGACTGGTTTGCGAGTCCATATTCCTTCATGATCAAGTCCCAGGCCTCCTGCGGAACAATCTCGTAATCCTCGCCGAGCTGCACATTCGGGCGCAAGGGAACATAGGGCTCTCCATTCTCGTACTTGAAGTTGCTGTTGGCCGGATCGGTGTCGAGCACGATGTCGCGGTTATCCACAGGGCCCAGCTCATTGTCCATCGATTCTTTATCAGCTTTGTCGGCGTAGGAGGTGCTTCGCGCGTACAGCGTCTTTACCCATCTCGACGAAACCACGTAGCCCTTTTGTCCATCCTTTAAAGGTTGGTTGGTAAGCGCAACCACCTTGGCGATTTGGTCATCAATGGAATCGGTAGCCGGGACATCAACCGTTGTGCTCACACCTCCCTCCGGGTCAGGGTCGGTGATCTCAGAAGCCGGGCGCTTCTCGCCGGGGGAAGGAGAGCGACCATCGCCATTTGCTCGCGGGGAGCCAGCTTGAGGATCGGGGGGCATGTCGGAATGTTCACTGGAGAGGGTCAGTCCGGCGGTCGCAGTCGCGGGGGTTGGCGAGCGAGCACCGGGCTGGGATCGGGTTCCTGGGACGAGGGATTGGAGATGAGCCGGTACGTAGCGAGGAGGGGAGGGCGAGGAGCTTTTGCTCCGTGAATTTGAGGCCGAAGAGGAGCTTCTCGGTGGCAATGGAGGCACCTGCGGAGGTTCGGAGCGGCCGTGACGTCGTACCTCTCCTGGGCTACTGCGACCTGGCTCGGGGGAAACTTTGCGACGCTTTGTGGGAGACGTCGTGACGGTGAGCTGCGCACGTCGCGTGGCAGCTCGGGAGAAACTTGGGGGGAAGGAGTGAAAGAAAGAAAAGGTTTTGGAGAGAATGACAAATGAAGTTTCTCTTTCCCCGCAAGCCCTTCTTCTTTGCACGAAGAGAAGGAAGGTCGGGGCCAAAGAAATTTATTGGCAGCAAATTAAAATTGTGCTGGCAGAAAATAATCGGAGCCGATTGGAGTTTTTTTTTCCGCCCCGGGAAACGACCAGCGAACAACGAACCCTATCAATGATACGCCAGCGAATCACGACAGGAGTTCAAGAGGAGAGAACCTGCAGGCCAGCTGCAAAAGAGTTGAATCGAAGAAAGGAAGAGTTGAGTTGGGGTGATGTTGGAAAGGAGTGAATGTTGTGAGGATGGGTGAGAAGGAATGAGGTCGACGTGGGAGAAGGATGGAGATATTTTCTAATTATGGGGAGGACAGGCTGAGGGGAAAATAGAGGCAGCTATACTCACAGAAGTGCTGCCTTGAGAAGGCTGTCAGTCATTTGATCTACTCATATTGTGTGAATAGGGCTGCCTCTGGGATCGTTGCCTTGGTGTTTGTTTGTGCAAGGCACCGCTTCCTAGTTTCCTAAATAGGTTTATAACAAGAACTTGATAGTGTTCTTCATCACACTAAAAATTACATGCACATAGAATACATACACAAGTAGAGTACATACACAGATAGAGTACACACAATTGAAACACACTGTGCAGTCATCATCTCCATTGAAATTGGCAAACTATCTGGAAGACATGACTTTAGCTCTGTTCTGAATCCGTAGATATTGGCCTGGGTCCGGCTAGCTACCTTCGAGAAACTTGCAGCAACCTAAATCGTGTAGATCTGGTGCCGCACGAAGTTCAAGTTCGAGTTCTTCAAGATGTAGTCAACATCTGCCCGAAACTCGGTCTGCTTCTGTGGATCCTGCTTCCCCCATTCCACAGCCTCATCGAGATCACCATTGAACCGCTTGACTTGACGAGTGCAGTAATCACAGAGAAAGAGGCCGCATCCAATGTCAATAGGTCCCGTAGTCTGCAAGATGTTACCTCGAGCATCTGTGAGGAAAGTCTGGTTACTGTTGCAAGTCCAGAAAGCAGGCTCTTGGCAAAGACTGCACCATTGGTAGTCAGGCTCTTCAAAGGGCTGGCCATAGCACGGAGATGATGGTTCCTGGAGAGCTGCACGAGCTTGAGCCAGATTTTGGAATGCTGTCGACGCACTGAAAGGAGTTGCCGGATTTATCTCGTGCAGCATTGGACCGATGTCATAGTGCGTGCACGCCATGATCTGGAGCCGTTCATTGGCGCAGTAGCAACACATACGACTCGGTTCCTTTCCTTCGCCTTGGTGCCCGTCTGTGATTTCAATCATTCGCCCTGTACCAAAGTCCAGAATCTCCGTGTCTCGAGGACCGAGCCCGACGATACCGTATGCGAAATTCGAACACCAGTGGCATGATAGAGGGCTCTCTCTATCTAGAAGGGTCAGCGGGTGTGGATAGCATGTTCGGATTCGGTATGCAGTCCCGTATGGACTCGAGGAACTGGATCCAAAGGTTGGGATAGTGGATGGCGGTAGTCCCGAGCCGGCAAGTGTAGCATGGGGAGTAACTGATGTCTCCAGTGTCGACTCTTGGCTTGCAGTGTTCTGACTGTTTTCTTCTGCCGGGGCTGGGATGCCCTCTGATCCCTGTAGGCGGGATTTTCCCTTTTTATCCCGGTCAGAGGTTTCGGCAGAACTGTCCACAGGCTCATCATCTTGCTCCTCATATTCTGTATCGGTAGCCGTGCCCTCCGGGTCGTTGGGGCGATACCCACCAGAAGGCGGGCATTTGGCGGGCCCAGCGACGCACTGGAAGCCATGCTGCACACATTCGAAGCAAGGCTGACTGTGATCGTAGTCTGGCGAGAGATATGAGCACCGAGAACGGCGTTGGCTCCTGCAAGGCTCACACGGTTGTTTCCAGGTAGGTGGTGGATCCGGAAAGCAGTCACACTCGTCGTCGCGACAGCTATCACAAGGATAGCAAAATGGATCCTCTACCAGCGAGCAGTCGAGCTCCAGTTCCTGGCAAGCCAGACATCCCTTTGTGGGGGATTTGCCTTCTTCAAACAGTGTCGAGTCTGTCTGTGGGCTGATGCTGGTGTTGCTGGGAGAACCGGCTGTATCCTTGCGGGCTCGCAGGTGATAGGCTTTGGTTGGATCTCTCTTCGTTTGAGGCTCCCATAGTTCTTCCCATTTTGAGTGGCCAGTTGTATCTCCAGGGGTGGCGGTAGAAGATGAGGACGGCGCATCTTCTTCGATATCTTCCTCGAGCGAAGATCTCGGGTTAGTTGAGTGTCTTTTGGCTTGTCTGTCGGGTCGAGAGTGCGGGCGAGTCTCATTGTCCGAGGGCAATCGGTGTTTTGAACGAGATGGTTGATGAGGGAGGTAATCGTCGTCCTTGTCATTGTCGATCCAAGAGGATATGGTTGAGGTGGTGTTTTTGGCTCGGCTTCTCAAGTCATAACCCTCCCCGCTCTCGGAGACCGCTGGGGTCTGGCTTGGGAATAGCCTTCGGGCTTTCTCAAGCCTCTCAGAGGAGTATGCCATGATGTTGAGTATCGTGAGTGGTGGCACAGGTTGAACAAGATGAGAGGTTTTGAGCGAGAGGTGTCGAGGTGTGAGGCGACTGAAGTTGTGAAAGAGAGCAAAGTTGTGAAAGAGAGCAAAGTTGTGAAAGGGAAGGCGAGATGAAGAAGGAGGAGGAAGGCACTTGGATTGATGAAAGAATGTTTGTGTATTTCAGTCTCTGGGGACTAATAACATGAGCAGAGGACAACAGTTTCAATCAATAGCAAGGTCCGAGCTCTTTCAACACATAAATATTACAAAAACAGGTAGTCGAGAATATTCCAAACATCAAAGTAACATACAAACAAGACAGACGTGATTCAGTCCAACACACCAAACAAAACGGTACATCCAATCCGGGTTCACGCGGTGAATGGCACAGCGATCATGCTGGGACTCACCGTCCACGAGGTAGCAAGATGACCAACAGTGGTGATTTCGGTTGGCCAGGCAGACTCGGTCAGGACGGGGGTGTCTCTTTCCACCTTCGACGATTTCCACTCGCTGATAGAGTCCAACTGTGTCCTTGTACTTGGCCCAATCTTAACTCTTGTGTTGGGGGATATGGTCGTAGGTCACATAGATCTTACTAGCCACAACGAGGAGGAAGCTGGAAACAATAAAGAGACCCAACGGATATCCCCAATAATGTCGTTCTCTTCTGCTCAGACTTCTTGGGCTTAGCCCAGATGGCATCCCAGGACGTTCGAGCGCGGGACTTCTTCACCTCGGCCTTGATCTCGCGTGAAGTATTATGCTTGGCCTCCAGGGACTCCAGAAGAGTCCATTTGCAGTTAGATGCTGTATCTATTAGTATTGCTGTCAATGCAGAAATAGGAAATAGATGGTAAGCCTTACGAGATGAAGGTCGGTAGACCTTCTCTTTATCCACCCGGAAATAGGCGTGGGGAGGAAGGCGGGAACCGAAGGAGTGTAGACAGGTGAAAGTGCCATTGTGAGTTAGTTTATATTGAGTTAATATAAGTGAATTTGTTTGGAAAGAGTGAGAGAAGAAGGATCTTTGAGAGAAAGTTGAATGGAAAGAAAGAAGAAAACGAGGGGAGCGTTGGAATGACTTTTAACAAGAATCTGAAGGATATCCTAAGCATATCTGGAGTATTTTGATCCAATTTGATACTAGTTTATTTGAATTTAGTTTCAAAATAGGTCTAGTCCTTCAGCAATATCGTTCCATTCTCAAGGTAAACGTGGGCCAGTCAGGCCGCGTCCCACAATGGAAATCACCAATGACGAGGGTCGGTCAAGACTATTCCAATCATGGTATGATATGACGACAGAGGTGAGTGCTACAGTTTGTGGGTGATTCCGGGTACTAGATGACCTGCATTTACATTCTTCACAGAGCCCAAAAAATATTTTATTTTGCGCTACATCGAGGGAATATATAGATTTTTGTGGTAACCAGAATAATTTCGAAGCAACCTGCCTTGGCTAGAACAGCTGCTTGCTCAGAGGCGATTTGGAGGAATAGACTACGTTCCCAGTCCATAGTATCATACCCACCAGGCAGTGATCACGATCCCTGAATAGCTCCCCGACTACATGCAAAAGGAGATAATATATTGTTGGAAGTTGTCTTAACTTAGCGTATGTTTTGAACCATCTTGAATTAATGACCAATTTTAAATACTACCTTAACTAGTTAAGGTTTTTGTAACACGGAGGGCTGGATTTATGCTGATTATGTATTTTCTACATTGGCAAGAGTACTTTACACAAGCTACTGTCTCAAAAATTAGTCAAAGCAGATAGAATGCCCATTGAACTACCAATATGCCCTAGACGTGTCAGTTTCATACAATGGCAGCGATTAATAGTACTCGCCTGTGTAGATGAATGACTGCATACTCCCATATTGGGACCTGTAGAAGGCGGTGAGCAACTGATCTACAGATGCCAAGACATGCCGCCGGTCGATTGGGTCATCCCACGTGATAGCGTTATCTCGCGGCTCATCACCTCACCCCAACTGGAATCAGCTACTTTTGCGTCCGTATCTATCCCTGCCGAGGTGTGAGCTGGTCTCCCGCGGTCAATCTACAGCTCCAGTTTCCTTCTTCTCGAGCAGGGCTCCCAGGAATATCCCCTGTTTGCATCGCTCGTATTTGTTGTGGATGACTCGAGCACGGAAGGGAAGTACTGGTGCACTACACCTATCAGCTCAGTAGTGCCCGGCTTTTGTAGGAAACGGCTTAGCCAGTACTGTCTTACACTCATGGTGAGTTGCTATTTTGTATTTCATGATCCATGCGGTCGAAACATTGAGTGTGCCAGCATCTGAGCTTTGTTAAGCTCTGGACAGCTCCGGACCTCAATGGAACTGATCTGTTATGCTGTACACCTTTGCCTACTTCCCCTCAAAATGTTTGAACAATACTGAGTATTCGCGATTGCCTTACAGGAATACCGCAGATTCCTCAACGACTGACCACCACCTACCCATCGATAAAGCTTGAACAGACCTAGCAACCAACCCAGCCTGGCATTCCCGCGCACCATACCAAACTTCCATAGCCTACTTTACCTTGAAGTTTGCGACTGGCGTCATCATGGAGTCCTCACGATCTTCATTATCCTCCACTAATACCCGTGGAGGCCATGGGTTTTCCGAACACACGGCTATGCCCCAACTTGATACACTCATCTCGCACCTCGTGGCCGCCAAACGCTCCCTTTCCTCCATCAACCACGTTTGGCGGGCCAACGAAATTGTCACTGCTGCACGTTCGGCCCTCGAAGAAAGCGTCATTGTGTCATCTAGAACAGGCTTCTTGCGTCGCGGCTTGAACAATCAACTCCGGTTGCTCTATGACGTTCGGTCGGAGGTGGAGCATATCTCGCATCGCGGGCGACAGGACTTCTCGGATGCCTTGAAAAGTCTTGATGCCGCAGATGCCCGTCTTCGGACCACCATCGATCTTCTGCGGAATACTATTGTTCACGCTTCATTCCGGCCAAAAGATGAAGAGCCAAAGTCTCTGCATGACTTCGTCGACGAGCGCGGCGTTGAGGAGCTCAGTGCGGCCATGAAGAGCTCCATCGACAGGACAAATGCAGCACGAGCAGATCTCGATACCTCGAATCGGGAGTTTGATGACGAGCTTTACTCTATTAAACAGGCGCTTCAACATTATCGGTCGGCTACCAGGATGGCTTCTTCTCGGGCCTCTGCATCCTCATCCTCATCATCGACATCGGATTCAGATCTGCTCGCCTTGTCAACTATGCCTACTATGCTCCAGACATTAGAAGGGCATGCCCAGGAGATGGCTGGTCTTCTCGAGTCCCTTGTCCGTCACTTCGATCTTTGTGTCACCGCGGTGAAGCACACCGAAGGCGGGGGCGCGGCTGCTCGGTCTATCACAGGAGACATGCCAGCCGAAGTCCAAGCGAAGAATGACGCGATGCCAGATATTGGCGAGGAAATCAACGCAAATCTAAATGCTCCACTGGACCCGCTGAGCGACTCGGAGTATCTGGAGATGGTGAATGTGCTCATGAAAGATGCGCACGAAGCAGATGACGTCGTCATGGAAATCCAAGATCGCATTAACGAAATGGAATCAACCCATGAGCAGGTCAGCGCGCAACGAGATGCGCTTATCGCGATCTCAAACGCGACACTCGAGGTTCACCAGCACTTGTTAACATTGGCTTCGACTCGCCTCCCACGGTACATCTCTCAGGCACACAACTTCACCAATGTCTGGAACGAAGAAAATGACCGCATTAATGCCGGGCTAGGGGAATTGTTGGACTTGCATTCCCTCTATGATGGATTCCTCAATGCGTACGACAGCCTGATACTTGAAGTGAACCGCCGAAGCCAGATTCGCTTTCGTGTGGAGAAGGTCCTTCGAGAGACGAGGAATAAACTGAATCATCTTTATGATGAAGATGTCACCGCACGAGAAGCCTTCCGCGTTGAGCAGGGCGATTTCCTTCCTTCAGATATCTGGCCTGGCATTGGCCGTGCGCCCATGCAAGTCCAGTTCCATCGTCTTGCAGGCGGTCAGCTTGAAGGTCTCCTCGAGGAAGCTCGGGAAATTAAGCAGCACCGTGAGGCACAAACAGTTGCTGAAAGCGCAAATCACAGTGCTATCGATGATGCCGCTGAGGGTGAACTTATCCCTAGTCTGCCAAAGGATGTTGTCGACCAGGCATATGCTCGTCTCAAAGCTCGGACTAGGGCCTTTGCTTGAAAATCTTATACCCAAACCGACAGTAATCTACTCATTCATTTCTTTGCTGATATTTTTGTATTCATGTATAGCTTATCCATTTCATTTTCTAGGAGACAATATCACAGGTTGACTTCTTGGTTCTTATGTATCTCTATTTTTTTTTCGTTCTTTTCCGTTCAGCCATGTCTTCCATGATAGCGTTGCGTCCGATCTTTTCCGATGTACTCGATTGACAACCCGAATGATGAAAGCTAATAGGTCTGACTCCCCGTCCAAAATCTTCCTATGGTCCTGTCTGATTCTCTGTGGACTGATGCATACTCCTGCGCTTGTGCGAGGGATGTAAGCATGGTTACAAGACGAGGCCGGCACCACCAGGTTGTGAGGATGGATAGGCATGATTTTCAAAGAGAGCTCTGATGGGTGATTCCAACCATATTTTATCAAAATTTACTTATTCTCTACTTGTCTCGAGTAGCCATCAAGTGTAACTTGTGTTTTGCAGATAAATCCTATTTTTATACCCAGGTATCTATGTCCAAATGCTCCAGCCCCATATATGCATTTTTATCGTCAAATCATGGCAGAAATATCCATCAGTGAAGAGTCGAAAGGAAGAAATCGTAGAGCCCATAATCATGTGTGCATGCAAAAAACCAAAAGAGATTGAAAGTCCAAAATCAACGACTACTTCTTCTTCTTCGAAGAAGTAGAGACCAGACGTCTCTTGAGGTGTTTCGGCATCTTGTTGGCACGCTGCTCACGCTTTTCCTCCTTGACCTTGGCCTTGTGCTCGCGCTTGGAATCCTTGTCCTCGAAACGCTTGCCACGGGGGCCTTCTTCGCGAAGGGATCCTTTTCTTCGCCCTCCTCGTCCACATCGGAGTCGGAACCTGAGACGGAAACTCCACCACTGGCGTCGGACTCTGCGTCGACCTCGGCATCGGTAGGCTTGGCCTTGCCAGTGGCCAGCAGATCTCCGTAGACCAGGTCGGCACCCGAGCCGTCACGGATCTTCTCGGCATCACGCTCTATATCGTAGACTTGCTCGAGAGTCTGGGGAATGTATTGCTGTCGGAACACAGCAGTATCGAGCTCCTCGGCCTCCTGATCACCACCCTCTGTACGGGCGGCGAAGAGCTTCTCAATAGCTTCAAACATCTCCTCGTTGCCCTGGGTGACGTCTGTAGGGCCCTCGGGTGAAAGGATGAATTGGAAGGTTGTGCGTTCGGGCAAGGTGTCAACACCCTTGCGACGGAAGAAGTCGCTAACATTCTTGATATCCATGCGAAGGAACTCCAAGCTGCGAGGGTGATCGTGTTCAACACTTTGACTGACATCGATAATGTACAGACGTTGCTTATGGTACAAAATGTTGTACTCGCTCAGATCGGCGTGGACGAGACGGCAGACTTGGTACATAACGCGCATGCAACCGAGCAACTCCATGTACAGGGACCGCCAACGAGTCTCAGGCTCGGTAATATCGAACTCAACATCCTTCAAACGAGGAGCGCCAAGACCCTTCGAGTTACCGATGAAGCCCATAACCAGGACGTGCAGACGCAGGTAAATGGGCTCAGGGCAAGGAATGCCGGCGGCGTAAATTCTCCGCAAGTTGCGCATTTCCTTCTCGGCCCACAACTTGACCATTGCGCGGTTGTTGCTCTTGTTATATCCTTGACGGAATCGGAATTCACCAGTCACGTACTTGTCGCGATCCTTGAAGACCAGAATGCTGGTCTTGTAGACCTTGATCGCACGGTGCTCCGGGGCAGCCTCTGGATCGTCATCGGGGAATGACATGGCGTGGTAGACGTTTGCCTCCTTACCAGTAGACAGACAACCGTGAATCTCAGACACGAGTCCGCGATTGATCATCTGCAACAGAAGCATCCGAGTACGGGGGTCCAGCACCTGTTCCGATGTAGCGCGGTCCGCCCGATCTGCACCACGTCCACCACCGCCAGAGAGACCGGCTTGTTGATCGTCGAGCTTGATCTTGGCAGCATGGCGTGTCAGGGATTTGACTTGATCGTCGACGGAGGCGTATGTGTTGACTGTGGGCTTCTGGGTGTTCATCTTAGGATAGGTCCATCTCGGTGCGTTAGGATCGGCGGCGAGATCGTTCAACTTTCGCTGGCGGTTGTAGGCCTTTGTAAGATCGGCAGGATCGGAGGACTGGAAATCTTCCTGATCCAATTCTTCCTCCTCCTCGAAGATATCGTCATAGTATTCGTCGTCTTCCTCCCCCTCCCCCTCTTCCTGCTCGGTGGGTTCCTGCCCCGCCATGGCTGAATTTGCGCCCAAGGGTTGCACGTATCCTTGGTTTGGCACATAGGTGTGGGATGGCTGGAGGCCATCAGCAGGGCCTGTAGCCTCTGCAGGCAACTGAGAAGGACTCATGATCGATGTAGAAATGTCGAATTCTTTCAGATTAAAAAAAGTCGAATGCGATGCCCGCATTTACTTTTTTTTCTGTGGATGCCCGCTTCACCGCCCGGCAGAACCCCGCGCCCAACGAGACGCGCTGATTTCGCTCCCTCGCGTAGTCTCCTTGCCCATCGCGACAAAGCGTGACACAATCCGACAGTGATTTACCTCTCGGCAAGAGGAAGAAGTGATCGGAGCACCCAGAGTTGCTCCAAAACTCGATTTTACAACTTTAGCGCTGGCTGCGTAATGCGCTGTTCTCTCTGATCATCGCGTCACGCGTGTCTCCCCAAGATGTATGTGAAACAGATTATCATCCAAGGCTTCAAGAGGTACGTGAAAGATCAACAATTACCCCCGCTTTTGCAGGCGACCACGACTGACCATTTTGTGGCAATAGCTACAAGGACCAGACGGTCATTGAGCCCTTTTCGCCCAAACATAATGTCATCGTCGGTCGCAATGGTTCCGGCAAGAGCAACTTCTTTGCGGCAATTCGGTTTGTCCTAAGCGATGCCTACACTCACCTCGGTCGAGAGGAGCGTCAAGCTCTGCTGCACGTATGTTGCGCCTATGTAACTATGTTATTCTTGGTATTGATGTGGCGCAGGAAGGTTCAGGTTCGGCCGTCATGTCGGCCTACGTCGAGATCATCTTCGACAACTCGGACGACCGATTCCCCACCGGAAAGCCAGAGCTAGTTCTTCGCCGTACGATCGGTATCAAAAAGGACGAATATACCCTCGACCGCAAGAATGCGACCAAAAACGACGTCATGAACCTCCTCGAGTCCGCCGGTTTTTCACGATCAAATCCGTACTACATTGTCCCTCAGGGCCGAGTGACCGCTTTGACCAATATGAAAGACTCGGAGCGTCTGGTGCTCTTGAAGGAAGTGGCTGGTACCCAGGTTTACGAGGCTCGTCGCACGGAGTCTTTGAAAATCATGCAGGAAACAAACAGCAAGCGCGCCAAGATTGACGAATTGCTGGACTATATTAATGAGCGCCTGGCCGAGCTCGAAGAGGAGAAGGATGAGCTGCGAAATTACCAAGAGAAGGACAAGGAACGCCGCTGCCTCGAATACACCATCTACTCCCGCGAACAGCATGAAATCGCGAACGTGCTTGAGAACCTCGAGGAACAGCGGCAGAATGGAGTTGAGGACGCTGATAACAATCGGGACCAGTTCGTTGAGGGCGAGAAAGCCATGGCTCAAATCGACGCGGAGATTGCGGAGTATCGCCAACAGATTGAGTTCTTGAAAGTGGACAAGGCTCAACTGGAGGATGAGCGCCGTGAAGCCTCCAAGTCATTGGCCCAAATTGAACTTCGCGCCAAGGCTCTTTCTGACAACCAGGCCGCTGCACAGGCACTGAAGTCACGCCACGACAGCGATCTCAACGCCGTGCAGACTGCCATCCAGGAGCGCGAAGAGGAACTTGATGACCTCCTCCCCCGATTCAACATCGCCAAGGACGAGGAAGATGCTGTCAAGACCCGTTTGACCGAGGCGGAGACATCCCGGCAACGTCTATATGCCAAGCAAGGTCGCAATTCACGATTCAAGAACAAGTCAGAGCGCGATAAGTGGCTACAAATGGAGATTAGAGAGACACATCGATCCATTTCCAATGTGCAAGGCGTTGTCACACAAACTCAAGAAGATATCCAGGAGCTCGAACAGGAGATTGCTCTGCTTGAGCCGGAAACTGAGCGCTTGCGGAAACAGATCGACGGTCGCGGCGATACCATGCATTCAGTAGATCAGGACATTCAGAACGCCAAGGACGAGCGAGACCGACTCATGGACCAGAGAAAGTAGGTTTCCGCTGCTTAGTCTGTCTCCATTCGAATGCTAATATTTGAATAGGGAACTCTGGAGAGAAGAAGCCAAGCTCGACTCCGTCCTTTCTAGTGCCTCTCAAGAAATGGACCGTGCGGAGCGCAGCCTTTCTCAGATGATGGACAACAACACTAGTCGCGGTCTTGCTGCTGTTCGGCGCATCAAGCGTCAACATAGCCTGGAAGGCGTTTATGGTACCTTGGCCGAGCTCTTTGATGTCAGCGACAGGTACCGAACCGCTGTCGAGGTCACCGCCGGACAGAGCTTGTTCCACTATGTTGTCGATAACGATGAGACTGCTACCAAAGTCTTGGAGATGTTGCAAAAAGAGAAGGCTGGTCGTGTTACATTCATGCCATTGAACCGCCTCCGCTCCAAGCCTTTGAACATGCCTCGCGCCAGTGACACGATTCCCATGCTCGACAAGCTTCAGTTCGACCCCGCTTATGAGCGAGCATTCCAACATGTATTTGGAAAGACCATCATTTGTCCCAATTTGCAGGTCGCTGCCCAGTATGCCCGAAGCCACGGTGTCAATGCCATCACTCCCGAGGGTGATCGTTCCGATAAGCGCGGTGCTCTCACCGGTGGTTATCATGACTCACGCCAGTCGCGACTGGATGCAGTGAAGAACGTGGGCAAGTGGAGGGATGAATACGAGTCTAAGCGCAACCGCGGCACTGAGATCCGAAAGGAGCTGGAGAAGCTTGACCAGCTGATCACCAAGGCTGTTGGGGAGCTGCAGAAGCTTGAGCAGCAGAAGCACCAAGTGCAGAACAGCAGTGGTCCTTTGCGACAAGAGCTCCGGAGCAAGCGCGATCTCCTACAGAAGAAGACTGATAGCCTTGACTCCAAGCGCCGTGCACTTCGCAATGTCGACTCTAACCTGACGGCTCTTAATGATCAGGTCAATGCTTTCCAGGGTGAAATGTCCTCCCCTTTCCAGAAGGCCTTGACAAACGAGGAAGAGTCTCACTTGGAGACATTGAGCGGAACCGTGCAGGAGCTTCGGAGGCAATATCAGGAGCTGTCAAGCCAGCGAAGCGAGTTGGAGGCCCGCAAATCCGTGTTGGAGGTTGAGCTGCGTGAGAATCTAAACCCTCGCCTCGACCAGCTACAAAACCGAGATGTGGAAATGGCCGAGGAGGAAGTCCAGGGCAACCTGAAGGAGACGCAGCGTGAACAGAAGCGTCTCAGCAAAGCCTTGGAGAAGCTCAATGGTCGACTCAAGGAGGTGGACTCCTCCATCGAAGAGGCTACCGCTAAGGTGGGTAATCTGCAACAACGCAATGCTGATACCCGACGTGAGATGGAAGACCTGGCCCGGTCTATCGAGAAACACCAACGACGCATGGAGAAGAGCATGCAGAAGAAGGCCGCCCTCACCAAGCAGGCCGCGGAGTGTGCCGCTAACATCCGTGATCTCGGTGTACTACCCGACGAGGCCTTCACCAAATACAAGAACACCGACTCCAATGCGGTTGTCAAGAAGCTCCACAAGACCAACGAGGCGTTGAAGAAGTATTCTCATGTCAACAAGAAGGCCTTCGAGCAGTACAACAGTTTCACCAAGCAGCGCGAGACGCTGACCACCCGTCGCGAGGAACTGGATGCCTCCCAGAAGTCCATTGACGACCTGATTTCCGTTCTGGATCAGCGTAAAGATGAAGCGATTGAGCGAACCTTCAAGCAGGTGTCTCGCGAGTTTGCCAATGTCTTTGAGAAGCTGGTACCGGCTGGCCGTGGCCGCCTGGTGATCCAGCGCAAGACAGATCGCACCGCCCGTGCTGACGATGACCTCGACTCGGATGACGAGGAGGTCCGACAGAGCGTGGAGAACTACGTGGGTGTCGGTATCAGTGTCAGCTTCAATAGTAAGCACGACGATCAGCAGCGTATTCAGCAACTGAGTGGTGGCCAGAAGAGTAAGTTCCCCACTCGATCTTATCTTGGTTATTTGTTCCATCCCCATTCTAACAAACCTTCAGGTCTGTGCGCTCTCGCCCTGGTCTTCGCCATCCAAGCATGTGACCCGGCGCCTTTCTACCTGTTCGACGAGATTGACGCCAACCTGGATGCGCAGTACCGAACGGCTGTGGCGCAGATGCTCAAGTCGATCTCGGACTCGACCAATGGACAGTTCATCTGTACCACCTTCCGACCGGAGATGCTGCATGTGGCAGAGAAGTGCTACGGTGTGAGCTTCAGTCAGAAGGCTAGTACGATCGACGTGGTCTCGCGAGAGGAGGCATTGAAGTTTGTGGAAGGGCAGAAGGCGTGATTGGGGGAGGTAAACAGGCTTTATTGATGTAAATTCTTCTTTTTCTTTCATTGCTGCGTGTGGTGGTGGCATGGCGTTTGATACCGGATTTCTTCTACAGTATTACTTATTTTATCATTCATCTTTACTTTTCCAATTCTTTCATGTAAATGGTCCTCGGTCTAGACTTCCCTTGCTGCGGTATAAGATAGGTGGACAGAAATAATATGAAAAATGCAAATTCGTGCTCGGATTCATGCCGAATATATATGTCTAGATGCAATGGTCTACAAACAAAACTATTCTCTAATATGACCGATCCTTCTCATGTGACCACTCCGTCAGAATGTCCTCAGGGACATCCCTGACAAGGATATGCACATGCTCCAAAGCTCTCACACTCTGCAAGCCGACCCAATTCTTAAACCACAGCACCTGAGCTTCGGGATCCGGGAACCTCTTCCCAGGATCCTCAGCCAATCGCCGCACAAAGGTCTTCTGAACAAACTCCTCAATCAGCGCCCGCGACTCATCCGTCAAATGACCCTCCTCCGACTTCACAGGAATCGGAGTCCGCAGCCACACAACCAGATGGTGAATGCCGGGGTCTAGCCCGTAAGGCCAGTCATTGCGCAAGATCTTGTAGTCCTCGGGATCGGCAAATGGGCGCGGGTTTGTGAAGGGGATGGGCCCACTTGTGATAGCCGCGGGTATAGCGCCGTTGGGTGGCTGCGTGGTTCCGTTGGGGGTGCCATTTGCCGGTGATGGATGCCCGGGGGAGGTCCAGTGTAGCCGCTCCTGACAGATATAGTTCATCATGGAACCATATTGGGCTTTGGTTTCGGCTGACCAGGCTAGATATCGGCGTAAATCGGAAGGTTTGCGCTTGAGGGCGCCGAGATCGTTCCGCGCTGTGGTGGTGGGTTAGTTAGATTAGTGAGGGGAGATGAGAGGAGGGGAGGCGCTGGAATAAGTTGGAGATGAGGAGAGTGTGTTTATGTTCAGATGAGGGGAAGGATGGAATCATGTCGAAATAATCCTCTGTACTTACCGATAATATCGCGCAGGTCCTCCCAGCTGTGAGCGATGAATTCCTCGTCAGTCATCGCCAACAGCTGGTGGTCCAGCGGTGTCAAGTTGAACGCTGGAGGTTGGCGCATGGCAGCGGAATGACGGTCGTATGATGTGTATAGATAGGATGGATAGGATTCAAGTAGAAAAATTATCAAAAAGTCTGTATATTTCGTCCTCCGTATACTTCGAAAGTGGTTCCTGTCAACAAAAAGAAGAGATCAGCGGGGAAAAAGACCCTCCGCCCCAAAAAGGTTCGAACTTCCGTCGGGCGGAATTCTCCCACATGTTGTCGATCCTCCCCTCTTCCTCTCTTCTCTTTTGCTTCTTCTCTTCTTCCACTTCCTCCCTCCCTGAACTCCCCTCCCCCTATACTCCCTATTCCTACCATCATGAGGTAAGTCGCGCAGCTCTCCAGCTCATACAATCCATAATATCCGTTTTCTCCCGCCTGTTACTGGACAATGGCTTACTCCGAGTTTCCCCTAGTGCTGTCACCGTTGGCACGGCCCTCATTCCCTCGGCCCTTTTGGTCGCAGGTGTCTATGCCGTCAAGCCCGAGTTCATCACCTATGCCGTCGCTCTTGCCGGTATCATCACCAGTGTCGCTTTGTTCGCGGGTGGAAGCAGTATGTCGCACCGCGTTCCCCCGATTGAAGCTACTCCCGACCGCGATTGTTCTCCAATACCCAAAAATTAAAAAGGCTAATCATTCGTGTGTTACGTCCCCTGCAGAGCCGCGCAAGGTCCTGAACCCTACTGAGTTCCAGGAATTCGTCCTCAAGGAGATCACTGAGATCTCCCACAACGTCGCCATCTACCGCTTCGCCCTGCCCCGTCCTACTGATATCCTCGGCCTGCCCATCGGTCAGCACATCTCCCTGGCGGCTACCATCGCCGGCCAGCCCAAGGAGGTTGTCCGCTCGTACACTCCCATTTCGTCCGACAATGAGGCCGGCTACTTCGACCTCCTGGTCAAGGCCTACCCCCAGGGTAACATCTCCAAGTACCTGACCACTCTGAAGGTTGGCCAGACCATGAAGGTCCGTGGCCCCAAGGGTGCCATGGTCTACACTCCCAACATGTGCCGTCACATTGGTATGATCGCTGGTGGTACCGGTATCACTCCCATGCTGCAGGTCATTGAGGCTATCATCCGCAACCGTCCCCGTAACGGTGGTAACGACACCACCAAGGTCGACCTGATCTTCGCCAACGTCAACCCCGAGGACATTCTGCTCAAGGAGAAGCTGGAGAAGCTAGCCAAGGAGGACGAAGGCTTCAACGTCTACTACGTCCTAAACAACCCCCCCGAGGGATGGACTGGTGGTGTTGGCTTTGTCACCCCCGACATGATCAAGGTATGTAACCGAAACGCGGCGGTATTATTGTCATGATAACTAATTTTCTCAATTAGGAGCGCCTCCCTGCCCCCGCCAGCGACGTCAAGGTCCTCCTCTGCGGTCCTCCTCCCATGATCAGCGCCATGAAGAAGGCCACCGAGTCCCTTGGCTACACCAAGGCCCGCCCTGTCAGCAAGCTGGAGGACCAGGTCTTCTGCTTCTAAGCGTATAACAAGGAGTCCTTGTTTCATCAATAAAATTTCCTTTGCAGCGTCTTCGAAGCCTCTGTAATCCACTTCAGAGCATGACAGGCACCATTTCATGGTGAATGGGTTAGTGTATAGGGAGGAACGGAGCTAGACTTGTCTATAGACCAGACCCCCTATAGGGACTGGCGGTTGAGCGTCCAGACGTTTCTGAAATGTGCGAATGAGCGACTGCTTTTTGATTCTGGGTTTCTTACGTTATATATCTTGAATGAACTTGTCGTTTGATGCTTCTAGAGTCAGTTGTCTCGATTCTAATCGTCCCGTGCCTTGGGCTGCCTCCCATCTCACTCAGCTAAATGTCTATCTGCTTGCCATCGATCGCAGTGGGCATTTGCTAACTAATTTACTGGCCAATATCGCAATTGCGTTTTGTTGAATTTGACTCCTCTATTTTATATCCAAAGATCCCGCTAACGCCCAGGTCAAATGAAATGACAAAATGGAGAGAAACACCTACTAATCTCAGACTCAAAGTCGACATCCTTCTTCCAAATCCACCGCTCCCGGTCATACTCTAATCCCTTGCCGAAATGTACGTATTCCACACAATCTTGCACGTATTCCTCATCGACACTAAGTTCTTCGTCGGCTTCTTGAACTTCATCATCATCAGAATAGGAGAAATCGTTAGTCAAGAAGACGTTATCTTCTTCTGGTTCTTCGTCAGCCTCTATGTCATCATGGAATGGACGACTTAGCTTGTCATACTCCCAGTCACTCTCGAACGGGCACTATTCGTGCTCGTATTCTTCACGAGAAAGCTCGTGGGGAAAGCTGTCTTGTGAAGACTCCATGATGACGGTTCTGTTAGCTTGATAGTTTGGGAATAAGGCCAGCTTGCTAAAAGTGTAATTGAGTTACGATTGCTAATGCATTCCTTGAAGCTTGAAGCTTGATAGCTATGTTAGTCCGAAATCAGAAGATTTGGAAATTGGTGCTAAGAGGGAAAGGAAGGGCTCGCAGGGGGTTTTATAGGCGTCTAGTTTGGACTCATAAAAGAACGGTCACACACATTCGAGCTTATTTTTTGGTTGAATGCATTCTAGTCACTCAGTAACAATGGGACTATTGTCTGATTATTTTCTTTGTCGAGGATTTCTTTGAGTCGAGGAGATGTGAATGAAATGGTTTCTGGCCTCACGCGCATCACTCGTTGCCCACAATTCGTTTGTTGAACTGTTGATCGTTTGTCAAATTACCATATGGAGCAGAGTAGTCGTGAATACAAATGGATTCTGCGTCGAGGAGACCTCACGTCGGACACAATTCTTTTGTAAACTTCTTTATTGTTTGTAGAATCACCACATATTGTGCGAGTCCTGAATATTATAATCTAGCATACTCATACCCCATTGAAATCATCACGTATTTCCAGTTCTCTTAGAACAAAACCTTTGACACGTCCTTGTTGTCCTTCACCTTGATATTCTTCATCATCAGCACCCAACCAATAGACAAAGCCATAACAGCAGTACCCGCAATCATCATGTTGCGCTGACTGAAAGCATACGCATTCTGGATAGCGATGCGGGTAGGAGATCCAACTTCAAAGCTAAGCTGAATATCCAACGACTCGTAAATATCCGCCCACTGATCCACAGTGTCTGCAGGCAACAGCTCCTGCAATTTCTTGGGAAGTGTGTTGGTCCAGATCGCACCTGAGACACTGCTACCAACAGCACCACCAACGTTACCGAAGACACTAAGCAGTGCCAACATGGCAGCGTAGTCTTCGTGACTGGCAGCGGCCAGGACGGCAACTTGTTCAATCAAGATCATAGTACCACCACCGACGGCCAGGAAAATCTGGCACATGCACATGTATCCAACATTGTGACCGGGGGAACGAAAATAGATCATCAATCCACTAGCGAGGAGGTAGAGCGGCACGGCAAACATGAGCAGCCACTTGAACCGACCAGTGACTCGGATCAAGTATCCACAGCCAAGAAGCCAGACAGGGTCCATGAAGTCGAAGATAGCAGCGATGTAACCGGCTTGAGTGAGGCTGGTGTTGAAAACGACTTGTAGGAAGGAGGTGAAGTAGCTGGCCCAGCAGTAGTAGGAGACCTGGTAGGTGATACACAAAAGACACGCGCCGATCACGGTTCGGTTGGCGAGGAGCGAGAATGGGATGAAGGGCTTTGGTGCTCCCCAGCGCTCGTAAGCGACGAAGGCGACTAGAACGCAGAAGCCAACTACCATCATGGCGATGATCTTGGGTGACTCCCATTCTCCTTCGGTGTTACCGGCGATATTGAACGATGTAAGGAAGAGGATCAGGCCGCCGATCATGAGGAAGATACCGATAACTGTGGTTGGCTCATCATGTCAGCGTGATTCATGCAAAGTATCTCGAGAAAACACGGTACTCACTATCAAACTCAATGATATAGAACCAAACACTCTGCATCCAAGTCCGAGTGCTGCGAGCCTTGTAGTGCAGCCGACCCTCCTTATCAGCCTTTCGCTTCGCCAACTCCCACGTAACAATCAAAGGCAGCGCAACAATCGGAAGAATAATGCAGATAGTTCCGTACGCCCATCGCCAATTGGTTTCGTGGAATTGGTTGGACAATGGGGATCCTGCAAACGCGGTGATCATATAAGGCGAGGAGGTGAAAGCGTATGCTAGACCACGATTGCGGAGGGAGGAGGTATCCGAGGTGATCACGTCAATTGAGAAAATTGTACCGGTGAATCCGACCGTGTAGAATGCCTATAAAGCGAGTATATGGGATCAGCGGTGTTCAGGCATGTACGATGAGCTTATAGGATCCTTACCTGCGCAGCACAGTATGTCGCGATATTGTTGCAACAAGCCATCATAATGAGACCCATGATGGCAATCAAAACCATGATGGAGATTCCCAGGGTTCGGTCCCACAAGTTCAGAACCTTTGCAATTGGCATCACGCAAGCAGCGCCTGAAGGTTGTTGTTAGTATTTGACTGAAAGAGATTGACCATGATGGTAATGATTCAGGATTTCGCACCCATTACACTGGTCACAACACTGATCACAGTGAGTAGCGAGTGTTCCGAGAAATCACTGGTGATATAGGCCGACAGATTGGCAGTAAGACTGCTGTTCAGACCGTTGACAAAGTATAACAACCACATCCTGCAGCGAAGTCAGTCCGACGCTCGTAACAAGGATAGACAGTGAATTGACTCACGAAGCATAGACTATGATCAAAGAGCGTCTCGACCAAGAAGAAGTGACCGCCTCAGCAACTCTCACACCATCCTGTTGATCCTCCTCCTCACCCTCCACCCTCGGAGACTCAGGGTTCAAAGGCAACGGATCTTCATTGACCCCCATGGTAGTGGCATTCTTGTCCATGGTCATTGTTGATAGGGGTGACCAGATACACTCCAAAAAGGACCCAAAGTTGAAAAAAAAAGTAGCTATCCCAAAAACTCAAATTCCCCGGGGCTAGCAGTCACTTTTAAATCCCAGCATCCGGGCCTGGCATCACCGCCGTCGCGTGGTGTCTCCACTTTCAAATCTGATAAAAATTCCCTCTTGCTATGGCTTCTGGGCAAGAACCACTTAGATCTCGAATAGAGCTTCTGATGGAGACTGCACATGCACGCACCTCTTGGCATGACATGGGCAATCCGTCGAGGTCGGCCGATGATCGGAAATCAACACCATATGCATATACGAGCTCGGGCTTCTTTGCGTGAAAAACAGTTTATATCATGAGCTGCACGGCCCAGTGCGTAAGAAGCTTGATGCACAGGCTCGTCGAAGCTACAGCAAGACGAAGGAAGGCCTGCATGCAGCGGAGTGTTGATGTCTCACTGGCATATCCACAACGACCTTCCCAGTGTTACGTTTTGCTGAGTGTTCATCCCGCCCCCACAGTGTAGCACTGGGAGAAGTGAGCTGCTCTCCACCCGAGGATTTCCGAGGATTTGGGCTCATTGGGCCTGGGTTAGTCTGGAAATATCATGGTTTGCCCAGAGGCCATTTTAGTTAGTATGTCTCGGCGTTCTTGGCGACAAGGAAAATTTTGCCTGGAGCCGGGTGTGCAAACAACACGCGGGCCGAGATAAGATCGAGACCCATGGTATGACATATGAGGAGGAAATCGTACGGTACTGTAGCTTCCAAGGAGGAAGTGTTGTATTGATCATAACTTGAGCTCCATGACCGAGCAGGCAGACATAATCAGGGTAAATAGATCCCCACTCAGGCGAGAGAGGGAGCAAACCCTTCCAGTAGAACCTGCCAATCGAAGACCAACGTGCAATTTTAAAGAAGCCCCGCTATACCCGGTGCTTCTCTAGGGCGGACTGGAAGTCAGAGAGATTACCAACTAGAAAACGCACTACGCGATGCAACTAAATCGGAAATGTGGTGGACATGGAAACTCTGAGTGGCTGCCTATTTTTCCCCGTCAAAAGTCAAAAAAATCTCCGTCGTTGCGCCGTAGATTGATAAGACAAAGCTGAGCCGAGACCGGAAGAAAAAAACAGATTGATTAGATCGATATCCTCCCTTGGCATGTTTAAGCGACCTTGGCAGACTGGGATTGGCCGCTTGGTTCTCTTATTTTTTTTGGGGGTTGGAGTCTCATGACCGAGTATAGGAAAAGTGGTAGGAAGGAGTTATGCAAGAAGACCCCAAGAGAATAAAAGAATATTCCGAAGATCATTATCTCATCATCTCATCGAAATAGGATATCGGTTTGAGAAGTGAGTGGTGGTGGTGGTGGGTGGTTGGTTGCTGTTATTGCCCGACCGGGCATCACAAATTCCACAGCCTAATTTCTGAAACTAGTAATATAGCCTTTGCGCACATGATATGTTCGGATTCCTTGTCATAATGAATTTCGGAATGCTTGAAACTTCATTAGAGAGTGCGATCGTCAATTGATCTCCACTCAAAATTCTCATTTGAAGACTTGATGGTGATTGCTGGTGGGGCAACGGTCAGTGAAAGTGCACGCACATTCGATTGAGCCGCCTGCCGAGCAAACCCTCTTGCAAGAGACGGGAGAGCGAGAGCGGAAGAAAGAATAATTAGAGCTAACTCTTTTCCCCTTTAAGGTAATTTCCAGGACTGAAACAAGACAGCGTCGAGTTCCTAATCTATCGTAGTGGAAAACGCGTCACGTGATCTGGACCTGGCTATCATTCCATCTCACAGTTGCAGGTCATCGTGTCGACCTCACGTCCCAGTTCGTATCGAAACTTGCGTTTCGGTCGCTTGCATATTATCATAAATACACTCGCAATACTTGAGATTGCCTGCTTTCCTAGACCCAAAATCATCATGGCAACCTTGAACTCAGATACTGTCACAGATATCAACACACTAGCCGAGTATCTAAGCGACCCGGAAATCCAAGACCTCTCATCTACACCCTCGGTTGACTGTATCGTCATATGCGCATCACAAGTCCTATACGGCGCACAGATTATCTTCGAAGCTCTCCAGAAAAGGCCCAACTTGGCAAAATGCTTGGTACTCTGTGGTGGCATCGGCCACTCAACCAAACTTCTCTATAGCGCCGTCGCACAGCACCCTCGCTACTCAGAGCTGGTTCATGAGATTGACGGCCTTCCTGAGGCTCGCGTGCTAGAAAGAATCTTGGATCGATTCTTTGATCGGTCAGCCATTAAATCTCTGGGATGCCAAATTCTGGTTGAAGACCAATCGACAAACTGTGGACAAAATGCCTCGTTCAGTCGCCGAGTACTCGACCAAGCAGGCTTCTCGGACCAGGAAACTTGCGTTATAAATCAAGACCCGACTATGATGCTGAGGACAAAGGCATCATTTAGCAGAGTTTACAGTGACAAGACTTCAGCTGTGTCGTTTATCAGCTGTCCCATATTTGTTCCAAAGGTCCAACTATCTCAGACCAATATTTTGGAATGGAAGCTTATGGGTGCATTATGCGAGCTTTGGGGCATTGAACGCTTCATTGAGTTGATATTGGGAGAAATACCGAGACTGAGAGATGATAGAAATGGGTATGGCCCCCGTGGGAGGGACTTTATCGCGCATGTTGACCTTCCAACTGAGGTCGAGATGGCATGGTCACGACTAGTTGGAACATTTAGGCATCAAAGACTCCGATAAGGCATAATACTGGGATCGCAAGCTGTACCGGAAATGGTCCTATGAAGCCCGGAAGGGGAGCAGGCCATCTCACTGGCAGGCAGATATTGATATTGGAATACCAGAAAGGGGACGTCCACTAAACATTGTGTTGAAGTAATAGGCTCGATTAGGCTTTGTATCTCGATGTAGAAGAATGAAACCAGCACTATCGCAGAGCAAAGAATAGAGTGGTATTGAGGCATCAATCATGAAATATAAATGGTAGAGAGCGTAGATAGATAAAATAGGGCGGATAGAAGAAAAATGCTATAATATCCCAGTTTCCAAAAAGATTGTTCAAGGTGAATACCGTGGGTCTTTCGGGTCTTTCGGGTCTTTCAAATTAGACAATTCGACCCAGGTCGTAGACGAGCCCTTGTCCTGCAGGATGTTGTGTGGTATCCGCTCGTTGGAGACCCGAGAGCTCGTTTCCGACGGCACGATTGTCGTAGCGCCATCCTTCGCTGACGAAATGGAGATAGTAGTCGTGACCATAGGAGGAGGGAATCCTGGTGATTGATCACCGACTGCGGTTGTGCTGTATGGCTGTTTGTAGTTGTACATGTAGCTCTTCCTTTTGCTTCCGGTGAGGGTTGACTTGATGAAGCGATTGGTGAATGGTCTGAAAAGAGGCCACACTGGTGGAATGGACATGGTGATTAGGACAAGCCACTCCTCAACCTCACCCCAGCAGAATAGAATGCCAACGCCATCTAAGACAGTACAGGTCAGTCAAATCCAACAAAGCACAGCGGTGGCTATCAGGGTGACTTACAAGACGAGTCTTCACTTAGGATGAATTTGGCAGCCCACGTACGGACGACAGCGGCTACACCGGCAAAGACACCACAGCCCATGAGGAAACTCAAACCCCATTTGAGCTTTCGATCGATACGCAGAGGTATGAGCATGTGGATAGGGACGATAGCGAGATAGATGTCTGACAAGGCAGCGACGGCGCCGACAAAGTAGGTATAGTATACGCTCTTGCGGTGGTCACACTGGTCTTGTTGCAGGGGATCCCAGAGCGCTGTGACGGGGGTACATTGGAACCAGACCATCAAGACCTGTGGGATATTAAGAACGATGTTGAGAACGGCGACGGCAATTAAGCTCTTTCGAATCTTCGGGTCTAAAGGTAAGAGATGGTTAGTATATTTACCCAGTATTGATATGAGAAACAACGCTGTGTTCTGATAACTCACTGCTTTGTCCATTCATTTCAATCAAGAATGCAGCGACGGCCACTTTGCCGGTTGGAATGGCGAGATTGAAGAAGAATACAGTAACCCAGGTAAAGAGAAGGAAGTGGTGTAATTCGCCGACTTTGATAATGAGTGTGATATGGTTTCCAAGGCCGTGGAGGACGGAAAGGATTCCAAAGATTTGAGTGATAGCAGTAAGCAACTACATCAGAGTTAGCAAGATAATCAACGTTCCATGCATAGATCTAGTCATACCCAAGCAGCGAGTGACCACATCAAGGCTGTAGTTCCAAATTTGTTCATAAACAACCGCACGTAGACGCGCATAGCCATGAAAATGGTAGCAATGATGGCCAATGTAATGCCGAGGCGCAAATCGCCAGGCCCACGGCCACCATAGGCCGGAAACTTTTCTTCAAGCGACATGCCGTAAAGATGTATAGATTCAAAGGAGTGACGAGGGAAACCTAAGAGCAAAGTTGCCCATTTTGTGAAAACGGGAGGGGATCGGCTTATCAGAATCCGGGGGGCGTAGTCTGGTGCATTTATACTACCATACCATCGACATCGAGGCTGAGAAAGGCGGAAGGGACCGTCTGTGAGTGTCACGATTGAATTGCAAATTCTATGAGGAGGAGGGACGTGCGAACCGGACTAAAACACTTGGTTGGTGCAAGTGTGGTCGATCTTGTGGAGTAACACACTGGGACTATCGAACCCTCGGTTGCTGTTGTTGACCCGACGAGTGCCTCGATTGGTTTCTTCCTGGCCTGACCCAATTTCCCCACCTGCGAGATGACAATGTCCATTGACGTCTGTTGGAAAGCCACCCCGGGATGGCATGACGACGGGCACAATGGTGAGAATTGTTGTTCTTCTATCGTATTCACGGCCACGCCCAACTCCCCTGGACCTGGACTTTCACGGGCCATCAGTTCCATCGCGATCTACTGGCAGCAGCCAATAACATCAACCCTGTCAAGAGAACTCACGAACTAACCAGAATTCAGGCACATCCTAGTTCCGGAAACCATCGAAGCCTCGTATCAAATTCTCCAGTTCGCTCCGACTGGCCAACATTGTCCCACGGTTCGGTGGGGTCAATGCATCTCCCGAGGCATGCCCCCTGAATCATACGCGGTGCAGCACGCCGCAACCATTCGCTTAGACTTCAGCCTATGACAAGAATTTCTGTTCGAACAGACTCTCCGGTCGCGTGTCTCCTGCAGCCCAGCGGAGCTTTCCAATTCGTCGCGCCGGCCACTTCTTGTCCGTCTGGGAATGCCTTGGGCAAAACACTTCAATAGTCATGCCTTCCGTCAACTCACCCTGTGACGAGAAAAAGCTCGAACCATGCGATAGAAGCTAAGAGAAGCCGGTCAAGCTTAACGAACCCACTATTGATTGAAAATCTCGCCCCCATCTACGCCATTTGATCTTTTTCCCGGCTTTGGTGCAAGCCGCGTCTCCTCCAGCCGCCGCTATTCTCTCCACTTTTAAGGCGCAGAGGAGGCAATGATCGTCCACCGAATCCCTGTCATAATTCCTTGTTCACGAGTCACTTCTATTTACGCTGTTGACTTTCCCTATGCACAGTATCACCCTCGCGTGAGGAGTATAGAACAGTTGCCGCATTGTGACCCAAGCACCCCCGCTGAAATTTTGAATCCTCCAGATCGTATCGAATCATCACGTTTGTGTAATGAAATCTGCACCTCGACCTGAGCGTCTCATCCTCGATTTGTAGGATTGCAGGCTCGGGACAACAATCACCAAGCCATCTAATCGATCTCCCCTCTCCCTCCTCGCCTCCTGCTTATCGTGGCGACGGTAGACTCCTCGGCCGGTATTGATGCCCGTCCGGGTAGTTACCGGCAAAGCAACTTGCCGATCCTCTGCCGATCTTTCGTGGATTCCTTTCTCCACTAAGAGAGAACAGTGGAGACAACTAGCACCTCTTTGAATGGTTGATGGCTCTCCTTGGAAGAACGACACGCTATGCTTTCTAAATAACTACTAGCGCCGTGGATCATGTTTATGGTGGATCAATATCGCCTCTTCAACCTTGACTAACTAGCAATGCGACCCAGGGTTTTGTTTAGGTTCCAAGTTCAATAATATGGAGATCTTGTTCAATTGTGTCCCTGTGCGGCGCAAAATAGGCCTAGAAGTTTCATTTCTAACCTCAGATTAAGAGTCCCGAAGAAACGTGAGATACAGCAAGGATGAAAGGATCATCAAGCTTTCCCGACAATGAGTTTACATACTCCTTTGGCAGGCATCCACTTGCATATCCGCGCTTGACTAGCGCAGTGAACTCCCTTTGTGCTGGTGCACTTCTTTTGATCATCCCGGATGACAGTTTCCATCTGGTTATTGCAAAGGCTTTTATTCCAAGTTTAGTTTCCGTCTGGCCGGTGAAGATAGGGATGTTCCATCAATTCCTAGGCCACGCCCAACAGACCAAAAGAACCGACAGTGACGGCGTGACTGTCGGCACTCGTGGAGTTACTGCGAGATTACAACTCAAAAGAAAGTCTTGCCAAGGGGTGGCACGGCTCATGCGGCTTAGCCATTTCATTACACAAACGCTGAAGAGTGGGTTGTCTTCTCAGCATGTCCCTAGAGATGGAAGAAGCCTATTTTTGTTCTCATGTTCAATGCAGCGATGATTACTCCTCCATTCAAGCTCATGTACAACTCCAAAAGCCACGAGGGTCCCACGTGGCTATCGACATGCGCGCACATCAACAACAAAAGCAATGTGAACGTGCCGTCTCCACAATCTGCTTCTTTTCTGATAGAGCAATTGTCCCTGGTAAATCGTCATATTCTTCGAACATCAGATTATCTCAATCGTCTTTACAGTTTGAATATCTACGTTTACCGACCTTCCTCGGACACCTGTCGCTTCTCTTTTCGCATAGAGGTTGAACAGAATAGCCACCGTCATATTCGATGCTAGAGACTGGTGTATGTCCATTCGTAGACATCAAGTAAGGTACGGATTGATTTTACTTGCCGACGCCCACAATGGCGATTAGTTGGTCTTCAGTGGGGCCATAATTGGCGTCATCAACAACATACATATATTCACCTCTCAAGTCACCCTTGTATGCCCGTAATCAGGTAAGAATAGCGTTGTCTACCCATTTTACCGGGCAGTAATCGGTTGTAACCGTGACTGCGGCCACATGTCTTACCTGCAAGGTGCACTACTGCAGTTTATGCAGATACCAAGCAAAATCTGACCTGGCGATTCGAGCAAAGTCTTCCCCGATCGGACAACTCTCAAACGCTTTTCTCCATGAGAAATATTCGAAGTTCCTCTTCCCCAGTCAGACCTCCAGTCATTCTTAAACAGCCCTGTGGTGATGGTTCCCTCGGCCATTGTGGATGGAGTGGGGCTCACCTGTGCGCTCTACCCAAGTTTCAATCTCGATCAGGAGTGGGCCGACCTTACAACTCAGGCACTTCGAGTCGCGCCGAGAACCTGCAGGTTGTTGAACCCAATCACCAGCGTGCAAGAGAGCATGGTACCTGTATGTCTCGGGCCCTTCTTCCGATTTTTGAGATCAATTGGTTATGTGTTGCGGGCTGCTCCCAGTACTAACTTTTAGCGTCTTCATCTGCATGGACATCACAGACAACACGAATCGGACCGGTCGTCTGTCGCTGGAAATGTGGTCCTTTTTTCCGACAACATTTCTGCTTACGCTCGACATATGGGTATAAAAGGGACAGTCGCGATCTCCCATTGAACTAATAGATTCAACAGACATTCCTCCTTCGGATTCCTACTTCCCTTCTCAGAAATGGTCGCGATCACCAGTCTCTTGACAGGTCTTCTGGCCTTGTCTTCTTCAGCTGCCTCTACTGCGATCCGCCGCCGCTCAATCACACCACCAGAAGGATGTCCTATTCCCACATGGACCGTCAGTGACTTCCGCTGGTACAATGGCTCCCACAGTCTTGACTGTGTCCACAACGATGTCGATATCAACACCAAGGGCTGCCTTTGCGGCTCAGGCTGGTGTGAGCCAGATCCTGCGACATGCAATGGCACCATGGTGAATGTCTGCTGGACCGGCATGCCCAGCTACCAACCATGGGGTTACGGCCCGCCCCAAACTCTCGACATCAAGTTTGCCGATGGCTTGACTTGCCACGACGAGTACATTGGCTATCGCGTTCATGATATCGGTCACGGTGCGAGCAATTGCGGCTATGCTGACCGAGGTCTCGGGAGAATCGTTGCTTTCTATGGTTCGTCGAATGAGGATTCTTCCACGGGCCACTTGGACTATACCCTCGGCGACGGGCATGCGCTCAAGTGCGACAATGGGAGCTCTATCACGTACTCTGGAAGTGTGGACTTTGCGCTCACCTGCATACATGATGCGGATTTCAATGCTACTTGCACCGCACCTGTGTTTGAAGTTCCAGTACTGAGCTATCAGTGGGTCTCCTAGATATTTTCTGAGCGGTATGCGCCATTGGAGGCTTTTGTGAAAGTGGCTGGACGAACTCTAGGACCTACTGCAGTTCAACGAGATTCACTCTTCTGTCAATTTAGGCTGAGGCTAATAGCATGTCAACTTGTACCTTCGCACGATAGACTATTCCTTTTCAGATATGATAAAAAATATGTACATCGAGTACCTAAATATCCTCAGGATACCTACTAAGCCTAGACATATCAATGAACGTCGATCATCTTCTGCGCCATTTCTAGGACGATATAGCTAATGATGGAAGTTTCCTCCTGTGGCAAGTTCATTGTTTGTCCAGGCCCTGCGCCCAAGGTCAATTTTGAGTGGGTCATCCTCAAAAGGCAGCCGATGTGAATGTTACCAATCCCAAAGACTACATCACCAAGGCGAGTGCGTCCTTTGACGATCTACAGATTGTGATAAAATCGACATATCTGGACATGCAGCTTGCCGCAGGAAAATCTCTCATCTTTCCCATGATGCCCCCTTTAGCATGCGCCGTCAATAGCCGTTGCCTCTTAGACTAGACGACCACTCAAAATTCCAAACCCCTAACCATTACGCGTCTGTGCTGCGAGTCTCGGGCTCTTGCTTTCGAGACTGGAAAGTCCACAGATGGTGAAATCGAAGGAGGCTCCGAATACACCGTAGGTCGGGAGGCCCCGCTGTGGTTTGATCCAAAGCTTGGTATTGTCACCTGGTAGTATTGTCACCTGGTTCTGGCAACCGCAGTGGAATCACTTGTATGGTGATTTTCGGGAGCATCCGGAAAACCTGTCATATTTTCCTCGGCATGCTTCTCGAGCGCGAGGTGGCTTGATCCTTGCGCAGAGACTTCATTTCGGTGCCGTTACTTCAACGGACCAATTTACCCTGAGAATATTCAACGAAAAGAAGTCTTTCTGCAATCTCATGACGGAAATGGAAAAACTGGCTGGTCTGCCTCAAAGTGATTCTCTCCACTTTTAAGGCGCAGGTAAGGCAATGATCGCACAGTGAGTCCCTGTCATTATTCCTTATCTACGAGGGATGGTTTTTGGGTGTTAAATCCCTAGCACGCAAAGCAAAATCGTTCACAAAGGCTAGAGAGCGCAGCGCAAAGATGACATCCAAGGACCTAGCCAAAATGGGTACACAGTTCAGCCGGAAGGATAGACAGGCGAAGGATATCATGAGCCTATGCAAGCCGCCAGCAGCCATACTGGAATACAGTCCTCGGATCACTGGAAAATCTCAAGGCTTATGCTCGGGATAACTCTGGGGACTTCAAGCTCCAGCACATAGGGGTAATGGGTGTCTTGATACTGCCTCGTCTTTTCTTAAAAATTTTCGCTCTTCAAACCAATTGGGCTGTACCTCCGATTTGGAGGTTCTAAAATAAATTCTAAGCATTTATTCAGACCGTGTGCCGTGCTTTCCGTAAAGAATTCTGTGTAGGTTCCTTTCATACTTGTATTTATTCTTTGCGATCAACAGGGAAGGCTGATAAACAGCAGACGGCTTGCGGCTGTCAATCGCCCATGAACTTCTTTCCCTTAACCAACCACTCCAGCTTCCTTCCTCAGTCACACACCACAATCTTGACCACCATACCTACCTCGTCACTGTATCATCTCTTCAATTGCGAGTCGATCCTATCGCCTGAAGCGGCATGAATACCTTCACCTTGTTCCCTTGCCTTCCCACCGAGTTACGCCTCATGATCTGGAGGAAGTGCATTCCGATGAGAGTCGTGGAGCTTCATTTCATCCACAATGAAGCATGCACCATCAATACCCGTTGCCTGTTGGACTGGACGACCACCCAAAATTCCAAACCCCCGACCATTACGCGTGTGTGCCGAGAGTCTCGGGCTGTTGCTTTCGAGACTGGGAAATTTACAGATGGCGAAATCCAAGGAGGCTAGGAATGCACCGCACTTCAGAGGGCGCCTCTGTGGTTTGATCCAAAGCTAGTATCGTCACATGGTACTGGCAACCAGACTGGGAACTTTCGGTTCATGGTACTTGGGATCCAGATCACCGGGAAGACCTATCATATTTCCTTTGGCATGCTTCTCAAGCACGAAGTGGCCTGATCTTTGCGCGAAGGCTTCATTGGTCCAACTATTCAAATGGGCCTGGTTACGCTGAGAGGCCGAACGAAAAAAGTCTTTCCCAAATTTCACGATGGAAAACCTGGCTAGCATGCATGAAGTTAATTCCAATGCATTTGGGTGGCGATCAAGTATTCAAATCCAACCTCTTTGGAATGAACGGAAAAGAACTCATTCAACTAGTCGATCCATCGGATACCAAGCGTCTTCAGCTCTTTAAGCACCACTCAAATCCCCAGGACCAAGAAGCCCAGGATTGTTTTACTCTCATCGAAGACACCGCGAAGCTTCGCGCCGAAATTGATAGCTGGAAGCGGGGAGTCAAAATTACTTGGATTTGGCGACACTGGATGGCCATGTTGCGCAAATGCCGGGGTGGTAACGATACGTGGTTGAACAACCGTATGGAGGACGTTTGGAACGGGCCTCGCGATGATGAGAACGGAGAACCGCTCGACACGTCACTTCCCCACACATACATGCGTGAGGGATATACTTACGGGGAAGTCATCGACGATACTCGATACACCCCGAACATGGACCACCCTTGGGTTCAAAATATCGTAGCCAATATGCCTACCTTCCGTCCAACGATCATGTTCCGCCTGTTTGTGAATGACTGTAAACAAACAAATGGCTACTTCCGCAGTCTGAAGTGGAAGAAGCCAGGCAGTGACGAATACCAGCGGAAGAGGAGGGTTCGATCAGCGATGTCGAGGCATATTCACAACACCAGAGGGATCTGATTGAGAGGCTATGAACGAACACGGGTACTACGAACTATGCTTTTACGGGGTGGAAACGGACACATCATGTCAATTTCGGTGCTTTCCTTGATTCGCGGTAATGCTAGTCTACATGATATGCATTCAATGAATTTCGATCATTTCCTGCACCATTTCCAAAAACTTCTGACGATAATCTGTCGCCGTAGTCGTAATAGACATATGACCCTTCCTCCCAATGACATTGAATGTTTGCACCACTCCCGACAAAGCCTGTGCACGTAGCTTATGTCGAGCCCAGAAGAAATCGAGTATCACAGCCCTGTATTTCCATTTACCATCCGCCGAGGGCAGGCCTGCTCGCCAGGGACTTTGTCTCCCCAGTACCTCTGGGCTTGAGGTAGCTGGTAACCGTACCAGGAAGAGAGAGTAGTCGACTGCATTCGCATCTTCCAGAAACTTTGTATCCTCCTTCATGGCCTGTATGAACTTCTCATAGTCGTTTCTCCACAGATGTAGCTTGTCATTGAAAGTATCTGCCAGCTTGTCCAAGGTGGCTTCGCTGACGAGTACTTCGGGCAACAAGTCGCGCTCCGGGTAGAAATAGTCGATTGGTTTGAGGTCATATGTCTCCCAACGCTGACCTGCAGGATCGTCCGCTTTGCCGCAGAGGATGTTCTCCATGATGATGTGATGCGCAGGGGTGCAGCCAAATATTGTGCCGAGGGTCACGTATGGAGAGATGAGGTAGTCGGTTATCCAGACCAGTATAGAATCCGGGTGGTCACGCATATAATCATGATATGGCTGGAGGAGATCGGATTGGAAAAAGGTGTACTCGAAGTGTCGTGGAAGGCTTTTGATAACATAGTGCCCGTCGCAAGTGCCGAAAAATGTCTGCGACAGCGGTTAGATGCGATATCCTGGGGAATGCATTCCCTGGAACCAACTTACCGAGCCCGAATATCCCAAATCACCCATCGATTTCAGCGGCGGCTGACCACTTGTCGTGCGAAAGCTGGCCTGGTATTCATTTTCATTGAAGTGCCAGATTTCTTGACGAAGCCTAGCAAAAAGCTCCTCCTCGAATCGAATGAGTTTGATTCGATAGAGTGTGAAAAATGCGATCAAATGTCCCCAGGTTGTTTTCTTGAAACGGTCTGGGTCGCGGAGTAATCCAGCCTGGATGGAGTGGGTCAGCGCCGACTGGCGACGACTTTTCCCCATGATGTGATGATAGAAGGAAGACAAAGCGTGGGTTAGGAAAGAAGTCAAGCTTCTTTTATTAATTTGGCGCGCATCTTGCATTAAGCTTGCTTTTTGCAACGACACTGCTTGGGCAGTGAGATGAGTGACGTCAGATATAGATTTCTCGTACTCTGATTGGTGGTTGGTGTTGCAGTCGAGTAACTGTCAGGTGTCAAGGTCGAGCTTGGTAGATGGGGTCTAGAGCAGTCCAGAAGATTATATTGATTAATCTAAGTAACGATTATTTGCTCTAGAGCTAGACATCAATCGCTATCCTAGAGTGTCTTTCCACAGAGGGTCTACATGTATTCGGGAACGTAGCACCACCTAACTACTCTAACGAGAGTCTTCAACCATAGTACAGGTAATGATTGAATGTAATCAACTATATTCAAATAATATAGATCATACTCCTAAGCAAACTGTTTACCCCACTAACAAAGAAACAAAGAAGTGATGAGTGGAGCATCATCTCAATCTATATCCCACAGACACGTGACATACCGCCCTGATAGCTTTCCGCCTGAGTCACCGCAGAAAAAAAAGTGACGAAGAAAGTTCCCCTCCTTATGGGTCGGATTCTGCTAAGCGGGGCCAGTCGATTCACAGGCGTCTTTTTTCTCGGTCCAGTATTCGCTGTCGCATTCGCTTTCCCCTCATCCCGTCGCATTCACTATCCCATACCGCAACCATGGCCGCCGATTCCCTGACGGCCTCCGTCCAGGCCTTGACCCTGCAGTCCACCACCAAGACCTCCAAGTTCGCAGGATGCTTCCCGACCTTGAACCCCATGGACATCTACCGTGAGCACATTGCGGAGGAATTGGGCAAGGCCGCTGGCATCGACTCGGACTTGATCTTCTCTCGTCTTGCATGGACTAACACTTTGGACAAGGGTGACCTGTCTCTGCCGGTATGTTTACCATGAGTCAAAAGTCAAAGACAGGCTAGAGTTCATGGCTAGTATAAACGAACAGCACCACTGACATCCCCCACTTTGTGATCTACTTTAGGTCGCTGCCCTCCGTATCAAGAAGAAGCCCGACGAGCTCGCCGCGGAGCTGGCCTCCAAATTCCCCGAGTCCGACCTCATTCACCCTCCTACTGCCTTTGGCCCTCACCTGCAGTTCTTCTGCAAGGCCGCTCCTCTGACCAACACCGTCCTGGGCCGTATCCTGTCCGAGAAGGCCGCCTTCGGTACCAATGGCAACATGGGTCTCAAGGATCCCTCCGACCCTTCCAAGGGTCAAAAGAAGATCATTATTGAGTTCTCATCGCCCAACATCGCCAAGCCCTTCCACGCCGGTCACCTGCGGTCAACAATCATCGGTGGTTTCCTTGCAAACCTGCACACTGTTATGGGATGGGACGTGATTAAGATGAACTATCTCGGTGACTGGGGCAAGCAGTACGGTCTGCTGGCCAACGGCTTCAAGTATTTCGGAAACGAGGAGGCGCTCACAAAGGACCCTATCAACCACTTGTTCGATGTATATGTCAAGATCAACCGCATTGTAGGTGACCAGGAAGGCCCCATCAAGGAGCTGAAGGAGCAGATCAAGACCAAGAAGGAAAAGGGCGAGGATGTCGCTACGGAGGAGGCCGAGCTTGCCAAGCTTGTGGATGTTAGCGAGGATGAGAAGGCCCGTCGGTATTTCAAGAGCATGGAAGACGGTGACCCAGATGCCCTTGCTCTCTGGGCTCGCTTCCGTGATCTCAGTATTGCCAAGTATAAGCAGACCTATGCCCGCCTGAACATTGACTTTGACGTCTACTCTGGTGAATCGCAGGTCAAGGCCGAGAGCATGGCCAGCGCTTATAAGGCGATGGAGAAGGCCGGTGTCACTGAGGAGTCCGACGGTGCTATCATTGCCGACTTCACCAAGCACGGTGCTAAGAAGCTTGGCAAGGCTATTATTGTCCGCAAGGATGGCACTCCCCTCTACCTGACCCGTGACATTGGTGCCATTCTGGAGCGTGATGAGAAGTATCACTTTGATAAGATGATTTACGTTGTGGCTGCTCAACAAGATCTCCACCTGGCTCAGCTGTTCAAGGTTACCGAGCTGATGGGTAACAAGGATTTGGCCAGCCGCTGCCAACACATCAACTTCGGTATGGTCCACGGTATGAGCACCCGTAAGGGTACCGTCAAGTTCTTGGACGATATTCTCCGGGATGTCGGTGACAAGATGCACGAGGTTATGAAGAAGAACGAGACCAAGTACTCTCAGGTCGCGAACCCCGAGGAGACTGCCGACACTCTTGGTATCACCTCCGTCATGGTTCAGGATATGACTGGCAAGCGGTAAGTTTAACGAACTCCTAGGTACATTATTCCCATACCTTCTGATGCTAACTTTCTCAGTGTCAATGGTTACGACTTCAACCTCGACGCCATGACCTCGTTCGAGGGTGACACCGGTCCCTACCTGCAATACGCCCACGCTCGTCTCTGCTCCATGGCCCGCAAGTCGGAGCTCAACATCGATGAGCTGGACAGCGCCGACTTCTCCCTCCTTACCGAGCGCCACGCGATCGATCTGATCCGTCTCCTTGCCTCTTGGCCGGACGTTCTGGTTAACACCTCCAAGACTCTGGAGCCCGTCACCGTCCTCAGCTACCTGTTCCGCATGACCCACATGCTCAGCTCTAGCTACGATGTTCTCAAGGTGATTGGCAGCGAGCCCGAGCTCAAGAAGGCTCGTATGGCTCTGTACGCAGCAGCCCGACAGGTCCTGAACAACGGTATGCGGGTTCTGGGTCTCAACCCCGTGGAGCGGTCAGTCATCCCGTGTGAACATTCCTCGTGTGCCAATAAGCTAACAGTTGATATTGTAGGATGTAAACCTGCCCCGGTTCTCTATTTTTTACATTTCAAAATTCCTATTAGCTCGACGATATCTCATAGTTCCCGGCTAGACGCACTGGCGCTAAAAAGGGGGCCAATAACATATGATTATGATGTTCATCTTGGTGCATAACGAACGATGGGGCGGGCCATGGAAGGATTCCCCAGATCGAAACTCTATGTTGTAGTCCTGTCACAAACCAGGTAGCGTCGGTTTAAATTTCTCTTTAAGCGCGACCTTGGAGAATATAAGAAAAAAGCGTCATGGTTCTACCGTCCAATTGCCGATGCAGAAGTATCTGCGTCATGGTGACTAGAACAGTACAGCCACACGTGTCTGATCTCCTGTCAGCGGGGATAAAATTTCCCCGCGGGTCACCAGCGTGGCCATCGGGCTTTTTGAGCTCGTCCCAACGTCAGACCAGGACCCTTCAGGCAGCCTCAGAACAACTCAAATAGCTAAGCGAGCTGATAGCTAGCAAAATCGAGTACCGAATCGCTGGCAACCAAGCCACAAAGTGTAGATTTACGATGTGTTCCGCTCAAGGCCTGGTGGGTGTTCTCCCCATTTTAAACGGCGTTCAAAATCTCGGGGACCATAATGAAATCCTTAGCTAAGAGCCAAGACACTCCCCCGGAAGGCGATCATTAGCGCCGGATTGTGGCGCAAGTCTAACAGTATCCAGACTTTGCAAAGGGATTCAAACCTGTCTCAACTTTCCCTTTCTTTTCAGCTCGGCTTGTCGGGCCCACATTCGGGGACCAGATCGACCCGTCTAGCTGCAATCAGCCGCATACCCGCAACTGACAATCCCATGGTCCCTATTGTTCCCTTGGGACCTCTGGTAGCCCGCATACCCAAATGGGCAAACGCATGGTTTTAGTGCGGCGAGCTAGGACGGGGTCAATCGCCGATGTCCCCGTCAGTGGTCACATTTCACCTAACGCCCCCTGCAGAAACGGCCGTGGGGGCCGACACGATTATTATGAAATGGTATTTAACTAGTGGGGTCCCCGAGGAACGCGGGAAGGGGGATGATCTTTGAAAGTCAATTCACCTTTGTATATCGCTATTGTCGACCACGATATTACGATCGCGACTGAAGCTGTGAAACATGGGTGAACCCGCTTCTGCCTCTGGCAGTAACGACAATGAGACGTCGACTCCGACTTTGGATGTGGAGTGGGATGCGGACAATCGGTTTCTGATGAACCATTCGGTCAAGACCTTTTCCTGGACTGGTCTTACTGTTACTGTAAAGGATCGCCAGACGAAAGAGGCCAGGGATTTGATCAATGATATTAGCGGAGATGTCCAGCAGGGTATGTTATGGAATAATGAGGGAATTCAACTGGGATCATGCTTATACAAATGTCGATTTCAATAGGCGAACTCGTGGCTTTAATGGGACCTTCCGGCTGTGGTAAAACAACCCTGCTCAATGTCCTTGCGAGACGGCCAGCTGCATCGGGTGCCAAAGTGCTGGGTGACTGCTATGTCAACGGCACCAAGGTAGACGTTGGATCGTTCGGTCGCATGACATCCTATGTCGAGCAGGAAGATGCTCTCATTGGATCTTTGACTGTTCGTGAAACGCTCAAGTTTGCAGCAGATCTCTCACTGCCCATGTATGTCCTTGTCTTCTTGAATGCTTATTATCCAACATCCTTGCCTGTCGAGGTGTACTAATCTATAATCTTCACTTGTGATATAGCTCGGTTACCAAGCGCCAACGCATCGATCGCATCCGGACACTCTTGGAAGCCTTTGGTATCCAGAACCAAGCCGGCACCCTGGTCGGAACCCCGATTCGCAAGGGTATCAGTGGTGGCCAGAAACGACGTGTCAGTGTAGCCAGCCAACTCATCACCTGTCCCAAGATCCTGTTCCTGGATGAGCCGACCAGCGGCCTGGACTCGAAAGCCAGTTACGAGGTGATGTTGTATGCGAAGGAACTAGCACGGGCCAATAATGTGAGTTTACCTTGCCATCCCGCAGTAAACTGGGTGAAATGCTAACAAGACGCGTGGTAGATCATCATCATCGCCAGTATCCACCAACCGTCGACGACAACCTTCCAGCTCTTCGACAAGCTTTTGCTCCTCTCTGGTGGAAAGACGTGTTATTTCGGTTCAATCGGCAATGTCGACAGCTACTTTGGACAGATCGGCCACCCGGTTCCTGCATACACCAACCCAGCCGAGTTCCTGCTTGATATTGTCAGCTCGGACTTTGGCGGTGCCAGTGGACAAGCGCCCGAACGAGTCCAACAGATTCAGTACGCCTGGTCGGTGTCTGGGGAGTCCACCGCTGTCATGAACCAAGTAACCGAGCGCACACGCGAGTCAGAGAAACAAGCAGGAGCGCTGTCTGCGGAGGACATGGCCCGTCCGGGCCCGGTCACGGTTACCGCTGCGCTGCTGCATCGCTCGTTTATCAAGAGTTACCGCGACGTCATTGCCTACGGCATTCGCATTGTGATGTATCTTGGTGAGTATCACAGTCTTCATTCATGTCAAGCCAACATGAGCTAACCTCAACTAGGTCTTGCTATTATGATGGGCACGGTATGGCTGCGCCTACACCCGTCTCAGGACTATATTCAACCCTTCATCAACGCCATCGTAAGCACACCCTTCCATAAGGCTTGACCAAGGCAATGCAAGGCTAACAAGCACCAACCTAGTTCTTCGGATCAGCTTTCATGTCCTTCATGGCCGTCGCCTACGTGCCGGCCTACATTGAAGACCGGGCAACCTTTGTAAAGGAGCGTGCCAACGGCCTCTACGGAGCGACACCCTTTATGGTCGCCAACTTCCTCATCGGTCTCCCATTCCTCTGTACGTATCTGGTTCAGCCGTCAACTTCCTAAACTTTAAATGTGAGTATCACTAACATACCAACTCTACAGTCCTCATCTCAATGCTCTTCTCAATCGTCTCATACTGGCTGTCCAACTTTCGCCCCGACGGATCCGCCTTCATGATCTGGGTAATGTGGATGTTCCTTGATCTCGTCGCCGCCGAAAGTCTCGTCGTATTCGTCACATCTATCTTCCCCAATTTCGTCATCTCGCTCGCCCTAGTTGCCTTCGCGAATGGTCTATGGATGAGCGTGGGCGGATTCCTGGTTACACCGACTATCCTGAATCCGTTCTGGAAATATGTCTTCCACTATATCGACTATCAGGTACGAACAACCCCCCCTCGCCCCAACCCGATCGAGAGAAGATTGATACTAACTCTTCGTTCGTTAGGCATACGTCTTCCAAGGAATGATGGTGAACGAATTCTCCGAACGGATTTACTCATGTGGTGATGGCTGCCATTGCATGTTTAACTCGGATCTGGCAAGTCAGTGCCAGATTCGTGGTACTGCTGTGCTTCAGCAGTATGGGTATGCGACTGGACGCACGGGTAAATGGGTTGGCATTCTTATTGGCATTATTGCGGTGTATCGGCTGTTCGGGTGGATTGCGCTTCATCTACGTCGGACTTGATTCATCGCTTGGTTGAGACCTAGAAATGGTGGGTGAACTGGTTAAAAGCTGGACATAATTGATAGAATGATGGAAGATGGAACGATACGTATTTACTATAATTACTCTCGGTTGATGAAGATGAACTATATGATCCACATTGTGTAATGGATAAACCAGTGTTGACCACACCCTTTTTTCCAGACAAGAATAGTATAGCTTGACCACAGAAGACACACGATTCAATACAATGCCATGCCATGCATCCACCTTGACTCGCCATCTCCCTCCCAATTCCCCGACGACTGCTTCTGATCAACGTGCCTTTGTACATTAACAGCTTGTCACAAGCTGGCGTAACCCCATCCGCCACGCTATCAATTCATCTGTACTCCGTACAACACAAAAAGTCAGTTGATCAACGACTATCGGCGCATCCCGAATGCTGCTAGAGAATTACCAAGAATAGATTACGCTTTTGTGAACATTGACCACCTCTACAAATTCAAAAAAACCACCGCCACCAGACAACCATATACTCCGAGCACAAGCACAAGCACGAGCACGAGCAGTAGCAGAAGAATGAGCAATCGCCACAATCGAAGATCTACTCCCCGCCCATAATCAATGCGAGTCATCTCGCACGATCATCCCCACATCTCCATCTACATAGCGATTATCCTCGGAATCCGAGAAGTCCCTTAGATTAGAACGGCATCAGACCCTCGATTCCCCTCTTCTTCCCATCCTAGATGCCAAAGCACGCACGATAAGAAAAGAGCGGTGAGCAGTCTTGGTGCTGCGTGGAAGAGAACTGATGACACCCTGCAGAGACGAGGACGCAAGGGGGTTCACAGACACGTTCTGCTCACGGACGGAGGGGAGGGGAAGAATTGAGATTAGATTAGTGCATTGTATCCAGGATTAAGGCTACGCTTGAGTGGTTGCGGGGTTATCGGGATATTTGGGTTATTGGGATAGCGAGTGACAGTGACAGTGACAGCTGTTGTATGTAGATAGGACCAGGATGGGGTGTGTACTGAGAACCCGGATCCATATACCTCCGCATGGAAAGGGAGATCGGTAATCGATTCTCCAGCGTGGATGTGAGGATGGCATGACATGCTTGTGAAGGGAAGCTTATTATTAACTGAGCCAGCCATGCGGCTATCAAGTTTACACTATACTTGATTATGGAGAATGTAGAGATGGTGAGGCGGACATAAGATAGGCTTGTACTATGACTTGGCGTTCTTCTAGGACATGGGTTTATTGAGATTTGTCCTGATCTTCAGATCTTTTCTTGCGATCGTGACTGCCTAGAGTGAAGATAGATAGATGCCTGGTACCTACAGTTATGGGGGATGCCTACTACATGGCGTATCCATGAACATTGTTGAGTTGACAATTAGATCGCTATGAAGTTGTCCATAATGTATAATTGATAACCGACTGATGGTAGTTCGTTGTTCATAGGCAACAGCTGGAAACTGGAAACTCAAAATCAAATCTACAAGTCTATGACTCCAGTTCCACATGTACCTACGATGTACTTCTTCAGCATGTACTTAGTTAGTGGGCGGTCCAGTTGGAGGGGAAACCCCCAGAGCCGCATCCCATTCGCCTCTCATCTCCCCATCCAGCCAGCGCCTCTCTTCCCTCTAGTCCACTGTCCAATGCCCTGCGATATCTCCCCAATCTAACTTTTCTTTCTCAGTTTCAGTTGTTTGTCGCCTGGGTGAATTCCATTTTTCTCGCCCTCCTTTCTAAGCCTCACCCGGGTTACCAAAGTTACAAAAACAAAGCATTGGCCCTCGTCCTCATTACGTTGCCCCCTTTCATACACTCCATCCAATTGCATCCTTAACATGGTTAAGATTGTGTCTTTCTACACGTGCGGGGGGTTTGGCTCATCCAAGACTTCCAGGACGCAAGGAGGTGAGAAGAGCGACCGTTGAGGTAATGATAAACCGTCCGTGCTGCATGTCATACCGATCTGGCCAGGTCTGATCCAAGCAGGAAACGGGACTCTCGGGCCAAACACATGGAGATTGACAAGAGACAAGAGTCTGGACAAGATTCGTTGGATACTCGAGGGGGACTAACTCTCTCCATCGAAACAGGCATACTTGAATGAGAACGACAGGGCTAACCACTTTCTTTTCCCCGCCGAGGGATAAGCCATGATACAGCCTACCTTGTAACAAACATTGCAGTCATTCTACAGTAGTCATCCTATAACTAAGAAGAATCTGTCATGACTCACCTGTGGAGAAAGTGACCAGCTGCCATTGAAGAGCCGCCACGAGGGCGCGCAGGTCCTCCAGCGTCACCCATTTGTGGTGCAGCACGTTGGACAAGACGGACATGCTCCCTTCCCACATCCCACAGTACGGAATCCTCTCTCGGGAATCTAGCGTCGTTCGCACTTACAGTGGACTCCACTTGCGACATCAGTGGCGAGTAAAGAAGAGAAATTCTCCTGCAAAGAAAGTAGTGGAAATCATAAAAAACTGAATAACTGGCGTACAGTAGTTACATACCCAGATGCATGTCATCTCCACTGACTCTTCAACAGTACTCCGTACTTCCCGCTGTACTGTACCAGGTACAATTGACATTGTCTCTGGGGTTGGCCAAGCCCCCCCAAAAAAGAATACAGTCCTGTAGTGTCCGGCCCCTCTTCGCCAGCACCAGCCGATAGTCATAGGTATACAATTATACAGCTAAGCGAAAAAGTTTGTCCTTCTAATTATCATCCTTCCTTCCCCTTCTTATCCCGTGAGTAGTTGGTGCTCATTTCCCGTGCAGGGTTGTTCCCTCTTCGTGGTGGAGGCGATCATTGGGCCGCAACGCTCAGGATTGGGCGTTAGGCCGACCGGAGTAGTGACAAGTAGAAAAAGGGAAAAGGGAAGGGGAAACTCGGAACCAGCAGGCCGAACATTTCTCTGAAGATACAGTAATACTGTAAATCTACAGTGGTATGTGATTAGCATGGTAGATCTGTGGTGGTATTGGATGGATGGATCTGAGTTGGGATGAGATCCTATGTATACAATACATCAGTGCATGCGTCTGTTTTTTTTTTCTTTGGATGATAGTATCTTCATGGATACTTGTCGATACTTGTCAATACTTGTAGTACCGAGTAGATCTGAAGTATATTACTCTGTTAGTTTCTTAGTATACTTCGAAAGTAAACAGATGATCCCACACCCAAGGATCCGAGCAAAGCAGAACCAGGGATCCCCCTCCAGCGGGTCCCGAGTTTAAACTGTTCCAACTGTTCCACGACGGTTTATCTGGTACGTATCGTTGTCCAATATCACCATTCTTCCGATGAATTTCTCATCTTTAGAGCAAGAATAGACTTTTAGGAATGTCCTCTACGTGTGTCAACTCCGTAGATTCCGTGTTCTGTTCTCTATAGCCTATACCGGGACCTCCATACCGATGGACGATGGCGTATAGTTGGTATTGTTTATGATGACGCCCGCCCCCCACTTCCTTCTTCCCTTCTATTTTTTTTCTTCTGTTGGGTACCCACGAGCCCGCGAGCCTCTTTCGTGAAACATTCTCTCTTTTTTTCGATTTACCAATTTTTTTTTTGGCTTTTGGGTGACTCTATTCTATTTCCATTGTCTTCGGTGGTCTCTTCTCTTTTTTTCTCTTTTCTTCCTCAGTTGACTTGGGTTGATGATCGCTTATCAACTTGTTTATCCCCCCCTCCTTCTGATCGACTTTTAATCGCTGCCCATTTGGTCTCCACCCCCGAACTCCATTACATACTACCGTACAAACTACAGTACGACCCAAAAAAAACCACCACCGCCCTCTCCTTCTTCCCCCACCCGACCGGGTACCCAAAGTCAGGCACAACCACAGATTCTCATACACAGGCACAAAGGCCCAAGGGGCCCAACACTCTTAACTTAGCAAAGCCTGCAGCTGCATCTTCCTTTCCCACCACTCATCATCCAGCCCAGAGTCCAGAGATTTTTTTTCCCTCTCCCTCTCGTCCCAGGACCCACGCCCGACGCTCCGCCGCCCGACCGTTCTCGCATCTCTCTCCGCCCAATTTCCCACCCTTTTCAGATGGAGACATTATTGCGATCTGGAAGATACCACCTCGCACGCTCCGCTCGCTGACAGATCCGGATTACGCCCAGCTGCCTGCCATCGCCCTTGCGATCGGCAGGTCCGTTTTCCGTGGTTGCGACTGTTTGAAACTGGGTTGGGCGACAAGAGAGAGAGAGTTAGAGAGAGAGAGAATCTGAGAGAGAGTACGCCTGAGAGGGGGGTCCACACAAACATCAAGTCAGTCTGCCCTGAGAGAGGCCAAGAGGCCTGCGAGAAAGGGGCTCTACACAAGGAAACATTGGAAAGGAAAATCCTCGTTGGCGCGATCAAAGAGGTCGTCGTGACTAGGGCAACAAACTATCCACCGTCTGGGCCCTGGTATATACAGGAAATATACAGACGGAGTGGACCAGGCCAGGAACACCCATCAAAAATACCTGCCCAAACGTACCCATCACCTACTACTGAGTCATCCTTGGTGCAACAAGACCTGACCTGTCTGCTTTGAAGGGGTGGGCTTTTGCTGTAAGTCGTCCCAAGTCTCTGTTCCCCTCTCTCCGTCCTTTTGCTGCCCGGTGGGTAAGCCAAACACGCATCGTCTGTTTCCCAAATCGGGAACCAAGACTGGGTGTCATCGTCATTCCCCCTCTCCCACCAAACTAACATTCGCATACCCGCCCAGTTCCCTCGCCGTCCGAACGTGCAGCAAGCCATGCCTGCGGGCAGGGCTCCTCAGCCGGCCTACGTCGAAGACTTCGATGAGGATGTGCATAGCATCGTACCCGATAGTCGGCACTCAGCCAATACTACGGCCAACACGGCTGTCAAAATCTCCTCCAGGTTGGATCAAAGATTCCCAGCGGAGCCGCTGATCGACGGCGCCAGTGACTCAGGGTATTCTAGTCGTACCGCCGCCACAGCCACCAGCACCCAATCTGGCCCGTCGGGCGGGAGAAGTCCCCCAGTTCCTATTAAGCTGGACATGCCCAAGCAACGCACCGAAATAGTCAGAAAAAACTCCCGCCGTGAACGCAAGGACAAGGACCGAGAACGCGTTCGACCAGAGCACGTCGAGAAGCAGATGGGTACCCATCCCCACCATCATGCTCACGTGCAACGGTCGTCGTCTAAACCTCGTCGTCGTGACTCTGCCCACATTCAACAATATCATCCACCCGACGTATACTACGAACGATCCGGTTACTATCACCAACAACAACCCTCCACCCCCGTCGAACGTCCCCCGATGGACTATTCTTACCACTTCTCCCGGCCACCGGTGCCTGACTACCCGCCGGCGTCACCGCAGACAGCCCGTTATCCATACGCTATTGAAGAATTTCACCGTCCAGTCAGTCGACCTGCCCGGTCGAACTCGTACCGTGGCGGCATGTATCATCAGGAGCGTCCCATGAGTATGCATGGTGGAATGATGGGACCGCCACCGCCACCGGCACCCCTGTACCATCACCAAGCATCGTACTATGAGCATGGTCCTCCACCAGCATCGTCGGCGTACGTAAGCCATCCATATGCTTCGTCGCCGTATGGTGGTTCTTACTATGGCGGTTCCGAATATGGTCCACCTTCGGACTACCCGCGGGAAAGATCTCACTCTCGAACTCGGGAACGATCTGTACAATCTCGGGCACGTCGCCCGTCTTCCCTTTATGGGCAACCCCCCATGGATCACAGTGTTTTCCCAGAGTGGGTGGATGAGACCGAGCAACTTGACTGGGCGCCTGAAGAATATCCTCGAGAAGTGCCTCGTGATATTCCCCGTGAGGTGCGTCGCGAATACCGTCGTGAAAGGGAAGTTCCGCAAGAGTACCATCGTGAGAGAGAAGTCCCTCCTCGTGAATATCACCGTGATGTTCACCACGATGCACCTCGCGGGCGTGCCCCCAAGCCGCCTCGTGATCATGATGAGGACTACTACAAGATGCCACCACCGCCTCCACCAGTACCTCAGAAGCAAAAGGCCCAGGTCCACCAAATGAGAAAACCCGAACGACCCGAACTACACCGCAAGGCCCATACCACCCAAGCCGTTCTGCCTCAACGCCGGCAATCCCGTACCTCCATGGATATGAGTGAGATGGCTGCCGCGTTGCCTGACTACGGTCGGCGTGTGTCTCGCGAGACCCGGATGCCCGAGCGCAGTCACAGCCTTCATGAAAGCAAGCGATCAACCACATACCGTGACAGTGCTCGCGGTGCCCAGATTGCTGTCGAAAACTCCCGCCGTCGTCGTCAGAAAGAGTATCATCACTACGACGACTACGACGACGATGATGACGTCGGCAGTACCGGCACAGCAGGCGGTCTGGAAGATCGTGAACGCGAAATCGAACGCTACCAAGCCCAACAGTCCGGTCGGACGAATACCATGCCCGCCTCCGCCGAAGCCCTTCTCACCAAGGGTGCCGTCGGTGCAGGTAGTGACAACGGTAGTCAAAAGAGCCGATCAACCGGCAGCCGGGGTAGCGGTAGCGGCAATGGAGAGAGCAAGAATATGAACCTTTTGGTAAACGGATTGACCATCGGTTTCACCGAAGAGTCCGTCGCCGGCAAGAACATCAAAATTATGGCTGGAGATACCGGCCGTGTGCAATTGTCTATTGCTGGCGAGCGGAAACCCAAGCAGTACATCATGAGTGGGTCTTCGTATTCCGATCAAACTCATCAGACAGGTCGTTCTGCTCGTCGAGAGTTGGAAGCACGTCGAGAATTGGAAGCCCGTCGAGAATTGGAAGCCCGTCGAGAGTTGGAAGAAGCGCCGCAACGGCGCCCGCGTGAGGATCTTCGTTCCGGTGCGAGCCGTCGCTCAAGTCAATCGACTTATGGCGGTACTCGTCGGCATGCGAGGTAATCGTGCGAGCTGAGTTGTGAACAACTTCTATTCTCTCGTCTCATGTCTGTCTGTGTCTTTGGTTGTTTTTTTTCTTGGGATTATACTCTCTGCCTCTCCGCCATGTGGTCGCCTCACGGCACTCGGTGATGGTTATATGACAAAAGTTGGATTTGGATTTTGGATTTTCGGATTGGGATTGGGATGGTACTTATGATTATGTTGTCTTGTTTTCTTTTCTTTTTTCATTTCCTTTCTTTTCACTTTTTGGCACTCTGATGATTTTCTTTTTTTGGCGGGACGGGTCTGGAACAAAAAGTGGTTCGAGCGAAGCGTTTGGGTTGATGCTCTATCCCTCTCCCCTCGCGGCAAAAGCGAAAGCGCAAAAAGCGAGAGCTCGAGGCTCACCGACCTGTCTGATCGGACTGGGGGGAATTCTCTGGTTCTATTTTGTTTGTGATTGCAATTGCTATCTCTTGCTTGGGGGTGGGAGTGTCGGGTGCGCAGTGGGAGAAGAAGTTTTTCGTCGACTGTGTTTGAAGTGGACTGGACTGGACTGAGCTGGAACGGACCGGACTGCAAACACCATCTTGGCTGCCTTGTTACCCGTCTATCCTTGGATCTGATCTTGATTTGGTTCTCGATGGGGATCTGGATGGATGTCGAACTTAATGGCTGATGGTTGTTGAGCTGCTGGACTGGACCGGACTGGACCAGAACTGGAAACCGTCCACAACGAACAACACAGACGACGGACACGAATCCTACCGCGTCGAACCGACACTCGCCACCTCCGTTACGGTGATATGATTGTACGATTCTGATGACCTGCGATGACAAGTTCGATTCATGTGATTGATGCTTTGCTTTGCGTTGCCTTGACGATGGATGCAAGCCATTTGCCAGCGTTGATGTATATTCGCTTCTCCCTTATTTGCCTTTTTCATGTCTCATTTTCTCCTTTCCTCTATATGATTTGGTTTTGTCTTTATCCGCTCTATATCTATTTCCCCGATTTCAACCTGTTATACCTCTTACATCTACGTCACGTTGTCAATGTTCTTCTTCTAGTGGGTGCTGGCCTTGTGTCTTTCTCTTTCTTGCTTGTTTGTGCTCTGCGCTGAGTTGGAGGAGAGATACCCAATACCCAATGCCTATGCCTGGCATGCCAGTTTTTGGTACTTAGGTAGCACTTTAGCCTTTTGTGGTTTTTTTACTTGTCATACTATGTTCTAATAGCAGGTCATCTTTACTTGAAATTTTGAAACTACTTACTATCGTGAGAATATTTGGTATTTGGTAACTCTATTTCGTATATGCTTCTGTATACTGTATCTCGTTGGTCATTTTTAGGTCCAAGCTAGTCCCACCCTGCCGTCGCCCCACAGACGTGGAGCTGGTTCGCCGAGGCAAGCCAAGTTGATAGTCACAAAACAATTTCATTCGCTGATTTACATCTAAAATATCAAACTTCCATAGTCCTAGAACAAAGATGTCTTCTCCAGCAAGAAATCCTTCCAACTCGAAGTCTTGAAACCAGCCTTTCCAAGCAGATCATGACTCTCCTTCAAACTCCGACCACCGTAATATCCGGACCTCTCAATGAACAGATGATTCTCCAACTTCTCCTCACCCATCAGCCCAGGCATAAAATTCTTATAAGTTTCAGAATCAACCTGCACAAATCGGGTCTTCTTTCCGGTGACCTCCTCAAACTCGGCGAGAATGCGAGTGGGGGTGTAGTAGTCTGCTGCCGAGAGGATTTGAGTACCGAGTGTCTCGGAACGATTTTTCAGGGCTGCTGCGACGAATTTACCTATAGAACATCCTATCAGCCTGCCACTCCCAAGATATGACGTTGAGAAGAAATCGGAGTCGGAATCGGAACTATACGCACCCATATCCCTAACAATATCAACGAGCGGAAACCTCGCACCCTCACCAATAGGATAAGCCAGCGTATAAACACCATCCTCACCCTCCCTTAATAACGGAATCTGCGTATAACTATTCATAAAATACACCGGCAAAACAAACATAGCCGGTACTCCAATTTCCAGGATATACCCCTCAACATGCGCCTTCTGGTCAAAATGGGGCACATGCTTGAGTCGACCACCGGTTTCTTTGGTAACACCCAGCAAAGAAGAGAAAATAAGATGTTGGACCGCCGGTCTCCTTGGCGACATCGGCGACATTTTTGCCGTGGACGAGCTCGGAATCGGATCCGACGGGGCCCCAGGCTGGTGTTGTGACTAGGAAGACGGTGTGACTTCCTTGGATGGCTTTTAGTAGGGAGTCTTTGGAGGACATGTCAGCCTGAAATGGGGGTTTTAGTATTGACGTGATGATATTGGGGGTAGGATGTTGGTTTTGTCATACCGAGACAAGTTCAATTCCTTGCTCTAGAAGGGCCTGAGCCTCCGGCTTCGAGGTATCGCGAGTAATACCACGGACCTTGAACTCTTTGGATAGAGTCTCATATTGTAGTATAGTTCGGATCACGGAGCCGCCTTGTTGACCGGTTGCACCGAAAACGGTGATGAGTTTGGATATGATTGCTTTTGTGAAGGTGAGAGAACCCCGAATAAAACGATTGAATTGAATCTGTAATGTTTTGATGTTTCTGCTGACAGTCGTGAAGCAATGTTTTAAACAGTGAATTAACCAAGTATAGCAATGACGTCATGCTTGAGGGAAGATGATTAACCTTAAGTTCGTCTCGGAGCCCGAGCGCCGACACTTTGTCAGCGCTTGAGTATCGGCTTTTATTTTAATGCCGCCGAAGGGGGTTGGTCAGAGTTCAAAATCGACATAAGGTTAGACCGAGGATACAAATAGTAGTTGTCGGAAGTACCATTGATCAACCTCCGACATTAATCCTTCTCCTTGCAGTCCCCGATATCTTCTCCTGCGTTCTACTTTCCAGTCACGCTCGCGGATACCAGCTTACGGTACACGGTTCCGGCCCTGTCATCAATCAAGGTTCATTGGCACTTAACTCAACCTCGCACTTCACCTCTACCTCTACCGAACGAAAGAGACGGGAGCTAGCTCTAGAAGTCCAGACCTATTTTTATTGAGACTGCACCTCGACCTCACGCCATCCACTGCTGAGCCTCAGGACGTATTTTTCACCATGCCAGCCGGACAACTACGCGACAACGTCTCCCGGATCAAAAAGCCTTCGCCACTGGGAAAATCCCTCTTTGTGGGCCTTCGTGCAGCAGATGTATTCTGGCAATACAACCTACTCCATCAAGGATGGGGAATCCAGCTGATCGAGAAACTGGGCGGTCACCCTGTGCATTCTTCACTGGTCCTCAGCCCTCTGACGCGTACCGGGCTACATCCTTACTATGGTCTGGTTACTCTCTTGTCGCTGGGTAGTAGCATCAAACAGATTCTCCATATCGTCTTTGTCTCCGAACAGGCCATGGACGTTGGTTCTGGGTTTACAATTGCCCTTTTCAATACCATTTTCAATACTGTCAACACACTGCTCTCTCTATGGGCTGTAACATCCCCGGTTGCATCTGGACTTGGTTCAACCAATCTGATCAATACAATCTTGTCTCCGCCCATCGCCGCGGGCATAGCTTCCTACGCCATTGGACTCTCCGTCGAAGCCATTTCAGAGTTCCAGCGCAAGTCTTTCAAGCAAGACCCCAAGAATAAAGGAATACCGTATGGCGGAGGTCTCTTCTCGCTGGCTACCAATATTAACTATGGCGCTTATACTATCTGGCGAGCTGCGTATGCATTTACCTGTGGGGGTTTTATCTGGGGTGCGACGACGTTTGCTTTCTTCTTCCGTGATTTTGCGACTCGAGGAGTGCCTGTGTTGGATGAGTATATGACCCAGAGAGTAAGTCTATGAACCGACCTTTGTTGATTTGCACATCTAAAGCCTGAATCAATAGTACGGCGATGCGTATCGACAGATCAAGTCTCGTGTCCGATACGCTTTGATCCCTGGTATCTACTAGGGCTTTCGCGTACGCAGTAGAAATCCAAAAGTCCGAAACCCGGCTGTACCAAGGTCTACGATTATGAGTCAGCGAGTCCGTTATGCCCGTGTTTCTCATGGCATATAATGACGTGCTGGTCAAGGTCTTTCAGAGTGCTTTTATCTTGGGTTGTTTAGTATCATTGGGGCCATGGGTATTGAATGGAAGAGCATGAAAACAAGGAAGGTGGATGAGAGGGCCTATTCAGAGGGTATTGTTTAACTGATGGGTGGTGCAACTCTCTGAGCCATATACGCTACTGAGACTCCCAGGTAGAAAGATGAACTTTCTTGTTAGCACTGAGGCAAGGGATGGCTCACATAATCTTCGATATTCTAATTTGATTTGCCATCAAACTCCACCTCGTAGGTTGAAAACGACTCAAATTAAATGGCCTCGCATTAACTTAAAGATCATTCTGGGCCCAACTCTTACTGCTTTGACTGTGCAGTTGGTCTTCAATACACAAATATTCGAATATTCTGTCTTCTCGCTCTAAATTGTAGTCTGCTACAATGTCTAACACTCTATTATCACTGCCAAGAAGCTTCCCCCTCGTTTTTTATTCACAATGGCCTACAATTTTCAAAGCCCAACCCCGATTTAGGTAAGGTACGCTATGGCAAAAGGTTTTCGCCCAGTAACGAAGCGGGCCATTGAGGTGGAAAATGTGTTTTGTAGAATACTTCATAAAAGATAATCATACAGATACTTACATTTATGCATAGCAAAAGTGCTAGGCTAGGTGGGCTGCTAGCTGACTAGATCCTGAATCTGAAGTCCTTCGCACTTGTGTAGTCGTCTACATTGGAATGAAAATATTAATACCCGCGGCCCAAGGCCCTGAACTCCTATCAGCAAAGTGGGGGTATTTCTTGGCATAATTTGTTCGTAATCTCGGTCTTCGGGCTTTCACAGTCCAATCAAACCAGCACTCGCTGATTCGGCCCCACAACAGCTTAACAATAATCAATCTTATTCAGCTCGGCATTAAAATATGGTCTGAGCGCGGTGATGAGATCAGATCATCCGGTACGCATCCATACATTCTCATTTTAAATTGGGTATGTGAGCCGCTCTAGTTCCTGTCCAACGTATATAAACAGGCACCTTTCCGCGAGGAGATACATTCTCAGTATACAATCTCATCCTTCTCAATATCCACACACACACACACACACACACACACACACACACACCCAAAACATCCTTACAGCACTCACATTCAATTCACAATGTCTGCCGTTCTAATTACTGGTGCGACGGGAAAGCAGGGAGGCTCCCTTATCAAAACTTTAGTTTCCCGGAAATCTCCTTTGGAGATCCTGGCCGTCACTCGCAATCCTCAGTCTGCCTCTGCACAGAAATTGGCCAAATTGTCATCAAATATCAAATTGGTAGAAGGCAACTTGGATGATCCCGCAACTCTTTTCCAGAATGCGCGCAAAGCGACACAATCAGCTATCTGGGGTGTCTTCAGTGTTCAGGTACGTATCCTAATCCCGGTTTAACTAATAGAAGGCCTCTCGCTTATTCGCATTATTAATCTAGCTAGCGATCGGAAATACTACATCGGAGGATGCGCAAGGCAAAGCGCTTGTTGATGAAGCGATAAAGCAAAAAGTTCAGTTCTTTGTGTATAGCTCTGTTGATCGAGGCGGCGATGCCTCTTATACCTCTCCGACCGAGATCCCGCACTTTATCAACAAGCACAAGATCGAGCACCATCTCGTTGAAAAGAGCAAAGACACCGACATGAAGTGGTTCATCCTACGACCTGTCGCTTTCTACGAGAATCTTGTACCCGGATTCATGGGCAAGGTCTTCGCAACAACTTACAAGATGGCACTGAAGGGCAAGCCCTTGCAGATGATCGCGACCGATGATATCGGATTCTTTGGAGCTGAGGCCTTCACCCACCCGGAGCAGTACCAGAACAAGAGCCTTTCCCTTGCGGGCGATGAATTGACTTACGATCAGTTCGCGCAAATCTTCCACCAGAAGACGGGCCAGCCGATTCCAACCACATATCGATTCCTTTGCTCTATCTTGTTGTGGGCGATCAAGGATATGGGATACATGTTCAAATGGTTCCATGATGTCGGCTACAAGGCAGATATTGCCGAGTTGAAGAAGATCAACCCAGAGTTGAAGGACTTCGCAACATGGCTCGAAAAGGACAGTGAGTTTGCAAAGCAGTGAGGTGTTTGTATCAAATATTTGTGTTTCGTTTTGTCCTATGTAATCTAATATAATTTTAATTGACTTTCCGATCTGTTATTCTCGCAAAGGGTGTTTACTATTTGCTGTACTCCTCCCAAGCCATGTATCAAGATCTATTGAGGTGGTAGTTAGCTGCCAGGCCACTGTTCCGGAAACATCGCGGATTGAAATAGAAGTCAAAATTGTTCCCTGTCAAATGTCATGTCTGAAATTCGTAAGAGTCCCGGCCAGTGAACGAAATGCCGGTAGATATTGATTGTAGTTTCACTAGTATAAACTAGCAATTGATCAGCCCCAAAAGCTTATAGATGTAACTTGAGCCTGAGGCTATTCGCACTAGTTGCGACTAGGCCCAAATATGCCTTCCGGGCGCACAAACACTTGGGAAAGCTCTGGGTGTTTATCCGTTGCTTCCATGCTGGGAGACCATATTATTCGAATGATTATGTTGTTGCTACCCCACTCCACGCCTCGCCTCGCCTGTGTGCATCCCAATCAAACATGGCCCAACGCCCTTTAGACATCTTTTCCCTCCTACCAAGGCCAGTCTGGGTAGAAATTCTTGTACATCTAGAGGACCTAGCAGCTGTCTACTGCTTGTATCGCTCCTCACCTGCGGTCTTCTCCTTGCTTCATGAAGATGGCACTGGGCGTCGAGTCATCGAGGCCATCATGAATGAAAGTGTGCCCAAACGAATTCAAATTTTGATTCGCAAATTTGCTTTCTTACCGATGGAATGCTCGGCCTGCAAGCGACACGGTTGATTTCATTAGCATTTACATCACGGATGACACTAGCTACAACCGTATACCGCAAGACATCCCCGTGTCGGTCCTATGCGATGTTTTCGCCGCTTCTGCAGCCATCCGCTACCTGGGCCACGCTGGTATGCATGAGATGATAGCTCACTGCATGCTTCTGGAGCTGTTCCAGCTACTTAACCCCAAATTAAAATATATGCGAAATGCCTACCGAAGGCCGTGCATGTGGACCTCGGAATACTTTCCAGTGCCGAAGCCCCCTCGAGAGCGATACCAACAAGCTGATGCTGGGCTAATATCTGCATTGGAAGAGCAGCGGGCAATCCGTGCCATCTGGCAGCTTCTGCTGGTCTGTGAGGTACACACCCTAGTTGGTGGACCGAGTCCTCGCTGGAACTGGCCTTGTGAAGAGATCAGTCGGCTTCAAAACATGGACTTTGAGGGACTATGGCGCCACGCGCTGAGAAATAACGCTTTGGAACAAGCACGGACCATGACTGAATGCAGCTGTCTGTTTCCTACATTGCCATCTCCCACCAAAAGATATCGCGCAGCAAAAGACCTAGCGTATAGCGCGCAATGGAGATATCAATGCGACTGTATTCCTCCCTGCGCATCTCTCATTCATGGGACTCCTGAATTGGAGCTTGATGGTAGTGCACCAGGCTTTGCATTTCTTGTTGATGATTTATCACGCTGGTTCAGATCGCCATGTCGTTACGTGCCATTTTGCGTTTTCCATTGTTATGAATTTGTGCTATGTGACCAAATGCGTATGGAAGCACTCAGTCTTCTCTCCCCGAAAGCAGGTCCTTCCTGGTTACCTCAGGCTCCAACATCAGAGCTAGATTTATATGTGAGATGGGAAAGTATTCTAGGCAAGGATGACCTGGAAGAAGTTGAATGGCGGAGAAAGCATTTCTGGCCGGGCAGCGAGATAGTGAATGTCGAACATCAATGGCACCTTATACCTAATTGGGAAAGTTCGGCATTGACCTCAACCCCGAGATTCCAAATCACTGACCTCGATTATCAACATTCGGCATCACCTTTTCAGCGGCAAAGTCAACTGTCAACTTTTTTATCACTTATACCCCTTTGCCTGCTATCATTATTTTTTATTCCTCTACAAACCTTCCGTGTCTGGTCCACCGGCTGCAATTCTCATCATCTCATCTCCATATAGAAACAGACACCAAGCATGTCTAGACCCATTCTTATTACGGGTGCGACAGGCAAACAAGGCGGAAGTGTCATCAATGCCATCCTCCGGGAAGATGCCGATTTTCAAATCCTCGCAGTCACTCGTGATGCGTCCTCCAGTGGAGCACAGAAGCTCAAGGCGAAGTCATCCAAGATCCAACTCGTGGAAGGTAACTTGGACCGACCAGAGGAAATCTTCTCCAATGCAGCAAAGCTCACATCTCAGCCTATTTGGGGTGTGTTTAGCGTTCAGGTATGGCCTTATTCATCGTTTTGGAGTTATCGACCGCCACTAATGTTAAACTCAGGTGCCTGTGCCTGGTGGCTTCAACACGATGCTGAAGAAAAACAAGGCAAGGGATTAGTCGATTCAGCGCTCAATAACAACGTTGGACACTTCGTTTACACGTCCGCGGATAGGGGCGGCGATGCCTCAATCGATAATCCCACTTCTATCCCCCACTTTATCAGCAAGCACAACATCGAGCATCACCTTATCGAACGGGCTAAGGGGACTGGGATGACATGGACGATTCTGCGCCCGACTGCCTTCTTACAAAATATGACTCCCGACTTTTTCGGCAAAGTTTTCACCACCTGCTGGAAAATCGCCGTCAAGGAGAAGCCATTACAAGTCATTTCAGTAACCGATGTTGGCTTCTTCGGCGCACAGGCTTTCCTTCTCTCAGGCGAATACACAAACAAATGTCTCTCCTTGGCCGGTGATGAGCTCACATTCGCTGAGATGGAAAAGATTTTCCGTGCAAAATGCGGAAGAGATGTCCCCCTGACATTCAACTTTGTGAGCCGGATTTTGATGTGGATGTTGAACGAGTTCGGTTACATGTTCCAGTGGTTCTATGACTCTGGGTTTCGAGCCGATATTCTGGCTCTGAAAAAGGACCGCCCGGAACTACATAATTTTAAGTCTTGGCTTGAGAGCGAGAGTGGCTTCGTGACCAAATGATCTTGTATTCAAGGACATGGAAGCTTCCTTTGACAATTGTGAGCAGCACATCTATAGAGAAAGTAGTGATAATAATAATCTATTTTATGCGCCGCCTGACCGGGGTTTGCGTTCCATCTCGTGTTCCAAAATCAATATTGTATTTAAAGTTGATGGCATGGCCAACAGAGAATATTTATCACAATCAAAGTACCAATCAGGTGTCGGTAAACTGGAATTTAAACTGGAATTTAAGTCGGCAATAGAATTTAAATTGGTGCAGCCTAGCTGGAGCCTCGCTGTAAATCGTCGTTGATAGGAATAACGAGCTAATTTTCTACTGCATTTCTTAGTAGTTAGTTCGACCTTTTAGGACCGGAGTGGTGACGGATTATATATATGCAGCATCTTGTGTGGCGTACGCCAATGACTCCACATTCTCTATGTAGGTATAGGTGACTGACGTGGCGGAATTACTTTCTTCCGACATCCGACCATCACCCAATCCCCATTGCACTAATACCGATTAGTTTGTCACTATATTCCACATTAGCGCCATGACAGGCCACCAAGGAGCCGACTTTGATGTAGAGCGCCCCAGTTCATTGTTTCTGTCAAGAAGGACAAGTAATCCAGTCCGGTCGCCGTTACCCACCAGAGTCAGAAGCGCCTGTGACAGATGCCGGCAACATAAAGCCCGGGTACAGCGATCCCGATCCAACCTAGCCAGATGAGCCTCGAAATGTGTGCTGAAAATGCGATAGTGTGACCCATTCAGACCCTGCTCGCCATGTATCCGAGCCAATGTACCGTGTCGACCACTTCCAACAAGCCAAACAGTGCAGACGACTGCGCGAAAGTAAGTTTCAAACTGGAATAATTCAAGTTGTCCCCTGACTGATATTGAGGGGATAGTCGCGTGAAATCAAAACGGGCCTTCAGGAGTCGGCAACATCAGGGAAACATTCCATCGGAGACACTCGATGAACAGTTACAGAATGCAGCTCGTGGCCCTGCCAGCAATGTACCCAGTCCAGCCCGGGCTCGGACACCAGAGACGCTTCCAATGGATGATGGTTCTGAAGGTGTGACGGCAACGCATGGCATACAGCCATCTCTCGACTGCGGTGAAGCTGAGTCTGCAATGGGAATCGCTCGCAGGCTCTGTGAATTGGGCAGCCACCACATCGATGAGCACATTACATTCGCCATTCCCGGCTGCCAGACCACTGGCCCTAGTGGGACTCTCCCGAACCCGGAAACAACAGGTCAGCGAGTACCCATATCTCTAATTTTGGGCCAAGATTTTCCATCCATGAGCCTCATCTGCAGTCTACTGGAGGAATACTTTCACTCTGTACATTGGTTCTCCCTCGCCATATATGAGCCGAAATTCCGCAAGAGGCTCCATTCCATTGCGGATGGGTGTGCATATCCCTCGCAAAGATCTTTTCTCTTGCTACTCTCTGTCATGCTAGGAATGGCATCCTGGTATCGATCTCGAACGAGTGATACGAATTTTGCCGATAACGAAGAAAATTGGGGGAAATGGAGCGCAGACTTGCTGAAATTGGTCGAGTCTAATTTAGTGGAATTGATGGATCAGCCTTCAGTGATGGCGACCCAGACTTGTATTCTTCTCGGGTCGCATCACGTCTATCACGGTCGCCCGAATCTCTCCTTCTCATTACTAGGGGCAACAATCAAAATGGCACAGTCTATAGGACTGCAACGACAATATCTGCGAGGAGAACCCGAAGACATTGAGGAGAGGAAAAGAGTCTGGTGGACCATCTACACGTGGGACCGATTTGCTTCCATCACTTATGGCCGTCCATTAGGTATCAACGACAAGGATTGCAATCTCCAGATGCCGTCGGATATTTTGGAAAACCCAAGGTTTATTGGTTCTGGCTCCCGTCAGGATGGGGCAATATGCTATTCCACCTATCAGCGGGAGTTGAACCGACTGTACTTGATTGCCTCGCCCGCCCTCGAGGCTATTTTCGGCTCTCGAACTTTCAGAACCTCGGAACAATTGGCTGGCGACTCATATTTTGCATTGGTCAAACAGGCCACGAAGAAACTGCAGGAATGGCGACATTGTCTACCCACTCACTTGAGTTTAGATCTCAAGAAAGATTTTCTGCCCGACAACCAGGCAAGCTCAAGGGCGTACGCGTTGCAATCTTTATCGTTGCAGCTGACGTACGACAACGTCCTTATCGTCCTACATCGACCTTTGCTAGCGCGGCAAGTGAATCAATTGTCCACCATGAACAAGCGCTCTCCGGCGGGAATCGCAGCAGATTCCCCAACGTATCCTTCAGTCACCTCTGCCCATTCTGCGGGCCAGTCTGGCTCATATTTCGATTCCGTGTTTTCCGGGACGCGGGTCACCAGTTCTGAACTTTGGATGGATGCTGCGGTGAGGACATCAAAGATAACAGAATTGCCTGTACTTGTTCGGCTTGCCACTGAAAGTCATCTGGTCGCCTTTCTGGCCATCAATCTGTTCCATGCGGCAATTGTCCTTGCTGTGCTCGCGCTTTCAGAACCGCTCTCTGATATAGCACAAGAAGTCAAACGCACAATTACACGCATCTTTCGCGTTCAAGACTTGATAGGGAAGCGGTCCGCGCTCTCGAAACAGAGTACGTTCGTCCTGAAAAACGTCGTCGCCCTGCTTCTCCGGCGGGAGTCGGAAGCCATGCTTGCGCCTGTCACTGGAACGAGTGAAGCAATCAGCCATCATACTCATGGCACGGGACCTGATTCATTCCAGATCTCCGTAGAGGACGCCCTCCAGTTACCGGTTGATGCGACGTTGGAATCGCGTCATTCTCTTGCTATGAACGAAATTTTCTCAGACGTTAACCGGCTACACCGGCTAAATGAGAGCCTAGCCTCCGTTCAAAGTGGTGAGTTCTCTTCATGTTCGGATGTAAATCATCTCTTCACTAACATGGCGCTCTTCTCCTATAGCCTTGGGCCCCGGCGACGATCGGTTCTCGGGCCTCCCTCCAGGCGGAGACTTCCCTCGAAGTCACGAGTCTGTACAACAAAATGAACACTCAAATGGCATGTGGCGGCCATCTGCACAGGACTGGGGTGTGACAGGGAACGTCCAAAACACTGGAATCGACAACCTTTATCACGAAAATATGGATGGCGGATTATATTGGTTATGGGACATGACTTGGAATGAAGTTGAAAGATAGTTTTACATCCATAAGGAAGCGTAGCCACCATTCTTTTGCAATACGCGACTTATTATGATGATCTGCACTATATCAATACGCTCGGACCTTACGATGCTTTGGTTCACTCGTTGGAATCATTTACGACGCTGGGGATTGTGCAAAAAGGAGGAACGTCTATTCATGAGTCTATGTCATTCTGTTACACATTTTTGGCCATTTCCGCATCGAAGCCTGGGCCATAAATCACACTCTTTATACCAGACCGCTTAGCCACATTCTTGAAAGCTCCTTCCGCCTCAGAGAAAGCGAACTCATGGGTGATGAGGCCGTCCAGCTTTACCCGGCGCGAGTTGAGCAATCCAATAGCCAGTTGGAAGTCCCCCGGTCCATAACGGAAACTTCCGTTGAAAGAAATCTCCTTATCACAGATTTGGCCGACTGGGATAGAGAGATTGGGCTTTCCCAGTCCAACCTGAACGAACGTTCCTCCCTGTGTGAGGGCGTGAATACCACAGTTCACGCAGGGCTCTGCCCCGGTCGCATCTAGAACAATATCAAATCCCGCCTGTACCCCTGCGGTTAACAACAGGTCCGCTGCGTTCTTCTCTGGGGATTCGGAGCTCATTTGATATGAGTGTGTGGCACCGTGCTTGAGCGCGGAAGCCAGACGACTTGGGACGACGTCCACAGCGGCAACTGTCGATGCGCCAAAAGCACGAGCAACTGCACTGCAGAGCAGACCAACCGGCCCTGCGCCAAAGACAGCCACAGACTTCTCTTGCATGCTACCCGCTAATAGGGAACTGTGCACGGCGACACTCAAGGGCTCAATCAGCGTGGCATCGCGCAGCGAAACATGCGGTGGCAGCTTGTAACAGCACTCCTGCGGCACGCGGTAGTAGGTGGCAAGTGTACCATCATAGGGGGGCGTGGCTGCAAAGCGAACGGCCTGGCAGAGATTATAGCGACCGGAACGACAATGACTGCAGGTATTGCAAGTACTGCCTGGCTCCAAAACAACGCGGTCTCCCACGGCAAAGCCTTCAACACTATCTCCACACTCAACCACGATTCCGGATGACTCGTGTCCCAAAATGATGGGCTTCTCGACAACATAACGTCCTATCGCGCCATGTTGCCAGTAGTGTACCTGGAAGCGGTGCAATTTGGTCAGTATCATTGAATCGACTGTATGCAGCTCCTAATACAGGGCAGTGGACTCACATCTGAGCCGCAGAGGCCTGTTGCGGCAACTCGGACAATAATATCTCGGTCTGAATGGAGAGTAGGTATGGCGCGTTCCTCGAAAGCGAACGTGCCTCCAGGATGAAGGACAAAGGCCTCGTTACCGCCCTAAATAGTTCTCAGGGTTAGTTGAAACAATTCGAGCAGCAAAGCTTCGCACAAGAGCAGGATAGTGAGCGAACCTTGCTGTTTGCTGTGACTGTCATTTTGTCTATTTCCCGGCTTGCAGTAGACTGAAGGTTAAGCACTGAAAGACACTTTATAGAGCCCGGAAAGAACAAGTCATCCAAGGTTAACTGCTAGGGCGTTTATTGATACACTGACTAACCTGGAGCGGATCCGGAAGTGCCCCATGTGGCATGTATGGAGTAAATGCACCATGGAAGCTTTTCGTTGGTTGTTCCAGCGTCTTTTTCCAGCATCGCAGGCAGCATGTGGACCCGTGAGGTCCGCAGGTAGAAAGAACAAGGCTCGATAAATTGTATCTACGCTCTTGCGCCCTTACTCAATTCTTTGTACCATAGTTCGAATACCCCATTTTATTCGCAATTGATAACATCTCCTCCAATTCAGCCGGAATGATGATTTTATCCATGTTCAACATGAACGTAAATCTTATCAATGCGACAAACTATAAACCACTATAAACAAGGAGAAAAATCCCGCAATTCCACTGAAAATGTAGATTCCGATTGGACGGGTCCCTTAGTTCGTTCGCCGAAGTCTTGGTAGCACCGGAACCGTGATATTTGCCACCGGAACCGATAGCACCACACCTTTCACAACGTACGGAACCGTGAGATGCCGCCGGAAGAAGAACCCATTGTCATGATCCTTACTTCTTAGTGGTCAGACGATACGTAACACCCGGCCTGTAGGACGGGTCCTAAATCACGAGGCATACGGCTTCCTCGACAACGGCGCATTTCCGTGAATCATATGTACTACCGGGCCGAACAATGAAGGTTTCGCCGAGTCTTGGCCGGCACGGAGTGGATATCGATGTCCGGGGCACCAGGCCATACCACTGCTGGTAAGACATGTTGGGGATTCTCGTCCAAAGTTTGTGGAGAAAAGACGTGATATTTTCCCCATGGGATCAATGTCTGGGGTAGAAATAAAAACCCTTACCCCCACTGTCATCAACACCAGGTATACGTCCAAGAAGCTCCTCAGCAGGCGAGATCACTCATATCCCCATTTTTCACTTGACATAAGTACAGCACAATGAGTTCTAAAGGGACTTCAGTCCTACGGGAACGCAATGCGGCTACCAAAGAACGGTCGCAGGCTGCTGCCATGCCGCAAATAGCGCAAATGGGCTGGCTGGAGAAGAAAATAAAGCCTACGAAGATCAGTGCTCGATATCCTGTGAAAGGCACACCCCTGCTCTATGCAACTTGCGCCTTTGGCAGCTTGGGAGATGCACTTTTCGGTTACAATTCTGGTATGACCTACCCAGGTGAAAGACTCTGTATGGGCATTAACTCTGATAGGTATAATGTCCGGCTTGCTGGTCAACCCAGTGTTCGTGTCTCGATTCTTCAAGAATTTTGGAGGAGCAGATGGTTCGACCTCTTCAGTGGACCCTTCCATCACAGGAATATCTGTTGCTTGTCTACAGGCGTCCGCCGCGGTGGGTGCACTTATCGCAGGTCGACTCGGCGATATGGTCGGACGAAAGAAATGCGTTCGTATCGGTGCCTTTATCTACTTCTTCAGTGCATTCATTCAAATGTTTGCCCCAGGTTTTGCCACCTTTGTCGCAGGTCGTACCATCCAGGGCCTGGGTGTAGGATTCCTCTCCATGACAGTGCCAATCATCCAGACGGAGATTGCCGCGCCACATCGCCGTGGATTAATGGTGGGTATTGAGTACACATTCTTGATCGCAGGATATATGCTTTCTTGCTGGGTGGATTACGGATTCAACTTCATGCTGCCAAGTGAGATGTCATGGCGAGGCCCGTTTATCATTCAGATTATTCTATCTTTCATCCTGTTGGCCATGTCATTCTTCCTCCCGGAAACACCTCGATGGCTCGCAATCAATGGCTTCATGAATGAGAGTCTGCAAACGATCGCAGATCTTCATTCCAATGGCAACACGGAGGATGAGCAAGTTCAGAAAGTTTTCTACGAGATCCAGGAAGCAGTCATCTATGAATCTAATCTTGGCAAATCCACATGGATGGTAAGTTCCTTGTGTTTTTGTCGGATCCTTTAGGACTTACCGGCGTCTTCGTCAAGCAGCTGACATCGGACGCGTAGGAAATGTTTACGCGATACCGAAAGCGAACGATCGTTGGCATCACGGTGCAGATGTTCGCACAGATCAACGGAATCAACATCATCTCTTTCTACCTCCCAAGCACCCTTGCAAGCGCTGGCTTCGACAATCGGAAATCACTATTATTCACCGCAGCGAACGCTCTTCCATATACCGCAGCAACTATTGTTACTTGGTGGCTCGCGGACAGATGGGGCCGAAAGCCTCTCCTGATACTCGGCGGTAGGTGTGCCTCTTTCTATACCCGCGGGACAATTGTAGACTAATTTGTGAATAAAATGCACAGGTCTTACGATGTCTGTACTACTAGGCATTGTCTGCGCCTTCACCGAGGCTGGATTTGACGTCCAGGTGAAGGCAAATGGCCAGTATGCATTTGTCATGCTGTATAACATCGTCTACGGATTTACTTGGGGCCCTATGCCGTGGCTGTTGCCAGCAGAGATCTTCCCGCTCCGAGGTCGCAGTAAGGGCATGGCATTGGCCACCACCAGCAACTGGATCTTCAACTTCGTTATCGGTATGGTGTCGCCAGATGCCTTTGCTGGTATTCATGGGTACTTCTACCTTGTCATTGGCGGATTTTGTCTGTGTTCGGCTGCACTTGTGCACTTCTATTATGTCGAAACAGCAAACCATACCCTTGAGGAGATTGCGGTTGCGTTTGGTGATAGGGCGTTTGCAGACCAGGACACAGAGGTCATGGAGATTGCTGATGCGAAGAGCGAGACAGGAGAGTCTCAAGTGTGACAGAACACTCGTTCGCCGAGACATCTCTAAATCTTTTCACCAGACAACATATATTTGACATTATTTCCAACTGATGGCAACCAAAAATGAACCAAGCAGCTTAATCTTCAAATTCCTTCTAAATTTACTTTGATTCATCTCGTGTAATGGCTTAAGTATCGTTCCTTATTTCACTGCTCAACGTTTGATTGATAAGAGAATCCTAGACATGATTATGTCCAGGGTCAAGCATGTGAAACACTACTGCATAACCTAGTCCAAATGTGCGGGGAAACGGACGGCCCGGGAACCAGTTCTTTCCCACGGCCCGAGGCTGTCAGTATGTGTTTTTGTGCAGATTTTCAACAGTCTCTTCTAAATGTGAACTTGATCGCCCGACTCAGACGATTCTACAGCCAATCTAGTCACAAAGAAGCCCATTTACTCCCTTGTTCGTAAGTACTCATATTTTTGAGCGACTGCGATTCAGGACTACTGATTAATTACATCCTTCCCGTGTGTAGTACTATAAATTCATTAATGATTTTCAAAGGCAGAATAGGACATCCCATCATGATAATTCGCTACCGTTCGTGCTTTTTAACGCCTATGTACATAGTGCAACCGACCCGCCACGTCCTCTCCGGTTCTCCTGGGTGGATAATTACCGATGCCCCGCAGTAGCCTGATAAAGACAAGATCAGAAAACTCCGCTCGAATACATATATGCCCCACATGAGACTGAAGTGCGACACAAAAGCAGATCATTCTTCACTGCATAATCATCCGAGAGACACAACGAGGCAAGGAGGCATCCGTGAACATGGTGTTAGCTAAAGCAATCGTTGCACGGGAACCAGCGCCTGATTTCAAAGTGAATTGGTCACTGGAAGAAATCGAGGTCAATTCGCCGGGCGAGAACGAGGTTCTTGTGCAAATAGTTGCGTCTGGAATATGCCACACCGATATATTGTTAACTTCTGTACCTAGTGGGAGCTTTGGCATCACCTACCCTAAGGTGGCCGGGCATGAAGGTATTTCTTCCAATATATAAGTTTGATGATGATAAGCAGGCTTGCTGAGGATGATATAGGTTCCGGAATTGTACGCAGCGTCGGCAAAAGCGTTTCGGATATTGAGGTCGGAGACCCAGTTCTGCTATCTTTCTACTCTTGTTCCTCTTGCTGGCAGTGCAAGAACTCTCATCCCGCATACTGCACATCATTCGCAGTAGGAAACTACGTTGGTGAACAGAAGTTTGTCTCGGCCCGTGATAGTGCTGAGCTATTAGGGTCCGGCTTCTTTGGTCAATCCAGTTTTGCCCAGTACACTATTGTGAAATATTCCAGCATTGTGAAAGTCAAGGAGCTTCTCCATCATGACAAGGAGCTGAAACTTTTCTCGCCGCTGGGTTGTGGATTCCAGACGGGAATGGGTGCCATTCAGAACATAAGTAGCGCCAGACCAGATGACATAGTCATGATCCAGGGCTTAGGTGCTGTGGGCATGGGCGCTCTTATGGTACGTGTCTACCTTCTGTCCCTTTGCTGCCCTATATGCCTTAGGTAGATCCGAAGCTGACAACTCTCTCCCTGATTTCTATAGACTGCCAAGATGCAAAACTACAAAGCAATCATCGCTGTCGATCGAGATAAAGCGCGTCTCGAGCTGGCTAAGACCCTTGGAGCCTCGCATGTCCTGGATACCAGCGACCCCGAGTTTACTACACTTGATCAAGCAGCTAAAGCGATCTTCCCTCACGGAGTTTCGATTGTGATCGAAACTACAGGCGTCCCAAGTTTGATCGAGCAAGGACTTCAATCGACACACACGCGTGGCAAGATCGTTCTCATCGGAGTACCACCATTAGGATATAACCTAAGCGTCAATGTGACAGAGCATCTCAATGTGAGCTATGAACCAAAGTTATCTGCTAACAAACAATCATAATAAACTAATCTACGTCACAAGTCCGGTCGTGCGATACTAGGATGCATAGAGGGAGATTGTGTGCCTCAGATTGTCCGTCTATCACCGAATGATTCTCCTGCAAGATTTGAGCTAACATGAACTGCAGGCCATCCCACAAATGATCAAGTGGTACCGCGAAGGCCAATTTCCAATCGACAAACTTGTCAAGTATTTCAATGTGGGTTTAGATTTACTATTACGTTTCTGTAAGGGCAGTGGCTAACTTTTGTTTCTTCTGGATAGGCAGCCGATTACGAGCAGGCATTGAAAAGCTTGAAAGATGGGACTGCGATCAAACCAGTTCTAGTATGGGCCAGCGGCTAAACGGAATTCTACGTTTTCAAAACTGACAATCGCAAAAGATTAACTTTTGAGTGTATTATAGAACTGTATCCTTTAGTTCCAGGGCGGGGATTGGAAAAGTCCCTTGTACTCATCTCAACCCGAATAAAATAGATGGGCTTCCGAACTAGGTAAATGAGAACTAAACAATCTGAGGTGAGTTGACCGTAATTGTAGAGGTAAAAGCAGATTCTATCTGGGCGTAGGACACCTTCTCAGCTGAGTATGGCTGAGTTGGACTCGGGATGGATGTTGGGCTGAAAATTGCCGAGTCGCGGGAGACTTGTGCAAGTAATACGTACAAATACAGAAAAATACCTACACAAACAAAAGGGGATTGGCCACTACCCATAATTACAATCTTTCCTGCAGGTAATTTACCACCCCACTTGCCTCGACAAAAAAAGCCACTAAACGTGCTGTGCAGAATGGGAAAAATCACGATATGCATCTCAGGGGCATGTGCACAGGACTTGACCCGCATCGCGGGAAGTAAATACTGAGCGATCAGACCTATGCAGTTCATCAAATTTGAACTGTACCAGGTCGTCGATTCTGGGTTGAACTGTGGGGAAGCGGCGAGCCCCGGATCGTCATCGCCCATGGCATCACCATAAATTCGATTCAGAATATAACCGGCTGCCCGCATTTCAGGCCCCTGGTCCTCGGTTCAACATAGATTTTCCCGGCTATGGCGGTTGAGCACGAAGCAAAATACATTAGTTTATGTTCAGCTCACGGCAGAAGATCGAGGATAACGGCTCCATAGGGTCAACCTCCTCGCGCTGCTAGGCTTCCTAAGCTTACTGGCTAATGAAAGGAAGGCCAATAACAAGACTAAATTGGTGATCAGGATGACTAGTTCGGGCAACAAGATAGTGAGCTTTGTGCCCGAGGTCTAAGGTAACATTCATACAACGATACCTTGCAGGTCTGCAGAGTTGAATGTGGTATTTTGCACAAGTCTATGTCCTTCGGCCCCTGCTATACCCCGCCTCGCTATAGCCGCAGCTTTCGGTGTCAAGATAGATACATGGCTTTGCCAGGTACTAACCTGTTCCGATTAGCGCCTTTCGCTACACATATATATGTGTCCTTCGTCAGACATTTTTCAATGCATAATCTTTCCCCCGATTGGCCCTCTTCGTCACAACGCGAAGCCGGTTCGCCATAGTTCGACACCACCTTATTTTGCGGTGAACTCCACTGGGTCGAGTTCCGAATATATCTGGATTTTGAGGAAGGGAATTTAGCACTACACTTGCTTGATCAGAAGGCTCATTATCGGTGACAGCCTCGACTACCATGTCGACCAGTCACCCCCAGGCTATGCTGGTCTTTTCGACCCTCAGTGGTATAGCCACGCACTTGACCATTTTCCGCCACGGGGAATGGGATGTTCAGGCCCCCAAGCTCGTGCTCTCATACTTGTTCCTGTTGATAGGTGCTATGGTGTTAGATCAAGCGGCCAAAGCGAAATATGTTGATTTTGCTGCTCCTTATCCTTGGCTTGTGAAAGGCGTGTGGTGTCATATCCTAGGAATCTACGGATCCATGATCATGTATCGAGCATTTTTCCATCGCCTCTCTCAATTCCCCGGGCCATTCTTTGCAAGACTGTCAAATTTCTACGTGACCGCTCTGTCTGCTCGGAAGCTCCATCTTTATGAAGAGACAGAGAAACTTCATGGGATCTATGGAGATTATGTGCGGCTAGGTTTGAATTCCCTCTCTTCTATTCATATTGAATGAGACTAGCCTGACTCTCCCGTTAGGCCCGACTGAGCTGTCTATTGCTGATCCAAGTGCAGTCAAGGCTCTGTATAGCTCTCAGGCAAAGGTCTCCAAGGGGCCGTGGTACACAATTTTGGAACCACGGGTCTCTCTCCAGACGGACAGAGATAAGCAGGAGCACGCACGCAGAAGAAAAGTGTGGGACCAGGGATTTAGCTCTCGAGGTAAGCTACCCGCACCAGCTGATATGATCAGCTGATATGATGAAAGCATGTTGTATTTGGACTGCTTGCTAAGACTTTTAGCTCTCCGTGACTATGAACCCCGTGTCTCTCACTACACCGGCCAACTCATTGATGCGATTGAAAAACAGCTCGGAAGCTCCGTGGACATCTCCCGGTGGTTTAATTATTACAGTTTTGATGTTATGGGCGACCTGGCATTCGGAAAGTCATTCAACATGCTGATTGATGGCAAAGACGCCTACATTCTGAAGCAATTGCATACTGATATGAAGAGTATTGGCCTGTTCAGTCATCTAACCTGGCTGTTTCCCTTTGTCAAACGAACCCCAGGGCTCAATGCAGATTATCTAAAGTTTTGGACTTGGGTGGGAGAGCGTGTCAATGGTAGGATCCAGGTTAGTTCATGTTCCTCGATTTCCTGTTGTGAGACCACGAAGAGAGAGTTTTGTACATCCTGTATGCTTATTAGACACGGTGTACAGAATAATCCAGATCGCCCAGATGTCTTCTCATGGCTACTCAAAGCTTATGAGCAGGGCCCAAAGACTAAGCAGGATACACTCAACCTTCACGGTGATGCATACTTGATTATTGTAGCGGGAAGGTATCGCAAAATTCCTTCTCCCTCCTATAACATGACTACTCAGCCTTACATGACGTGGACTAACTGAACTTCAAGTGACACCACCGCTGCAACTCTGACCAACATCTTCTTCCATCTTGTCTCGGACCAAGCTTTGTTTAAGAAACTCCAAGCTGAACTTGATGCCCTACCGGATCTATCTCACGATAAATTGCGAGAGATAAAACTTCTCGATGCGGTGATCAACGAAACGCTCCGCCTGCATCCTGCAGTCCCGTCTGGCACACAACGCCTATCCCCACCCGAAGGCATGACTATCAGCGGAAGATATATCCCCGGAAATGTCATGTTGTGCATTCCCCCCACGCATTATTCAGAGGTAAGTCTCGTCTCTGATTAGCTAATTGCTACCAAGTATGGAATTGTACACGTCTCTGGAAGTACTAACCATGACAGACGGGCGTGTTTTTGCCCGTCCAGATGAATTTTTGCCCGAGAGGTGGACTACCGAGCCAGACCTCGTGATAGACCCATCCGCATTCATTCCATTCAACAGCGGTATGGCTTGTCACCCCGAACACCCTATACTTGCGGATGTCTACCCGACATATCGTTAAGCTCAATTTGAAGACTATCATGCTAACTTTGTTCCGGGATAGGCCCATACTCCTGCGTTGGAAAGCAGCTTGCTCTAATGGAGCTTAGATGTGTGATGGCTGAGATACTCACCAAGTATGACATATCTTTTGCTCCAAGCCAGAACGAGTCTGCTTTCTTAGAAGGGAAGCAAGACACCTTCACGCTAGTCACCGCACCGCTGGAGCTGGTTTTCAAGGCAAGAGGAGCGAAGAAAGAGTGATGCAGTTAGACTTGGGACTAGCTTGTACTGCCTGAGTAGTTGCTGCGTATTTTCCTCGTCATATATCCATGATTTTTGAAATTCGTAGCGAGGACTCAATCAACTGATCAAGATTCATACGGCAAACTAAGAACGTCTTCCTTCTTATCTTGCGTACATCGCTGGTCAACGCAGTTCTGGTAGAGGTATGAAGTATATAGCATTAACTTGGATGGTATGCTCAGTCCCATAGACGATACACGAAATGTTCAATCCTCGATAAAGAGCACACTTTCTTCCAGGGGTGTCGGCATTGAAATCAGGTCCGAGAGATAAACCCATTCAAAATCGATGGGGATGGAATGTACCAAATGAGTATGCCTGAATATAAAGCCTACCACAAGCTATAGAGTATCATCATGGAATGAGAGATAATTCTCCACAAGACAAACATCTGGAAAACTAGGAAGTGATGCCGGTATCAGTGATTGTGAGAGCCAACAAAGGTCAGGTGACTGGTCATTGTCTGGCCGGGTCATGTGATTGGAGATGTTTGGGGCTCCACTGGTGGACGTCGGGGATCCGGTCATCCAGGACCTTTACCTAAGGCACCTTGGCGCGAAGAATGTTTAATCATCGAGATAGGAGTTCTTGACTCAATCTAGCTGACTGAGTGATGACGACGCCGTATTTGTCATCTCGTTTGAAAACTAGGACTGCGGGCGTCACTTAGTGGGCCCTTCCGCCTAAACTCAATCAGCTACGAGGAAATGCCAGTGTCAGATGTGGGTGTCGCCTCCAAACGAAGCTGCCTCCGTTGCAACGAGCGAAAAGTACGTTGCGACCGAAATCACCCTTGTGGCCGGTGTCTCCAAGCCAAGCTCGAATGCTCCTTCCCGGGGAACAAACGGGCGCCGCGGAAACTAAACCGACCTCCAATTGCAACGATCTTGGGCCAACTTAATGAGTTGGAACAGGAAGTGAAGCGGCTACGGGCCTCGTCTGATACAAATGACGACAATCTCAATTCCACCCAGCAGTCGTACAATGGATCAAATCAACGAGCCCACACGCAAGCCCAAACGCTAGACACGCGACCTTCGACCAGCGGTCGCTTGAGTCGAGAAAAGGGGGACTGCCTTGACCAAACAGAGGAGAGGGTATGTCAATCATTGGACTGCTGGATAATAGCTAAGCATCTGTAGATTTCTGAGCTCCAAGTGGTTCGCGACAGATCATCGAATGAGGCATTAGGTGCTGATGACACCTCTGAACCCACCACTAGCCGCCCGGCTTTTCCTTTGTTAGGTGTTCCGGTGTTGAGCTCTGAGCCGAGACTTGGAGTGAAGCATGATCATCAGCTGCAGCCCCTACAAGTCCAAGCACTTTGGGGCCTTTTCAAGGAGAATGTTGCGCCTGTAATAGCGATATTACACAAGAGTACCCTCGAGCCCATAATCCTTGAATCGTGCGCACGGGCTGAACCGAGCCGACCAATTGCTCTTGAGGCCCTCGTTCAAGCGATTTGTTTCTCGACCATAGTTAGTGCAACACCAGAACAGTGTCTGTTTATCCTTGGCCGAGATCGCGATGTGTGCATTCGGACCTCTCGTCTCGCTGTAGAGCAGGCTCTGGCACAAGCGAACTTGATCAGCACCCCGAACATCGAAGTTTTGCAGGCGGCCATTTTGTTTCTGTTATGTCTGCGCTGGCTTGATCCTAGGCTAGCATGGGCCGAAGCAGCTATCGTGGTCCGCGTAGCTCAAAGACAAGGTATTCATCGCGAGGACCAAGCCTCCGGGCTGACCTCATTCAATATCGAAATGCGACGCCGGCTGTGGTGGCATATTTGCATTCTTGATTTTCTCTGCTCCGAAGACCAGGGAACCGACACCCAAATCCGACCGGAGATGTTCAATACCAAGATTCCGTCGAATGTCGATATCGATGACCTTGCGCCAGACCGGAGCATCCCGTCACCCCCACCAGCAGGGTTTACCGATATCACATTATGCATCATCCAAAGTGAAATAATGCTCAAATTGTACTGGCCTGGCATCAATCCGAACTCAGAGGCCGCCCAGTCACCCGTGACCGAGCGAGAAAACGTCTTGTGTTCACTAGCGGCCCGCGTCGAGGGGCAGTATTTACAGCAATTCAACTTGGACGTCCCGATACAATGGCTGACGGCTGTCATTACTCGCCTTTCCTTATCCAAAGTGCGGGTTATCAGCCTTCTCAAAAACACCACGGCGGGCGAAGTACCAGTTGCCACCAAGGATGAGATATTCGACATGGCGGTCGAGATCGTCAAGTTCGCCAACCTAATAGAGAAGAATGAGCCGACGGCACAATGGGCGTGGGTTTGCAAAAGCTACAAGCAACGGCACGTGGTCGCATTCATCCTTTCCGAGCTTTGCGTTCGTCCCATTACGCCTGAAACGAATCAGGCCTGGGAAATCACGACAGAGATGTATAACCAGTGGAAACAAGAAAATCATGATACCGATGCTGCTTTTCAGGATAGCCTGTCTCGTTTGATGGAGCGCGCCAGTGCATCCAGGCGGAGAAAGATCGAGTCTCTCAAGGCACCCCCTGACGATCGTACTTCGCGACCTGTTCCGCGGTCCAATATTTATGAGCACCATCCGATTGCGGCAGTAGCTTCTGATATGGATTTTCAGCATTCAAGCATGCCTGGTACACCGAGGATAGATGATCTTTTGGACAACGAATTCAACTTCTCGGCAATAGATTGGCTATCGGCGCCATTGATGTGAGTTGACATCAAGACCCTTTACAAGGTTCACCATTACTCTCACAATGTCAATCGTTTTCTTTTGTTATACGCTTGACATTTTTGATGTGTATGAGTGACTCTTCTACGGAAAAACCGAGCGCTCTTGTCTACCAAAAGCTTAGGAAATTCGCAACACAAACCAATCACCATTGACATCTGGACATACACGCATCATGCTCCTTACTATGTCTCAGACCTCGCGTTTTCAGTTTTTCAAGAGCATTTGAGCAGGTCATAAGTCGGATACTTCCTCCGGATCCAGGTTTCAGTCTTGAGAGGAAAGCGTGAAGTTGAATGTTACCGAAGTGGAAACAATTCTTATTTTGACCTTCACTAAACCAGACACTTGTATTCCTACTTGATCGAAAGCCGCCAACTATTCAAAAAAATGAGCCGCCAGAGAGAGGTTAGACAAGCTTAATTGACTACATTAATTGGCAGTTCACATTCAATCAGGCATTGAGAACCCTTTCCACCACTCCAGATCTTGTCGATATTAAAGCCTGCCCTCTTCTCAATGAGGTTATACCAAGCTGCATGAGTGCGTTCATGGGCCGAAAGGAGTGTCAACATGACCATGTCGAGTGCTGTGGCTTCCCAGTAGGCACCTGTCTCCGGTATCACATGCTCATGAATCAATAGCCTGCTGTATCCGGGCTTCATTGCAGCTTTGACTTGCGCAAGAATTTTCTCGCATACATCGTCTGGCCAGTCGTGCAAAATGTTATGCATATAATATGCCCGGGCGCCTGATGGTGTGAGTATATATCTGCGCCTTCAGAAGGAGCTTTTCGTGCCATACCTTTGACGGGCTGCTTCGTATGGAAGTCGTACTCCATACGGAGAACAGACGGATCCAGGTTCTGTATTTGGCCTATCACCACGGGTAAATCTTGAAGGATCAGCTTCCCCGGGACAATGGGATAGAATCTGTGGAATAGCTCCAAGTCATGGCCCACGTTGCCGCCAATGTCGACGAGAAACGGAGCATCGGGGTCAGTCTCAGCATCGTCAATTAGTCTTTCTTTCACTGGATAGAAATTATCGTCCATCCAAGGCAAAGATCCAAAGGCATAGCCCCTCATATGGTCATTAAAGTGTGTACCATAACCCAGAGATTGCTGCCACGCAAAGGTATCCATGGTGGTTCCGTAGGCATACATCATTGCAGTGTCTTTCGCATCCGTGGGATTCACCCAACCTCGCTTTCGGGAGTATTCGTGAAATCTCATGGGACCTGCACTTGTGCAGGAGAGCCTGTGGATGTGAGCAGCTGTATCGAATGCATTTAGGCTAACGTATTGTGCTTACATGGCGAGGTAGCCATTGCCAATCACCGGAATGCTCATCGCCTTCGTGAAATTTGTCAACCTGTACTCGTCCACACCAATCTCGACGAGATACCCCATAGCACTCAGGTGTCGCATCAGACGGCCTTGTAGAGTGTTAATAACTGGGCAGATAAGCTACCAGGTCAGCTATATTGAAACATACTCAAGAGCACATGATCAATCCCAAGCTCCGCTGCCAGTTCGCCGACCTTTTGTGGCTTGTCACCGTTTTGCGCCATGAGTTTCCACAGACCGGAGTCCACACCAAAGTTCAGACCAGCAATGGCACCAGTCTACTTAGCAGTTAATTCTGTTAGATCAGCCAAGCTGAACGCATGGTACTTGCCTGTGCCCAACAATGATAAATCATGGTCTCTCGAGGAGTCTCCAGGGCTTGAACCAAGGTGCGGCATTTGGCAAGTAAGTCTTGCCGGCCTACATTGCTGGTAGTGAAAATATCAAAAGCCTGGGTAATTTCCTTCAAAAGCTTGGGAACCGCTTTGATGTCATTCGGCTCGGTAGCGATAGATTCATCGACAGAGGATTGACCTGGTTCTGTTTTCTGAACTGTCATCTGCCTATAAATAAGCACCCGGGTGCAATCAAACTATTAACCAATGTGGTATACAGACCTTATGTATTGCTGCAGATTGAGGTCTAAGTGTCTTTCAACAAGGTGGAATATATCTGTGAGAGGCTTAAATGGAGAGTCTAATTGCCACTTAAAGAACTTAGGGGAACTGTCTATTGTAATGTTCCAATCCGGTGTATGTCTGTCGACGGTTCCGCTCAACTTAAAACAAATCATAGAGAGCTGCTCATGCATATGACCACCCTATAGAGGGAGCATTATTTTCTGTTTGACTCAATTCAGAAAGGTCGCAAAAGAGGGGTCGGTCGCTCTGGACCCGGCCACGTCAAGAGTAGACATTGAGTCATGTGGTTACACGAAAAGCCAGATTAGGTTTGCGATCGAATCTTAGGTTGAAGCAAGATTGCTGATTGGGTATCTACTGTATCGTCACATATTGGGAATAGCTTTACATGCCATCATTGGGTGAAGAAGATCTGACTGGACGACTAGGGTATACAATGGCCACCGGAGACAACGTAGCTGTATATAATTGGAATGTCACTGGAGATTGATAGGTTTCTATGAGTTGATGAGATATCCGAAATTTTGGTACGCTCATTGTAAAGGTCGGGTGAAAAAATCACGGAATTGATGTAAAAGTCGGTGAAGGGCCGGAATGTCCAGGCTGCATCTAAATCCAAGATCCTGATTATACGAAGGCGAGCCAGAGTTATCACACCCATAATTAGAGAAGAGGTAGTTCCATAGGCCTTCTATCTTACCCTTATACGGGAAAGTTTGGAAGTTACAATACCATGAGTAAGATCAGATTAAAGACTACGATCTAAGGCTGGGCGTTTTTGCATTAAATTCATGCACGACCCTGTCTAAGCAAGCCAGGATCTACGGCAATCTGTCTATATTAAGCTTTGAGGGCGCGATATTGGATGATTTCCAGCAGTCCAGGTGGGCCAAATAAGGCAGTCTTCCTCAATAACAAGGATATGATGGTTTCTGATGCATGGTGCAGAAGCCTAATATCCTAGTCTACCTGCACTCAGCTCCCACATTGTTATTAATAGACTTTATGTGAAGTGAAATTACATGTAAACCCCCTCTTTCAGTTAGGCAATAGAGTCAGTCTTCTTTTTGCTGGCACGGTTCCCAACGGCATGATCTATCGGTTGCCTTAACTCAAAGTTATTGTTTAGTACTTGAGAGAGCACATACTAGTTATTCAAAATCACACGTATGAGTCACTAAGCTAAGTAATTCAAAAAGCCACAGCGATACCGTTTTATATTTCACACGGTCGTATCAACACGGTGTATTGAGATATATTTCGAGACGCTCAAGATGGCTCGAGTCTGAGCGCCAAGTCGCCAAGTCACTTCGCCATGGATGTATCGAGCTTCCAGCCTTCTCCTATCAAGTGAATTCTTCTTCCACACCTCTTATAACAGACCCATCTTCTCCACTACTTGGTCGCTAGAATACGAGACAATTTTGCATAGCCCTAAAAAGTTCCAAGCTAATGTAGAGTGCTTAAGGAAGACTGGCTGTCATGCTCCCAGACTGATCGCGACTCAGTGGCGCTCAGCACGAAGAATCTATCAAGGTCGATTGAAACTATCGAAATATATTCGATATATTGAAAATTTTCTAGTCCCTCGTCAACAATATGCTCTGTGGTCCTGAGCTATGTACACTTTGGCGGTATTTACACGTTTAGACACTCCCTTTAAGCCACATGCACATGCGCAGCTTGTAGGTCTAGAACTAATGCAGGATAAACTGCAGAAGAATACTTGAGACAAAATAGCCGAGTGGTGGGGCATGCAGTTAATAGTATGCGTGAAAGCCATCACATCCCATAAACTAAACATTTTCATGATAAGGTTGTCACCTGAGCCCTTTACTGCTCATTCACATTGGTCATTGTATTAAAGCGCCATAAGATTGTCCAGTATCCATGACGTGGGCCGGACAATCGATAGCATTGGATCATGGAATAGTCCTGACTAGGCATATGCACTTAGCAATATTTCAACAACGCCTTATCCCGCAAGAACGCTTTCCAACCAGGAAAACCCTACAAAACTTGCCTTAACAAAATTGCATCTTCATGGGGTCATATTCATCTCCTGGCTGGAGGGAGTTAGACGTCGCAGTTGTTGGCGGCGGGATAGGAGGAATGTCTGCGGCGACCGCCCTGCGCCGTGCCGGCCACAAGGTATCTATTTACGAACGTACCGATTCTCTTGATCAAGCCGGTGCTTCGATTTCCTGCGCAGCGAACGGTACACGCTGGCTACACGAGTGGGGCGTAGATGTGGCTAAAGGCGATGGGGTCATCCTACAAAAGCTCATCAGCCGCGACTGGACGACAGGCAAAATCCTGACTGAGTATGCACTGGATGATTACGAGGAGCGATGGGGCTATCTGTACTATATGTTTCAACGCCAGTGTATGCACACGATGTTGAAAGATTCGGCATTGGGGGAGGGCGAAGGGGTGCCTGCGAAACTCTTGATGAATCACAAGGTAATGTGCGGAGTTACCATACGCACACCTATTTACCCCAGGGCCTTCAGCAGCCGATCTAATATTTCATATTAGTGCAAGAAAATCGATATTAATACCGGGTTGATTGAGTTTGAGAACGGCAAGATGGCCAGCCATGATCTCATCATCGGCGCGGATGGCATTGGATCCGCCGTTCGTACCATTCTCGATATCCGGCCCGAGAAGCGACCAGCGGAGTCTAGCTGCCTACATGCAAACGTACTTACTGAAGACGCAATTGCTGCTGGTTTTACTGACTTCTCTAAAGACAATGCTCTGCAGTTCTGGGGCGGCCATGGGGAGGTCTGGGACAAGATCGTTCTCTCTCCATGCCGAGGGGGCAAATTACTATCTTACTATTGCTTTTTCCCACGGGAGAAAGGGGACTTCCAGAATCATTATTGGGGAGAGCCTGACCGGTCGGTGGAAGAGCTGCTCGCACCGTACCCTCAACTCAATGCTCAAGTCCGGGGACATTTGGCTCTTGGCAAAGATATCCAGCCGTGGCGCCTATGGATGCAGTGAGTTTAGCTGAAAATACGTTTAGCCCTTGAAAGACGAGGCTGATTGTTCACAGTGAAGCATACCCATATATTGCGAGAAATATGGTTTGTTTGCTGGGTGATGCAGCTCATCCAGTATGTCATATTCGAATTATCCGAGTGAGTGGAGTAAATCATCGAAACTGATAAACATTCAGATGATGCCTCACCAAAGCCAAGCGGCCTGCATGGCTATCGAAGACGCGGCTGCCTTGGGAATACTTTTCAGCGGAAATCATTTCACAGGAGATGTGTTTGAGTCACTTTCTATCTATGAGTCGGTTCGCCTTCCGAGAGCAACCAAGGTTCAGGCGGCAGCGGCGAGAGCCTCATTAAATATCAACGAGCGGATCGGTAAGGCATCATCACCCTAAAAACCCCCAATGCATACAAATTAACGTCTACGCAGGATTCTCAAGCAACACTGACAATCCAAATTACGTGGTGAAGAGTGAGCAGGGGAAATTGACGATTGAAGAGATGAACGCGTGAGTTAACAAGTCCTTTGAAGCGTTCTAGTCTGATGAGCACCAGTTACAATATGCACATGCACATCGACGAGGTAGTCTCCAGACGCGCTGGAAAAGCACACACTCACAAATACACCCACGGTTTGCCAATAGGACTAAAGCTATCAAACGGATATACCGTTGGAGCTGAAGATTGGTCTTATGACTAGAATGTACCCGACACGAGCTGGATTTGCTATGCTGATACATGGTCCTGAAATTTAATCCGTTCTTGAACTGCTGCTCCGTCCTCGCACGTATTCTAGGTACTGAAATAAAAACGGATTCCGCCCACATTATTGAGACGGATGGCCCAGTATTTATTAGGCTTCGCTTCATCTCGAAGTATGCTAGATGAATAACTTGCATACATTTTTGGATAGTACGAGAAACGAGAATCGAAACTGCTTTTATTTAATCCTTTTATCAAAAATCCCATCGTGTCTTCTTAGACTTATTATGCCTCTGACTCGAAATCGACAACCGCTTTACTACCGACAGAGCTATCTAGGCGTGGTCTTGGGCCGGAAACACTTTTCACTCTCAAGTAAAGTACCCCATACATTGGTTAAGCAAGCGACAAATGACTGAAAATATACGGGCCATGTCAACACGTATTCAAGTAGAGACCAGGGTGACCGAGATCAACATAACGCACAACCCCGCTCAAACCAATGGTAGATGCCACTAGCTTCACAATGAGCTTTTCTCGGCATCCAATGTCGGTTCGTATCCATTGCGATCTCTATTCGACGTAGTCCTTCGATCAAATTCTTCCGAGGTAGAGCAAATGTGAGTCTAACCCAGCCGGATTCTCCGCTGTTGAACTTGGAGCCAGCAGCAACGACCACACCTGCCGCTGCAAATCTTTTAAATAGCTCTGCGTCTGTTTCCTTTGTTGCTAGCTTGCCCCCAACTCGCGCCAAAATGAAGCAGCCAGCAACCGGGGAATAGAATGCAATCTGATGGAATGACAGGAAACTTTCCACCGTCTCAGCCGCTTCGCGCAGGCGAGATTTGCTACGGTCCAATATTTTTTCAAGCGTCTGAAGATTCGAAAAGAGAGAAGCAACGACTATCGATGCTGCGTTACACACCTTGAATTTGTTGAGGACCGCTAGCGCATGGCGAAGCCCAGGATTCGACTGTGTAACGAGATATCCCTGAGAATGTGTCAGTCTTAGTTTACACATATACATTGATTGAAAGTTCCGACAGACCAGTCGAACCCCGCTACTACCAAGATCCTTGCTTATACTGTAAGCTACATGGACACGAGCAGGATCGACCTGAAGTCGCTTCAGGTCTATTGCCAGTACCGAGGTGAACTTCGTTTCTAGCCCAATCACAACTTTGGGGTTGCTGACATTTTGACTGCATCTAATCGCCCCAAAATTTGAAAGGGCGTATATTTCGTCCGAGATGAAGTGAATATGATGAGCTTCGCAGAATTGAAGTAGTGCCTCCAACCATACGGTAGGATAAATCTGACCGAGGGGGTTATGGGGATTGCAAACAATGAGGCCCCGAATTGGACACGATGCATTTTTCATCGCTTCAATATAGTGATGTATAAGATCATTTGCATTTGTCGGTCGTGTCGAGTATTTCACGGGAATTATTTGGACGTTGTTTCTCAGCGTTGACGTGACCGCGAACCCATCCCACATGGGTGCCTCAAGTAGCAGACCCTCTCCAGTATCGCAAATCGAAAAGATGAGGCTCTCAAGAATTGATGCGCATCCCGTGCTCGTTACGATGTGTTCGGGTAAAACGGCAATTTGAGGAGAAAAGAAGCGATTGAAAAATGATGCCGACACATTTAGAAGCCCTGGAGGTCCGCCTAGCTCTTGCGAATATGAAAGATCCTGACTTTTGAGGTTCAATGACACGGCTTCTCTCATAATAGGAAGTACGTCTGGTCGGACAAGCCAATTTTCCGCCTTGTCCATTTCCAGTACGCCCTCTGGATAGTTAGGTTCAGCAGAGGCGTGGTCTGAGAGCCAGGACAGACTTTTCTCCATGCGACCTGAGAGCATCGGGAGAGAAGAGCCGATGAGAAGAAGCGGTTGCATGTCGAGATGCAGCAACTTTGATCTTTCATTTATTTAAGAGATTGGAACGGTTTGCATCGGTGGTCTCAGTAGCGCTCCAGGCCTTCATGCGCGATTCCAACTCACCGCTGTTTTGTTAAGAAGTCACACAGATAAAAAGCACTCTGCAGGCCGACAAGAGCATATACTACTTCGCAGATTTTTCGAATAAACTATCACCTAATAACAGATCTCCCTGGAGGTACCTCGGTCGGTTCAGTTCTGAGCCTAGACTACACAATCTAACCAACGAATCTACTATCATAAGTCAATTTGTTGTAGGCTCGGCTTCTTTATTATAATGGCCTATTCTGCCTTAGATCTCCAATAGTCCTCCACTAATTCTCCATGGCAATCCCTACACTAAAACGGTAGGGGGTTGTCTGGTAATTCACTTTGGTCAGCTGGTCGGACATGTGCATGTCTCTGCGGGCGCAGAAGGGAGCGTTGCTTTTCTCTCCTCCGGTTCTTCGTTCCATCCATCAGAGTCTCGTGTTCTGCGCCACTACTATCCTCTTCGTAGTATTGGTGAGGGATCATCACAGTGCGTTGACCACTCGTGCCAAACCTTATCTTAATGTTAATGTTGTGTAACACATGCACCGAAAAATGCAATTAGGGATTATTGCAATAATTAACTGTATGCAGGACTGGGAAAAATACGGTGGCTTGTAAGTATTGTACGTTCACTGAACCACCAACCATTCCAAGTTCATCTTTGGCCATGAATTATTGCCCTCTAACACTGTCACTTCTTATCTTCAGCCGAGCACTGTGCCTCGAGTTATAAATAGAGGAAGCTTGGACGAGCAATGATATGCTATATTTCACCACCCAACCATACCATTCTTATTCATCAAAATGCTGTGGGAATTCCTGAACACAAAACAGGAACTGGTTTTCCTAGTTTCTGGAATCACCGCTGTACTAGTCTATCACCTCTACCGTACATACTCGCGGCTGAAGCACATCCCGGGTCCCTTCGTCGCAAAATTCACGAACTTCTATCGCTTCTTACTGGCGCGTCGTGGCTTCCTCCACTTGTACCTAGATGCTGCTCACAAACGATATGGTCCCGCCGTGCGATTCGGTCCCAACCTAGTATGCATTTGTGACCCGGAGGCCATCCAGACAATCTTCAACCTGCGGGGAGGTTTTCCCAAGGCATGTAATCTTCATCTCCATCAACCTGTCTCTTTCCTTGTGTATGAGTGTGAATCTTATCTGACCAACATAGAGCAACATGTACCGCGCCTTCCGACCATACACCACTGACGGCCTACTTCTCTCAGTCTTCACGGCAGCAGACGACGCAACGAATCGACAGATGAAGCAACATATCTCCGTGTACTATTCGCTCTCGTATGCGGTAGCCTCTTTTGAGCCAAGAATGGATAGTGCTACTCGAATGTTCTTTGACCAGCTTGATCAGAAGTTTGTGCCCACGGGAGCACATTTCGACCTGACAAGTTGGATGAAATTCTTGTCCTACGATACCATGGGCTTGATGACATTCTCCCGTCCATACGGGTATGTCCAGCATGGAAGAGACTTACACGGTATCATGGACGACGTCAAGAGGGCAAATATGAGCATCGGACCGGTAAGTCGTACACTGCGGAGGATGTTCACATGGAATATGACTTAACTACTAGCAGATGACGCAAATACCAGGGGTCGATTGGCTCCTACATAAAAATGGAGTAGCGAATTTCTTCAAACGCGAATCCATCGCTCCTCTGTTGGATTACGTTCTGGCGCGTATCGGAGAGCGTCGAGAAGAGCGTCAGAAAAATCGTGACAAGCTCCCCAGTGCGAACGCCGACGGGCCCTGTGCAGACGGTGACTTCCTCGGGTATTATTTAACAGCCCAGGAGAAAAAGGAAAATGTGCCCCTTCGATTTGTGTCAACCTGGACCTTTGCCAATATTCTGGGAGGGGCGGACTCCACGGCTTCCATGCTTCGATCTGTGGTTTGTTTCCTCGTGGAACACCCTGACGCACTAGAAACGGTTCGGAATGAGCTGCAAGATAAGCAACGCAATGCCGGGGGGCTGACTATGCCTACTCCTCAATGGCAAGAGCTGCAAAACCTTCCCTTCCTAGACGCTTGTATTAAAGAGTCACTCCGGCTTGACGCTCCATTTGCTATGCCTCTCGAACGAGTGGTGCCTGCAGAAGGCGCGACAATCTGTGGTCAATTTTACCCAGGAGGTACAGTCGTAGGCATGAGTCCCTACATTGCTAATCGCTATCGGCCCACGTGGGGGGATGATGCGGACCTGTGGCGTCCTCGTCGGTGGTTGGATGGCGAGCCATCACATATAAGAAAACTTGAAGCCAGTTTGCTGAGTGTAAGTCAAGTGAATTCCATGTTCTTGATACGTCCAATTTCTGATTATGCCAGTTCGGAGCTGGGACACGAGGTTGTCTGGGCCAGCACGTCGCCATGTTTGAACTCAAGAAGTTTGTCACGGCCTTATTCATGAACTACGATGTGAGTACTGGATCATAAATTCAAGAATGTATACTTACATTTTAGGTTGATCTCGTGGAACCTCGAGCGAAGTCAAATCCGTACTTTTGGGTCATATATCCAGAGAGCGTGCAGGTAACAGTGAGGAAACGCAAGTTCAACGAGCAGGACCTAGCCCAGAGTAGGTAGGATTGGATTATACACATTGGAATTCTTTCATTCGCCGAAATATTGAGCATTCCTTACTCCGTCTAACAAAAGTAAGCCATGAAAGAAAAATACAAGCTCATCAACACCCCAACCTTGAAATCCGTGAATGTGGTCAAAGCTGGTGTACAGAAACTTCAAGTTCCACAGTAATAGAATCTACATACAAAGTGGTGTCTCACACCAATACCCATCGCGATGATACCCCTCCCGTCTACTTGAAGCCTAGTTCAATTTCTTATTTCCAACCGGACGACCTTGACGACCTTGATACTGCAGATAAGCGTAGATACCGCCAGCAATAATTCCAATGACAACGATATTGCCTTGACACATCTACAGTCAGTACCTCGAACTTTTGACGGAGAAGAGTGGAAGACTCACTGGCAACAAATTTGCCTACACCACCCGCAGTTTCCAGAAGGTTTCCGGCCGTGTGGAGGGTCATTTTGAAGATGCCAATAACAGAGTTGACAAGACCCATGATGAGACCTGAAACCATGTCGATCGCGCCGTTGAATACGGAGAATATGACCTCGAAGACCGAGGTTACGAGGTCCTTGATGGAAGTGATGATTGACGACATGATTGTTATAGGAGGTTGTTTGTCTTGCGTTGGGAAAATGGCAGTCAAAATCGTTCAAATTGCATAGCTGTAGGATGGAACTAGATACTCATGAGCCGTCGTGGAACTATATATGCTTGGTGTAGTGAAACTGGTATTTCCCTGCTTCTGACATTTGCCGCCGTGGCTGGTGGTTGAGTGACAGCCGATGACGTGATGCCGACGACGTGCCTTGGATTTCCAGTTTTCTACAGAACAAGGTAGGCATCAGTTGGAAAGATGAACTGGCGGATTAAGACTCACAATCCTGATCGGCCTTTTTAGAGAAAAAATTTTAGAGAAAAAAGTCACCAGAGGCATGTATAAGTATTTTATTTGACGTACGCCTTGTGAGTCTCGGGCGGGATCCGACGATCAATGCATCCCAGTATGGCTAGGCCATTGTGGCACTATGACTCCTATTTCAACGAAATCCCATGACCTATTTTTCAACGGAAGCTGCCACCAAATTAATTTTCCAATCAGCAAGTAAAACAGTAATGATTGTATCGTGGCATTTGCGTTAACTCAGTTGCCATAGGCCCAAAGTCACATGATGCAGCCAGATGCAATTCATGCCTCAGGCCTGAAGTGTGGGGCGTGGCGCCCGGAGGTTGGCCCACCAACCCACAATGTAAACACATCCCCAGCCTCCTCCAACCTCCTCATTTCTCGATAGTTCCGATCGCTCGTTGGGTTGATTCTGACTTTGTATTTTCCCATTATCACCAAATTCAGAGACTAAAAACTGTTCACCAGGGACACACTACAATCTACATCGTCCCTCCCCTACATCTTGTTTCCTACCTCCCCTTACTGGAAGCCGTCCGTTCTGGTCTGATAATCAATTGACTCGAGGTGAGCCTCTCATTATGAATTCCCCGGAATGTGTCGAACGGGCTCTAACATTCCATCCAGTGTCTTGTCTTGAGCCGCGTGCTCTTGACCACTCCGATCACGCATCATGGCTCCGGTACAACAGATTGGAGATTTCCCCGACATTCCGCTCAAGTCAGTTGAGGTTCGGGATGTTGCGCAAGACATTCCCACCGACGCTTCACCCGCCATCACCTTGAACTATCTCTCCCCTCGAGCCGACTCGTCAGCAGCCGCCACAAAGATAAACTATGGCCAAGGCACAGTTGATCCGAAAAACATCAAGATGCAAGGCCTGATGGCTTTATTCGCCCTCATCGGTGCTGCATTCGTGCTGGGTGGAATTTGGTTCTTCTTCTGGGCCAAGAACGGTGGATTTGTCTGGCGCAAGGGCGATTGGGAAGACTACAAATCGACCGTGCTACGACGCAAAGGACCCGACGGACGAACCCTCAGTAACGCCACGAAGAGTACCAAGCTGGGCGGCGGTAGTGTCGTTGGTTACAGCGATGATGGCTACACATACACCGACGAGACAGGCACATACACTGAGACTGCGACAACGATCAGTGACGAGAAGCCACAAAAGAAGAAGAAGCGTAATTTCCGAGAGAAGCTCCTCCGCCGACACAAGGATGAGCGATGGGAAGGCGAGGCCGACGATGACATGCGTGCATACCGTGAAGAGAGACCCGCCCGTATTGGTGGCATGAATCGCGAGGCCGACGGTACCTACCACGGTAGCGACTACGATTCTTCTGCCCCTCCCACGCATTACAACCGCAGCGACATGAGCGAGGTCCGTGATTATGCCTATGAACAGCCGCGTCGCTCTCGCCGTCGCGATCCCTCTGGCTTCTCTTTCACTGCCGGCAGTGAGGATGTCCTGAGTCAAACCACCGAGGAACACCAGCTCCGTGATCCATCTACCCGCCGCAACAATCGCCAACGCACTCGTGAGCGACGCCAAAGTGCCGCACCTCCCTCTGCGCCTTCGTCTCGTACCAGCAGTCCCCGCAAGAAGGATCGTCGTTCCGTGCCGGGTGGCTACACCGAGCCTTTGGACCTCGCCTCTGCGGGTACACGCTCGGAGTACCAGTACTCCAACGTCGATACCGAGGATTCCAATGGCACCAGGAGCTACCACCACCCGATTCCCGGCTTGACCAAGGGCTACCGTCGTGATGGCCATGGTCGCCGTCGCCGTGATAGTCTGAGTGATAGCGACGGAGAGTGACCTTGCTTGATATTCGTTCCGTTTTTTTTTTCTTCTGCAATTTGACGAATACTCGATTAGTTGATATCAGGATTTGCCGCACATGGTATTATGGGTTTATTTGGTTTCAGCGTCTACAACATGTGGATTTACGGATATGCTTGGGAAATTGGGAAATCATGTACATAACGAACGGAACTCATAATGGAAATGGTATTCGCAACATACAACAGGCCTTTACAATCTTTAATACTCAACCTGGGCTAGCTCTTGAATATAATCTGTAGAGTGATAATCTTGTCCACGGCTTCTGGGTAGATCCTCATCAGGGATAAAATACTGGTCATACATAATCCTATTGATGTGATTTAACAGATACGAAACTAACTAGTGATCATACATGACTCCTCATCCAAGTTCCAAGAGAAGCCTGGCCGTAGAATCATGCAAACATCTTCATCTGCCCATCGTAATGATACGTTGCGCATCAGTGATCGATGAGCATCCAGTACAAATACAAGCGTGTCTAAATCCCAGAAAAGAAGGCAGTGGGGATCCAACTAACGCCGTCACAAGGGTCCAGACGGCGTCTCTTCTTGTTCCGATTCAGGGTGCCTCCGAACATCTGAGTAATGTCAAATCTCGCCTTGGGTTTCGTCTTCTGGCCCAGACGGCATTCGAAAGGAGTATGCTTCACAAAACGGTTATGGAAGGGGCAATACTGAAACCCATTTTTCTCTCGTTTGATTGTCTTTGCTCGATGGGCACGCTTGGGGTTGGCAGGGGCGGGGGTCGGCGCGGCGTACGTGAATGAGCTTTCATGGCGGATGAAGGCATCACAAACTGCTTCCATCAAGTTTCGATCTTCCAGATCTGGGGACATATGTAGGATGAAGGCCGGGTATTCATCATCCTTGGAGATGGCATGCACAAACTGTGCGAAGACCGTCTTGAGATCGAGGACATCCCCGATTTCTTCGACGTCCTGCAATCTTTCCCCGAAGGTGCGAATGAACTCGGATGGTGAGTCTCCCCGCGAGTATCGAAGGCTTGCCCAGTTCGACCATCGCAGTGCCAGGGTCTGGTGTCTTGGCTTTCCGTAGAAGAGCTTGATCTTTTTGAATGCTTCCGAGGGACAGTCAATTCCCTGGATCAGATTCCTGGCCTCATCATTGAGTGTGGCCCGGAGATAGGACAGTGTCTTGCTGCGCTTATCCTCTTGTCCATCGTAATGCTGGGCAATCGGAGCATTCGGGGATCCTGCACCATCCAGTCCTTGTGTGCGGGTGGGTGGGAGTCTAGTATTCTCGCTTGAGGCTGCTGGCTCAGGATTCACGAAGGGCTCGACCTTGTGAGGTTCAGAGAATCTGTGCTCATCTCCTTGAAGAATCTTCCAGTACTCTGGACCAAGGTATCCGATGAGGAAATGTAGCCAAGGAGCATAGTTAGATTCTCCTTCTAGGATGAGCAAAGAATCCAAGAAGGAAGCATCTTCGACTCCCTCCACCTTCTCGGGCATGATGTGAGTAGCCGCAAGCGAGGTTTAGTGCAGTGCTGGCTCCTGTGTTCTCCTGAGTTCAAAGTCTGTAAGTCGACTTGTCGAGTTTCTTGTGGTGAGTAGAAGGAAGGAGAAAGTGAAAAGAGCAAAGCGAGAGATAGAAGTCGAGGAAGGTGGTGGGGGGAAGCAAACACGCCCGAATTCTTCTGCTTCCCCGGCAGTTCCCACCCAATAGCTAACTAAAAAGCTTAGCCATTAGAGACTTCGATACTGGTCCTTGTTTCCACAAGACAGTTCACTGGCGAGGGTTTCTGTTCTTTTTTCAATAATTATCAGCGCTGGGCACTCGCAAATCACATCACTTATTCATGAGGTTTTCTGGAAGCGATATGGGCGCCCCAGTCAGCAATCAAGGCGAGAATTCAAACATTTCAGGACATAGATAATTTCACCATGGCAGAAAACCAAAGAACACCCTTTTATATAACAGTATCCTGGATCTTGCTCTCTCTCACCTGTAAAGTGTGACTTGTAAAGGGGCATCCCGCCGATGCCTAGTCGCCTAGAGCTCGTAAGCGCTAGCTGGCCTCCATACTCAGTCTTGTGAATTATGGAGAAACATGATGGAGTGGATATCTTGAATATATAGCTTTTTTCCACTCTTCCACTACCACAGTGGATAATTGATCCTGTTCCTCCTTAACCCCGATAATACCCCACCAATGGCGACAGTGCAAGTGGGCCTTGGCGTCGTGCAACTGCTGGCCGAACTGCCGCTTTGGGTAGATCAGCCAGCAACACCGAGAATTGGCCCGAGGGTTACTGCTAGTGGGAGTCGACTTCTCAGACTTGGCCAGGCATATATAAGACAATCCACGTCGCCTTTTCTGTCTCTCTTCAATTGATCCCTTCACACGTACATACAACACAGCCAGATATCAGCCTTTCATCCAACATAATGGCGCAATCAAAGGAGTGGCAAAAGATGCTGCGGGGTGAGCTCTATTGGGCCTGGGATGAGGATCTTCAAGCAAATCGGACACGATGCAAGCAGGCCTGTGAGGCATTCAATGCTGCTGGCTCAGCGACAAGACGTCGCAAAGTAGAGCTATGGCGGAAGTAAGTTACCAGCCCACTTCCGTCGTGAACGCTCGTATGGCAGAGGGCACTATTCAAGTTTAGTTCAAGCATCGCTAATCAATTTGCCTAAGTATCGTTGGAGACACACGACCCTTGCCGCCAGTGAACCCAGATCCAGAAGAAGATGAAAATCTCTTTGAAGAAACGGACCCATTCATCGATGGACCCATCTCAGTCGATCACGGCCTGAACTTCAAGGTCGGCAAGGGGACATTTCTGAATTTCAATCTGCTCGTCCTTGATACATGTCTCATCACCATCGGGGAGAATGTATTGTTTGGGCCCAACGTGTGTCTGTATGGGGCGATTCATCCCTTGGATCCTGCTGTGCGGCGTGGCTTAAAGGGCCCAGAGGCTGGAAAGGAGATCCACATCGAGGACGATGTCTGGATTGGTGGCAGCGTGCAGATTCTCGCTGGTGTGAGGGTTGGTAGAGGCAGTACTGTTGGAGCGGGATCGGTTGTCACGAAGGTAAGAGCATATCCAGGGTGATTCAGAGACTTTGGCTAATTGTTCTAGGATGTTCCCCCTTTTCACTTTGTTGCTGGTAATCCAGCCAGAGTTATTCGAAAAATTGATTCCGAGATGGATCCGGAGCGGCAATCATGACCCGAGACTGACATGGTTTTGGCGACATTTTCATGATGAGAAGTGGAACCAAAAGTATCAAGACCACGGTCACTACATCTCCTTCAATACCATTCGTCGTGACTGTACATCAAAAATCAAGTCAGCTCAAGATCTGAATCCCAATTTCCATCAATCAAAGACTTCTAGTCTATCTACCTCGCGATAACAGAACTATCTGTGAGACTGCCAAGCTTACATGAAGATGGATCGGAGAAACGTGGTAGAAATCAATCTCTAAAGTTTTTTTTTTAAAAAAAAAAGAAAAGAAAAGAAAAATCAATCATAGCGAGGGTTGATAGCTTCTTATCTACATTTGCATGATGCCAGGGCACGCCATATGCAGATCATTCTACAGAAGTTGACCTGGACTCCAATTTCCCCGCACAAGATGTTTACGGCGACTGTCGGGGTCAGTCATATATAATTTACTATATTCCAAGTATTGTGATCAGTCGGGAACCCCGTGACCCTATTCTCATTCAAGTTTCACAGTACGACAAGCTATCAGCTTCCCTCGGTCTGGTCGGAATAACACTTATTCGTGGTTCCCGTTCATGGCTAGCGAGGTAACGCGCGCCATTCTAGAAGTACCTTGTGCCACTCGAGTAGCCAATCACATTGGCAGTCGTACTATATGTATCCTAAAATCCTGCACGACAGATATCACATGTTTAACAAGGCAAGGCAGATTTGCTACGTGGCTATCAGGTGGGCGCACACAAGCTTTTGTCCCGGACTATATGTAGCGACCGTGTAAACAGTCAAATAATTAACCTTTTATATGGGCGGATAAAAATGCTTCGTGGACACATCCAATGCTCAAAATTGTGCTATGAACTTTTGCTTAATTTCTTATCTGGACTGTGCCCTACATGACCTTCTATCGTCATGGTAATGCATTCTTCGCAATCCGTCAGCTGTCCGTAACGCAAGGCTTGAAGACACAACATTCAGCCTGGATGACGTGCCAGGGAAAACAACTGTTGATTTCCAAGCAACATGATCAGTCAACTATGTTTTACAAATATCATAGATCCGACCAGCTGCGTTTACCTTCGAGGTTATCTACTTAAAGCCTCTAGTTCCGTCATAATATTCTCTAGGGCGAATGCCACTATAAATGCCACGCGGTCCGCCAACGAGTCAGCATCATGGAGCAGAGTGAGCGACAGCCCTTGCTCTCTTCATCCAGCCGAAACAATGACTCGCAACCAATATCACTCGGTGATCCACGCGTTGAAATACCCACCGAGTTCCCAGAGAACCTTCCCGGCTCAAGTCCTGGGAAGAATCTCACCTGGACCAGTGCATACATTCTTGTCGTGTCACGCGTCATCGGCAGCGGCATTTTCGCGACGCCAGGATCCATCGTGAAATCTACCGGGAGTATCGGTCTAACTCTCCTAGTATGGATCTTCGGTACTATTCTCGCAGCATGTGGAATGGCCATCTCGATGGAATATGGTTGCATGTTGCCTCGGTCGGGAGGGGACAAGGTAAATATAGAATCTCACCCCGGCTTGCCGAGGAGAGGGCATCCACTAAGATTCACTCCTCTTGTAGGTGTACCTGGAGCACACCTATCCCCGACCGAGATTCCTTGCGTCTACGCTTATCGCCGTGCAGGCAGTGCTGCTGGGTTTCACTGCTAGCAATTGCATAATTTTCGCAAAATATACCCTTTTCGCATTAAGTGTCGAGCCAACTGATCTGCAGCATAAAGCGCTTGCGGTCGGCCTTTTGACTACGATTATCATTATTCATGGGCGCTTTTTGAAGACGGGAATCGCGATTCAGAATGCCCTAGGCTGGGTGAAGATCTTTTTGATCGGTGCGATGTCGCTGACAGGCATTTGGGTTTTACTTCTTCGATTTTTCGGCAATTCCCATCATATCATTCCCCAGGAAAGTTTCACCAGTACTCTGTCGTGGGATTACCTATGGGAAGGTTCAAATTGGAGTTGGGGTCTTTTGTCGACGGCCATTTTCAAGGTCATGTACTCCTACGCAGGACTGAATAACATCAACAACGTGCTCAATGAAGTACAAAATCCGGTACAGACAGTCAAAACCGTCTGTCCATCGGCATTACTGACCGCTGGCGGTCTTTACTTGCTGGCCAACACATCTTACCTGCTGGTTGTGCCAATAGACGACATCAAGAACAGTGGTGAATTGGTAGCTGCACTACTGTTTGAGCGCTTATTCGGTGATCATATTGGGAGAACACTGCTTCCACTTGCCATTGCCATCTCAGCAGCAGGCAATGTGATGGTCGTAACATTCGCTCATGTATGTCTTCCTATTCCCTATATCCTACCACCATCTAACAATCCTACAACAGGCTCGAGTCAATCAAGAAATTGCTCGCCAGGGATTCTTACCCTGGCAGAACCTCCTTTCCTCCTCACGTCCATTTGGAACTCCACTTGGTGGTCTACTAGTGCACTATATTCCATCCGTGCTGGTCATCTCTATACCGCCACAAGGAGACGTCTACAATTTTATCTTAGATGTGGAGGGATATCCAGGCCAGCTCTTCGCTCTCGCAATTACCGTCGGTCTCTTGATTCTCCGGTATAGAGAGCCAAACCGTCCTCGGCCTTTCAAAGCGTGGCTACCAGCTATCTGGATCCGCATTGTGGTTTGTCTGGCGTTGCTGGCAGCGCCATTCATCCCACCACCGAATTGGCAGGGCGATGTCGACTTCTTCTACGCAACCTATGCTATTGTGGGAATAAGCGTGTAAGTTTTCTATCTTGGAATTAGGTGGGATTTGCTAATTTGATTACGAAGGATCCTTTTCGGGGTGCTCTACTGGTATATATGGACCGTACTTCTTCCTCAACGCGGGGGGTATACATTGGAGGAGGCAGTGGAAACGCTGGACGATGGTACGAATATTACGAAACTTGTCCGCTCTTACGATATTATTCGATGAATTCTTAGATCTTCGTTCAAATTTGGTCATCTGATTTTTTTCGCGTTGATGTCTTTTAATCTTGTCCCCATTTTAGAGATATATTTCAGGTGGCATTGAGGGGCCCGGGAAGAGCACGGGAGTGTGTACCTGCAGTGGGGTTTCGTAAATTTGAAACTATGACCAATGTTTAGAATCATCTAATTAGTCACAAGTTGAATGACAGACTCAATAATGGTACTTAAGCTATCGAGAAAGATGATTGAAAAGAGCTTTAGAAATACATGTCAAAAACCAAGAAGTAGAAGCATATTATCATGTGGACTCTCTGGTTTCTAGACTCAGACTTTTGAACTACCACTTTAGTAGCTTTACATACTCAACTAGCCGGGTATTTCTCGTTGAATATGGGCCTTACCTGCTAGTGTAATCCAATTATACTCAATCTACTATAAACTTCATATCCACGGCACATTTCACGGCAGTTTCTTGCAGCAGAACGCGAGATCGCAATTACTCAGCCAGCGCCAAGGTTCTTAGGTGCTGCCGACATTCCGGGGATTTGTGGGGTGGGGGACCAGCCCGACAGTAATCCATTGGTCGTCGAGGAATATTTCCGATCAAACACGAGGTGGACAAGTCGTGGCTCGTTTCCAAGTCCGACGCCTGAATCCATCGCAGGCGGCAACGAACATTTTCCTGTACACTTTGTGCAACGCAGCAAGCCGCAAGTCACACAGCAGAGAATCAACACGGGAATTCACCAAAATGGGACTCGACCAACCGACCTATACCGACATCCAAGTCGAAGCATATCTCAGACGACTTGCATATAAGCCTGCAGCAACAGAAGGAACAGGTCTTGTTGAGCACGCCCGCCAGCGTGTCCAGAGCGATGCGCTAGGTACACTCACAGAGCTTCAGAGACACCATCTCGCTGCTATCCCGTGGGGAAATTCGGGACTCCATTATTCGCAGCATCACACAATTTCCTTGCATCCAGACAGCTTGTATGAGAAAATTGTGGAGCGGCGCTTGGATGGTTATTGTATGGAGAGTACGGGAATCTTCTTTATTGTTCTGCGGTCTCTGGGATATTGTGTATACGCCACTGGTGGTAGAGTGAGCCATGCTGCTGCGACGGGTGTGGACAATGGACTATGGCTAGCATTGTGAGTAGTTCCTCCTTATCGAAGGCTTTTAGAATTACCGGCTAACTAACACTTGCGCCCTTTTCAAGCGGACATATGGTGCTGATAGTCATCATCGACGAAGCAAGATATATGGTCAGTATCACTGCCTTCTTTCATCAACACTTACTGACGCCTACCAGGTGGACGTTGGATTTGGCAATAACTGTGCAACCGCACCATTGCTTCTCCAAGAAGGCGCTACAGCTACATGCATTGCACCCTCCGAGATGCGCCTGATCAAGGACACTCTCGTCGAGGTCACCGATAAATCCCAGAAGGTCTGGATCTACCAGACAAGAAATAACCCGGAGAGCCCTTGGATACCCAACATCTGCTTCTCGGAGGTAGAATTCTTGCCTCAGGACTTTGACGTCATGAACTTCTCCGTCAGCAAGAAGCCAACTAGCTGGTTTGTTCAAACCTTTGTGTGCGTGCGAATGATCTTGGATCCTACGGGCAAGGAAATTATTGGGCAGTGCATCATGTCAGGCGGAGAGGTCAAGCAACGAATCGGTGGGCAGACGGAGATTTTGCAAGTACTTCAAACGGAAGAAGACCGGGTCAAAGCCCTTGCGAAATACTTTGACATGCACCTCCGCACTGGCGAGGTCGAGGGCATTCGAGGCTTGAGCTCCCAAATCAAATAGATGGCTGCATCGGAGACTACCGGAGGAAAGAAGATTGCGGTTCAATGGTATGGTACATCGATGTTTCTAAAGAGATATTGCGGCAGAAGGTATGTATAGTGATCGAGGAACAAATGGAGGCGCAGGCATAATAGAGAAAGAGATGTTGCAATTTTTGGTCTAGAAAATCCGCTTCTCGATCTGGATCAATTGGGTTAGCACAGTCTCGTTCCGTTTCAATAAATTGACGAGTTCTCTTTGTCCATACCTTCCACGGCTTGCTGACATCGAATCCTGGGGGTGCCAGGTGGTTGCTGGACTGTCCACGCATGGTACCGGTGATCCGCAGGTCGCGCTCCATCACTGTAGATTGAGAAAGTATCGTCAGGATTCCATCCAATTGACACCGTAGAACATGGTTTCCTCGAATCGAAAGGTCGTAACTTACTTTGCTGTGTGAGAGTTAGCCGACACATTCTGCCGCAACGAGTTCCCGACCGCAGCCGATGGATTGAAAGGAGTCACTTACCCTGTCCCAAAGGTCCCGGTTCCAACGGGGCTTCTTGCCCTCGTTAGCGAAGCGTTTCACAACGTACAGGCCAGCGCCAGTGACGCCGAACATCTGTGGTGGCCAGTCAGTTAGAGCTCGAAGGGGGACCGGCGGATAAGACGCACGCCCGTGATGATCGCATATGGAAGGAGGGCCTCGAAGGGAACACCCATTTTGACGGTTGGCGCAAAGGTTCAAGGTCAAAGATCGAAGGTAAAAATCGACAATTGCAAGGGACCCAGCTCGTCGCCTCGCAGCAGTGATCAAATCGCGGAGAAGAGAAGGTGGAGGGGAGCCAGTCACTGGGCGGGCGTTTCCAAGGCGAGGTCTGCGCGGCCCAAAGCGGTTTAGTGTGCCTGACTCAGCCGCCTGCAACGACACTCCCATGGCCAAGGGGGCAGCGGATCGCAAGCTCGATTGCCAGAGAGTCCGTTCCTAGCGCTTGGATTGCTCATCGACGCGTCTTTTACCAGTTTACTCCTCGGATACGATTGAATCTACCTCAGGTGTGGCTCCCTCTACTTCAGCGACACGTGCTTGCGACCTATCTCAGCCAACTGACCACCACCTGTCCAACAGCCGATTTGCGCCTGTGAATCCTGCCTGCAGATCAAACCCTTATAATCGTGTTGCGGGCGCTCGTCGCAATCATATTTGTCTCTGCAGGGCTCGCATAGGCTCCAGATGAACCGCCGGACCACCACCGACGCGAGCGGGGTGGCTCTGTAGCTTGACTTGGCCCGGCCTTACATTGATCACAGAAGTTTCAACACCCAGGCGCATCCCATCTCGGCAGCGTGCCTAAAGAAGATCTGGCGACCGTCGCGACACTCACCATGGCGGCGACGGTGCCGCCAGTGAACGATGATCCGGACAAGCTGGACCCTCCGGCCGACCAGGCAGACAGTGACTTGGATGCGGAGGGGGAGGAGGAAACAGACCTTTACGAGATGGATCAACAACTCCAGAATGCGGTCCACCAGGCATACTCGGGCGAGGTTGCTGAGGAGAACGGTCACCCTGCAGTGAATGGTGGAGGCCTGAGCGCTGCCACCAATGGTGGACAGAATGGTAGCGACAATGATGAGACCGAACCTGTCGGAGCTGTGAAGATCCCAGATGACGAAGACGACAACGAAGATGACGCTGCCTCTGAGAACGACGATGCTGAGTCTGGGACGGCCGACGGCGATGTCGACCCCGCATTTGAAGAAGAAAACGACCGAGCAGCATCCGAATCGAGTGAATCAGAATCAGAAGCCGAGGAGGACTGGGAGGCTGAGAGTAATGGTCGTGAAGAAGATGCGGATATCGATACTCGCAGCGGGGTGTTGTGCATGTACGTGGTAAATGCGATTCGGTTGATTCAGCCGGGTCGATTTTCTCTTCAAGGAAAATTCAGAGCTGACAAGGAACAACAGATTTTGCACCCAGGACGAGGAACATGATCCAAGTGAGGACTTTGAGGAGTGGTTGACTTGCGCAGTTTGTGGCGATCATTGTATGTTATGCTTTTGCGGGGCCGGAGCTAAAAGCTTAAGCCTTCTCCCCCTTCCCCTTTTCGAATAGTCGCTGACTCGGCATCCCGACAGCCCATCGGCAATGCGCCCGTGAGCAAGACGCCTTTGATGATTCAGAAGGTACGAACGCGATTAGTTCGTGCTATATTTTCAACTTTCGCCGCGAACTCATCAGCTAACATCCGATTTATAGAGCCTTGGAGATGTCCTGCTTGTGTTCAAAACAATCTTCAACCTGATCCCGTGGAATCGCCATCGCGGCCGAAAACTGGGGCTGCTCATCTAACCAAGGAGCTCTTGCCTGCACATGCAGGAAATGAAGAGGAAGGGTTCCACTCCATTTTCGATAATAACATCAGTGATGAGCTGCTGAACAGCTCACGGTCCTTGCGGAAAAGGAAAGCCTCCTCGGCCGACGCGGAAGAACATGTGCCCGTGCTACGGAAGCGACGGCGGCAAACTGAGCATTCTGACTCCCAGGACGCTTCCTTTGACGGTGCTGCCGATCAGCGCGCTGACGAGGCAGCATCTCCAGCACGACCCATGCGCCCTCGACGGACGCGGGCGATCGAACGCGACCACTGCCGTATCGTTACAAAGCAACTGGGGAAACTAGTCCTTGGCTTCCGGTTGGAAGAAGGGAAAATGGCCAAAATCCTCGGCACTCAGAGTCGACCACTGCGCAAGAAAAAGAAAGGCCCCAAGCCTCAGACCGCACCACAAGAAACCCAAGCTCATTTCGCCCCCATTCCTCCTGCACCCTACGTCAATCACTTTCATCCTTTCCAAGATCGGGAAACCGACGACTCAAAATCTAAGCCATATGGTGGCATCCTGTCCGAAGCCGAGGCCGACACTTCCAAGACCCTGCCCTTGCAGGCGGATCGAGACAAGTTCGAGCAAGCTCGCCAACGGGCCGAGGACGAGTGGCAGCGCAAAGTCCGAGACGCAGAAGTCAACGGTGAAGCAACGCCTACAGCCTCACAAAAGGTATCTGGTCCTCCTTCGAAGATCAAGTACATCAACTTTGGTGGCTACGAAATTGAGACTTGGTACGCCGCACCCTATCCGGAGGAGTACAGTCGCAATCGTGTACTTTACATTTGCGAGTTCTGTTTGAAGTACATGAACTCGGACTATGTCGCTTGGCGGCATAAGCTCAAGTGTCCCGCAAAACACCCTCCCGGTGATGAGATTTACCGAGATGGGTCGGTCTCAATCTTTGAGGTTGACGGTCGGAAGAACCCGGTCTACTGCCAAAATCTGTGTCTCCTCGCCAAGCTCTTCCTGGGCTCGAAAACTCTGTACTACGACGTGGAGCCATTCTTGTTCTACGTTATGGCCGAGTACGATGACCTGGGATGCCATTTTGTCGGCTACTTCAGCAAAGAGAAGCGACCCAGCTCCGCCAACAACGTTTCCTGCATTCTCACCCTACCAATTCACCAACGCAAAGGCTACGGAAACCTCCTCATCGATTTCTCCTACCTTCTCACCCGCATTGAGGGCAAAAGTGGCTCGCCTGAAAAGCCTCTATCTGACATGGGCCTGGTGTCGTATCGCAATTACTGGAGACTGATTTTGTCATACCAGCTTCGAGACCTCAAGACCCCCATCAGTATCGCAGATTTGTCCGATCGGACAGGCATGACAGCAGACGATCTTGTTTCTGCCTTGGAAGGCATTCGCGCTTTAGTACGAGACCCTATCACAAAGACCTACGCACTTCGCCTCGACAAGGACTACTTTGAAGAGGTGATTGCCAAATGGGAGAGCAAGGGCTATGTCCAGCTCAATCCCGATGCGCTTACGTGGACTCCATACATTATGGGCCGTAATAATCAGTCGCATTTCGACCGAGCACCTCTTCACGCGGTCGCGCCTCGCGACGACCCCGACGAGGAAGATGAGGAGCTGGAATCGAGAGAAGATGCAGACGATGACACCGTGGCCAATGGAACAGACACGGATGCGCTTGGGGAGCCTGCTGGACCGCCCTCAACCGCTGGTCTACCACAAACCAACGGCATTCACGCGCCCGAGCCCGCAGAGCCCGAGCCAATTCCCAACCCAGCGGCCGGCATTCCCCCTTCCCGCTTTGAGCTTTGGCCTCCAGTACATGTCCCTGCTGCTCCCAAACGCAAACCTGGACGTCCGCACGGGACGTTTAAGAACCACTCTCGGACACCCACTACTACTCGGACGAGCGGCCGCAACACACCCCGGCGAGCCTCAGGTCTTCCCCTGTTCACTCCCAATGCCGGCACCCCTAGTATGCGTCGTGGCCGTAGCGCCCTGACGATGGATTCCCCGGCGACAGACGCTACTCCCGCTCAAACTAATGGCGTTGATGAAAGTGTGCTTGACGACGAGGAGGCGGTGCTTGACCCCAGCCCTGAAGATCTTGGCCTGGTGGTGGACGAAGCAGAAACCCCTGCAACAGGCGGTGAAGCTATGGAGACTGAAGAGGTCGAGCAAGCTGAAGTAAACGGAGATGACGAGCCAGAAAATGCCGTGGAAACCAATGGCGTCAATCACGACGAGCCGGAGGCTGCTGTTGAGTCTGACGCAGAAGTCGACGCCGATGCAGACGCCGAGTTTGAGCCGGAACTGCCTCGGACACCCGAAAAGAAACAGACATCGGCGTCCAAGTCTCCGAGAGCTACATCACAAAAGGCCAAAGGGAAGCAGTCAGATCCAGCTACTAAAACGCCCCAGTCTGTCAACCGCAAGGCGTTAGTCGAAAAAATCCAAGTGGTGGTCTCCGCCGAACCCGAATCGGGTAAGCGGCGGAACAGCAAGATTGCCGCCACCGATACCAACGGAATTGACTCTGACATCGATGCCGAGGGGGAAGACGACATCGACGGCGAGTATGAGATGGATGGCGACGTGGTAATGGAGACATAAGCCTCATTCTAGGTCAAATGTACATCCATGGGACATGAATTACGGGCAGTATACCCGGAACGTCGCAACGCATATGGATAGGGCGTTATTGCTGTTTGATTCTTGAATTCCTATCTTCATGATCTCTACACTTTGTTTAGGGACCTTTTTTCGTTTTCTACCTGGGAAACGGGAGAACCAATCCACCTCTTCCAGGAATCAATCGATCTGTCGCACGACGTGTCGATTGAGTTTTCACTGCTTTTTTTTTACATTGTTGCTCGGGGAACCTCTTTCTCACTTTTCTTCTTCTGTCCAGCCAGGAGCGCGGGTCTGGGGCCAGGCGTTATTTGGGGTTGTGCATGGGGAACTTTACTCTTGTTCTTCTTTTTCTAATCCATCCCCATTCGATTCTATCCTCGACTCTTCCCGATCATGGGCATGGCTACTTCCCGAGTGGGTAAACAGTGCGGCACATGTGCCCAGATCTCCAGTGCACTGTATGAGTGTCTCGTGTAGTCCATCAATCTACCGTATGTGACAATCAAACTCAGGATCTACATGTATCCACTCAGCGTCCCTACCTAATGTAGTACAATATGCTTATCTCACCCCCTATATCGTAAATTAGGTAGCTACAGTAGTTCGTGCCCATCACTCAACCCAACGAAAGCCCTGTTACACACGGCAAAGTACCGAATGTGATATTGACAAGCCGATCGACAACGTGCAGCGAACCATCGATCCAAGCACCAGCCACACTGGACAGGTCGGAGGTACTCCATACAAATCGAATTGACTCGACGCCCAATGCGTCCGAGTGCAGGCTAAGCAGTGGAATACCTGATGGAGCAGAAAGTCAATTTCGGCGACCGCGGGGTTGATGGTTGGAGGAGCGTGAGAGGGACGAAAATTTAGAACTTGGAAGTACTGTACATAGGTAGGTACCAGATAACTATGCGAGGTCATTAGGTAATGTTGTTTCTTTTGAGGTTATCCTAGGGTTAATGCGGCTCACGGCAGATCTCGGGGTACGGGTGCGATGTGAGATGTTCTATCAGGAAGATGAACCAGCGAGTCATGGGTGAATCATAAAATCCTCGAGCTTATAGTTGGATAGTGAGGCCCTAGGCAAGTGGAGCGAAGATAGAGGACCCGACAATCCGGAAACCTCGGAGAATTAAAAAAAGGGGGTTTCATGTAGGATACCTCATTGAGGTTGTCGTGATACCATTGAAGATGAAATGCTTCAATACAATGCGAATACCCAACACGTAAGTGTCTAAATTTCTACCATAGTGAACCTCTTTGTCAACCGCACTCCGTATTTACTTAGCTTAATCCAGCATCCCGATCGGCAAAGATCAGCGGTCAGAGCGTCCGTCCCAACTTTCCTCAAGACTGAACTAAGGAACACGATTTAACGAATTAACCTGGAAACAGCTAAGGCCACCTGTCAGCCTGTCAGAAGGGGATGCGGCCCATGGGCAAGGGGGAGATCAGTTTCAGAATGCAAGAGCCATCCATGGAACGGGCACTGCGCCGGCTGGGGGCCAACCCGCGGGCCTCACTTTAAGCATAACCGCATAGCGTTCCAGAAGATGGTGCTTCTTGGGTCGGGGGGTTGGGGCCGCTGTCAGAATGGAATTAGTTTGTATCAATCTAGTAAACGAGGAAAATTGGTAATTATACTTACGAAGAGGAGGTATTATACTGTGATTGTAAATGTATGTTGGATATGGTCTATTAGAATAGACTGTATTGTGTTCATTGTATTCTGTACATGTTGTAGGTGAGTGACGTGAATGCCATGGTTCCCTGAACTCTCCCACGCTGAGAATTCTATCCTAACTACGGAGTATACACTGGAGTTCTACGATTCATTAGTCTGATTAGTTCTTGGTGGCTATTACGCTACGAGAGCCCTGGACAAGGGAGTCCTAGTCCTGCAATTACCATAAATAATCCTGCTAAAATTTCCGGCGCGGTGCCACTCCATCGTGCGTCGGAGAACTCGTCCCCACGTCCACACTATTTTCACCACCACACGGGTTCGTGGGTTTGGCGGAGGGACTCTCTTTGGCCTTGGTGGAGAGAGAGGCTTGTTGTGCTGTTCAGTCTTAGTAGTCTGGGTTTTTCAAGGCGCGTTTCGTTTTTTCGTTTTTCGTTTTTCGTTTTTCTCGCTTGCTTTGCTTTTCCTTTTCTTACCCTCTTCGAAAACCCGAGTTTCGTCTTCCCCTCCACCCCCTCTGCGCGATGCGTTGGCAACGCTCATGCGCTTGATTCGGTCAATTAGGGTCCGCTCCGCTCTTCAAAAATCTACCTTCTTTTTTATCTCTCCCCCTCTCCATGGACATGCTGGCAGCTCGCATTATCGCATAGGGTCTGATCTCGAGGCTCCTGCTGCATCATCGCGCCTTCCCAGGAATTGGAGATGGTGGGCGTTTGCGCCATTCGCTGCGCTGTGGCAGCCATGCGGGCTGGCCAGGAACCAACGGAAAGATGCAGGAGTGGGAAATCAGACCACAGTTTTAGGCTGAGGCTGGATCTGATCCAGACCATTTACTGAACCATTGGGGGATAGGATTTTTTTATCTTTCTTCAGGGTGATCCTCAGACAGGGCCAGGGCCGTTTTCCCTTCTTGTTTACCAAGAGTTCCAGTCCTCTCCGACGGACCCTCCTAGCGGGGCCACCAATGCCCACTGACAATACAGCGCTGGTCATGGAAGCCCCGCGAGCACGATGTACTGGGATCGCTGGACGCTGGTTATCAAGCAGATCCGATCTCGTCGTGGTTCTTCGCTGAATGCCATTATCCGAGTTCCGGCAGACTCGACTTGGTCTGTGTCTGCCACCCTTGCATGATCGCCGCACTATCGGGTCTTCTGCGATGCATTCTCCTCGGGAGTGGGCCGCTTGTCATATCCAGATGCAACGGCAGCCACGCCAGTGCGCGCCATGCTTTTTTACCCCCTCCTCTTTATGGCTGGTTTTATCCAGTCAGTGTCACTTTTCCTCAGGTTCTGCACAGTGCCAAAAAGTGAAGGAGACTCCTCTCGCCACAAGTAATCTTCCTCATTTACGAGTACATGGGAAATGTACTCCCAGGGGCATGGCGGGATGGTAACCAGCTCCAAAGTATCGTACAGCTTTTCCTCGCCAATCCCCCCTCCTCTCCCCTCAGCCGGAGCGGAGACTAGCATAGGGCAACTGTGGCGTAAACCCCATTGCAAGGCCGAAGAACGCGATCTGCAGACCAGGCAGTCCACAGGCCACCCATCAATGATTCGTCTCCGGCCTCATGCAGGATGCCCGATCGCGCAAGGCCCCGGACCACCCACTTCCACCTCCGCGCCCGCGGGATGATGTCGGCAGCCTGAGCTGAGCCAGGCCTGTTATTTCTCTCTCCCCACCCGACCAGATCGAAAGGGGATCTCCGAGTATCCTGCTCCCAGAGGTGCCCAACCGGTGCAGGCTGCATAATCCCCCGCCGAGTCGGTGCGGTCCCCATACAGTCGGGGACAGGATCTCCGTCTTTTTCTCTCGCTCGCGCTCTCACTGTTAAAGCTGCACAACACACGGACAATGTGATCCATCGAATCGTACAGCGATGCGGAGGGTTCGTGCCCATTTTGGCAAATTATTTCCAGTTGCCTTTTTGTCTTTTTACCCCGTGAGGATCTCGACTTGGCTTTTTTTCGTTTCCCAATCCCCGTGTTGAAGTCGGCGCCTTTGCTCCCTGGTTTCGGTTTCCTTTCTCACCTCGTCGCATCATGACCCGGTATGTTTCGGTTGAGTGTTTCTTGTCGACTTAATGTGCTTGTGTTCGGTCCGCACCTTCGAATTCTCATTGCGCCCGGTTTTATTGTCCGCGAGGTGACGATATCGACCAGCGGTCATTGTCACTACTACGCGGGTCTTTGATAACGGGACGGCGGTGCATAGTGAAGCGCACGGCTTTCGAATCGACAGCATCGCCATTACCGGGGACCCCCGTTGCAAATCAGGGGTGCACTGTTGCTGTGGACGACAAGACAGAAGCAAGGCGGGAGCTTGCGGACACTCGTGTCACGAACGCGTGGGAAAGCTTCAGAGAGTACAAAGAACGGGATCTCATCGTGACCTCCAGACTCGATCAACAAACAAGATCAAAATTCCACAAGCCTGGTAAGAGCCCTTGTGATAAGCTCGTCGAGGTCTGAGTTTGCGAGGGGGAAGTCAAGTGGTCAGGTTGTCCGTCCAGTCGCGAACCAAGACTGAGCCTTTGTTGCACCCCCTTTCGGTCGACGGGCAGATGACATAAGAAAGTTCTTGGACTCTCGAGCTATCAGCAGGCTTCATTCTTCCCCCTGTCGGTTTTCTCGCGATTTTAGCTTTTCTTGGCTGTACTCGAATTTGAAACTAAATCTTGCTAATCAGGCTGACTGGAACTTTTAGGGATCCCAAGACCACCAGTACGCTCCTAGTCAGACTGAGGCTGACTTCTGTGTGTGGGGTGCAGCGCACCATCTTTGTCTCCGCCCAGAGCCTCCGCCCCTACGATCAGCTGCGGGAGCCACCACAGTCCACACAACTGACTGTGACTGGACCTTGCGCGCCTCAGCTCCAAAAGGCTAAAACTTGGCCCAGAAAAGCACACACCAAGTTGAACCAGCAAGCAAGCCCGTCCGCAGCCCGCTAGTTCTTCTAGTTTCGGCTGCCCCAGATCCTGGTCCAGCAGAAAAAGGCCATGCGGCTTGGATCTTGCATATCCGGGAATCCACTCTGACTGGAATGCTTAGACGCCGGAGCTGAACCCGAGTCCACTTTTTGGCGGTTCGATCAGAGCTCATTTGCTCCTTCCGTTAGGGCCTCTCAACCCATTACGTGCATAGCCGGGGAGGGCCGTTTTCGCGCTTCCAGTTGGTCCTGTCGCAGGCAGGGCTCAGTCAACGGACCAGGGTCGATCACCAGGGCTCAAATTCACTGGCCGTGGCTTCTGATTGGAGAATTATTTGGGAACTTTCAGAAACTGGAGAAGCTCTCTCTCTCTTATCCTTTTCTTTGATCCCCCTTCCGCTCAGCCTACCATCCCCGTTACGGAAGACATTCAGGCATCCCAGGCATCCCAACGCGCTAGGCCTTCGGCCGATCGAATGTGCGCATCATCCCGATCGTCGCCAGCGCCAGTGCCACCGTGCCCACCAACCGTGGTTGGACTCCAGTTGACCCAGTCGGGCCCAGTCGACCGCAGCTGAATCCTCTTCCCATTTTTTCCCAATTCTTTTTTTCTCTCTCTCCTCCACTTTTATTTCCGTCTTAACCGTCTACGGTCTTGGACGGCGGGTGACCCTCTGGTTTTCCAACGGTCGAGAAGTCTGTTCGGGCTCCACTCTTCAGCTATACTGAACACCTTGCGGCGAATACAGTTGAAAATCTGATTTTTCGTGTCTTGGTGTTGTGAAGCTCTTTTGCCTCTTTTGTTTCCTTGTCGCTAGGATTATACAATACGACCGGCCTCAACAAAAAGCCCTTACTACCTACCTACTTTGGTCTACGCACATTCTTGTTCTCCCCGAACCGGAACTCGTTCGTTCCTCCTTAGGCACTGGAAACTGAAGAAAGACCCATTTTGGAGGACTTCTTCTCCGAGTTTCTTCCCCTCTTCCTCCTCCCCATCATTGGCTCCGTGGTGCATAAAATTTTCAGGTCCATTTTTCCGTTAGTGTCGAGCCCAGCCACAAGGCGTTTCTGGACGCTGATTTGCTCGCGGAGGGAAATTCGACGCCCAATTGAATTTGGCGTTTTAATCGACGTTGGAACTTGGAGGGGGGCACCCCGGGACCTGCATCTTGCATCTGCAGCATTAAAATCATTAAACCTCTTACGGTCGGAAAAGACTAGTAAGAGTCCGGACTGGTGCTATCGAGTTTTATCGGCCATCTGGTACATTTGGGGGATCTTTGGATCTGGTATCTGGTCTCTAGCAGTTGGCCATCATCTATAGGACGATTTACTTTGGTCTCCTACTGGACTCACAGATTGGACACCACACCACCTCTTTACCACCCTACTATCACTGTGACTCGTTGCTACTCTTACTGTTTTACTACTGTTTTCTACCTCGACAAGCTCGATTCCTGTTCTGCTCTGCTGGTCTGCTGTCTGCTTCTTTCCGTTCGCAGCATCCGTTTGCGGCACCACATTTTCCATCGCACCGTCCACCACTTGTTCCAACCCATCAAATCCCAATTCCATCATCTTTCTCACTGCCGGTTCCATCCAGCTCTCTTTTATTCTGCCCTTCCTACTATCCTCCATCCTCTTTCGTCATTCCTCCATCTGTCAGTCTCTCGGTACGAATCCATGGGAACTCGCCTGTCGGGGACTGATCCAAGCTGGTACTGCACCCGGAACGCTCCATCCCAAAGTCTGGATTCGCCTTCCATTCTTCCTTCCTTCTTTTCCCCCCACTACAGCTAATCTTCCTCCCCATCATCCATCAACCATCTACCACCAGCACCGCACAATCAACGACATCGTGACTCGTGCTTGACTCTCTCTCTCCCCCCCCTCCTTCTCCCCGACCCAATCTTTTCTCTTCTCTTCTCTCCTTTCCACTCTATTCCTTGTTCCTCCGTTACCCTTTTTCCTTTCCTTTCCCACAACCTGTGCACCCGTGGACAAGACTGCCGTTGCTGCTCCTCCCGAACCAACCGTCCCTCCACTAACCTCGAGCTCGTTTCCTCGGCTCTTCATACGCGGGCGACTCCTTGCCTGAACCCTTGATTCTTAATTCTTCCGTATCAAATAACCCACACTTTGGGTCTTGGTTCCACCTCTCCGTCTTGATGAGTGCATCGACGTACGCCGACGCCTCTCTCTCGCGCGAAGCCCAAAGGTACGTAGCAAAAAAAAAAAAAAAAACTACATGAGCAAAAAAATGCCCCAATCTCAACTCCTTCATCTGCTTTTTTTCTTGTACGCCTATGCCTGTATCTTTCGTCTCTCGTTTCTTTTCTCTTCCCTTCGTCTACTTCGCCTTCCTACTGGTATCTGTGCCTGACTGGGTCGCAACTCTTACTCGGTAGTCCAGGGATTCCCACTGACCATGTTGTCCAACACCAGTTCTGACTTTGACCTGACCATTCGCCAGCAGCCCGACCGGGCGCGCGTGGCCGGGGGCAAGGAGAAAGGTATGTTCTATCGATTCCCTTCCGTTTTGATCCTCTCGTGAACCTCTTGGCTCTGGTCCTCGTCTCTTCTCGTGGGGGAGGGGTACGGTCCGGGGCCGCGGGGGAAGATCTGGCGAGCAAGGTGACCCGCAGTCATTGACTGGGCTTGCAGAGCGCAAACCCATCGATCCGCCCCCGATCGTCCAGCTCCGGGTGCGCGAGGAGGGTTCTTACCTGGCGCAGTAAGTGATTCGCATTGCAATCCAGATGGGTGATTTGGCGCTGCAGAGGCTAACGGACCCCGCAAACAGACACTACCTGCAAAGCCCCTACTATTTTATGTGCTGCAGCTTGTACGATGCCACAGAAGATCGTCCAGTGCCCGTTGCACCATCGACAGCGCTAGCAGGAACCCTAGTCTCGTCCCTTCACCGGTTGAAGGACGTTGACAACAGTGGTAAGTGCTTTTGTAGCCAGCCGAGAGCTGCATTCCACTCGGGAGGTTTAACGTGAGAAGCGAGGATCAATGGCTGACAAAGATCTTAGATGGAGGGTTCTTCGTGTTTGGTGATCTGTCGGTAAAGATTGAGGGCGAGTTTCGACTCAAGTTTACCCTCTTCGAGATGCGCAAGTGAGTCGCGTGCCCTCTTCCCCACCCCCTTCGGTCGGAGGCGCCCTGTGCTCAAGTTCAGCAAAAGCTGACTGGACACCCAGGGATGTCGTAACCTATTTGAAAACCGAAATCTCGGACCGATTTAAGGTGTCGCCTCCGAAGAACTTCCCGGGCATGATGGAATCCACGTTCCTCTCTCGGTCGTTTGCAGACCAAGGTGTCAAGTTGCGCATACGCAAGGAGCCTCGGACTATGATGTAAGTTGTGGACGTTCCTCGACTGCCCTGGCAAACGGCCGTTGTCGTGGGAGAAGCGAGAGGCAGAGAGGAAGAGTTTTGTTTGCTAACAAGCACGCACAGGAAACGCTCTGCACCTCGTCCAGACGAGTTCCCACAGGCGATCCCACCTCGATCGCCAGATCGCCAGCCAGTTCAAATCCCGCCCGCTGCGACGGGATTCACGGGTTATCCGACGACGGCGACGGCCAGTCGAGACTACAATCAGTACTATGGAGCTCCTCCTGTCAAACGTCATCGCACTTCCATAGATTATGGCCGCCAAAGCATCTATGATCAAGAGAGCCGGATGGCTGCGCGCCCAATGGATCCTTATAGTCAGCCGACGGCGATGTATAGCCAGCAACCTGCATACCAAACTCCGGGCATGCAACCGTATCAAACAAGTCAGGTGGTGCCAGATTATGGGGTTCGTCCAACATTTTCTTCAAGAGATCATCTGTCTTGGTTTTCGCCTGAAGAACACCCGTCTTAACTAACAACTCTTTCTTGTGACTCTCTAGATGTCTTACGGCCTTCATCCATCAGCAGCGCCCATGTCTCAAATGACTGATCCCTCCGGGCAGACTCGGCCCAGCCAGCAGCAAGCTGCAGTGGGACAGTTGATGGCGATGAACCAGCCTGGCACACCTGTACGGCATCCCAAAAGTGAGTTTTAGTTGTAAAGAGGTCCCTGGCTAAGGATTTTGTTTCTCTTTGGATGCGACAGCAGACCCCAGACTCGACTGGAGCGATGATGGCTCAGGGATACCCTCGATCCGGATACCAGACGCCCGAAAACTCGACCATTCTTCCTCCCTTGCAGCGCAGCTATAACCAGGTCACCAATGGAGCTGCTGCCCGCGGTTATTTCGACCAGCCACCTCCGACGGCCACCTCAATCCTGCCTTCCCAGATGGCCCCCGAAGGTAATCGCTATGGCTCTGGGAACGATACCCCTCAGTGATTTTGATACGATCGATGCGTGGATTATAAAATTCATCAACTATATAAACCCGAGACCTGGACTTGGAGTGTATACCTCGGGGCTCTGGGTACTTGGAAGGTCTGGACCGGACTCCAAAAATTTGCCATTCTCTTCGCTCGTTTACGCTTTGGCCGGGTTGTCGACCTTGACGGATCCCTCCTGGCTGTTTTACCCACTATGCCCTTTTTATTTGTTATGTTTCTCTTCTTGCTTTCCTGTCTGTCTGGATAGACGGGGACTTTTGGACTTTTGCTAGATATTACGCTCTTGACGTTCCTCATATTGGGTGGCTTCGGGTGGCTTCGGGTTTTCTTCTTGTTCGGTGCTGTCTGGCTTTTTTTTTGCTTGCTTGTTTGGTTGTCATTGTTACTGTTATTGTCACTGTTCGTGTTACTGGCGCTGAGGGATTGGGTAGAATTGGAACGGGGGTGGAGGCTTTATTCCTTTCTGCCTGTTTAAAAAAAAAAGTGAGGTTATCATTCTTATGGTTCGTGGTTTTTTCTCCCCTTCTGTGTATATACTGGCGTCCTTCTTTAGCAGGTCATCGCTGTGTTTGTGATACGGCGATGGCCGTAATTGAATTGAATAGCTTATGCTTCTTCGACTATTTCTCGCTCTAGTTTGGCCATGGTGCCTGTCATTGTGCCTGTTCAGCCTGCCTATTCAGCGTACCTATTCAGCGTACCTATTCAGCGTACCTATTCAGCGTACCTATTCAGCGTACCTATTCAGCGTACCTATTCAGCGTACCTGGCCAGCTTTGCCTGTTCCTCGTCCTTCCGAGGTTGCTCTCTGCCTTCGCTCCTTCCAAGTCAATCACTCACTTTCCTATCTCTGTATTGTCGCTCTTGCCTCAGCGTCGGCTGCCTATTGACTCACCTCCATCCAGGCAAGCCCTCCTGCTTCTGCCTTCTTCCCTTCCTCCCTCTTCCTCCCAACATAAACACGCCTCTCCTATCTTCTCCTCCAACCTTCTTCACCATGTCTTCACCCCTCTCTTCCAATCTCTTCGGTTCTCCATTCTCCGCAGAAATGGATTCACCTGACCACCACCTCAGGAACCTTGCTGTCTGGTGCAACTGGTCTAGCGAGCCAGTCGACACTGTCGTCGTCGCTTTCAACGTCGAGGTACGTTAATAAACAAGAAAAAATGCGTCTTGCATCGAGGATTTTATAGTAATCATTTGATTGGGATAGGTCTGGTGCGCCCCGAACTCTGAGATCCCGGTGCTGGACACCTCGCAAGGTGTCACCAGCGTCGACTTTGCTGACATCACTCCTTATGTCAATCTTGAGGACTTGGAGTGGTTCTACGTCCTGCGTCAGGACTGGGAAGGGATGAGCGATCTCGGTTCGGTGCCGGAAGTCGGCTCGGGTCTGGCTGCGGAACAGCAGGCCCAGGGACCTGTGACGCCTGAGAAGCAGTCAGGACCCCTCACCTTCGAACAAGATACCTCTCACGCAACCCTTTATCCTGGCCACTCAACGGGGCAAACCGGTCCCCTCACCCCCTCGGACACGGGAAGTGTGCTCCGAAATGGACACACTCCCGATGGATCCTCCCCTGGCTCAAGGACCCTCGAGCTGTTCAAGGCTAGTTTCTTACGGTGCTCTTTTTCCGACTATGACAGTGATGTTGGACAATCCCCTCCAACTCACGCAAGAGAACCGCAACCGTTGCCTCCCTGCCTGATTCAGTCACTGACGATGAGAGACCATACGGGGGTGAGAAGCTCGGTGAAAAAGCTCGAGCTCAGTTGAAGCAGCGCAAAGAGTCTGCAGTGTCCTCAACTTCGATTCCCTCGTCTTTTACTTCGATTCCTCAGACTTCCTCTACCTCAAAGCATAAACGCGAACGAAGCTTGATTCCTCGACCTGTCAGTGTGATGAGCCAAGCTCGCCCTGACCCTACCAAGATTCCCCTGCCGACAGACTCGGTGCCTGTTTTGGATGTGGAGCTTCGCCGGTTCGAGAACAGCGTATCGCCCGGGGAGAAAAATAGTCCAGTCGATCATGTTCAAGTCGAACACGTCAGTCTTGCAGAGGCGGTTTCCGGGGATACCATGACCCCTCTGGTCAGTCCTTCGATCAGAACCAGTCCGAATGTCAGCAACTGCTACGCTAGCAAGGCCTTGCAAACTGGACCAGACGTGGAGAAACTTTCCACTGTGGCATCCGCCGGTAGCCCGTGCGACATGGACCTGATGTCGGAGTCAGTTGATGCATCCTTTGGGGGAATTCCGACCCAGGGGACTTTCTTTGTGCAACCCCCAACTCCCCCACACACCATTGTCAGACCTCGCCTCGTCCATACCAATCAGTTGTTCCAAGTCCAATGCCCATCCGACATCAAGCCAGCCTGGTACAAGGTTGTCGTGGACTTTGAGATCCGCCTCCAAACCCGTGGACCGCGCGGCTGGTACGAACTGGTCGTACCTGGATTACCTCATCTAAACAAGTTTGACCATGGCCTCTTCTCCCTCCCCATGCCCGAAAACCTGGGATTGGAGCTTCGTACCATGCACTTCATTTCACACGAGATGTTCAAGAACCGTCTTGTCGCACAGTTCCGGCCCTGCAACTCGGAACTGGTCATTCCTCTCCGTCCTTTCGATTTCCACTTCTCCGGCTTCCTGCGCGATTTCATAATCAACCAGACTATCCGCAGCAAGGTGACGGCAGATAAACATGACTCCAGCTCGTGCATTGTCGAATACACCGCTATCTGCTCTTTGGATCTCATTCAACGGACCTTTTGGGCTGAACAGTGCGGATTCTACGTTTACATTCATAATGGACCCGCTGGTGATTACACCGGCCACCTCGAGGACCCACAGCCAGAAACCAAATTCAAAACCATCCAGCTTACCTCGAATCCCGGGTCCGAGGTTGGAATGGCGCGGCTACTGGTTCTCTGCACCCCATCGGACCTGGACATGTTTGTCATTAAATGGGAAATGCGGTTGCCTCTCGCAGAAGCTGGCAACTGGATGCCACGCATCACTGCTCTTCCGGAGGGATATGAAGCCGAAGAGGCGTTGCAGAGTCGGTATCTTGAAGCTCTTGAAGCTCTTGAAGCCGCAGAGCATGAGCAGGAGATTGCGGATAACGAGGTCAAGTCCGAAACTGTCACTCCCGAAAGCACAAACGTGGTCACCCCAGAAAAATCTGATGGTGTCATCCCGGAAGAATCGAATGGAACGAAGGCCTTCATGCCTCTGCTCATGAAAATGTTCCTCTTGTTCATGGCTCCGTTTTTGCTGTTGCAGCCTGTGGCCTTCTCGATTGGTCTTTATGATGGTGTCTTGCGTGACGGTCTGGGTCAGGAGGTTCGGGATATCTTCTGTGAGAACTCGAAGCTCTGTCTTCTGAAGAGCCCGTGGGAAATGATGGGGTTGAGTCACCCAAAGCTGATTCCTCCTGTTCCTGTGGCTCCAAAGGTGACTGGGGTCTTTGTTTCCATGGAGGATGTTGAGCCTGTTCCGAGTTCTGTACCAGAAAAGATTGATCGGTTGCCACCGGAAACTGTTCGTCCCCCCTGGACTCCGGTCACATGCATTGATCATATTGACTATTGGCTTGGGTGGAAGGGACCTCGTCATCCTGAGCTGTATGGAGACGCTGGAGTCGAATGTGGATTGCGCGTCAAGCAGATACTTGGATACATTTTGCTTTGGTAGCCTCTATGCAGGTGGACCAGGTTAATGCGTGGTGCGTTCGTCGTCAAGGAGATATTTGTTTTATTCTCATAACCTCTGTGGAAAGGTTTAATGCGCGGTCGGAATCAATATGAAAACCCCACTCTTGTACAATATCTTGATTTATTCGTAACCATGTAATAGATGTAATGGACCTTTCCCTCAGCAAGTAGAAACCCGTAATCAATATTCTACGTCCCGAAAATGTGCCCATACCGGGGTTATAATTATAGTAAAGTCCCAAATACTATCCCCCCTGACTGGTAACCTAGCAGTTCCGCAAAGACCCTAGTTTACTTTGGTCGCTGTTTCCTAGAAATGGTGCCGGGCTATCAAACCGTGCTTGCTATGAAGCTTCTGTGGAGCACCTGGTGGTAGCGGGTCGGGGTGTGGTTGGGCGGGTGGGTTGGGTTATCAGGGGGTCCGATCCCTCCTGCGGACAAATATTATCAAAGATTGTTTTTATTTTTGTATCATTTTATACGGCTAGAGGAGTTGAAGCTGGTGGTGAGGGTTTTTGAAGTTTGAAAGTGAGGATTGGTGTAGGGTGTTGGTGGTTGGTGGGTGGGTGTATTTGGGGGATCGGGGGTGATATCAGAGGAGGTGATGGGGCATCGTCTGGTCATTGGGGTGGTCTTGTATGGTAGCTAGAGGATTGGGGTTCGATTCTGGATTGAGAAGTTTATTTGTTTGGGGTTTTTGGGGTTTTTCGCTGTGGCTTTTTCCGGGTTTGATATCAGTCTTATACATGGAGAGCGCTATACAGCCCCAGGCTACATACCAACAGAATCGAGACACAGTACTGTACTGTAGAATACAATCTCTATACACCCTGTAAACTATATACACTACTCCACCCATCACAATGCATCACACCATCACTTCTCCTCCCCCAAATAAAAAGCAACCACCTCCTCCACAGCCCACCTCAAAACAACCTCCATACCAACAGCTCCCTTCCCGGGAGCAACATTAACACCAACATCACCTCTTACTTCAACACCCTCGCCAACACGCTGAACAATATCCCTCTCACCCTCGCCCTCACCCTCGCCGTCCCCATCAACCAACAACCATGCATGATCACGCACATACCTCGGCCAAACGATATCATCCACGTAGCCGGGTGGATCGGTCCAGAAATTCTGGGGTGGGCGGTCATCTTCACCTTCTAGGTCGATTTCTTCATTTTGGTTCTTTTCCTTTTCGGGCGCGGTTGTGGAGGGGTTGGTAGCGGTGTTGGTGACTGGTGGTTCCGGCGCAGGCCCAATAGTAACATACCCACTCCTCCCCTCCCTCCTAGCTTTAACAGTCGCATAAGCCGCGGGCAAAAAAAGCGGTAAACCAATCTGGTCATGCACGGGTCTTAAAACGCCATGATCAGTCGGATAATGTTCATCCCCCGCACCACCATCTTTGCCCTTGTTCTTATACTCATATCCCTCTGGCGGGGCATATAGCAAAAATCCCTCCATAAATACGAGCGTGGAACTCCGCGCCATCTGAGCGGAGGCAAGTCTCGCCTCGACTTCCCGTCGTAGCTCTGTCACCAGTGTATCAGGGACACATGGCCCCGCATCCTCGTTTTGATCTTCTTTGCTTTGGAGACGGGGTGGGAGGTGGCCGTTCGCGCGAACGTAGGAGAGTGCCTGTGCGAGGAAGGATGTATCTATGGCCGCGGAGGTATCCCAGTCTTGGACTGTTTTGCCGGTGGGGGTTGTTGTGTATGGGATCCTGGAGTAATCACTGATTAGATAGATCCTTACAACCTCTCGTATGAAAATGATTGTAATGGATGGGATGCGTACTGGTCATCCGGATAATAAAAATCATCCTCATGAATGATAAACGTGTTTAGCTTATCATTTCCTTTTGCGTCGGAGCTCAAGCTCAAGCTCGGATCTAGGGATACCCCGCAGAAGATACGCTGGAGTAGTCGGGCTAGAGTGGTCTTCCCGCTGGATGAGGGCCCTGAGATACCGACTATCAGAGCCTTCTCGGGCTCGGATAGTTCTGGAGAGGTCATCCTGGGAAATGACACGGGTGTTTTGAGGTTGATAGTGCAGAGAAGGTGAGATTGATGGAGGGGTTGTGCTGACGATATTGTTATCTTATCGCTATCGTTTGTTACCGTTATCTTATCGGCGGCTCGAGGATCAGCGCCAAGACGAGGTATAAACGCGGTTGGTCACTGAGATTTGCAATGGCGCATCATGAATTCTTTTTAGTTATTATGGAACGAGTTCAACGGTTGTTTGGCATCACTTCAATTTAAAAGGAGCTAGGCTATGTCTGTAGCTGCATATCATAGATGTCTTTGGTATCATCAAGTCAGTTGAATTTATGGGACTAATTATATCTCTTGCTCTAGTTTGGAAAGAAACACGTTGAAGACGTAGATTCCTCTTCGAAGATTGGAAGGGACTTTTCATCGGTTTTCTCAAGAACCCAGATCACAGCCATGATGTGATAAGATGAATAGATAATGCGGGTGGGTAACAATAATGAGGGATACAAAATAGATGGAGGCTGCCATGCTAATCGAATGATAGGGCTGTTTCTAAGAATGCGGCAAAATAAGTCCTCAAGCCGGAGTGATGCTTGAACCACCGTGTCCATCCATGCTTCACGGCCTCCGGTTGTTGTATAGGGTTTGCGAGTGTTTTCATTCAAGATCCGGAATTAACTTGGGAAAATTGCGACAAGATCCGTCCTCGATATGATGTAAAACTTCGTACGGAGTCGCAAATTCGAGCTTGTACAAGGGACACGGCACATTGGCCCCTAGGTGCGCTTTTGACATGAGGTGATGTGAACCAGATTAGCCCGTGGGATAAGATAATTGCAATTCAACCCTTGAAACACTTACTATGAGCGTGCTGGTTGTTCTTGAAAATGGTTTTCACATCCGGCACAGTGGTATGGGCAATGATCCATTGCCCTCATGTGTTCCTCGGCGGCATCCTGGGTTGAAAAGATGCCACCACAGCTCTGGCATACGATCTTCGGTCTCCAGCGCCCCATAGTGTTCATATGACTATCGGCATCAGCTTAGGTGTCGAAAGTATCGCTACACCCTTCTCACAAAAAGTTTGGCTTTGGATGTCCTTCGACCATAATATGCTGTTCGGCCTGCTATTGGGTCGAAAAGATCTGGCTGCATCCCAGGCATGGATACTTAGGCCTCCAGTGGCCCAGCATGTCTCTATGCTTATCTGCATCCGCCTGCGTGTTGAAAGTCATGTTGCAGGTCTCACACGAAAGCATTTGTTTTTTGTGTGCCTGGGCCAGCATATGATTATCAACTTGAGCCTGAGTCGAAAAAAGACAACTGCAACTGTTGCATTTGAACGTCGGCTTTTGGTGACCAAGCGTATCCATGTGTTGATTCGCCTCGGACTGGGTGTTGAACCCAAGACCGCAAGTCTCACAGAATGCATTGGCCTTTGGTGGATGTGCGGTCTGCATGTAGGTGTCCACCGTGCCTTGCGAAGCGAAAACCTTGTCACATTTCGGGCATGGAAAGGTTCGCTTCCAGTGGCCATGATCGTTCATATGCTGTTTTGAGAGAGTGGGAGTGGCGAACTTTAGAGGACAGGTTGGAATGAGTGGGTGGTGCTGGAGAGAAAGCGAGTCTTCGATGTAAAATTGTAAAGATGGAGGAAGATAGGAGAAGCGAGGTTGGAGAAGGGAAAAGAAATGAGGAGAGAAGAAGATGGCAGGCCGGGGCACACTGGTCGTCCCAATCGGGTAATTTTGGGTTTGGACTGTGTGCGCCATGTGACCTTGATGACTCGGGAAAAATTGGCCTTTAAAATAACTACAATTAATATTTTGCTAATGATTACTAGGAGAGCCTCATTCTATTAACCCTAAGTTTAACAAGACGTATTAGAAATATTGACAGGGTACAGATTCTCGACTATCTCCCTGGGCACTCCTGCTCATCTTGGAGATCGTTTAAAGGGAATTCAGGTTGAATTTGTCGACGATATGGTGATTATTAACGTAAAGAATTCACATCGTCCATCAGAAGTCCCTTTCCATCAGTTGAAGACCAATTGCCGACTTCCCATTCCAATCCATTTCGAAGCATTCACGCCATAAACAACTCGAGCCCCTGCGTCCAGCCCCCAAGAGAAGGGTATACACACACTGGAAAATCTGCTGGGCAACGGCACATGCGAATATGTCCATATTTTTTCATTATCCCAAGGACAATTTGTATCCACCGGAATAGACGACCGAAAGGACATGTAGTGCCTCGATTGGCAAACTAACGATGCAGGGTGTATGGGATGGGCATACCAGCAGCGTCCCGGAACATGGGTGCCCCCATTCCCCAGCCCCAGAATGCTTGCATCAACTGGATCTGCATGCGCTGGACGGCATGAAAGTTCGTTGTGCAGCATGCTCCACTCTCCATGTGCTTGAAGAGTGCGGTCAAGCTAACGAACTTTTTCTTGTGGCAGCCGCCAGTTCGGTTGGGGCATCGGTAGAATCGGGGACGATGCGATCCGGGGTCATGAGTGGGGCATTTGAGGTGCACTTCGAGGGCTTCCTTTGTGTCAAAGATGAGGTGACAGGTGAAGCACATGTGAGGTTCGACAATTCCTAGGGGAGGAGTAGGAATCCACTTGTCAAGGAGCCATCGAAATGGGGTGTTGACGATGGCACCGGCAGGATCGCAGTTGCGAACCAGCCAGACGATGCTGTGATGCTCCAGGCCAGGCGCACAATCACATTTTCCTTCTTCGAGGTGTCCCATCAGGGCACTCGCTTTGTCAAAGTGGGAACCACAGAAGGGACAGTAGATGTTGTAGGTGCAGTGAAAGTGCGTCATCGCGTGCTGCGTCAGTGGAAGTTAGCTATCTTTTACATGATATATGAGAGTAGAGTCAACTCACGTTCAGGAGGGCCATCATGGAGGGGCACCGCTGCTGGCAAAGATCGCAACGGTTGCGGTAGTGATTCACGGCGACCATGTGCTCATCGGCATGGGCCTGGGTCACAAACATCCTGTCGCACACTTCGCAGGGAACACCTTTGATCGGACCCATGCTGATGGGATCCATGTAGGGATTCATGTACGGATTCGAGTATGGAATGCTGTAGGGGTTCATGTAGGGGTTCATGAGTGGATTCATGATGGGATTCATGCTGATGAGTAGATACCAAGTCAGGATGGGTTGAAGAGTGATGATGATTCGGATGAGGTTGGGGTGGGATGAGCAAGGTGGGTGGTTGAACTTCCGAGAAGATGAGAGGTATAGCAAGCAGATAAATCACGGATCAGGCGCCAGACCGGCTCTATAGAAGATCCAGCCTTCTGCCGTCGACTCTTCATTTTCGGTGAAGCGATTGTTGTGCGCAGAAAAGACCGCCTTATTTGTTTGTCTTTATACTGTAGATTTGTCTTGATATAGAGTGGTTTCCTTGTGGGGCCAATCAGGCGTCAGCTTGGGGTAAAAGTGGGCCCCGGAGCAATCTGACTGGGCGGTGAAAGTTCTGCCATTCCCCTAGGGTCTTCTGGCTCAGACTTGACTGGGATTGTCTGGTTTTCTATCCACGATATTCCTCAGCATGGATCCCTCTGGAGGGGTCGAGACTCGTCTGCCACCTGTGTGGCCTGTGAAACAGCCGGATGAGTCCTACGAACAAGACGGTGGCAGCGCTCTCTCATCTTCCGCGGCCATTGCGGCTGACCCAGCCTTATCGGCGATCTCGCCCCATCTCCCCCCAGAACCGCTGCATCCAAATGCTTCACCTATTACCAACGCAGAGAACCCAGAGTTGTGTATTCAAAGTTTCAGTGATTCAGAGAATTTTGTCAAATCTACTTCTCCTACACCAATTCCGCCTACCAATGGCCAGTCTCACACGCAAGTGGGCCACCCGAACGGAAATTCCGGGGATGTCGATTCATACCTTCCTGTCGGAGTACTATGGAAGAATTTGGATTCTGAAGTATCGTTTCCAGAGGTGGATGTTACCCTGTTGGAGAACCATCGCTGGGTCCGAACACAGGCCACAGATGGGAGTAATCATGTCCAGGTCTACGTTGACTACAAAATGACCAGCCGGGGCAATACCCAACGATCAATCACAAAGCTAAGGAATGCCTTGAAAACCGTGATGGCCAAGATCGACAGGTCTCCCCAAGCATGGTACGGTTATCGTTTGGAAAACGGACCCGAGAGGGGCAAGCCGGACGGTGCCGAGGACGAGAGTCTTTGGTACATCTTCAATACCCTGCGGGACCCCTGCCCACAAGTGGAGAACATGAATGACCACTGGGCACGAAGAGCCATGGAACAATTGTTGTCGGAAGACCATTATACTGATTTGGGTCTCAAGACCAAATTGTACCCTTATCAGCGCCGCTCAGCGGCTACGATGGTGCAACGCGAGGCACAGCCCGCTCGAATGTTAGATCCACGGTTACAAGCATACCAAAGTCTGAGTGGACGAGAGTACTATTATGACAAAGAGGACGCGTACATTACGCTTGAGAAGGTGCTATATTCGGAGGCTTGTGGGGGTAAGTCAACTTCTCAAACCATCTCCACGGCTTGGATGTTAAACTTGAAGAATAGGTATTCTTGCAGAGACCATGGGTTGTGGTAAAACTTTGATCTGTCTTGCGGTCATATGTGCCACACGCGGTCACGCCCCAAAGATCCCAATTGAGTACATGTCCACGCCAGATAAGCCAGATCTAATTCCAATAAGAGAGAAAACCGGCTCTCTGCTGGATATGGCGGCCGCTGCCGCAGAGCGACACTCTGAACCCTGGAGAACCTTCTTTCGCGAGTTACACCGAGAAGGCCGCCACTATGAGCGGTGCATGAAGGCATGCGAGGCCCACCGAGGGTCCTATGAGATCCCTGCACATCAGACCAGATACCAAGGTCGACATAGCCAATCATACGCCAGACCTCCGCCCAAACGTGTTCGAATCTGCTCTGGAACCATAATAATTGTGCCAAACAACTTGTTGGACCATTGGCAGCGGGAGATACAGACACATACTGAAGGGTTAGAGGTTCTGGTCATGGGTCAAGGATCCGGTCAGACTCCGGCGGCTGATGATCTGCTGCGCTACGATATCATCCTATTTGCCAAAACACGGTTTGAGCGTGAAGCTGGCGAGCCAATTCATAATCGGCGGGATAAGCTTTTGCAGGTCGACTCGCCTCTGACACAACTTCACTGGCTGCGAGTCATCGTCGACGAAGGTCACAATGTGGCAGGCCATGGCTCAAGAACCAATATGATTCACCTGCTCAGCCAACTCCATTTTGAGCGTCGATGGGTCATCTCGGGAACGCCATCAACCGGGCTTTACGGGGTGGAGGTTAGTCTTGCTTCGCAGGAAGCAAATACAAGTGACACCGAGTCTCCCGCGGAGATCACTGCTGCTGCCTTGCGGAGTCGAAAGAAGACGGGCAATGCTGTGGATAACGAGTTGAAGGATTTGGACAAGCTCCGGCGCATCGTGATCGATTTCTTGGACTTGAAGCCTTGGTCTAATTCTCGTGCTGATGATCCTGCTGACTGGACCAAGTACATCAAGCCCATCGGGGAAGATGGCAAACGTCGTAAGACTCCGGCTATTCGAGCCACTCTCCAGGGTTTGGTGGTGCGACACCAATTGGATGTTGTGAGCAGGGAAATTTACATTCCGAAGCTCTACAATAGTGTCCGCCATCTCGAACCAACATTCCACGACCGATTGTCCATCAACCTGTTCCTCTTTGGTCTGGCCGTCAACTCGATCACTTCGGAACGTCAAGGACCCGATTACATTTTCGATCCGAGCAACCGCAAGCATTTGAACCAAACAATCAATAACTTGCGTCAGGCTGGGTTTTGGTGGGCAGGCTCCGACGTAAATCCACAAGATTCCATTGAACATGCTGAGAAGTACATGGAGAAGAATCTTGAGAAGATGACGGTTGACGACATTGATCAATTGACCCGCGGAATGGATATTGCACGTACAGCATTGAACTCTAGCAGCTGGCGGGAGTTCAAACATCTCCACGAACTTGGTATTTACCTCAGGGGCTTTCCTGATGACCACCGTTCTCACTGGGCACTCGATCAAAGCAGCCCAGAAAAGGAGCCCATGCTCATCGGCATTACACAAGCTCGTCGCGCCCAGCAGTACGTCACGCAGCATCTGAAGTCCATTGATCCAACGCAAGGTCTCGCCGGTGCAGGTATCAAAACCCGCCATGAACTTGAGCGTCGTGACCGTAATCCTGCAAAGGGTGCTCCCGAATCAGCGAACAATGCTACGGCAACCACTCCTACTCCGGGCTCGCTATACCACTCTCCGAAGCCACAAACAAACAAGTCGCCGAAGAAGACTTTCACCCGCAACCTCTTCCGCGAGCTCCCAGCCACGTCTCCTCTTCAGAAAACACGATTCATCGCTACTGCTTCGGCCAAACTCACCTATCTCCTCAACAAAGTTCTCGAGTTTCAATCTGAGGAAAAGATCATCATCTTTTACGATAACAACAACTCTGCCTTTTGGATCGCCGAAGGGCTCGAACTTCTCGGTGTGGAATTCCGAATTTACGCCAGCACTCTGAAGCCCGAGTTGCGGACAGAGTACCTCAAGCTCTTCCGCGAGTCTGAAGACGTGCGTGTATTGCTCATGGATCTCCGCCAGGCTTCGCACGGACTGCATATTGCACAAGCGTCGCGTATTTTCATCGTGAATCCGATCTGGCAACCAAATGTGGAGAGCCAAGCGATCAAGCGTGCACATCGTATCGGACAGACCAGACCTGTGTATGTAGAGACACTAGTCTTGCGGGACACGCTCGAGGATCGCATGTTAGAACGACGAAAACAAATGTCCGAAGCTGAAATCCAGCATGCGGAGAAGAATCTGTTGGATGATGGAACTATGAGTGGAATTGTGCAACGGGAACCGTTCTTGCCCATGGGTTTGGAAGAAGATACCGCAGCCGAGCCTTTAGAGAACCCGATTGGATTCTTTGATCGGCATCGACTGCCGATACCGGATGATGAGCGATCTGTTATGGATAGTCCGACGAAGGACAAGGGCAAGGACAAGCGTGTCCCTCGTCCAAGAGAGTCTGATGCGGATGATACGCCTGTGGAAGGAAATTCAATGCCGGTACGCAAGAAGGCGCGTGTGGGCTTTGCATCGCAGGGTGAGATTTCAAATGGAAATGCCGGTCCGAGTCAGGAGGGAAAAAGGCGTGTCCTTTTCACCGACCAGAATACCACATCCAATGGCGTTGGGACTCCTGCGCCCCGGAATCCACATATCACCTTTGCTCCAGACATGGACATCTCCAATGACAATGATGATGACGATGAGCCTCTCGCGTCAAGGACTCCTCCGAGATACTCAACCCCACAGCCGACCTATAATGCCGAGGATTTGAGTCAACGGAAGGTATCCTTGTTTGATTCATGAACGATATCACGATAGCATGGCGTTGGTTCAGATCTAGATGTTGCTTTTTTTTTATGTACAATACCCATCAGGCAATAAAGGATTACGAAATACATTCTGACAAAGTCATACACCTGAATCTCCTCTAACAGCCCCACCCATACCAAGCAATAACTCCTAGAATAAGACCACCAAGTGAATGTCCAATCCATTTCCCACTCCATCCACCAAACTCCCTCCCGCCGTACATGAAAACGGTATACGCATCTACTTGCGCTGCGACCTAGATATTGCAACGAAACAATTCGTTAATACAAAGTACAAAGTACAATGCCAAGTGATCACTACGAAGATTTGAGAAATGTATACATACTACAGTCCCACACACTAAAGTCCTAACACCAACCCCATCCCCCTTTCCACCGAGCACCAAAGCCGATAAACCAAGGGCAATATCCCGTCCGGCATTAGCAAAAATAAACGGCGATGGAGAACCCGAGGCGGGCAGTGGAAGGCCGAAGAGGGTGTATGCTGGTTTGGGTGCGAGCAGCCGCAGGAGGCCTAGGCCTAGGAGGGATGTGCCGAGGAAGGTGGGTGTTGGTGCGGGGAAGGAGGAGATTTGGAGGGACATTTAATGAGTTGTTTGCTGGGAAGTATAGGTTTGGTTGGTATGGGATGAGGGGAGGTTGATATATGTTTTGGATGGTGAGGCTGAAAGGTGGGGAGGAGAGGGGAAGTTTACGAAGTACGAGTACGAGTTTGGAATTGGGAGCCAGAAGCTTATGGGACGGGAGGTACATTTAGGTACCTCCAATTCTCGATGCTTACTTGTTGAAGGAGCCATGGCTAAGCCTTCCATTCAGCCTGAATTTAGTTGTCCGTTGATAAATCAAGAAGAAAGATATACCATTGTCTACAATGACAAGAAAAAGAAAAGCTTTCATAGTTGATCTTCCATGATCCGCTATAAGAAAGAAACAGATATCTTTCTATGCTGATGATCGTTCTCTAAATTGACATTGACACCAACTACCTCCCTTCCCGTAACCATGGAGTATAACAACTTCAACCATCCACCGAAACTAAAAGCAAAGAAACCTCCATGCAATAGATCCAATCCATCTTAGTCCAATCCAACCAAAACCAAACTAATTTTCCAATTTCCAAGAATCCAGAATCCCTCCACCACAATCACAAGAAACATAAAAACCAACATGTCGACACCAACCTACTGCGTCAAATAATCCTCAATCTCAAACCCCATCCTCCTCAAAACCTTCTCCTCCACCCCACCCCCAACCCCATTACCACCAGTACCGAAGGCCTTCCTCAAAACCACCGTCCTAAAATCCTCCAACCGAATCTCCACAGCCCCAACCCTCTCAACCTCCTCCCTCGAACACTCCCTTACATAAACAGTGATATCCGGACCCACACACGCACGCCAAAGACTCGCCATCCACTGCCAGTGGTCTAGCGGGGCGTAGGAGTCGTTGATGGGGATGTTGCAGGCGAATGTATCTGCTGTTGTGAGTTGGTAGCGGGGGACGAGGGCGACAGGAGTAGGTGTTGGTGTTCGGGTTGGGTTTGGGGAGGTGGATGGGGGTGCGGGCGTGTGGGACAGGGTGGATTTTGTTGTGTTGGGTGTTTTTATGGAGGTTTCGGAGTCTGCGGAGGTGGATTCGGGGGAGTGGATGTTTAGGGTTGCTGTTTTGGGGATTATTGCTCTTGGGGAGGCGGAGCCGTCTGGGGTTGTGCGGGAACGAGTACGGTCTTGGTCGGTGGTTGGCTCTGTGTTTGTGTGTGTATTGGATGGTGTATCTGTGCCCGGTGACTGCGATGTGGAAACAGACTTGACGAACCCAATAATATCGTCTGAGATGCGGTGCCAGGCAGAGATGGTATTCAGGTAATCCACCGTGGCATCACCCATGGGACCACCATCTGAAGATCGCGGAGCTTGAACATCCGGACCCTTGAAGACACGCACGCTGAATTTGTCCTCCTTCTGTAGGAGACGTTGCAGGTACTCCACGGCAGTGCGAACGAGATCCGGATCCTGGCCGTCCACAGCGATGACCGGTCCGCGGGATGCATTCTCGCGGAATGACGGGACGAGCGGAGGAGAGATTTTGGAGAGGAGTTTGATTTTGTTCAAGAAGGGGATTGTCATGACGGCTGCTTCGACGCTGGAGTCAGCGGTTGACAAGGGCGTCAGTGGTGTGGAGGGAATGGCGGTTTGCAGAGGGGGCAGTTTCAAGCTTGGATCTGGGACTGCGATGGTTTGGCCTTGGGGTTGAGGCTGGGATTGGGATTGGACTGGTGCGCCTTCATAGCCTGGCTGCGAGTGCATCATGGGTAACATGCTGCGAGATTGATGGACATTGGCGGGTGCACTGTACGGAGTCATCGGGTATGGCGATTCAGGACTGCGGTCTCGATGAGCGTGCATGGGTGGCTTCAACGAAGTATAAGAAAGACGCCGACGCTTGATCTCAGGGGACATGACTTCTTCTTCTTCTTCTTCTTCCATTTTTCTGTGCCGAGGCCGTTCGATCTGGTCAATGCGAATTGGCTTGGGGGCTCTATCCGCTTTTTTACGGCACTGCGAGCTGCTGGCGGTCATCACGGTGGTGGTGACTACATGAGGACGCGATGATGGTGGACCCGAGAAACTCCCACGGTGGCCCTGGCTGACCATTGGAGTGAAGGGAGTCATTGGAGTCGAAGGGGCATTCATGATGCGGCCATGACATCGATTGCAAGTTGATCCACCATTGGGATTATGGCTGATGCCGGCGTTGTTTCGAGAGGAGCCATCACGACCAACTCGTCTTGGTTGGTAGCGGTAATCAGGATACTGCTGAGCATGGCGGGCTTTCTCTTCCTAAATAATCAAATTAGCATGAGAACTGATAAAAAGATCTAAATGGAATACTCACCTCCGCTAGGGCCTTCCATTCACTCTTATCCTCCTCGGAAAGCTGCCTCCACTGTTCTCCAATGACCTTGGAAATCTCCGGGTTGGCCATACCAGGGTTTCTCTCCACCACGAGCGACTGCCAATGTTGACGATACAGAATAAAAGCTGCCAAAAAGAAGTTAGCCAAAGTGTCATATTCAAAACAAAAAAAAACACCCCCTTTTCCATCCCGAGCCAATACTTCCAGCCGCAATGGCATTTTAATTGCGACAAAGGAAGTACCTGCCTCCAAAAATAAAACGGACTTGCCATGCTGATAAAACAACGACTCGGACAGCATCAACTCACCATTTCTCGGTCTGGGAATCTTCGGATCCGGCTGACACAAACAAAACTGCAAACCTTCACTCTTCGCAGACTTGGTCGGACTGGAACTCCCCGAAGAAGAGGCACTCCGATCTCTAGCCAAATCCTTCGTAGAAATCATCGGCCCGGGCTTCACATGCTGCTGCATCGGCGACATCGCAGACTCAATCTTAATCGAGCCTCTCGCCCGACCATACGAAGCCAAATGTCGATGCGTCTGAGCCACGCCGTTGGGCCGCATCTCGGAAGCAGAAGAAGTATATCTTGCATTCTCGGCGACAGGAGACATACCTCCCGGACCTGGACGATGCGGCAGAGCCATGTAGGACTTGGGCAGATGGTCGTTCATAATTTTGTGATCGAGGAGATCGCTGGGTCTGGGCAGGGTTGAGACTGGAGCAGACTCATAGCGTAGAGAGGCCGGGTTGGGGAGAACTCGGTCGTAAGACATTTATCTATTCGGCCGTGGACAGTGCCAGTCGGAGAGGGACAACGAAAGCACAAAAAGGGAATAAAAAAGAATAATAAAAACCGGAAACAAATGCACAGTTTGAGGGCCACGAGGAGAGTCAAAGTCAGGGAAAAAGGAGAAAGGGAGGGGTGTCAAAAAAGGGTATTGGACCGGGCCACAAGGGGGAGGTTGTGTGAAAGAAAGGAAGCTTCCTGGTGGTGGTTGGTGATGGTGTATACCAGGTATGATGAACCGGGTATAGTTTCGAGGCGAAGCCAGGCGGCAAATAGGGAATGAGCCGAAAGTATAAAGCCCCCAGGCTGAGAGAGGCAAAATGGGGAAACGAAACAACTGGCTACCCAGTCAATTTCAAGGGGGAAAACAGGGACGAAGAGATGAAAGGAAGAGTAAATAAGAAAAGGAATGCGGACCCAGGTCAGTCTAGGGAAATAAGAATGGGGCAGGAGATGGATGAATGATGAATGACTGGGGGAAGGAGGAGGAGAGACAAAGGAAGTCGATCTATAGAGAAGCGTGGGTATAGGTCGATGATGATTGACAGGTTGGACAGGAAAACGGGCGAAAAACTAGAAAAGCAAACAAAGGAAAAAAGGAAAAAAGAAAAAAAAAGAATCAAATCCAGAATTCAGATCCACCAAACAGAAAAGAAAAGGACAAGGACAAAGCAGCTCAGCCGGACCCTATTTTTGCGAGGGTTTCTTTGTTTGACGTGCAGCGATGGTCTGGCGTTGGCTGTTGGGTGGAGTCGTTCAGTCCGAAGTAGTCCAGTATCCCTGTCGGTTTAGTCCCTCGTTTCTTTGAGAGAGATGGGGGCTGAGATTAGGTAGGAGAACAAAGTACCAAATGGAAGATTGGGAGAGGGAATGAAGGACAGTTTATTTGGACAGTATGGATGATTCTATTACTACAACCTATGAGTGTAGAGTAGTATACAAGTGGTATACAGTGGTATACTACGGAGTATACCAGTCCAGGAACCAGGGGACCACAGGGTCACTCTGTGGCTGTCCAGTGTCCAGCGCATCATCCAAGGCAAACGAAGAAGAAGAATCATTGTTTTCTTTGTCTCTCTAGTTCACTGTGTGTCTCCAGTCTCTAGTTCTCTGTATCTCCGCATGCGGCGACAAGCAGAAGCCCCCTTTTTCTTTTTCCCGCCTTCTGGTTGGCCCAGACACACCCAGTCTCTTCCCTCGTCGGTTCCCCGGTAAATTCGAACAAAGAGAAAAAAAAAAATATTGCGACCCAAAAAGAAAAAGAAGAAGCATCGCATCGCATCGGAAAGGAGCTGAATTGCATCCCAACCAATAACATCATCTCTGCCACGAACAACATCTCTGCCACGAACAAACATTCAGTCCACTAATCCACACAAAAAAAGCAACCATCTTACGCTCGCGCCCCTAACCAGTAACTACTACTGTACGGAGTGAAGGGTAAAAGGGCTTGACCACAGACCACCACGCCATGGCCACGCAAAATAGACTCGGATACCCGCAGTACATACAGCGAGAACCTCATGGCCTAGACAATAGTTGAGTACAGAGTTGAGGTTAGGCAACAAGGGGGATTTGAATTGGATAATTCACTACCAAGAAACAGTGAAAGCCAAAAAGGCAACAGGCTATTTACAGTAGTAGTAACAACTAACAAGCTCCCTTTCCCATCACTCTGACTCCACTCTGTCAGGTCAAAATCGGAGATGATCTCATCTCCCGCCGATCGGCCTCCACCACGCCGTTGCAACGATCGGAGATGAACCACCAACAGGAGTTACATCGGCAATTGGAACAATACTGTACCACCCAGTCCAGCCAAAGAGAAAGCGTTGGTTTGTCAGAGTCCCTTTTTCTTTCTCTTCATTTCGTCATTGGAAAATGGCACATCCTGCAATGATCAATCCATGGGTTTGATGGTTGATGTGGTTCCTTTCGTACTACCTTATCTTATGTTCCGATCGGCTGGAACCTAACCTCATCCATTGGTCGCCGTTTTGGGAAATGGAAATTCGACATTCATACTCCGTAGACTATGGGCTAATTCACTGATTCAGAGATGAGGTCTTTTTGGAGTCTGAGATGGAGACGGAGACTGAGACAGGAGGTAAGAATCAAGAATCAGAGACAGGAGAGAGGAAACACGAAGGGTGACTTTTCCCCGGTTTCTCTCTCTGGCCCGGTCGATGAGGGTCTCGTCTTGCTCAATTCTGTTCTGGTACCATCCATCTTGCTGGCTAGAAGCCCTAAAGGCCATGGACATGGGCAGGGACATGACAGCCCGTTTGGTGTCGACGCGGGTAGCAGCCCCCTTCTTCTTCTCCCATCCCTTTCTACGGAGCCCGCTGCAAGACGGGCCGTGGAACATGGAAACAGCATGGGCTGGATGGATGGTTTGTGGTTTGTGATCTGGTCTTTTTTGGTCTTTGATTCATGACAATGTCTAAGCTGCAAAGCCCCGTCGGTTGTGGCGCTTGGATGCTGCGTCGGTGTTGGGCGCAACTTCGTCCGAGTTGGTGGTGCTGGTGGATCCAGATCCAGATCCAATTCCAGATCCGGACCCGGTGCTGTCTGAGTCCTTGGGATTCAATAGAACTCCATCAATCCCATGGTAAATCTCTGTCGCCATGAGACGGTGCGCACTAGGTCCCAGATGCATATCGTTCCTGGTGAATAATCTCGGTCAGTAAAAAGTGGCATTTAACCCTGTCGATCACGAGAAAAAGAACAGGGAATGGAATGGAATGAAACCCACCAGAACAGATACTTATCAGGATGTTCACACGGTTTCTTCGTCTTCGCCTTAGACTTATCCTTTGACATCATGACTTGAATGCCGTCACTCTCAACACAAGCATTCCCAACATTCTCCCAACCCGGATCCTGGTTCGTTCCCAATCCATTCTCTTCCTCGATACCCGCAGCATACAACTGCCAATCCCGAATCCGATCCATCACAAAGGCATTCGTATCGAAGAGGTAGATCGTCCCACGATCCCACTCCTTCGCTGCCTGTCGTAGCTTCTTATTCCACGCATCCAGAATCCGCACCGCATCCTTATACTCATCACCGCCCGTAGTCGTAAACCCAGGTAAAAAGGTCACATCAACCGTCTGCGTCAGGATAACCTTGAGCTTATCAGTACCCGAGCCCCAACGTTCAGATAAATGGTTCAACTGCGTCATGAGCGTCGCAATACGCCGGTCAATCGAGCCCTCCGCCGTAGAATAGTCCTTCTCGATAAGACTCCATATGTCCCAGACACCAAAGGAGACAGCGAAGATGGTCCGATCCTGGCGGGACCGAATCTGTTCCTCGGAAAGACCCATCAACGAGGCCGACTCCGCGTCCAGCCATTGCTTAAGCTGGGTCTTGAAATCAGCCAATTTGGTCCGAGACAGGCGACCAAACAAATCTAGTTCGGCATTATCCACCACTGAGCCGGTATATTTCCCCCGAACAGCGGAGTGTGCCGTTTGAGCAAGATTCTCTTGATGACACGAGAACTAAAATGTAGAAGAAGCATGTGTCAGTTTAGTTTCTCTAGTTTCAATTTCAATTTTCCCCAGACCAGACTGGCCAGCTCCAAAACCGAAAACCCGGGAAACATTCTTACCATCCCACAAAGCCAATCCGTCCAAACTCTCCCCTGTTCCTCCTCAGTCTCATTATCACTCCACGAATCCCCAAACACCACCAATCGCTGATCAAACGAAGATGCCGTCCGAAACTGCTCCGAAGCCAGGGGCACAATGTCGCCGAGACTGCGCGAGGTCAAGAACCAAGCTGAGTACAGGATTGTGCACGCCGCTACCGCGCATAGCGCGTAGAAGCGGTTAAATAGGCGTATCATAGTGTGGCGGGTATATATGTGTTATCGCGGCGGCGGAGGCGGAGGAGGATGGAATGCGGGATCCCCAAGGAAGGGTGGGAGGGGGGTATTGCGGCAGATGTAGACCCGATCGTGGACCGCTGGGTTTAGCGCATTCAGTCGCGTAGCGATCGGGGGTTTGTAGGAATTGTATCGAGTCGAGATGGCGTTGTAGCTCGGTAGGCTGATGGATTTGCGACAGGCAGCAGTTCCAGCTGCGACTGCTTGGCGAACACTCGATTCGAAAGGGAATAGAAGGAATTGTGTCCGTCACGATATCGTACAGGTAATAGCGACCAGGTATATATCCCTATTAATCCCGGAGATCGAAGACAGTAGTAGGAGAGACCAGTGCAGGTCCAAGGACTGCAGCGAAATGTCCGGGAAAGCCGGATTAAATCCCAGCGGGGACCGTTGGCCAAGAAAGGGTGATAAATCAAGAATCCAGAATCCAGTCTTTCTCAAAGCGGCAATAATTATGGAATTGGGGGCAAATAATCGAAAAAGAGGGTCAGGTCAAGCCATTAAAAAAGTGGGCGAACCACTCCGTGAAAATGGAAGAACTCCGTCAAGTAAAAAAAAAGTCTAAAAGTTGGTGCCGAAGATCAGATTATGACCGCTTGACTTTCGAGGTGGAGGAGTTGATGATCAGGGAAAATTGGAACGTAGAAGTATGTAAATGCCGGGCATTGGAGACTTATAAGAGCAGCTGCATAACTGAGTGTGATAATATAACATGATTAAACTAGACCAACTAATAATACTACTACTTTACAATCTTTCAATTTCTGCTCCAACCAAGCCTTCGGCCGCGTGGCCGGCGGGGCACGCTTAACGAGGAAAGGCATCGCGTGCCCGGATGGGCTTTTACACCACAGGAATGATGAGGATTGAGGAGAAAGGAGCACAGAAGAGGTTATTAATTGGAATAGTTCAAGTGAAATAATTGCTGTCTTTCTGAAAAGTTGTATAGTTGATGTTGACTATATGCCCCCGGTCGCATGACAGCAGAACCACTTTTCCCCGTTCCCAGTTTCAATTTCCGCCGCATACGAGGGTGGAGCCGCCGAGGATCCCGAGAGGAAGAAGAGAGGGGAAGAAGAGGAGGGTTGATTGATTCTAGTACTAGTACTAACTACTATAGCTAGTATGTATTATACGGATATATAGTACAAATTAACCCACTTGTCAAACTGTACAGATAAATCCCTCTCCGACGACTGACCACAAATATCTCACACCCAAGTACGGAGTAGATCTTGCCGTACAATACCATATACACCAATGGTATCATTTAGACTTGAAATCCCGTGGCTAAGCATGACGACGCCAGCGCCACCAAGCCAGGGGGGAAGAAGCTTAGAAAGGCCACTGCTGACACCGCACAGAGTAGTACTACGGTATGGCGCTGTCTCTGTTGATGACGGCGCGATCAGGGCGCTTATTTCCTCACCTAAACAGGTAACCTGTACGGTGTACGAGCGACGGGATGGCGGTGCCAAGACGGTTTCTGCTGCACTTAAGTGGAGGGTGTCTCGTAGGGCAGGCCTGGCACTTGGCATGCCCGGTTTTCTGCTTCCTTCAGGGGATTATTTGAGAGGGGAACGAGTTGTACTTAGTGATAGCCAGGGTTTCCATGGGGTAAGGGCAGTAAGGGGTCACGAGTGTAGACTACTGATTAGCTCCGGAAGGTCTGAGGCCGAGTTAGATCTATAAGGGTTAGTGAGGGGGAACTACGGAGTACATACTACGTACAAGTTACCATGGGTGAATTATTAGCTCGAGGACTTGAGAAGGTGTATATACTTATCTTCTGGATAGAAACTACGGATGATTGTTACTGAATATCGAGGAATAATACACCATTTCATATGTTCTGACTTTGGTCTGCAGAATGAACGGGTCACAAGTAGTTGAAGATAACCTTCAACATTTATGACAAAGCCAAGGTCTTGTTCCGGTCACGCGATCTCCAAAATCAATACAGGTTTTTCTATTTTATGTTCGGACTGTTCTCAGGTAAATCTATTACAAGAGCTGCTTGTCGTAGTTGTTTAGTGTCCACAGAGGATGCCTTCTTGTAGTAACAGATTTCTAGCCTGAGGCAGTCAATGTTCCCGTGATGTTCCCGTGATGTTAATGTCAGGTGACTTGAATGCCACCCCAGTCACATGATGGGGTTAGCGACGCTGACTAACCTACCTTCCCAACTCGGCTAGCGCTCGCTGAGTCAGCCACACACACACTCGCTACACCAACCCTCAGCAATCCGAAAAATCCACAAAGCCGAACCCTTCAACCTCACCTGTCGACAACTCCCGCGCTACCGTCTTGACCGCGCAACCTCCGTCAAGATGAAGCTCAACATCTCCTACCCGGCCAATGGGTCGCAAAAGATTATCGAGATCGACGATGAGCGCAAGCTCCGTCCCTTCATGGAGAAGCGCATGGGCACCGAAGTCAGCATCCCCATCTCCCCCGAATTCAAGCATACACACATTTTCCACACATCCGAAATTCTCGACGCCTCCCACACATATCCACACACACATCTACAAGATCAACACGATATATACAATTGCGAAGAACGAATGGGCTGATTGGGTTTTTTTTCTTTCGATTAGGTTGTCGGCGACTCCCTCGGCGATGAGTTCAAGGGTTACCTGTTCAAGATCACCGGTGGTAACGACAAGCAGGGTACGACTCTCCCCTTTCTCCCAGATGCATGATGCAACCGCGGATCAGATTTGAAGGGACGTTTTGACTGACTGGGTTTGATATACAGGTTTCCCCATGAAGCAGGGTGGTACGTTTTAAACCGACCGGTTGTCTGGCCTCAGCACGAAAACGCCAGAGAACCCTCTTGACACAACGAACGCATTATACTCATCCATTTTCTAGTCCTCCTCCCCATCCGTACCCGTCTGCTCCTCGCCGACGGCCACAGCTGCTACCGCCCTCGCCGCACTGGTGAGCGTAAGCGCAAGTCCATCCGTGGTGGTATGTGTGCCCTCGTTCCAAAAACCCGCAACCAAACGAACTCCCAGCATTGACACTCTTTCTCTCTTCCTCCAGCCATCACCGGTCTGGACCTCTCCGTCCTCGCTCTGTCCATCGTCAAGCAGGGTGAGAACGACCTCCCCGGTCTGACCGACACCGTCGTCCCCAAGCGCCTCGGCCCCAAGCGTGCTACCAAGATCCGCCGCTTCTTCGCCCTGACCAAGGACGATGATGTCCGCAAGTTCGTTGTCCGCCGCACTGTTGCCAAGGAGGGCAAGCCCGAGTACACCAAGGCCCCTAAGATCCAGCGTCTGGTTACTCCCCAGCGCCTGCAGCGCAAGCGCCACCAGGTCGCCATCAAGCGCCGCCGTGCTGAGGCTGCCCGTGAGGCCGCGTAAGTTTACATCAGTCAAGCAAGACTCGTTCCGCATCTAACACATCTTCTACAGTAACGACTACGCCAAGCTCCTGGCCAACCGTGTCCACGAGGAGAAGGCCAAGCGTGATGAGCTCCGCAAGCGTCGCGCCTCTTCCATGCGGAAGTAAATCTCTCCCCTGCAGTGTTATGATTCATTTCTGCGGGACGGGGTTTAATGGATAGGGCGATGAGCGAGCGAGCGAAAGAGTGAGCTTCACGTTTTCTGGGCAATGGTTATTTTCGGGATTTCTCCTTCCTCAACCGGGAAGGAGGGCATATATCATTCCCAGCAGACGGCGGAAATATGTCTGATAAAAACGGAAAAAAGGGGGGCGGGGGCAAGGCTCAAAAAAAAACTTCACTTTGAACCAGGAAGGGGGGATTGGTGGACCACCCCTTTTTCAACCCCGGGTGTTCTGGTGATTCGGACACTTGGGTGATGCATTCTGTGTTGAACCTACCTTTTGACAAACCCCTTTTTTCAATGGAGTGCATGCAAATTTCATTGTTTCTTACCTGTTTATCCGACTGGCGTAGTTTGTAAAGACTGATCGGAAAGGTCAAATGGCTGGCGTTACAAATAGACAGCGATGATATTCATCAGATCAGAGTACTTGCGAGTAGAATAGTCCTTTAAACCGACTATGCATTACGCACAGGCCGCATATCGCATACTTTATATATCTTAATCTTATGCTCCAGGCCTGACTTGATCAATCGCAGAACCCGATTGTGGGGTGGGAGAATCTGATCAGCCCTATCTCACGTGCCCGTCACAAACTACTCTCTCCAAAATTCAAGAATATCTTTTCTTCTTCTCCTACCTTCTTTCAACCCTCCTTGTAAATAACTATCCAAAATTCAACGCAAATCAAAAAAGAATCTTAACTAAATTCTATACCGAAACTGCAACCCCGAGCCCATTTTAAAGCGACCGCCACCATCTCCGCTCCACTTCGGCCGCGATCTTATATATCCGTCTCAAATGGTCTCACAAAAGACATTCTGATTCGAGGGCGAAACTAGTCAGTTCCCAAGGTTGTTGATCTTCGATAGATAATTCTGACACCGACTTATCTCCCATTATGAATCAAGGCTACGACGATCATGTACAGCATAAATATACCTAGAGTTGTGTCTGGAGGTAGGTGCAAATGGATATGTTTTCGACGTATCCACTACTTTAATATCCATATCCACCCACAGGAGAAAGAAGGTATACATAATTACTGGTTGGCCTTCAAATTTCCTGTTAAATTTGTAGCCGTGTAAGGGGGACTCGCTTTCCTGCGATTGGGGTAGGAGGTGTAGGACATGCCTGCTCAAGTACATATTCTTCCAGGCCCAGCGTGAATCTAGACCAGACCGATGCCTGGAACACGCGGGATATTTGGAACATCTATTTGCGATGTCCAGGAAATGTCTCGGAATGAAGGTCAATATTGACCAAGACCATGTCTCAATAAGGATACAAACACGATTCCAATATCGAACGATTGCGCGAAACACCTCTACCGAGTGCATGGAAAGCGTCCAAGCGGATCATATCTCAAGATATGTTCGGGCAATGGTATGTATGCAAGTACCAGCACAAGACAATAAGAAACCTTCCAAGACCAAAAAAATAAAATAAAACAATCAATGCAAGCAGCCCAGCAGTAAGAGACATAATGAAGAGACATAGTTTCAGTAGTTTCACAAATTCTATTTTTCTATCACACCAACATCCATATGGCAGCCATCCATCAACCACATAATAATACACCAATCATAATCGAAAAAAAGGAGGAGGTAACTCAATGGCCATCGAGGCTTGTGATAATCTAAATGAACAGGAGAAACACGACACCAACCACAACAGCAGCGCGGGAATTCAATGAAAAACAGGAACGAATCCAGAAAATGCAGAATGCAAATTAGCCTTGAGGCAAAGACAAGGCATCGAAAGATCCAAGATCCAAGTGCCAAGTCACAATCCGCCGTAGCCACAGCAGGCAGACTTGCTTTTCGAGAGGCACCGGGAGCCTGGAATAATGAAAGTAGAAAAAGAAATCAACTCCCAAAAAACATCCTCATTCGGCATTGTAAATAAGGAGAGAGAAAAAAATGGTCATAACAATCGTATTTTGTTTTCTCCCGCGCACACCCTTCGCTTTGTTCGCATTGAACCAAAGATACACATACACGCATGAAAAAAGACCCTCAGTCACGGGTCAAGGGGGCGGGGGTATTGGTAGAGGGCAAGTCGTAGGGGAAGGTGGGTAGTAGAGGAAAGGGAATTTACGCGACGGCGTGCGAGAAGAGGAAGCTCACAGACTCGCCGTTGTGTGTGCGACGGCAGGCCTCGGCCAGCGTGGGCGAGATATCAATAGTCTCGATCTTGTCGCACAGCTCCTTCTTCTCGGCGTGGGGGACGGTGTTGGTAACCACCAGACGGTTCAGACGGCTGCCGTTCAGGTTCTCAATGGCCTTACCAGAGAGAATACCGTGGACAACAATAGCGTTGACCTCCTTGGCGCCGTGCTGCATAACAGTGTCGGCAGCCTTGACGAGAGTACCGCAGGTATCGGCCATATCGTCAACAATGATAGCGATCTTGTCCTTCACGTTACCGACGAGGACCATGCGAGAGACCTCGTTGGGGCGCGCACGCTCCTTGTGGATGAGAGCGAATTGCAGATCGAGACGATCGGCGATGGCAGTCGCACTAGCAGGGAATGAAATGTTAGATCGAGCACATCCTATAGATTGGAAAATTCAATGAGATATGCTTACCGCTTGGCACCACCGGCATCCGGGCTGACAATCACGCAGTTGCTCACGTCGAGGTTCTCGCGAATCCACTTCAACATGCTAGGCTCAGCATATAGGTTGTCCACGGGGACATTGAAGAAGCCCTGGATCTGGCTGGCATGCAGATCCATGGTGATAACGTGGTTGCAGCCAGCAGTCTGGAGCATGTTGGCCATAAGTTTAGCAGTGATGGGCGCACGGCTCTTATCCTTCTTGTCCTGGCGGGCGTAAGGGAAGTTGGGGATGACGGCAGTAATGCGTCGGGCCGAAGCGGTCTTGCATGCGTTGATCATGATGAGAAGCTCCATAAGACCGTCGTTGATGTCATTCGGCCGTGTTGATTGCAGGATGAAGACTGAAGAAGGCAAAGAGAACCATCAGCACCAGCTCCATCACCTAAGATCCTTTGGAGTCGTGTGTGCTTTTCCACGGCTGGATCCGAGGGGAGTCAGAGAGTTAGCGTACCATCTTCGTCTCGGACACTTTCACCGATCGTGACGCTGGTCTCCTGGTTGGAGTACTGAAGGACCATGATCTTGGTCATCTCAATGCCGAGGCTGTATCAATCTCAGTTAGCCTCCAAGTCGCACGATTGACTTCCCGAGCGAGAGAAGAGCGGCGGGCCCCGGCGATCGGGCAAATGCATCTAGAAGAGGTAGAGGGCTCTCTCACCGGTCAGCCACGAGCTGGGACAGCTCAGGGTGACTGTTGCCAGTCAGCAGCTTAATCGAGTTGGACGAAGACATGATGTGCTTGTGTGAAACGAGAGGGAGTTCTCGCAAGGACTAAACGGTTGTGAAGCTGGACCTTTTTTTTAAAAATCGATCCCGCACCTGCCACTTTCGGGCCCCGCATTTTTTTCGCGTCCCGTGACTGTTCACCGCCTTCGGCGTAATCACTGGACTTTGGGCCCGAATGCGGTATCGAGAGATTTACAAGTATAGAACAGTATCTATGGGTATAGGAACCATGCGAACAATTTAACAAACAGAAACAACTAATGTGGATATTCCCGTAAGAGCATACAGCAATCTAAGTACGTACAAAAAAAGAAAGAAAAAAAAGACCCCAAGCAACCAGTTGACCTGCACTTCAACCAGACGCTCAAAGCCACAGTTTTCATGAACCTTCGTCTCTTCCATTCCACTTCGCTTTCCTCCACTAACAATCCCAGAGAAAACGCCATTCAATGCTTTCGCATAAATTAAGCATGTAGAGATAGCCCCGTCTATGCGAAACCGAAGTACTCGCTACCAGCTGTCACCGCGGTGTAGAGGCGCTGGCGGAGATCTTCATAGCTTTCATATTCTGGAAGATCAAGCTCTGTGAACAACATTAGTATCGTAATCGATGATTCAAAGGGAAGGGGTAAAAAACTTACGGTTGAAGCATGTGTGCGCGCTAGGCAGGCGATCCTTGTTGCCATAGTCGCGATGGATGTTGAACTTGCTCACACCATTCATACCCTCAAGCTCCTTGAAACCGTTAAGAGGGACCTTGGAGGTACCGGTGACGAACTGAAGCAGCTTGGCACGCTCTTCCTTATCAAAGGAGCGAACAGCACGCCAGAACCACTGGATTTGCGAGGACGAGGCGGAGTAATTGTGGTACTCGGTGTTGTTCTTCCACTCGTCCACATCAATGTCGGGCAGACCGGAGATCAGAAGCTCCAGTTCCTGCTCGTTGAAGATGGAAATCAAGTCTGGAGGGATAATCTCGTGGAAGCCCTTCAAGAAATTGTCAAGCTGCTCCCGCACAGACTCTACCAGGCGGTACTCGACCACGCGCTGGATGTACTCCTCCTTGTTCTCCTGGGTGACTGGAATGTTGCGACCATCGGGGATCAGGTCGATTACCTGCTTCTCGCCAAAGGCATCAGTCTCGATGGCAAAGTTCTCGGTGATGATGTCGGTAATGTCATTCTCCAGCATCCAAAGCAGGGACTTGTAGTAGTCCAGATCCAGCGTCTCCATGTCCTTGATAGACACGGTGCGTCCGAGAATGCACTTGTAGACAGCACGGGAGAAGTGGCAGTCCAGAACGCGACCCTCGTACAAGGCCTTGCCGATGATCCGTCCAATGAATTTGAAGAACATCAAATGCTCGGAATTGACACCACTGAGACGGTTGGGGTGGAATGTAGTCCGGTCGGCGGCAACGGGGATGAAGAGTGCATAATTGGGGTTGAACATGCCACGAGCGAGGACCTGGAACCATTCACGGGTCACACCGCCGGCGTCCACACCTTCTTCTCCATGGAATCGCACGTTCAGCTTGCCATACTTGAGCTCATCTGCACTCTTGAAGTACAGAGACTTGAACGAGTCAAGGAAGACCTGGTCTCGGCGAACAGAAAGCTGAAGAGGAGCATGGGCGTGGCGAGGCTCCGCACCACGAGAGTGCACACGACGAGTGAAGTAGTTGCGCTTGTTGTCAAACTCAAGAACCTTGGGGTTCTTCACAAGCAGAGAGAAAGTGCCACTCATCAGCCTAGGGTTCTGGCCGACAAGCTCATTGAGTATTTTGCGGTGCTCTTCGGTAAACTTGAAGAAGAGATTCTCCATGCTCAGACCAGCATCGGCCGAAGAACTATTGACAGATAGCTCGCGACTACCACGAGAAAGAGGCTGATCCTTGAGGGTGGTGTTCTTGCAGACAACCATCAATGCTTCGATCAACGGCAGGAGGATGGTAGCCACGTTCAGCATGTTCTCCTTTTGTCGAATGACAGTCAAGCAATCGCTCAACTTGGTCCACAGGGGGCCGAAAGTAGCACTCTCATAGAGTCTCTTGAGCACATCCTCCTTGGGCGCAGCCTCAGGTTCTGGGACCTTGGACTTGTCAATGCGGGAAGGATCGAAGAGATAGTCGAGGGCCGTGAGGATACGGAGCAATTTGGCCTGATCGGAGCTGGCTGGGGAGAACTTCGCCAGAGCCAGACCTTGCATATCGGTACCAGTCTTGGCCTGGTGAATATGGGGAAGAAGTTCTCCAAGATCAGCCAGGATGGTGTCGCTAAGAGTCTGCGCTTGAGCAACGAGCTCTTCACCAATGACATCCCGAGCTCCAGGGATAACCGACAGGTTGTTGATGGTGGACAAAGTGTCACGGAAAGTCTTTCCATTGCATTCACGAGCTGCAAGGATGTGGACAACCAATCGGAAATTGTGGTCAGGAACGACAGGAGGCTCAATGGATCGGCGCTTGCGCTTCTCTTCAGCCGGTTGCTCATCGCCAGGCTTCTTGTCACCCTTAGGCTCCTCACTCTCAGCAGTGGTACCTTGATCCTCAGCATTCTCAACGGTGGGCAGAGGAGCGTCGGTCATAGTAGTATCGGCACTAGGCTCGGTAGCTTCGGCAGGTGGCTGTTCAACCGCCGCCTCAGCTGGGGCACCCTCGGGTTTCTTGCCCTTGTCTTGCTCATCTTGCTTCTCCTTCTCCCGGCGGAGGAGGACAGTAAGCGGCTGGGTGATGGTGCTCAGCAGATTAGACAGCTGCTCCATACAGTTCGGGCTATCCATGATCAACTTGCGATCCAGGAGAGAAAGCAACGCGTTGAGCGCGAACTTGTTGGCACGGTTCTCCTTGCCCTTACCCTTGCGCAAGGCCTTCAGCTTGAGAGCTGAAGCCGAATCATGCTCGGTCAGGAAGAACCAAGGGATATGAGGATTGAACTGAGAGAGGAAGGAAAGCGTAGCCAAGCATTGCTGTACCACCATGATCGGAGTAACCTCGCTGCTGATACTTGAGGATGTCTGCAGGGAGATATTGCGCTTAGTAGACTGGGGAGTCTTCTGAGCACCAGGAGCCTTTGCGCGGAGAGACAAGTGCGAGAAACTTCGCTCGATAGCGGAAGAATCAACGCTGCCATCTTGCAAAACGGACAGAATCAGGCTGATAACCTCGCTTCTGTTCTGGCGGTTCTCACAAACGTTGTGCAGAATGTCGTTGAGCAAATGACGTGCGTTACCCTGGAGAGGCATGAACATCAGGCGAAGCAGAGTTGCAACACCAGCCTTGTCCAGCATTTGAACAACCGGTCGTCTCTGGTTCTTCTTAGCCTCCAGATCGCCAGCAGCCTCGCCGCCTCGAGGGCGATGCTCCATTCCAGCTGCGGTAATGTCACCAAATTGGGCAATTCGGCGGCCACCCAATGCCCGAGCTTCAGACAGGTACTCGGGACCCAAGGTTGCAAGTACATCCTCGGGCTGGTCTGCCAGAACAGCTTGGCGCAAAGAAGGGTCGAGGGTGGCGAGGAAACTAGCAGCATCCATTTCCTCGGCGCGAGGCGGGGCACCACCAGTATTAGCTTGACGGCGTGCAGTTTCACGTTCCCGTCGGCGCCGATCAGCCGCTTCTTGTTGCAGCAATTCGTCGCGGATCTCTGCGGGCAAGGCTTCCAGGAATTCCTGGTTGATCTCAGTGGGCTCCTCGCCGGCGGCAGCAGCCTGAGATCGCTGCTCGGCAAGTTGTTGCATGATCACCTCTTCCCGGAGCTCCTCTGGCAACGCCTCCAGGTACTCTGGGTCGATCTCCAGACCAGTGATATCAAGCTGGCGACCGCGAATGGTAGTGTGAACACGTTGGACTGGCTCGGCAGGGGCAGCTTCAGGCTGGGCAGCGCTGGCAGCTTCAGCTGCGGTATCGGTTTGCTGAATGTCTTCCATGGGCTCAGCGATTCCAGCAGCTTGGCGCTCAGCTTCCTGCTGTTCTCTCTCAGCCTGGCGGCGCGCATTCTCCTCTTCTTCCTTGCGCTTGCGCTCGCGCTCTTCTTCTTCACGAGCGGCCTGCTCCTTGCGTTCCTTCTCAGCCCGCTCCTGTTCGGCACGCTTCCTCTCTTCTTCGAGCTGCTTCTTGCGCAGCTTCTCCTCTTCGATGGCGGGAGGGACCATGACCTTCAGCAATGAGTTGATGACACGCATGCTCTTCTCTGAATAGGTGCCGCTGAAGAGAATACGAGCTTCTTCCTGCCAACGATTCCTAGTCGTCGACAAGTTGAATTTGACTGCATTGTGGGGATCATTGCGGCGCGATTGCGACGTCTGTTGCTGAGCGCTGGCGAACAAGTCGCTAAGACGGTTAGGCAGGATTGATCGCCGGTCAACGTGGACGTGGATACCATCTGCACGAGAAACAACTCCCATTCCGGGGGCTGTGGGCCTCCACCGATGGCGGCCATGATAGCATTCATGAAGCCCATAGGACTGTCCAATTGAACGAAACGGTTGCCGCCGCCTTCCATTTGAGCCCAGTCCGCAAACATATCCGCACCGGGCGCCCGCAGATGAGCAGCAGCATCGGCAGCACGGTCGTCTCGGACAAGGAGAGGGTTGGTGCCATCGTCGTTACCGCGAGAAGGCACCTGGTTTCTGTGAACCCGGTGGAAGGGCTGAATCGGAACGAGACCACCATGGCGACCAGGCATGATTTCAGTGACAGCAGCCCAGGCGGAGGGTGGACCACCGCGCATACGGTGATGATGGTGTCGAGGTGGCGGGGCCTCATCGCCCTCCCAGCCCCAAGGCTCCAAAAGGTCGTCATCTAGTAAATCAGTATCAGTTAGCTCGAGATTATACAGTGAGCACAAGTCAGAGAATAGTGTTTGGCTTACCTTCCATGTCGCCTTCAGACCCATGATCCATGTCGTATTCATCGTAATCGTCAGCTTCTTCCTCAAGCTCGTCCATCTCGTCCTCTTCTACGTTTCGTGGATTAGCAAAGAGGGGGTGTAGGAAGGAACAGGATAATGACGCACCACCTTCCTCGTTCAGATCATCAAGGATTTCATCGTGGATATCACCGCCCAGACCATGGTCGTGAAGATCATCGTCACCAGTAGCCTGGTTGAGAGCACGGAATAGCTCGTCAATGCGATTGTGTGCATCGCCGGACCGGTTGGCTTGACGCATGTCAGCCAGCTCATCTTCGAACTGGTTCATCATCTCGGCCTCTTCTTCATCTTCGGTGATCTCGTCGCTTTCCCACTCATCATCTTCGCCGTCGTCAAGGCTCTCATTGTCGCGATCGCCTGTAATTTCTCCAGCGTAGATGTCATCATCTTCCTCCATTTCCGAGTGGTCATCAAGGTCGTCGTCGTCATCCTCGTCGTCGTCGTCATCGTCTTCATCGTCCTCATCATCGATGATGACTTCGACTGCATCGCCGGGGAGACCTTCGATGGGGCCCATATCTTCTTCATCGCTGACGACTTCACCGTCATCCTCAGGGACATCCTCATCGTAGTCCATCTCATCGTCATATTCATCATCGTACATTTCATCGTCTTCGCCCTCGGATTCCTCGGAGCTGGTTTCCTCCTCGTGGCGGGGCTCCAGCATGCCAAGGGTGGAATGGCGGAAAAGATCAGGAGTTTCCTCCCGCTCGTCTTCCATATCCGAGACGGAGGTGGCGGACGAGATTTCATCATCCTCGGTTTCACCAGAGCTGGCAGTAGAAATCTCCCCGTTGTCACTAAGCATCACAGCCGTTTGCGTGAGCTTGTTGATTGGGCGCAGGATATACTTAATAACCCGCTTAGAAGAAGGGAAGTTCAAGTCAATCTCGGCAACCGAGGCGGTCAACGCAGGAATGAAATGTTTCTCAAACATGGCTTTGGCGATTTGTCTTGCCGAGTTGGGGAACCCAGCATCCTGTGAGAAAGAATACCCACTGAGCATCTTATCAAACAGGTCGGCCAAGGACATGAGCTTGGAATATTTGACGTCCAGGGGATCCGTTGAGGCATTAGCTTCCTTGAAGGACCGCAGAGCATGCTCCAAGACAAAGCGGCGGACGAAGGCAACTTCGGGTTCATCTTCCTCCGTTGGTTTCGGTTCGTTGCGGCGTCTTCCAGGCAGTTCGTAGGTTTTGGTGCAAAGTGCCACGAGTGCCTGCATGGTCCAGGAGGAGGTGATGTTGCGCTTCTTGAAAGCCAACGATTCATCATGTTCCATGGTACCAAGGGGAACCAGCGCGTTCAACATGTAATTGAGAATGCCAGATCGAGGCTTGGAAGGAGTGCTAGCGAGAGGATCGGCTTTGCGAGAGAAGTTGATAAACTCGACCTTGGCGCGAGTGTAGGAGCCAAGAAGCTCAGTCAGGCATTGAAGGAGGAAGCATCGGTAGATGTAGATCGGGTGATCCTTGGCGTCGAATGACGGCTTCTCACCCTTCTTGGGGGCACGACTAGTCTGAGCATCAGCACTGCTGGTCACCGACGGAGTGGGCTCATCCACGGCCATCTCGACATCGGTTGGGAGCTCGGACTGGTCCTGAGCGGGTTGTTCAGTGGATTCAGCCGTTGGAGTTTCCTTGTCATCCACATCCTTGTAAGACAGGAGCTCAGAGAGCAGGTAGTGAATAACACCATCTGGGTTCTCCACAACAGGAGGCTTCATTTCGGCAGCCTTGTCCTTCTCCTTCTCCTTGTCCTCTGCAGTCGAAGATGCTTCGGCCGCGGATGGCTCTTGAATCTTGTCCTCCTTGTCTTGACGCTGGCGAGCGTTACGGTCTTCCTTCAATGCGAGAGCTTGCGTGCGATGGCCAGCGTCATACCTGACCAAGCGCAACTTCTCGTTGGAGACCTCCACAAAGATTTCGGGATTCCTGAGAACAAGATGATACATTTGTCGCACATAGCCGGCTGCGTCGATCTGGCGAGAAGGCTTGCTCTCGAAATTGCCCACGATCTCCGCGGTCATGATCTGTCGAATCGTAGCTTCGTCTTCGACGATGTGTCGCAAGATCAACATGAAGGCACTTTGAAGCTTCTCGTTGGATGCATTGGACAATTGCTTGACCATGAGGAAGAGACGTTGCAAGTTCCGCTTGGGCGCGAAACGGACGGCGATGCTTCGCTGGCGGGTAAGAATGACCAGCATTCGGCAAATGGAGAGCGCGAGACCATCATCCTTGCCAATTCGAGGCAAAATCTCCACCAAAGCCTCAAACAACTCCGTTTTCTGGTCGAGAGACACAAGGGGCTCAGCAAGGTGAGCGGGGCCGTAATTACCACCTTGAGGATCCTCAAGGCTAGGCGGAGACCAAGTGATTTGCGGTGGTTGACAATCATCAGACAACAACTTCTCGAGGATGAGCAAAACAGGGCCGATCCAAGGGAAGGTTTCACCCGCAGACTTCTCGGGGGTGGGGAGCTTGATGAAGCTCAGGAACGTCGAGAAGCAATCCTTCAGCTCTTCCAGAGTCGCAGTGTACATTTTCGAATCTTGGAGTACCAAAGCAAGAATGTGCGCATAGGCAGCGACCTTCTTGCCAGCGGTCTGGAAGTTCTCCATCTGCAAGGAAACGAGTGACTGAACAAGAGTTTCACCGATATCACGTCGGAAGCTTTCAGGCTCAGGGTGATTCTTGATCGCAGAGCTAATCAAATCGGCGAGCTCGAACGACACGTCATGGTGCTCGTTCAGAACATCCAAGGATCGCTCAATGAGATTAGCTCGAACCTTTTCTCTCTCCGCGTTCAGGTCCTCGATAGTAACCAGCTGGCGTCGTTCGACTGGCTCTTCCCTCTGGTCCTCCCTCTGGGGTTGACTGGCGCTCGAGGACTGCTGGTCGGCAGACTCAGCGTTTGCCTGGGCTCGACGGCGCTGGCGCTGGCGCTCACGTTCGGTGAGGAAAAGAGGCCCGTCTTCACCACGAAGCATACCCGCTTCGTCGTTCAGAACATTGGAGATTGCACGGGCCAGGCCATCGCGCATGGCACTAGAGTCGTCGTCATCGTTCATAGAATCGGACACAGGACGTCCTGCCTGAGCCAAGAGCATGGCAAGGCCGCCCTGGTCCAACATTCCCCGGTCGAGAGGCGTGACGTCCCCGAGACCACCGTCTTCAGGACCATCGGCACCAGAGGCAGCCTCGGGAGGTCCAGTCTGAACATCACCATGGCCAGGAGGAACTCTGGGAGGAGATCGGAGGAAGGTTCGAGCATTGCAGTATTCCTCTGCATAATTGGCATTGTTGTTGCAGCGGTACAACGCCTCGTGGTTCAGCTCAGCGTCTTCGAAACCCTTTCCGGTCAGAGTTGCCAGTCTGTCCTTGTTGATCATGAAGGGCTTCTTGACAGCCTCCGTGACAGCAGGAGCGACATCCGACTTGTGTGCGGCGCCTTGCTCATGCTCTCCGTCCAGCGATGATCGAAGAATGTCAACCAAGCACTTGACAATCTTGCTTGAAGACTGAGTCGCAAACTCCGAGTTCCACATGTCCTGGGCTATGGGAAGGATTTCCATGCGAAGGTCGACGATGAACTGGCCGGCCTGGAAGTATTCATGGCGATCACGATCACGATCATGGTGACTTGCGAGGGCTTGTGTCTGGTTGGACTCCATGATATTCTTGCCAGAGGCGAGTTCAGAGAACAGCGCAAGGATAATCTTGATACCACCGTAGGCGGAAGTGAGTCGATCAGCCAATTCTTTGTTGGACTTCTCGGGATCATTTTGGACTGGCTCGAGAGCCTTGACTTCTCGCATGAAGACATCGCAAATTTCCTTCAATACCTTTAATCCATTGTTTCGCTTGAATGCAAGGAGAACGAGGGTGAGGTAGTTATTTGAGGGACGTTCGGGAGTGACCTCGTAGAGCAGATGCGAGAACGAGGAAAGAATGACAATAAGGTAGGCGAAACGATGCTTTGAGCTGTCACACGAATTGGCGGGGCCAAATTGAAGCTGGCGCAACACGGCATCAGCAATAGCATCAGCCACCATGTTCGAGTTCTGCCTCGCGGTATGGCTGTTCTCCATACGCTTTCGGGTGATAAGACCCAGGCCCAGATTGTGGAAGAAGCCGGTAATTGAGCTAGGCAGGGAGCTCAAAAGATAACGGAGGGTTTGAACATTCTTGAAAGCAGCGCTCCGCTCGGTCGCCGCCTTGCTCTCCTCACTTTCGGGCTCTTCTGCGGCGGGGGCCTGGCTAGCCTCAGTTGCACCTGAGCCTTCCGCCTGTGTTCCGGAGATAGCAGGGGCCTCAGATGAGTTCGCCTGGTTAGCTCCAGTCGCAGGATTGACGCCGGTCTTGTCCGCAGGATTTTTGATGGCCTGGAGCCATTTCTCGGGGATGTTTTTCTCGAGTATGATCTCTTCCCAGACGCAGGCAGCGTGAAGGTTACCAAGGGAAGCAACCAGGGCAGCATACTTGTCTGCAAGGACGACCTGGCTGAAAGGATAGTTCAGTGTCGTAGATCGCGTCTGATACAGAGGCATAGCATAGATCTCGCGCAGCAGGTCTGTGAGCACCAGAACGGCATTCATATGCTTGACGAAGAACGTGCCATGATTGACAGCGGGGGTGGGCTCTGGTGCCGGCGCCTTCGAGTCAATCGGCTTGACCAACGGCGTGAAGAACCCGGACTCTTTGGGTGCAGTCCAAAAGGCCTCAAGGTTGTCGACTGCCGACTGGGCACGTTGCATTATAGATGGTAGGATCAGGTGCGGCTTCGTCTCAGCAAGCATATGCACCAGAACCGTAAGTTCTTGGTTAGCCTCCGTGTTATGGAAATCAAATGGCAAGCTTTGAAGGGTAGCATAGTCCAGAATGAATTCTGCTCCACCAGCGAGAATGAAGGAAGCGCAATTCGGCTGGTTCTCGAAAAAGGCGCCCAGGAATCGAATGGCGGGGAAGAGATAGTCTGTGACAGTGAGACCATGCTCATCCTTGTCTTTCGGCTCGAAGCCAGCCTGTGGGGACGGGAGTAGCTGATTGACATCACCCAGAACAAGCTTCCCGCCATTTGGAAGGGAATGAGCATTCAGGTAGGGAGCGCCAACAGCCGCCAGGGCTTCCGTTGAAGCATCGTCAGGAGTACCGATCTCACGGAACAGAGAAAAGACATATCCAGAAAGGACAACTTGACCATCAGCATCCTCTTGCCAGAGCTTGGAGCCCATTCCCAACTCCCAAGCCTTGACCTTGCCGAGAAGGTTCACACGAGCAGCCATTACAAGAACGGCAGTCATGATAGAGGTCTTCAGGGCTGGGTGGTGACGAACAAGTTCATCAAAAGTTGTACCAAGAGAACGAACCAAGTTGGGATCATCCTTCAAGCACTTGACGTGTTCGGGGTTCTCGAAAATCTCGAAGAAGCTCTCGAGGGCATCAGAAGACTGGAAGAGGTCCAACCCTGAGGAGTTCAAGCAGATAGCGCCGAATGCTGAGGGAATGCAAGCAAGGGCATCGGCGGCTGCGATAATACCTGGTGCAAGAGGAGAGCCCTTGGACCTGGCAAGAACGTATTCCCGGTCCTTCTTCTTTTCCTCCACAGGGGAAGGAGGCACAGCAGTAGGCGCTTGAGCGGAAGACTCGCCTTCCTGGGGTTCCGCATCCTGAGGTTCCACGGCAGGCGGCTTTTCCTTGGCCTGGAGCTCTCGACCCATGACGGCGGCCAGCAGACTTCGACTGAGACCAGCTTCAGCGATGACAGCGTAGCTCGTTGGCTCGTTGTGGATGAAGCTGCTAAGAATATTCACAGCATTGCTCCAAACGTGCGACCCGAAGATTCGAGCGTTCTCAAAGACCAGCCGCAGGGAGGTCAGCAGCTGAGGAGAGTCGATGAGATTCCGCAGCACGCGGTCAAAGCCACCACCGTTGTGCTGCATGATGTGGTTAACAAAGCGGAACATCCAACGCAAGGTCTGCTGTTGGAAATAGGGGATCTGGTAATCAATGGATGGGTTCTTGTACTGTGCGGGAAATCCATCTCCACGAGAGACCTTCTCGAATGCAGTCTTGGTCTCGTAGTCGATCAAATCGGAGATAGCATCGAAGCCCTTAGCCGTAGTCAAAGTACCCAGTGCATCCCGGACAGCATGGACAAAGGTGTCAAGGAATTCCATGACCCGAGAGTAAACTCGGCGAGCTTTCTCTGTTCGGAGATTAAGGATGTCCACAAACAGAGGAATAAGACCCGCAGCGACGAGAGTCTCTGGAGTTCGGGAGCTTGAGCTGGGAAGCGTGCGCAAAAGAGCAAGCAGAGCATCTCTCCATTCATCATGGTAAGGATCGTTCGTGTTACCCTCCTCAGCACCTAGTTCATTGACGACCTTGCGGGTTAGGAACATCAGAACACCGTGGTTGACGTTGACACTCATAGCAGCACAGACGTCATTAGCGCGTGCTTTGTGTTTGGCAAGCGCATCAAGCGCCTGGAGAGCCAAGGCCTGCGCCGTTCTTGATACTTCAAGGTCACCACTAGCACCTAGATGAACAAGTTCAGCCAACTGGTAGGTCAATTGTAGACGCTTGGATTGTTCCATGTCATATTGAAGGACCTTCTGTTGGAATGTGGCTTCGGTATTAACGTAGGCGAGGTTCGTCACTGCCAGGATCCGAATGGCAAGTATCTGTTCACGGGCGGCACGCGAGTCGGTCAATGCCTGCGCAACACGAACCTTATGAAGAAGCTCGTACTTTGACTCCAAAGGCAGATGAGGGAGGTTCGTGGCAAGGAGATCCTCGGCTTTGCTGGAGGAAACCTTCGAGAATGGCAGGTCTAGGACTTTCCCACTGCGAGACGGTTCATCCGGTTTCCCAACGGTATTAGGCGCGACTGTGGGAGATTCTTCCACATTAGAGGCGCGGCTTGGGCGCGGAGTAGGATGTGTGGCACTACGCCGGAGAGGGGTCGGCGTGGTCGGCGCATGAGGGATGGTGTCTACCTGTCCAAACTCGGAGGCCGTTCGAGTCTGCTCAGAGGGGCCAGAAGGGTAGTAGAGAACACGAACGCTACCCCATTCTTCCCAGCCTTCATCGTCACGAACCAGCGAGGCGAACTCATTGGCATTGAGTTTGGTTTGGACAGCATTTTCCGTTCCCATGCCGGAGACAGCGGGAGTTGCAGCAAATGGCGTTTTGCCCGCGACTAACGGGCGTGGGAAAGGCGCAGCAATTTTTTGGAGTTTCTCCAAATCGATGTTGTAATGAGTGGCCAATAGAGTCTGCTGGTGAGAGCCGCGTTGGCGGGAGTGATACCGTTGAGCCAGACAAAGGGACAGGCGTAGAGTCGCTTGGAGGAGGGACAGCGAGGTAGTGTTCAAGAGGTCACCCAAACGTTCACTGCTGCTGTAAAGACTTCGATTGCCGCATTTCTCGAGCAGCACACGCGAGAACTCTAGAATTGCCTCCGCCAACTGTCGGTCTCCATCGGGCCCATATCCCAAAGCATTCAGCTTGGCATCAATGCCCTCTGCCGGTGTCTTCGTTGGGTCGGCGGCATATGACTCCTCCAGAACGCTTCGACCGAACGATTGTGTCTGCGGGCCGATGTTAAGGAAATATTTGTCGATAACGGAGGCCAGAATCTCATCGAAGCGGTCCAAGACGTTGATCCAGTGGTATAGATCGCCGCGGGGGAAAGGCCATAGCCGAGGGAATGTGATTAGGAGCGAAGGAAGCTCTGGAACGGGAAGACTAGTCGCACGGCCGATGAATTCTCCCAGGAAAGGCGACTGTAGCAAGAAGGAAAAATTTTTAGTCAGTACGATATAGCAGTGACTAACATGAGTGTCGATGGGGACTTACAATTGTAGCCTCATGCTTTTGGCTAGCCACCTTCTTAATTCTCCCCATGTTGACGATCGGTGAAGCAGCCAACCATGAGGAGGTTGAAAAATTCCAGGAGAGAGAAGTCTCCTAGAGGTGAAGTGGGGAGGTCGTGACGACCGGGTACGCGGAGAAGGCGCGAGGATGCCTTATGACGTTTTAGTTCTCCTCTCCTGCCGCACGAAAATCGAGTCTCAAGTGATAAAGAAAGAAATTCGGGGGTGACGGTTCGGTATCACGAGTGATTTTGACGCAAGGAATCAACCACGGGAGTTGATCGTCCACTTGATGGGTGCCGGGAGCTGAGGTTACTGACAGCTCGACGATCGACGCAGGATGGGTGAGATCACGGCGGGTAGAGAGAAGTCAAACGGTCAGGGAAAACGGTGCAGGACGTTTACCCGGACGGTGTTGACGGAAAATGGTTAAAGTTGTCAAGGTATGAGAGTGATGGAGAAAAGGAGAATGATGGGGAGGGAGAGATGGGAGGAGATATGAAAGACGGTTTCCAAAGGCTGGAAGCTGGAAGAATGAGCGTGAAGCGAGCCCGAGCCAGAACCAAACGCCAGCGCCCAGCGTCAAAGCTCGTTCTGCCGGCAGAAGAACACACCAAAGCTGGGCGGAGAGTGGCCCAGCGCCAGTTCCCCGCCGAGGCGGTCAGCCTGTCAGGGCCAAGGCATTAACGTCTGATTCAATAACTATACGGTGTATAGTTTTTGACTCGTTTTATCTATGGCATCCCAACTTTGAAGTTGTAGAGGGTGAAGGGTATAAGCTATGACTCTCTTCTAACATTTTTCCGGACATTTTTTTTCAATACCAGAGCGACAATGTGAAATTGACATGTTGACATATTGGAAGGTATGGAACGCTACCATATGTCAAGGCTAAGGCGCACGCTAACTTGTGCTTTCGCACGACAAACTATTCTATTTTCGGATATGGTAGATAAAAGGTACATCGAGTACCTAGGTATCTTCACAATTCCTACTAAGAAAGACTGTTCAAAAGACATGTAGAAAGATCTTCTATAAAAGGGGAAATTAAAGCATATATATTTATATTATAAAACTGTTTCTCTAGTCTAGATGTTCAGGATCCGGTGAACTTGTTTTTCACTATATCCAAAAATGGAGTTGTGTGTCATGCTAAAGCATGAGTTGGCGTGCGATTGACCTCACCTAGCCTATCTCAACTAGTAGCTCGCCTTCCACCAATCTTGCTCTACAGTCTATACCCATCTGAAGCAAGGGTGATCAAAGATCGATGGATAATACAAATGTTCTTCAATAGGGGCTGTAAATAATTTACTGGAAGGTGGTTGACGGGCGATTACTACATATTTGGTCATCGCAGGGCCCACGGGACGTACCAGTAGCCGATCCCTGCCTACTGCCTGGCGTAGGCTAGGTACCCTTCGTAGCTCATTCAACCACGCGACGGTGATCCTAGCTCTTTTCCACAGGCATAATACTTTGAAGGTAGTTCTAAAAAATTAGGCATCACAATGACCCCAGGAGATCGTGATGATGCCTTGGGAGGCCTCCCAGCTAAAACACCCAAATTCGAGTATCAAGGACTGTCGAAATGCCTGGATATAATAGAGAATCAGTTTTCTCGAGATCCAACCTCCCCAGACTTCATCAGTGATTGCCTCATCTTTTACAACGTTCATCCCCACGAATTTCAAAATCTCGCGGCTCAACTCAAAAACACCTCCGCAAAGTTCTCGAGCTACGATTTCAGACACTACATCCTCACGCTCAAGATGGCGTCTCCCATGCATGGAGAAGCGGCTTCTGAGTTTGCCAACCTCGTTAATTCGTGGAGAGATTCCATGCAAATGCGGCGCGATCTTCCCAGCGGTGTCTCAGTCAAAGTGCGTGGAGGCTCGAAAGGCAAGGCTCCCGATGCCTCCTGGGTTCCGCGGTGGCACGGCGCCGATCGCAACAGATATTGGCCCTCGATGGTCGTGGAGGTGGTATTTACAGAAACGAGAACTCACCTTGAAACCGATATGAGATTCTGGCTGAAGGAGTCGAAGGGGGATGTGAAGGTCGCCGTGAGCATCTCGGTTCAGCCAAGGAAACCAGGCAGAGTGGTTTTGGAACAATGGAGCTTTACGCCCTCAACCCAGGAGACACGCTCGAAGCAGGGAGTGCTCCGGGTTGAACAAACCATGACGGCTATCCGAAAGCCTGGACAAGAGCCTGTGATCTCAGGGAGCTTCGCACTGCCTTTTGAGGATATTTTTCTCAAGCCTACGGCAACTGAGCCTAATGCAAAGGACCTGGTAATCACGCATTCAGACATGAAGGATTTTGCCGAGGTCATCTGGGAGACTCAGTTTACGCCTCTTTCACAGTGAATACAGCTTTCCCTTATTTTTGTTGTTCGTGACAGGCAGGATATTTCTTAGGTTCGAGGCCTAAATCGCAGTTATCACATATTTTGTAGTTTTTTATATGAGATAATGAGGCTATCTTCTATTCTACACGTATCAAAGGTGAAGAAAAGATGAATTCATTCGGCCATGATTTACATAAAAAAGGTCAAAAAACTTATTTACCCGCCATCTTGGGCAACTCCCCATCCCACTGGATCTTCATCGTCGAAGGGTACGGCGAGATCATACTATGCTCAGCATCCATATACATAGTCAACCCTCCCAAGGCAGGGAGTTTCTTCAACTGGCCCTGCGGTCCAGGAGCACGACGAAGATTCTCCAATTGTCCGACAACACGCAGCATAGTGGGCAATGCTACCTGGCACACGCCGAGGCCGAGACATTGATGGGGACCAAAGCCAAAGTGGGAGTACTGGCTCAGGTCACGGTCCAGGCGAACTTGTTCCGGGTCTGGCCATGCCTTGGGATCGTGGCTTGCGGCAACCTAGATAGTGGGTGAATCGTTAGATGGCATGTTCTTCTCGGGTATGGGGAGTGAATGGACTTACCAGGTTGACGAAGATCTCTTGGCCGGCTTTCAGGGTGATCTTCTCGCCATTGTCGTCGATGACGGTTGGCTTTACGACTTCGCGTGGCAGTGCAACTGACGAGCGAATTCGGCCTCCTTCCATGAAGCTGTTAAAAAGTTAGTATCACTTGTAAAGTACTCGGAGAGGGGGAATAATAGAAAGGATGGATCCACTTACTATCGCAGCAATAGCTCCTCAGATTCCGGAGTATCTTCCCTTGAGAGGCGCTGAATCTCAGCAAGGTGGTGCGCATTCTCCGGCTCCAGGTAGAAGTCCAAGCACTGGATGAACAACTGAGCCTGATTCGCGACCATGGAACTTGCCGACGGGAGAATGTGCGTCCAAACAATCTCCTTCGGTGGCAGCCCACTATCCAACAATCGCTGGATCATGTGAACACCATAATCGGTCAGGGAATCGTGACGGTGAAGACGATTCACAATATCGGCAATGAATCCAGACTTGTTCACGAGCTCGACATTCGCCATGACCAGCTCACCCAGCTGCTGGGCAACCTTGCGAGAGGCCTGCTCAAGCTGGAAGGACTTGGTAACCTCGACATCGTAGAAGATGCAGGTGAAAACCAAGGCCATGATTTGATACAACTCCTGCTCGGTAAAGACACCACGAGGGTTTGAGTCGGTCTTCAACGAGAGGGAGAAGATATGGGCACAGAAGTGGATCTGAGCAAGGTTGGACACATCCCGGACGATGTCAACCTGGTTCACGCCAGCGATCTTGTAGGATTTCCTTTGCAAGAGCTGCAAGGTGATTTCCTCGTAGAACGAGCGGACCTCGGACTTCCACTTGTCCCGGTATAGAGCATTGCCAATCATCTTGCGGGACTCGACATTTGGTTGACGATCACCAGACAACATAAAGTCACCGCCATACGAATGGCCATCGCGGCTCAAGATGAACTCCAGCTTCTTGCCCCAAGTCACACCGAAGGTCTCCTTGTCCGCGAGAATAGACATGCAAGCAGCGTGGGAGCTGATCATTCGAGGCGGAGCCTTGTAAGTGGGCTTATCGTAGCTGTATACTGCAGCTCTGCCGAGGCTAGTCATGATCTTCTTGTTCTCGTGAGGCACGACGAATGGGAAGTGTGCGTAGGCCGAGTTTCCTTGGAAATGGTTGGGGAAGGCTCTCAGAACCAGCTTGTAGAAGACTGCACCCTCATCAACGGACGTATCGTAGTTGATTTCGTTATAGGCCCAGTTTGTCAGGTGCTTGGGCGTGTAGTCAACGGTATAGAAGCGGTCACCACGAACAAGCGTAACTGCATCCGAGAGAATGGCTCGGGAGGTAGTGTAGTTTGCACACAGTCCACTGCCTGGAAGCATTGGGTCTTTGGCATCTTCAACAATCAGGCCCGGGTAGAGCTCGACCAGATCTGGGTGATCATAGAGATTTCTGAGCTGATCGGCAATGTAAGGATCGGAGTTGATCTCTTCAAAGGTCTTGTAAGGCTGCAAGCTAAAGAACGAGCGGAACTCATTGAGCGTGGCCAGGTTCCAAGAACGCGCCTGCTTGATGCCGAGGACCTCGATCGTACGGAAGACAGTTGGGACGTTCGAAGCGCCAAACGCTCCAGCAACGTCTTCCACACTCTCTTCGAAAATCTTGGCCAAATCATCGTCATTGTAGCGACCATCAGCCTGACGCTGTAACTTGGCAAAGGGACGCTCCACGGGATCCTCTGGGAGCTTCGCCTCCCATTTTCCAAGACCCATGGTGAACTGTTGAAGGGAAATCTTGTCTGGATCTTGACCCACAAATATTTCCTTATACAGGTCCTCAGACCATTTCTGGTCGCGAGCAGAAATACACGAGTGCCAGCGGTAGACGAGGTTAAATTCAGCCGAGACTTGGTTTCCAGTAGCCTGCTTAGCGGCATCACTGAGGAGGCCATCCTTCATCTCGGCGCGAGGATCCAAGCTCCAAGTACTGTCAGTCCTGTTCAGGTTTAGAATGGTCCGAACGTAGTCCTTCAGGATAATGTTGACATAGAGACCGCAAGTAACCAGACGCGCGGTTTGGAAAAGGTCGTTGTCCCAGGTGGCATAAGCTTTGGTGTTCGACTCATCTGGCTTGGTAAATCGGCCACCTTCGTTGATCTGAGCAAGTTGCTCGGCGACGTAGTTGTGGAAACGATTGAACATAATCAGCATGACACCGACACCAGGCGGGAATCCCAGAATACGCTTAGTGGAAAAGCAATCTGGCTTGAGTTTTCCATCCTTGAATGTTCGGACGGCGTTTTGCTCCTCTTGATTGTTTCCGTAAAGTGGAGCCAGGTCCAGGTAAGACGAAGTCAAAGATACTGTTTGATCTCTGGGGTCCGTTTGGAAGAGATCTGTTACTGGTCAGTGATGCTCAGCGAGACAGATTCCAACCACTATAGGTCACATACCATGAATGATGATAGAGGCAAGATAGAAAAGTACACTGGAAATCTTGTTGGGGTGTTCTTTGAACTCCTTCCGAGCGAGGAGGCTGTCGAAAAGGGTCTCTGGCTCTGGGAGAGCACCAGGCTGCATGGTCTGTGGCCGGACAGATCGTGCGTAAGGTGTACCAGCGGCGCCAATATTGGGCCAGAAAGGATTCTAGTTCATGTCAGTAAACCTTTTGATTAGTTATATCATTTGAAGCACGTACATTGCCCGATCCATCTGCTTTACGATAAGCAGAGTCCCGCCCAAGATACCTATACATCCAGTCAGTGTTTTTGTCTTCTATACCCTAGAAGAAGCTTGACTAACGAAATGGGCGGGTGCTGTAGATCATTCCAAAGGGTACTCAAGAAAGTATTCGTCAAGTCCTTTCCATTCTTGGAAGTAGACGGCAAACCTGCCGCGAGCTAGTGAAATGTCAGAAAATGCCAATTCTCAGGGTATGCAATGGGTAACTAACCTGGATCACTCGCTCCATAATATACTCCCGGTCATTGACGGGGTCACCAGTAATTGCGCTCTTCGCGACCTCGGCCAGCGTCTTGACATCCTTGAGGTCGACATGGCTCAGATCCTGAGCCAGGCCGGTGGTCGTGTTGCCCTTAACGTAAGTACCGTCACCAGTCTCGGTGGGCATTGGTCTCAGCGATGCCTTGATGACCTGTTCGATCTGGGCGAGTGGGCTCTCGGCGCCATTGGCGTGGCCGTTGTTGTGGACCATGATGGATGATGAAGTCGTTCGGTAATTATACAGTTTTCAAGATTTCAAAACTCGCTCTTCGGCACTCAGACTGGACAAGACAATGTCAGTATGTCAATTTGGAGGCTCAATAAGAAAGCAAAGAAAAGCCGAGGCCCCAAGTAGTTGCCATGCGGTGCGGGGGAATCGAGATAGCCAGTAACCGCATTGCATTACGATAACTGGCAGTCCAATGAGGGGGAAATTTCCATACCAATTCAAATATACAGTAGTTCGCAACGACGTGCACTCCGTTGTCAGCAAATCAAGGTGTTCACGATGCCAACAAGATAGACCACACTAGTCGAGAACCACAATGGCGAAAGATAGAGGCGGGTATACAGGGAGAATAGTCAAAAACGAGCGCACAGTTTGGAGAAGCGGAGAATATTTGAGGGGGGAATTGAGTATGTTATATGATAACACTCGTTCCTTCTACGCTAAGTTTGGCTGAGGATAGCCCCAACACCAGTGAACACATGGTACTGTACGGCTGAACAACCCCCAACCCGGTCCCCGGGAGATGATTTAGTGTCTCCATAGTTCTTACCGACTTGACTGGATCGGTGCTGGTCAGTCATCTTAGCGCCACAACCCTAAGGAAACCCAGCTGCGGTTCGGGCGCAGCATAAGGAAAAGGCAGACGATGCCCCACTTGGCAGTGTGAACAATGGGGCATCTCTCATTCGTGCGTCAAATTTCATATGAAGAAAGGCTTGAATATTATGTGAGAGCACCACACATTGAAAATTTCATGACGATTTGCACCAGCAATTCAAGGGTCTCATTTTCAGGCCGGCAATACGATGACTCTTGCAACAGGCATGTCGGCTGAGATCTCTTGGGGTTGCGCCGCTTGCAGCCTGGCGGAGTGGCCCGGGCTTCGCCGTAAGAATGTCTGACAGTTAGGTCCCACTCGTCGTGATTGGCGGGGTGGAGTACGTGGGGCCTCGCGGTTTAAAGTCTTGACGTTGTCGCACGGAGACTCCGTCCATTAGGCATACAATTCCATTCAACCGTCAAAGATGCATTAATATGCATATGCAGGCTGATTGACAGGGAGCTGCCCCAATTCGGCTCGGGTAAGATAGGGGGCCTGGGCCAGATACAAGACAGGAATTGTCTTCTGGGGATGCTGATTGGCGACTCTGTTCGGCCACACTAACCGTTGGTCCGTTGCAGGCTTGCAGGGTAATGCAGGCTAGCACGTTTGCCCGAGCTGAGACTGGTGGATCTGGCCGGGTTCGATGGGTTATAGATCATGGATCAGGGAATGTTGAATATAGGTAGTGAACAGAAGGTGATCGCGAGGGTAGTATCACCCAGACCAGACCATCGTGGTGACTTAGTTGGCTTCTGTCCTCGGATCCGACTGATGTACGAGTTTTCCTTCTGTACAGTCCATGCTGAAAGAAGCCAAGCCAAGGACGAAGGAATATTTGGGGGCGGGGCTGTTCAGCTCAGCCATTTTGCAGCCGCAATGTCGGAGCCTTGGTCCTGAGGTGCCTCATGGACCTTCATATTAAGAACAACAAATGAAAAGCCAACGATTTGGAAAGGCTGAGAGGTCAGCCCGTAAATGGCGTCAATCGGGCCCGCGTGCTTTCCGCTCTTACTGCAGCGCCTTAGTCCATAAGTTAGTAGTGAAGGCATAAGATGACATAACTATGGGGTCAATCTTCAACGGTCATATTAATCAGACTAGATAACTATCTTATTCAAACTATTTAGGATCTGACTCATCATCAGTTACACAGACTCTTCATCATCCTCAGGGTCCTCTCTACCAAGGTAGTCTCGTCCAAGGGGTATCAAATGACCATGTTATCGCCTCAGGTGTCAATATCACGTGACGTCAGCCGAGGTCAGTTTCTCGTTGAGGACTCGTCCAGCCCAACAGACGCGATTTCTCGATATCCGCGGTGAACTTTCTCTCAGTTCATCCAGCTGGCCCTGTCTGCCTGAAATCTCCAGAGATTATCAATTGGAGCTGACACTCCGTCATAATCAATCATGGCGTCTCAGATTACTCTCATCGTCGAGCCCCGGGGTATGCTTTCCTAGCTCCTATCTACACGCCAAGCACATGCACATGGCGAAGTACTTCAAGAAATAACTGACTGACAAATTACCCAGGCAAGCCCATTCGCAAGCTCCCCAAAGAGCTCACCGTTGCTCTCACTGCATCCGGTGAGGAGCTGTACAATGCTATCGCTCAAGCTTCCGGTGCCTCAATTCACCGTCTGCGCATCACCAAGGGAAGTGACCGCAGCGTGGTTCCCAATGCGAAGAACACTACTATCAAGGATACTGGTCTGAAGGAGTCGAGTGTTATCCATGTCAAGGACCTCGGTACGTATCCGCATCGCCCATCCCTTCGAGACGACGCAAATGGGATCGAGAAGAAAAAAAAAGAGCCGCAACCCCGCAGCTTCAAGAAACACGAAACTAACATTTCTATTCTCGATGAACAGGTCCCCAGATCGCATGGCGCACCGTCTTCATCATCGAATACCTCGGCCCCCTCCTGATCCCAGCCCTCTTCCTCTTCCCCCTCCGCAACCTGATCTACTTCAACTTTGACAAGCCCCTCCCCGAGCCCTCCGACCTGCAACTCCTCGTCTGCCTTCTCCTATCCGTGCACTTCCTGAAGCGCGAGTATGAGACCCTCTTCGTGCACCGCTTCAGCAACGCCACCATGCCCGCCCGCAACATCTTCAAGAACAGCGCCCACTACTGGGCCCTTGCTGGCTTCAACATCGCGTACTGGGTCTTCCGCCCCGACGCGGCGGCCGCCTCTGCAGAGTACAACCCCATTCTCGTGTATGCCGGCGTTGCGCTGTTCATCTTCAGTGAGGTGGCGAACTTCAACGCCCACTTGATCCTGCGTGATCTTCGTCGTCCTGGTACTACTGAGCGCGGTATTCCTTCTGGCTTTGGTTTCAGCTGGGTCACTTGCCCCAACTATATGTTTGAGATCCTGGCCTGGGTGGGTGTCTACCTGGTTAGCCAGCTGAGCTGGAGTGTCCTGCTCTTCACTCTTGTTGGTGGTCTTCAGATGTGGAGCTGGGCCTGGAAGAAGGAGATCCGCTACCGCAAGGACTTTGGCGACAAGTACAAGAAGAAGCGTACTGTCCTCATCGCCGGTCTGTTCTAGGTGGCAGATTGCCCTCAGTCCTTGGACAAAAAGGCTATTGGGCTGTTATAGCTCATCTAGATCTTTCAGCGCAATAGCGGATGGTGAGAGATATTTAATGCTTCTAGGCCCAACGGTCTACTTCTTCTGCGTCGAAGCTTTATGCTATCGACATATTTCTTTGTGATATGCATACTATGAAGCGCGGGGCTTGCTCATCGGGCACTCGAAAAATCGCGAATAATGAATGCACCGTGCATTCTATGACTTGATATAGAAACCGAAAATTGATGCCTGTGTTTCCTTTCTAACGAAACCCACGCCAATGATAAAAGTAAAACAGTAACCTCGCTGTATGTTAAAAGAAAACAGTCTATGACGCCGAGACCCACCCAACCCAGATTGCATAATGGACTTGATGGACACAGAAGAGACCAACCTGCAAGACACCACGACAGACTCATACAAGAACTGTCACTAGCAATACTCGTACAACCAAATATTCAAACGTTAAAGGCGTCAGGTACTCTTGGCCTTCTTCGACCACATCGAGTAATATGGATCCAATTCATCGCAATCGCGAGCTTTCCCCTCATCACACGAAGGGAACCGAATGACAAAGTCACCATCCTTGTAAGAACCATCCTGCGAGGCCCCCGACGAGTCCTTGCTGTACGCATTCAGAATCCGCTGGGGCACTAAAGCCGTCCGAGCCAGCACCGTTGGATGCCACTGCATAATGTGATCCTAAAATAACAAAACAAAATATTAGCGCAAATTTGAACACCACGAAGCAAAAAATCTCACCAGTCCATGTGTCTCAGCCTTAGCAAATCTATAACTCCGAAACAGCGGTTCAAACCAAAGATCCAAGAAGAACCGCGCAAAGTCCCCATTCTTAAGAATAAAGCTAGAAGGACTCAAATCCTCGCCATCCTGAGTAAGAATAAGATCAACGTCTTTCTGTTTAAGCGCAAATGTCTTGATAATGCTGTCGGGCGGGACGATGGGGACATTCTTCAGCATCAGCGATTCAAGGCGGCTTCGGTCGAGGAGGTGCGATTTGAGAGATGTGGTAGGATTCATGACGAGCGCGTGAGGGCTTAGGTGAAAGAAGTATTTGGATTTGGGATACGTTGCCATTGCATGACGCATTGCTGGGATGAGGGCCCAGCTTCGAGGGGCGTCGCCTATAGCTTCCTCGTAGTCGGAGACGCTTGCGAAGAAGTTCGTGTACCCTGTATCACCCAGTACATCAGCGATAGTCCCAAAGCACTCTAGTTAGAGCTGGAGCGAATAGGATTGGAACCATGCTTACCATGGCGCTTGGCATAGTCTTCCCTATTCGTGACAATCTTATTGATATAGCTCTCGCTGAGACTTTGACGATCCAACAACGTCACAATCACCATACCCGCCGTACCAGCCGGCGGAGAAAGCGAAGTCGAGCTTGACGAGAAGAGACGCGATAATAGGTACAGCAGTGTAAGGACGGCAAACGCAAATATGGCTATCGTCTTGAGCTGTTTTCTTCGGTACAGCGGTAGTCGTGAGGAATTGGCGCCCGGGAGAGTATGAAGGCTCCTCCGCGGAGGCAATGCGAACTGCATACTGAGGATGGTCCCCAGCGCTGGACCTAGATTGCGGGGGCGGGACGCAGTGACGCAGAGCTTCGAGAGATATCAAGTCATAGCATTGAAGGCTTCAAAGTCGACAGTTGGAGAGGATCAAGATCGCTGGGATGAGGTGTGGAAGGTTGACAGATCCAATCTCGAAGGTTGAGCGGGTTCTGGACGCCCTCCGAATCCGGTGGGCGGCGGGTCCCTTTCTTGCGCGCGCATTCCAGCAACCTTTCCATCTTCACCAACATTTCCCGTTTTGAGTTAGCTTTGATCGTGGACGATAAGGGATAGCTGTGGAGCAAATCAGATTCGAGCATCTGTTCAGATGTTGATGTCCTAGCGAACTCTCGTCTCGGAGCCCTCTGCCGAGCATTGCTTGCGTTATATATAACTGAGGATGTCGTCATCTAGGGATGATCTCGTATGGTCCATCGTCCTGTCCGGTCACTTAGGGCCAACCACATACTACGGTACGCAAGACTCTTCAGACGTATTCAGTGGTTGATTGCTTACTCACATGCCATATGTTCAGCCCATTATGGATTTAGCGCCCGAATCCTGAATTTATACATCATGAATAGCGTAGCCTCCCGTCTAACAGAGATAAAATATCCAACAACAGGTATATACGCCAGACATACCTATAGATACGAGTGCCAAGCTAGAAGAGGAGGCCTAGTTGTGAAATCATGGCTTGAACAATAAAGTTGTTGATGACATTGGAGTATAAGTACACAGAAAGAAAAGAAACCAATATGCACGCCTAGCAGGATCGCATCCATGCGAAAACACATCACTATCACATCGCCCGCAGCATTACAGGGACACCACTGTGTAGGGATGATTTGAAAAGACGAAAAGACGTGGTGCTCAATCAGCGTCAACTTTTTCGTCGCGATAATGGTACAATGGTAGATTGAGCGCCAGTCCCCGTGTGTGCCTCGCCCGGTCGCGAGACAATCACCAGGAGAATCATATCCTCATCTCGTCGAGTCTGATTTGAGAGGGGGCAATCAGGGCAACGCTTCCGCAGCCGCGAGTTTCCGAGCATCATTCTGGGGATCAGCCTGGCCCTTGGGACGAGGCGTTGTGATAGGCTTGATGTTGAGCCTCTCCTCAACCTTTGCCTCAATCTCCTCCTCCTTGGTCTTAATCCACTCCTCAAACGACAGAGGCTCTGGAAGACCCATCTTCTCTCGTTGTTGTCGGAATTGCTCCTTGATTGTCGGGCTTTGCATGACCTGGTAACGCAGGTGCCATCCGAACACGCCAAGCTCCTTTAGACGAGCCGGTCGATCGGACAAGAGGTACTTGTCGAGACCACCCTCGTTCATAATTGTTCGTAGTGCCCGGCGTGTAACCTTGATAAAGAGGTGTTCTTGGAGCGCCTCGCTCCACATCTTCTTGCGGCGGACGTTGGGCTTCCAGCTTCGTCGTGTCTTGCCCTCGTTGCGACCCTTGGAGATCTTGTTACCGAATCGAATCATGGCACCTCCGTAGAGACCGGTGTCGGCTTGCTTGTACCATTGTCGAGGACCGTAGGGATAAGATGGTACGTCCTCGGGGAGTTTCTTTTCGGATTGCGGTGCCGACGTTGTAGAGAAGGCACGCTTGGGAGTCGAGACGGATAGGGCGCGGAATGCCGCAGTGAGGGAGAAGGGAGCGGCCAAAGCCGATCTGGACTGTAGGCCTGCCATTGGGAATATAATGGGCAGGTTGAGCAGCACAAAAGAAACCAAAGCGGCCGATGCAGCTGGAGATGCAGCGGGAAGAATTTGGGGGTTGCTGACCGCCTTTGGCGCGGCTCCGTGACTGGCGCAGATCCCTTGCTCGCGAATTTCGGCCAAGAGACATATCTGGGAGAGGTCCATCGCCATTACGATCGCTTTTCTATCTGCTTGACCTTTGGCAAGCTTTTATTTCACGACCTTCCCCCTCTCTATTACCCATTGACACTACTTCCGCGAATTCCTCTGGCTCTTCGAAGTCACATCCTTCAATCATGGTCCAAATCAGTGAAGTGAAGGGCAACTCGCGCGAAAACAGAACCGCCGCGCACACGCACATCAAGGGTCTTGGACTGCGATCTGATGGAACATCAGAGGTTACCGGCGATGGTTTCGTCGGTCAAGCTGCTGCCCGAGAGGTGAGTGGTGGTTCCTTTCAGCGATGATAATGATGGGCGAACCGACGCGCCTGCTCTCAGCACCGACAATAGCTAACAGATTCATTTCATCAATAGGCATGCGGTGTCGTCGTCGACCTGATCAAGGCGAAGAAGATGGCCGGACGGGCTGTTCTGCTTGCTGGTGGTCCCGGCACCGGAAAGACTGCACTCGCTCTCGCAGTATCACAGGAACTGGGAACCAAGGTCCCCTTCTGCCCAATTGTTGGCAGTGAGATCTACTCCGCAGAGGTCAAGAAGACAGAGGCATTGATGGAGAACTTCCGACGAGCAATTGGTATGCAATACTTCAGACCGAAAGACTCCGCCTTGGGATCGACGAGACTGACCTCAGACTAGGCCTGCGCGTTCGGGAAACAAAGGAGGTGTACGAGGGCGAAGTGACAGAATTGACCCCAGAAGAGACCGAGAACCCCCTGGGTGGTTACGGACGTACAATCAGCCACCTGATCATCGGATTGAAGAGTGCTAAGGGCACCAAGAAGCTTCGCCTCGACCCCAGCATCTACGAGGCCATTCAGAAGGAGCGCGTTACAGTCGGAGATGTCGTCTACATTGAAGCCAACACTGGCGCTTGCAAGCGTGTCGGACGGTCTGATGCCTATGCGACCGAGTTCGACCTGGAGGCTGAGGAGTACGTGCCCGTTCCCAAGGGCGAGGTGCACAAGAAGAAGGAGATCGTCCAAGACGTAACATTGCACGACCTTGATATGGCCAACGCCCGGCCACAGGGCGGACAGGATGTGATGAGTATGATGGGCCAGTTGATGAAACCCAAGAAGACCGAGATCACAGAGAAGCTGCGCCAAGAGATCAACAAGGTGGTCAACCGATACATCGACCAGGGCGTTGCAGAGCTGGTTCCTGGTGTGCTGTTCATCGATGAAGTTCACATGCTGGACATCGAATGCTTCACTTATCTGAACCGCGCTCTCGAGTCCACCATCTCCCCGATTGTGATTCTTGCTTCCAACCGCGGCCACACCGTCATTCGCGGCACCGACGACATTTCCGCTGCCCACGGTATCCCACCAGACTTGCTCGCTCGTCTCCTCATCATCCCCACTACTCCCTACTCCTCTGATGAGATCAAGACTATCATCCGCCTCCGCGCGAAGACGGAGGGCCTCAACATTACCGAGCCCGCTCTGGACAAGGTTTCCGAGCACGGTAGCAAGGTCAGCTTGCGGTATGCTCTGCAGCTCCTGACTCCCGCGAGCATTCTTGCTCGTGTTAACGGCCATCCCGGTGGTATCGAGGTGGCCGATGTCGCCGAGTGCGAGGACCTGTTCTTGGATGCCAAACGAAGTGCTATGATCGTCAACCAGGACAGCAGCAAGTTCTTGCTTTAGAGAAGTTCTGGGGTGACAGGGTAAAAGAAGGAGTTTCCACGATCATGTATACCATGGGGGTATCTGTTGTTTATTATTGAAAAGGCGAATTGTTCTCGTGTAGGCCTGATCTTTTTTTACGCTAATGCTATCTGATGTTACCCAATCTTGGAAATTCGGAGTAAATTCGTGTAGAAGACCTGCCAGGTACCGGCCTCGTATGCTGATCATCCGGGCGCCCGCAGGATGCATTTTTCGAGAGGTTCATTTCACGTTCACTGATCTTCGACTCTCGAAGAGCTCCGCAGTACTCCATGATATTAAGAAGAAAGATTCTCACAGATAATCTCCTAATCGTCTCGTTGAAATAGACATCGCGGCTCTATTCCATACATCAACTGTAACTCCGGCCTCGGTCAAGATCACGTGGAAAGGACATCATCGTCTTCCGTCAAGCCCCCCAGCCTCCATTCTACCCCATCGATTCATTGACCGATATCAGAGCCAGTTACTGCGTTACTACACCGTGGGGGCATAATAAACTACACTTCCAGACCCTTTGCAGTCAAGGCATCCATTTTATCAGGACCCTTACCATCAACAGCCCCCCTCGAATCCAGAACAACGCATCCATTCCCCAGATAACAGTGGAGCCTGCGGCCCGGATCAACACCACCCACCAGACCGACACAACCGATACCTTCTCCTACACTCCCCCTCTGTGCAGGCCTCCCTTCAACCGCCAACATGTCGAACCCTCTAGACACAGATGCCGGCTCGGAGATGTTCGCCAGCTACGAGAACGAGCTGAAGCTCGTCCAGGCGGACTTAAACCAGAAGCTGGACCAGATCGCCGAAGCAACCGGCGAGCAGCGCAAGTCCGCAATCCGACAAGCAGAGCAAGTTCTCGATGAAGCAACAGAACTGGTACTTCACCCTCAACGCCTTACAATACCTTCAAGAGACACTCCACCCGCCCCGTCTCTGTATTCAAGACTGTCCAGCTAACCTCCATCTCCTCCCCACCAGCTCGATCAAATGCGCATGGAGAAACAAAACATCCCCTCCGCCTCCCGCTCCAAGGTAAACATGCGCTTCCGCAACTACTCCACCGACATCGACGACATCAAGCGCAAACTCAAATCCCTCTCGGACGACCGCAAAGCCCTCTTCGGTGACCGCTACACCGACGAACCAGTCGACGAGCACCTCGAGCAGCGCCAGCAACTACTATCCGGCACCGAGCGTCTGGAGCGCAGCTCCGCCCGACTACAAGGTGCTCATCGGACGGCGCTGGAGACGGAGGACGTGGGGCGGAACGTATTGGCCGATCTGTACGGACAACGACAGACGATTCAGAATACTCGTGATAATCTTCAGCAGAGTGAGGGATATGTTGACACGAGTATCAAGACTTTGAGGGGTATGGCCCGTAGGTACTGCGCCCCTTACACCCCCGCCTTTTCTTTTGGTTTCGTGGCTGGACCGGTTGGATGTGAGTTTTGCTAACTGTTTCTTTTGCAGGATGGCTACGAATCGGATAATTACGATTGCTATCATTACGGTGCTTGTTCTTTTGATTGTTGCTGTTATTTTCAGCAAGTTCCATTAGCGTAGCGGGGCTTTGTTTTTTTTTTTTTTTGAATTGGCGTTTCATTTGATATTGGGGGCCTCTTTTGTTGTATGTTTCTTATGAGACGTTGCCTGCTTGGTTGGCATTCTTATGACCATTGACGATGGCATGGACTGTATGCCTTGTCTATAGCAGCTCATGGTAATAATTGAACATTGATCATATTCCAAACCGTGATTTGATATTAAGAGGAGAAATGGAATCCGATTGCGTGGCATATACAGGCCCAGACCTTTCCTTAGGGGCACTTCGGACGAATAGAACTGATAGTCAAACACTACTTCATGAACATACTTCGAGAAACACTAGTCGTCCTATCTCACCATTAACAGCCTACCTTATTACACTAGTGAACTTGAAAATAATGTAGTATACGCTTGCTCCGTTTCAAAGGGGGGGTATCTCTTGCAGAAAACGAACCAACGCCGAAAGAGCACCCACCAAAACCCATGAACCAAATCCAAATTCAAATATAAACATATAAACACCATCAACCCCTCACATCATCATCCTCGCAGCCCCAAAAAAAGCACTAAGCCCCACCCCGATAAAAACATGATACCCCTTCCTCCAACTCCAAACTCCCTCTTCCTTCCTCAACCACATCGCACACCCAACAGGCCAAAAGAAGCCCATCACCACACCCCAAAGCATATCATCAACTGCATTCCTCGATCCAGATCCCAGGACCAACCCATCATCATCACCCGCGTCCCCACCACCCTGCGCCTGCGCAACAGTCGACCCCTCGTCCATCCACCGATCCTCTAGATCACGCAGTTCCTCGCCCGTGGGCATAGTATCCGGTGTTCGGGAGACGGACTGCACGGCGAGGAATTGGGATCGGAGGGCTGTGACTTCTGCGGCTGTGAAACCGGCTGATAAGAGGCGGTCGAAGCCGCGTGGGGCGGGGGTTGTAGATGTTGCTTGCTGTGGTTGGGGTTGGGATTGTAATTGCGGAGTATGTGTATCCGGAGGTGCGAGGAGAGATGTAGAGCGAAACCCGTCTTTCTTCTTTTGTAGGAGGACGGTTGAGGCTACGGAGGCCTCAGCCGCTAGGTCTGACTCGGAGAGTGCAATGTCGCCGATGGAGCAGTGGATGTAGAGACGTGGACGGGAGTCGCGAACTGGCTGCTTGCCCTTGGCTTTACTCTTTGCAGAGCCATTTTCTGCGGCGGAGAGCTCGTCTGCATCGTCATCGTCTACTGCGGGGCGTGGGCTGCGGGATGGAGAGGGTGGGAGCTTGAGGGATGTAGCGAGGGCGGTTGTATCTTCTAGTCCACGGCCAGCATATATGAGACGAAGCCGGTGGGAAGAGAGTGAGGATGGTAGTTCGGCGCGGATTAATTGTTTAAGGCCTGCGCCTGTTGTGGTCTCTGCATCTGGGACGTCTAGGTGGAGGTCGGGGATGGACGCGGAGAAGCGGACGGTGATGAGAAGCGCGTCCAGGAAGGCGTCGTTGGCGATGTTAGGGGAGAGAAAGGATGGTGATGCCATGCTGTACTGGTGTCAGACTGTACCATACGCTCGCTCGATGTGAGAATATGAGAGCTGTCGAGGATCAAGAGCTGCTCGGAGTTAGAGATCCCGGGGGAGGTGGATACTCGAGGCTTCGAAGTTCCGATGATTATCAATAACTGCCTCGGATAAGGCGATAACGTGGAGGCATTCAGATAAGAGAGTTTTGAAGAAATATGATTAAGATCAGATTAATAAGAACGATGGACAAAAGAATATAACCTGAATGATATTGAAGACGTTATTTGTAAGATGATGAAAAAAACAAAAATAGTCGCGCCCGGGATCGAACCGGGAACCTTCTGAGTAACTTGGATTCATCTGAAGCAGACGAATTCATCCCATGTGAATCAGAAATCATGACCATTAGACCACGCGACTTTGATGTAAGCTCGTTCCTTTTTTGGCTATATATTCCTGTCTCCAGTTATCCTATTTCTTGTGCGGTTACTTGTCTTTCAAACGTGTGTAAACCTTACTTAGACATATATACTAGGTATAATTAGACAGCGTATTCATTGAGATAAATGATGAGTATAGTCAGAGCTCTAAGGATAAGCCACTAGTTATAAAGTCAGACCTAAACGATATTTTGTAGATACTATAATAATCAATGATTAAGATCACTTAGGCATAGATCATCTGCAACTTTCCAAGAAGGTCTAACAGCTCCTTACATCATAGTTCCTCTTTCGGCCGATCTGAACATATAAAGTCGCGTGGTCTAATGGTCATGATTTCTGATTCACATGGGATGAATTCGTCTACTTCAGATGAATCCAAGTTACTCAGAAGGTTCCCGGTTCGATCCCGGGCGCGACTATTTTTGTTTCTACAAACTGTGGTAGCCTCAATAGCAATTGCGGGTCGTCTGACCTTTCGTTTTTGCTGGTGGACTCGAACATTTGGTGGCCTTAGCCTCACGTTAAAGCGTATAACCCAATTGGCGGTCTCCAGGTGTCTGCAACGTACATTTGCTTTTATCGTAATAATTGAACAAGATATAGAAGTGCTTTAAGGAGTCATTGACTGATAGAATAACAGATATATATTCTTCTTCTCACGATGGTTTGGTGATAATTGCCAGCAGTCCCAAAACCATATTATTACTATAACAACTTTTCACTCAACATTTCATCGTCACCTCACCAGGCAACAATTGAGTACACAAACTTGATAAAAACAAAACAAAACTCGCTATATCAAAAGCCAATTCAAAATGCTTAGATCATCCCTCAATGAGGAAGGAACTCCATAGCCGAGGCCTTAAACCTCTTGACCATGAAACCAGGAGTGCAATTCGCCTCCCAGTCCTCATCGAAGCCCTCGTCCGGGTTGTGTGGGTTGAGGCTGTTCTTTCGCTCTGTGGGAAGCATGGCGACGCCACGGGGGACTTGGTCATCTAGACCTGGTGAAGAAGCACCGCTGCGTTGGCCGCAGTGGCATGTAGAAGTTGTCCGGGCTCCAGGTGTAGTGCAAGGGCAAAGGCCCAGGGAGCGATTGCATGGGACACACTTGTAGTGTGCGCCGGTGGTGGAATCATTGGAGACACGGACTCCGGGGAGACCGCATTGTTGGCATCTCCAGCCTTGGGATGGGCACTCGAGGGATTGCATGGTTATTGTGTGAGAGGGTAGACTTTGTAGAAGTGATCTAGAAGGGTTGTATGAGTGATTGTCCAACATAGTATAAAGAATAGATGTATTTTGACTCACATCAAGATATACTTGTGTGCGGAAAAGGAAGCCGATTTGTAGAAAGAAGCCTTTGAGAATAGCCTGAAAAAGATCTTGATCTGAACTGTTCGGCAGTCAAGTCCGGGGAAGAAAACGACGCCTTATAAAGATTTCAATTTTGCGGGGAAAGAAAAAGGGCGATCATTATGACGCTATTTACAGAATTTCAGAATCCACAAGTGGCACAAACCCCAACATTCTCACAATTTTTCCAAAATATCACCCAATTTTCCAAATGATGCGATGCCAATGCTGGGCAACCCCATAAGATCCTCCAAGAATAACGTAAAAGTATGGGGATCTAGAACCCGGGGACGATCCTAAAGGGAAGGCCAGACTGGATCGGGTAAGTACATCCCCGACGCAAACCGAGAAATTAGGTAATATCGCGCAAAATGGGGTCAAGTGACTCGAGTGACCCCTGGAATCATTTACGTTTCGATTATGTGAGTGGCAGAGAATTGCAGTCTAGATGAAGTAAGGGCCCCAGAGTTGTCTGAGGCATTATTATCCAGTTTGCTTGCGCCGTGTGGCGTGAGGATTCTATGATTGGATCGTGAGTGGCAAGCCGAGTAATCACGCGATGGGAGGAACAAGTTTACTGATGCAGGATTCGTGATGAAATTGGACCACTTGGTTGAGCCAAGGGACAGGTCTGGACGCTCATAATAGCATCCTGATCTAGAAAAGTCAGGTGATTCTAAGAAGTTAAGCCCCCTTTCAAGAGAGAGAAAACCTAGATAATCTGGTGATGTATATTTGGCTCCACGAAGAATATACCGGATGCGGGCCCGGGTACCTAGATGGCAACTATAGACATCATTGCAATTCAAGCCCCCTATGGACACGTTTATTGAATGGGTATTTCGATTCATTTTTCATCCAAAATCCACTTACACACACCGCCACTCTTCAAGTTCTGCCTCATCTCAACATGCAAACCAGAATTCAGTACGGAGTAGTACAATGCCAAGATAGAAGGCATTCGTCACCTGATGTATCCACTACAAAGCACAGGCTGAACACATCATCGGCATGAGAATAATGGACATGAGAATGTATACTATCGAGTCATACGTGATTGGTATTATTACTTGGCAAACATCTGTGCATACCAGTTGCTAGGGAAGCTCGAATTGCCGTTGCCGAGGTAGAGGCATCTGGAAGAACCGAGTCACGATGTCAAGCCCGAGCTTCATATGTCTCAAGGGCGCCCGTAGCTAATTATGTTACTACTTCTGCTTTCTACCTGCAAGCATCTTCCGAGGTAAATAGTGAAATGGGTTTGGACTGTACACCCCTTGTTCGCAACCGCACTTGCCTGTAGATCAGCTGGAACTTTAATCGCTGTGCTTGGCATGGAACTTTTCCAGAAGAGCGGGAATTGATTTCCAAGTTCTTATCATCTTTGCTGAATAAATTGCGATCAAATCGTTCTTATCGGCCAGCTAGCCTTCCGTTACCTCCCCGTCACAAGTTCACAGAGTCCAGGAACTGCCACCAGAGATACAGATTTTATGTCAAATCCTACTTCCTATTGAACACCTTGAATCATCAGGTCCATTAACTTAACTGATCTATAGACATACTATCACATGATGCAATCTCGAGATACAGCCAAAGGGATTTCATAACGATGGAAACAAGTGACAAGCCAGCTAGACCTCTACGACCTAGAGGAATCTATCAGAAAAGCCCGAGTCCGTCCGTTGCCAGTACCTCCCCGATGGGAGAGCGATGGAATCATGCAGTGGAATCATGCAGGGGAAAAATAAGGATAAAAGAAAGAGGAGAATATGTATCAACTGGATATCAAGCGTATGTAGTCGACCAAAAGAAAAAGAAAAGGTCGTAGGCCCCAAGAACAGGAACCAAGTGTGTGAAGAGAAAGAGAAAACGCCGTCCGATGCACCGTGAGCGACCAACGCCGAAAAGCCGAATTGAGGAGACATGACGAAACGAGCGTTTTAAACCATGAAGGATTCACCGCAACCACATTCTTCCTCTATTGCTAGGAGTCAGTAACCGCATCAAAAGACAAGTGCGAGTTGATTTGTAATACAGGGGAAAACTCACTGATATTGGGGTTGCGGAAAACAAAGCGTCTGCTCAGCGGATCCTCATGCCAGTCCATTTCACTGCCGATGATGCTGAACAGAGCCTTGCTGTCGATCAAAACCTTCACACCATCCTGCTCCACGATTTCGTCGAACTTGCCGGGCTTCTCCACATACTCGAGGTGGTACGCCAGACCCGAGCAACCGCGGTTCTTGACACCGACTCGGATGAATTTGGGATCGGGCTGGGACATCAAGTTGCGAAGTTGCTCCGTAGCCAGCGGTGTCAATTTCATTGCCGCCTTGCGTGCCCGCAATGGCCGACGGGGCTTCGGGGAAGTCTTCGGGGTAGCGGTGGTGGTGGAGGTGGCCGGGGCAGGCTTGGGCTTCTGTGCCTCGCCTTCTCGTAGGGAAATGGTCGAGGACTCTAGCTTTGAGGCGGTCTTGGAGTGTTCTCCGGGGAGAGGGAAGTCGGCGGTAATCGAGGTATCGAAGCCACCACTGCTGCGCGGCATCGGGAAAGATGAAGGGAGCGTGTGTGGGCGGTATGCAGTCGCGGTTTGCATATCACGCTTGGAAGACATGTAGGCGTTCCCACTGGAGGAGAAGCAGCGCAACGACTGGGAGCAACGTTGGCCGGCCGAGGGCTTCACCCATCGGAGAAGTGTGGCGGATGATGTCACCGGGCGCTGCATGGCGGAGCAGAAACTCATGATTGTGAGGAAACTCGAGTGTGAGGAGTGAGCGCTAAGAGAGGGCTATACACGCATAGGAACTGTGTGTACAGATGAGGGTGGTGGTGTGTGTGAGTGGTGAATTCGATGAAGGTGGCAGGAGAAGAAGAATCTCTGTGTTTGGCCTTCCCCGGCGGCCCTCGGATTAGCTAACCCAGTTGCATGATTCATCCTCCGGCCAATCAGAGTTGAGGTGTTTCTACACACGGTGGCGCCACTACGCAGTGCGATTAACAGTTGCCGCTACCCGCAGGTGATGCTTGTAAGCAAGTGATATATGATTACCAATATATATGGTAATTCTTTCTCGAAGATAGCTATTACATACATATCAGCCAAATCTACATGTTACTGCTCATCGAATCGTCTTCCATTGTTAATACTCGATGCAGTTTGCGTTTATCGGTAGATGAGTCAGCGAATGCCACCTGTTCAGGCCTCAGGCACCAAGGCACCAAGCCGATTTGCGGAGAAAGCATGAGCAATTCCATCATCAGAGAGATGAGACATGATAATCACTCAAAACAACTAAACGTCTTAACTAAGAACCCATCTGATTGACTGAATCTTTCATTTATATCATCTTATCTTCTTGGTTCATCTCTCCTTATCTAATATACACCGTAGGACAAAATCGCGGCCTAGCTCCGTCTCCGTAGTTAAGGACATGTGGCTGGACCCGCTGACAAAGTGGCTGGTGCCAAACTGTCGGCCTCACTAAAGCGCAGGTCAAGAAACCAACCGCCCGTCGCCAGCTGCATATTGCATGTAACAAATTTCAGGGATCGCTTGTAGATCGTGCGCCTGAACAATGGAGGCCTCGCCCCTGACACAGCAGAGCCGGCCCGAGACTTTCAAGCCGAAGATCGTCCAGCTCTACGAGACACTGTTTAAAGTATGCCCCTCCACCCGCACACTGCCTGCCCCCCGACCCATTCTGATATTCGACTCTAGGCTCCCGACGATGCTGATGTGGAGCCCTCTGAGGGCTTCTGGAGAGAGTTCTTCCTTCTGCCCCCAGATCGGGCCCGGTTGCATTCATTGCTGGATGGGTTGAGTCCAGATGAGACGTTGAATTTACAGGTGAGTTCATTGTGGTGACGATTGTCTACCATGGCCAGTATACTGATATTTGGTTGTGTAGACACAAACGAAGCACCTATTCGCACGTGCCATTCGCGAGGCTTCTTCCGGAGTAGCTCCGGCCGATTCTTATGCATTAGATGTGAGTATGCTCGCGCTATCTCGAATCGGGTCAAGTCATCGACTAACAGCCCGCTTGAGACCCTGACGGTCTTCTTAACCAGCATCCTGAGCAAAAAGTACACGAACCCAAGCTCGGATGTTATCACGGTCCTCGCAGGCCTCGACGAGGTTGACCATGTCATTTCCGAGTTTGTGGCTGTCCTGGATGGCATCGTGCGCAATGGCAGTAGTCGTGAGTAACCCCTGAGGCTGTACTCACACAATACATGATTGACACTAAAATCGGAATTAAAGTTGAGCTCCGCCGGAAAGCTATCAGAGTGGCTATTGCCATGACCAGCGGGGCCTACAAAACCAGCCTGGTTTCCTATTTCACGCATCGGGATCTCTTCCCCTCGTTGATGAAGGTATTCATCTCCAAAGTCCCTAAATTGTTTACCCGAGATCTAACCTGAACAAAATAGTACGTCAACGACTCTGAGACACCATTGCAAGTCTTCGACCCCTTCTTGTTGTTGGGTCTATTGGCAAACTACAACAAATTCGAATTTCAAAACCCCTATCAGCTCCGACTGGACGACTTTGTCAACGAGGCAAGCATCCAACAGATCGTCAAGGGCGTTGGCATAGCCTGTAGTGGCCTGCGCAATGGCTACGTCGCGGTCCAGGATGATATCCCAGAAGGCTGGACCTTGACCAACACGCTCATCTTCTTCGGGCTACGAGCTCTTGCACCAGGTGCAAGGGACAAGGCGAACCCGCCTACGGCAGAGGAAGCGAAGGCTATGTTCGCCGATCTGTAAGCTCCTTTCTATCAATATACCACACCACTATAAACAAGCTAACACACCTCAAGTCCTGCACAAGAAGCCGCTATTCTAATGGCCACCTATGACTTCGCAAACTCGAACAAGCTCTTCGGCTATCACCTGGTCCACATGATCCCCGAGAAAAACGAAGAGTCCCCCTTCTCCAGTTTCCTCTCTCTATCCTCCTATCTCCTGCAACACGCATACCGATCCCCACGCGTAGCACACTACGCCGAACTAAGCCTCTTCACACTCCGCATCCTCGTCGAAGACCCAACCCTCTGCAAACACATCTGCACCGAAGGCGGCAAGCGTCGTGTCCGGCTATGTCGACAGCGTCAGCCATATCTCCCGCTAGTCAGCGGAGACCGCGTCCTCGCCACGGTCATCTTCGACGCTATGATTGATACTATCACGCATAACCTCCGCCGACGACTCGACGTCAACATCTACAGGTAAGCCAGGGCCAGCCAGTCCTTCTTCCCAATTGACCCACCCACCCTTCATCTTATCCACACTATATCATCCACACACTATGGTATATACATCTACTTACAAATCAAACAGCCACACAATATCAATAACCCTCCGCCTCCTCACATACCTCTCCACCAACAAAATCCGCCTAACATACCACTGGTCCGAACTATGGCGCACCCTCCTCTCCCTAATGCGCTTCCTAACAACCTACGCCACTGACCTCTCCTCAAACCACAACATCAAAACCCTCACCTCCTCCCTCGCAGATCTAATGGCCTTTTGCGTGTCCGCAGGTGACACATTCCTACCCGATCCAGCCTCGTACGATGATTTATTCTATAAACTCGTCGAGACAGGGCCTGTTATCTCTAAATTCAGAGATGTGTATGGGTTTGCAAATACTTCTACGTCTGCTGGTACACGAGGTGCGGTAGGTGTGGATCCCACCTCTGCTTCGAAGGATATCCACGCCGCGGCTATTGATACACTACTCTCTGTCTCTACGCATTTCTACACGCTCCTCTTCCAGTCTGATGGCAAGGATTCAGCGGCTGCTGCTGCAGCTGCTGCTAGTCCCAAGGTTGACGGCGAACCCACACCCGTGGCACTGCCATCTATCAAAAAGAAGAATCTTAGTCCGCGGGAGGTCCACCGTATTATCAAGCAGGGGTATGATACGTTGAGTATTCAGCCGCCGGAGGGATTGACGACGTGGTCGCGGTGGAGGGAGACGGAGTGGAAGAGTGAGTTGAAGAAGGCGGCGCGGTGTGCGGTTGATGATGCGCGGCAGTTGGTTGCGTAAATGGTGATGAGATGGGATGGGGGTACGTAGCTGTGTTAGGTGGGATGTTTTAGTTGGGATTGTTGTTTCTTTGAGGATCCTGTAGAAAATATGGGCATTTGGCATTGATGGTTACGTGTGAATGTAAGCTGAGGCCAAATGCACCCCAACTTGTGCTTTCGGACGACAGTCTATTGTATTTTCGGATATAGTGGAGAATAGGTACACTAGATCCTCGATCTCTGGACTGGAGAAACAGTTTTATAATGTAAGCATATGTGCTTTAACTTTCCCTTTTACGAAAGATATTTCTAGATATCTTTTGAACCGTCTTTTTTAATAGCTAGAGTAAAAGGCTTACTAGGTATTATCAGGGTATCTAGGTACTCGATAGACCTATTATTTATCATATCCGAAATAGCATAGTCTACTTTCAGTGGAAGTTTGAATACTTTGAACTTCATGTTCCCATTGGCTTCTCTAGTAGAAGCATTGCTCAGGATATCAACGTTATTGCGCGCAAAGCTAAGAATTAACACAGGAGAGAAGAAAATCCAACACAGAGGCCTCTCGTGGAGGCTCAACAAAGAAAAAAAAAAGACAGGAAAGGCAACCATTGCCGAAAGGCGTCAGAAACCCAGATTAGAAAAAAAAGCAAGAGGTAAGGAGGGCGAGAGGGTGAAACTGCGACAAAAGATGACTATGGATGCTCAGTCGGCATCCTCGATTGACTTCTTAACAACAGCGTCCTCTGCAGAGATGTACTCAGTACGGAAGTACTTCTCAGAGTTCTTGGACAGCCAAATCGAGAACTTGGAGAGCTCCTCGCGCAGGCGCTGGGTAGCCTGGAGGTCCATATTGGTCTGAGCAAGCAGCTCGGGGAGGAGGCCTAAACAAACGAGACATTAGAATCATCCAGGAAAAAAAGAGAAAGTATCATCAGTAAAAACGAGAGTGATCACATACTGAAGAGGCGGATGAGATGCTCTGCACCATAGACATCAACGGGGCTGTCCTTGCCAGGGATGCCAGCATACTTCTTGCGGAACATGCGATACTGAGGGCGCTCGTAGCGGTAGAGCAGGAGCTTGTCGAGCATGACGTCGAAGTACTCGAGGATGCCAGCGATACACTCATCCAGGACGTCGACATCGATGCGGCACTCGGTGCGCTTGGGGGCCTCTTCGTCGCGCCAGTCCTGGAGGATCTTGCGGACAGGCTTGGGAGCCGGCAACTTGACAACAGTGCCGTTCTTAGTGACACGCTCCCAGTCGTCGACGATCAGGGCCTTCAGGTTGTCCGGCATGACGATGCGGATGGAAGGACGGGACTGGAAGGTTTCCTCCTGTTCGAGATCGGGTTGGGCCACGTCAGTTTCACGCGAGTGAGAGGTGTTAAGGTTGGCAGAAGGAACGCGGCGAGCGGTTGCTCTGAGGCTTGGATAGGGAAGTAGAAGGGTGTAAGGGATAGCGCGACGGGGGGTTCTCTTATGATGAGCCATTGTGATCGTGCACGTTGAAGATGGGGGAGATTGGGAAGAGAAGATTGGAAGAGAGGATTTTAGGAAGAAAGGAGGAAAGGAAGGAAGGAGAGTAAAGGTGTGATACGATATGTTGATACGGGGATTAGTCGTAAAACGACGACGACATACCTTCTCAAGATCGGCCTCGCCTCGAGCCCGCTTGCTAGCCCGGCCAGGCACCGAGTTGCCACGCTCTTCACTGTCACGAACGGAGCTGCGATCAGACATGGCACGCTTCTTGGCCGTCGGCTTTGCATTCTTCTGGCGTGCGGCGGCCTCAACCTCACGGCGCAGGTTAGCGGCCAGCTCCCGGTTCTCTTCGGTAGCCTTACGAAGGCGGTCCTCGAGTACCCAGTCGTCCCAGCTATGAGAGAACAGTCAGCATATGATCTCTTTGATATCGTTGATGGAAGAGATTAGTTGATCGCGAGAAACACGATCAACCCACTCTCTTCTTGGGACCGGATTGAATGGAGTCACGAACAGACGGCGACGGGTCTGCGAACGGTTCATACGAAGGGAGATATGATCCATGATGTGCGTTTTGAGGGTGCAGAGGTGTGTGAAGGCGAAAGCGAGAGTGCAGAAGGGAAGAGCAGAGCTAACTTACGTGTTCTTCCACCCTTTATAGTGGACGAGGTACTCGAGGACGCTCTTCTTATCGGCGGCGTCCTTAGGCCGCACCTCTAGGATCTTCGCATCATAGAGGATATCATGGTGGAAGCAAAGGACTTTCTCGTCCTTGCTGTACATGGAGGAGGGAGGCATAATGGGGAAACGTGAAGAGAATGATGAAGGTGGGGACGGTGAGGAGGAGAAGAGGATGGCGATGAAGAGGTTGCAAGCGTCGAAGGACGAGCCTCTGAAAAGGTTGGAAGATGCAGGAACAAACCTTCAGGAAAACATTCACAATCCTGAAATGAGAAAGTCCGTGGGCGGTGAACTGGCGAAGGGCAGTATTGGCTTGGATAGGCAGCTTTTGACGGACTTTGAGGCGGTTGATATCTCGGTCTTGCCTACAGACAATTTGCCCAGGCGCCTCTACAAGAAGTCGGATGGTGCCTGATTGGAGTTCAATCCAGCCCTGCCTGATTCTCAATGGCTGGATATGCAGTTTTCGACAATGGAAGCCTCTCGCGTGAATATCGTGACGCGTGTAGGGCTGTCAGAGCACTGCCGATGGAGATGGATGCTCAATTCCAGAAAAGGCGGAAGTGGCCCCTTGAGAAATCAGGTGCAATGCGAAATATCTAGACGGCCAGCGAAGAGAAAAGATCCACAACTTCGTGCCCGCAGTGGAAATTTTGGGTGGGTGCACAATTATCTTCTGTTGTACAATGCTTTCCGTGAAGTACCAGAAGTTCTGTTGCTGATTGTCTGGTTTATCGTCCCCATCTCAACGGCAGACACGTGATATCGGCGCGCCTCGGAGACGCGACGCGGCCGCTTCTCATTCGGGAAATATTTCAACTGGCGATCTACTCCTCGATCATTATCGAGAGAGCTTAATCAAACTACATTGATTGAGAAGACCAAAAACAACAATCTTATTGCAAACATGGCACCTTCAGAAGAATCCATTCTGAGCAACTTTTTGCTCTCGCCGGCGCCTCTACCGACAGTCATGTCTCTCCAGAAATTCACAGAGCTATTCCCTAGACGACTACGGAGTCATCCCCACATCCGCACACTGTACCGAGAGCTTCAGCAAGTCCGGGAACATGACATGGATCGGGTGAATGAAAACATCGACAAAGAGATCCGCCAAGGCGAGCGACAGAAAGCCGAGCTCCGCAGGGCCAGTCGTGCCGCAGGCGTGGAAGCTGCTGATGCTGATGAGCAGCGGGAGATGGAGGTGGATCTCCATCTCTTTGGTCAGAATGTGACTACCGGTCCAGATGATTACCATTCCGTGGATAGTCTACTGGCGGCGATGGAGACTGCCTGTGCCAACATTGAGCGTGAGATAGCCGATGTTGACCAAGAGGCTGCGGGTCTTTTGAAAGAGCTCAATACGACCGTTGGTGATTTGAGCGATCTCCGCTACGGCAAATTGCAGGGCCCAGCTGGCACTGCTAATACCCTGGCCAGTGAGACTATCCAAGGCCTGCAAAACCTGGAGGAGGCCTGTTACAAGGGCATGGGTTCTGGCCCTTCCTGAATCGACGAATGATTCGTTTATGGCTGTTGTTAAAAGTTCTACTTGAGCAATATCTTGAAATCGGCACATTATTTCCATCAAAAGTCTGATGACCTCTGGTGAGTGACTCTATCTTCGATGAGAAAACTAGGAAGCTCATGGCTGACTTGTTTGCAGACCCTGTTCACCAGCACGAAACAAACCACCAACCTGCACTCAGTGTTCTTCTATGTTGGAATGTCTCTTGTGAAGAGTCTAGAGATGATCACACTGCGCCTAGGCTACCCCAAACCATCAAATCAAGCCTGAAGGGAATTGTCTGGAAACTGCCTCGAGACTTCTATCCTATTGCCGCCTCTCTAAAGAGTGCTCACCCTCAACCCAAAAGCTTGATCTGGAGGACAGAAGACATCAAAGTCTGTAGTCTGACATGCAAATCATCGTCTCATAGGGAAGATGTATCCGGGAGGCAAAGGAAGGTCTAACAAAGATGGGACAGGATGAAGGGCTAGCCTTTGACAGTACCATTCTGCATCAATCATTCACTATCCTATCAAGATGCCAATTGAAATTGCGACGATCTCGTCATAAGTCCCTAATTTGTAACCTAAGAACCATCTCAGCAGCGACCATATGCCATTTTAATCTTAAACTGTCTTCGGTAGTTAATGTCGGCAGATTCTCCTCCTCCCCATGCTAAAATGTGGGGTCCAATGACGGAACGCGACCCGCGTCGCGTCTTCTCGATCTGACAATCTTCAACCTCATCTTTAACATCAACACTCGAAGAGCAGCATCAAGCCTCGCTATTCCATCAATCATGCCGTCAATTGCACTGCATCCGCGTTCCTCTGCGCTCGTGACAGACCCCTCCCTCTCCGTCCACAATCCCCTCCCTCAACTCCTCCAAACACCCTCAGGCCTTGCCCTCCTCGAACTCCAAGGCACAATCAACGTGCCAACCTCCGAAGCCGAGCAGGGCGATCCCAGTGTAGACAATGGAATCGCAGAATCCACCTCCTACGAAACCCCGATCGGCAAACTCATGTTCCCGGACTATTCGATCCACAACCCAGACGATACTAAGTGGATGAAACGGGTTTACCTGTACGTGGGACGGTACCAGCGGATGACTGGGGAGGTGAAGAAATTACCAAGACCGATCGCGGTGCTACAGAAGAGGGCTGGGACTGAGACGGAGGAGTTGGAGGTGGTGGAGATTGTCAGGTATAAGGTGTTTTTCAAGAGCCGTCCGGAGCCGGTGAATAATATTTGAGGGGGCATTCGAAGGAATTGAATTGAGATCGTTGATTGATGGATATGAAAGGGGAATCAGGATTTGAGGGAGTTGTTCCCTCCTGGTGCTGGTGCAGGCCTGTGGGATGCTTCCTCGAGGGACTACAACATGGTCATGGCCATGCTGCACCAATTGGCCCTCGTGGACGCAACTACGGACAAATACAACGCTGCCAGGGTCATGAAACATAAGATCTACCATTCTGCTCCGTCGCTCCGCGTGTTGCCTCTTCGTGTGAGCTAATGCGGTCTACGATCTGCTCCGTCGCCCTCGGACGACCGTCGGGACAACGAAGGGTTAAACACGGCAGGGCCATGTCTTTGCAGATGACTTGACAACTTCCTTATCTTCGACGAAGATCACCGGAAATCACAATGGGAATGAAATAACCAGCTCACCCAATGATATCAGCATTGCCGCGTGTCTCTTATCGCCAAGGCGAAGCCGCGGGAAGGCGGGCGAAGAATGTGTGACGTGAAAGTTTATGCAAGCGATTCCCGAAAAACAATCTTGATTAAGCTTTCGTCCCTTTCCCTGTTCCAGCTTTCTCCTTCCCCCAAGCTTGCCAATACATTCTCAATTGACCACGTCAAACGACTCTCGACGGCGAGGAAAAAGCAATTCCTCGCCATCGACATTCCCTCCTCCTAACCCGGTCTATCCGTCAAACCCGGCGCCAGCCCGCCAGCCAGCCACAATGACCATCCCCAACGCAGACGAGACCATCTTCCCAACAAACCTGGGCCCCGAATATGTCGGCTTCGACCATATCCTCTGGTACGTCGGCAATGCCAAGCAAGCCGCATCCTACTACATCACCCGCATGGGCTTCCGGGCCATCGCCTACCGAGGCCCAGAAACAGGCTCGCCATACCTGGCCAGCTACGTGGTTGCCAATGGTGGAGCCGTCTTCGTCCTGACAGGGCCGGTGTGTGGTCCCGCGCATACTGAATCCGAGAAAGACAACAATGCCCTGCAAAAGGCGACGAGCGAGGACCGGACGGTGCTTGCCGCGATCCACGAGCACCTGACGACACACGGCGATGGAGTCAAGGACGTCGCATTCCGGGTGACGGGCGACGTGGGTGCAGTTTGGAAGCGCGCTGTTGATAATGGGGCCGCTGCTGTGGCGGAGCCGAAGAGTGTCAAGGCTGATTCTGAGGGGGATGGATATATTACGACGGCGACGGTGGGGACATATGGTGATACCGTGCACTCGCTGGTCAATCGAGAGCATTACGCGGATAATGCGCCATTCTTGCCGGGGTATCGGGTCGTTGATGGGGATGAAGATCCTATCAACCAGATCCTCCCATCGGTCGAGTTTCTGGAGATTGATCACTGCGTGGGGAATCAGACGTGGGGTGGCGTGGATCGAGCTGTGCAGTTGTATGTTGCTGTACCCTCGTTCCAAAGGACTTGAAGGACTTGACTAATTGGATGGGAAATAGCTACGAGGAATGTCTGGATTTCCACCGCTACTGGACGGTCGATGACAAGGACATGTGCAGCGAGTACTCCGCCATGCGGTCTATCGTGGTAGCATCACCGAACGAGACGATCAAAATGCCCATGAACGAACCCGCAGTGGGCAAAAAGAAGTCTCAAATTGAGGAGTATGGCCTCTCCCGTCTTAATCTCCAATTTCCCTCGCTCCATATAGCTATATTATCCAAGATTCTAACCGCAAATCCAGATTCGTCGACTACTATCACGGCGCCGGCGTCCAGCACATCGCCTTCCGCTCCAACAACATCGTCTCCGCCGTCACAAACCTCCAAGCCCGGGGCGTTCAATTCCTCAAAGTCCCCAGTACATACTACGCGGACCTCCGCCGGCGTCTCTCCCACGTCTCCTGGACCCTGAGCTCCGACGTCGACGTCCTGGAGAAACTCAATATCCTCGTCGACTTTGACGAGCGTGGATATCTGCTGCAGATCTTCGCCAAGCATGTCGGAGATCGGCCAACGGTTTTTGTGGAGGTGATCCAGCGTCATGGATTTGATGGATTTGGAGCTGGTAACTTTAAGAGTCTGTTTGAGGCTTTTGAGCGGGAGCAGGCGTTGAGGGGGAATTTGTGATCTCAATTTGGGATTGTGACTGAGATTTGACATCGCGCTGCATTTTCGCTTTAGACTTGCCTATCCAGTTGTTGCCCAGGTTTGGGTCTGGAATCCTCTCCTCTCTTGGTGTTTGTTCGATACTAAGAGGTCCCAATAGAATCGAGAACAGTACTATTCATGTCTTCGAAGCATTCCGAGTATCATTTGCTACAAAGCTGCATGAGCTTGGCCTCATCATGAAATATCCCGTTCCTTCATCTTCACATCCACACTCCTACCACACTATTTCCTCAGATCTCTACTCAAAAGACCAACCCCCCGTCTTCTCCCCAAAAAAATTATCCGGATCATACCTCCTCTTAATCCCCCTCAACCTCTCAAAAGTCCCAAACGACCTCAACGGCTCCTGATCCACATTAGCATCATTAATAAAAAGCGGCAAACCCTCCGCATTGCCCGACTCCATCACCAAATCCCGATAACTCTCCTGCACAGCCCTATAATCCGGCTCACTCATACCCGGCGGCGTGGTAATCAAATAATTCAACCAAAACCAGGGCCCATCTGGCATTTGCATCGCATTCCCACCGTTCTGCGCCTTACTCGCGTCCGTCAAACTGCGCGGCACGGGCTGGAAGTCCAATGAAAGTAGCACGTATTTGCCTTTATTTGATTCAGCCCAGACTCGCCATTTATCTAGTGCGTTGGCGTAGGAGTTATTCTCGGGGCGGTGGACGCCGACGCGGAACATGTTTGCACCGCGGGAGAGTTCTGTTGAGAGGGGGATGGGCATGTTGACGACCTCGGGATAGGTTTTGATCCCCATTGTATTTAGCAGGTGTGGCGTGGATGTGAAATTGGTGAATGCATCGCCTGGATCGGGTCCGTCGTAGACGAGGAACATGATTATTGCTTCGTCGAGGTTCAGATTCAGATCCGGGGTTGGTAGTTTCTCGTATGTACCGATGATAGCAGCCTTGGGGTCGGTGTTATATTTAATGAAATTGCCAATGGCCTCGATAACGGTATCTTTCTGTGGAAAGGTGTAGATGATGTTTCCCGCGTATAGCTCGCCGATAGGTCGACTCTGTACTGTATACTTAGTAACGACGCCGTAGGCATTTCCGCCGCCGCCGCGGGATGCGAAGAATAGGTCCTCATGGGACGAGGGCGATGCAGTGACGATTTCACCGCTAGGCAAGACGATTTCCAATTCCCGGAAGGAATCACAGGCTAGACCGTACTGGGGCGAGAGATAGCTCATGCCGCCGCCGAGAGCGAGGCCTGTTCCTACGCCTGCGAGACGAGCGCCGACGACTGTGCGGTTATACTGGATGAAGTAGTCGTATATATCGCCGAAGACACCGCCGGGCTCGTAGGTGGCGAGGGTTGTTTCTGGGTCGTAGGATTTGGCTGTCATACGACTCATGTCGAGGAGGACGCCTGCGTCGACGGAGGAGAAGAATGTGTTGGGGTTATGGCCGCCTGCTTTTATGGCGAAGCGACTGTCTGCTGCGCGGATGGCTTGGAGAGATGTGGAGACGTCTTGCGCTGAGGTTGGGTAGACCACGCATGAGGGTTTGTAGGCATCTTGGAGGGTATTCCAGTATTCAAGACTGTTGATATATTGGAGGTTGAATTGGCTGCTGACGACCTTTGCAGAGCCTAGTTGGGTGGTGATATTGGCGCAGGCAGCGGGCCCGGCTGCAGTTGAGGCTGTAGTCTCATGGATGAAGAGGGCGCCTGTCAGCAGGGGGAGGTAGAAGTGTATCATGGTGAGTATGATAGACACCACTGGACTGGCATTGAGAAGGGTAGGCCCATAATGGGGCGCGTCGAGGCTTCAAATAGTCCATATTCCATTGTGTACAGAGTATGGAGTACGTAGAATATTCACATGAGTAGAGAGATGTTTATTCAGGGTATCCGGAGAATAGAGGATGATCCCTCGGCATTTGTATACGATAGGTATACGATGGACGTCGGGAACTGGGATACGATGGGAATACGCCATTTCGACTTGGTCTTAACGGGGTAAAAGGAGCGGCGATCATAATCTCCAGTAGCCTCAAGTAGTGTTAAGTTGACAACCTAAGATCATTTTAGGGTGCAAGCCATGTTCTGGGAAAATCAGTGCCTGGATTGAGGATTGACTTATTCTGTTTTGGGGCATGCTCCGAGCTTATGCAGCTAACGATCCACAAAAGTAAGCCGGCTATGTACTTTCCGATGCTGGAAAGTGTGGAGAGTGTCGGGAATGATGTCGATCATCCTCGGAGCAGCTGGATTGGGTAGAGTATATCTCACACGACTGTTCTTGAGAACTCAATTTTCAGTTGAAAATGATTGATGGCATGCTAGTCTACACGAATAAGGTGACAGCCTTGTTACCAGTTAGATATACAAACACACGACTCTGAAGACATCACATGTGATCCCCTTATACTCCGTGCTCATAGTCTGAAGAGGCAGGGACACGCACAAGTTGGGCTATACCTAGCTCTGGATAGTCTGCGATGCCTTATAAGATCCAAACCGAAGATGGGATTATCTCTACTGACCTAGCAGTTTTTTTTGGAATATCCGAGAGACCTTTTAGACATGACTTATTGCTGATAGCATAGGCACTTAGCCAGTTCATGCACCGTAATTCCTCTCTATACCCTGCATTATTTTGATTGTCTTAGGCTCGACTAAGTCCGCGCATATCAGACGCTGGGTAGCTTAGTTCTGATCACTATCCTAAAGTTCAAATCCAGGGTCCAATTTGATGCAACTACTACCTATCTTTTGCTATAAGAGCCCCGCAGTATTGACTAGGACAAACAAGTATAAGTGTGAGCATTTCCCATCTCTACTCACCTTAATAGTAACGATGCTAATTTAACATACAATAATGAACCCTTTAATGTGATCTTATCAATCCCCCACTTCCCATCTTAGTATTTCCGCCCGGGTATTGGCGCCTCACCAAGTGCGGAATTGACACGCTCTCTGTGCCCAGCTTATTCCGCACTTCATTCTCCCGAATCATTAGAATATCAACAATCCCATAGACTTGCGAATGCAGAATACTAACACTTAGACAAATTAACATAAATCACAAATCAATTAACCACCTACCTACAATATACATAATACCATCAATGAACCAATCGATTCCGATCCGTCGGAAGTATTTCTCTAGTACCGTAGTAATCAACCAAGTAATTATCCGGTCCCCGCCCTTTCCTCCCCATCGGCTCCCCTCCGATCCGCAGTAACCCCGCAAGAATTAACACCTCCGAATCCCGCGAGGAATATAAAGGTGTCCAGACAACTTCCACCCGATGCTACGCAGCCTGGCAAAGACTCTTCGCATTCTCCCTCACAGTTTCACATTCACCTCCAGATCTATATCTACAACATCATCAACCCTTCAAAGCCCACCTTCCACTCCCACCACCAAAATGGCCCCCATCGAGCGCATCACCCTCTTCAAGGTCCCCAAGGAGGAAGACCGCCTTCGTCTATTGGAGCAGTACAAGGTCCTAGCCAAGACTGCTACTAAGGTAAGCCAGCCCTAACCCTCGCGTATAAAATAACACAACTAACATTATTCTCCTTCTCCTCCGGTTTCCAGGACGGCAAACCATACATCCTCTCGGCCGCCGTCGGCCTCTCCTTCGACGACCCCCGCAACAAGGGCTATAACATCTCCGTCAAGACAACATTCGCTTCCCTTGAGGATATGAAGTACTATGATACCGAGTGTGAGGCGCATAAGGCGTTGAAGGCTGTGGCCGGACCGGTGAAGGAGGATGTTCTTACTACTTATTATGAGAATGTTCTTTAAACCTGAATAAGGCTGGATAAGAACCGGGAGGAAATTGAAAGTGAGAATGAAGAGGGCCTGGGATTGAACTGGGTGGAATCTTACGATCTAAGTGATGGGATTTTGTATAGAGTGTCGGGTTTGTGCTAGACCTGGGTCTACTGAGAGGACCTTACCAGTACCCGGGATGAGGAAATGAAATAAAAGAATCTTGGTGACAATATTAATTCATTGGACGGACGCTACATACATCAGTCATGCCGGATTTTGTCTCGATCGACTCTGCTACCAGCATGGCAAGACAAAATTGATAATACGACACAAGTGGACCGATAGAGCCCGAAAAAAGAGTGCAGAACAAGTCACGAGTACGGAAACACCAACATCGTTGGGATGAAACGCTAAGCGAGCTAGGCAAACAACCGAGACTATGACGACCGTGGAAGATTCATTCGTAACAGATTACAAAGTAAGATGAGTATGTGAGTTACAAGAGTCGGCCAGAAGAATCATGGCAAGGCCGAGAGACAGCGCAAATCGCACCTAGCAGCGAAAAAAAAGCCTAGAAACAAACATCCAGCCCATAGATATGGGGTCTTGCACAGCCTGAAGAAGGAGGATGGATCCCAGATCCGACGCGCCTTGGCTGTGCATGAGAAATATACAGAGGAGGGGGAGGCTGGACCAGATAAGGTCCAACCCGAGAGGAGGAGGGTGGTAAATGCGGAAGATGATTAGTCGAGGGCTCGACGAAGATCACTCCATTTCTGTCGAAGGGTATCGTGTTCTTCGGAGATCTGGATTTTTGGGTTAGTTGAGGTTCAAAGGAAACAGTAGAGAAAAGCCAAGGCTTAGACAAGAACATACCTCGGCCCACTTCATCTTCGTAGCTACCAACTCCTTCTCCATCTCCGCCATCGAGTCCTCCATCGCACGGTTCTCGTTCTGTACCTCAATGTTTCGCTTCATGATACGGTCCATCTCGACCCGCAACTTCTCCTCCACCTCACCAGGCTGCTTATCGACCACGTTCTTCAGCTGCTCGACCTGCAAATTCAGCGCGTCGTTCAAGTCACGCAGCTCCTCATTTTCCACTTTGGCGTGGACCAATTCCGAGGCCAGCTGCACATGCTCCTTATCCGACGCCTCGGAGCGCTCCTCCAAAAGTCGTAGTCGGGCAGCTTGTGTGCTGACGGTGTGACGAAGGTTCTCCAGCTCAGCTTCACGCTCTTTCTCGGTGCGAACTTTGTCTTCCCACTCAGTAGTGTAAGAGTTGATCACCTCCTGCGTGAGAGGCACGGCACAGGCATCTTGCACCATGAGGTCCGCGCGGTAGGTCTCCTTGTCAGCAGCACCAGAGCTTCCAAAGAAGCCAGACTCTAGAATGGAAGAGGCAGAGGGCTGCTTGTCGATGTATGCATCAAAAAGACGCTCCTTAAGGAATGTCGTCAACACACTCATGTCCTTCATCTCCAACAGTGCCTCCGCGTTGCGACGCATGATGGCAATGGAGAACTTGAGGATTGTGACCTCCAGGCCTTCCTCAAAGATCAAATCGTAGATCCGGAGAACTAGCTGCAGCGGGAAGCGGTAGGCGAAGAGAGTCAAGAACCATTGTGTTGCATACAATTGTGGGGGAACTCCACGTCGCCGGAGGTGGCAGTAGAGAGCGGGCTCCAAATCTTCCAATAGTCGCTCGAACTGGTAAAGGCTGCGGTGGAGACCAGGCATTTCGGAAATGAACATTTCACGGAGTCGATACTTGTTCATAAGTTTGACAAGTAGCTCAAAAGCATCGGCCTCGTCCATCTGTTGAGTGGTCAATCAATGAGATCAAGAAAACACGGGGACTTCCATGACAAACTTACGTTGAACAACAGAGGCATGACGATGAAATTCATGCCCTGAGCATACCCCACCGCCTCATCATACAACGCATAGGCCTTACACAACCCAAACAAGCTTTCTTGGCTGCCTTGCGAGACAAAGTACTTCGAATAACTCGTCCGAGCCCCCAAGTCTCGCCGAATAGTCTTCTCTAGCTTTGACAGCGCGGAAGCCTCGTCCTTGGCCTTCTTCAGGCGGGCGGCTTCACTAGCCGCCTGCTCTTTCGCCATTTTCTCCGGGTCTGATTCATGGGAGGGACTTGGAGTAGCGCTAACCGATTGTGTTCCGGAGCCCGAAATGTTAGACCGGATGGACGAGCGCGATGATGGGATAGACTCTTTCTCGGCCATGCCGTTGATCTGGACACTCGGCGTCCGGTGGTCCTTATCTGTGCCACGGGTCACCAGTTCGCGGTATATCTCCTCCAACTCACCAATCCGGCAGTCTGCCAGAATCTGCCAAATCACTCCACGGATAGTCTGCGGAATTCCCCTCTTGATAGCGGCGTTCAATTCTTCTGAGCTGGCTAGCGCTTGTGGCCCATTGTTGACCAGCTGTTGCCAGAGATCCCAGTCCACTGGTGCAGCTGCGTCGGTTGCAGATTGAGAGAATCCAGATACGGTACCAGGAGCAAGACCCGGGTTAATGGTCGATGGGGTGACGCCTCCAGGGGAGGTTGCTCCAGAGGCGGGAGCAGCAGGCGCGACCAGAATTCCATCTTCGCCTTCTTCAGGAATGATTGGTGGGCTAGCACCAGCATGGCTGGTGCTTGCATGACCCGATCGTACACTGCCTGCGTCGTTCTCGGGATGACCAGACTCTTCCCTCATTCGCAGAAGCTTGAACTGGTCCTTCAAACTGTTCCGTCTCGGTCTCTTGGAGTGCACACTCGAGCCATCTCCATCCACCAGGTCCAAGCCGCTAGCAACGGTCGATACCGAGGTAGAGGTGTTTCTTCGGCCACTCGGAGGGGGGACTTGATGTCTTTGGTGCCAGTCGAGCTGCGGGAGAACCATGCGAAAGGTCCGCTGGGCTTGCGGGTCGGAGGTGGTGGAGGTGCGGCGGGGGGAGGGTTCTTGTTGACTGGGGGAGGTCCCCATGGCAAGGAGGGTAGGGCTCCAGATAAGCCCATCAAGCCAGAGCCAGGAGGGGACGACACTTCATCCTTAGGAGGCACTGGAGGCGATTCGGACTTGAGATCGGGTGTACCGACCTGATGAGGATGCTCATCGTCCTTGCTAGTTGTCAGGTTCACCTCGTCCAGCGAAGATGCAGTAGATAACCGGTGGGAGGTGAGCAAGGGGGATTTGGGCGCCATGGTTCTCCTTGGGGTCTCCTCTCCTTCACCTGCGTCGTCAGCGTCCACTGGAGTAATGATGCGATCTCGCTTGTCCTCTTCAATCATCTCCACCGCAGTGTCCAGCTTCACGTCCTCGATAGGAGTGTCCACGGCTTCGAAATCAGCCTCGGCATCGGCTTCAGATTGAGCCTCATCCTGCTTGACCTTCTTCTTGTTCTTCTTCTTATTTTTCTTCTTTCCGGACGATTCACCTCCGTCTGTCATCTCGTCCTTCTGCTCGTCCTGCGATTCAGAAGGGAACGAAGGCTTATCTGTGTTTTTAGGAGAAGCTCCTGAGCCGACCGGCGGGCTACCAGTCAACGACCGGGTTGAGGAAGATTTAGGAATAGAGACATTCAAATGTTCGGGTGCTTCAGGGGCATCGTCGAAAGACTCCTATGAAGCAGGGGCAATTAGCAGTGTGGTGGGTAGAGAGTGAAACACGCAAACACACGACAGTACTCACCCCTGCGTAGTCGCTACTGTTTCGATTCGACGACATTTCGGTCTCGTGGGAGGGGAACTCGGGCAATCAAAGAGTGCAACACTCCATAAGACCCGGGCCAGCTTGTTCAGCTCAGGTCATAGAAGAGAAGAAACGAAAATCGGGGGGTGGGAGAGGAGGAATGGAATGAGCCAGCGTGGAAGGAATTCGGGGATGTCAGTTTGGGGAATCGAATGGAGGTGCCAGGTACGTCCGGCGGTGATTGGGCTGGTGGGCTTTTATGGGTGGGGCCCCTTTTCCCTCCCACTTGAAGATGTGCAGATCAGAATCTTGTGGCATTTAAATTGTAGAATGTAGGATTCCTTTTTATAAGACATAAGAGACCGCGTAAAGAGGAAATTTAAATCATCTACAAGAAGCTATTGACTCCTATACCATACAGTTTTCTACTCCTGCTAATATCCTGACAATGTAAAGACGCGGCCTTCAAGTCCCAAAAAGGGGGCCGAGGGATGTGTACCGCGGGAAAGAAAAGCAAGTAGAGTTCGGAGACTTAAAACCAAATCAGTATTCAGTATTCAGATTTACACTGGTAGAGTCTTCTCAAAATCCAGCCACCTATCTTTCCTCAACGGATCAAGTTGCTTCAACTCCGAGAGCCAGCTCAGAATCTGTTCTCGATCCTCGGTCGATAATGAACCGGCCACCTTTGAAACCAGCAAGGTACATTCAATCAGCGCCTGGTAGATATACTTGCAGTCCTCCGCCCCATCGAGCATCTCCCGGATAGCTTCGATTTCATTTCGCAGATATTGAAGTCGCTCTGACGTGCTCAGATTCGGAGCCATAGTCCGGGAGGCGACGGCCGGATCAAACACACACATCAGATTCTGGTGATAAAACCATAAGGACTGATCATAAGGATCAATCAGTGCTTGATGAATGAGAGTCAACTCTGTAAAATTAATAGAATGTCAGCCATCAGTCCATATGAGAAACCCTCCGAGGTAATTCAAACTCACCGTCCTCCAACATCTTCCTCCGCTCATCATCACTGGCCGACTGTTCCTCGAGTAATCGCTGGATAAGCTTTGTGCGGTAGTGCCACGCGGAAAAGTTGGACAGATTGGCGCCGATCATCTTTTTCGCATACTCGAATTCCTTCTGGGTCATGCTGGCAGACTCGGCGGGGGTTCCCAGTTGCTTCAAGGTCTCCACCACGAGGCGACGGTATCCCCAGCCATGGAAGTTCCGACTGTCCAACGTCAACATCTTGCCCACGAGGACTAGCTCTTCTTGCCAGAACTGGCGAGACATGGCCAATGGGAGCAACCGGCGAGCTTCGTCCAATAGCCATATGCGATAGTTCCAGATCCAGTAGCACTTGGGGAAGCTGCGCAGGAGAGGCATAAGAAACACCAGATCATTTTTGATCAGCTCTGCGATCTTCTTGGTGGAGTCTTCTTCATCAGAGTCTCCAGCATTAGAAAACTGGCGCCGAAGGACTTGTCGCCGGTAGTTCCACACGGTGTAGTACTCTGGGTTGCGACTCAGCAAGTCAGAAATTCCCTGTAGAGTCTCGTCCGTATATTCTTGTTGGGCCACCTAAGCCGAGTTAGTATTCATGCACCTTGAAAATCACTATAGGGGGAAGCAAAAACAATCGCTCTCTCACCTTCTCAGACACCTGGCGTTCTAAGGATTTGTATTCGTCAATCTTCTGTAGCTCTTGCTGCCGCTGTTCTGGGGTCTTTTCCACCGGTTTGAAGCGGCGGACACCATGCTACAAGACCGTCAGTACATTTTCCCACCGTATCTCAAATATCTTTACTCACGCTTGCCATTTTGAACGAATATTTGCCAGTCGGGGAAGTGTTGAAGGAAGCAGCGACCACCGCTCGGCATCCAACGATCGGCATCACGTAATCACCGCTTTGATTGGAAGGCAGTTGCTATACGATGGATTTACTTCCAACACGCGACACATCTCTTCTCTATACTTTGTACAGCAACTCGATAATCGTGCTGCCTCCACCCAGAGGCTTTCTATACACTCCTTTTTCTTTCAGATGGTACTAGACTTTGATTGACTCTTTACAACACTTATCGCATCCAACATCAACCATGGTGGATACGCGAAGTCATTCCTTCGAGGATACTTCTTCCTCCAGCAATCACTATATGCCACTAACCTCCTCGTCCCGATCCGAGTCTGACCAGAACGTTGGATCGCTTCGAATTACTGAGTTTGCAACTATCAATTTACGATTGACCGACTCACCCGCCAGCTCTCAGAACTCACTAGTCCTCAGACCCATACCGAAAGCTGTCAATATAGTGCCGCACTTGCAAGAGAACAGAGACGCAGCCTCTCCCACTCCTAGCTCCCCTAAACGGGGACGAAGATTTTCCAGGGGATCCCCAAATGGAAATTCATCGCAAGCGACTTTCCACGGTCCGGCCTCGCCGGACAGATTCATCCCAAAGCGGGAATTCGGACTACATTCGGCGACTTCATATCGTGTTAACAAGCACCATTATCAATTATCGCCTCAAGAAAGAATTACCAGAAGGCGTCTACCCGGAGAAGACCCGTTCCTCCCAGCAGCTCACCAGTCTTCAACCTTTGCCAGACAGAGACCAACCCCAACTCGCCCTCTTCAAAGACCACACCGACCTCATCTCGTCGCCGACTGGGCTGCCTTGGCTGATGCTGCTCCCAATGAGTTCCACCGAAGAATCAGCGCGGGAGCTGTCTGGAACGTTGGTGGAACTGCCGCAGTTCTTGGACAGCCTCCTGAGACAGTGTCAAATGACCCACGGAGTGTCTCTGGTCGAGACGCAGGGTCAACAGCTTTCGTGGCAAGATTCCTGCCCAAAATCTCACGCCATGATGATCTGAACAAGCATGAGTCAAGACTTGCACTCGCCTTGGATATTGACCCGACAACTAGACTCCTGGGTACCTGTATTGCCCGTCAAGAAAAGTCTCCCAGTCCGGCATCTCCAGACTACGAACGATATTCACCGTATGTATGGAAGGACAGTGCCTGGAAGAAGGTTGAGAGGGGACATTGTAAGTCTTGTGGTAGACTTGATTTCTTTCTCGTTGCAAGCTTCTGTCTCTGCACTGTGTGTTCCACGGCTGGAGCTCATGGCCGGACGGGCTTTTTATAATCTACTTACCGCACAGAGCGACCATATATATGATGTCTACAGAACTTGCTTATTGAATGAGACAGACAGCACTTGCAGTATCGTCCATGGCATGAGCTGACCATAGGCACCTCTCAGGGCCGACAAAGCTTGCCAAACGTGGAGTCGTTCCCTCCAAGCCTTTTCGGATCCTAGACGCTCCTTTTCTACGAGATGATTTCTACTGCTCAACACTCGCGTACTCCTACACAGCTGGTGTATTGGCTGTGGGTCTCGGCCAATACGTCTACCTCTGGTCCGAAGGCTCATCTCTAGATCATCCACCTTTCGGAGATGCTCATCCGTCCAATTACGTGACATCCCTTTCGTTCTCTTCTGAAGAGGGAGGGAAGAGCATCCTCGCCGTTGGGCGCCAGTCTGGTCAGATATCTCTGTGGGGTGCCTTTGAGCCCAAAGTTCGCTTCGAGGTCAGCCATCCCCGCAGCATTTCTTGCATCTCGTTCAAGCCCAATACTACTCGCCGACTTTCGGAAAGATATACCAACTTGGTAGTCAACGCAGAAGACCTGGCGGTTGGAGATGAACTGGGCAGTTTCTGGTACTACTCGGTTGAGTGGCCGGAGATTAACAGCAAGTGGAGTTGGACAGGATCCATGACACTACTTGCAAAGATCTCGGCACACTCCCAGCAAATATGCGGAATAGCATGGTCGCCGGATCAGCGGTTTCTTGCCACCGGCGGTAACGATAACGTCTGCCTGCTGTTTGAACTGCGTAAAATCATTCCTCCGTCGCTCAGCGATGGCCCTGTGTCCCCTGAATCAACGGCTTCATCTGGTGGTATTAGTGGTCCTGCCGTTCCAAGTCTCAATTTGGGTACGATGCCACGACACTCGCTCAGCGGGCAACGTATCGTTAGCCATATACTGCCATCATGGTTCCACCCACCACCCATCAGGCCTTCTATGGCAGCGCCTCTCCTGAGCCAGGCAGGCACTCTCATTTCCGGGAGGGGTAAGACAGTGTTGATTCCGTCGGGCTGCCAGAAGTACCGCTTGCTGCATTCCGCTGCAGTCAAGGCAATTGCATTTGCACCGTGGCAGCCATCGCTGCTGGCGACAGGGGGAGGATCTAACGACCGGGCAATTCGTTTCTGGCACACTCGCACGGGAGTGTGTCTTGCGACTATCAACGTATTTGCGCAAGTGACTAGTCTGATTTGGAGTCAGACTCGGCGTGAGATTGTTGCAACTTTTGGATATGCTCAACCCGACCACCCGATCCGAATTGCCGTCTTTGCGTGGCCCAGCTGCGCCCAGGTCGCCGTCATTCCCTGGGGACCGTATGGAACCAGCTGGGACGGACCCGACCCTGAACCCAGATACGACTGTGGACGGGCTCTTTGGGCTATTGGCTATCCAGGACGCGCTCCTCGACCGCCGAGTATGACACCAGATAACTCCGACATACTCGCTTCACCCGCGTCCCGATCGCCTACTCCTTCGCCCACTCGATCACAATCGACAGAGCATGGAAGCAGCTCCACCACCAGACGCAAGAGAAAGTCGCGCGCCGTTCAGCCCAAAGAGAAAGAGGGTGGGATGTGGTGCACACGTACCATAGAGGAGGGATGTATTATCGTCGCATCCAGCGACCAGACCGTCAAGTTCCATGAAGTTTGGACGGGCCGCCGCACAAGTACCGGGTCTGCGGCGTGTGGACTCTTCGGAGGCAGTGATATTCTGGAAGGCATGGAGGGGATCGAGAAATCCGGCAGTGAAGTCATTCGCTAGGCACAACAGAGGGTCGTCTAAGTTGGAACCTGTTGGCTTTTGTCCATGTTTTGCTGCACAGGTGTATTCTTACTCTTTTGCGAGGAGGTTTGTAAGTAATCCGTCTTCGGTCCTTGGGTTTGCCCAGGGTCTGTCCATCCACGATGTGAACAGCGTTTTCATTGGTGTTTGAAACTTTGAGTGCATTATTATAGATTTCAATGGGGACGCAGTGAGCGTCAGCCGTCAGCACACTGTTTAACTATCGTTAAGTACGGAATAGAATGTTGATCACTCCCCACTTGAGTATATGCATAGACCCCCTTGGCATCGTCGATCATCTCGTACTTTCTTTTTTCCCTTACTTTAGACTGCACATAAGCGTCCTTAACCTCAATCCTACAGGATTTCATTCAATAACACACGTATGTACAACCGCTCTTCCTACAATCTTCCGAATCAAAATGCGCCTCCCATCTATCCTCCCCTTCTCCTTCTCCCTCACTCTATTCCTCACCCTCACCCTTGCCTCCGCAAACACCCTAAACATAACGGTCATCAACACCCACAACAACCACTCCACCCTCGAATGCTGGGCCCTCGAATGCTGGGCCCTCGAACCGGGTTTCCAGTCCTCGACACAAGCTGGTACATCGGGTACTCAAGCATTGAATCTCGGGCCTATCGGCTCGAATGCAAGTTATACTGTTCTTCCCGCGGGGTTTGATGGGGGAGACATAATGCGCCTGCGAAGCAGTATGTATAATGTTTATTATTATGGGTTGTTTCCTTGCTTTATCATGGACTATTATTATCGCGCTATGCTGTGTTCTCTTCTCCTATCCTCTGTTCCCCGATGAACAATCAAAGATACAACTACCTGATATCGAACATCTAATATCAAACAAATGGTCTATATACTAACACCCCTTTAACAGATGGGTAATTTTCCTCACCGGCCTCGCACACATAACCCTCCCCAACACCACCACCACCTCCTCCTCTTCCTCCTCCAAGACAGAAGCCTGGATTACCGGCGGTAAACATGGCGCAATTCTCACACTGGATACACCGGATGTTAGTACCTGGGGCCATATCACGAAATACCCCTCGGATCAGGAGACGGTTGCGTTGCAAATTCCCCTGAAAGAGGGGGAAGTGCCGGGGCATGTGGTTTTGTATGAGGGGGTTGTGTGTGGGGGAGGAGGTGGATGGGTGAGTGAATTGGGGGATTTGATGGAGCATGTAATGAGGGAGAAGGAGAGTGAGTTGGGACGGATATTGAGTATTTTGATACATAGGATGGAAAAATATCCTGGTAAAGACTTATCCTAGTAAAAACTCAACCCATTCTGGTACAAGAACATTAAAGCTCCAAAATAATAAGATCTTGTATATATAGGCATCCATGGAGATACAGATTGCACAATAGAAGTAAGGAAAAGAAATTCAAAAGTTCACAAGAAGGAAAAATGCAGGCATCTGATGCATCCGAGTATATAGTAAAAAATCTTTTTATCAAAAACAACAAATTCAAAATCCCAAGACACTTCCCTCCGCTTTTCATACAAAGCAAAACAGTCCAGTCCAGTCCAGGCACTATGGCCGAACTCATTTCTTCCCACCCTTCTTCCTACCCGCAGTCGTCTTGGCCTTCTTCGAAGGTGGAGGAGCCTCAACCATCTCTTCATCGGACTCCTCATCCTCGGTATCAGCAACAAAGTTCGCCAACGAACCCTCACTATCCTCGTCCTCGTCATCCTCGTTCTCCTCCAGTGACTCCTCCGCATCAGATGAACCGGCAGACTCCTCGGCCTCGATGTCAAGGACACCCTCGTAGCCGTCCTCGTCATCCTCATCATCTTCATCCTCGTCATCCTCGGACTCGTCCGCGATACCGTTCAACATGGACTCATCCTCGTCTTCCTCGAAGGCAGAGTCGCGGATCGACTTGGTTCGCGGCTTAGCCTCGTCATCTTCGTCGTCGTCTTGACCCTCGACGTAGATGACGTTGTCCTCATCCTCGCTGTCCATCTCGTCGCCGCCACGGATCGACTGGCGCAGACCCAGCTGCGCATCCAGCATATCCAGCTTACCCTTAAGCAGGAGCAGCGACGGCAGGCTCGACGAACGCTGGTCCATCACCTTGTATAGAGTGGCCATGCGGTTCAGTAGCTCGGGGTGACCGGCGAGTGCGCCACCGTGGGCAACGCAGGTCCACTGCACCCAGACAAGGAGGTGGCCATAGCGGCCGGGGCGGGAGGAGAGACGCTCGGCGAGCTTCTGGAGGAGAGTGGCTGCCAGCGGGGACTCGAGACGCTGGATGGTGGTGCGGATGATGGAGGTGTCGGCGGTGTGGAAGCAGGACTCGAGCATGTCCTTGTCGTTGGTCTTGAGGGACTGGGTGAGCACGGTGGCGAGCGAAACACCAGTGGGGATCTGTTGGATGGCGGCTGTGGGCTTGCCAGGGACAAGAGCGCCCATGAGGTTATCCTCGTCCATCTCGGCCTCGACATCGACTTCTTGGCCAGCGTTGGCGCGCATGATCTCGCCGAACGAGGGCTCGGCGCCCTCCTCTTCTTCCTCATCCTCGTCCTCTGACGCGGCGTTCTCCATATCGACATCCTCATCGACGGGAGCGGCCTGCTTGGTAGACTTGGTCTTCTTCTCGCTAGTAGGCTTAGCGGAGTCCTCAACGTCAGAGTCCACGTCGCTGCCAGAAGCAGAGCCAGCCTCATCATCATCATTCATCTCCACGTCATTATCAACAATATTACCAGCCTCAACGACAACATGCGTCTCATCCACCCGACCCTCGCCGACATTCTTAGCGCCATTCAAAGTCGCAGATGCGACAGCAGAGCTAGACTTGGTCTTGACAATAGCCTTAAGTCCTGTGAATGACAGCTCCTCAGTACCCTCATCGAGCAGCTTCACACGCTGGAAAACGGGAATCACACCACCCTCAGCGTACGCAACAATGATCTCAGGCCCAACGAACGCAGTTGATACCACGGGAACGCAGGTCCCTGAGTCGCCGGTACGCAGAACCTTGAGAGACGCATTCGCCTTCTGGGTCATCTGTTTCCGGTTGGCCTTGGCGCTGGCAGTAGCGGTGGGGGCCGGAGTGAAGGGTTTTGTGAAGAGCTCGATGGTGCCGTCATCGGTGACAGCAGCAAGAATTTGCTTCTCAGGGATAGTGTTGTCGAGGAGTGACACGGAGGAAACATCCTGTTCGGCGACGAGATTCCGTACGAGCTTTTGGCTAGAGGTTTCGAAAACGTTGATGAAGCGCTCACCGTCAGCGGCGAGGAATGAGCCGGAGGATGAAATGACAGTGTGAATCTGGTTGCGCATGGCAGGGAACTTGACCGGTTCCTCTTCGGAGTTTTCCACGTCGATCAGGAAGGGAGTTTGAGATGCGCAGACAACGGGTGTGTTGGAGGAGAGGGGGCGAGAGAGAGCATTGAAGGTTGAGGAGGCGGGCAAGTGAATTGTCCTGTTGAGAAGAGAGTCAGTAAAATGAGCTATGAGGAAACGAGTTGACAAGGATCTCGTCTAGAGAGAACGTGTCGGCCATACCTTACGCTCTGTCCAGTGCGCAGGTCCCACTGAACAAGCTTATTATCACCACCGATACTCCAAGCCTCCTGGGCCGGCTTCTCTGCAGTAAACTTGAAGTCCTTGATACCCTTGTCATGCGCGCCGGTAAGAGTACCGACAATCTTATCCTCCGATGGGGAGAACATCCGGATATCCGAAGTGCTGGTACCAATCGCAACCACAACGTCGCCCTGATCCAAGCCCTCCACCGAGCCGTTCACATCAGACCCACGCTTGCGCTTCTTCTTCTGATCGCGGTTCTTGCCTCCGAAGTATCCCCAATCCAGCGAAGTGACCGTCTCCTTAGGTCCCAAGGCATGTTCGCATTGTAGGCGGCCGGTGTTAACGTCGTGAATTCGGAGGTGCTGCGCATCCAGTCCCTGGATGACCGATGCGAACAAGGCCAATTGGTATTCCGACGGGGAGAAAGCAGATCGCAGGATAGACGATTTGCTGCTAGTACCAGCGAGGCCTCCGGCCGGCGACGCAGCCGTGCCAACCTTGGCTGACGGGCGAGATGTCTTCTTGCCCATTTTTTTTTTTTGAAGCGGAAGCTTTTTTCTTCCCTTTGTCTTCGCAGATTCTCGTTCCTCGGCTCGCGGGTGAGTCGTCAATATGATCGTGAAGTACCGAGTCCCCAGGAAATCGAGAGTATTTCCACGGTTAATTTGCTGTAATCCCCGGGGAGTGTTGGCTGGGGGATTCTGGGACCGGTAATCTTGCAGTTGCGGAAAGGAAAAAAATGTTCTGTAGACTCTTGGGATGGGCGCTAGTCCTATTTGGGGTTAGGGCGGCTGGTTGGCCTTATCTAATCAGCGCCAGAATTACTGGAGAGGGGAGAGATGGATGTTCTTCTTTTAAACTCAAGGTAATTACTTGTGTATTTGAAGATATGACCATCTAGTTCTGTTTGGAGACTCCAAGTATAATGCTGTTGTTGGCTTAAGTAATACCTATGCAACATGTGTTGGAGAATGAGAGGTCAGCCAGCGAGATGCCTGTTCTGAATATATACTTCACTTCGGCAGGTGCACTTACTGTAGTCGCTCCAGGCTTCGAGATTTCAAGCCATCCTTTAAATTTCACAAATCTTTATAGTAATGCTGTTGCACACAAGGCAACATAATTCTGTCAATAAATCACACCCAATCAGCACAAGGTCTGGTAGTTGGCGACATTTGGTTGACCGCCGTTGGGCGACAGCATACCGAGTAAGTATGCATGAATTTAGACACTGATGTGTTCCGAATTCGGATAACTTTAATCCGTTTAGTTCACAATATATTTAGCATGTTGATGGACAAGTACAGCTGCGAAGAATCGCAAGTTACTACATAGTAGTACTAGTAGTATTGTGGTAGAGGGGCTCGGACTATGGAATCGCTGGATAGACAGAGCTTCCAATGACTCAAAACCATGTTTTCTTTCTACAGCAATTTATAATATATATTCCGAAGTCCTCAATGATACAATATGCCAGGCGAGGATGACTGGATATATGGATGCCCAAAAGATAGTCGTATCATACAACCGGGTATACACTTCATAGATTGTGAAACCAGTCCAGGCCCCAATCTCGGACCGATGATAACTCCGGAGTGGTCGTGAGTTATCTGCCTAATCTGTAAGGGCCTAGCGATATCCTCGTTGATTGGTCTGCGGCTGGTACAATCTGCAAACCACAAATTCCCCAAGCCGCTTGGCGCATCCTCATTCACTGAATGCATTCTCCTGGCATGTTCTTTGGCTCGCTGACAGCCGCGAGGCCCGGGAACATCGCTAGTTTCATGAACACCTTGCGCTACGCTTACATGGATATTGTTGCGCCCGTACATTTCGAACTACTGACCAACTGTCTAGTTACGAGGCCAGCTGCAAAGAGCAGCACACCACGTGATGTGACGTCGCGGGCTGGACGGACGGATGACTACGCTAATCCGGATTCGGGGATAACCCTAGGGTTTGAGAGGGGGAACAGGGGCAAGTCGATGACACAGAGCCGGTCCGTCCCATAAATAATGATCTCATCATACTATCCCTCACAGGTCATTTGTGTCTCCACTTAGAGAAGGAAGAGTATGAAAAATTCGTTCCAAATGTCCAGAGGTCAGTTGTGAGTTTGCAGCCGCGTAGGTAAAGAAAGGACTCGAAGGCGACATCGAAGCCAAGTTTGGGAGAGAACAAAAAAGGAAAAGCAAAATTTTTCTTTTCAACGATACGGTATGGTACGGATGACGGACAAACCAATCAAAGGGATGTCGAGAGAAACCGAGGGAACCAGAGCTGGTGGAACCAATCAGATTTGATACAAGTACGGGCGGTGGAGTGGGCAGTGGCAGTGGCCGCCAGCCATCAAGGTCCATCAGGTCGTTCCGGTGGTCCTGCCGTCGATGGAACTGGCCCAGGCGGGCTGTACTTAAGCCAAATGGCTCCCGCCTCCGAAATATCCTCTGCTTCCGTCCTTTTTTGCCCTGACCGCCCCCCTTTCTCTCCCTTAACCCCGACCATACTCCCGTCCCCCTTGGTTTATTGGTCATTGGTTACTGGTCACCCCTAAACGCGTCGCGTCGCGGTTGCTCCCTGCAGCTCTCTTATTGCTTTACTTGAACTGGCCTTTCTGCCCGATTTTTATTCCTTTTTTCTTGATTCTGCCTTTTCTTCCCCCTCCCCCATATACCAAACAAACCCCAGGCATACATCAGGCATCCGATTTCTTTTGCTACTTCAAACCTCACTTCCCGAGAGTCCCGTGACTTCCTTACCTGTTCATTAACTCGACCTCCCCCTTGACTCACCGCCTCACGTGATCAGCTCACCGCCTTCTTGGCGGTATAAATACTTTCGCCTCCGATCGCATTCTCCACTCTTTATATCTCACAATCTCCCGAGCTCTCCGAGCTTCCTCTCTACTCTCACCACTACTCTCACCACGCCCCCTCTCTATCTTTGTTTCCTCTACCCTGAAAGTTATCCCGTGCTAGTTGCGGAGTGTGTATCCAGTTGAATTTCTCTCTCTCCGAACCAGTCGCGCGATCCCTCCGCTCTCCCGCATATCCTTTCACTTGTTTCACCTCACCCCCACTCCTAGAAGCTTTGTATTCTGGTCCTTATCTAGAACTCATCCCAAACCTCCCTCATGGCGACCCCGCCTCCAGAGGCTCCTCCGGTGATGAAGGAGGACAAGCCTCAGCTGCCTCCCTCTCCCACAGGTGCCTCCGCGCCAGATGTCGCGCCAAGCAGGTAAGCATAGTTTATTGACTGATTGACCGGTTGGCGTGTTGACTGGTTGGCACGTTTGACTTGTTGCTTCGCGCCGCGTATACCAACACTTGGCTAACTGTTTGCTTTTCTAGTGCCCCAGTCGCGACCCCCGACATCAAAACGGATGGCCCCGCCTTGACTGAGAATCATGCAACTACCATGAATGGCAATGCCTCCCACCCCTCCTCGATTGCCAACGGTACGGGCTCTGCGGCTTCTCCTCCCAAGTCACCTGTGGTGGATGCGCCCGAGGTTGCTGCGCCGACTCTTTCAGCTCCGACTGATACCCCACCTTCCTCTGCGCTACCTGCACCACAGGAGACAAAGGCGCCAGAAGAGACGGCTACTCCCACTCCCACTCCCACTCAACCCGCGGCCACTGATTCTGTCGCCCCCGCTGCGACCAACGGCTCTGCTGAGAAGAGCGATGCCAACACCCCACAAACCTCCTCCATCCCCGCTACTGGAAGCATGCCCCCTGGACCTTTCGATGGTGGAAGTGATGCGATGGCTATGGATGCGCCAGAGGAACCTTCTGCCGCTCCAGTGAAGACCGAACTTCCCCACCACCCAACCACCGAACCCGCTACTCCCAGCTTGCCTCCTCTCCAAACTGATCACGAAATGAGAGACGCTCCGATGTCCCCCTCCAAGATGTCTCGGGAACGTGAGATTGACCCAGCCGAGGAGCCGGCGGCCAAGCGGACCAAGGTTGAGAACGAGGATGGCAAGCCTGCCATCAACAAGGCTCTAGAGCTACCTACTCCTGCCACTGAGACTCCTGGTCCCGTTTCGACTGGTGATCAACTTCCCATGACGAAAATGCAGCATAAATTTATCACGAAGCAGATCTCCAGCTTGAAGCGCATGCATGACTCGCGCTTCTACCGAGTCCCCGTGGACCCTGTCGCCCTGAACATCCCCAACTACCCAAGTGTCATCACCCGCCCCATGGATCTGGGTACTATCGAGAAGAAGCTGAAGGCCAACCAATACGCCACTCCCAAGGCAGTCGTGGATGACTTTGCTCTGATGGTTCAGAACGCACACACTTTCAACGGACCTGATCACCTGGTTTCCCAAGAGGGTGCGAAACTGCTCGGTGCCTTCAAGAGACAGATGAACAACCTTCCCAAGGCTGATGAGGTAGAGGAGAAGAAGAAGCCCAAGAAAGCGACGGAGAAGACCTCGGCTGCTCGACGTGAGCCCCGTACCTCCCTTGGTGGTCAACCGGTGGCCCCGGTCCCCTCTATTCCAGCCCCAGTTGTGCCTGCTCCCAAGGCGACTTCGCCTCAGAGTGCTACCTTTGCATTGGGCCCGGAGGGTCTTCCTGTCATTCGTCGGGACTCTGCCAACGCAGATGGACGTCCCAAGCGTTCCATCCACCCCCCGAAGCGTGACCTTCCCTACTCTACCAAGCCCAAGAAGAAGAAGTACCAATGGGAGCTTCGATTCTGCCAGGAAGTTCTCGAGGAGCTTTACAAGCCGAAGCACTCCGTTATCGCCATGGCTTTCTACTACCCCGTGGACCCCGTTGCTCTCAACATCCCGACATATCACAGCGTGATCAAGCACCCCATGGATATGTCGACCATCAAGGCCAAGCTCACCACCGGTCAATATGAAAATGCCAAGGAGTTCCACTCGGACGTCAAGCTGATGTTCAAGAACTGCTACCGCTTCAACCTGGAGGGAGATCCGATCTACCTCGCCGGAAAGAGCCTGGAAGAGGTCTTCGATAAGAAGTGGAGTGGCAAGCAGGAGTATCTTACTAAGCACGAGCCTCCCAAAGAGGACAACTCGGAGTCCTCGGAGGAAGACAGCGACGAAGAGGCCGAGGAAAGCGACGAGGACATGGAGAAGATCAGCATGCTGCAGCGACAGATTGCCGAGATGTCCCGCCAGGTCGAGATGATCCAGAAGAAGAAGAAGACCCCTCCTGCGAAGAAGGGTTCCAAGTCTGGAAAGTCCGGTGCCAAGAAGGAGGCCAAGAAGAGCAGCGGCAAGAAGGATAAGAAGAGCAAGAGCTTCTCCAAGGTTGAGAAGACACGCAACATCTCCTACCATGAGAAGCAGATCATCTCCAATGGTATCAGTAGCCTGCCCGATAAGAAAATGCAGGAAGCACTCGGAATCATTCAGCAGAACGTTCCTGCTTTGAAGGTAAGATCCCAACAGTGTACGTCCCTATGTGTCGAGCCTCGGTACTAACATGAATTTTCTCAATAGGGTACTCAGGAGGCCGAGATTGAGCTGGACATTGATGAGCTGCCTAACGAAGTGCTGCTCATGCTGCTCAAGTTTGTGAAGAAGAACGTCCCACACATCATGGATGACGAGGAGCCTCTCCCTGTGGGTGCCAACGTGGTCCCCGCTGCTCCCAAGCCAAAGAAGAACAAGCCTATGAGCAAGTATGAGCAAGAGGCTCAGATCAACATGCTTGAGAGCAACTTGTCCCGCTTCCAGGGTGGCAGCGGTTCTCCAGCCCCCATGCCTTCCGTCGAGGCCAACGAGTCTAGCGACGACGAGTCGGATGATGATTCGGAGGAGAGCGAGGAGGAGTAATTTCTCTGCTGATCACCCTGTGCGGATCGTTCCCCCTCGTGCGAATGACCGCTTTGTCTGTGTAATTTGCGTTCCGAGCGTTTCATCTCCCTTTCCTTGTCCTCTTCTACATCCCTTCGAACCCCATTCGTGCACCTCACATTCTTGACCTCACGAAGCCTGAATACCGATGCTTCGGGTCTGCGATTTGCCCACGCCCTGTGCAACCTACCATCGCTTGGGTCAAGATCAACCTTGTACATATTCTTTTTTCTTTCAATTTCCCCCCTACATGATTCCCCACACGAAGACAACACACAAGCCCGGGGATCCACTGCCGGGCTCGGCAAAATGGAAATTCGTGCTGGCTATTGGGATCTGATTTGATTTGCTGGAACTGTTCCCACCTTCTCTCGTCTGCCTGAATGTACATTTGATCTCTTCTTTTCGCTTGCTGAGGTATTACCCCAGCTCGGTGATACAGAGACTTTGCTTCTCGATGATGAGACGGGGGATGGAAAAAATGGCGATCGAGATCGAAATGGAGCTAACCAGGCTTCAAATGTATGATTACGAACGAAACGCGCAAATGCCAAAATGTACTTTAGTACTTAGGTATCTGACATGTATGTTGTATCTGTCCATTATGCTCCTATCGTAGTTCTCCTACTTAGACGTCAAAACATGGTAATTTAGTTTCAATTTTAGCTCTTTAGCTCGATAAGCTGTGCAGATCTCCGCTTCCATCCTATTGGCGGTGAACCTGAGCTACTGACCTTCTTTTAACCTCCCACCTCTCGCGATGATCCCCCCTTGCGATCCTTCCATTCTAGAACAAAATCCCCATTTCAAACGGCTTTATGAGAACCTTACAACGAATCTGCTAAATCCAGATGGCTCGACTTGCGCCCACGCCGCTGATCCAGCGCGGAGGGCTGTTGTACATGTACGTTGCGACATGGGCAGCTAACTCCCCGGGCTACTCTGACCTCCGGCACTTACGCAAAGGCTAATGACTATATTGGATAGGACTTGAAACAGTGTCAACATCGAAGCGCAAAGAAACGGATTAAGGAGCATACACTCAAGCAACTAGCTTTTGCATCAGACAGCGGACTCTCCGACGAGGTGCGTCCAAACAACATAAACACCTCCTTTTCTCTCTTGATCCAATCGCTTACACCCACGATCCAGTGCCGCGATAACCTCGCTCTTATATCACTATACCTCGAGACATCCCCTTCCGCCATAGATACGAACACACCACAAGGTGGCCAATCGCAGCCACACACCCCCGACGACGCGCTCACCCTCCTCGCACCCACAATCTCCTCCTTCTATACACACATCCCCGCCCTGATCACGCCCTTCTCATCGCTCCTCTCTACTACCCTCACAACCCTACGCGCCCTCTCTATAACACCAGACCCAGACACAACGTCAACAATCCCCGCCCCTCCCGCTACAAACCACCAATCCCGCGCCCGCGCTCGAGACCGCCGCGTGCGTACCTCGCTAGCACCAGCCCCGCCTCTAGCGTCGCAGCTCCGTAAACGAGTCGACGCCTTGCGCACCACTCAACTCTCGGAGCTCCCGGCAGCACGAAGAGATATGGCCGCGACAGCGGCGGAACTCATGAGTGTGCGGGCCGCGTTGCTGGAGCGCATGATCGTTGTGCTAGAACGGGCGAAGCACGGGACTCTCGCGAGGGCTGTGAAGGCGCGGGCCGAGCATTTGGCGGTTATTGCGCAGGGGATTGAAGGGAAAGTCGAGTACGTATATCCTCCCATCAAAACAACTTTTAGAACATTAGTTTTTGTTTGTGGCGTGGTACTAACTGGGCGTAGAGTGGCTAAGCTTGAAATTGCGGCGGCGCTGTATACACCCGAGACTCTGGCCGCGTTGGATCGGTACCGGGTGCATTTGCGGGATACGAGGGCTCGGCTTGAGGAGCAGAGGGGTGTGGCTGTTGAGGAGTTGAAGAGGTACGGTGATGGTTCTGAGAGGGGGATTGAGCGGGGTGGGTTTGGGGATGCGGCAGCGTTGGCGGAGATTGCGAGTCGGTATGGAGATTTGGTCAAGGAGGTTGAGGATGTAAGGATGGAGATTGCGAGGTTGGGGGAGTAGGATTGAAGTGTTTAGATGGTTGGAGATAGCATTGATATGATATCCGACCTATGAGTATGTACTACTTTTGCATGACCATTCTGCGGCTGATTCGTCAAAGTCTTGAGTAGATAGGATTTTTTTTCGATATATGATACTCTCCCATGCTCAATTTGTCCTCTCCTCTCATGCATCCAATTTGCGCTGCAAACAAAAACAATCATTCTTTTGATCCCCAGACTCGCGATGAACCACACGATAAGATAACATTCACGTGTCCAGCCTCCGCAGTCACATGACCCTACACCATAAACTTTTTGTCCGCCACCCAAAAGTCCCCAAGTCTCAGTCAACATTGAGTCAACCATTTTCCACTCACTCTCTCCAAGGAAACCAGATACCAACACTTAATCCCTCTTATCAACCGATACCCAACAAACATCCAACCCACCCACCATGGCCGACGACTCCCTCTCCATCTACGACGAGATCGAAATTGAAGACATGACCTTCGATCCCGCCCTCCAAATCTATACATTCCCCTGCCCATGCGGCGACCGCTTTGAAATTGCGATCGATGATCTACGTGACGGCGAGGAAATCGCTGTCTGCCCGAGCTGTAGTCTTATGATTAGGGTTATTTTTGACTTGGTATGTTTATACTCCGGTTGAGGTTTATTGCGGGGCTGTGTGGATAGTGAAGTGCTAACGGGTATTGTTGTGTAGACCGATCTACCCAAGGCGGATAATGCGGCGAATGCGACTGTCGCTGTTCAGGCTTGAAAGGAAATGCGACTGTGGAGATTTTTATTTGAAGGTGCCTCGCCTCGGCCTTGGTTTGAGGGTAGCTGCCTATACCCACTACCGGGTTTTAAGGAAGACTTGGCTTGCGCTATGTTCGGCTCTGGCGCTGGGAACTGCCCGTTGATGTCGATTTAAAGGCGACTCGACCTCCTGCCTTGGGGTTCAGATATCCTCTGTGGGTATCTGCACAAGGCTAACGACCACGCCATATCCAGCCCCATGCGCCGTGCTCAAGGTTGTGGCTCGAGTGTGATTGACTTGACAGCCTGGAAGTTTTTCGCACCGAATGTTGCAGGAATCCTTGGCTGTCAAACAACACCCCTTGAGTCTCAACTTGAGTCTCAAGCATGAATTGCACACAAACCTGGCAATGACATGGTGTTAGGATTTCCAAGTATCACACGCGGAGACTGTCATCCATCCGGAGTTCATGGGATACTCTCCGCAAGAAAAGTGAGACACAAGGGAGTTTGGTTATAAGTTATTTGGAAGGTCCAGGTCTGTTCAGGAGCTCCCCTCTTCCACATCTTTTTTTCTCGTGATGCAACAGTTTGAAAATGCTCGATACTTGGACAAATTTGTGATACCTAATTAAATACATTGCAATATCAAATAATTTCATTATACTACTCATCCACCCTGCCATATTCCACATGAAAAATGCCCAGTATAACCGCCTATTTCAGCCATGACAACATGGATGGCAACACATAGCTATCAGTGTAATTCCACAGCATCGACGAATCCTGCGTATGGAACGCAGCGCCTGTATACCAAGTCCCCCGATAACCCTGCAACCCATACAGCCGCTCATAAAACCCACCCGAAATCAGATCCTGCGACACCGTCAACTCGAACGGAGTATGGCTATTGAACCGCACAAACTCCGGCTCCCCGGGAACCTTCTCCGCGAACCCATTAGCCTGCAATTTCTTAACGTACGACAGTATTTCTCCTCGCACAAAGTCATCTGACAGACCGTGCGGACTACCATACTTAATGTCGAAGACGCCCTCGATCGCGGTTGAATCCACCGTGTAAACGCCCGGTAGATCGGGGATGTTGTATGGGGTATCGGCGCCCACGGAGAGCGAGCTAAAGCCCGCCGGTAAACCGGTGTTCTTCACCAGACTCGTGTAATAGCCCGTGTTCTGGAACGCGCCGAAGAGAGCAGTCTCGCGGTCATCCAGGTCAAAGGCGCGTAGGTTTCCCAGCTTCGGGGGAATAGTGATCAAGAGTGATTTGGCTTTCACGATTCGACGACCGGAGGGTGTTTGCACCTCTAGCAGGACTCCGCCTTTCTGGTCTCGGTGGCGCGTGGATACCACCGTGCTGCTGAGCAGCACGTCCGACCCGAGAATTTTGGTGGCGTGGTCGTAGATCTCATAGTTATTCTGGCTCGTCACCACCAAGAATCCAGTCGAGATATCTTGGATAATATCCAGACCAAAATTCTTGAACACGTACAGCGTTGGCTGCGAGAGGAAATCGCCCAGTCCCTGCCCGAACCTGAATATAGTGAACGCCGCATTTCCAATGTCCGGGTATTTGTCGAGAAAGGCTCCGAACGGTAGCAAGAGATCCTCTGGGACAGGCTCGGGGAGGAAGAATCCATATTCCAGCTGCGCATATTGAGCTAGATGCGTTGCATATGCGTAAAGCCCAGCCCGAGGATCAGGACTGGTGTAGGCAATCTTTTGTGCCGTGTTGCCGTCCAGGTATACTGGCGTGCCTACACCACCAAAGTCCGATGCGATGGCCCAGGATACATTCAGCTTGTTGAAATAATCCTTGACAACCTCCTGATTGTGGAAGACTTCCACGCCGTAGTCCACGTTTACCTTCGTAACCGGGTCTTGATATGTGTTTGTATGGCCGCCCAGGATGGCTTCTTTCTCGATGAGAATGGTGGATTTGCCTTCGTTGCGAAGTCTGATCGCTGCGAATGTGCCCGAGGCACCGCCACCTATGATAGCAACATCGCGGATGAGGGCGTCTGGCTGGGAATAAACGAACGAAGCATGAGCTAGAAGCCCGAGGAGAGCGATGGTCTTGGACGATGGTGAAAACATGATCATCCCGCCGGTTTAGGTGTGTGATGATTCTAAGAAGAAGAGAGAATGAGGCAAGGGGTCAATACAGCAATTCACATTGTCATCCTCCCACCTTCTCATCGGCAAATGTGTCAAGCTCTAGTATACTCACCGTCATTCTCGAAGTATAAAAAACATGCCGACGTAGATGATTCGCCGTTTCCCGCCGGGAGCCCCCACAATCCTAAGCCCCTGGCCAGCATTGTGTTTGGCTATTGGTCATTTTAGCTTCTGTGCATCTCACCTATCGTATTAACAGACAAACTTCAGTGGCGTGCTCGATCGAGGCCGGGATTTGAGAGGGAGTGGATGATCAGGTGGCATTCGTTCGGATAATATTGGATGCGATTGAATGATGAGGTTCGGTGGGAAAGTTTCCGAGACAGCTGAGTGAATAGCTTACATTAAAGCTTTACTTCTAGGTTCATAGTTGTAAGCATTGGGATATTATGCATGAGGGCCAGAGCTCAAGTAGTGCTCCGAGATATCCAAGTGCGCTATCCTGCAACATGCTCCCTTGCTTTGAGGGGTTATCCACTATGGAATGTCATGAAAGCAGAGACGCGTGAACGGATCGGCCCGGGTCTTTTATGGGGCTGATCCATGCTCACTATGGAGGTAAATAGCTATTGGGCATGAAATCTACTGAGAAGCACTTCCTAATCCATGGAGATCGTTCGCGAACGCATTCGGGGACGAGTCCACAATAGCGGCAGCCCAGAATTAAACTTCGACGGATAATATACCCAGACATAACGGCCTTGAACACGAGATTATGCATGATACGGAGGTAGCTTGCTTTAATAATGGATGACGAACTGCCAACACGAAGGGAAGACAGAAGTTGCTTATTCTGGGGCTTGCCAGAGGTCAGCCAAGTCGTTCTGTGACCCCGGGGCTGAAATAGATGTCCATCACATAGATTATGAAACAGTCATGTAAAGAGTGTCAAAACCTTTGGCATTGGACACACATGAAAACTAGAATACAATATCTGCCTCATTTGCCCCCGAGAGGAGACCAGTGTTCCGTCACCCGATCCCCCAATCAAAGACAAAAATCATGACAAATGCGACATCGATCTTCTGTCATACATCACCTCGGAGCCCGTATCATTAGGCCCGAGAACATCACTTCACGCATCAACAACTTCACCATAGATATCCTTCGGAAGCTGCAGCGTCAATTCCGTGTTCAGCAGCTCCGTCAAGTTTGACCCGTCCCGGAGGTAGATCCACTGTCCATGCACAAATGGGCGGGAGTCCTGCTTCTCGTACATGCTATCACCCTCGACAATCCAGTCGTACCGCTTGGGACCGGAGATGGGTGAGCTGAGCCAGATTTGCTTGTTGGGGGGTTGCTTGTTCAGGACATAGGTGCCGATTGCAGGAACAGTTATGTTGAGGACCCCGGCCTGGAAGATGGTAAGTTGACTGGTCGCAAAGGTTTGATGTACGAGGATAGATTGATAAAAAGCATAGAGCCAGGTATAGATAAGACATATAACAGGGGCAATCACTCACACTGTACTCTGCCTCCACATCGGACCCCTCCTCTTGCGCCTTCTCCAACTCCCCGAGGAGTACGTTGAAGTAATGCTCCGAGTACTCGTGGTATTCTTCCGGTGTCAGAGGAGACGGCTCGGTGACATGTGCGCCGGAACCAGCGACAGGTGTGCTCTGAGGATTCGATGGCTGGGGGTTCTCCGAGTCGGGCTGGAGACCCTTTGAGAAGAATGCGGAAGAGGTGAATGCCCGCGGTTGCACTGGGTAGCTCCGGCCGAGGGGAGCCGCGGCTTGGCGGGCAATGCTGGAGGTACGGGACGAGGCACGGATGGCCGAGCCAGCGCGGAGAAGACGGGGTGCACTGCGGGAGAGCATTGTGGGATATCGAGTGAGGTTGAGGAAATTGAGAGATGTTGGAAACCTCAGAAGGTTAATAGTGAAGCTCGAGCTGCGGAGAAGTGGTCCGCCTACATCATCGTTCTGGTAGAATCACACCGCCTGCCTAAAGCGTATAGCTTGAAGATGTGATATTTATTAGGATATAGTTAGTGAAGAGTTGATGATTTTATGTAGAATGATGTGAATTAATGCTACCAATTTACTTTGAATATTCTTTCAAACCACTAGACCAAGTAAATTCTGATTCCAAACTTGTTTGACTTGTTATGTAGTATTGCTAGAGTCACTGCCAAGCCCTCTCGGTACAAAGCCACTTTCCCGAAAGCAAAGCCTGATAAGGAAGCTCTAGTTGCCAGTGACACCATAGCTATGAATAATAGAATGTTAGACCTGCTGTATAAAGATTCAATTTCTGCCACGTATGAAAAGAAGCTGAAGTTGCAACTATTGCTTGCTAGTGTACATCATCGCTTGGATAGTCTAGAGTCAAACATTGGGCTCCACTTTAGTGCCTTATAGGCAATCACTACGTCAGTGACGCTTCCCTGCTTGAAAAGTGCATCTAGAACAACAAGGTAATTTTTAGACTGTACTACGTAGACAAACTTCTTCACCTCCATCATAGCAATAAGAACATCCTGTCCCGCTATAGGGAATTCATCTCACTTTCCTATAGAACAAGCTTCCTTACCCACCACGCAAATGCGGCTCCAATTCTTCTTGTTGGCACTCACTGCCATCCCTGTTCTATCTTCTTATCCATTCAATCCCCTTGAACACTCCGCCGGGATTGCACCTTACTTTACTCCCCACGATCCTCCTCTTCAATCCTCTCCTCCACAGGGTTGCAATGTTACTCGAGCTGCTTATCTCATCCGCCATGCCGCCATATACGCCAATGACTTCGACTACGAGACCTATCTCGAGCCACTAGTAAAGAAGCTGCAAAATACGTCGCAGGATTGGTCATCCACAAAGACACTCAAATTTTTATCAAACTGGACTGCACCAATTGACCAGGAACATGTGGAGAAGCTTACCCATGTCGGGCTACAAGAGGCTCGGTCGCTGGGAACCAGTGTTCGCCAAAGATACAAGCATCTAAAAACACCTCAGATGATATGGTCATCGACCGCAGATCGGACGGCCAAAAGCGCACAGGCATTTATTGCTGGTTTTACGAACAACCACACGAGTCTCATCAACTTGACTCAAGTCGAGGAGAGCAAAAAGGCGGGAGCGAATTCTTTGACTCCGTACAAGAGCTGCAAGGGATACAGTTCTTCTTATGGCAATGACCAATCCTCGGTATGATTTACGATCTACCCATCACATCCCTATGCACGATGCTGACTATTTAGGCTTTCTGGAAAACGTACACTCAACCCATCCTCGCCCGCTTCAATGCCGAGGCACCAGCTTTCAATTTCACTCAAGATGATATTACAGCCATGTTCGAGTTGTGCGGTTACGAAACCGTCGTTCGCGGCTCTTCTCCTTTCTGCTCTCCCAATATTTTTAACTCAGATGAGTGGCTGGGATTCGAGTACGCAAACGACCTGATGTATTTCCACAACACGGGATACGGCCGGGCCCTCTCTCCTGTTCTCGGATTCCCGTGGGTCAATGCCAGTGTTACAGCATTGAATGACGATTCCTCATCACAAGAACTATTCTTCTCCTTTACACATCGCGAAGTCCCACCAACTGTTATCACCGCGTTGGGGCTGTATAACAATAGCGCGTACAGCGGAGCGAATAACGTGAATACGACTATGCCCGAGGACAGTATTAACTACCACCGTGCGTGGAAGAGTAGTGAGATACTTCCATTCCTTTCGAATATTGCTATTGAGAAGATGTCATGTCAAAGTTATGGCTATGAAGAGGGAGAGTATTATCGAATCTTGAATAATGCCGGTCCTCAGCCGTTGGTGGGATGTCGGGATGGGCCTGGTGAAAGTTGCTCGAAAGATAAGTTTCATGATTTCATTGGAAAAAGAGGAGAGTCGTTTGGGGACTACAACAAGGCGTGCGAGGTCACTGATCTTCCATCTTCCTTGTCTATTTACGCTGTGTGAGTAGGATTGTCATTAAATGCATCAGAAGTAGAGCGAGTGCAATTGAAGCATAGGGCTGGGACTTGGTGCGCCTCTGGTTATTCTCATCAGATAATGTCTGAACTCGAAGGAGGATCGTTGAAACATTTGAGGAAGTTGAAGTGTATTGAGCAGGTTTTCTCCTCCAATCTCTCGGCTCAGATCTTTGACCCGCCGGTTTAGTTGATAGACTTACGAATTAAAACGTGCCGTCTCGCCCGCTAAATGGGATTCCTGAACACTGCACCATTCTCCTCATACCCAGGTTTTGAATAGTCCCGAGCTGAGAGAGGCTAACAGAGCTCTGTAACTTTTGTCAAATATAATGTTATGCTTCGGTACATGGAATTATCAAACTAGGGCACAGTTCAATGTCAAAACTTTATTCCCAGTATGGGTTCTAAACCGATACCCGTAGAGCACCGGATCCCCACGATTTCCACACGGCTTAATCCGTGCCGGTCACACGATAGAACAATCCCTTACGTACAGCATAAGCTATCGTGATTGTCATCTCGATCAATATCTGGTACTGGTTGTAATCGTTCAGTGACTAACACCTAAAGGAGACTAGCTAGTACCAACTCTAATCGAAATCCATATAATAAGCAGCGCATCTATATCTGATCCTTCCTATATCCTTCTCCCATGCACAAAATTCTTACCGTCCCCCTTCACCTTTCGCCATGTCTCCCACACAATACAAGCTCATGTTCCGGGTACCCCCCTCTCACCTGGAAGTCTGCAAGCAAGCAGTCTTCAACGCCGGAGCAGGCACATATCCCGGAGGAATGTACGCCGAGTGTTGTTTCGAAGTTCTGGGGATGGACCAATTCCGACCAACTGACAAATCGACACCATTTATTGGCAAGCCCGGACAGCTGGAACGAGTCGCGGAATATCGAGTTGAGACCCTTTGTGTCGGCGAGGATGTGATGCGCAACTCGGTCAAGGCGCTGCGAAAAGCCCACCCTTATGAGCAGATTGTGATTGAGGTCGTGCAGCTTGTCGATGTTGATTGATACCTTTGAGTATGTTATGTCATCCTTGTCTTTTTACTACTTTATAGACCTCTGACAGCTATGAAGTAGTCAGAGCCTATTGCATTTTGTTTTGCAGAGGGGCACAGCAGAGGAGGTGGAGAGCTCCGTGGGAGATAAAGGCCGATGAACGGAGGGTGGATAGAAGTCCGGGAATGGCCGGTTTTGGATGCGGGTTTCGGGAATGGAGAAGAAGATAAGAGCCGGCGAGACTACTTTAGTGTGATAACCTTAATTATTGCTTGATTTGACACAAGAACACAAGAGCTCAGTTATATATGCATTAGATTGTTCTCATTTCGAAATTCTTTTGAAATGACTTTCTAGTTGTTATATGGCATGGACTTTATCTCTTATTTTGTTATACCCACGTTACATAATTTGAGAGCGCCACTCGGAGTGGGCCTCCCACTAACACTAACAACACGGTGGGTTTCGGCTTTGCCGACATTCCCGATGGAGATGCTAGATATGTACATACGTCCATCAAAACCTGACAGATTCGACACCACGGATGGCAAAAAAAGGTCCATCTGGCAAGACATGCTGATCGAGATTGTCGGATCGTGCTGAAGATAGTGGCCGATCCACTCTTCCAATAACAATGTCTGGCCCTATATAATATTCCCCGGATTACAGATGAGGAAAAAGTGGGACTGTATCTCTATCGACTACTACCGTGTTTAAGCCCGTTGAATGATTTGTTTGGAGACGCCAATTTCTATATGAATATAGAGCAGGTACTGTCCCTAGGCGGTATCTACAGGCGATAACTGACAATCTTGATCAGGAAAGGGGCATAGATTACTGTCTTCGTATGATTACTTCGCGATGCTTGTTTTCACTTTCTCATCCTCTTCCTCCTCCTCCTCCTCCCCTACCCCTCTTCATAATCAACAAAAACATCAATATGGAACCCCCCTCTGCGACAGATCATATGCTACCCACAGGCGCATCCGCGGATGTTTTTGTACCCAGACAGCCTGTGCAAGCTGCCCTTCAGGCCCAGCTTACACTACAACCTGCCGTGGCTGCAGCAAGTCAGAGTGCGCGCTTTGTCGTTCGTTATCGCAAACCGACAGGGCCGGTGCGTCTTTCTTGACCTGGGCCTACGCGAAAACTGGTCACTGCCGCCACCACCACCACCACCCGGGGTGGTGGCCGAAATTCATAACAATGAGCCCGGCATCCGCCATGAATTGAACGCTTGCGATATCCTCAAATTGCATGATTTCCGCATCAACAACATTGAGGTAATTATTTTAAGGTTGCTTACCCCCAGTTTCCACCTTCCCCCTTCCGTTCATACACTCTGGAGCACAATGACTGACTGACTCGACAGCCACATGCACCTCAATCACATGAGGGAACTCTTTCGCTTTCCTTTGACCACCGCGCTGGTTGTTGGCCCCGGGGTCGAGGTTTGCGAGGCAACGATGCCCAGTTCTGCCGAACAGGAGAACTCCCAGATCCCGACCTCAGAATCTTCGTGAGTCTCTTGATGAACCTTACCTCCAACTCCAACGGGCAACCGAGAAACCCGCTAACCAGAGCAATCGCGCTTTAGAGGCCGACCTCTCCGTGAAATCGACTTCACCTCCACAAATATCTCCATTCTAGGGCTTCAAGCTCTTGACTAGTTTGGCGATGGTTCGCTTTACCTCCTTCCCACCCCTGGCCATGCAGTCGGCCATATGGCAGCGCTAGTCCGCGTCACCAGCGGCCCAGACTCGTTCGTCTTACTGGACGACGATGCATGCGATTACTGCGGCGAGCTACGTCCCTCGCCCAGTCGACCAAATCCGATGAGTGCATCGTCATGCCTCGAGCAATTCTTGGATATCAACCCTAGCACCGGGTTGCAACCTCTCTTTCATGTCATGCAAGATTCAAACTTCGCAGCTCACTACCATGATTTGAAGAGGCAGAGTAAACTAATCTCTGCCTGCAAGAATTTGGCGCCCTCGAAAGCATCATAATCAATTTCGCGCATGGTGCTAGTATCACAAAGATATCATTAATGATTTCCCGGCGCTTTCAAAGAGTAGTCCCCCGTAGATAAGATGTTCATTGACCTTTAGGATTAAATTGCTGATCTTGAACTCATGCATAGTCCGTCCTCGATCATGCACCCAGCGAGGGGCGAGCCTCCTATATCTCACACTCAATAGCCTGCCCAAACGCACCATAGGCAGGAACTAAAACTGACCCGATAAAGAGGATGAGTTTCGTCGGTTTCCCTTCAACTCTGATGTCACATCTGAGCTGTATCCGGGCATAAAAGAAGCTATCGCAATGATATTTGATGAGGTTCGATGTGGTCAGATGAGGCGCAATATTGTGCAGATACGAAGAAGCAAGAGATAAGACCAAGCTACATTATAAAAAGAGCTACAAAGCTTTCCCGGATCATACAGTAACCGCTCATCTCGCCGTCGCGAAAAAAAAGAGGGTCACTCCACTTTTGTGGTCCCTCGGCTTCGGATTTGACACAGCAAAACTTTCAAACCCGAAAGCCGAACTCGGTTCAACGCGGTCGATATTTTCTTTACGAAATGCGAAAGCAAATGAGATCACACATAAGGGAAGGGAAAAAAGAAACATGGCTTCTTCAACAATTAAGATTTCTTTACGGCTGGATCGACTCACCCAAAACTTAATTCGTCACAATGGGAGAGAATAAGCAACCTTCCGACACGGACTCGGATGTCGACAACTATAATGGCGATAACAAGACAACACCTTTCGATGAGAAAGAAGATGATCAATACTTGGACAGTTGGCGGGGATGGCTAGTGGTAGCAGCCGCTTCATGTTCTCTTTTCATCTATTTAGGAGTAATTTACTCCTGGGGTGTATTAGCAGCGGAACTGGTGAAGACGACCTCATTTTCATTAACAACGTTGACATTCGTCGGCTCCCTGGCTACCTCGTTTATGGTCTCATTGAGTATCCTGGTTGGTATGACCATTCGACGATTTGGATATCAAAAGACAGCCTTTGTAGGTGCCATTCTTATGGGCCTGGGCGAATTCTTGGCCAGTTGGGTGACGGATCACCTGGCCGGTCTCTTCATTTGCCATAGCGTGCTCTTTGGCGTTGGTGGAGGATTGACGATTATGGTATGTCGATATCTCCAACTCACCGGTCATTTATCGCTGTATTTCTAACACGCACAGCCTTGTTCTACCGCTCCTCTACGGTGGTTCCGTAAGCATCGGGGCCTTGCCACCGGCGTCGTCTTTGGAGGAGGCAGTCTTGGAGCCGCAGCTTTGAGCGTTGCCGCTAATCTTCTGGTATCAGAGCTTGGTGTGCCATGGACGCTCCGGATCTTCGGTCTGCTCGCCTGGGGTATTTGCGTGCCAGCGGCGTGCATTCTTCGGCAGCCAACGAGCGCGGCTGCAGCTGTGCCACAACTACAATGGTATGTTTCCTCGCTTGAACCATCGTAAACGCTGTACTAACACAATTATCTTTGCAGGTATCGTTTCAGAGAGAGGGCGTTTATTCTCCTCTTCGTGGGCAGTGGGCTTGGCTGCTTCCCACTGTTCATTCCGTCATACTTCATCCCGATATACGCGCGGGCCGTTGCTTCACACCGCGTCGCAGTCATCATCCTTGCAATGTGGAACGTAGCATCGACCGTGGGACGCGTGCTTGCAGGGTTCCTGGCCGATACGGTTCTGGGACCATTGAACAGTCTCATTCTATCCCTGCTTTTGGCCGGTGTGAGTGCGCTAGCCATCTGGCCTTTCGCCAACTCCGTCGCCGTGCTGTCGGTATTCATTGTACTCAACGGACTTGGATGTGGTGCCTTTTTCAGCCTGATCCCGGCTGCTGTTGGGTCAATGTTTGGCGTCAAAAATACCATGGGTGTCTTGCCGATCCTGTGGGCTGGATGGTTCTTCGGCTACTTCTTTGTAAGAATCCCCAGAATCGGCCTCGTGTCGATGTGTGCGCTTGAGACTGTCAGCTAACAAGAGTCATACAGGGTTCGCCGATCGCCGCGGGGATTTATTCCTTGTCCAACAAGGACGCTGGCACTGCTGCCTATAGACCGGCTGCCTATTACGCGGGCGGGATATCCATCGTTGGTCTTTTGTTCGTGGTTGCAATCCGCTGCCTGTATTCCCGCAAAATCTTCGCTCGAGTATGAGAGACAAAGTAACCATGCTGGGTGAACAATTGATTTTTGATATGGGCGATGGCAAACTCACCTATGCCGGCTGGCATTGAGGTCACAGGCTTTATCCGAAGGCTGTGCGCCAGGTTGATGAGGATTTGATCAAAGAGACACTCGGATCCTACGAGTCAGTGTCCATAGGCACGCAGGTCTCGATGGTCTGGGCCATCTCAACCCTCCCTCAAAGGGTTAATCTGGATGATCAACGCTACACTTTGCGGAGGAAATGATCCGGGATATCAAGTCGAAAAAGAACTGTCAAGATATCATCCGGTTCATCCGGTTCATCCGATGCTTGTTGGCATATGAATGATGAGAGATACGCGTTCGGGGGCTGGACCTCCAGAACAACAATGATAAAAAGTGATTGATAGCAAGAAGCCTCTATAGAAGCTGAGCCAGGTGACTACTAAAATTAGGGCCTTGACTCGTATGAACAAATGAACAAGGATTTCTATTCCAAATAGAGTGTCCAATAGTTCATCCTGTGGCTTCTCCGGCCCCATCTCTTATTCTCTCAATGTTAAGAGTAGAGAATCCACGGATACATCGCACTCGAAATACTTCCTTTTACGAAGCAAAGCGAACTTTCCGCTTCCTCCGGCCCCCCCGTCTATACATCCATGCAGGGGCCGATCACAGTCACTCCATCACAAGCAGCGTAATCACCGGGGCCAAGTCATCGAGCATCCCGTCGACTCGCGCTATCCAAGTGATTATGAAGTACAAAATGAATTAATCTTCAGAGCTATACAGTGCTGCCTGCACCAGGTGACGTGGGCTCCGGCCAGTCCGCTTTTAGTAATCGGGGCTGGGCTCGTGTGGAGAGGTGTCAAAATTAGAGCCAGCCCGGACCAACTTGCGGTTTTTGCAAGGGCACTATTGTATGATGTGTCCCTAAGAATAACCATAATTTCATGGTGAGGTGATCTACTTGGAATTATTGATGAAATTATTGCTTTGTTGTGTATTTTTAGCTGTAGAAGCTCAGTATCATGGGTATCGACAGGGGGGTAGCGGTTAGGCGTCCAGAAAACGAATTAAGGCGTGAAAAGTGAGGAGCAATTGCACAACTGTACAGTACAACTAAATTGGGGTCTAGGGTAATCTATACGGGGTTCTGGACGAACATCTTCGGTTTCTTGGCCCTAGGAGATAGTTTGTTATACAAAGTAACCGAAAATGGCCCCCGAGGGCCATATCGGAAATATGACCAAGATCAAAACTCCGGATGAATGTCTTGTGTCGCCTGAGAGAACATCCATTATTCCCGCAAATCCCTACCGCTACTATTGACAAAATATTCGCAACATTGGAAACCAATTGGACTCGTTAGCATGGCATTGTCATCGGCATTGGCAAAACCGCCAGAACCGCCAACACCAAAACCTCCATCGCCGAGCGCTGGCACCCGAAGAGCCTAAATGACAAGTCTCTCAGTACAGTGCCTATCGGAATCTCTGGAATTCCATCCCCAGTCCAGTCAAAATTGCGATCAGACGCCACGACTGTAGCCCATTGACAGCCACATTAGAGCTTTAGAATTAGAGAAAACTTATCGTCCTGCCCTACAAAGTATACAATTTTCTTCAACGACAACATCGACTAAGGCTCGGCAGACACTGGGGAACTCAAAGGCGGAAAAAAAAAGCATAACACTCTAGGTTTTACCAAGCCACGTCGCCGGTTGACCGGGCGCACAGTCCGGCAAGGCTTGGCCTTGTGTGGTGGGGATTTAACTACCGGAGTAAATTGGGGAGAGAACTCCGTTAGTTAGCGAGTGATCGCTCTGCCAGTGGTAGTTAGGTAGTTAGGACTTGCTTCTTTGGCTAGATGATGATCAGCGAGGGGCAGAGTGACTAGCGGTGTTTCAGGCACGACGGGTCCTCCCCTCGCCGTGCTGGTAAGCCACTCGGGACCGTGTTATTTTTTCCCAGTGTGTTTGGAACTTCGCTGGCGGTCCTTTGCCTACGGAGGGAGCCAGGCCTGGCAGAAAAACCGAAAAGGTCTGAGTTTATTGCTGAAACACTGGCGTCGATCGGGTGCTGGGGCCGGATCGCCTGTGAGTGGCCGCTGCCGTCATCGGTGGTGGCGCTTTTTTTGGTGCTGTGTGTCGGGATTGTGTGGGAAGAACGAATGGGTATTTTTTTAGGAATCTGCCATTATAAGTGAGTTTTTTTTTGGCCTATGGTAGAATTGTATACTTCTCAGTTTGTTTGTGATTATGTTACTGATTAGGGTTATTTGCTCTTGTCATGTGCGTGTGTACTTGCCCACATTCCACTTAAACCTAACCGCAACGACAACCATTCTAGCCCTACCTTTGGGACTGTAATATCATTCGAGGATGTCGAGTCAATGAGGAGTCTCCCGAATGACACGAGTATGTATGATAGGTCGACTCGGACAAATTCCCCTGGCCCAAGAACACGTCGGCCAGTCATAGGACATGGGTATCCACCTCTGATCCTGATAAGTGTAGTTGAGACGATTTTGCCGGCAGAAGAATGCTGTATGCCGGAGTGCCCCAAGAAACAGGCACTGATGGTTCCTGGTTGAGTAGGCGGCCTGAAAAGCGGCCTGTAACAATTTCACGTGCTCCGGGTCTCTGAGTGGCCAGCCCAGGGGACCACAAAGAACCACACACACAACGCCACTGGATCTCCAATCGAATGCATTCGTTGCAACTTTCCAAGCGGCCTACGCAAGCATCTTCCATGGTTCGCCTAGTCAGGCTCCACCCTTCTCCTCTTTTCTTCCACAGATTCATCGGGAAACTTGCATGGTCGCCTATATGCATTGTGCCTGACATGTCTGCCAGGGGCAGCCAATTGCCCGCTCACTCGACTCAACTGTCGGTGGCTGCTCTTCGAAACGCCTTGCCTTTGTTCTCTTCAGGCACCCGCGACCATGACCCGATTGCGGTCGGTGCACTGTTCCTTTGATGTCAAAAATAACCCATATATATACTCCCCGAGCACACTTCCAGACGGCCTCGTTGCACCCGACGGTCCAGGCTACTGTGGGGGTCCGCGGATATCTAGGCTGTGGAGTACACCGCGATGCACATCTCTTTTCGATAGAGAAGACAGAGAGAATTCTCTCTGTCGGCCCCACTACCGGAGTGGATATGTATTATACAGTTTACAACGGGGCTGAACTAACTGAAGTAGGATGAAAACGACTCCCCGAAAGGCCCAAATGTATGGCCAGACCCGAACTGGCCAATCATCAATTCCGCAGCCCTGACATTGGGCCTGTCAGAAAGCCACCGAGATCCAATCGTTGCCTCCCCCTGCTTCCCCGTTACAATGGGGTCGTGGAAGTTCGTTCCGTGGGTGACGCAGCTCTGCATGGCCCGAATGAATTTACCCTTTAGGTGCCACTTTGCATCGCTCTTGCCTCCATGGCCCAATGGTAACCTGGGAATTCTTGCGACACTCCACCTAGCCCCTCTCTTGCTCGGCGCAAACAATGAAAGACGTGAAGAAGGAGACGTTCCAGCCAGGAGGGCGCACGATTGAGAGCAAAAGTTAGACGCACAATGCATCGGCAGAATTGACATTTAACCTCCCTTGTTCCCTCCGTTCTCCTGTTTTCTGTTTCTTCTCCCCCAGTCTTTTCGTGTTCGTTCACCATTCCTTCCTTTTCCGATCTTTGAGATCATCTTTCGATCATTTTCATCTTCTAGTTGCCTGTGCCGTGCACGGTCTAGTCCTTCCTTTCTTCCCAACATATTCATTCCTTCTCGAGAACAGGTCTTCTCGAATTCCTCAATTGTCCATTCCTTTTTTGACTGTGAACATAACACAAGTACATTTTCTCTTCTGAACATATCAAAATGGTCTCCTTCACTAAGCTGTTCACCACCGGCCTGCTCGCCACCTCGGCCCTCGCCATCCCAGTCTCTATGCCGGTGACCGTCGAGGTGCAGAAGCGCAACAGCACCACCAACACCTCCAAGCGTGGCGCCGCCTACAATGACATCTCCACCGTTTCCGCCTTAGCCGCCAGCGGCACCATCTCCTGGGCCTACAACTGGGGCATCTCGCTGTCCGGCACACTGCCCTCCAACATCGACTACGTGCCCATGCTCTGGGGCGCCAAGGACTTCGGTGGCTGGTTCACTGCCGTCGAGACTGCCCTGTCCTCCGGCAGCAACTACATCCTGGGTTTCAACGAGCCCGATATGACCTCGCAGGCCGACATGTCCGCCTCCCAAGCTGCCGACTACTACAAGACCTACATCACTCCCTACGCCGGCAAGGCCAAGCTGATCTCGCCCGCTGTCACCTCGTCCACCACCGCCGGTCTGGGTCTGTCTTGGTTCCAGGAGTTCATGGGCGACTGCTCGTCGTGCGGCATTAGCGGTCTGGCTGTTCACTGGTATGGCAACACTGCCGATGAGTTCAAGTCTTTCGTCCAGGAGGCTGTCAGCACTGCCAATAGCTACGGTCTGTCCGAGGTCTGGGTTACTGAGTTTGCGCTCAACTCGGACGCCGGCGGTGTCGCCGATGCTGCTACTACGGCTACTTTCCTCCAGACTGTCCTCCCCTGGCTCGACGCCCAGACTAACGTCACCCGCTACTCTTACTTCATGTGCGCTGAGAACTACCTTCTCACCAACAAGGCCCTGAACCAGGCTGGTCAAACTTATACTTCCTAAGTGCGCGGTGTGTGATGTGTGGGAGTGGGTCTGAAGAAGATATCAAAACAAAGAGACGAAGGGAACTTTTTTTCTCTGTTATCTGGCGTCTCAAGGATAGGAGCTCATTTGTTTATTCCCCGAGTATCCCGGTTTCCTGATACTGGCGCAATATGACGAGTCTCCTCTCCTCTCCTCGTCTGGGGTTTGTCATTTTTCTTTCTATTCAATGCTTGCATCTCTTCTTTGTCACATATTTTCTTTACCCTCGGGTTTGACACAAAGTTCCTCTTTCACATATGCAAAAAAGAACAAACTTCGATCTGATTCAACGTTCTTTTTTTTTCTCCTTTCGGAGTTTCATCCTTAGACTTCTAGCGCTTATTCTCAAAATAGCCCACGAGTATGTACCTATAGAATGTAAGGGGTGATAGCTTTCATGCATAATCCGAGGCATGGCTGTTTCACTTGCCGGGAGTTTGAAAGGCTTCTTGTTGCTGGCCACTTTGTTGGGCGTTATCTGATCTGATTGGCTGCCGGCTGATTAGGGGCGGCGCTTAAGCTTAGTGCGGTGCTTATTCCGTCATCCTGTGGTCAACCCCGATTTGCCTCACTGAATACTCTAGGATCTAGATTACTTTAGTAGAAAATGGTCGAAGAGGATCTGGATCTTAATGTGCGATACGCCAAAAATATGATCAGGGGTTTGGATTGGAATCGTTTCGCGCATAGCCTTATAGGCATGGAACCAGAAGTTGTTCATCCGCATGCTGGGCTGACAACTTCTGATTGTAACTTTCCAGTGCTTTGTAAGTTATCTGAACCAGCCATAGAGTCGGAAGCTGGAATCTACAAAAGCAATGGCTCTGCTACCTTACGAGGTTACCTCCCGCCGTTCCGGCCTCTTTGTATACCTTACCCCCTTCGGGGGTTGGGGCTTCTAAGACAAAGACCAATCCAAGCCAAATCTCAATCGCATGTAACAGCCTACTTTTGTCAAGTACACTCTTTGAAAATCAATTGAAAACTCACTTACTATACATCCGCATACTGGCTGCTACTAGACAAACAAGAATATGAACTTTTTAGTGAAAAGAGTGGAATTGAACTTAGATTGATTTTTGGCTTGGAAGCCTCAACCCCTGAAGGGGGTAGGGCGTATAATGAGGCTGGGTATCGTGGATATCCAAAGAATTGGAGCTCCTTTAATACTAGAATGCTAACCTTGAACAATGCCTCAAGACTTATTCCAGGAACTACGTGAATGGGCCATCAAAGAAGGTCGCAATGGCATGGGTATGTGTACCGCTGATGAGCGATGAGGGCCAGCTGGAGATGTCCGCCTTGTCGAACATGTCATTTTAGGGCGTTGGTCACTCCATAATAGAACGCAGTGTATAAATCGGAGATTTTTGTGTCGAGAGTAAGCTCGGTAGTGCTATCATTGTCGTCGTCAGAGCTCACGTTCGAACCGGCCTCCGAAAAAATACCACCCGCACCTGCTCTCAGAGTAGTTGCCGACCCATCACCAGTCAACCCAGAGACAAGGCCGAGAGCCCCACCGAAGTTTGTCAAGAGCGACGCAAGATCCACAACATCGGGGCTTTTCGTGGGTTAGTCAGCGACAAGCTCGTCGACTTTGTTCGTGGCGTTGAATGACACCCCCATGTATAGACGAATGGTACTCGCTCATATAGAGCCGGAAGTTGGCAATCACAAATTGGGCCCAATAATGTGATGGTTCATTCGATTTTGAACAATTAATTGATGGAGGAATGGTACAATTAACATCTTCAGTCAAAGAAGAACATCGCGTAGTTTCATCGCCAAAGAGTTCTCGGTCCCAACAAGCTAAAGGTTTGTTAGAGATAGGTTGAGATAATGCAGTGAATAAGAAAGATGTACCAGCAGATCCCGAGTGTTCGTTTTCAAATGACGTAAGGAATCGATATAAATCGCCACTTTTCTTTCCGAGCTTGCCTCTTCAGAAGTTGTTGTACTTTGGTCCGGAAAAACACATTGCTCGGCGTTAGTAAGATTAGCACTCAACTCGAGAAGCACGAGACCATCAGGATCGTCAACAAATTGCTCGAGATCAATTGCCCACTCTGTTGTACCACCCATATTGAGACCCTTGTAGTAGGTGGTTCGGGTGCTCTTTGTAGTGGTTGTCAAGTAACCGACCCACTGTGTGTCGTTGTAGACGATAATATCCAAGTCACTATCATCATCGAAGAGGATTTGAACGTTGGACTTAATCGAAATGATCTCATCAATCTCCGCGTTAGCAATATACCCCGCAGTTTGAGTGCATCTTCCGGAGTAGCACCCGAATCCGGTCCAGTGTAGGTACAGTCGGGGCCAGTACAGTTGGCGGTGGTCATCTTAAACGATCTACCGTAGCTCGTAACACCAACCATCAGTTTTATGCTTTAAGCGCCTCCTTTTGTGACCATTGACAGTGCGTAATTTGTTTCGGTAAGGTTGACATAAGATCGTAGACAGTTTCTATCCGTACAACCATCATCCGAGGAATCAAGCCCATAATCTCATTAACCGTGTAGATCATAAGTCATAAAGATGAAAAAGTCCACAATATCATTAAGATCTGAAACTGAGAAAGCCTGAAGGTACCAGAATAAGGCCGGCATAGCAATTAAGATAGTGATATTATCGCTAATAAGCGAGCGAAGAGCTTTCAGAAATGCCACATAATTAGTACCATCATCATCACTACCGGCGGGAATACTATCAATATCAGGCTCTCCTGAATACTCCCAGTCAAAGTCGACGCCGTCGATGCCATTCATAGAGACAAAATCAGCAACATTCTGGGCCAGTGTATCGCGATTTGCGGATATAACACCTTCACGGAAGATCATATACGTTTCTGTGCTAGTAGAAAAGTCCCAGCCTCCAAATAAGACAATCCTCTTGACATCATCAAGGGCCAAGAAATCGTTAACTATATCCGACTGTGAATTGTTGATGCTGATTGAATAGTCCGAACCAATCAGACCAAATACATAGACAACATAGGTATATTTTGAAGTATCAATACTGTAAACGTCTATAGTAAGACACGAGCGATCCGTGTTGAAGGCTTCAAAGTATCACAGTGCAAGAAATTTATCTAGGCCGTCAGAGTCATTGGTGATAGCGGTTCCACAGTTTAAGATACATCCATCGGTGCCTAATGCAGCTGTACCTGGATTGCCAGTGGTAGGTTCGGTTTCTGTGCAGAACTCAGGTGTGATACCACACTCGCCCCAAACGACACAGCATGCATTGAGAGGACAAGGGTTCAGCCCTGCCCAGAAGCTATACTCCGTTCCATTAGCAGTAGTACCAGGTCTTCGTAGATTAGGGTGGAGCCCCGGCCCCACACTACTTTAGGAGCCCCAGGGCTCATCCAAACTTAGATTCCTCATAGCTTCAATATCATCCAAAAGTTTCCTGCTACTGCTTCACATTAAGAGGTTATGCAGCCCTTTGCGCGGTGGTGAGCTGCCCTTACAGATGCTCACCAGCCTTGCGCCTTGCTATCATTTTCTCATTCGTTCCTCATTTCAAAACCTTGCTGCCGCTGACGAGCGCGCAGCTCTCATACAAAAAAAATACTCCCGTGGGCCTACCCTGAGAAGCCTCTTCTGCAGCCGGAGTCGCTATCCTGCTGTATCCTGCGCGTCGACCTGACCTCGACGCTGCCCTCAGTCGACTCGCACAAAAAAGCACCGTCGACCTCACTCAACACTACGCCGTCGACCTGACCTCGGCGCTCCCTGTCTTCATTCGACATGGAGAAAATCACAGACACCGTGCCCAAGCTGAAGGGCGAGTCTAACTTCGACAACTGGCGCCACGATCTACAGCTGTTCATCGACCATAAGGACCTAGACCTGTGGCCAGTACTCACTGGCACTGTTGTTGCCGCTATCGACGCCCCTCTCCCTACGCCCTCTGAGCGTGAAGTGCGTCAGACCCTCGCTGATGAGCTGGGTGTTTCCCCGGCGAATGTGACCGACGCGGAGATCCGTGTTTGGATCAAGGAAAACATCCTCAACATCAACGAGGAATATGCCTGGTTCCGGAAGGCGAATGCAGACTGTATACATTACCTCTCTGCGTCACTTAAGGACTCGATCAAGACCTTCATTCGCGGCCAGCGCAACGCCGCCGCGGCATACCGAATCATCTGCAATACGTACGGCAAGGTAAATGCGCACACCTTCCAGCAGAGGTGGAGCGCGTGGGTGACTTGCACCTACAAGCCTAGTGGCCAGTACGGTGTATTCATTACGAAGTGGAAGAAAGCACTCTCTGAGCTACTCGAGTGCTCGCCTGATCGTCTATCTCAGCAACTCCAGTACGCACAATTTATCGAAGCTATTCGCGCGCACCCTTCTACGGAACACTTCGTGACCTCTTTTAAGCCTGATCTGTCGAACCCCCGTCTGATGGACGACGTCTTTTCGGAATTTATGTCCTCCGAGCTCTCCCGCCGCCACTACACTGCCCTCGCATCCTCTTCCTCGACCGCTGACCGAAAGGATAAGGACGGTAAAGATGACAACAAGCGTAGGAACAACGGTACTCGAGGAGGCGGCCGTCAACGTGGTGGCCGTAGGAGCGACAATAATAACCGGAATAAGGACAAGGGTGGCGAGAAGAAATCCGCAGACCTCTGGTGCGACTTTCACCACCGCAAGGGGGGTCACGACTCAGATAATTGTTTCTTCAATCCGAAGAACAAGGGGAAGTCCCGGCAGCAGGGAGGACCATCCGCTGCGTCTTCATCTTCGCAAAATTCCCCTATGTACGAGAAGGGCGTCGACACGCCTAATGCTTCGTCTGCTCGATTCGACCCCGACCAGTATTTTCTGAATGCTTCCTCCGCTGTGATAAGCAGGTTTTGAAGGATTCAACGGAATCTTCGTGGAGGATTCGACCAGGGTCTCAGGGGGGCCTTCGTAGATTAGGGTGGAGCCCCAGGGCTCATCCAAACTTAGATTCCTCATAGCTTCAATATCATCCAAAAGTTTCCTGCTACTGCTTCACATTAAGACCAGGTACCTACGGGCCACATACAGCATTCTCCACAGCCGATAGGAATGGAGGATCACCGGTGCTAAGACAGATATTTTCGCCAGCCTGAAGATCATCACACCCAAGTCCATCCCCAAGTGTTATTGTTGTAAGAGTCAATCTCATCAATCGCGATATCGTAGACAGCTGCAATTGTAGAACAAGTGTCTCCAGATTGCACCAGGTAAGTATAATAAGTCCCATTGCTATATTGCTAGGGAGAATTGTCTGGGAGATCCCCAGCGGAGCAACAAACATATTGTCCAACAGCCAATGTAGAGCATAGATCGCTGGCGGTATTGTACTCGTAGAATTCGGTCGCGGTAATCCCGCATTCGCTGACCAATGTGGTACAGGTATCCCCGGAGACGACTTGGACAGTAGTACAATCACTTCGACGGTGTAGGAAGTGTCCATGTAGGGAGCTCTCATGCCAGGAGCGTGCATGAAGTGACCGTCTTTTAGAGGATATAGAGCTGTCTGTACCTGTTTCGACTTCCAAGGTGGATGAGATGCTTTCAGAAGAGTCAAAGCCAGTAACACATCCGCTAAGGCTCCGTGTCTTGACGAGCTGTTGGACAGCAGGTAAATCGTTCTCAATACTGATTGCAAGACCAACAATGTAATTGGAAGTTTTGCCACAAAACTGGATTGCCATCTGATCAGATGCCCCTTTCTGGTTGATAAAGCTGCGAGTCTCATCGGCAACTGTGCTGGCAGCACCCGACTTTTCCAGCCTGCCACCAATGTAAAGACCCACAGAACGTTGCCATTATACCCAAAGATGCTGCTGGACTTTCAGTCATTGGCAGAGCTTCCTAGATAGTTTGCAACGTCTTCAATGACAGAGAGGGGCCCAGTGTCAACTGTAGAAGCGGAAGATCCCCCGTCCCCACTTCAAGGGAGACATCCGTCGTATTGATCGTGGCTGTGGATCTCTTGGAGAAAACCTTTTGCATCCGTGCCATCTGTAGTGCAAGCATAGATGGTGGACTGGGTCCGGGTATCATTGAGAGGGTTATGAATGGTAAAGTCGAGCAGCACGGTCTGGTCGCACGCAGCCAGACGAGTAGTCGAGTGATAGGAGATCCATGAAGTTGTGCCATTGGCACCGCAGGGTTACGGACATTTGTCTCTGATATTCCTGAGAGCAATTGACTGAGTGGCCAGCAGGCTAACTAACCACCGTGGCAGTCACCACTCGAATACGCATATTGATGTGATAATACGCAAGGAGTCAGATAAAGATAAGCCGAAGGAAGGGAAAATCAAATGAGGGTTGTCAAAAAGAATCTTCCGAGGTTGTCTCGATTGTTCAGGTCACAGAATCAGTGAAAGTGAGATTAATAATTGACAATGAAAGATAATGTTAAACGATGGACAGAGAATGAAGATAAAATTGAAGCAGAAGAATGCCGAAAAGCTCTCTTTTATATAGTTAGCGTAGCCAAAAACTATCGGATGTAACTACCATAAGGTACGGCAGTGTATACACATTTTCACCCAATATCCTGACCGGATAGTTCAAGTCGGATGAGGATCTGGGGCCAAAATTGGACAAACTAGTCCTTTGCAGCTCTCGTTCCTGTTAATTTCAAAAAGCGTCGTGTACCTCTTGTTCTAAGATGCTTGGCACGAGTTGTATGGCTTGGATATCGCGCTCAGAATGAGACTCGGCCTTGCCGAAATTCAATATGCCAGGGTTTTAATTAGTGAGCTGGGTGCTAAGACTAGTCTCATCCGGTTGCTACGAGCGAGGCTAGTTTAGATTAGAATGACTTTGATGCTAGTACGTTTGAAAGCTGGGATGGAAGGGCAATAAAGCTAGAGTATGTTTAGACATGGTACTACTAAACTAGCATCTTAGTTATTGGCACGTACCTTTATGTGAGATGAGCTGAGTGGAAAAGGTCCGGACTGAGGTTTCCTGTAAAACAATTAGACAAATTTGTTGTTGGCTTCGTGAGCATAGTTGGGGGTATCGTTTTCTCTCACGAGTACCGCTACTCCTCTGTTAGATACTAAGACCCGAGCTCATACTGTAGTCGGATAGGGTGTCTAAAATGCCTTAAAAGCTCGTTGAATATACTAAATGCAATGGGAAGACGTAAGAAAAATAATTAGCATACATGAAGTGACGGGATTGAATTTGAACTACGGCATTGTTTATCATTGCTTGTTAGGTATCAATCACGAATCAGCTATCAACAAGCCTGACTAGTGAATTGCGCTTTCTCTTTCAGTTACTGCAATTGCTTCTTAGCCTAGCCACCAGGGGTTAGGCGCTTCTTAGTGGCGAATACCGCCGCTTGGTAAACGAGACAAGCGATGAGGCATTTACCACTATCCGTGCCTTTAAGCACTACCCATGCCGTCCACATGTGGAAGGGTGAGGCTCTTGGGACTGATAGCCCTGCTTAGGTAGGCCATCTTGCACTTACTGAATATAAAGCGATCTACAAGGGCTTGATATGATATTTGCCCCATGGGGGACGGCCCTAACCGCTAGGGGAACTTACTGTCGGGTATATTTGTCAAACTTGGGCATCCCAGGGGCTTCGTCGGGAGCCAATGAGGAGCTTATCAGCCCCAGCGAGGCGACGTATACCCGAGGGGCAAATGTGTTATCGTTGACACTCAGGGATCCCAACTAGCAACTTCAGTGTCTGGTCCTTTCTCCGGCATGTGATCGAAGTTTTCAAATACAGTTATCACAAAGAAGTCCTAACATGAGCTTGAAACCAATTCGTCACACTGACCGTACCAAGGCTCTAACACCTACAAAATCGCCCCACAAGTCATGGTACGAGACTGCCGAAATAGCCAGAACACCCTTTGAGAACTTCAATATAATTCCTAGTCGAAAGTATATATATTGGCATAGAAAGATTACCATCATAACCACCCAATTATTCTCAGGCGGATTTTTTGACTAGTGGAATGTTATTAAATAATACAATGCCCCCCGGGTATGAGAGTTCTGCCGCGTCACTCTATTTTCTCTTAGCGCCAAACCAGTAGTTGCATGCTCTTATGGGCTGAGGTCCGCGGAAGATGATAAATAAGAGAAGAATCGAGTCACAGATCCCCTTTGATGTTGAACCTCCTCGCCCACATGAATTTAAGATTTTCACCCAACCGCGGTCCTCTTGACTTGTCTTGCTTTGCATGTTTCACTTCAACTTCTGTCATGTATCAACTTAGTAATCAACGATCCGGAAGAGGAGTCTGTAATCAACCTTGCAATCATCATTTGCTAGCTCTAATCTTGAACCCTCTAATAAATTTCCATTAACATGCCAAAAAAGGAGTAGAAAAGATAACCACTTAAAAAGGTGGCTATGTACAGTTAAAAAACTAAATATTCACGAGAAACGGAACCAGTATGTTTGGCTTGGGGCTTCTCGCACGACATGGAATGCCTATCCCCCGAATATGCTTCAGCTTGCCGTTTTTCAGAGGATCTTTTTGAATATCTGTTGAAACTCCATTTTTGAGGAGCCTAGGTTTCTTCTCATTCTATCGTTCAAACTTGTGATTAGTAAAACACCTTCGAAAATCAGTCGGAGTCTGAAACTCATAGAACACTACTACAAGAGTTAGGCATGCATTACTATGCACAGAAGTAGTTGAACAATTTCTTGTGTCGTGCAAGAAGCCTTAACGATCGAATTACTTCGGAAACGCGGACTAGGTGGAATACCACCCCCGAAAGGGTAGCAATATTGAGCTTGGTATTGGCACCTGATGATGGTTCTGAGTACCAGAGAGCACACCACATCATTTATGTGAAATTGGAATACATAATATCACTGAGTGATGAATCGAGATATATATTTCTTAGTTGCATACGCCTCTAGCGTTGAGTTGGTCCCCATAATGATTGTTGTCGACGAGCGTATATTGCCCGTTTAGTCTTGGGCCGGGTAGATCGGCAGAACCATCGGTTGCTATCCGGCAAGCCGGCCTGCGCCATGTCTACGTAATTCGGCCCTTGACGGGATCTCTGACCCATGGTTACTATTCGGTAGATCTGTTTTTACTTTGAAGAAAGCAAAGCTCGACCTGATGTGCTGATCATTGCGTAGATCTTCGAATTTGATGAATGTGTAAGGCACTAAGATTGCTAAATTGGACTGATGAACGAAAGGGCCATTCGTTCATGGAGTATTCTACAGCAGTTATCCAATTTTTTTGAATATTGGAATCATTTGACCAAAATGATCTGCTGGTTGTTTATCTGATTATTAACTGAACATGGTTATGCCGCAGATCGGGTTGATACCGCGGATCCGAGGTAGTTTGGCCCCGTCTGTCTAGGCACCATTGAACCTAGGAGGAACATGAAACCATCACAACAAGTTACCGATTGGCCGTCCCTGGCGGCTCAACTTAGTTCCCTATCTCGGCATTCAGGCCGAGTCCTATCATTGAGCTGTCAAACTTCCTATTTGGTTATTTTGACAGTGCACGTTCTCCACATCAACGGAAACTCGGGTGGCGTGCCGTTCCAATTATGCCCATGAACCTATTCATAGTGGAAACAGTATAATAGTACAGCAGCACTTTCTAATACTAGTCCCGATTGACTGAATCTTGAGCGGAATCTGCCAGAGGCGTTCGCTGGACAGAGATGCAAGTCCACAATGCCGTTTACAAGCCCCTCGCTCCACTATCTTCAGGGCTCGTCGGATCTAGAGGACGGTTCCTGGCTGAAGATCCTATTGATCCGAAGGCACTCGTAGATCTTATAACTATACCCTTGCGCTCTATTCCCAAGCAAAATATTTTTCGAGACAGACCAATCTCCACTCTTTATCCTCGCTTCCATCATGGAGGAACACTCAGAAGAAAAAGAATATGACAGCACCTCACTTCCCGGAACAGCCACTGAAGAAGGGAACGGAAACTATTTCAATACTCTTACTGTCCCTGAAATCAACCTTCGAGAAGCGAGCAGCGCTGAAACCCTAACTCCTCATCCCTCTGTTGTTCCGCCGCCTAAGAGAAATCCAGAATGGCATATGACACCACAAGTCATTCGGAACGCCGAACGTGATGAGGCAGCTGGCTTCAAGAAACGCGAGCTAGGAGTTACTTGGCATGATCTGTCGGTCGAGGTTCTCGCTGCTGAAGCAGCAGTCAAAGAAAACATGATCTCCCAGTTCAACGTTCCTCAACTCATCAAAGACTTCCGCCGCAAACCACCTCTCAAGTCGATCTTGTCGAACAGCCATGGATGTGTCAAGCCTGGTGAAATGCTTCTTGTCCTTGGAAGACCCGGATCTGGATGTACTACGCTTCTCAAAATGCTTTCCAATCGCCGCGAGGGATATAAGAACATCGCTGGAGACGTACGATTTGGAAACATGACACCGGAAGAAGCATCAAAATATCAAGGGCAAATTGTAATGAACACTGAGGAGGAGCTTTTCTACCCTCGGTTGACAGTGGGTCAAACGATGGAGTTTGCTACCAAGCTTAAAGTCCCCTACCACCTTCCCGGCGAAGCCAAGAGTGTTGCCGAGTATACCGCTGAGACCAAGCAGTTTCTCCTGGAGTCTATGGGAATCGCCCATACTGCCGATACAAAGGTCGGCAATGAATTCGTCCGAGGTGTCAGTGGTGGCGAAAGAAAGCGAGTGTCCATTATTGAGTGTTTGGCAACCAGAGGTTCTGTTTTTGCTTGGGACAATTCGACAAGAGGACTCGATGCTTCCACGGCCTTAGAGTGGGCCAAAGCTCTTCGCGCCATGACTGACGTCCAGGGTCTTTCTACTATTGTAACGCTTTATCAAGCTGGAAATGGAATCTATAATCTCTTCGACAAGGTTCTCGTCCTCGACGAAGGGAAACAGATCTACTACGGCCCAGCATCGGAAGCTAAACCATTCATGGAGAACCTTGGATTTGTTTACACGGACGGTGCAAACATCGGTACGAGAACTGATTATTCCTTTGTCGTTTCTTTACTGACTTGGCTTTCAAGGTGACTTCCTCACAGGTCTAACTGTTCCGACCGAGCGAAAGATCAGACCTGGCTGGGAGAACAGATTTCCCAGAACGGCCGATGCGATTTTGAACGAGTATCAGAACTCGGCGACATACAAGAATGAAGTGTCTCTGTACATATATCCCGACACTCAACTTGCTGCCGAGCGCACAGAGGCATTCAAGGAATCTGTGGCCTGGGAAAAATCCAAACACCTCCCCAAGGGTAGTGATCTGACCACTAGTTTCTGGGCCCAGCTCATGTCGTGCACGGCCAGACAATACCAAATCCTCTGGGGCGAGAAGAGCACGTTCCTAATCAAACAAGTTCTGTCGTGTGTCATGGCTTTGATTGCTGGATCGTGCTTCTACAACTCTCCAGATACTTCTGCAGGTCTCTTCACCAAGGGCGGTGCCGTGTTCTTCTCTTTGCTATATAACTGCATCGTCGCCATGTCTGAGGTCACGGAGTCTTTTAAAGGTCGTCCTATCCTGACAAAGCACAAGTCTTTCGCCATGTATCATCCAGCCGCTTTCTGTCTGGCGCAGATTACCGCAGATTTTCCCGTTTTGCTATTCCAGTGCACAATCTTCTCTATTGTGATCTACTGGATGGTTGGATTGAAGCATACCGCAGCAGCGTTTTTCACCTTTTGGGCTATCCTTTTCACCACTACTTTGGTAAGTACTGATGTACAGGCGTCCCAAGACAATGATATGCCCCCTATAAAAGTCCCACTCCTTGTATCTGTTTTTTGGCCTGTCTTTTGGCACGTCCATCAACATGGACTCTGAGCTAACTATATTTTAGTGCATCACTGCGTTGTTTAGGTTTATCGGTGCTGCTTTCAGTACTTTCGAAGCTGCATCCAAAATCAGTGGTACTGCGGTCAAAGGAATTGTGATGTACGCAGGATATATGATTCCTAAGCCCCAGATCAAAAATTGGTTCCTCGAGCTATACTACACCAACCCTTTCGCTTATGCATTCCAAGCGGCCTTGACCAACGAATTCCATGACCAACATATCGACTGTGTTGGGGGAAATCTGATTCCCAGTGGCCCTGGATACGAGAACGTTGGGTCAGGCCACAAATCTTGCGCTGGGGTGGGTGGTGCCCTTCCTGGCGCGGATTATGTGACCGGAGACCAGTATCTCTCATCCCTTCGCTACAAGCATTCCCAGATGTGGCGAAACTTCGGTGTTGTCTGGGCCTGGTGGGGCTTCTTTGCTGTTTTGACGGTTGTCTTCACCTGCTTCTGGAAATCTGGAGCTGCATCTGGTTCATCGCTTCTCATTCCACGTGAGAATCTCAAAAAACACCAGGTTGGCAATGATAGCGATGAGGAGGCCCAAAACGAGAAGCGTGCGGCTCGCATCACTCCGGATGAGCCAGTTCAAGTGGATGATGAAAATCTTGTTCGCAACACGTCCATCTTCACCTGGAAGAACCTTACTTACACGGTCAAGACACCAACTGGCGACCGAGTTCTCCTCGATAACATCAACGGTTGGGTGAAACCTGGTATGCTCGGTGCTCTCATGGGATCTTCTGGTGCCGGCAAAACGACTTTGCTCGATGTACTCGCGCAACGCAAGACTGAAGGCACTATCAGAGGCTCAATCTTGGTCGATGGTCGCGAGTTACCGGTATCTTTCCAGAGAATGGCAGGATACTGTGAGCAGCTGGATGTCCACGAGTCGTACGCCACTGTGAGAGAAGCGTTAGAATTTTCTGCTCTCCTTAGACAGTCTCGAGACATTCCGAAGGCAGAAAAGCTCAATTACGTCGAAACCATCATTGACTTGCTGGAACTACACGACCTCGCCGACACCCTGATTGGTACCGTGGGCAATGGTTTATCTGTTGAGCAGCGAAAGCGTGTCACGATCGGAGTAGAGCTCGTCTCGAAGCCTAGCATTCTAATCTTCTTGGATGAGCCTACATCTGGTCTTGACGGTCAATCCGCTTATAATACCGTCAGATTCCTTCGGAAGCTAGCGGACGTGGGCCAAGCAGTCCTCGTCACTATTCACCAACCTTCTGCTCAGCTTTTCGCTCAATTCGACACTCTTCTTCTACTCGCCCGAGGTGGAAAAACCGTATACTTTGGTGACATTGGCGATAACGGAGCCACAATCAAACAGTACTTTGGTAATTATGGGGCTATCTGTCCCCAAGAGGCGAATCCAGCAGAATTCATGATTGATGTTGTCACCGGTGGTATTGAAGAAGTGAAGGACAAAGATTGGCATCAGATCTGGCTTGACTCTCCTGAGCAGCAGGAGATGATCACCGAGCTGGACAGAATGATCGCCGACGCGGCTAGCAAGCCACCAGGTACTGTAAACGATGGCTATGAGTTCTCGATGCCACTATGGGAACAGATCAAGATCGTCACTCAGCGTATGAATGTCTCTCTCTTCCGCAATACGGCCTACGTTAACAACAAGTTTTCGCTTCACATAATTTCGGCAATGTTGAACGGATTCTCTTTCTGGCGACCTGGCCCCAGCGTGTCAGCTTTGCAGCTCAAGATGTTCACGATCTTCAATTTTGTCTTCGTTGCTCCAGGCGTCATCAACCAGCTGCAACCCCTCTTCATCCAGCGCCGCGACATCTACGATGCTCGTGAGAAAAAGTCCAAGATGTATTCTTGGGTCGCTTTCGTCACTGGGCTTATCGTTTCGGAGTTCCCGTATCTCTGCATTTGCGCTGTTCTCTACTTTGTTTGCTGGTACTGGCCCGTCTGGAGATTGCCCCATGACTCTGACCGCTCCGGAGCCATCTTCTTCATGATGTTGATCTACGAGTTCATCTATACCGGTATTGGTCAGTTCATTGCTGCCTATGCACCGAATCCGACATTCGCGGCCCTTGTCAACCCATTGATCATCAGTGTTCTCGTTCTCTTCTGTGGTGTTTTCGTTCCATATGATCAGCTGAACGTGTTCTGGAAGTACTGGATGTACTACCTTAACCCTTTCAACTATGTTGTCAACGGCATGTTGACTTTCGGTCTCTGGGGACAGAAGGTAACTTGCAATGAAAACGAGTTCGCTGTCTTTGATCCGACCAATGGTACTTGTGGCGAGTATCTGGCGGATTACATGAGTGGTAAGGGCAGTGGAGTCAATCTGTTCAACCCAGATGCTACCTCAGGCTGCAAGGTCTGTGAGTACACAACTGGAAGTGACTTCCTGCAGACACTCAACGTCAACCATTATTATTATGGATGGAGGGATGCAGGTATCACTGTCATCTATGCTATTTCGGGCTATGCACTTGTGTTTGGTCTGATGAAGCTCAGAACCAAGGCGTCAAAGAAAGCAGAGTAAATATTACACATCGAGTTCATTTCGGAGTGAACCAAGGTTGAGACGGAGGAGATATTAAATTGAATATTTGTACATAGAAATAGGCTGCATATAGATAGACATAGAAATGGGCATCAGCGATTTTGGATTTTATGATTACCACAACGAGCCATGTTGGCCTTAGCTCGGGAGTTGCTCACCCTTGCGCATCATCTCAATCATTTGCCAGTATTATTATTAAGTTAGTCAGAACAATAAATTGTATGATCCTGCGATGACACTTCTAAGACTCACTTGGGCGATACTGAACCTTATTTGGAAACTTTGGACTACTCCGACGCCGAATTCGAAACGGAGCTATCAACTAACTTCCACCCTAGCGGCACGTTGCTTCCTCATCATTCAAGAGCGCGATAACACGATATTTGCCTGTGGGTAACCCGGAAGAGCAATGACCGAGAAACAAAGTGTTGCGAAGATGAACCCTGAGGGCTTGGAAGAATGGAAAGCTGCCCAAATTAACCGAAGAGAGGAATACCTAGAAAAGAAACCTGGTTGCAAGGACAAACTCCACCCATGGGCCCAGTCAGTTATAGAACTCAACATACAGCTGGTTCAAATAGTCCAACGGGAGCAGTTTGTCAAGGGCGAGATTGACCGATTGATGTCCTGTCCAGGGTCGCGAGAGAAGAAAAAGATACGAGCCCCGCACGACGAAGCAATTAAGCTCAAGCAGCAGTATTGGCGTCTTGACAAAAAAGTTTATATTCTCGAGGAGAAATGTCCCTTCGCGCACTTGATGAAAGGTCATAAGGCACTGCATAGCCAATATGGATGGCACTTGATTAGTGATTGGCTCCGGGACGATTGTGTTAGACGAGAGGGGTGCTGCGGCCGAAGCTGTAAATGCTGCAGTGAGAGGCCGCCAGCTCACGATAGGTTAAAGGGGTGGGGTCACTGTACAACAGAATGTGGGTGTTGCAACCGCGTTCGAAGATTTGAACTGGGGAAAAAAGACCAAAAGTTATTCCAAACTGACTTGAATATCGAGAATTGGGAAACAGGCCCTTACAGTTTGAACATATGCCGGGCTTTCTTGTGGGGACTGAACTAAGGAGTGAAGAAGTAGAAGAAATAATAGGCCAAGTCACCACGAGCCCGGCGAATTGCAACAAAGGCAACATTCTTAGTTATACCGTCATCTTTGACGGATTCTTTCTATTTGCTCGTGAGTCGGACGCAAAATCATGTATCCGAGGATTGACCTATGGACTATTGCTCAAAGACTGTTTGCACAAGGATTCAATTAAAGCAAAGGAATCTTGAAAATGAAAAGGTTCAAAACTCGAAACGACACCCGTTACATGCTATGCTATGATGAGCAAAACCCTGTCCCAGAACTCAGTTCAATGCATCCCATATCCCATATCCCATTATTCATACATGCATCCACATAAGCTCCAAACACCGGGTATTTCCAGTCCCAGAAAACAAAAGATAAACCGCCTATGCAGATGCGAGAATTGTTAAATGAAGAAGAAAACTCCGAGATTCATGTCATCGTCACGTCCTCCGCAAGCGCTGGAGTCGTCTCAGTAGAGGGATCGGGTGGAGCATCAGTCATTTCGTTGTCACCGTCATCATCATTGTTGGTAGCAATACCGTTTTGGACAATGGTTTCAGTGACAACTTCGACCGGAGATGCGCCAGAGCCATTTTGGCCTTGGTCCTCGGGAGTTTCCTCCCATACGCGCACGGTCTTGTCGAGACCACAGCTCACGAGCATACGCTTGCCATTCAGCTTTCCCGTGTGGACGCCTATGACGACATCGGTATGACCTTCAATGCGCTGAAGGATATTTTTGCTGACAATGTCCCAGCAGAGAATTGCGCCGTCCTCACTGCCGCTCACGGCAAAGGCCAGGGGTGGGTTATGCTTGGCGTCTGGAGAGCCATAGTAGCCAAAACAGCCTGACAAGCTGTACTTTTTATTGACGTGGCCCTGGAAGGTTTTGATAACGCGGCTCTCAACGTAGTTCCACATGCGCACACAGCCGTCCAGAGTCCACGCTAGAATGTATTTTCCATTTGGAGAGAACTTGACGCAAGTGGCGGGCGGGTTGTCTTCGTGCACGAGTGTCCTCAGGCATTGGCCACTGTGGGTGTCCCAGACACGGACGAGCCCATCCAAGGCGCAAGACACAATAAGGGTGCCGTCATGTACAACATCGATGCCGGCGACGGGGTCAGAGTGCGCGGGGAGGGAGCGCATGACACGTGCTCGTCGGACGTCCCATACGAAGACAGCTTCATCGTATGAGCCGCTGACGAGAATGTTGCCCTTTGGTGCGAATGCGATCTGGTAAACATAATTGTGATGGCCTTCGAAAGTTTTTGTGTGTGCTCGACCCTGTGACAAGACTGTTAGTAGTGATACGGATAGCAAGGCCAATGAGCGTAATTGACTCACCGTATTGACGTTCCAGAACCGAATTGTCTTGTCATCGGAGCCTGAAGCAATCCACTGCCCATCGGGGCTCCAAGCTAATGTGGATATGCCGGCAAGGTGGCCCTCAAATGTATAGATCAATCGGCCAGTCAATGTGTCCCAGACCTTGACAGCAGCATCGGCACCTTCAGGAGACAGTGGTTAGTCACCGATTGCCAAGCAGTAACATGTTCAAATACAGACCTCCACTTGCAATCATCGAGCAATCCGGAGAGAATTGGACAGCAGACACGCCGCGCAGGTGTCCCCGAAGCACAAACTTCTCCTTGTAATTGAGCCGCTCAGGCTTTGAGGGTGCCTCGACCGATGGGACTGGTGTTGAAGAGCGGTCAGACATATCGTCTCGCACTGGGGCGAGAGTCTCGTCGTCGTTGCTTATCCTGTCCTCATCAGACCCTCCATGAGATCGGTCATTGCTGCTGGAATCGGCGTGACGATCGATAGGTGAAGGGCTTCGGCGGCCTCGAGAGCCGCGCCAATACTCGTCCGCATCGACAGCCAGCTCATCCGAGCTCTCCGATTCTCTGTATTGTCTTTCCTGGTGTTTTGAGCGTTGTGGCGTGAATGACTTCTGCTTCGTCCAGCTTGATCGCCGGAGCTCGGACTCGTCAACTTCGGGGCCCGCAGCCAATTCGTCTGACGACGAATCCGCAGCGGGCTGGTCGCGGGACTCTCGCCGACGAGTTCGGGGGCGCGGGCTATCCATGAGAAGATTGAGGCAGAGAAACGGCGAGTAATCGCAAGACGAACGCGCCGACTTAACTCCATCGCAGCTGCGCGAAAATAAAACCGATCGCGTCTCCGAAGGCGGTGAGCGTGACTACCCGCTCATTTACATCACCGATCGACAGTCGACAGCTCCCCTCAACCGTTGCATACCGATTGAATTGCACGTTTACAGCACACGGCTGAAATGGCCTCCTCTCTGCCTCCGAGTGAGCCTTTGAGTGAGCCTCCGACTCACATTCGAATCCTCACCCTTAATTGCTGGGGTCTAAAGTACATCTCCAAGTATCGCCATGAACGTCTGTCCGAGATTGGGCGACAGCTGGCTCTGGCCGACCCGCCGCCAGAGATAGTGGGCCTTCAGGAGTGCTGGACGCAGCAGGACTACGAGAGCATTCGAGACCAAACCCGCCACATACTACCATACGGCAAATTTTACTTTGGAGGAATATTCGGCGCGGGACTGGCCATTCTATCAAAGTGGCCTATCGAGGAAAGCAGCATGGTTCCGTACCCATTGAATGGACGACCAACAGCTTTCTTCCGGGGTGACTGGTTCGTGGGGAAAGGAGTCGCCTGTGCTAGGGTCCGATTTGGACCTGGGGTGGCTGATGTTGCTGAGGTCTTCTGTACACACTTGCATGCGCCGTACGAGCGCGAGCCGAACGACTCCTATCTATGCCATCGCACTGCTCAAGCTTGGGAGATCTCCAAGCTCATGCGTGGCGCTGCTGAGCGTGGACATCTAGTCATTGGTTTGGGTGACTTCAACATGCTACCATCTTCCTTTGCCCACAAGTTGATCTCTGCCCAAAGTCCTGTCCGTGATGTCTGGCGCGAGCTCCACCCGGACTCGTCCGTTGGCGCCGCCATTGATGACGTTGAAAAGGCACGGAACCGACCAATCCCATCAGCGGAATTCAACTTGATCGAGAATGGTGCTACTTGCGACGGTGCCTTCAACACATGGCGCTGGTCGAAAGCTCTGCAGAAGCAGCTCGACAAGGGTGACGATATTCCTGTAGACAAAGATGCCCCCGACGCTCGCGCCAAACGTCTCGACTATATCTTTGTCGGTGATGGCGGTTACGCCCCGGGTTTCCCTCCACCACGCTGGTCCGTCGAGTCTGCACAGGTCGGCATGACCCAGCGCCATCCCACTCTCCGCTGCTCCTTGAGCGACCACTTCGCCGTCGAGGCTGTCATCACTCGCTGCGCTGAAGGAACAGGTCCTTTGCCATCAACTCAAACCGAACCAGCCCCATCACCCACCGAACCACCTCTTGAAAAGACGACTTCTGCCTCGTTCGCACCAAATGCCGCTCTGTCTCCACATACATACGATCTCATCATCGAAATGATTCATGCTTACGTGCGCCGCGAGCGATCACAGCGTCGCTGGCGACTGATTCACTTCATTTTGTCTGTATTCATCTCTATTGGGTGCATGATCGGCGTGTGGTGGGTCGGCAACCGCACCTATATCGGGTTCATCTTGATCCTGGTCAGTACGCTGAATTTCGGGGCTGGCATTCTGGATGGATTGATTGGTGGGCTGTTCGTTTCGAGTGAGCTCCGTGCTCTGAAGGAGTTTGAGTGGGAGGTACGGAATGCCAGAAGTCTGGTCCTGGCTGCAGAGAAGGGTCGTCCTGGAAGCTCCTAGTAGGAGAGTGCGCGATCCCTATATTCTGCGTTTGTGTTCCACTAGTTCTTATTATGACTTCACATTGTACTATACTGTGTAGCTTAAGGCCCGGCATTGCGCCGACGGGTCAGAATAATACATAATTTCCTGATCAGATGTCAACGAACTTTAGAATATCGCTAAGGTCAATATCACCTGGCAATGGGCTAACATCTACTTATCAAGGTCTTCTCCAGTGTACTGGGTATCTACCTCCAGGTCCTGTTAGCCATATGTCTGCTTAGTCAGGGGAATATGCCAAGAAACTGCATGTTTGCACTAAACCTCGATAAACTGACTCTTTTACGCGACTAATAATAATAATGTCATCCTATCGAGGGTTCGGTCATCAACCATTAGAACCCCTGTCTATGACTTCGTACATTCAATCATCACCCTTACTTCTTATGTGCGAGCAATGATTGCGTTTCGTAAAAGATTCGAGATCACTAGAGACCTATCATCCACTGTCTGCTGGTCTGTCAGACCGTTCCTTTGCTCTAGGCAGCCTGCCATATCTGCTGTGTCCCGGCAGCTCTTGTCCACTACTCCATCGGCATAAATCCAGCCATTTATTCACTGTACATCCAATACATCTGATACCTCCATGCCCCTCTTTTGATGCGCACCTATTCACATACGAAACTACATTTGTGGTGAGGCTGTCTACGCAGCGAGCAACTTTGCTGACGCCGTAGAAACGAATTTATAGGCAAAACCTGGGGAGGGTATGATTGAGATAGTATCATTTAAACATTGTATATCCGATCTTTGGAGGTTAATTGGAATTTTGCCATGGTTTAGCTGATTCGGAAAGCGAAAGGCGTGTCCAATCGTTCGGAGGGAGTGATGACACTTTCGAGGGCGAGGCACAATGCGTATGCACGAGTCTGACTGAACTTGCCCGCAGCCACAATTGCCTCAAGGGCCTTCGAGATAGAGCCTCGTTGGTGAATAATTGTAGGTCCATACACGGGCACCACTTCTGATTGGTCTCCTTGAACCCTCTTGCCTGAAAGTTTGGCACGGAAAGCCTCCATGTTGGACGGTCCCACCAACTCTAGAAATTCCAGTAAGTCAAATACCACTCTTTCTTCTGTTTCACCCTTATCTTGCCATCTGTCTTCCCAGGTGTCTTTCATATCACTCCCTGGTTTGTCAAATTCCCCGAACGAGGGAAATATTCTCACGACAAACTGAACATTGCAATCAACATTGCATAGCATGAACTCCTCCAGACATTCCAAAAATCGAACTTTCGAGCGTTTAAGAGAACCTGAGAAGAATACCTCGACTAATCTATACAGAAATATTATCCACACGGAATTGGCAGCTTGGGAGGCTGGTATTGTCGTCATCTCTTCCCAGTTGTTGTCGAAGGGACGGATCGGTTCCATGGGCACCATCTCTGTCGGGGTCCGCCCTTCATGGAGAAGCTGCTGTACTAATGTGAGGCTGCTGGATTGAGCGGCAACAAGCAGTAAATTTGGTCCTGAGATCAGGTTCTGCTGTTTTAATTGCCTCATCAGATCGGGTGAAAGAAACTGCTGCAGTTCACGGCACACCACCTCGCATAAGAAATCTGGAGAATGATTTGACTCCCTTAAAGTGAGCCACGTGCGACCGACGCGTTGCAAGTTTTCACCCCAGATATAGCCTTTGAAATCCGAGATCTCATCTGCGGGAGGGATTTCTGTTCCTCCTTCCGTCGCTCGGGCATGATGCTGAATAATATGGCTGGCCTCTTCAAAGAATCGCGATGGCACGTCGTAGCCACATTTTATATGGGCGCTCTCCATCACAGTGAAAAGCCTATGAACAGCCACCCTGATAGCGCCGCCTTCTCCACCAAAGTTCCCCCATACTCTGGGTCTGTAATCATGCAGTGTGGGTAACGCAAATTTGAGTTCTGCAAGCAACAAGCGAAATATTCCTGGAATGACTTCAAACTCCGGCATGCGGGCTTGCATTTGAGCTTTTCGGGTTTCCACAATGTAGTCACGAGCACTGCGATGGAGAAATTGCACTTGGAAGCTAAAGTAGTCGTGTCCGTCTTTCTCACGGCTGCGTTTTCGGGACATCTCGAGTATGCCCCGAGAGAGGCGATCCAACAAGCACGAAACACGCTCGAGTCGCTCGTCAATTTCGATCTCTGTGTATGATACCATTGGGAATTCACCAGGAAAACCCGGATCATCAAGATCCTCTAGCCATGAGTATGTGATCGCGTTCTGAACTATCGGCTTCCATGCACAGAAATTGGCAGTCGTTAAGAGAAACAATTGGTCCGACAGAGGCTGATCGTCGGGGTCGATGGAGCCAAGAATTTGATCGAAGAGCTCATCCAGCCCCTTGGGCAGCAACTGAAGTTTTCGCTTCAAATCCTTCTCGCTGGCCTGATATCCAACACTTTTCAAGAGGGAGCGGACAGCCAGTCTAGCCCAGAGAAACACCCCATCGGAGGCGTTCACAATCTCGATCGCCAGGTCTTTATATGTATCCTTGATGCGATGGAAATTGGGGTCTTTTTCGAACATGGCCATAGTGAATTTCAAAATATCCTCCCGAGTGAGTTCGTGGATACTAATCTGGTGATTCAAGTCATTCGCGAAGGATTGGACAAACGGAACATGAGGACGACTGCTGACACAAAGCTTGAAATTATCTGCTTGGGCTGTCCAGGACTGTAGATCATGAGAAATGCGCCAGTGGTCGATCTCGTCGCCGTCAATTTCGTCCAGACCATCAATAAAGAAGCAGAAATAGCTTTTGGAGGAGCTTGCTTCCTGGATCAGACGATTGAACGCTTCTTTGACTTCATCAAAATGTATAGGGGCTGCCAGCAAGCTTTTATCTCGCCAAATCTCAGGGAAGAGCCGAGGAATCAGATCAGGCTTTTGCCTGCATGTTTCAAACAGCAAGCTTCGATATAGACCCTCCAGAGACATCTGCTCGGTATCGCCCGAGTTCCAGAAAAAGAACCGCACAAAAATCAAGGGACGACCGCGGGCCCAGCTTTCTAACTCTTTCTTGACCCGAGAAGATTTAGCAAGAAACTTCATCAATGTAGACTTCCCCGATCCCGCCTTCCCCGATATATGGAAGATGTGACGGCCGGAGTTGAGCCAAGTGAGAAATTCCTGTCGAGTACGCTGTCGCAAGGCTTCCTGCTTCATTTTCTCTTTCTCGTGATCCTTCCTTTGCTGAACCCTCTCATCACTATTGTCTTGGGGACCAGCAGGTAGATCAATTTGATCAATTGTCGGTTGTGAAACTTCGTCAACCATCCATGCGAAAGTGCTACTTTCGGCCTTTTCAATGCTGCCCTCGCGGCTATACATGGACTTAAATGCCAGCCGCTCCAGGACCTTATTTTGATGTGACAGAGAAGTCGTCACGGACTGAAATTCTGACAGCAAAGCTCCCAGTTCGACGAGCGGTCCTTCTTTTGAGTCGTGCAACCTCGCTTGAGCCGAATTCGACTGGATAGTCTCAACCAGTGTCGAAATAGACTCATATAACTCGTCTAGTTCGGTGGCTGTTCTATTCTGGAGAGCCTTACCCTCACTTCGAAGAGCCTCTAGCTGGCCATTGACGAAATGATTCTGCTTATTGGCATTGTGACTAAATTTCTGTTAGTATCCCCTATTTTACATCATTCCGTCATAGGACAAACCTGAACATGACCTGCAACCTGATCAGAATCTGAGATTGATACCCTTGTAGCCGTCGCTCAATCATCTCAATTTCCTTCTCTTTCCGCACGCTGTGCCACTTCACCATCAAGCCCTCCCATTTCGAATTCTTATTCCCGACCCTCAGCCGTCGGAGAATTTGGTAGAGCTCTTCTGACAATTCATGACAATTCGCAGCCAAGGCGCTGAGTTGCCTTTCGTTTTCAGTCTTAGCGGGGGCGTCTGTGACCAAATTCTGCGTAACAACATTCAAATCTTCCACCAAAACACTTAGGCGCTCGTTCTCAGGGGTCATTCCAGTCGTAGAAGACCGGATCTTATTGACTCCAGAAATTATTTTGTAGGAAAAGTCAATGAATTGGAGGACATTGCTGGCAAGGCCAATAGCGGTGACGGGATCCATGATGTATCCCTCTCGACGCAAATGCAAGGCAGGCGGTGCGAAGATATTGTCAACAACGATACAGGGCGGGAAGGAAACGAGATTATGTGCACGTCAAGCAATGTGCAGGGTGCAATTCGAAGCAGAGGAGACCGGCGCAGCTACGGGGCCACTTCGCCCACATGAGGGGCAGACGTACGTTGCCCCGCAATTCCAGTGGCCGCACAGCCCCGGTATTTTATAGTAACGCATCAAAGGCTTCGAAGACCCTTTGATAATGCCTGTCGGAAACTGGCAATAATGTGAACCCCTTTTAACCTCTCTCCTCATAAATGTTTACTACTCCTTAAGTCTATAGTTTTTTACCGTGTGGGTCTTGCCGCAATAATGTGGGCCAAGATGGCATAATAGAGAGTCACTCGGAGAGTGGAGGCGGTTAAACAAATTTTGCAACGTACTGTAACTGCACATAACGAGCGTGGAGTGCATTGATATCGATACCAAAATAGCTAGTTAGACCGTATTCATATCCCCGGCCATCAAATTGATCATCATCATCATCAAAGTTTCAAGTGAAACCGAACTTACTCGGCACACTCACGCTGGCGCTCATTGAAGACAGCCAACGCCTCCTCAGCAGCCTTAACACCACTCATAACCATAGCGCCGAAAGTAGGGCCCATACGGTTGAAGCCATCAATCTCAGACAGCTCCATACCACCAATGATGAGACCCTTAGTGACCTCACGGGTGTTCTTGACGATGGCGTCCTCGGCGGCGTTCATGTCCAGACCACGCATACCACCGAGCTTCTCGATGGTGTTCATGGAGACGAGACGCTTGGCGCAGAATGCGCCGAAGGGGCCGTCGTGGCCGGTGGTACTGATGATGATGGGGGCGTTGATGGTGTTGGGGTCCATGCAGGAGTGGTCGTCGTGGTGCAGGGTGACCAGAGTCCAGTTGACGACAACACCGGCGATGCGGACGGAGTCGCCGTCGGGACGGGTAATCAGGTCTTCAACACAGGTGGCGTTGAAGAGCTTGACGTTGGGGAAGGCCAGCACACGCGACAGCAGGGTCGAGGTGAACAGGGCGGCGTGCTTGACAACCACGAAGTTGGGGTTGTTGGGCTCCTCCTCGAAGGGGACGCCCAGCTCATTCAGGAAGGCATCTGCGGGACGACGCAGGACCATGGCGGAGAAGAGCTGGCCACCGAGCCAGGCACCGCCACCTGTGGGGTTCAGTTAGAATATGTCCGGTTGTCTGGATTGTTAAGTGTCCATTGACTAACCAGGAGACACGGAGGCCTCAAGAATGGCAATCTTCAGGTCCGGACGGGCCTTGGCCAGCACGTAGGCCGTGCTGAGACCACAGGAACCAGCACCGACGATGACAACATCGCTCTCGGCATAGTTGTCCAGATCCTGGTAGTAGCGCCGGGTCATGGCGCGCGAGACCTGGCTCTCGCGGATAGGGGCGAACTTGAACTCATCCCACTTGCCGCCGAACTGCTCCAGAAGCTTGCTCTGGCCCTGACCGGTCAAGGTAGTGGAGCCCGTCTCGGGGACGATCACCTTACCCTTGATGCCGGTGGGGGCAACAGTAGGCTCATAGATGGCAGCGGGGGGAGACATAGTGGGTTAGGGATCAAGTCGGGGAAGTGACTTGAGTGCCTTTGTTAGTTTGGTACTTCAATTGTAGGGGAGAGAAGAGGGGGAAGGCATGATCCTTTCGCTGGTATTATCCAGATATCAAGTTATGACCGTATAATCTCAGAACGAACCCACGTCGATGGCACTCTCGGCTTCAGCTAGCAAGGTAGTTGGCTACCGGCACTGGAGAGAATAAATGCCACCAACGTGAAGAACGAACACCGGTCCACGCCCAGAAGTTACCTGAGATACCTTGATCCCTGAGAGATAATGTGCCCAGCCAAAGCGTATCCATGGCTTCCCAGTCGGATGGGAGGGGCTGTATGTACTTGACCGATTGGGATCTGAACAAGGTTAGCTCTGAATGTTATGGGACGAGGGCTCATAGTTACAGTAATAGCTAAAAGCTGTTTCTTGAAAATCTGTAACTTGAAAGAATTGATGAAGAAAGGAAGAAGAAAGGAAGATGGAAGGTGAGGGGCAGGACAACCTTATATGCGACCGAACCCCACCTTCTCACATACAGTACTACCTATTACCTTTCCAGTCGGTGTCATCACCCCTCCGACTCTCTCCGACCGGTGAACTCACAGGGGATCGATTGTTGATCCTTTGATCGCATAATGACGTTCATGATTCGCTTGTTTCCCGATTTTGGCTTTGGGATATGTTTCGTCTTCTCCTACCCACGGTTGTTTGGCGCGTTACCCATGGCAAACCAGACAGAAGCTCTACGCTTAAGCCATAAAGGGTATTAAGATACTTTGACTACTACTAATAAAAAGCCAATTCGAATTCCTGTCGTGCTCTTGTTTACTATGGAAAGTTCATGCTAATTCCCTTCTTGACTTCTTCGCTAAGACCGAGAATAAGCGTCCATCTGCACACATCGGATTACTGTGCTCCATGGAGTCTCGAGAATCCACCCCGACTTCGGCCATCCACAATACGTAGCATTCTCTTATACACACAATAAATAACCAGTAATGATTGTTATTGGATGGGTCTACATCAGAGCAAGTTATAAGCGATTTTTTCAAGCTAGACGTCGTGCTTGGTTCTACTGTATACAGATGCTTCTCGGATACCCCGGAGGGGCTGCGGGTCTATCGAGGCGTATTTAGACTTCTCTCGACCCTTCAAGGTTGTCTAATTTCTCTCCTTCTCGTTTACGTATCACTTCGCATAGCAAACGGCCACTCTAGTTCGAAATCTCTACTTGACTATTTCTTCCTAAAAATTGAGTCTCACCCGAACTGCTAGATTTGAGGTACTGAGGTTGAAGATTGGAGCGTGTGATACGAACTCCAGCCCCAGAGAAGACAGGCCCATGTTGTGATCTATGGGGATACCTTGTAAGACATTGCGGGTAGCCCGTTCGATAATCATCCGGATCTGAATCCTGCAGAGCATCAAGCCGAAATACCCTATGTCTTATTGGTCGTCTTTCCCCGTAGGAAGGATTCTCCGCGGCAAATGCAGTGAACGCTCTAGGAAAGTAATTTAGGAGCATATGTAAAAGACCGAGTCCCGAGTCCATGGGCTCAAATTTTTTAAACCAATGTTGAGGCTAATTTAACAGTCGATTCGTCACCGAGTGTAACAGCTCCCCAGGATAGAATTTAAGAAAAGTTGTTCCTGAAATTCACCGAAATATATCGCGAACAGTCATCTAGATTACACTCTAACAGCACCAACTAACTCCCCATCCGAAGCCGGGAAAATGCGACCCAATTCCGACGTGATTTGAACGATCTCATTCGACAATTGGCGACTTACGATGACTGAGGTGTTGTGCGTCAGTAAATCTTGCTTGATGAATCCTATCGCAGGAAACTTACTATAAGCGTAAAGCAAGACATAGTCTTCATCATTCGTCACTTGAGACACCCCCTTGTCTTGGCGGTATCGAGAGATCTGTGCCAGAAGTTCGTCTCGGGAGCGCTCTACATTTGTAGGGATATTGCTGAATGTATGCTCGGAATCCATGGCTGTAGCTATGCCTGTAGTAGTGGTGGTGTGTTAGTAAGGAGGATTGGTAGAGTGCTTTTGGGCTGGAGGGGGATGGATATTTGGATTATTGAAACTTACCGGTTAGTAAATTACCAATGCACTCAGACATTCTCTGTCTCGCAGCGGATGTATGTCTCAAGAGAGAGGTCTGCCCCTCAGAAGGCGCAGCGAGATTGGCCAGAACTAGGTCCAAGGAATGGAAGTTGTCCACGATATCTCTCGTCCAGTGAATGACGTTGCTGTAAGCAGCATCTGGGAATCGATCTCTCAATTCGAACTCAGAACGTGCTGACGTTTGCATAGGTTCGAGCTGGGAGAGGAGGTGCTCGATTTCAGCCTTGTCGCGGGAATTCATATACAGAACAGGGGTATCTGCATCTCCTCGGGATAACGTATTCAACGGGTCGGATTCCCAAATGAGAGCCAGTTGAAGCCACAGCGACTGCAGAGTTTCATCGAGTTTTGTTCGTGCGCGAATCGGCCATATGCCTCGTGTAATGATGATACCCCAAATGTTGCCTGCGATGACGGAGATAACTCGACGGAGAACAATCGAGGTTATGTCAAGGTGTTCAACCTCGTCGTTTGGATCATTGCGATCAATTTGCGAGTGAGAAAAAGCGTAGAGAACAGACAGGTTGTAAGTCAGTAAGATAAATCGCCCCATGGGGCCTTGACCTTTGACGAGAATGACGTAGAAAGGCCCAATGGCCATGATAAAGCCCGTGAGAGCGAGCCTGACTGCATCTCCGCCTGCAAGGTACCAAGCACCGATCGAGCAAAGACCGCCAAGACATGTACCAAGGAAACGAGCAAATCCCGTGGTGTTTGATGCACCGATAGTCATGGAGCACACCAGCATGTAGGAGACAAGACCCCATTCTCCTCTCCAAGACAGATAGATTGGTCTTGTCACGGATATGAAGGAAGGCAAGGCATAGAGCGCTGCTCCGATTCCTACTTTGAGAGCGAACTTGATCTCATCCTTTCGAAGAAAGTCGAACAGTCTCACAACATTGTCAGTGGCTCTTTGATGCCGTGTCCATCCTCGGCATATGGTTTCGGGCTGGTCACGCGTACTTGAAATTAGTTGTGATCGTCGAGTGCTGGCTGTGGTGCGGGCACTTGTTGACAATGAAGCTAACAACACATATATCAGTGACATAATCCTTGGATACCAATGAGTTTGGGTAACTTACCTTCAGTGGGATCATTGATCACTGGTCCTCGATGAGCCGGCCACCACGAAGGACGCAGCCACTCCCATGACCTTCCGTCAGGTCTCTCATCCACCTCAGCCTGCAGTTCCTCCAGACTCAATAACAGCTCTCTCAGTTGCTCACTGAGCTCAAGTAGTGAAACGGAGAAATACTCGCAATTAGCGAAGATCTCCTCAAGACTGGCCTTGTCCACCTGAACAGGGGATATCATCTCCCAATCACGACGAAGCGAGGAAAAGGCAGCATGTCGGGCTTCACGGTAAAGGTCAACTGTTCCATTGATGCGTGTGATCACCGCGTGGTCAATCGAAAGTTGATAATCGGGCGCAGGCCCAAAAGAAACTTCTGCAAATATCTCCTTTAGGCTATGAGCGAGTGATAGCTAAAGATGATAAATTAGCTTGGGGTCGGGTTTTTGCCGACGGGTCTGTGAATATACGTACGATTGAAACTTCGAGGCCGGATGTTAGTTTCTCAAAGATTTCGGCAGGGGTATGAGTTGAAGAGGACTGTTGTCCAGCATCGGTGATCAAGCTTGAAGATTCACGGTCCAAGTCCTGTGTGTCTGTCCACGAGACAGCTTGTGGCTCACTCTGTAGCCCCCAATTTTCAGAGGTGGCGAAACCGGACGATTCATGTCCTGCGGATGAGAGTCTGGATGTTCTTGTGTATTTAGTCGGCGCAAGTAATCTGGCCTGCAAGGCCACTGCACTGCGCAGACCTCCTAAGCCATGTGTGATATCTTGCATTGAACACACGAGCCGTTTTTCAAGAGCGTGCTCTCGCTTCGTCCCAGCCACGTGGTGTTCAAGTCTAGTCTCGTCAAGTAACTTCTTCAGCTGACCGAAGACTTTGTCGTGATGTGCAGATAGCTTGGTAAACTCGGCCGTTTGAAGCTCACGGTCTGAGCCGCGGAGAAAACTCTCGGTGATGCTCATCAACGTTGCCGTCACCGTACCAGTCAAAGTAGAGAGGTCACCACGGAATTTCTTCCGGGCAGAAACCGGCAGAATCAACAAGGACACGGCTGTTGAAACTCCAACACCCAAAAGAAGCATCCTGAGAATCTGGGAAATCTTGGTGAGGGATAAATCACCTGTCTGCACAGCGCCTTCTTTCGTGATAACAAGAATGGAAGCTAGAGAAGCCAAAGAACACGCAACATTGACGAGCGGGTCCTGTAATCTCTGTTTGATCCATCCGATAAATCCAAATCCACCCATGACGAAGACGACCAGCACCACAGCATGACCTAGCTCGATCAAGTCATGCTTTCTTTGAATAGTGATGGTCACCCACATACTCGACAACGAGAGGAAGGTCGCAAACAGGAAAGCGACGAAGGCACATATCAGCGCTTTGTACATTCCACCCTGCGATCGAGCTGGGTGGAAGTAGATAGTGATGGTAGCGACGAGATGTTTTCCATATTGCTTACCCAAGAGGCTTCCAATGAATGGTATGAAAACTGCCAGAGATGCAAGTAAATATGCAAGGCTGCATTTGAAGATGCCAACCGCGTGCTCAGAAGCAATCAACACTTTGGCCTGGCGCCATGCCCGTGATATTTGTCGGAAAACTCTCGTCGTGAGCCGTTCTTGCTGAACCTCTTCGTTGCTTAGGAGGAAGGGCTCAAGTTCCTCATGCTGGTCGTGAGCGTCGGGGCGCATATCGAAGTCTTCCGGGTGAGGCGGATTCGCAATTGGCGTAGATTGCCGCGCCTACCAAGATCAAGACAGACCGTGAGTAAATTCCTGTACTATAGCATGTGAGACTTGCTTACCCCAAAGAGGGAGAGACCCCTGGACGCCATCACACGGTAAGATCACCACCATCCAGCTTTGAGAGGAGTGTCTTCATCGAAATCAGGCTGCGTTGTTCCTGGACAAGAGATCCGCTTTGGTCTCCACCTCCGCGGGATTTCTCCCCTCTTTTTGCCACCGCCTTTTGTTGGCTGCTCCGCACTAGTCCGGATACCGTTGACTTGGCAATCATACTAGGCCTAATCGAGTGCCTGGTATTTTGTTGGCTTCGGAGGAGCGATAGCCAAGAGGAAATCTTGACTGTGAGAGGAGTCCAGTCTGGACCGGACTCAAAGTCGTGCATTTTCAGAAAGGATGATCTAGATTTCAATTCTCAAAAGAGCCATCATCAACACGCGGTGCGCATACGACGGTTCAAGTAACAAAGGTCAAATGCGCACATTACCCTTGGACCACTGTTGTATGCTTGCTACTGGAGATCGAATTGCTCAATCAATAATCATAAAATTATATTGTCGTCATACGAAACTCATGCCATATGTCACGCTCCCAAGCTTCTACATACATCAAATCATGAAGGTCCTGACATCATACCAAATCATCACAAACACAGTGGGGAGCTGAGCTACGCGGAGCCCCGCCTATCCACGCAAGGATAACAACAAGTCGACCGCATTGAAGCAGCCAATCATACCCACCCTCTCAGCGATCATTTTAAAGCACATATCTAAAGCTTGCGCCATAGTTATCCTCTGCCGCAGCCTCGCCCTCTTTCGTCGGATCGGCGTCGATTTTCGGTCCGTACTTCTTATCGAGCTGCCGGTTTTCCCACACCAGCAAGAACCGAAGACACAATGCAAGAAGTGTGGTGAAGAACATGAACGCTGCACAGATCGACATTCCCTTGATAAAGCGTGGGGCTTGCTTATCGGGGAATACGTTCGTTCCCAGGAAGGGACCGCACTGGCCGATGAGGTTCAGGAGGATGATACCTCCACCGCGGCGGGTATCGGAGCCTTGGTTATCTGGTGTGCAGATCGGGGTTAGCAAATTCTAAACCTATGATCGGGCAACTATTTATTGCAGAGGGGAGAGCCCAAAAGCAATAAAAGAGGGAGTGAACTCACTCAGAACCCATGGAAGGATATTGGCGATCGACGGAAACACTCCACAAGCGGCGAGAAACACGCCAAAGTATCGTACGCCAACTGACTCGCAGGTGGCACACAGGATATACCCCACACCGCCGATCGCTGATAGTCCTGCGATCATCAATCCACGCTGCTGGAGCCGATCCGCCACCCAGGTGGACGCAATGGTGCAGAGGAATGATGCAAAGAAGGGGGGTGCGGTGAGGCCCTGCGCGTTGATGGCCGTGAAGCCCATTTCCTTGAGGATAGTCGGCAAAAAGACCGGCAGAGAAGAGAAGCTAACATTGCAGCTGAAGTACATTAACTGCGCATCAGGAATATTAGAGATTAGCCCATTGGTTTCACGTGTTCTTCAGATGGAATGCTTACCGCCGTGAACCAAGCCTTAGCGTCGAATAGTGTCTCGAGTAACTCCTTCCATTGAACTTTGCCCTCCCGCTCTGCTTCACCAGACTGTTGCAAGGCGCGAACCCGAGCAACCTCCTTCTCCTCCTCGGTGAGAAACTTCGCCGAAGATGCATTGTCTGGAACAAAGAACCACGCTAAGATCGCAGCAGCACAGACAGGCAGACCCTCGACAAGAAACAGGAGTCGCCAATTTGCGAGTTTCGAATGACCCGAGGTAATACCGTAGGCCAGAGCTCCCGCAAAGGTATTAGCCAGCGGGGCAGCCGACAAGAATAGACCGCAACGGAGACCCAGCTCGTGACGGCGATAGAAGAAGGACAGCAGATAGGGCACACCGGGTCCAAACCCAGCTTCAAAGACACCCATCAGGAACCGCAGGGCCATCATGCCCTGCCAGTTCGTAACAGCCGCTTGGCACGTTGCGACCAAGCCCCTGCCATGCAATGTCAGTTCGATCTGAACAGATTCCGGAGGGATCATCTCCACGTGGAGGATGTGCATACCAGGAGAAGACAACAAAGGCGGCCCATTGGTGCGGCTTGACGATCTTCCACATCAACGCCTGGAACTCGAACACCGTATATGAGATGTAGAAAATCGTCAGTAGCCATGAGTACCGGTTTCCAGTTAGATTCAGGTCTTCCGTCATGCCGGCAATTTTTGCATTGCTATGTAACCATCAGTCAATATTTCAGCTCACTTCAATTTTCGGCGGTGGTCTGCACGAACCCAATGTTACTTCGGTCGAGGAAAGCAAGTAGATCTAGTCACACAGAGCTCGTTAGCACGAAATTGTCTTGTATCGTTGTCCAACACAATCACGAAAAAGTAATTATGCCCATACAGAAAAATCCCATCAAGGTAGGCACCCGCCAATCCAACTTCCTCAGCACACGTCGCTCCAATTCCGGGTCAAGAATTGTCGCGGCCACGGCAGGACTTTGTATATTTCCGGCCTCCTGATGAGCAGGCACAGTCTTCTCAACATCTCGATCCGATGGTGCTCGTTGAATCTCGTCCTCTGACGGATCCTTCCTGCCAAAGTGACCCATGGCGACAAATATAGAAACCAGCCGAACAGGGGAAGAAAGAGAGAAAAAAAACCGCAAGCCTCGGACCTTGACCGGGCCATCGGGGGGAAAGCCAGGACTTATAGTCTGTGGGGAAAACAAGATCTTCCGTGGGGGGTTACGGTCGCAATGGTCACAGCCGAGTCGCCGACAGGGACTCGTCACCTACTCGGCTGATATGGGTGACTCTAGGGGCGCAACCATTGGCGCCACTAGCACCCGGCGACCAGGGCCATCCCCACAGTTTCCAGCCCCAAAAGCCGGAGCGGCGTCCAGCCTCCGCGGCGCCCTTCCAGTGGGGATCCAATCGAGTGGGTTTGTGCGGAGATTGGGTGAATGGGCGAAAAAAGCTTGAGTGGAGCTTCCCTCCAAAAAAGCTTACCCGCATTCATCGTCGAACCCAACTGGCGTGTGCACGCGGGCTACTCCGACTGTGATCAGCACTTCGGTAATAATAAAAGGCCCGAGTCTATATTAGGTTGAGCGGACCTTTGCCGAGGGAGGAGTCATTTGTGTACTTACGGGGTTTACTCCATATGTATGGTGTCGCCCCGCAAAAGAGACCCCAAGCGAGCGTCGTTGATGGCTTTCAGCGGGAACAGGGTTTGGAGTAGTACGAGCCACTGGTGACTGGGGAGTCGGGACCGAGTTGGAGGCCTGGCCATTACCAGGTACGCTATTTATCGAGCTGAGATTAACAAATGAGAGAAAATGGAGGGAAAGTGAAGGTATTTCGACCCGACATATAGAGACGAATTTTACCCAAGTGATCAAGTGCTTCACCACTATCTCTCACGGCCGAGTGTCCCAACATTTCATGCGTATGTTTATAGACCTCTATCGATAATGGGAACTAGGGTTTTACCGAGTTCTGTGCTGACATCTCTTCTCGCAGATGTTACATCATCTACAGATATAGTTACCTACATCACTGAGCTAAAAGGGATTCAAGGGAACATTCCCATCGACGGTTACGTGGCTGTACGAGGTTGGCTAGTTAGATACGAAAAGTCTCCTTCCAGACAAATTAATCAAGTTATTTGCTACCTCGTTTAAGCCACCAGCTGCATCAAATACTGATACCGGCTGTTTCCTCTCACCCTTTTGGATGACGCGGTAATCGTCCCATCAAGGATGCCGAGGCTTGTATACTTCGACAACGAAATATTATATAGTCAGGGTTGACCCAATGGGTAAGTCATCTGAGCTCATAGCCTTCAAAGCTTATAGGTGCAATAATTTTGTATTATCTCCGTTTGAGAAATTTGTGGGCAGCTTAAGGCCCGGCCCAGTTCATGCATCTATATTGATTACCATCGGCCTAGAACGCAAAAACACCGACTAAGCGTACCTAGGTAGCCCACCACTGGTGACTAGAAAAATGATATCCAAGAACTATTTTATCGTTTCCTTTGCCATCTACAGAACTGCCAATGTTTGGTGCGAGCTGAGGTGACCTAGTTATGACTGTAGCAGGTGTCCTCTTTGATACTGATGCCTTAGGTGTCGTGCGTTGCTGGCATGTATCGTCTCCCGCACCGCATCAAAAATCCTCCGCGTCGCGTTGCCAGGAGCTCCATCAGCCCTCATCAATTCCGCGCGACCAACTTTACCCCCATCGGTGACATCCCGATTGACCCTCGCCATCTTCTTAAATCATTTCGCGATTCAATTGATTGAGTTGGGTACCCGCAAACGGGTGTAGCCAAGATGGACGATCCAGCAGCCCGTATCCCGCCGCAGCTGGTAGGCGACCCCCAATCCAATCATACACGTTTGACACGGGTTTCAAATCAAACGAAGTGACTTGAATGTCAGAGCTGACCATTTCACCTCAATTCAGATTCCGCACATGCATCTTGTGTCGCGGAACCGGTACCCCAACATGCACATGATGCCGACCGAGACGGCTGTGGAATACCTCCTCAGCGCGCCTCGGGTCTGCCAGACGCAACCAATGCACTGGACCTTCTTGGATGGCCCACAAGATGGTACCGTGATGATGACCTGGCAACCACTTGCACACTTGGGGAATAGCTTCGCGAGCGACGGTTACGTCTGGGCCGATGCGGAGCAGGCTTTCACCTTTGAAGCCCGAGGATATGTATGACATCCCCTTGGAAAGCGCCAACGGCGTGGACAGAGCGCCGATAACTAATTCCTTTTTCAACAGACCGTGGAGATGTTCCTTCACCGCAGCGGTTATCATCCTCCAAACGAAAACGTGGCCAGCCACTGTCGCAAGCGCTATCGCATTGTCTCCTCTAAAATCCCGAATGCCCCCCAGCCCGATCCCTCACTGTGGATCGTCCACTACTCTCGCGCGCCTCAGCAAGATCATATCCCCGCCACCCGTATCCCCGTTACGCCGCAAGTACAGAGTATGATGAGCCAGCGACGCTACTTGCAGAGTCAAGGCCAACTCGCTCGCAAAGAATTCCTCCTCCATGACCGCAACAATTGGCCCACGATTAGCTTCCCACCTCAGATGGCTCCCCAGGGATTCACCCAACCACAGCCCGCCGCATACGCGAATGCGCAACCTGGACGGCCCGGTTTCTACCCACCCCAGGCACACCCAGGTGCAGTACCACCCGCCCCCACTCAGGGTAAGGCGCAGCGCGGACACCGTGCTCCATCAGCAGCGATTGCAGCGGCAGCTGCTGATTTCGCTCTCGAGGATGAGGATGTTTCAAGTGGTGATGTGATGGATCTCTTGACTCCCCGCGAGGTGAGCAAGATGCGATATGTCCAGCACCACGAATGGATGGAAGAGATCTTCGCATCCCATTACGCCATTTCGCAGATTACGCCGGTCTCCCTCGGTCTCGGCCGCAAGGGTGAGCTCGAGTCGTTGACAGCGGGATTCTTTGATGCCCCAGCAGGCGCAGAAAGTCAAGAGAACCAGGCCCCGAATGCTACTAAGCTGGAGCCTGCCAAGGCAGAGGAGTTTGCCGATCGTGTCGCAAAGAAAGTTGCCGATATGACCGCTGAGATTGAGAAGCTCAAGAAGCAACACGCCCGCCGGATGGAACGATTCAACCGAAGCTCACTTTTCAAGGATGCCGAGTTGCGCCTTCGTGATGCCGCCGCCGATCCTTCAGCGACCGGAACTGAGGTTTGGCGTTTGGAGGGCCGCATCGTCGTTCCCAACGAGGAGGGCGAAACCCCACAGCTGGACTACTTGGAAGAGAAGGCCAAATATAAGGTGAACGATGTGGTTCGTGATGTTGAGACTGCCTGGAAGAAACAGATCGTTCCGGAGCCTAAGGTTTCGTGCGTCGAGAAGGGCGGTTTGTTGGAAAAGATCGAGCCCGAGCAGAAAGAAGAACCCGAGTCATTCACAAATGATATGGTGATTGATCAGGCCGATTCTCACCTTCTGAACCAGTTCGGTGGCCCTGGCGGTAATGGCGCAGCCCCCACACAACCCGGCGCTGATATCTCCGGGGATGTGGACATGGACATGGGCAATCAGCTCGGAGGCGGCGGTACCGCCGGCGAAACTGGCGACTGGGTGATGGTCAATAATGAAAACAAAGACGGCAACGCAGCATCCGGGGCCGGCGAGGGCAATCTTGAGAGCGCCAACTTTGATGACTTCACCAACATTGACAGTGCCGGTGACGCTCTAGCGGCATACACGGAGCAGAACGATGGACTCGATTTGCCCGACCTGGACAACTCCGCGTTTGGCGATGCCTTCCATGCCTCGGACAACGAGCACTCACACAACCCGGACGCGGACGACATGTCCTAGACTTGAAACGCGGGCTTGAGATGTAATGTACGAAGGCGCTTGCTACGGTTCTATTTTGTGTGCTCTTTTTGTTTCTCTATCTTTCTTTTTGCTTAGCACGCTGCGGACTATGGTCTGCTTCTGGGTGTTCGTCGGTGTGTTCGGTGGACTTGGTTTTGAATTGATGGACGCTTGCTTTTGCATTCGGATTCCCTCTTTGTGGTGTACAACACACAGACAGAGAAATGTATGACCTGGCTGATTAGCTTCGGACCGGGGTATTCTTACAAATTTTCTGCGCAGTGGATCTCTGTAGGACAGTTCAGCAAAGTAGAATAGCTTGACGGTTAATTACGGGCTTATTAGTAGCAAAATGTCCACGTAGGTTGATTGTCAATTGCTGTCAGTAGGCGCATTTCTCGATTCTCAATTCATCTCAAACCAACCCTAAGTGAATTAACTTCCTCTTGAGGAAGGGGGCCTGAAGAACGTAAATACTAGGTAAAAGCAAGTTCTGACCAACTCATCGCAGCTTGGTTAATTACACATACAAGAAAGTATCCTAAGCTTTCGGACCGCTGGAGTCTTCGGATTACCTCACTCATCTGATAAACGCCCGGTCTGTCGAACTGTGGAGTACCGATGATCCGGCCAAAGATCCAGCGACCCATCCATGAACAACAAGCTTCACCCGGCTCCACGACTTCTCATGAACACCTTGCAGCCAGTTAGATGCCTTGAATTCATATAGTTCACGCACTCGACTGCAATCGGAATGGTACATGAGCTCAGCATCCGCCCCTCCCCGTCATGACGTCACCCAGCCACCGGGACTGTACTTCCCGCTGTAGAGCAACGACGAGATTTAGGGTTGGGCACATCGTCATCTATGGGAAGGCGCCATCCCGGTTGCTTGCCTGGCCGCCCCCAGTTGCATTATAACCCGTTTTCCTCGTCTCGCTGGACTTTCTGGCCGATACATCTTGCACAGGTATATTCCACACACACTGCAGAACATATCAGACCATTCCGTACCCTCACTATAATAATCTACAATTCACGATGTGCGCAAACTGATCGAGTCATCCACTCTCCATTCTCTTGGCTTGCTGACGTATATCTATAGGAACCGCAACATGTCTATCCGCTCTCGCAAAGAGCCTAGCGGCGGCCGCCACCGCTTCACCATGTCTACCTTCCGAGGCATGCAGCAGCCCGAGCTAAGCCGCAAACTGAGCCGACTCATCAAGAGCGAGAACTCGGCCATCGGCGCACATGAGACCGCCGGTCGAGAGCGCGCTGCCATCGCTGCCGCCCTCTCGGATTGGGGCGAGTCGACCGAGGACGATGCCGTCTCTGATATCTCCGATAAGCTGGGCGTGATGCTGTCCGAGATTGGAGAGCAGGAAGACATCTTTGCGCAGAATTTGGAGGACTATCGTGGTGTCCTGAAGCATATTCGGAACATGGAGGCTTCTGTGCAGCCGTCGCGTGACCAGCGCCAGAAGGTGACCGATGAGATTGCGAAGCTCAAGTACAAGGATCCTACAAGCACGCGTCTGACCACCCTGGAGCATGAGCTTGTTCGTGCCGAGGCGCAGAATTTGGTTGCCGAAGCGCAGCTATCCAACACTGTACGTTGAGATTGGTTGAATTGGGACAGGCGACTTTCGCTAATATGTGTTTTTTTGGTAGACCCGGACAAAGCTCAAGGAGGCCTTTGATATCCACACTGCCGCGATCATCGAGCGTGCGGAGAAGCAGATCATTCTTGCTCGACACGCCCGTCGCCTGCTCAATTACATCGACGACAGCCCTGTCGTGCCCGGCGATACGCGCCAGGCATATGACCATGAATTCGACGCCCGCCAGGTTCTTGAGGACGCTGAAGCCGATCTCCGTGCTTGGGAGCCAACCTTGGATCCCATCTCGAGCTCAGCTGTGGATGCCCCGACCCATGTCAACGACGGCAGAGTGAACGAACCTGAGCAGGACGTGGAGAGTGTGGCCACTGGCCCCAGCGGTGTCGCAGTCGGCAATGCGGTTCCATCATCCTCCAAGCAACTTGAGGAGCCTGTTGCTTAGAGCCTCACCAGCTAAGGGGCAGAAATGATTTCTTTTGTATTCTGGGTATATTGATATACTATAGCAATGTTTCAGTTCCTGCGTAATCCTCTTAATTTTGGAGGACTGAAGGTGGGCTATTCAGTTGGTCTTGCTGGAATTCAAGCGACGACCGGGGAAAATTGATCGGAACTTGTACCGTTGAAACATGGAAATGTGTTAGGTAGCAGAACACCCTGCCAAGTTTATTGTTCGACTCCAACTTTAATTGTACGATGGTCGGTGTCAATGATAATGTTAGCGTGGTACTTTCACCCCTTCTTCATGACTAATACCCTCTCCAACCGCCTTCCGAATAGGGATTAGGGCAATACCATATGTTTCAAACCCTTCCACCTAGCCACCTAGCCACCTACCTTCCTACCTACCTACCTACCTACCTACCATGGAGACTAATCACGAAAGATCCGATCATACCCCCCAGGCCCCCCAGGCCCCTCATACCCCTAGCCATAAAGCTAGTCGTGATCAGCGCATCGCAGCGCGTACACTGCGCGCTCAGGGGCTTACCTATAGCCAAATTGCATCAAAACTGGGCATTACCCAGCGTCAGGTCCAAAAGGCTTGCACTGATGAGAGGCCTACACCACGTAAGGCCCCTGGCCGAGGTCGAAAGCTATCAGAAGAACAGCTTGATGAGATAATCGAGTTTATCTCATCTTCGAAAGAGACACGACGGATGCCGTACTCTAGGGTTATAGAAGAACTACAACTCCCTATTAGTTCTGTCACCTTACGAAGGGCCTTAGCTAGACGTGGATATCATCGATGTAAGGCCCTTCGAAAGCCTCCGTTGTCCGACCGTACACGAGCACTGCGTCTAATCTGGGCGCTAGAGCACGTTAATTGGACGCGTGAGCAGTGGGAAAAGATATTATGGACTGATGAGACCTGGGTTACATCGGTCTATCATCGACGGATCTATGTTACGCGTCGGGCTGGTGAGGAATTTGATGATACTTGTGTACGAGAGCGAATTTCTCGTGCACCTGGCTGGATGTTTTGGGGCTCATTCTATAATAATAAGAAAGGCCCTTGTCTATTTTGGGAGAAGGAATGGGGCACTATTACTGCTGCTCGATATACAGAGCGAATTGTGCCTCTTATCGACGGTATGGTTTCGCTGGCTCGCAATCATTTAGATCAACATCTAATTGTAATGCAAGACGGCGCACCATCTCATCGAAATCTCTTAACTATTGAGGAGCTTCACGATCGTGGGATATACCCTATCGACTGGCCACCGTATTCGCCAGATCTTAATCCAATTGAGAAGGTTTGGGATTGGATAAAAGATTGGATCGGTGATCGATATTTGAAAGACTATGATCGTAAGCTATCTTATGATCAGCTACGCGAGGCTGTGCGAGCTGCTTGGGATGCGATTCCTACAAGCTTTTTAGACCAGCAGATTGATCTGATGCAGAAGCGCTGCCAGGCTGTTATCGACGCGCAGGGGGGGCCATACACCTTACTAGGCGGTAATATATTGTATTATAGTGGTTTAATTACGTGAAGTCGTAATAAAAGGGTGGCAGAATATTAGTCATGAAGTAGGGGTGGAAGTACCACGCTAACATTATCATTGACACCGACCATCGTACTTGGTGTTCATAATCCGAGACCACGTGACCACAGGCGCCAGAAGTGACGCGGAACTCCCAAGCTCCAGCGGAGCTTCTTCCATCATCAAACCGGTGCTTCATCTTGTCCTTTCAACCCTCCCCTCAACCCCGATCATCTTACTTTTAGCTCCATTTCCCTCACTCTAATTAGCACATCATGGACAAGATCGTCGCGCAATACTCGCGCCCCTCCTATCAGAATGTCTACACCGAGCAAGACCAACAGGAACTCACGGAGAGCCTCCCTCCGCTCTCCCTGAAGTTCGCCCTTCCTCCCGTCGCCAATGTGAGTTATTCCAACACCAACAAAGTCATTCATGGACTCGAAGCTGGTTGCCATGAGCTCGGGGTTTCTGGCCAGTCATCTGGTGGACCACGAAGCCCGTCGTCACAGCTATGGCGACCAGAGCTCCCTGCTGAACGAGTCTATCGAGAATCAAAGAAACAACCCTTTCTAACCATTTTACTCCATTTTTCTAGCCCTCCGCTTTCCTCCGTGCCATGACCGATGACCACTCCAACCCCAGCTGCCCGATCAAGCTCGCTCACGGAACAACAACCCTGGCCTTCCGATTCCAGGGCGGTATCGTACGCTCCCCTTGAGAGAACCGCATGCATTACGCCATTAGATACTAATGAAGCTTTTTGGAGAAATAGATTGTGTGTACCGATTCCCGAGCAACGGCCGGAAACTGGATTGCTAGTCAGACGGTGAAGAAGGTCATTCCCGTGTCGCGGTTGAGCCGTGGCGAGGATAAGCCCACGAGTGAGCCTACTCCGGGTCTTTTGGGAACGATGGCTGGTGGTGCAGCGGTGAGTTTTGTCGAATGAGGAGAGACTATAACCTGGGTTTGATGGGGTAGTCTGTGCTGACGGATGGATTGGTAGGATTGTCAATATTGGTTGCGGTATTTGAGTCAGCAGTGCACTCTGCATGGTGAGTTCAAGGTCCCATTATGTTACTGTGAGGTTCGGAACGATTTGCTGATTGATATGATTACTCAGAGATCCGACACAAGCGCCGAATTACGGTTGCAGCAGCCTCCAAGATCCTCGCCAACCTGACCTACTCATACAAGGGCTACGGTCTCAGCATGGGAACTATGCTTGCTGGTGTACGTACCTCAGGAACATTTTCCTGCCGTCAAGTATGAATTAAGCTAAAATTGGTCTTTACAGGTAACTCCCCAAGAAGGCCCCGCCTTGTACTACATCGACTCAGACGGCACCCGCCTCCCCGGCAACCTCTTCTGTGTCGGTTCCGGTCAGACATTCGCGTACGGTGTGCTGGACGCCAACTACCGGTACGACTTGACCGAGCAGGAGGCGCTGGCCCTGGGCCGCCGTGCCATTCTTGCTGCCATGCACCGTGACGCATACTCTGGTGGTTTCATCAACTTGTACCACGTCAAGGAGGAGGGCTGGGTGCACCACGGCTTCGATGATATGAACCCTATTTTCTGGAAGACAAAGCTGGAGAGTGGGGAATTCTCGAATGTCACGTCGGAGTTGTAGACGGGTTTGGTTGATATGTATTATTGATCTTGATGCTAGGGATTAACATGGGTTCTCTTTATAAGATTTTTTGCGTGATGCTCGTAGACCATGGGGCTCTGGGATAATAGAGTTTAAGGATCTCAATCATTCCCGCGATTTTAGTTTCTCTTATCATGAGGCGCGGAGACGAATTTCTCTGATAGCAGCGTGATCTCGAATTCGTATATCGCCATGTACGAATGAGACACCTAACCGCTTGCAAGGAAACCAAGCTACTCATCGGGCTAATTCTACTACGTACCACCCCATGCAGCTGCAAATGCCACCTACGTCGCGCTATCGTGCTGAACGAGGATGGATGATGGTACTATGGCAACATTAGAACGGGGTACTTCAGAACTGCTGTTATCTAACCCCGCTGTCGTGTTAGACCGAGATGGCGGAGCGGTAGGAAGGTTGTCATATGGATCGGATCACCTTGCTGTCCTACAAACAGGTTGGCCATTCCTTAACTTCTCTCACTTCGTTATCTTAGCTATGACAAGCTATATTCAGCTTTGTTGGATGCATCACCTGTAGCCCTTTTCTGGGGCGATTCTCTAGAGGTGAATTTAATTGGGATCTTCGGCCGCATCAGAGGCTAATGGTTCCTCACGATACCGCCATACAATAAATGCAATAGTTACGATGACCTAGTAGAGGTTATACAATCTTGGTGGATGAAGGAAAAAAGAGGCCGGATAATGGAGCTTGCCAACTTTATCTTAGAGTTAACCTCAGCGTTACGCTTGAGGAAAAGCTTGACTTCTTCGCATCCGTTTACTGCTGCATATAACAATAGCATCCGACCAAGTCCGTCCTCAGAATTAATTTTTGCGCCATTATCAAGAAGCAGCTTGACCACTGTATGATGCCCTTTCAACGCTGCTGACACTAACGGTGTCCAGCCAAATCCATCCTCGGAATTAGCGTCTGCACCGTTTTCGAGAAGCAGCTTGACCAGCATTTGGTCCCCTTTCAATAGTGTCCGCCCAGATCTATCTGCCGAATTAATGTCTGCGCTATTTTCAAGAAGCAGCTTAGCCACCGTTTGATGCCCTTTCAGTACTGCTGACACCAGCAGCACCGGGGCTAGTCTAACTTTGGAATTGGGGTCGGCGCTATAACTGAGAATAAGTTGAACTACATTGAATTTCCACTAAGAGCGGCTTGTGATAATAGCGTATCGCCGGCGGTATCGCTCATATTCACGTTTGCTCCTGCCTTAAGCAGTAGTTTCACGACTGTTTCATTTACGTGCGCAGTAGCTTGTAACAAGGCTAGACGTTTAGATCTAAAGTTCGTTGTGCAGTTGACGTCTATCCTATTTCGGAGTTGCTGCCTAAGGACCTTCTCGTGGCTATTATTTGCAGCCCAATGAAACATTCCAAGGCGACTGCTGTGCCTGGAGTCTTCCTCGGTATCCTTCTCTAGTAGCAGTATAGCTGCCGCTTCGCTTTCGTTAATCCTTGCCCATCTCAGAGGTGTGTCGCCATATTTATCCACGGAAACGACGCTAGCATTACGCTCCACCAATAACTTTATGATAGATTGATAATTGTGCAACGTTGCTAACAATAACGGTGTTCGGCCATCTGGATTTTCAGAGCAGGTGTCGGCCCCATATTCAAGCAGTAGCTTAATGACGGCGTGGCCATTTTCCGAAGCGTACAATAATGGCGCCCGGCCACTGTTATCTTTCGCCTCGATTCGGGCGCCTTTCTCGAGCAGCAGCTTAATGACAGCTTTATGACCATTCTGCGCAGCGTACGACCATAGCGTCTGGCCTCCTATGTTTTCCACGTCAACTTCAACTGTTTTGTAGAGCATCTTGACTGCTGCCTCAACGCCGAAGTATACCGACAAGTGAAGCCCTGTCATTCGACTCCGAATATTTTTGCTGAGACCCGATAAGTACCATCAATTAGCTCTTAAGGCTTAGGTAGAGGCTTCTACGTGAACCTTTTTGTCGAGAAATTGTCGTAATACCAATTTCCGCGCTAGGAAACCACCTATTCCGTGCCCGCTTAAAGTCCTCTTGGGTCGTGTAGTGAACTAAGCGGATAATGCCACTCCTTTTGTCAACTGTGACTAATCCGGCGCAAACTGAGACTAACCTAGTTAGTTATGTATTTAATTTGCAGCGGTTGTCTTCGTCGAGTTCGTCCTTTCCAACTTCCACGGCAAGGGCGTGTTGAAGCTCCGTTGTGGAATGAGTCCTCCTAGTATAAGTGATTCATAAAAGAACCTCTTTAGCGAGAGATACTTGTTTATTCATCTGTGCTTCAATTCGTTTCATCGTATCGTCGTATACCTAGTTGTACGCCTCTGATCCCGTCGGTAGACTTTTCAAAGTGGCCCGCGTCGTCTTCGGCGATCTTTCCCCAACTAACAGATCATAGTGGAGTTTTGTAAGCAGGAACCTACACTCAGTTAATTTCAACTTCTCAGTCTATTTAAAAAGGTCTTAACATACATACCGTTAACTGACTTAATGATTCCAGTCTTGATTTCCACTTGTAGTTCTGGATTTTCAGAAACAAATCTCGGAAGCCGGAACATTTGACTGTCCAGATATCTCCGCACATCTTCTTCTTTTGCATAGATGTGCAGTGTTAAATTTCCTTCAAACTTCTCTATTATCTCTGGGATAGGTCGTGAAGTCGCAAAAATATTTGCCTTACGCATCTAGAGGGAGAATATCTCTGGTAAGAACTTCGATCGACAGCCATCAATTACCTGGCATTTATCAAGTACGTCGACGACGATAAAGACTCGTGGAAAAAAGCTGCCGCGGAGTAGAGCACTTTTGAAAGTTCATCAAGTAATGGCCGCGTACGTTGAAAGTTATGCCGATCATGGAGGTCTTTCACACAAGCTAGTAGAGATAGCTGACTACCAGCTAACTGTCTCTGAAGACTGGCTAGCAATTCGTCGGCTGTCTGCTCTGCTTGTTTCCGAAAATCGCAGTAGATGTAAGCAATACCGATGCTTGTATTATTGAAAAATGTTTTATTAAGATCATCCACCACGAGGGATGTGAGGATTGCCTTCCCAGCTCCGGGAATGCCTGAACAAAACAACGCCTTCTTCTCTGTGGTTAGCCAAGTATGATACTCGGCAGAATCAAGAAACCATTGGCCAGTTCCTGCTTGGCACCTCCGGAGATTGTCGCTGTGTTAAGAACCGTAGTCGAATGGGGTGAGCCAGTCGACGATCTCAAGGTCTTCGTTTTTACTTAATATAGACCTTATGGATTCGATATCTCCAGCAGTCCCAGAGACACAATCAACAACTAATGTTTTATTAGAAGGCCGCTATAGAGCTAGACAAAATTCGGGCCCGGCTAACCTTTGTCTAGTATACCTTCACTAGTCGCTCGTAGTCAATGTCGTTCGGCTGTACATACTCCAGAAGCTCCTTTGCAAACGCAGCCGCCACAGCAGCAGCATGCTCCTGCCAATCATTGCTCTCGTGTGAGTCCGCATAGTCGCAGATCCCTCAGATGATGATGCATGGGAAGTTGTTCATCAGCCCTGCCGCTTCCACTTCTACACAAAGAACATGGCCTCCCTGATCTTTGTTGAGTCTATCTCGGAGGGCAGCATCCTTGATAACTTGATTCCCAGATGTGATAAGACCGAATTGTACACGCATATCTCTTGGTTTTCTCTTCACGATTTCAGCCTTGTCACAGAATCGGCAGCTCTTTTCATTTTCACTTTACGTTGTCGGCCTTTAGGCGGCTTCGGGCGGCTTCAGGCGGCAGTTCACCCACCTGAATATTCTTCACCCAGAGGGTTAAATCCCTGCCCCAGAAAGTGCTTTTGTACGTTTTGATTAAGGGAAAGATTTAGCGATGTGGGAGCAGAGACCATGTCCTCGCCTCTTAGGCGGTTACCAGTTACCCTCACCCTTTTCCACTTCCCTTCCACTTTACTCCTATTTATCCGCCGTTTCCCTCTCGGTTTTTAGACAAAGGCAATCATAACGAGAAAAGACCCCTCGCTAGCCTATATAAGTAATATGGTAAGGTAAAACTTAGCGACTTCGATAACTCTGAAATTAGACGGGCAGTCCTGCCGCGTATAGAGAGTGACTATAAGTGCGCACTTAGAATCGTTGATAAGTTCGTGTGTAGTTGTAAGGATATACTCTATAAGTCAGGATAGAGGCCTGTCAATCAGGTAGGAAAAAGGAACTAAGTCAATTGTTCAGAAAGGTCAAAGACTGTTTCTTGAGGGATGTAAAACCTCTTCAACATGGATCAATTTATGTACAGTGATATCGCTCAAAACAGGAAGGAGATGTATCCCTGGTAGGGGAATGGGAGCGGGGGAAAACACGAGGCTTGTGTAACCTCCATAAGGGTTTTCCTTGCAGGAGTTCGTACACGTACCGGCAGCGAAGCCCCAGTGAACCTCCACCGAAAGCTTGGCGGCTTACTAGGGTCCAGGTAGCCTGAGGCACCGGCATTTGTGGATAACCTCATGTCAGGTATATCATATCACTGAGTACGTAATTGAATTCGGGGGTTTCTGAGAGATCTGTGAGGCCTAGGGGGCACTAATTAATTTGTTGTTGGTGTCCCTCTGAGGCGGTTGTGGAAACTTGGTGGAGTATACAGTACGGGGCAAAGTTTGGTGCGATCGAGCACGGATGTTATGAAGCATTTTGATTTTGGAATATAGGTAGGGTAACAGATCGGGTCGCTCTGGGGGTGGCCTGCATGAAACTCAGCCTCGGTGCTACTACGCCCCAAAACATTGATTGGTGGCTCTAACTACATTATGCTTAGTCAGCATGAAGCTCTTCGAAATCTACTCTTTGGGAATCTAACCGGCCCCTTACAAATAGGATGATATTAATGGCACGACAAGAGCATTCATGACACGACATACTAAGCCACTTTCGGTTAGCTCCCGCCCGCCGCCAAAATGTACCCTCGACCCCTACAAAAACACTGCTAAGCCATTAATGCCGCGTTACAACAGAACACCATTTATAAAAGTAGCAGAAACTTTGTAATTACTGATAGTTAAGTAGTCACATACTTAAGGTAGAACTAATATTTAGGCTTGCATAGAGAGATATGGATGTATACCTGAGGCCTCAGCTGTGTTCATGCAGAAGTCGAAGGTACCTTTTTGTTAGTGGGTGGGAGCTAACCCAAAAGGGGTTTAGTTTGTCGTGTCATGAACGTTCTTGTCGTGCCATTAACATGATCCTACAAATATTACATATTTTACGGTCCCTCGCTCCGCGAGGGTCAGCCACCTCAACGATATTACCCACCTCAACGATATCGCATCTTCATATACTCAAACCCCCGATTTTAATGCGATTTAATCAACTAAAGCAGTGCAATTTTGAAGATAATTAATATACCGAAAAAAAGCCGTTGACGTGGGTAATATCGCTGAGGTGGTGGACCCTCGCTCCACGAGGGTCCGTAAAAAAGACGTAATTGAACTTTATAATAACTATACTGTGCGAACTGTATATACGTTATTAGTACCAGACCCAAAAGACGCCTAGTCCAGTCTCGAAATGTGTGATCTATGTGCTAATAGGTGATATGAACCTAAACTATGGAACGCATCCTAGATTATGCGGGGCGGGTTCTACGTTTGTTTTCTTTTGGAAGCCGCTCGTCTTTTCACCATCACATCAACAGAGCTATTGCACACTATCGTTACCCCTTACATTTCAACTTCTACCTACAGCCAACCATACCCCGTATATGTCCACGCAGGGGACTTTCTCTTGCCACGTTCAGCTAGCGCAACCGGCGTGGGGCGCTGGAAAAGAAAGTGCGTGGCTTTTGGGGGCAATTCGTTATCGACATCTACTATAGTTGTGTAAGTCGCGTTGATCTTCTTGGCTTGCTGGGTCACCACGCTGCACTCGGTGGTTTCTAGGGCTTGCAACGATGCCGATGTCTTTGTCAGGCATTCGTATCATTCACAATATCTTAATTTTTAGTATATCTTTTGGGCGGATTCTTCTGAGTATTTGTGCCCGATATCTGAGAATATCATACGTTTGCTTCCTCTGATTGGCTTTTCTGCCTGATGAGTTGGCAAGTGTACGCACTGATCACTTGCCAGCTATGGCCAATCAGATGACCAGAATATAGCTTCAAAGTTCGCTATTATTGGTGTCACCGCTGACGTGGCGAGACTGGCCACAGATCATCTGCCAGATAGGGATATTGGATGACTGATATAGCTCTAAATATTCAGAAATATCAGTGCCCCCTCACTTTGTCGAGTTTGCATCTGTAGGCCGGCTTCTTCTATAAAGGGGTCTACAGTCCACCAATATAGATTACTCAGTTTAGGACAAACTATTTAAGTGTTTCAAAGGTAGTTATGTCCTCTTCCATTCCACAGCCTCCCAGACTTCCTCTATTGGGTAATATCTTCGACGTAGACCCGAATGACCCATGGGGTTCGCTGAAGAGACTCGCTGATAGATATGGTGAGCTACTGGCCTTCTTAGCTCTGGCAATTACTGACTATCAATCAGGACCGATTTATAAGATTGAAGTCCTGGGTAAGAATATTGTTGTCATCGCGAGTGCCTCGCTTGCCGAGGAAGTGTGCGATGAGAAACGGTTTCGCAAATATATCAAAGCACCCGTGGTGCAGGAAATGCGAAAGTCCGTTCACGACGCCCTCTTCACGGCCTACGATGATGAGCCTAGTTGGGGAATAGCACACCGAATCATGGCACCTTTTGTCGCTCCGTCGACAGATGACGTGAGAGTCAGAGAACTGCAAAATATGGCAGCAGAACTCGTCGCAAAATGGACATCAATGGAAAGTCAGCGTGTCAACGTGACTGAAGACTTGAAAAGGTTAAACGTGCAATCTGTTATGTCATATTTCTTCAACCAACGCCATGATATCCTGGCCGGCCAAGGGCCAGATGTTGTACGATTGATGGATCGTGCCACCTGGGAGACAATCAAGCGCCCCGGAAAACCAAAGCTGCTTAGGTGGCTTTACTACGATCGCTTATTCTATGCCTATATAAAGGACTTTCGTACGATCGCAGCCGACTTTATCGCCGATAAAGAGGCCGAACGACCGCCCAAAGACGACATGCTTCACGCTCTCTTAACTGCCAAAGATCCCAAGACCGGACAAGTTATGGACCGGGAGAGAGTTATAGATGAGATAATAACTATCATGGTTACCGCAAGCTCAACTACCGGTCTTATGTCGTTTGCGCTCTACTACTTGCTCACACACCCTGAAGAAATGACCAAAGCCCGGCAAGAGATCGATCACGTTCTTGGGCCTCATTCTCCCATCACACCGCAAGACCTAGGAAGATTACCGTACCTTGAAGCTACCTTAAGGGAGACATTACGTCTATCCGCTGCCGCGCCAGGCTTTCTCGTCGAACCTGTCCCCTCTGGACTTCCCGGGATCATTTCGCTTGCAGGCGGCAAATACCAGATACCGAGCAATCAGCCGATTATGGTGATTTTGTCAGCCGTAAATCGTGATCCCGAGGTCTTCCAAGATCCAGAAGTCTTCCGGCCTGAGCGAATGCTGGATGAAGCCTACAGCCGACTGCCAGCTGGGGCGAAGAAGGGGTTCGGCAACGGAAAGCGCTATTGCTTTGGTAAAAGGTTCGCCTGGCAGCTGTCAATGATCACTTTGATTAGCGTTTTGAGAGGTGTTGATTTTAAAATTGCTGATAAAGATTATAAGCTGAAAAGTACTGGAAAACAAATTTGTGCAAATTTCCAGGCACCGGTGGAGTTCTTCGTTACGGCCGGTCCACGAAATGCCCTCCGTCCTTGAATATTGAGTGCAACACGAGTGTATTTAATTCCTCTATTTTCTTATATTCAAATTTCTCTTATCTGCAGGATTCTCAGACTTATCAAGGACTGAGGGCCGATAAAATCGTTCTAGTACAGCAGGATTCATTCATACAAAATGTCAATCTCCAGGTGCAACACACATTAGCGACGAGGCAGGAATTACCTGCATATGTATACCACTGACGTGACTGCATCCAGTTCGTTGGTGGAGGGCGTACTTAAGAATGTGCCTGGTCCTGAAAGGGCGGGTCATTTCGCAGCGAAACCTGAATTGATCGTATTCGTGGAGGGTATAAAATACACCTCTTTACTGCCTAGTCGACGCATTTATCCATTTTCTACGCTTCCAGTCCTCCTGTCCTCAACACCGGACTCGCCATGGGTATAGACATTGTAAGACTTTCCCCCGCCCCTCTATCAAAATCGCGCTTCATGTTATCACACCTTTGCGGAAACCGTAATGTGGCCCACGGCAAGAAGAGCCAGGAGGCAGACTCTGGCGCCTGGTAATCATAATTTACAGAAACCGCGATGTGGCTCACGGTGAAGAGCGCCGGGCGGTAGGGATTAACAGGAGGCAGGTACTGGCGCCTGGTAATCATGCTTTTACAGAAACCGTGATGTGGCTCACGGTGACTCGAGTGCCTTCGTCCCCCCGGCCTCGTTTCGGCTCTGTTTTCTCATTGCAGTTGATATAGGGCGTTTTTGCCCTTGATCCGCAACCTCACATATCAATCGGTTTGTCGATCGTCGAACCTCGGCGCCTTTAGGTGCTTTCGCACTTCGCTTCTGGACCATCGCCGCTGTACAGGGGCTTTAAATCTGCCCTATAGGTGCAAGGCTCCGGTAAGGGTGTTGGCAGCCTTGGACAATGATGTTCGGACTATTTCAGGACCTAGGACGACCGAGATATTGCTTCGATGATTAGTGAAGCTGTTACAGGAAGTGGCTCCTATAATACGTGATCAACGGAACGCAATCTATCGCGTAATGAAGGCATCTCTGCTGAACTCAGACGATCTGAATGATTAACAGAAAGAGCTAGCTTGACGACGATGTTCAAAATCTAGGGAGGCAGACTTGCTTGAAGTAGCTTATAGAGGGGGAAAGGCGTGGTCGGCCCTGCGATCTGGCCGATCTAGAGAAGCAGCTTTCCTTGTGATGAATTAGCAAGAGGCCTTTCCCACGAAAGGTTCTCTTAAATCTTTTCTTACAGCACGCCACATCGAATAGCGAATATCGTGGACGGCGGTGTATTCAAATCGGTCTCAGCTGTCGAATGTATCGCTGTAATCGGCGGGAATTTCCTCTATTTTACATTCCGAAAGTCGAACGCTTCCTTATGGTCACGGTTTCCCGATGCCCTTTTAGACGGCTATGAACTCCTGAAATCGCCCCAAGGCTATACCACAGAGGAGATTACGCGTTAGTAGTCTAAGCACTTTGATTACCATATGAAGCCCCGCACAAAAAAAGGTCAAATATCACTTATATCTAATAGATAGTCTTAGATATAAAAATCTCGAATTTGTGTCCGCATGTGAAGAAAAGCGTACCATCGTATTCCCTTTTCTGCCTCATACGACAAATTTCTCGTAGCTATCCGAGGAAAAGCCAGTTTTGCATACAAATAAATTTAATGAGCTCAATAACTGACCAGCCACTTTCATAAATTATCAATTTATTGTCAACGTATATGTGTTCATGAACTCCCGATTTAGCTATCAATCAACTGAATGCCGATCGGCAACAATCGCATCAGCATGGAAAAAGCAACGAGTTTCCTAACACTCTGATATGCCCCCTCCATTTTTCCGAATATCCTTGATCTTTTCTTGTGACCATTGATTATGTACCTCGCGTTGTGAATACTGCCTATTTCCCTAGTCTAATAGAATAGGTTGGACATATTTGTTGTTCATGATTAGGTTTTCTAGGCCTGCCTGGCCATACTGCGTTAAACTGCCACTGTTTAACCTTTTTGTCTAATACTGCCGACCCCGTTCGCAATAGTTAACCCTTTCCACGGGGGCTGTATTCTTAGAAAAGTATACCCCAAAAAATTATGCTCTGTGGAAGACTTGAAAATGGATACGCTATGATATTTGATCCTCCCCTGTTCCACCCACGTTAAATGGCTCATATACCATAGATCCCTCAACCATATAAATATTCCGTTTCCTTTTCCCAGCTCCCTTTAATTGCACGATAACAATATGAGGTCAATCGTCGACGCTATTTGGGCCCAATCGCTCGGTCTTCTGCTCCATCTGCTGATCGAGACACCCGCAACAATCGGTTTCCTCTTCTTTCCATCTGCCACCCTTCCAGCGCCTCAACCACAAGTACAGGCCAACATTCGTCAATATGGGCTGCTATTTGGCTGTACTAATATTATTATTGCTGTTTTGCTGATCTCGAAATCACCCATCCCAAGTGTCGCATATATCTCGCTTGAGCATCATATCGGAAGAGCGCTGGCACTATACCATATCGGACCGCTGTGCAGAGCAGCCTCTCGCATTCACCAAAGTTAAAATATCCAGCATTCCTTTGCGAGCCCTTTGTTAAATCTCATTGCACATGCTGTTTGTCTCGGAGCTTTGGTTTTACATGATATTTTGTTTTTGGTGACATGTGTGAAGGGTTAAATCAAGCCTTGATTCAATATAGCTTGGCCTCGGACTTTTTGACCGATTGCTTGGAGAAAAAATAAACAAGTCTATGTGGTACGAAAATGGTAGGACTAAACATAACCCTGACCGCCTGCGAGCCTGGACTGGACAGAGAGTTATTGACGAGAACGGGATATAAGCGAGCACTCCTTGAAGACATCATAGCGAATCTCGACCGGCAAGCTAAAGATACCAGCAGCATTCGACACTGATGGCTATACAAGTGCCCCTTCCGACCTCAAGCCGCCGTCTAAACAGCACAACAAATACAATATGGTCAGGAATCACGTAAACAACGTGGTCTCCTGCCTTGCCGAAAGGTCGAGTGTATCTTTCTTGCGCCGGATCTCACTTTGCTTCAGCCGATGGAGCCATCTATTTGCAAGTCAACTCCCAAGGTGCCCTCTTACTGGGAAGCTGCGACGAAGAAAATGGGGCTTAGTACACGAAGCTTTGTATTGAATAACCGGATGGTATTGTGTCGGTTCTGGTATAGAATTCGATGATATTGTCATACAATTTCGATATATGTGCAGCTATCCCGGCTTCGATCCTGTCAAGGACTGCATCTCCTGCAGAAACTCGATATGCATGACCTCTGATTCGGACGGATTACTACCCTGCGCGAGCTGCCCGCAAAGTTTGGCTTGCGTTCGTACTGCAAAACCCTTGCCCATTTTCGCCGCTAATATGTCCATTTCGACGCCAAGATGTGTTCTGATTTGCTCGAGTCTATCCTGTCTACGTTGTCTGCTTGCTCGTCAACTTCTCCATCTATCTTAGCTCTCAGAGTTCTAGGGCTTCGTGTCGCACTTTAGTCTACGTTTCCCTTCAATGACTGGCTCATTCTGACTTTTGATTGGCCATTTTAAAGCGTTGATCTTAGCTTTTCCGCCTGGCTTCGCCGGTCCGCAAGACTACTCTCCCGCTGTACCCGATATTGTCGAATATTATTACATTAAAGAAGAAAACCTAGCTCGCTTGCGTCTTTGGTGATAAATCAATTCAAGGATACCTCTCGAGATAACTCATGTGTATGTGCCTCCTCTTTTACAATGAGCATAGATTGCATAGGTGTCTAGCCGAGTAGCTTTCTAGCCCGCAACGCTTTGGCTTTAACCGTATAATTTGCCACAGGACGGCCGGCAGGTGCTATGATTGCACTTTTCTCTATATAGAGTACCACCATCTCTTCCGAAGCTAGGAGTCCAAGCTTAAGCGCCTCGCTCGTGATCCTGTGCCAAAAATCCCCCTAGAAGTATTCACCGGCCTCTATAAGGTAATAGCCCTCGGAGTACCATAAAGCTTTGGATCCTCTAAAAGTAGCTTTGTCGATCAGGCGAATATATAGGCGGGATAGGTCGTGAATATAAACGATATTCTAAAAAGATTCCCTGTCACCTAGCTAGAGCCCCTTACTAGATTCAAGAATAAGCCGAGTAAGATTATATATCTGTTCGGTTCTCCGTAGGATAGGGCCCCTTCCGGCTCCGAATACAGTTAACGGACAAACAATCGCAGTTTTTAGCGTATTAGAGCTAGCTACCAAGACGATTTTGTCGATAATACGATAAATAGCTTAGTGCGTGCATAATTTGTGATAGCTTTCACAAGTAAACTTACCTAGTAAAGAAGTAAGCTCCGAAATCCCTTCCTAATTATTAAAAATATAAACTCTATTTAGTGTATATTGCATTTCATATCCTAGAAGAATATTAGTGCTACTTAAATAAATATAGATCCCTCCTTCCCTCTTCCTTAGTCCGTTCACAATAGCTATCGTAGATAGCACATTGTCTGCACTCATCGCAAATAAAGGACTATCACATATTTTGCTACCTCCTCCTTAATAACAGCCGTTTAGTTAAACGTAGCAAAAGTAGCCTTAGTTTTAGATATATAGCTTTGAATTATGCTTCATAAGCTAAGTTTCGTACTAGGTAAGGGGTGATATATTCCTATTCAGGATGCGCGTTTAGAAGCTAATATAGGATGGGTCCTCCTATTTAGCCACTCTTAAAGAATATTTAGTCAGCAAGAACCTCAATGTAGCCTTCAAAAGGTAGATAAAATATACCGTTCCTGTCATAAAAATCTTCAGTGGTCACATCTTATAGCACCGAAGACTTTGAAAACCATAGTATACGGGGCGTAAGTATACCTTTCGTCAAAGAAAGCCTAGTATAAGTCCGTTTATAGGAGAAAGTTAACACTAATTTATAATTACAAATACACAGTATTGATAGCGCTGGGTCAATCCGCAACCTCCCTCTTTAGCCATATTCATATACGAGCTTGGCAAACTCAGGCCATGCCGGCAACCCACGGTGTCTACCAAAGTCTGCGAGATAAGCTAGCCCGCTTCATTCCATGACTTAGGTAAGGACGGAGTGGACTCCTTGACTTATTTGAGTTAGCTTATCGCTTCTTTATAGACATCACCTTTGTGTAGTCCATGACCTTGAGGAAGAAACAGCTATACCGATGACGATGACTTCGCATTAGATGCCGCGTCGGACCGTTCTTCTGATCTGACTATTCTTGATGTTATCCAGCATATATTACAGACTAGTCGTGACATTAACTTCTCGAACATGTGTAGAGATTCGCCGCCCCTTTTTTCCCTAACGTATCTGTCTTTCATATTGTGTGTTAACTTTGCATTTCACCTTTTTACCCTGTTTCTTTTCGTTTCAGGGCCACAGCGTGCGACAGCGCGCGTCACTAGTGTCCTGAAACGAGGACCGAGTGAAGGGGTTACTACCCTGCGCGAGCTGCCCGCAAAGTTTGAGTGCGTTTGTACTGCAAAGTCGGTCCAGATTCGTGCCGCTGATTGGTCATTTTTGCCGCCAAGACGGATTTTGGTTCGCTCGAGTTTATCGTGGCTGCGTTGTCTGATTGCTTCTTGACTTCTATCCATCTTAGCTGCTAGGGTTCTATGGCTTCGTTCCGCACTTCTGTCTACGTTTCCCTTCTATGACTGACTCGTGCTGACTCTTCCTTGATTGTATAACTTTCTTCTTGATTTAAGTTTTTCTTAAGGCTTGATGTTATCTTCCACAATGGGCGTGGCTGGTTCGCTGGCTTGGCTTTCGCTGGTCCACGAGGTGTCCCGGCTTCACTATCTTGTGAGAGTACAATAAATGCTTAGAAGCTGCATTTGCAGTTACTTAGTTTCATTGTTTGCCAATAAATTCAATGCACCCAGGAATCTCATGATGAAAATTTCAACGCGAGGCTCGGAGGATCTCCACACTCCGTAACCAAAGCCTATAAATCAGGAACGTGGGATGATGTGACAGATGACTCAGCTTTGGCTATAGGACTACTGGAATGAATGAGATGATTCCGAGTACCATCAGCAATTGTCCGAATACGACTTTAGCGGCACTAATGAGAAACCTGTGATGTTCCAGGCCCAGGGTACCTATATTGGTCAGCTGGAGAAGACCGCTAGTTAATGGATGGTGGTTTATAACTCGTATGGCATGAAACGTTCCTCCTTAGGCCACTCGGTATTATGAATGGTATAACTGGCATGATAAAAGCGACTAGAAGATCTGGCGGTAGTTGGTCAGCATGGCAGCTTAACAAATGAATCTGCCGACTCTTCACGGAAATCAACACATTCTCGATTAGGTTATGCCAAACTAGCCGTCTTACACTAATGTACATAGTATATGGACGATACTTTGTTGGCCGCGTAAGTGTAAGGGAGCTCGTATGATCAGATAGACTAGACAACCAAGAACCATCTTTTGATTTTAACTAAAAATTTCCTTCTTCCTTCAGTAATGCATCCAAAACATCTGTAGGGGTTCTTTTTGGAGCGGCAAGCTCCAGAATCTCCTTGCTGGTTGTAGAAGAGGAGCACTTCCCTTCCCACGCAGTCTCAGGCGCACGTTTGATTGAATAGATTACGTTCTTCGATTGCTTGGTTGGCGCATATTGATATTCGAACAGCTTGTCGATGAACGAAACGTCTTTGTAACGAACGTCTTTGACAGTTGCGCCGGTGTATTTCTCAATCATGTCGACGAGCTGCTTTCCACTTATGTCCTCGGGCCCGTTCAAGATGTACTTCGCCTTGTTGTGCACGGATGTATCATCCTGAGCCAGGAGATGAGCTGCAATAACACCAATCTCATCGGGGTCGATGATCCCGACCGGTGCATCCTCTGACAGCATCAAACGAAGGGTATCCTGCTCTCCAGTCTCGCGGTACTTTTTGATAAATGCCGCTGCGGGGGAGATGACAAGCGGCGAGAAGACGTTTGGCTGTAGAGATGTCCATTGCAAGTTGTTGAACTCGGGTGAGCCGAGCATAGCCTCGATAGCCCAGTGCTGGCGTGGGTAGTACGCAGGGCAATCCGGATGCACATTCGCAGCCGTCGTCGAGATCCGCACGACATATTTGACACCAGCATTGAGGGCATTCACATAGAAGGTCGACTCCTCGGCAAATTGATTGGGCTCATTGTGGGATGCGATAAAGGCTCTAGCAACTTGATTCTCACGGAGCCAGTCGGCGGTGATCTCAACCCAGTTCTGCTCGATCACTTCAACTTCCGGTAATTTGGCAAGTTCGCGCGCCACTGGGCTGCTCGAGGAGCGAGTGAGAGCAATGATACGGTTCCCGTTCAGAGTACTGTTTGACCGAATCAACTCTGGCAGTGTCTGAGCGACAGCTCGACCGGTGTTGCCGGTGGCGCCGATGATCAGGATGGTAGGAGTCATGGTTTGAGGTATGAAAGATATAGTCCACGTTGAGCTATGGGCTAGATATCGGAGGCTTTGCATGATACTTATACCCTTATTTACCTCGGGCATTATATTAATAATATCAAAGTGGTGATTAATAAGGGATCTAGAAGTGCGTGAGTCCTGGTGATTCGCAGACGTTTGTCTGTGGGGAAATCTACCAGGCCTTCAGCCGGCCGGCCGCCGGCATCCTACTGAAAAAAAAATGACGTCCACAAATGATTGTACAGATCCAAAGACTGTTGACTAACCTCCACGGTGATGAGATTGCCGCTGGGGTGTACGACACTCTGCTTGCTGCTTGACCGAATCTGCACGATTTTCCGTATGTAAAACGCCTCGGATAAAGGGTGGGATGCCGGGGGGTTGCCGGTGGGTGCCGGATGCAGGGTAAAAAGTCTATTTGCAGCCCGGCCGCCCACGCAAAGCTCAGCGAAGCTTACTCTTCATTCCATTTTCCGAGTCATTCCTGCAGGTTGATTGGGAAATATTTAACGATGGAATCGCTCGGCAGCGAAATTGAATATCTTCAGAGTCCCTCAGGCCTTGTTGCACACGACGCGTTTCGGTGTCAATTTCCTGGCTGCAATGCCACATACCAGCGCAAGGAGCATTTGAGCCGCCACCGAAGATCGACACACATTAAGCAACAGGCTCTTGAATGTTCCAGGTGTGGTCGTGTATTTCGACGAAGGTGTTCACATTCTTGCCTTCACCTTCGTTCAACATTACCACTAATGCTAGAACCTTAAATCTAGTGATACCCTTCGACGGCATGCTCAGAGGCAGCACCAAGTCAAAGAACCTCTTAATCGCGCGCGCCAAGCTTGTGCGGGTTGCCATGCAGGAAAAACTCGATGCCAAGGAGGCGTGCCATGCCAGGAGTGTGTTCGTCGCAACGTTCAGTGTTCTTTCCAAGACCACGCTAGCATTGCAGCAGAGCAACAAATACAGTCATTAAACCCAACCCCGTCATCCTTGAATCCCGACCAGTCGCGGCTATACTATTGGGAGAAGAGAAAACAGTGCGTTGACCGTTATTTTGAAATATTTCATCCGTGCTGGCCCTTCGTCCATAGAGGCACGTTCGATATGCGCCAAAACCTCCATTACTTCTGCAGTCAATGATAGCTATAGGGATGTGGATAACGGGAGAACAATCCGCGCAGTCTGCCGCAATGGAACTATTTGATAAGCTTGACTTTGCAATCCGACATCAAACGGTATTCCACATCACCGATCTATGATGTGTCTAGTTTACTGACGGGTGAACTGCAGGAGAAATGGGATGCCTCAGAAGTGGAGGGGGTCTCCAGCGCCTGCTTTTGGCCAGTGGCCACTTATCAGGCTACTTTACTACACCTCATTCTTTCTGTTGTCATGAAGTCCAGCGGTTTGATCAATCTTGACCTCAGAGCTTCAATCTCCTCTCCCGATCTAGGCTCACTCAAATCGCTTCTTGGGAACTGTCGAAAATTAGGCATGTTTTTTTATTCAAGCATGCTTTCTAAGTACAAAGATACTGATCTACCTTCTTTTGTCTGAGTGGGTATTGAGGAAGTCAAGCGTTTCAATATAGCACTCTACAGACTTTGTGCGAAATTGAGCAGCTTTACCTCGGAGCACAAGCCTCTGCTGCATGCGAGTGAACTCCAATTCCCTCTGCCAAGCAATAATGCTCTGTAGAATTCTGTTCAAAGAGAGGAATGGGAAGCTAATGCGAAAGAGGAGGATTCTATCTCGTTCAAAAATGACCTCCAGGCAAAGTGGATCTCGAAATACACAGATATAATACAAGTTCTTGATTTCTGATTATCAAATTTATGATCGCCTATGGACCGAGCGCCTGTGAGATTCCAATGAGCCGGAGATCGACACGATACACTGCAGTGAGACCCCAATAGAGCTTACCTGCCTTCTTAGACTGCTGCCGATTCTAGCAAGTTCGCAGGTTCACCGCTGCGCGCACCCCAAGAAGTGGCCGTCCCCTCCGCCTCTTCCTCCTAGGTTTCGGCCTTGTCTTGACTATGAAACCTCTTTTCCTGCGCGGAGACGCGTGACTTCTCACATCTTACGCCGCACTTTGCTACGAAACTTTGTAAGCATATGACCGGCTGACCATAGCGAACATGCGTGTGTTTGCATAAGACTCTATTACGACTTTGCCTATGTATTGTACATACTACAACTGTTTATATGACTCACCACCAAGGCAAATTGACCACATTAAATCATAGGATATGGAGAACAGGGCTTCTCATCCACGTACTGTGCTTCTGTCACACGCCGGTCTATATAACAGTATGATGGGTCCATACGCCAATTCTGGCTGTGGTAGGTTTTCCGTGCGTTCAAAAATGAAGAAATTGCTGTTCTTAACGTAGGTTAGGTGTGGCTTCGGCTTCAAAAACGGAGGTCCCTCACGATCAATACTGCCACAATTTTCGGCGTCATTGTTTTGAAATTTCTTCATGTGTACTCCGTACAGGTTACCATATCTTATATTGTTACTAAGAATTATCCTGAACTTCTAACTTAAATGAGGCTATGTTTGAAACAACTTTCACCAGTCAGCCTCGGCTGGTTCCATCAAAATCTTGAGAAGTCCAAAACCTACAGAATGTCTACATGAAGTTTCACCACTCTATGAATAACGATAACCGGGAATGCCGAACTTACCTTACTCATAGATTCTTGATGACCGTTGATGTACTTGCTACACTTGCAGTAAACAATCGCCATGATTTTAACAGTGACAGTTGAAATGTGCAACTGTGTCGACAATGGTGATGCTGTATCCATAATCTGCCCTAGTAACCCGCAGTTTTGACCGCGGAAAGACAAAGGACCATTTGAACCCCGTTACTTGAGCATATTTGCTGGCGGATAGTGTAATGATGAAAACTAAACATGCATGACTATTTACATCAACAGCCTTTAAACTACAGCACAGGCAAAAACCTGCAGGATTTGAATTGACCTCGAATAGCGCCCTTTTTGGTCGTTGAACACCAAGAGGAAAATTGAATAATCCCAGATAAGCAAAAGTAAACAGTCTAAAGGGGAAGTTCATGGGGCAGGTCAGTTGATGAAACTAAACGTGATTTTGGCCTTTGACCTTCAGCGGCTGAGCAAACACAGGTACGTTCATCTGGACAAATTTCATCATTTGACGGTTTTTACTAGGACCGTTTGACGAGATGCAAGTTAAACGTTGGTTTGTGGTGCTTCTGCTTTTGGTGGAACCCCACATTTTGCTCCCTTGGGTCGTCGGTCACGTGGAGTTCGGGGTCTACTTGACGGAACAGAAGCAGCAGTGGATCCCAGAGAACGGAGATAGTGTTAAGTTAGTTAAATTGCCAGATACGGGCTTTATACTGTAGTAATTCAGACTTGTTGACATCCAATTGGTGCGCACCCTGATTTACTAAGCAGTATTTCCGTCTCTACTGGATCCCCCAAGGAACAGGAAATTGAAGAACGAATATTTTTTTCGGATCGCCGTGGAGGCGGGCTCACGTAACACTTCTCTCACGGAAGGTAACTTACTAGCTAGACATGTAGCTCTTGGAAATAATAATGGAGCGGCCTAAACCATCTCAATCATGGCTCTTTCTCTTCCCTCGATAGATTCTAGGATTTAGGGATTTACCAAAAAGCAGTAGTATCTCATGGTTATCTCTAAAAGATCTATTGGCCACCAATGATAAGTCATATCAAGAAACGCAAGTGTTTATAAGCTACCCTGTTCCATTTACAGGGACAAATACATCAGATATTGACATTCGCCTCTACAGCTACGACCTTCCAACGGTCATAGTATGTCCTGAGAAGATCCGGCATGGACTTGACGTTCAGGATCTCGGGCGAGTTTGCCAGCGCCCTGCGCAGATTGGTGGTTTCATACGTGGACATTCCGCTGCTGGTATCCCAAAAGATCAGGCTTCCCGCCAGTCTTTCTTGAAGCATTGGAGTGGCCGCTTTCATGCTCTTCTTGCCACCTTCCTGAAACAACTGCAGCCACTCGGCTGAAGAGACCTCTCGTAGGGGAATGGGACAGCAGTCGCTTATAATTTTGAACGTATCACGCAACGTGATGGTTTGATCGTGAGGTGAAACCACGTTGAAGGCATGACCGTGGCTCTCTGAAGTCTGCGAGATATGCAGCATCGCTGCGCATAAAAAGTCGACTGGGACAATGTGGGTGCGTTGCGCAGGGGGGTCGGGAACGCTCCGAGTTGGATACAGTTGATCATCAGGCGACTGGATAGGTCCTCTGGCTTATCAATTCCTGTGTCACTGTGGCCCATCACAAACCCCGGGCGATAAATGGATATGGGGAAACCATTCCCAATGGCATTCCACACTATGTTCTCTGCAACCAGCTTACTTCTGGTGTATCCAGAGTGCATTTCAAAGGATCGACGATCCAGCACCGCCCTTTTATCCTCTGGGATTGCACCACCACCAGAGAGGAATGGCGGAATACCGCAGGCTGAGAAACTTGAGCAGTAATGTAAAGCCTTAAGACGACCAGCATTGACAAATTTCAAGATATTGAGGAGTCCAGTAATGTTCCCCTCTCGATGAGCAGAGTATGGAAGAGTATAATTGACGTGAGCTGCAAGATGGAAGACAGCACTTGATACCTGTGCGTAATATTCAAAGTCTTCTTTCGACATTCCCAAGTTCAGATAGGCAATGTTTCCTGGGACCACAGTCACTTTGCTCAGAGAATCCATGGGTAGCGAATATCGGGCAAAAGCATTTTCAATCCGCCGTTTGCCGGACTCGGGATCTGTTGTTCTTACCAGGCAAGTGACATTCTTGACTTGTGGGAGAGCAAGGAGATCCAATAAGAAAAAGGAACCCACAAATCCTGTCGCACCAGTGAGGAAGATTCTTCCTTCGGACTCAGAGCACCAGTCCGGTACGTTCCCGGAAATAGGCTGGAAGTCAATTCCTAGCTTCATATCCTTCAAGCAAATTGGTAGTTCATCTGGTTCAGCCGTCGACGGTATGATAGAGGGGTTTGGAACTTCTTCTCCACTCAAGTGCTTCTTGCGTAGCATCTTTATTGCAACGTCAGCAAGGCCTCCAACGGTGCCAGCATTTGATATCTCTACAAGAGAAATGTCGATACCCGCGTTACGGCGAAACCAGCTGCGAATTTCGATGCCCATCAATGAATCAATTGAAATATTAGCCATTTCCTCTTTGCTCATATCTTCCGCATAGACAAGATGAGAAGCAACAACCTTGCCCAGCTCGATAGTAATCTTGTCGTGAGTGGTCTCTTCATCCAGTAGTTTGGGATTGTCGCGAATTTCATCCAAAAGAGAGTTCAATGCGTGAGAACGAGTTACGGCCGTTGCTTTCCCGCTGACAGCAACATTCTGCCAACGACTAAAACGCCCTTCTTGGACCAGGGCAGGCATACTCGAGGTCCTTGTTCCCAGTCCCACGATTAGTTGTGATGACGGATGAGAGAATTGAGAAAATATGGAGATCTCCAAAGCTTGAAGCAGATGCCTTTCTTCAAGTATCTGGATACCAAGAGAATTAAAGACTTTCAATGATTGCGGGTTGTTTTCGGCTGCGTAACCAATGTCTCCCATAACACCAAGATCAATTACACTTGCTGGTAGCTTCTGGGAATGGCGATACTTCACAAATGAATCGAGGAAAGTGTTGGCTGCAGCGTAATTGGCCTGGCTGCCAAATCCCATGAGTCCCGTGACAGAACTGAAAAGAACAAAGAAGTCGAGTGGCGTGTTTTGGAAATTGTAATGGAGATTCCATGTTCCTCGCATCTTAGGCACCAGGGAAGCTGTCCATTCTTCATATGTCATATTCGAGAACATCTGATCCTTGAGCACCATTGCCATCTGGAAAATCCCTGCAATGGGCCATTTTGCGGCAGAAATAACCCGGTGAATATCTCCTTCTACGGAGACATCACCTCTGACCACCGTCACGCTGATCGTGCCGTTATACTCCAGATCTTGAATGAAACTTTGGGTCTCAGTTGATTCAGCACCGGACCGAGAGAGAAAGATGAGATTGCGGGCGCCTTTTTCTACCATCCAAGTACTTATCGCTCGGCCAAGTCCCCCGAGTCCTCCAACCAAAAGGTACGAGGCGTCTGATCTGAATATGGGGACGTTGCGATGTATCCTGGTTATTGGTAAACTTTCCGGATCTTCCGGCATTCGAATGACAATTTTCCCCATATGCTGGCCTGTTTGCATGTGACGGAAGGCTTTGGTAATATCAGAAGCTTCGAAAACTGTCACCGGCTCGATGCGCGTCAATTTTCCTTGCTTGACGAAGTCTCTGAATTGGTCAACCAGGCCCCGGAGTACCATCGGATACTCAAGAGATAGCGTTCTGAGATCCACGCCGTGGAATGATCGGTGATCAAGGAAGGCCTTCATGTCAAGTTTACCATGACCCAAGAAGTCCCGTTTCCCAATTTCGACCATTTTCCCAAACCTGGCGACACATCTCCAAGAGGCATGAAGCAGTTCGCCGGCTAGAGAGTTTAGCACCAGATCAACCCCGCGTCCATTCGTCTCCCTAAGCACACCCTGCAGGAATGATGTGCTTCTGGAATCAAATATTCGTTGAGCTGGAATTTTTATGACATCGACGAGATGGCGAAATTTGTCCTTCGTCCCGACGGTGACATATCTCTGCCTCGATCATTCGGCAAATCTGGATCGCAGCCAATCCAACGCCTCCACACGCGGAATGAATCAGCACGGACTGGCCTTTCTGAAGGTTTCCAACAGTAATAAGGCAATATATTGCCGTTGCGAAAACAACTGTGAAAGCCGCCGCATCTTTAAGACTTGTCCCTTCAGGAATAGGCTCACAAAGAAATGCTGGGGCAACGACTCGAGTCGCGAAGAGACCATCATAGATGCAACTGACTTTGTCACCGACTCGGAGATGCTCCACAGAAGTGCCCACCCGTCGAACAATGCCACTTCCTTCGAATCCGAGCTGCTCCGTAGATCCGAAAAATCCCATGGTAATCATCATGTCCTGTGCAGGTTAGAATCTTCGAAATGGCTAGTATAAAGTATATGGGCACACCGTGGCTTACCCGGAAATTCATGCCAACATATTTCATGTCTATTTCGACTTCATGCTCTTTCAAATCAGACTGAGAGACTGGCGACATGGAAATGGCCCACGTTAAGGAATCAAAAATTCCATTGAATTCGATATCCAGTGATCTTGCTGCCGACAGGTGTGGCACGTCAGTCAGTTGTTGATCTAGCGAAGACCATTGGATCCTAGGCAGAAGAATCTTTCCATCTTGAAGGGCATATTCATAATCTGGATCAAGCCACGGCCGCTGGGATTGAACCTTCAAAGCGCGCAAAACCTTGAGTACAGAGGCTATGGAAATGTCGTCAAATTGGTCAACTTCCACTGTCGCAAATTTGCTGCTCAGTTCGTTTCGAAGTGTGCGAGCCATTCCTAAGACCAATGCAAAACCAGGATCATCACATGTAATTTGAAGGCTCTTGGTAATCCAAAGGAGATGACTCTCAGCCAACGTGGAGAGGTAATTTCGGAACAAGTCATACTCATCAGCCGACAAGTACTGAAAGAATGGCCCTTCAAGATCAAGCAGGGAAATAAGATCACATCCAGTTGGGGCTTTCTCTTGCAATGTGTACCATGTCACCGTATAGCCAGCAAGAGTAAGTGCTTTCTCTAATTCACGTCCCCATTCCGTTATATGTGACAGGTAAAGCAGCCCAATCTGTCCCCCTATTGCATTGTCATCGGCAGCTTTCGTTCTGGAAAGAATCACCGTTGTCAGACTCAGTGGTCTGTCATTAGCATATCGCACGGCGTCGACACCGGTAAAGTTGGCTTTGGTCAATTCGTCATGCCATCTCTCAACAGACAATGCGGGGCTGTTCGAGCGGCCGTCATTCTCTCCCAGCCACCATCCCGGTAAAATACCAGTTATGAAGTTGATCATGGGATTATCTCCACTGAGCTCCTGCATGAGTAGTCGACCACCGGGGGCTAATAGTTTGCGGACATTCTTTAGCGTGCTGGATATCTGAGCTGTCGCATGTAGCACATTGCCAGCCAGGATCAGATCATAGCTCTCCGGAACATAGCCTTGTTCCTCTGGATCGCGAGAGATATCAAGGGTTGCGTATTCGACGGCATCGTATTCGTGGAATCGCTCCTGTGCATCTGCAATAAAGCCGGGTGATATGTCCGTGAAGGTGTAGCGTGAATAAATTCGGCCACTTTCTGGATTGAGAGTCTTCAGGGCAGTGGATGTCAACCCGCCTGTTCCAGCACCAATTTCGAGGATACGAATACCTGGGTAAGATTGACCTAGTAGTGCGATGAAGTCTTCACAGGGTGAGATTGCACACATAGCGTCAAAGAATTCTTTCATCCCAGCATTCTCCATGAGAAGTTCGAGAGGATTAATGCGACCCTCTAACACGTCGTGCAAATTAAAGCAGACTCTATGCAAGAGCTCGAGGCTAGGTATGAGCCAGGGATGAGACTCGCGTCCCTTCTTGTTCAATGCATCAGCATAAGGGCCGCAGACACTAAGTACTGAAACATCCTCTTCCCTCATCTCGGGAATAATTTCGGGTGACTTTTCCTTGATCTTCAGATATAGATCTTGAAGCCAAACATGGTATTTCTCAAGGTGATCCGAAACAGGGGTAGAATTTTTTGTCAGGCGATATGCTTCAGCCACACATGTGCTCGTTAGCCTGGCCATTGTCTTCCCATCAAAAGCTGGTTCATGGGGTGGCAGTTGTTCTCTGAAAGGGAGATAGTCGATATGTGGCGTCCAATGTAAGTTTGATGCTAGCGGCGTATTGATGTCATCTGACTCCGGATCATTGATACTAAAAAAAAACCCCCTTTCCATACGGAGCGAGACACAATTGTTTGAGAACAGCTCCGAATTTGCCTCCAGAGTACCACCAATGGTCTCACAAGAAACATTCAGGTCCATTGGCCCACGACCTTCAGTAACATATAGAGATTCAATAGCAGTTGGTATGCACATCTTTGTCATGCGCCGTGAGATCCCTTGGGTCGCTGCTACACTTAACAACTGGAAGCATTCATCAATGCAGGTTGGATGAAGAGCGTAGTAGCTGTCGAGCGGCGGCTCATCGCTATGCAATACCGCGGAAGCCTGTTGCGTGGTTGAACTTGCTGTGATCTGTTCAAGTCCCCTGAAATGGTCACCATAGTTCAAACCGCGCTTGCTCAGTGCATGATACCATTTGTCCGAGTCAACTTGTCTAGGATAGCTCTGTCTGGAGGGGACACCATACTCCTGTTCAGCTCCTCCCCGAACTTGACCCACGATGTGTTTCTTCCATTTTCCGTTCTGAAACGTAGAAATAGTGAAGTCAAACCACAGGGAGTCAACATGATCTGTGAGCTTCTCAGGCCGCAAGCTCGTCAATATCTCCACTGAGTCCTCAATAATCAAGGCACTGCGAATGAATACATTTCTCAGAGAGTAGTCTGATGACCCAGTCACTCGCCGCACCGCTTCACCTGCCATAGCAACGTAACCGGCGGCAGGAAAGACAATATCAGTGCCCAGCTTGTGATCCAACAACCAAAGGACATTTTCTAACTTTAGAATGTTTCGCCAACATGGTTCCAAATGGTTTGACTCAAGTATCTGGGAGCCAAGCAACTCGTGGTGAGGATATTGACGATGTCTCCAGTCATGAACAATTCGAGGCTCGTCCCAATATTTCTCGGTATGCTGCCAACAGTATGGGGGGAGTTTTGTCACGACTTTGCCTCGGGGAATAATGTGCCGGAGATCAATTGAGGCGCCATGCGTGTGAAGATTACCAGCTGCAGCCAGAAGGCTTCTCCAGGACTCCTTGTCTCTGATGATTGTCGGAATGTATCGGTGCTCTCCTGTATTCGCCAGTTTTATTGACTGCCTTATAGGGCCGGAAAGAGCTGAATGGGGTCCGACCTCTAGGAAAAGCTTTGACAGGGTGTCGTCCTTGAGAATTCTTTCGATTGCGGTGTGAAAAAGAACAGGGGACTGTAGGTTTCTGCGCCAATAGCTAGGGCTCAGGATAGAGGGATCTGTCACGATTGTCCCGGTAACAGTGGAGTACATTGGGATCATAGAGGGTTGGTGGTAGAAGTTAGGAGCGACCATCTTCTCATAGACTTCACCTGCATCAGCCATGTGGTGCGAGTGATACGCTACATTGACCGCAAGCTTTCGGCAAAAAGTATCCTGGCTGTCACCATGAATATTATCCAAAACCTCCGTGAGGATTTCACTATCCCCTGATAGAGTGACACTTTCTGGGCTATTATAACAGCCGACGACGACGCCCGGTTTCAGGAAAGGTTCAACCTGTTCGGGGCCAAGGCCAACGGCTGCCATGCCACCAGGACGGCTGGATTGATCCTTCATTGCCTGACCACGGAAATAGGCAATGAGAATCGCCATCTCAGCGGACAATGCACCTGATGCATAACCAGCTGCAATCTCTCCACTGGAATGCCCTACTACTGCGTCAGGTGTAGTGCCCCAAGCCCGAAGGAGGTTAACGAGACCGATCTGAACGGCAGTGCAGAGGGGCTGTGCAAACTCTGCTTCCGCTACTCTACTCTGATCGTCGCACTTCAGAAGCTCATCTGTGACACACCTATTAGTTTTGGTCTTTTAGTGAGGGGAGGGGGGAGGGGGCAGGGGGAAGGGGGATGTTGTTGTAAGCTTACCTTCAAGCGACCACAAAGGCTTGCTTTTTAGCCCTTGTAGGACACGATCCATCATCTGAATATCTTCTCGGAAGCCCTGAGCCTTTTCGATCAGTTGTCTCCCCATTCCAGGCCATTGGGCACCTTGACCCGTAAATACGAAGACGGTTGGTGCTCTCACGGAGACCGACCTTTCAAAAGGCGAAATCTTACCGTCGCTTTGAGTGACCGCAAAGGCACGATGAGTCAAATGTTCTCGTCTCAATCCCAAGGTATACGCGATGTCGCTCAAAGGTGACTTTGTCGATTCCAAGTAGGCTTGTAGACGGTCGATCTGCCTGTTCAACGAGTACTTTGATTTCGCAGAGACCACTAGAAGCTGTGGGCCATCTACATTCATAGGCGTGCCAATCTGCAGGGTAGAAGCAGAATCAAGAATAACCTGGCAATATTAGCAGTCGTACTAAAGGTGGGAGAGAGAATAATTTACGTGAGCATTTGACCCGCCAATTCCAAATGAATTGATGCTTATTCTTTCGCTTCGGTCTGCGGGCCAAGGAGTCGGCTTCACGGCAACCTTCAGCTTTGCCTGCTCAAACGGGACTGTCTGTCAGTTAGTACTCTCTTGCGGATATTAACTAGCTGGGAGATCGCGTACTGTTAGGATTCGGATCTTGGAAGTGAGCATTAGGCGGAATTGTGCGATTTTCCAGCGCAAGCACACTGTGAATCACACTTGTGATTCCAGATGCACCTTCAGAGTGACCAACATTGGGCTTGACCTATATTCAATCAGTTTATGCCTTTTAGAGGCTGAAAAAGGTAGACATACGGCCCCAATGTGAATCCCTTTATCCCCAAAGATTTTGCCCACCACGGACGTCTCTGCCAAATCTCCAACAGTCGTCCCTGTGCCATGGCACTCGAACAAGCCAGTTGAGGAAACATCCAGTCCAGCTTTTTTATAAGCCTTCCTAATTAACCTTTCCTGCGCTGCAGACCCCGGAGTAGTGATGCTAGAAGTTTTGCCATCGCAGTTGGTTGCGCTCGATCGAATGACAGCTCGCACCGGGTCACCGTCCCGAAGAGCCTTATCAAGAGGCTTGATGAAAATCGCATTCACAGCCTCTCCTCTACCATATCCGTCTGCTGCCGCGTCAAATGTTCTGCATACACCACTCTCTGAAATGACCATGTTATCTGACATTGACGTGGTCATTGTTGGTGTAAAGATGAGATTGGTGCCAGCTACCAAGGCAGAAGAGCATTCTCCAGAGTAGAGAGCCTGGCAGGCCTCATGCAGACCTACAAGGGACGATGAACATCCAGTCTGAATAGTCATGCTTGGGCCGCCAAGATCATATTCATATGACACCCGGTTGGAGAGAGCATAGGGGCCCGCTCCAACGACACGATACCGGTCATGATCTTGGGGATCTCTGATCTTCACATCCAGCCAATCCTCCCCGAAAACACCCACATAACATCCGATGTTCTTTCCTCTCCATCCTACTTGACCTCCATTCTCCATGCACTCCCAGGTAATCTCCAGAAGCATTCTTTGCTGGGGATCAAGCTTGGCAGCCTCGATCTTGCTAAGTCCGAAGAATTCTGGGTCAAAGTGCCGGATATCATGTTCTAGGAAGTATCCGTGCTTTGTTCGTATCGCACCCGGTCTTGACCCTTGATAAAAAGCGTCAATATTATATCGGGTATCGGGAACTTTACACAGTCCGTCACGTTTGTTGATCAAAAAGTCCCAGAATTCTTCTTCGCAGCTCACGCCCCCGGGCAATCTCATGGCCATTCCAACAATCGCGATCGGGAAAGGGACAGGTTTGTCTTCGAGATCCAAGTCATCTTGACAATTTTGGGTTTCTTCGACGCCAATCCTGGCCGCAGTGTCAACTACCAGTGGCAGTTGATGATTGACAGTATGATCGATTAGTTCGCCCATTTTTGTTTAATAGAAAACGGAAAGTCGGGTGTGAATTAAGAGGCTTTGGAGAGGTTGGAAAATTGATACTTATATTCAGCTCAAGTGGAGTTACAAAATCAGTCGTCTTAATATACTACATATTGATGACATGGAGTTTCCGCCGCCGATCGGTTCCGAAACGGGGCGAGTACAGGGATTAACTGGCTGCATCGATCAACGCACTATTTGTGATCGATCAACCAGACGACAAATCAAACCTCATTTTCGGTTCAGAGGTGAAACAGATACATCTTTGATCTTTGTGATAGGTTCTGCAGGCGGTATCACGAAGTAGGAATCCTATTGCATATTTGCATAATATTAAGTGGCTCGCTTTTTTCTTTTTGCTGGGAGTGCCTCCCTCCACTCCCTCTTGGGTCCGAAATCCCGTCTAGAACCCCAGGCAAGTTGAGACAGAGAAGGATGGCTATACAGATTATCCCTTTACACTCTAAAGATGACACATGGATGAACCGAGGGATTGCCCTCGAGTTTACCCTTCATTTTGACCATGTTTTGGATTCAGACCATCTTCGTCGTTCCCTCCAACGCTTGCTGGAGATAGGAGAATGGAAGAAACTAGGTGCACGTCTACGCCTGAAGGCAAGTTATCCTTTGCATTCCCTGTTCATCAATGCTAAATACTAATAATGATCTATAGTACGGCAAGCTTGAATATCATATCCCCGAGAAATACGATACGAAATGCCCTGGATTCACCTTCTACACCACGACGCATGATGGAAGACTGGATGACTTGCTTCCCTCCCAACTGCCATGTGGGACGCACTCTCCGACTGTTTTCCCTTTCTCGGCTGCGAATCTCGACACCTTGCTTTACAGACCTGATTCCCCAAAGAAACTCGAAGACTGGATATACAATGATCGCCCACAGCTAGATATCCATCTTATAGTCACTCGAAATGCCACCCTATTGAAGTTGGCATGGCTGCATACTTTCATGGATGCCTCGGGGCGGGCTAGTTTGCTCAACGCGTGGGCGGCGGTTCTTCGCGGTCGCGAAGATCAAGTTCCACCGTTCCTCGGCTTTTTCAAAGATCCTTTGGCTGACTTGAATGCTCAGCCCCCATTCGAGTGGTTCGTCCGGTCACAGTGGATGCTGATTCTTATGCAATGGCTGGGACCGCTATTACTTGTTATCCGGTGGATCTGGGAAATGATACCATGCCCGAAGCATGAACACCGACTAGTCTGTATCCCGGGATCAATTGTGACAGAGATGCGAGAGGCAGCAATACAGGAATTATCTGCGGGAGATGGCGAAGACTTCGTCAGCGAAAGCGATGTTCTCCTGGCATGGTGGGCTCAGCGCATTGTCCAGTCCATGCTACCATCGGGGAAAATCCCTGTCACGCTACTGAACAATTTCAATATCCGGCCTTCTTTCCCGGACCTTTTCCCACGAGATACAGCCTATGTCGGAAATGCATGGCTGACTGCCCATACTATCCTGCCTGCTGACGAGGTGCTAGAGCGGCCCGTCGGCTATCTTGCTTTCAAGCTCCGGCATTCTCTTCTCGCCCAGCGCTCCAAAAACCAGATCAGGGATTATATTGCTGTCCAGAGAGAGGGTATGGAGAAGGTTGATGCTACACTTGCATCGATGTTGGGCGTATCGAACATGTTGATCCATTGCTCAAACTGGCATCAAGCTAGGTTTTTCAATGTGGATTTCTCGCCTGCTATCATCGGTCCAGCGAAGAAGGCCCGGTCGGCGGGAAGACCGAGACTAATCATACCCAACACTTTCTATCGATGGCCTATGCTACTAAATACTGGATCGATTATTGGGAAGGACGTAGATGGAAACTGGTGGCTGACATGGCATTTGAAAAAGGCGGTTTGGAGAAAGATTGAGAAACAACTAGCAGTAGACACAAGGTGACCTCAATTAAGATTTTGGTGAGCTGTATCATCTCTCATTTGACTTCAAACGGTGCTTCAACTAAAGACCGTAAGGGTCTTTTCAAATTCAACTTTAAGACTGTCGACGGGACCGGCGATCTCCGAGTGGTTTGCCACTGGAATTTTCGATTTCGTCAAAGTCTCGAAAATCGCCCTTTCGCTGGCAAAATTGCGGAGCAGGACTTGTGAAAACATCTTGAAACCCTGAGATTCTATGCTGTCGACCTGTATTCCGTAAGTATTTGTTACACTTGTAGAAACAATAATTCCCACCTTTGAAAAGGCGGTGCTCAACGTATCGGCAACAGCCGAGCGAATGCCATGATAGTGATTCAGGTAAGTCTGGACCTGGTCAGCCGGGACCGAGTCCAAATCGGCCAGATCCTTTCTCGACGAGCCACTGGCCATCAAGACGTTATAGAGTTCATAGCCGCAGGTCAAACTCTGTGTCATACCCCCATTGAAGGACTTCAGACACTCATGTGTTGAGAGGATTCGCTTGTGTAGATTTTCGAATCCATAGAAGACGGTTTGTGGGCTGGTGGCGGCCAAAGCGGCAGGTGCCAGCACGGCCGAGATCAAAAGCTGCTTTATCTGCATTGTAGCTATGTAGTGGACAGTGGTAGAGGTGTGGGTTTTGCGTTGTCCTCCAAGGTTCTGTTCTTATAGGGCTCATCACGCCTAGGGCCAGGTAAGGGATACATACTACATTGAATTAGGCGGGGAATAAAAAGAAAACATGGTCAATAGTTCGCGACGGTATGTTGTTTATTGCATGAGCCTAACCTTGTTGGGCTATCAGGATGACCAGGGCACGGGCCAAAATTTCCTTCCTCTGGCCCTTCCCCTATTTTGATGCAGGATTAATATTGACAAGGTACGAATCTGCATTTCGATCTCTACATTGGGAGGAGACATGCAGGGCAGCGTAACAATGGGGGTGGCAATTAGGCCACGGAAGGCCTTGGCAAGGTTTTAAGTTCGCTTTCAGGAAGTTGATCACTCCCCGTGTATACACCTGGCATAGATGTAGTCGTTGTATCCTGCATATCGCTTTCAATGTATATTTCATTATTAGGCCAAAAACAAATCCGTCCTCAGCCTGGTGGATGAGGTTTAGAATCAACTTTCAAATTGCGACGGGCAAGGGTGACTGGAATTAATCAACCGACCCTGTACTTCGACCTTGCTATTATTCGATGCTGTCAACTAATGTCATTTCTAATCTTTACTCAATTTACAAAAGCAACACCACTCAGAATTGGCAATCTAAAATCAAGATAGATGCATACTTATGTAGGTGTAAGCTGCGACCCTGCCTGAAGCCCTTAGGCTGTGTAACCGCTGATCTGTGTCACCACCTGTCCTGTGATGGCTGCCACAAACTCTGGAATTGGCCCTGGGTAGATTTCTTCGCTCCTTGATTGGTCTATATCGCGTGCTCCCGTCCCCCGCGCCCCATCACCAATCCTCGACGGACCCAAGCGAGCCACAGAGAGCATCGCATCTTGCCGGTTTGGGTAGGAGGAACGCCAAGCCCACGGCCAACCGAGAGGTCGTGGAAGAATACATCCAACACGTCAACACACAAGTCGACAACGAACGCCACCAATTGAGAACGAAGCGGCAGGCCAATGTGAGGGCGAATTGAGAGATATATTGTGGGCATGAGGGCTTTGAGGGCGTTTTGGTACGGTTGGGCTGATTTTATATGGCAATACGCCGTTCTCCTATGTATTTACTGTTTCACACGCGGGTCTGGTGTTTGGATCACTCTTGCTTCCGCCGGAGGGAGCGCCTGCATAGCCATTACGCCACTAGTTAGGCTGCAACTGGTTAATAGAGTGTTGATTGATTGATTGATTGATTGATCTACACAAAACAGGATATCCGATTGCAATGGATTCAGCAAGGAATCCATCAACACAAAATACTCCCCACTTCTTTCTCCCATAACGCAGACTGATTCACAGGATGATGAGATCGAACACATTCGACCACCATCCAATTTCTATTATACCATGCTTCTGGATCTTCGTGTCGTTGTCGCTATTTCAAACACCGCGTTGACCTCGATAATATTTGCAGCGCTTAATACTACTCTACCCGTCCACCTTCGCAATATCTTTAGTTGGGGTCCATTAGATGTTTCGACAATCTTCCTGATATTTCGTGTTCCTGGAATATTTCTACGGCCTATCGCAGGCTGGCTCCGGGATCACGTTAGTCTTCGATATCCGACTACTATTGGGTGGATGATCATGTGTCCTTTGCTGATCTTCTATTTTGCCGATGCTGGGTGGGGATTTCTATTTCAGCTGCCGCGGCTTTTATGGAGGCGCTCAGAGTCAGACTCACTGATTTGGTCAGTCCTATCACGTAGTAGCCAGCCAGATCCAGTGAGTGCTCAGTGACTCTGAGTCAAGGTAATTCATATCTCGCTTGGTTGGTGCTAGGCTCACCCAAAACCTAAACCTCGCCAGTCCTCACCTTTGGCTGAAGAATATGACATTTGATAAGATTAAAGGACTCCACAATGAGATCTCGACATGTGTAGTAGAAGATATCAATATGTTTTTGTTGTCCTGTGCGGTATTTAAGAATGTATTGTTAAGTGGAAATGCAGCTTGATTCCCCTTTCGATCTTCATCGAAAAGTTATAGAGATCTTCTGAACTATTGCCGTCTTTATGGACGAGCTTAGGTTCGGGACCAATGATATTAGCAAGGCATAATCTCATTGAAAATGTCAGTAAAGTCATAAGTCATCTTATTTAGGAATAAAATAATGATAGAGGCAATATCGCGTCCGCTTAATCCACTCGAGGGAGGTCATAGCTGAGAAGCTTCACATAGATTTGTTCTCCGCTTTTCTCGTATTCGTCAGCGTGAGTATCTCTTTATTTCGACTTTTTCAAGTCGTGTTCAATCTTATTCCATGCCGTGGATACTTCTGCCCTATCCTCGGGGGTGAACTCTCGCATTTCTTCGAGTCCCTGCGAAATGCGACCCATTACAATCATGCATTTTTGATGTCTGCCCAGAGAGTCGTTGATATCTCTGAGCATCCCGCTCAATGGATATCCCGCAAGACCCCATAGCCCTGATTACAGTTATCTCGTAAGAGTGACGATCGTAAATATATTGCCTTCCCGTACGACATACCTGCTGCTGGTTTGAGAAACAGACCTCCCATTGCTTTCCCGATCCCTTTGAAGAGCCCCTTCGCACCTTCATTTTTGAAACCATCGCGTGGATGTGCTCCTATGCCTGTGATACCGAAGTAAAAACCGTCTCGGAGCTCCTGCGCTTATATCAGAATGACTGGTCCTAAGATGGTGCTGGTATGGATGTGCTTACCTTTCCTGCTGCTGATAAGCCGCTTTGAAGACCTACTACCTGGGGGGTGTCGACCACTGTCAAATCGTGATATAATTTGGGTGCGTTGTGGAAACCTCTAGCCATGCCCAGTGAGAAATCGGCTGGTAACCATATGATGACCTTCATCAGTTTCTTGGACATTTTGCTTCCATGCAACGCAGCTTCGTGCAAAACGATGAATCTAGATGGTTTAGAAGGGGGTATAGAGCTGCTCATTGTCTTTGCCTTGTCAAGTTGAAGACTTCTTTTGCGCTCTATGCTCCGAACTCGAGCCATTTCATTGACATGGTCTCTATTCTCCTCCTCTCCAGTGTCTTCCTGTGTACTTTCATCTTCTCGGGGCTCTCCAGCTCCCTGTTCATTATTCTCAATTCGTAATTGCCATGTCTCATTTTCGATAGGTGATTCTTCGCTCTCAATACTGTATTCTGGAGAGGCTTGATCCAGCGAAGAAATTGCAGCCCGACATGCTTCGCGGCGATCAAAATGTTCGTGGGGATGACGTGTTGCGCGGACAGCAGAAGCAAGATCACTCACAATCTCTCTTGGAGCATCTACGAAACTAGTCACGAATTTCGTAAGGACTCCAAAGAGCACCAGAGCACCAGCAGTAAGTGGGTTGGCAGGGTCCATGAATGTATCATATTCAATAGGACGGTGACTGGAGACAATCAGCAAAAAAGTTCTGACATTTTTGGTGACGCTGGTCGGAAAAGGCTTACAGCACGAGCATGTCCGGGCTTATCTTCCCAGATTTCACCAGGACTGTTGCTGCAAAGGCACTCAAGTTGATACTGGTATGTTTGAGATGCCAAGCAGCTGGCTGATTAGGGACTATAGAGCACCTGGATCGCTGGAGGTCAAGATTTCGGTAGAAGCTATTCACCGCATGGCGCACGCCAGACTCTTCGTGCATTTTTGTCGCAATCGACTGTGCTCTGTCCAGTATACTTGTCTCCAGCGCTTTCTGTATTGCGTCTGAGAGATTCTGACTGTTCAACCGTTTATATGGTATCGGGGATGGTCCTGCTCCGGCCCGTGCAACGATATTTCCCCAAAATTGCTGATCTCCGAAAAATGGGATAATTATCGTCGGTAGACCTAAGACGAGGCCAGCTGCGGTAGTACCGGCACCTCCATGATGTATCACGCATGAAACCTGACGAAAGAGCCAATCGTGAGGGCAGTTTCCAATCAAAAGAATATTTTCTGGTACTTCGTCGGCCCCCAGGTTCCCCCAACCTTTCGAGACGAGAGCCCGCTGTCCAGTTTTTTTGACCGCTTCAAAAATAGTCTTCGTTAATCTGTCAGGATTATCAACTACAATCGAGCCAAATCCAACATATATTGGTTTTGGTCCTGCATCAAGAAATGAAACGATTTCCCGTGGTGGCGTGTAGTTGCTCTCTGACAAAAGAAAGCCAAAGCCACAGACATCGATGTTATCAGCCCAATCAGGAGGCTTAGGCAGTAACGAAGGAGACCTGGTTCAAAAATCAGAACACGTCTTTGGCGGTCAAGGATACCTTCCTAACCAGAGATATGTATGCGGCACATGTAGTCGGTGGAGTATGCTCGAGGCGGTCACTGTGTCTAGAGGTTGGAGTGATAAAGTGTTTTTGCGGAGGGTGTTTAGAATATCTCCCAACCCTTCCCATACCATCACATCAACAACATTATAGGACATAAAATTTGCAAGAGTCGGCTTGCAGTTCTGGGAATGAACATTTGCTAATGGGTGGGGAAATGACTGAGTTGGTGACCAAGGCATCCTGTAATTTATTAGCCATGCGGTATATTGGCGAGAGGCAACTGAATCTTAGCATATCGGAGGCTCGACTCACGTGAATATAATATGGAGAGGAATCCCTAGTCGTTGTGCACAATGAATATGGGCCAGGCTAGGGGGATTGGCTATAATAGCGTCCGCAACAAAAGACCGTTCTCGAAAATCCAAGGCATTGCTCCATGGGTCTTCTTTGATATGGTGAAGGTGGGTCCCATCACCCTTTTCAAAGCAAGATCGCCAACATCCATTGAAAATTTGCCTCATCTCACGCCGACGCTTTTGGATTTCTCCACTGCGTATTGCCTTGAACCCCGGTAAAAGGCCTGGATTTTTTACCATGAAAGCCATCAGTTCCGTCGGATCTCCTCCAATGTTGAAAAATTCCAATCCACTATCAAGAACAAATTGCCGAAAAGTTAAATGTGTGGCCAATCTGACTCGGTGACCGTGGGCTTTCAGTTCTCTCCCAAGTGCAACAAACGGTTGAATGTCGCCTCGAGAACCAATTACTTGGATGACGATATTCAAGTGCAGTGGAAAATGCTCATCTCTTGCAAAAGGCTTTTCCGTACTGGCTATCTGTTCGTTGTTTCGATCAGAATATATGTTCGGGGGTTGGATGTGGTTCAATAGCCCTGCGATGCTGGGTTTGTGCGGGTCGATATGGATGTCTACACGGCCGTTTCCTAAGACAGGATGTGATTCCGTTAGTACAAGAAATTTAAATGTCGCCGGAGAACTATCCACCTAGAACACGAGCGCCATCATCCAGCCTATGCTGGAAGAAAGGCACTCTGTCGTGGCCATCTTTTGATAGCGTTGTATCTTTATATGGCCAACCACGTGAATGAACGAGGTTCACTGGCTCAAATGCATGCCCTGCAGGGGTTGGTGCTACAACAGTGGCCATGATTCACAGATATTGTGTGGGATGTTTAGAAGAAATGGCGAGATTGACACTGGAGAAAACCGATGGTCAATGTGGGCGAAACTTAGCTCAAGTCCATCATGGAGCAAGGTATTCTACACTCGCGCACTCATCGCTTTCTAGGGACGCCGAACGTAATCATTGCTCACGCGACTCGCGTGTTATTAATGTCTGACAAACTCAGGTTCAATAACTAGACGGTGCTGGTGAATGACGTCATGAACTTGCTCGGCCCAGGGTAGGTGAAGCTTGAGCTCAATGTGAAAGAGCGATTAGAGGGTCCAGATGCTCGAACACATCCGCGTTATCCGGTCTTGAGGCTTACCTAAAGAATTTTCTGTGGCAATCGAAGAAATCCGGTTTTTTCTGCAAGCCAGAGGAACCTGGCGCGGATCCTAGTCACATTTTGAATGAATCATACAATTAAGCAACTACCTAGATATGAATCGTGAAAAGAGCTCACCCTTCAACACTACTACTCCTTGACGCATGTGAGGGGCACGAGGCGTTACAGTAGTGAAGCTCCTATAGTTATATAATTGCCGTTCAGAGAGGCGCGGAAGTGTCGCTAGGAGAGTGGCGGAGCTCTTGAAAGTGAGTAGATTGATAGGTCAGGGATCTGTAAGTAAATAATTAAATTGCTGTAGACTTTAATTGTAATTTATATTGGTACTCCATTAAGAACAGCCTGTCTTATGGCACGAACATGGGTAGTTCACACTAGCTTTGATGTAATCTGCAAGCGCAGAATGGCCTTAGATCTGCTGCCTGCTCCTCGGCGGCTGATTCGAAATATAACCTTGAGTGGGTTAAAGTATAGGCTAATTTGGTCACCTATAGTATTGTGCAAAGCGTAATTGTCAAATCACCTGATGATGAGGGTGATATGTCTTAGTCGGAGGTTCCTGCTTGCACCTTCACGAAAATACCTGCGGGGCGCCCTCACAAAATTCTGGGCATTAATTAATACATTGCTAACGTCTCTCGGCTCTCACAGCATTTTCAAATAACTATATTTACTAATAGAACTAGTGTAGAGGAAATATTCTAGTTTTGAACACTAGCTGGGAAGCTTTCTCGCACATTTACTTTATACACTTCCTCGATTTTTATAAATTCGCTAGCTAATTAAGCCGAAGTTCATCAGCGACCTAAATTAGCCAGTTTCGCTACAAGAATCTAAAATTTGAATTCAATTAATGAATCGAAATCAGTGGTCCGAATTCATCGTTTGAACAAGTCTCTCAAAAAGATCATCTATTAAGCCTAAGGATCGCACGCTGGTATTGGGTAGTTTCTCTCTCACTATTCATACTATCTGAGATCTACTTGTAAAGTGTCATCATTCCTCGTTCAATTAGGTTCTCGATGATTTAGCCTTCAACGAGTGGTATCGGAATAAAGAGAAAAAACCTGCTTCTATAGCATCCCTACCCATACTCGATTGTGATGAATCTAAGTTGTCAGTTTTGATCAGATAATTTCAGATGGTAAGCTAACCCAATTCAAGTAGCTATATTCTGGACGCTAATTCTGATAAACATAGGGTATCGATTATGATGAATTCGGAAGCCAATTTGAGTTTTTCAAATGAGAGATTTAGGCTTTAGGCCCATTCAGCTATTGATCGGTGAACCCAGCCCTATATTTCCCTTATTTAACGTTACTTTAATCCGTTAACTTGAATAGTTTGTCAAAACTAATCATCAGAATCCGAGTGACCGCTTAAGGTGGTCAACCGAATCATCAATATAATGTGGGTGGTCAATTTGGTTAGCATTTAAGGTTCTAAATTCAAGATTTCCAATTCCGACTTGTATCACATTAAATTATCAATCTAGGTTAACTGTGGAGACTAATTCTGGCGGGCATTTAGGGGAATTCAGGTCTAAGGTCAATTTATACGACTTCAAGCATATTCTTTTGACTGAGGCATTTTTGCTTCCATCCGCATTTGCATACTGGTCCTCTCGACGATGAGACTATACGAACAATTTGGGTAGTGTGCTACCAAGGACCTAGTTATTCGTAGGTTCCTTCCATCAAGTGAATCCCATGGAGTCATGTAATTGAGTCCTTGGGTACTAACCCCGCAAAATATTGCGAAAATAAACTAGTTATAACTTAGATAACTAACTAACTAGTTTGTTAGTTAGTTAATACTGATTGGTCAGTTAGCTAGCTCCATCGCAGTGCAATGAATATTGGTAGGTGAAACATGAATACAATCAGATTTTTGATGCTAGTGCTTCTTTGATGGGACAAAGTTGCTAACCTAGGGAAGGTGAATAGGGCTAGTGTCTTACATTTGATTGAAGTGCCTCGCGGATAGTGACCAGGGGCCCACCAGGCTTAAGTGATGCTTAGTGCGAGCATCAAGTAACTTGCCCGGATCAGTGAGCTTACAAAGGCTCACTGATCTGATCAGAGCTCTTAGAGACATCAGCAGTTTTAGTCAGTAAGCAAAAGCGGCGAGGGGCTAAGCATCAAAACGGAAAGGGAAAGCCAAGACATAGATTAGGAAATCCGGTAATAGGTACCTTCCCCCATAGAGAGACACTTACTGTGAGTATGTAAGGGTGGCACTAACAGGTACAATCCAGCAAATTAGAAAACGAATATAACTTGTGAGTAGCGAGCGAAGTAAAATATACTAGTACTAGAGCAGTGGGTGAGAATAGACCGATGAGAAAGAGTGAAATTTTTTTTATTTTATTACTCAAGTACATCGGAGTGCCTTGTCTATTCTTTCCCTATTAAAATCTGCGAATGCGAATTTTGCATGTCAGATCTGGCCATTTAGGTGAAGGGCTGAAGCGCCACCTGCTAGGGTGGAGAGCCGCCAGGACAAAATCGTGGGCGCTAGGTGACCACTGCCATACAATATCTGTTGTCTGTTCTTAATTTTGTGTTTAGCTATATCAGGTTTATCCATCACTCTAGACCTTCACCTGAATGTAGGTATCGTTTAAGTCTTGATTCCTACCCACCTTCATATTGTAGATTATTGGCATGGAAGGTGTCAAATATTGCAGAATGATCGGTCATATGATGAGTTACAATATAATAGCACCTACTCATTCACCACAATGTTGTGTAAATATACTCTAGAAGGGCATATACGATGGCAAAGCCTTGGCGCGCGATTTCCAAGTCAGTCCACGAGCAAAGAGCCCCTTCTTCCCCACTGATGCCAGCACGAAAACGCATGGAGGCTACTCCAATGGCTATCCACGAGAGTTAATTAGACACGCGGACAATACTACATCTATGTTAAGTCAACTCGAAGAAAGGAGGACCTGGAACCACTCACTTCTGAAGCCATGTCCATAATTGGGTCTACAAATTGGCGTCCCAGTTGACCAAAAGAGGCGGGGGCTGTCTGGCCTTCGGGAACGTCGCTTCCCAAGCCGACATTACTTGAAAAATTCTTTCTTCCTCGCCATTCCGTGCCATTATTTCCATTCCAAAAGGCCTTCCATTGAAAAAAGAAAAGCCAAGTGGGACACTTCCGATGGGATAGCCTGCACAGGCCGCAGTACTAGGGAGCAGTGTTTCCCCAGATGCCATAATAACATCCGCATTGGATTCCTCCAAACACAATTGGACAGCATGCCGAACACTCTGTCGGAGGTGCGCCAATCCACTGCGATATTGCTCATCGGTTAGATTATCGTTCAGGTCATTTTCCAACACTTACTGACTGGGTTGCTCTGTACCGTTGAATAAAGTGAGTAATTGAGGAACATGAACTTTGAACAGGGCATACCTGGTGGAAGCTCTTCAGCTGCATGCTCTTTATTAAATCTGACCTGATCTTGCAATGTCCGTAATTGAGGGTTATTGAATAAGCCTAAGAATCTTGGAATGACGAATGCAAGCTGGTGTCCTGGAATGGGATCAATTATTTGTAAATCCAAAGGTTGGAGGAATCTAAGTAACTTACTTCTAATCTCTCTCATCGTGACAGTTTTGTACTTCTTGATGATTTCAGGAAGGCTCATGAGGCGGGCATTGTAAGTGACCTGGGCTCCAAGAGATTCGATTTTCTCAAGAGCCCTCAGCATTTCTAGCTCCTACAGACTGTCAGTTGCTGCGCTTGATAATGAACGGATACTTACATGTTGTGTATCGAAGGCAGGTGTTTTTTCACACATAGAGTCGGGGAGTTGCCAGGTCTTGTAGTCTAGATAGGCAATGCGAATCCCATCCCAAGACTTGGTGAGGTGCGACCGAAAGTCTCGACCTGGTAAAAGAATATCCATCACAGCGGCACAATCCTCAGCAGATTTTGCAATTGGACCGGCGCTGTCAAAAGCCGCACCTCCAGACTGTGTGCCTTTCATAATCATATCGCCAACTGTCCCCTTCAAGCCATAGGCGGCAGCTCTAATTGCTGGTTGAACGATTGACCCGTTCGCTTCAGTTCCGATCGTCAAAGGGGCAAAGCCAGCTGCTATTGCAACGGCTGACCCGGACGATGATCCAGCTGGGGTCTTTCTTCGTAATTCCACGTCAGCCTCGTTCGATCCAGGATAGGTCAGTACTCACACTATGGCCCAACCACCTGTCTTCTGGGTCGGCCCCTCCTTTCACATAAGGCGACTGAGTCTATCCAAAATCAGTACCCGCCTGGTACAACGATAATTGCATAATATCACCTGGCCCCCGGCGGCAGACCAACCACTTGTCACCCCAAATCCCCTGGAATTAGCCCATTCCTAGACCATGTCAAATTCATAATGCCGATTGGATAGATTTCTTCCTATCTGACCACTCACCGAAAGATTTGACTTGCCAATCACAATACATCCAGCTTCTCGAAGAAGTGTTGCGATGGGGGCATCTTCAGTAGCGTTAAGCCCTTTCAAGGCCAATGATCCAGCCGTTGTCTCCAGGCCAAAATTTGGGGTGCAAATCACATCCTGAGTCATAGAATTTAGGCATATGAAGTTGAATCAGGATTAGACTGTCCCTAGAATGGATCATCTCATCTCACCTTCAAAATAATTGGGATCCCATGCAGCTTTGGCCTAGGCCCCTTCTGTGCCCTTTCACTATCCAACATCCTCGCTTCTTCGAGGACACGATTCGCAGACGCAGTCGAGATCATCGCATTCAGCATGAGGCCCTGTTTATTATGCCTAGCAATCTGGCCCAAGTATAAACCGACCAGCTCCACACTGGAGACCTCCCCTGAGTCTAGCAGCTTACGCAGGTCGCTCGCCGTCGCTGTAAGCACATCGATGGTATGCCTGCGTGTCATTTTGCGGAATACTGAGATTATTCGAGGCATGAAAGCAACACTAATGGCAGTGGAGAAAGTCCGAAAATTCATGACAGGGTTGTTTTCACGATACTGCTCTAGAGCCGGCTCGGGCATACGAAGAGAAAAGCGGGGAAGAGGGGAGAGGGAAGCCCTCCACGATCGCTAACACCCATTTTTGGGCACATCGAGGAAACTTCATGCCTTAGTGCCTATCTACCTGGCAAGCCCACGGACGTTAGTATTTTCTACTATTGTCTACCTACTTCATTATAATAATCACATTTGACTAGTCGCATGAATAAATATTAACAGACTAACTTAGTCAACTTAGGTCACTGTTACCGACTCAACAAGCTGGATTCCCTCAAACATTCGGCCCAGTCCAGGAGAATAGCATCATACTTGTGTTTTCCGTAGGCCGGCGGTGGGCACTCATACGCTTTGAAGCTTTCAATATCTTTGCCATGAATAGTTCCGTCCTCATCGATAACGGCAGGTGTCATATAGATGGAGAAAGGAATTTTCTCCTCGACCTAGGAGATCGTTAGTTCGTTGTGATCTCATTCACAGTGGAAGAGCGATTACACACCATTATTGGTGTACTTGTTTCAGTATTATGAAACTTCGCCTGTACCATAAGTTCATGGGATATTTGAATATCTCTCGTCGAAATGGATTGCGAAGCAAGGTCAAAACTGTCTGGCAATTGGACTGGAAGGCTCAGGCACCACTCTGCGGAAGGTATATCATCCTCTGTGGCTAATGTCTCCAGTGTTTGATGGGTACAATTATGCTCGGATTGAAAAATCGTAGATGTGCTTGACGTGTGTATTTTGAAAGTATTGTGCATCGCAGACTCAGCTGCTGTCGCGTCCGATTGGAGACGGTGTCTCTCCAAGACAGAGACGGACACCGAACCGATTTTCAAGTTCTTCGAAAGGGGAGAGAAATAACACTTCACGGGAAATTTGCTGGCGAAGGGGATTTTTGAATCCGGCAAAATGATGCAGTACTGTATGTCCTGCCCTGTCTGTCTTTCAACCGTCTGGAATTTCGGTTGGTTAGCCCTGCCTACTCGCTCGTTGGCGAAGGGAACCTACCACTGGAGTGGATATTAGCTGGTGATCGACCCATAAGTTGGGATGATCGTAAATGCGGATAGGCCGCGAAATGGTGAAATTGCCTCTAAAGCGACGCTCGAATTTGGCCACGACGTGATAGGTGTGGTACTTCTGACGCTGACAAGTAACAGTCTCTAGCATTCTCCCAGGCAGAGGGATGCTAAATGGGAATTCGTAGTTCCCTGCTGGGAGCTGGAAAGAGGGGAGACACTTGGATGAGCCGATGTCCTGTTCAGAGATGACCGTTATGCGTTCGCGATCGTTTTGAATGAGAAAGCCGTCTCGAGGACTATCGAGGCGAATGTTAACACCGAACGCATTTGAGAATTTCGATTTCGCGGCGTACAATTTCAGAACACTAAGCAGCTGCAGTCGAATCCGCTTGAACGACTTGCTTTCTGGTAGGTAGATGTGGAATGTTCCATTGATATAGCCTGTGCTTGCTGGTTGGAGGAAGATGCATGCTTGATCGAGTCTAACGGTTGGAGATCAGGATATGCCTCGAATAAATCGGAATGAATTCAGCGTACTTCAGATCATACGTTTCCGAGTTCTGCAAAAACATTTTGGAATGCCGATCGATGCTTTAGAACGCAATTTGACATATCGACAAGCTTTTGTTTCCTTATATACTGTGAGGCTTGTCGGCATCAGCGGTATCCTTCCTTATCGGGGGCGGAGATCGAAAGACGGGAAGGCTTGGCGTTACCACATAGGACATTTTTTCTATGCCAGGTGGGGCTTTCCTATTTTAGCTGCCAGCGCTCAGTGTCAGACTCGCGGAGCTGCTCAGTACCATCACGTGATGATCAATAAGGTCCAATGAGCGCTCAGTGAGTCTGATTGGCTGCTCACTGAGCCATCACTGATTACTCAGTTGTTCACCATAACTGCCTGGTATCTATTGAACAGTCCCACTCGCAACGCCGACACAAGGATGGTCTTAGATTCATGTTCCAACCCATTCATAAATATTCTCTACAAAAGTCCGAGCAATACCGGGTTTGATCCGTCTAAATATGCCTATGATCAATGCCATCTAACAGCGCTACGTCGCACGCTTGTCAAACTGCCGGCTTGGAGTATTCTCAGATATGCTTAGCGCAAGCCACCTGCTGAGTTCTTTGACATATACATTTTTGAAGACCAGAAACACCTCCTTTGGCCCCGCTGAGTCAAAAAGCCACCTTACGAGCGGTTATATTCGACTTAGAGAAGTAAGACAGCGAAGCAAGAACATTGACGATGATAGGCGGAATGTGGCATTCGGCCTTCGAGGGCATTACCGCCTTCACGCTTTCCTTTTCATTATCTGGTGCTTTTCCATGTATATATCTTCCCGAATTTCATTAGTGACATCCATGCGTCTTTTAGTGTAAAGATATACTCTATAAATCAGAATAGAGGCCTGTCAGTCAGGTCCGGGAAGCCTGAGGCACCAACACTTGGGAATAACCTCATGCCAGGGTATATCATAACACTAAATCACTTTCTGTTCAAAATCAAGGCGGTCGAATCAGATAAGTGTTACTATAGAGAAGGGTCTTAAACCCCGAGACACACCTTGATGCAGTGCCCGTTGTACGCTGATTTAAGGCAGACCTTCCTTGACAAGATCCGGATGACCGATCTTAAGGATTCGACGGATTACGATGCGATTGTATCGCACTCGTAGGCCACCCGCTACGTGGCCGAATTCATACTTCAAACAGGCCTCCTAGGACAGTTCCGACACATCGAAATCGAACCAACAGGCGATGACAACAACACGCCAGGATGATCTAGCAGGCACAGGGGGTGAAGACGCTAGGTAGGAGGAACGCCAAGCCCACGGCTAACCGAGAGGTTGTGGAAGAATACATCCAACTCGTCGACACTAGTCGACAACGAACGCCACTAATTGAGAACGAAGCAGGAGAGATACCGGGGATAGAGGTACAGAGGAAGCGGCAGGCCAATGTGAGGGCGAAATGAGAGATATATCGTGGGACTAAGGGCTTGAAGGGCGTCTGATACTGTTTTGGGCTGATTTTTGGGCTGATTTCTATAGCAATACGCCGTTTTCCTATGTATTTACTGTTTCATGCGCGGGTCTGGCGTTCGGATCACTCTTGCTTCCGCCGGAGGAAGCGCCTGCATAGCCATTACGCCACTAGTTAGGCTGCAACAGGTTAATAGAGTGTTGATTGATTGATTGATTGATTGATTGATTGATTGATTGATTGATTCCCTTCTGCAGTGTGGACGTCGCTCATATAACCAGTACATGCTGCCGTTCATAGTGTAGTTGAAATGGGAGGGGTAAGGCGGTTGCCGGAAGTATGGTCCAAAATTCGTTATAAGGGGTGTACATTCTGTTCATGCATCATCCTTCGCACCTTGAACAACATGATCAGTCTCCAAAGATTTATCCATAGTCCGGCTTGCAACAAACGGCGTCGCTAAGAGACCAAGAGCCCCAATGCCCGTCATAACCTCAAAAATGGAGTCCAGCCCATATACGTATGCATTCATCACACCTTCGCGTAAAGCAGACCCAGCGGGCAACGTTTTAAGGGTGCTAATATAACCCTCCGCATCGTGGGCGATAGCAGTCGGAAGTCCCAAATCACCCAGTCTCGTCGCCATAAAATTCTGCAGTACTGTTCCACCAATGATGACACCGATGGCGAAGCCCAGCGTCCGGCAGAATGTGTATAGTGAAGCGGCATATGCCACGTCTTTGGCTGGCGAGGAAGCCTGCGCTGCAAACAGAAGAGCATTGTACAGGATGCCGTGGCCGAAGCCCACAAAAGCAAATATGAAGATCCAGCCTGCTGTACTAGTGTGCTCTCGCAGAAGGATGGTAACACCAGTGGCTGCAATGGTAGCGACCCAGCCGCACCAGAGGGCCCAGCGGTACCGTCCAGTCTTGGAGATAATGAAGGCCACCACTATGCTGGTGGGCAGAAGAACAATGGAGACGGGCAACACGCCGACACCGTTCATAACGGCGGACAGAAGTTTGACGGCTTGCAGATACAGAGAGATATAATAAAGCTCACCGTACATCTGATGAGACAAGTCAGCAAATATTTTATTTTCATGTCATTGAATTCCACAGGGGAAAGGCGGGGAGGGGAGATCGCACAATAATGCCTTGGACAATAGAGCCAGCATACACAGCCAGTGAAGATCGATCTGTAAGTATAGACAGACGCAGGAATGGGTGACTAGCGCCAAAGAACTCCCAAAATCCCGTCGCGATGATACCACCCACACCGAGGCAGAGTGGAACCAATGTCTGATAACTGTCCCAGGAGTACTGCACCCCACCCCACGAGAGCCCAATCAAAAAGGCGGACATGCTCGTAATAAATAAGACCTGGCCGATCCAATCAACAGAGCGAAGCTTCCTCCCGCCATTTTTGAACCTGATCGATACAAAAAGCATTAACCCTGCCAAAGCCGACAGCGGGAAATTAATATAAAATACCCAGCGCCATCCCGTTGAGGAGCTCGTATGGTCCACAAAGCAACCCCCGATTAGGGGGCCAAGAATAGTTCCCAGTGCCATAGACGCTTGAATAATTGCGCCAAATTTTGGCCGTTGACGCAGGGGGATGATATCAGTATTGATGATCATGGCAAGCGGAATGAGCCCTCCTCCTCCTATACCCTGGATCACACGACCGGCCAGGAGGGTAGCCATATTGTGAGCGACACATCCCACAATAGATCCAATTACGAAGAAGCCCATAGAGGCAACCAGCACCTTCCTTCTCCCAAAGATATCGGATAGTGAAGCCATGATAGGCTGGAAACCTGCGCACGGAACCAAGTATGCGCTACCTATCCAGAAAGTACTGGTGGCGTCGCCGTTCAGCTCCTCCGCTATAGTCTATTTTCAGTGTTAGATTGCCCGGGACCGAAGAATTGAGATAGGTGTGAATAAAAGCACTAACTGGAAGAATAGGTAGGAAGATAGTCATGTCCAATGAGGCCATCAAACTTATTATTGAGAGGCAAAAGAGTACTTGAAACACCTCCCTGCTTGGTTTCCATTCTGGTTCTGGGACATCAGGTATACGCGCCTCTTCTGCTTCATTTTCTTTGAACCTGATATCAATTTGCGCCTGAGTGTCCTCAGTCATTGTGCCAAACGCGTAGAAATTGCACGCGGGACGAGGGGAACAGTAAATACGACGAAATGGTTCCGGATGATCGTGCTGGGAATCACGTAGAAAATTGAAGATGGCCTCGACAAAGATATAGCAAGACCCGTACTTTGGGTCAGTAAAGAGCTATTGCCTTCACGTGCACTCCCTCATACATATTATTCATCATTCCGTTGTCTATCATCGTTCTGCTGATCTTACTTGAAAAAGGAAAGGGGCGAAGAGATAAAAAATAGAAAATAGGAAAAAAAAGCAAAAAGAAACTATCAGTAAATCTAGTAAAATATTACATGTTTCTCACAGACTATGTATAATATTTAGCATGGGTCCCTTGCATGTGCCGCTCGATCCGCCAGGGCTGTGGGTTCTGTGGAGCACGCCGTCCTCGATCATTGTCTTGACCAAGCAGCTACTCCGTACGAAGTACGGAGTACATAACATCAAAAGAATTGATAGACTACTAGTATATGGGCACCGATGAGTGCAGGTTCTTTGCATTGGTGTGGGGCTGAACTTGCCGTCTCAACGAGCTTGTTGTTGGTGGGCAAGGCTTATCTCCATTCTAGATGCACAAATCCTCTTACTCCTTACAGTCCCGTCTCTGATAGTTCAACGATTATGTGCAAGCTTGAATTGTTTTGCGCCTCAAGTAGAATATTGCCCAGCTTAGCCATCCCATCTTTCCCTTTCGGGCGACAAAAACAAAGCTGGACAGCTAGCTTGCCCTCGAATTTTTGCTATGTCTACCCCACCGGAGATTTCAATCAGTAGTGGTTCTTTCACGGGAAAAGGTGCGAATGTGCGTTCCTACGGCCTAACATCAATAAATGTTTTATGGCTAACACCATCAGGGCAAACGAGTTTCGGTCCCCACCCAGAGCCAGGATTGAAAGTTGTAAGTGGAAAACCTTGGAGTTGAGAACGCGGCATCACTTTACTAACAACTGTTATTTAGCAAAAAATCAGTTGGGTCCTATGCAAAGCGGTTGCTCTTGCAGAAGTGACCTTGCGTATCTTCGTCTCCTCATCCTCAGCCAGCCACTCGTCCAATGCTGCTGGGTCACAACTTGTCCCGCACGAGAAATTGCATCTTTCGACCCTGCAAGTCCCCACTGGCGGGCTGGTATCGATACCTGAGACGAGGATCCTAGATTGGAATGAGCAGGCCCGCTTGAGGAATTTTTTATTCGGAACGCGCCAACCTCGGAATCGTTTCGTGACAAGGAACGGGGGACCTGCAGTTCATTCCCAAGACGGCTATAAATAATGAGATAATTTTTTAAGGTGCTGAGAGGAGAAGTTTAGCCGGTGGAGGTGATGGGAGTGGATTCCTGGCGTAGGGTGATGGTGAAGGAGCCGAGAATCTAGGGCTATGGATTCATAATTCTGATTATCGGGAAGATGGGGCTTGGACTGTGGAGATGCTTTCTTTGTCTTCATGTGGCGGGTTGAGCTGAGAGTACGATGAGTTGGTAACTTTAATGTGTTTTTTTTGCGCTTCAAGGTTTTGGGCTTTGAGATGATCGGCGGGGAAAGACATCATACGAGACGATTTGTGGTTGCCAACAAAGAGGCTGTAATTGAGATGGTCGTATTATTGTTTTCTCACTTATGTCCTATCGGGGGCTGAGAGCTTCACTAGCTTAGGGCCATGTACTGCATAAGACGTGCCTATGACATATACTATTCTGCTACTCTGCATATTCATTACTTTATTTAACATATTGTTGTCTAGCACTACATGTACTAAGCACCTCTAGGAAGGCTAAAATAGAGAAAGGAAAAAAAGGATTTGGAGGGATCGCTGTAGCATGTCGATCACCGAAATCTCGGGATCAGCCCGATTTTCAATGCATGAACATATATCAGTGCAAATGCCACGGTGCATCGTTGTTTTGTTGTACCGTAATTTTGATTCTCAGGAACTGGTCTCAGTTGTGAATATTTAACATTACGTCCTACCTCATTATTAGTCCTGTAGATCTGCTTTTGGCTGTATCATCAGTATGCCGCCCCAATCAATCCAAAGTTTAATTTAAGCCTCAGATAAGGCAAAATGTTGAGACTCCACATATAACCGTATAGGCTCAAAACATCGCTCATGAGCATTTTTGGTCTACCGGTCTTGCTTCATCTTCATCGCAAAATAATGCGCGCTCAACAATGATGCACACAAAAAGGCAACACCGGAAAGTCTGAGATAGGTATGCAGCGCAGAATCAGAAAATCGAGAGCAGGACGCATCTGAGCCTTCGACCCCATGGCCCCCACAATGCAGCTGAGTGGGCTTGACCGACTATTGTCAAACTACCCTAACCATACGGCTCGGCGGCAAACCGATGCTTGTGAATGGTCCACAATAATTGATTATCCTGTAGTGGATCGATCAACATCTGTCGGCTCTCAGATGCGGACTTTCAATCCCCACTCTCCTTTATCTGTCCCGTCTTCGAAGTCCACAGTAGCTGTAATATACATATATATTGTTTTTTTAAGTCGGCTTTGATTTTAGTACATGATCGGTAGCCTCTTTACTCCGTACTCCTATACGTTTTGTGTTAGGTGCATCCTCGAACGCAAGCTTTGAATGGATGCCCCCCTGAGCTAGTGGCAGAAAGTGATTTATTAGCCAAGGTCGGGGGTCCATGTATTTTTCTGATTTACTCATCCTTCAAGAACCAACTTCATTTGCGTGTTCATTTCCAACAAACGGATGACCATCAACTCTACGATGCAAACGGAAAAGGAGCGCCCCTTCAAAGTCCTCATAGCCGGCGGCTCAATCGCGGGCCTGACACTCGCCAACGCCCTTGCCCGCGCAAATATCGATTTTCTCGTTCTTGAAAGCCATGGTCGGATTGATCCGTCAGTCGGCGCTGCGTTGACAGTTCCCACCAATGCATGCCGAATCCTCGATCAAATGGGTATATATGATGATATTCAAGCACATATTCAGCCGACCGCGGATATATATACATACGTGGAGGATGGCCGATTGTTGGCGATAATGGATATGCCACGCGTTATCTGGGAGCGGTATGCATGTTTATTTTTACTATGTTCGGGTTTGGACATAAAAGAGGCTGATGACAGAGTAGTCATTCTTACCCTATCGCTTGGCTGACAAGGGAACAATTGTTGAGAATTTTGTATGACAATGTTCCGGACAAGAGCAAGGTACTGTTGAATAAGAAAATTACGAGGGTTGATCATTCAGATGATGGCGTGGTTGCACACTGCGAGGATGGGAGTGAGTACAACGGTAGTATGATTGCTGGTGCGGATGGAGTTCATAGTACCATTCGGGGTGAGATGTGGAAGCATATGGAGGAGAGCAGGGAATGGAAGAAGAGGGTGAAGGAAGATAGGAAAGGTATGTTTTTTCCTTTATAGTTGTGCACATTATTGGAGAATAATGCAGACCTAATGTGATTGGTAGCTATGGCGGCTGAATACGCATGCATCTTTGGAATATCCCGTCCTATGGTGGAACTAAAGCCGGGAATTATTTATCGGACCTGGGGCAAGGACTTCACTACTTTTGCGAACGTCGGGGAAGGCAACCAGGTATTTTGGGTCCTCTTCACCAAGATGGACCGGAAGTTTCAATATCCTAGTGTACCGAAGTTTACGAGGAAGGAACAAGACGAGCTGGCTAAGAAATTTATGGATACACATGTTGGTGCTGGTATTAAGTTTGGGTCGGTTTATGAGAATGCAACGACTTCTTCATTTGTCCCCTTGGAGGAAGGAACATGCAAGTCGTGGACGTGGGGTAGGTTTGCATGTTTGGGTGACTCGGTTCACAAGGTCTGTCCATCTCTTTTGCCCTCCACAATAACATCGTTCGCTAAACATGATAGACAACTCCCAACATCGGTCAAGGTGCCAGTCTAGCTATCGACGATGCCGCATCTCTAGCGAACCATATTGTGTCAATTGTGAACAGCTCTGGTGGCATGCCGTCATCGGGCGATATTACTACGGCCCTCACAAAATGGGAAGCCGGTCTACGACCAAGAGCAAAGGCAGTCTGCGATGCAGGAGCTACCTATATGAGGTTAGAGGCGCTGGCGAACTGGCCGCTCAAGATAGCTGCGCTGTACATTGCGCCCCACGTCGGGCGTGTTTTTGCGGATCTTCTCAGTGTTGTTGATACTGGGGCACCAACATTGCATTTTCTGGCGTTGCCAGAGAGGAAGGGTGATTCTGTGTCGACTGAGAAAGGAGAAAATGGACGGAAATGGAAGGTGAGCTGGTATATTCGAGCATTCTGGGCTGCGAATTTGAGATTGAAATGAGACTTTTTCTTAAGTGGGAGATTTTGGTCATAGGCGTTATTTCCACCTCAACAACAGGTGGCATCGCTGCACTGTAGATTTACTAAGAAAAACAATCATCAATTATCAAGAGACATCCGACGCCACTAGAGTGGATTTCCTAGTTTGATCGAAGGAAGTTATGTGACAGAAAGGACTAGGCTATGATTCTATGTTCTCTGTGCCTCCAGCCCCCAATTGCTTTCCCTAGGTACAGATCCCCTGATAGTTGATATTGGGAAGTCTGTCCATGCCAAAGAGGTCTTAGCTAGACTTGACACCAGCGTAATAGTGCAAGCTAACTACAGGCCACCTCACAATCTTTGTCCCACTATGGAAGGTCCATTTGCTTAGATCCAGCCCTGGCTGGTCCAAAAGATCACTAATCTCCTGACTTGTGCGTGTTCTGAGACAAGATATAAGGCCATCAATCCAGAGCGTCAAAGGAGACACGGGCAAGATGTAGGTAAAGAAGAGATGGACGGGTGAGTGCCAAAACCAACATAGGGTTACGACAAAAGTAAAGAAGAACATGAGTGTGGTAGAAAGGCAGGTGCTAACATCTCGAGAAGTTGCTTCAAATATGCTAAACGTGTATTAGATCCTGTCTTTAGTTGTTTTTCTTACGCCATAGGAATGCTTAGGCCACTTACATAAACGAATCAGCTGACTCAACTGCGCTCTTCAAAATGCCCGCAGCGTCTCCATCACTAAAGTGATGGAAACAAATATTGAAAATACGGCATTCCTTTCTGTTTCCAAGTCTAGGAACGGCTCGGGCGTCGACTGGGGTTTCAATATATGATATATTTTTCTGTTTCTTGCAAACTTGCTGCCACGCTTCGATGTGTGGATCAATATCGGTTAAAATGAACTGGACGGGCTCTTCGCCTTCGGCTTCAAGTTCTCTGTTGAGTTCAAATTCGAGTACCGGGGTGGGGCCTCCCGACCCAGCACAGATGTCGAGAACAGTGTAGGATGAAAGATCCTGCATGTGCTCCTTGAAAACCTCACATGCTTTTGTTGCCAGACTCTCGCGGCCCCAAGGCGGAAACTTGAGGGTCCATAGCTTGGTCAAGGTGAATTGCTCGTGCTGGTGAAGCCAGGAGGGACACCAGGATAAGTCCCCAATCTCAAAAAGCTGTGATCGCGGCCACGGCATCTTGTGTATGTCAAGATAGTCTTTAATGATTACATGCCGGACATAGGGTTAGCGTTATATAACCAGAGGCTGCGCTAGCCCGTATTAGGTGTCCATTTAACACACAGAATATACAGGGCAACGATCAGTCAATGAGTCCCCCTGAGGCAGAGGCGGAAGCAGGTGTGAAATATTTTGATTGCTAAACTCCGCACAACGACGAAAGTCCGTTCACCGACTTTTGCGCCTACATCAGGACTATATGCCCCACATCATGTATATATATTGCAAGCCTATTCCAGATCGGTGGACTTGAAACAAAAGCAACAGAACCATAACCCAGTCAACCGGTACAATCTACTATTTTTTTCTGCAGCGCAGGCAAACTGTTCGCCCCACTGTACAGTAGCTATTCGGAAGGCAGGGTCCGAGATCTGTCTGGGTCGGATCTGACTGATTGCTGGGACCGTGGAGAGTGCTGATATGGAGACTTGCTCCAGCCCATACGGGAATTTGTTGATATACTACTCTTGTGTTTATTATATTATGCGGTCAATTCTTCCAGCGACCTGCCAGTCACTAATATCACAAGACAGGATTGGCAGACTAGAAAAGGATAACAAGGTCAGTAGGGTACAGAAAGCCCCTGACAGTGGGGCGAGGCGATAGATCAGATTCTGTGAAATTTGCGATTTGCGGCGATGACTGGCAGCGTCGACTGCAAATGACAAGGGTCATTTTGCGGTTCGTGCTGTTTGACGTCGAGTGCAACCGAATTAAATGCCTAGTAAATCCTGCTAGATACTCAGTGACCTCTAGTTGGCTAATTTGACTTGCACTACTCCGTACAATGCCCTATAAGATTCGTAGTTTGTGGGCGAACAGGTGGGTCTGTCGATCCAATGTGGAGAAATAATGATAGTAAGCAAATAAGCAAATGAATTTACGATTACTGACAGGAGAGGATAAATACGTATTCAGGGCATGCACTTTCTATCTTTCCCTGCATCTGAGCTGCGATAGAAATCTTGCATAATATTAGGTTCAGTACGGAGTAAAGCATTTCAAGTGGAAAGGATAACTGTGTATCACCCGCGTGTACGGAGTACAAGTGCAGATGACATTACTTTTTACTTGACCCGTTTGAGGTTTTTGCTGAGTTTTAGTTAGAGGCTGGAGGTCGATGAAGTATTTTAACTGGAGCTAAACAGGAGATGTGGCTGACTGACTTGTGGAATACGTTAGCTGATCTACCTGCACGTCCAGCCCCAATTCGAAGTAGGATCTGATTTTCGGAGCAGTTCCTGTTTGCTAATTTGCTCAATTCACAGGGGTACTGTACTGCGTCGGATAGGAGCGCTACATTCCGATCTGTCTTGCTGAACGAAATTTCAGCCGGCGAAGTCAGTCCTGAGACTTAGAGACTCGGTTTACTGAAGTCAACTTGCAAGAAGATGCCCAAGGTCGAGGGGAACTATGCCCAACGACGCGGAATGAACCCACTCCCCAGTCAATGCAGTGGAGAACAGATCTGGGCCTCAATCACTGCCCGCCCCAGGTCCATTTTGCAAAGTCACCATGTGTATTTTCCCGGCCGCCCTGCCTCCATAATAGTTCACGTTTACAGTTCTTATATAAGTACACGCTTTGAACTTATTATTACCGATAAATCCTGTGCCCGAATATGCATTTGCCATGCCTCCGATATGGCTACCTATTAGCCACTGCCCAGCAGCGTAGCTGAAGGAATTCCAACGCTGGGTGTGTGGGGGTTTGGACGCCGAATTTGCCGCAGTCGTCAGAAGCAGATTTTTGCCTAAAATGAGGGAAACACATCTACTCTCTTTCCAGCAGATTCTTTATTATTATGTGCCATTGCACCATGCTACCTGGCCATGCATGCAGGATTTTTATGATGAAAGTTATTCTATAAGGCTCCACTGCCTGTGAGCTCTCGGTCAATATTAATTGCTCATTTCCTGTACGGAGTAGGTAGGGTGTAATTCTGTCGCGAGTCCGAGCAGACTCGGGATGGGCTGTGTAAGCGAAACAAGGGATGAGGTGTATGATTGCAGATACGCCACGATTTCAAACAAAATTGATTCGATCTACACGGCAGATGACCATCCATTAACCGGCGTACACTCTTCACTCGACATCCCGAACACGGACCAAGGCTTTGCCTTGCGATGGAGTCTCTCGGGAGATCGTCACCCGAACCAGCATCGCAATTTTGACGGCCCACTCGATCTGCAACGCCATGGAAACTATCTGACGCCAACAGAAAATCGGAAATCGGAAATTCAGACCACTAAACTTAAACGTCCAAAAAATGATTACGGCGAGGGACCCTGAGGGAATCTACAGATCAGTGGAACCACTGCAAAAAGGTATGTGATCGCCCAGATCTCCATAGATCTAGCAACCTAGTTCGCCTACTTGGCAGACGTCCAGTAATTCCCTAGCCTGGCAGCTAATGCATTTGAACGTGCTTCTTCAGCCCCAAACCACACGCACCTGAATATTAACTAAATTCTTTGTGGACTTTGTACTCTTATCACCAAAAAAAGCTAATTTGGCCTCATGACAGCCACGCCAACATGGCCATGTGCCGTGTCTACATAGATAAACTTCCCTTTCCTTCTTGAGAGTGATTAATCATCCAAATTGGCAATTTGGGCAGGCGTACCGCAGATCTGCACTCAGAACTATATAAGACGTAGGCTAATTGCGTTCCTGTGAGTCCCTGTGGGTGTGAGTTAAACGTCTTAAGCTATAGTCTGTTTTTCATTTCGAGGACTTCCTTTTTCTACAATGGCGTTGTGCAACATCTTCCATTCATGGAGATCCTACTTAAAGCGTGTTACGCAGCGCAAGGAAAAGCTTCATCATGTGACAAGCAACGAGACTCCTGCAATTCCTGCAGTTTCTGTTGTTAGTACAGGAACACAATATCCTTCTAACAGGATGGGTCCAGAGGGCCTGGCGGAAATAGCCTTCAAGCACTACGCCGATAGTCCTGCGTAAGTCTAACCCAACTGTTCTCTCCTTCATCATTATCTGTACTAATCTCATATGCGGCGCTCCAGTCTCCAAAAGACATTGGAGATCAACGCGAAGTCCAGGATAGAAGAGCGTTATAGCGCTATACCGCGTAGTCACCCACTGTGGCACCAACCCAATACACCGAGTATCGCAGATTGCGATGAGATTTTTAAGAAATACGGCATTCCCCTCGCTGAAGAGGCTGCTAAGAAGGCCTTGGCAGAATGGGGCGGCTCACCAGGTGATATAACCCATATTGTTGCAGTCACTTGTACAAACACGTCCAATCCAGGGTTTGAATCTTTCCTGTCCCAAAGACTGGGGTTTGGAAAATCTGTGCAGCGCACTCTCCTCCATGGGGTTGGCTGCGCTGGTGGTGTTGCAGCACTTCGAACAGCAAATGAGCTCCTTCTCGGCGCTGCACATCAGGACAAGCCGGCCAGGGCTCTTGTGGTTGCGTGCGAAATCCCATCTATTTTTATCCGAAGAGAGTTAGAAGATCTCGTCAAAGAACAAAGACCTAACGTTGGGCTCACACTTTTTGGGGACTGTGCCAGTGCGATGGTGCTTAGCAATGGTATTGGCATCAAGGAATCTGAAAGAGCTCCTCTATGGAACATTCTCAATTCTCAGACTACTCAGGTTGAGAATTCAGGTGGCTGTCTTGAGTACAATGTTGGCCCATCAGGTGAGTGCAAGAGTGACATCATGGCCGACTAGAAGACTCTTGCTACAGCGGCAGAGTTGGTTAACAAGTAACCAGGCTACCTTGCAGTCATATCGAAGGATGTTCCTAAGCACGTCAAATCAAGTTTACCGTCAGGCTTTGAGGGACTCATTACGTCTACCAAATCCCTCCGCGAGAGCCCATCAAGCTTTGACCCCACTACCTATGACTGGGCGCTACACCCTGGTGGCTATGGCATTCTCGCTCTCGGTCAGCAGGTCCTGGGATTATCAACGCACCATTTGCGGAAGAGCTATGAGGTCTATACGAAACGAGGCAATAGCAGTTCCTCCACAGTGCTTAGCATTATGGATAAGCTGGCGCACGAAGATGAAAAATGTGGTACCCGAAGAGACAAGCTCATCGCCGCAGCCTTTGGACCTGGTATTACTATGGAGATGGTGGTGCTGACCAAAGCATAACCACTGGATGTGAGCATGTCGATGTTAAGCAGGACTTATCTTGGAGACATTGTATGTGGATGTCGCCCGAGTCCGCGTGCCCGGGATAGCCTCTTTCTTTCTAATACGTTGAATTCATGCCAATTTTTGCCGACAAATTTATCAACTGAGGAATCATATCATTACATAGAAATTATGTAGGGGACAGTAGAGCAATGTAATTGAGGCAGCTAAAGAAGTACGGCATGCTATAGATCACCGAGGTCTGCAGAAATTATCAAATACAATGCCTCATCGTATCCAGGCGATCTTATAGACGGACTCTGATATGCTAAATTTAAGACAGTTAGGAGTTCTGTGTAAATTCTGAATAGATTATAACAGTGCCTTTGGGGCGGTCCCATACCTTTTCTAAGAAAGCCACAAAACTTCGTCACAATGAATAAATATCGAATAGCGAGTATCGTAGACGGCGGTGTATTGAAATCGGTCTCGGGTATCAAACGTATCGCCGTAATAGGCGAGGATTTCCCTTCATTTAATATTCCGAAAGTCGAAAGCTTCCTTAAGTTATGGTTTCCCGATTCGCTTTGAGACGGCTATGAACTCCTGAAATCGCTAAACGGCTATACCACGGACAGGACCACGCGTTGTTAGTCTCAGCACTTTGATTATCATATAAAACCCGGCATCCATGAAGAGAGGTTAAGCATCGCTTACTTTTAATAGATAGTCACGGATACAAAAATCTTCGAATTCCTATCCGCATATGAAGAAAAGCGTACCATCGTATTTCCTGTTCTGCCTCATACGAGGAATTTCTCGTAGCTACCCGATGAACAGCCAGTTTTGCTTTAACGCGCTCAATAACTAACCAGCCCCTTTTATAAATTACCAATTTATTGTCAACACATATGCGTGCATAAACCATCGATTCGCTAGCAAGCACACATGCATCAACCTGCATATCAGCTGAATGCCGATCGTCAACAATCGCATCAGCCTGGAAAAAGCATCGAGTTTCCTAACACTCTCATATGCCCCTTCCATTATTTCGACTATCTTTGATCCTTTCTTGTGACCTTTTATTTAGCACTTGAAACCCACTCCCTTCCCAGTAATAATAACTGACAACACAGTGGGTCTTTATACAACATGGTCCGCTGATCATTCCAGATATCGTAATATTTTATTTCGATCTCTGAATGACCGATGCCACGGGGCCTGTGCTCCCAGAAAAGTGTCCCTAAAAAGTTAAGCCCTGTAGAAGTCTTGGCAATAGATAGGCCCTGATATTTGATCCTGCCGTGTTCCCCCCAACATGGCTCATATAGCATAGATACCTCAACCATACAAATATTTTTGTTTCCTTTTCCTTACTCCCTTCAATTGTACAATAATAATATGAGGTCCATCGTCGAGGCCATTTCGCCCCATTCGCCCCCATCGCTCGGTCTTCTGCTCCATCTGGTGATCGAGACACCCGCAACAATCGGCTTCCTCTTCTTTCCATCTGCCACCCTTCCCGCGCCTCAACCACAAGTACAAGCCATCATTCGCCAATATGGACTGCTACTTGGCTGTACTAATGTGGTCATTGCTGTTTTGCTGAGCATGAAATCGTCCATCCCAAATGTCGCATATATCTCGCTTGAACATCATATCGGAAGAGCTCTCGCAATATACCATATCGGACCGCTGTGCAGAGCAGCCTCCCGCATTCACCAAAGTGAAAATATCCAAAATGTCTTTGCCAGCCCGTGGTTACATCTCATTGCACATGCTCTTTGTCTTGGAGCATTGGTTTTGCCATAGGCTGTATCAAGATGATAATTTGTTTTGGTGATATGTGTGAAGAGCTAAAGCAAAACTTGATTCAATATAGCTAGACCCCGAACTATTTACCAAATGTTTGAAGAAAAGATAAATAAGTCTGTGTGGTACGATATAGGTACCTAGGACTAAACATCCTCCATTTCATTTGAATTCTTTATGCTTCAATTCATTCCTATTTCTATCGCTTTCCACCGTTACTTAATTGAATTTCTCGAATTCGTTAATCTAGGTACGTTTTGTCGCCCATCTAAAACTGCATATCCTATGGGGGTAAATAGAATGGTGGTCGATTGGATTTATTTTGTACGGCCCTGCTTTTCTGATTTTAGGTCCGTTCGATTTGATTGAATACACCCCATTCTTTTTACGCTTTCCGGCGGGCTACGAACTCTAGATTGTGGTACGTCGGGAACCAGTATTTAGGTAAGAAAGCATTACAAGTTCAGAAGAATTGGTCTTAAATCAAGGTAGTAGTAAGGGTTTCAAAATGATAGTTCCTTGATCGGGTGCGGGTACCTAAGTCTACATGGTTGAATGGGCTCCGTTTTGGTTCGGTGGGCACCCAATCAAAAGTGCGTGCGCTTTCACTGACCTCATAGCCCGACCGGCAATCGCCGTCAAGGATTATTCGAATGAGAATATGTTCAACTAGAGAGAAATTGACGATCGCCCATTCTAATGACTTCTAAGACTCGTGACGAGAAGGTAATTGGACATTCATCATGTCCGCAAAGACTATTATTTACAAGTTGTAAAGTCTAGGCTGTGGAATGCTCGGTCGGGCAATAAAAGCAACCACCCCACACCCACCACTCGTATCTTATACCGATGCCCTATTTCGATGGGATACGAAGCTTCAGAATCTTTTTTTTCTCTTGGGTCATCTTGCGTAAATTCTTCCTGCCACTTTTCTTATACTCGGTCATGAGACTCCAACCCAGGAAAGTTAAGAGAACCAAGCGGCCAATCCCAGTCTGCCAAGGTCGCTTAACATGCCAAGGGAGGATATCGATCTAATCAATCTGTTTTTTTCTTCCGGTCTCGGCTCAGCCTTTGTCTTATCAATCTAGGGTGCAACGACGGAGATTTTTTTGACTTTTGATGGGGAAAAATAGGCAACCACTCAGAGATTCCAAGTCCACCACATTTTCTGGTTTAGTTGCGTCAGAGTCAACGTTTTTCTTTCGGTCGCGTAGCCTCAACTCTTTCAAGGAGGATTTATACTCCTAAGTTCTTAGTTTAAGATGACCGCATTGGCTCAAATCTTTCGAAGCGATACGCCATATAAATTTACTCCAATTTTGAACTAGCTTAGGATACGTGTACTAGGAGCTCTGTGTAAGGATATACTCTATAAGTCAGGATAGAGGCCTGTCAATCAGGTAGGAGAAATGGAGCCAAGTCAATAGTGTAGAAAGGTCAAGAACTGTTCCTTGAGGATCGCAAAACCTCTTCAACATGGGTCAATTTATATACAGTCTCATCACTCAAACAGGAAGGAGATGTATCCTTGGTAGGGAAATGGGAGCGGGGTGAAACACGAGGCTTGTGTAACCTCTGTCAAGGGTGTTCCCTGCAGGAGTTCGTACACGTACTGATGCCGAAGCCCCAGCGAACCTCCACAGAAAGCCTGACGGCTTATCAGGCCCGGGAAGCCTGAGGCACCAACACTTGGGAATAACCTCATGCCAGGATATATCATAACATATTCGATCGACCTGTGTGCGCCTACAAGCACACGCCTCAGGGTTTATGCACGCGGCGTGAATCCGACAGATAGCTTATAGCGTAGTAGAGTAAGATAGGGCCCCCCGGGTTCCTAGGAGCAATATAATCGGAACGGTAGTATTCGGACTAAAAGAGATTGCAAGAACAGGATTCTGATATATACGCTCAAAAGTGAGATACTAGACTTGGCTCTTACGTATTAGACAGTTCTTCTCTAGCAGGCGATTACTCAGGGCAAGCTATTCTAGTTTAGAGCAGACCGTCTAAATATATCAGGACTAATACTATAATAAGAGGCCTATAGTAGAGCCAGTAGATGAAGGGTTCCTAGGAGCATATAGTCTAATTGACAGTGTGATCAACCAATAGGCTTCATTGTGATGCAGTGAATAGCAGCAAGCGTCTAGGACGGAATATCAAATTGTTGATACTAGTGCTTTTCTGATTTTGTGGATACGACTAGCGTGTTCACTTTTAATTGAGGTGCTGGTTAGGCCACGTGCTTAGTGAGTGGATCAGACCTGCTCAGTAGCTGATCAGAGTGCTTACATAATACACTCTGATCAGATCGGAGCGCTCAGAGACGTGCTCAGATCTACTCAGTGAGCAAAAGCGGCGAGGGTCCGAGCACTAAAACGGAAAGGGAAAGCCAAGACCCAGCATAGGAAATCCGGTCGGTAGGGATTCTCGGGAACTCATGAAAACTTTTGTCTTGCATGGCCAAGCGTTTTGCCTCGTACTAGTGATTAGAACGTAGCTTCAGATGTCACAGTCTAGCTAGATTTAGAAAGTAGGTTAGTGGGGGCTACACATCTGTGTCTAGTGTTGCCCGACCTTCCAATCTGGGATGACTGCCGCTTTGGGAAAGTGGCCGCTTACAGCGGCCACTTGCCTATTTACCTCCATCTCCGCCTCGTTTCGCAGGACTGCCCATCCGACATCAACTGGCAACTCCGATAAATTTAAGGATACAGGCTAGTGCAATGGAACTCACGTTCTTGGTCGGACGAGATGGCCAAAATGTAAAAAGGCCTCGTCGGGCGTGCACACCGTGCCGCCAGAAAAAGGTGCGGGCTGGGATCAAGATACTGAGGGTAGTAGTTGACTCCAAAAAACATGCTAACCTCAGGCTAGAAACGGTGCTTCCACGGAATCTCAGCTGGCTCAGATCACCAATCATCGCATGCAAGGCTGTCGGAGCCGCTGAACAGTCAAGTTGAGGAAGTTGCCCACCAAAAGGCAACTCTCGCGACATCGGACAGTCCAGCAGGGCGGGATTTATCCCCACAACTTGACGGGCAAGAGGCTCAAAATTCTCCCGACACATCTACTACCATTAGCGATCGCGCCAGGAGGGAATTTGGTACTCCCCGTTTCTTGTGCTATACCAGTCCTTTGGTAGCGTTGCAGAACAATCCGCAACCTCCGCAACCTAGGCTAGCCAGTGGCCAATCCCGCGAAGGAGATCTGGGAGCCTGGTCCTATGAAGAGAACAGTACACCCAAAGAAAGTGGACCGCAAAGGTCGCCAACTCCTCAACAGCATGCATATCCGGGGATCTTGCCCTCAAGAGGAAGCCAAGTTGCATTGATGGAAATATTCTTTTCCCGCGTACACCCGCTGTTGCCATTAGTGGACGAAGATGACACCCGTGTTCAATTTGAAAATGGTACTTTGCCTCATCCGCTTCTTCAAGCTATCTGTCTTGTTGCAGCAAAGGACCAGAGTGCGACGCCTTTCCTGCTTCTAGGGTCGGACGCGACGCTGTTGCCTGTCAACAAGTTTGGCCAACGGCTGTACAAAGATATACTGGAGAACATGCCTCACAGGAGAGATGGGAACAGGTTGCTCATAATACGGATCCTTGCTCTTTTATCACTCCACGAATGGGGCCGCAACGGATCAGAGGAAAGCTCTTTAACTTTGACTCAAGCTATTCACCATGCGTGGTCTATCGGCTTACATCTTCGGCGAGCTGATAGCGAGACTTCGCCGAAGGCTCAATCTCTCTTTTGGTGTCTATGGAGCCTTGATAAATGGAGCTCGGTCGTGGAAGGAAGACCGGTATTGATACATGACTGTGATCACGGACAGAAAGTGACCGATGTGCTTCCTTTGTTCAAACCGCCGCAACGGATATGGCTTCTCATTGCAAATCAACTGGGTCGTGTTATCAGAACTTACAGACCAAGGCTCGAGGGGACCCAAGATCAATATCCAGATCTTTCTCTCTTTGAGGAGTTTGTTGAAACGTCCGAGGCGTGGGATACTGATCCGCTGCTGCTGGGTGAGTACGTTCTATATTCGAGAATCTTTTGCATGATAACTTATCAACTGTACCCAGACTCGCTTGAGCTCTATTATCACGCTACCATTATTCTTGGCACATATTCGGCCGAACTTCAAGGCCGCTATCCTTCACGAGAGTGCAGGATCCATCAAAGTCAGGCCATCCTAGCCCTCGCAGCGACCTGCCGACGAACTGATATTAGGGAACTTTCTCCTCTGCCAATATCTGCCTACAGCATTTCCCTCGCCTTTTCGATCACCTACAGGCAGTTACAAAAAGCAAAGCTAACAAGTCATCAACTCCTGGCAAGGGATAATCTTTCAATATTCCACCAGAGTTTGAAATCGCTTAGTTGTATCTGGTGGCTCGCAGCAGTCATGATGCGTCTGGGCAAGCAAGCCCTGGAAAATATTCAACGTCCTGCAACCCAGGGACAATCCAGATCACAACCGCCTACAAGTCAGTTGAATGGGGTCTTGGGGACTCGATCGTCACTTCCGCAATCTCCAATTCTCTCGAATGTCAACGATAGTACTTTGCGAACCGACACAAGCTACTTTGATAATCCGAACGCTTCCGAGGGCAGTCTAAATACCTTGGAAGACCCATTATCTGGGACATCGTTCTGGTCTGGCGTTGACCATCTTTTCGAAAATCGGGATTTGTCGACTTTGGGAGAAGATTCTCTTGAAACCATTTTTGAGAATTTCTTGGATGCCAATTTCCCCACCTGTTTGGGCGACCAATCCCTTGGAGGCTACACTATATCAAGCTAGTTCAGTCGCTGATATACATTGTATACGTTCCTTGGTGGCTGTCCCAAGGCATATTTGTAGGGTCGGGTTAATGGCACTACATGAACGTTACTCGCACTACATACTAAACCTTTTTGGGTCAGTACCCGCCTTGGCAACTTTTCACCACCAAAAAGGTACATCCGACACCTAAAAACAACAACTCCGGTCTACCAAGGCTTCTGTCTAGATATTTCTATGAATAATAAGCCCTTTTTTGCGGTCGCTCTTAGGGTCAGTATTTACTTCGAGCACGTTACTATATGTTTACCTATTATTCGATAATTATTATGGCTCTTTATCATAAGAACCAGAGGAATATGACTACACATAAAGATAGGGATATTTCTGTAGGTCTTAAATGTACCTTTTGGTGGTGGGGGCGGACGTTAACCGAAAAGGGCCTAGTTTGTAGTGCGAGTAACGTTCATGTAGTGCCATTAACCTGACCCTATTTGTATGGTTCAATACGTCGGAGATATTCTTAATTTCTGAGATAGCAATCCCAGACCTTCCAAGCCGGCACATTTCCATCCAAAAGAGTTTGCGAAGCGCCACTCTCTGCATATGCACTAGATCAGGCACCGTAAAGTCCAGACGGAAAATTTGTCGAAAAACATAAAACGCATAGGACGATGCTTTGAGATCGCTTCAAGGATAGACCTCGGGGCGGTCGGACTCCGATCTCTCGCGGGATACCAAGAAGGTTTCTTCTTCTTGCCTGACCAATGTAGCCATAATTACACTACTCCATATCTCTATCCAAGTAGCGCCGTAGCTGGGCATTGAGGGACATTTGTCACTGGAGCGAACCGTGTAGCTTTCTATGATATCGTTCTGCCAGTTCTGTACAGGGCCCCCATATGCGTCTCCGATTGGCAATTCCCATAAAGGTACCAGTCAGTCCATACAATGGCTGAGTCTTCTTATCCAGCCACAAGTAAAGAGACTTATAATTTCGCACTCTACTGGACTCGGGGCTCTCAAAATACTGTTGGAGCTCCCAAAGCCAGACCATGTCCCCCGCGAGACGGTTTTTCCAAAACGAATTGCTTCGAGTAAGTGTGAGGATTGCCCAGGATGCCCTGTTGAGCGCCATTATCGAATCTCCAGGTAAATACTGAAGAATAAGATATATGACATCGTAAGGCATGTTCGTGAACGGATCTTTGATCACTTTGTTGCCTAGTTCTAAGGGTTTCTGGCTTTCGAATAGGCCGGCTTCAAAGTCGACAATGATTTGATGTCCCATGTCAAACTCTAGGGTAGGACAGACCACGGAATACTAGTGAAAGCCCGTTAGGTCAGAACAATCAGCGCGACGATAATTCATACCTCCTCGCCGGGTATACATTGCCAGTCTTGGTCTGGACCTGTGATATCACCATAGCTCAGATTCAGACAACTAAAATCTGCCAAATCAAGCATCACGTCATAAAGGACGTTCTTTTGGATAGAGGCGACACTTGAGATGCCAATGGCTCGACTGAGCAATACGATACACTCCCAGTGAACCGGGAAGACTGGAGGATCAGTTAAATCAGACACGCCATAGCTGAAGGATGTAAGTGAAGGATTCACGTCATATGTGAGAGAGTGCAGGGAGCTTACGCGAAATAACGTGATTGCTCATCGGAGTCGTCAGGGTCTAGTAAGTATCGCTAGGTATTAGAAAACTTCACTTAATAGTAGGGGTAGGGGGGCGTCCTAATGCCTGTGTCGTGAATGTAAACCCGGTTCTATCGATATTATTCGTTAAAAATTTAACGTCCTCCCTTAAATCGGCGGCGTGACTTCGAATTGCATGCTTACCCGGTCGTCATAATAACAATCACACAACATATATCTGTTAACAGTCAACTCAGTCACTGGGAAATCTAGTAAATAAGGCATAACGCACGTCCTGGGCCCAGGTTTGCGATGAGCGATTCCCAGGGCGAACACAGTGTTCAGCCAGGAGAGGTCCTCTGGGCTGATGACATCCGGATCGTAACTGTGATCATAGTCGTCGCTGTTGACTGAAGCAGTGTCCTCGTCAACGTCTGCTTCTGCCGTCTCTCGGAGCCATGGCATCTTGGAAAGCCTTTCTTCTTTCTCATCCTCCTCCTCTTCATCTGTTTCGTAGTAAAGACTTCCTGTGCGGCGTGAATAAGTCCTTCTCGCGACGCGTGCACGGCGTAGTTTTAGGTGCCAGGGGTTGGTAGAGCCGACTTCACACGAGCCTCCGAGAGGACAGCAACATATCGCGCAGTAGACATTAAATTCAGCAACCATGATGTGAGCTCGTGGTAGAAAAGATGATAAAATAATTTGTTGATGAAGCTCGTATTCATCTGCGGGGTGGTCTCGTCCGTCCCTAGAGTCACGTGTCTCTCCCGTTCGGACAATCTTCTTGTACAATAGGCCCTGGGTTTGAAAATGGAATTCATATTAGGGTGAGTGTGGGTGATACGGGTGACCAGTCTGGAGACTGGGATTATGGGGTTGAGAAATTGGTGCGGATTCTGTCTGACCCGGATCACCTAGTCGCCATTTCCAGATCCGCCATTATTTTCATACTTCAGTGACCATGACTGCCGGGCAGCTTATACAGCGCAGCCCCATATCGCTCTGAGCATTAGAAATACAGGCTCGACATAACGTATTGTCGGGTCACCTCGATGTAGTTGCGGACTGCCCAATCAAGGTTAGCCATATGCCACACTCCAGGAAGCGGGGCTGAACCTGCCTTGTATAGATCGGGGGCCCAGAATAGGTATAGAAGGTCGACCATGACGTCCAAATTCTAGAACAATAGTCAGATCGACTATCGCTCTTTTCTAGATCAGGGTTCTTCCTCTAATCAACCATTGAATCTTAGCGACTCACCACAAACGCCACCAAAATGTCCCCAAGTATTAACCAAAATGTCGCGAAAAGGCTTCGTTCTGTGCTGCACCCTTCTTTTCTCAATGATCGATCAAAGTTCAACTCCTTTGATACCCTTCCACCTGAATTGATCATGGCTATTCTCGCCTTCCTTCCGAGTGTGGATCGAATATGCTTCTCACTGAGCTGCAAGTACACGTTTTGCTGCTTTCTGGCCTACATGCAAGGACGCGGACAGACTAATTCCATACTCTTCCCACGACGTGAGCGAGCCATGATTTTCGCAAATTCTGCAAGTCTGCCTAATCGCTGAATACTGCGGAGGTTCAAGCTCGGACCTTGGTCTAGACCATTCCTCCTTCACAGCCATTCCTTTTCAAGACGGAGGTCGACTAATCTCACACACCTGTCCCGTCACCACAAACTTTGCTAAGCTCGATGTGCTTATAAGGATAACGGTCGATCGTCACAATGAGTTGCGTATTTTGAATGATTTTACTCTTTCGGACTTCGATCCCAGTCCATCATATTCACTTCGTATGCGGTGATACTGGCACTTTCCTGAGCTATTCATTGAGAGTTTTACTCGTGAAGCTGGATCGGGGTTTTACTGCGGCGTTTTGGGATACTACAATGTTTGGAGAAGTTCACCCAGACCACCTTCCCGGGGCCGTTTTTTTGTCATGATACAAGTGGACAGGGGTCTAGGTCGCCCGAAAAGTTGGCCTAACATACGCTGAAAACTTCACAGCAACAGGTAGGGACCATCTTTGACTATTTTTGTCGAACTCAGCATGTATCTGCTCCGGATCCCCTTGCACCCACTAGCTACTTGGCCGGCACGCAGACAAAATTAGCAGATGGATTCAGCATTATGATACAGGAGAAGTCTCTATATGAGCAAGTTACACAAAAATGGTGTCAATTAGTGTCTACCTTCAAATGAGTGTATGTAATTGGTCCATTGCCAAAACATTGACCACAATTCGTCGGTAAAGCATTTCTAACACATGGGCATTCCACCAACACACAGAAAGACCTTTTGCGAAACGGAAAGTTGGATCATTCTGGCAGTATCTCTTGTCGTGCGATAAGCTCCGACATATCTCAAAATTGCAATGTCGTGGTGGGTGCAAAGCCGTTTTCGCTTCTCTGGGAGGTATGCTGGTCTTGGGCACAGGTTATGTATCCTTGGGTAACGGGACACTGCGGAAGCCCATGAATCCAAAGTATCGGGAGGTTTCCGGCAGGGACTCGGTTCTGGCGGATGTCGCCATTGTTGACAGAGTCGACTGGCCATAGGATGCGCTTTTGCTTCTGAGGAACACCGGCGCAATCGACGAGAAAGTCTAGTTCGTCCGACAGGGCGACGTAGGCTCCGAATGGCGTTCCATATTCCGTACACGGTTGACTCATGGTCTTGAGGTCCAATGCCGTATAATTCGAAGAAAGAAGTCAAGACAGCATACATAGCCTAGATATCGACAACAAGGCGGAGTTCGCTAGATGAGGGCCTGCTTCATATTGGAGATGCCGAAGGCGGCCTCCAGCTTATGGAGACATGACTTAGTAGTACATGACGGAGGTCTATTTCAGGGTAATGGAAATATAGACGTGGCGAGGGTTTCCGGCGACTTGAGTCTTTATGTTGACCATTGTCAGGCGCTCGCTGAGCAGGCTCACCTTGATTATACCGGGGTCAACTGACCGATCAAAACTAGAACTATCAGTGTTGTAAAAACGACTCTATACACAGAAGCTTTTGATGGCGCACTGGCACCACTCCGAAAAGGACACCAGCAATCAGAAGGTGGAAAGGAGTCAATCATTCAACCTAGAGATCTCTCCAAGGGGATGGAAGGGAAAGGGAGAAGCGAAGGCCTCTTATAGGCCGAAAAACAAGGCGCAGGGCCTGAACAAACAAGGAAGCTGCCATCAGGAGAGTATCTCCATCAATTTTGAATGTACAGGTCCCCGAGGAATTATTTGTCAGTCCTCGCAAATCACAAATCGAAGTTTAAATTGTAATAGCCTTCGAAAACTTCCGGTGTTATGCTGTCGCCTGGATCTCGCAAGCTCGGTTACGTGATATGTATATCAGTTTCGAAAAATAGGAGTGATTAAGGGAATGGGAATGCTCCTGCGAAAGCATCTCGCGTGTTTGTGTACAGCACGCGACACCTTATTCGGAGCGTAGTTGACGGTAACGGGTCTAGAGAGTTGCATATTTCGGGATCAACTCATTTAGGATAAGGCGGATGTACAAATTGATAGATTCCCCTAATTCAGAAGAACAATTCCGGAACAAATTTAAGAAGTAAAATACTTTCTCGGGCATTTGATGGCCTCCCATTCGATCCAAATCACACATTGCTTAGTACAAAATAATTTACCAACGCTACCTCCATAGAATTTACAGAGTATATCATTGCCACTTCCTATCAATTCCGACCGCTCTTTCCACCAACATTCTGTTTCTCTGGCGTAGCCCGAGATATCAACTGATCAATCATATCAGGCTCAATCTTGATCTGCGCTCCTCCTTGCGGCACCTGTCGCGCAGGAGCCTGATAGTACTGCTGCTGATCGACAGACTGCCGCGGCGGATAATAATCACTTTGTCCCCTTTCTTGGTAATATTGCTGCGGCGGGGCCTGGGCGTGGGCATGAGGCTGGGCATGATAATAATCATCCGTTCTCTGCGCCGGTGGCTGTTGAGCCTGTCCTCCGTGGTAATATTGCTCCCGTACCGCATAGTGCGCCGGCTGATGTTCATTAGGCTGCACGGGTTGTCGGGGCGGCTGTGGACGGTAATATTCTTGTTGGGGTTGTGTGAACTGCGGCGCGGGGCGATGTTCATCAGGTCCTTGGTTGTGATAATACAAGCGGCCCGTCCCGAGGTCCCGGCTTGAGTAGGTCTCGGCCGACGGCTGTTGGGAAGTCGAATTTGAATAGGAGGGAGGACGTTTCGTGTATTTGGGAGGGAATGCGGGCTTGTGATCGGGGCCGGAGAGCTCAATGGGTTGGTCGGAGTCGTTCATGGCTGAGGCGTAGCGCGATGAGTCCAGGGGCACTGTAGAATGCTGTGCTGCTGGAGACTTTGTGCCAGCGCTTGAATGCGACATGGCAGGACTGCTTCTTTGGTTTGACGAGGCCATGATGAACCTGAGTCTTTGCTGGTTGAAGCGGGGTACGTCGGAGATGCAGAGTGGAGGTTATTTTGTTAGTGTCCTTTTTGCAGTGGGGCTGAGGTGATCAACACTGACACAAGTACCGTGCCATAGTAGATACTATACCAAGTACATTTGTACACTCTGAGTACAGCCATAAGTACTCAAAGCCTTTTTCTGAGTATTATACCCGAGCTTTTTCTTCAAATTTCCCTGAAAAATACCTTTATCAATCCATCATCCCCAGCATCACCAAGGTGATGGATGGATGTGGCATAGCAGAAGGGTAACGGTAGTGAGATATACTGACTGATAACCGTGATAATCTATCTACCAGTTCAAAATGGGGCGACAGCATCCCTATTTTGCAGTATGTTACATTCAATGCTCAATCAGACCAGTACGACGCCGCTCAATTCTCGCACGCAACGACGTTAATATTGGTAGGATGTCGGCATATCTGAAAATTCATAATGCAATCAATTCAGATTACCTATGAAGTCTACAAGAGAAGATGCGTGTTGCATTCCAAGATAGGTCTCATAGATCCATTAAAGCCTAAGAAAAAGTCTAGTGGAGATTATGGCTTATGTATAGCCTCTGTGTCAAAGCTTTAGATTCAAGTACCCCTCTTCTGCAGATATATACCACCATGTTGTTCACCTATGTTTCCCTGTGACCTTAATGATAGGTGTCGTGGTATAGTAGAGTTCGACCCCTTGTCCCAGACAATGGACTGACAAGACTGCTAAGGTTCCAATGCATAATCCTCGGCTCCGGAGTTCTTGCCTCCTAGGGTGATAAGTCTCACATCCCCGCGGGGTTGACGTTTTGTACGTCTCACTTCCACTTCTATGGTGGAACACAGTGTAAGAGGTCCCTAACATACGCTGCTGCGGCAGAGTGGCATATCCCTACCAATCTCCATTCTTGTGTGAATCTGCGGAGTCGCAGATGCCCCGGATTACCAGGCAAGGAAACGCGGCGAAAGCCCAGCCAATTCACTTTCAAAACAAAGTACGCCATCTTGTGCCGCTATTTGATCTCTGATCGCTGCATCTTTCATGACATGATTTGTTGATGCGATCGTGCCATAATGAATCTCAGTTGTGTTGGATTCATTGCGAGGGTCTCGCGAAATCAAGCAAGATTGATCATCCTTGGACCCCCGAGAAATATGTTCAGCATGTTGAGGATGGACCATGTGACATTGATATTAATCGATCCCTCGCAGAATTTGGGGTTGAAATTCCTTCCATAAATTTGGATTCTTTTCAAGGACCGTGATAATCGCGTCAACAATACCATTGGTGGCGATATCATATTTAACCTTGAGGGCAGTTACCGCTGTAAGAAGGACCGGTGGCGGCGAATCGAAAGACATAATGAGCTGGAAACCTTGACGCTGTGCCGACTGGCCAAGATCATACTGCAGGACACCACCATGGTTAGCGTTTGGAACGCCAATCACAAGATCTCGCAGACGAATATAATTTTTTGGGCTGGGTACACCGCTGCCGATACCGACCATGAGGCTAAAGCTAAGATTCGGAAAGCTTTGGCTCAGATTTTGAATGGCAAAAGCCATAGATGTCTTCGAGTACTCTTCCATCCTCGCTCCATGGCACAACAGAAATGACCATATTATGGCTCCCGATTTTACCGAACCCGTAATCGTACGGATCATCGCTCCTGATTCCGAGAGGGCATTCATGCATTTCTTCAAGAAATGTTTGAAGAGCAATTAATTCAATAGGTAGGGCACACACACAGGCCACGGTGTAGTCTTGTGGGCTTTTCAAATCAGCCGTTGCGGAGCCAGAGAGTTGTTGTGTATCTTCTTCGACGTCCTTTTCTTCCAGGAATGCCGGCTCAGATTCCAAGGGACCGTCATGAACGACTGGTTCCCCCAGCGCTCTTAATTCTTCCAGTTCGTTATCTCTCGATCCGACAGAGTCAATCTCGCTGAAAGACGACGCTTTTGAGCTGCCGGCAAAGTAGCCATTTTGTCGAAAATAACCACATTGACGGACTTCTTTCTCGCGTCGAGGTGATATCGGTTCCATACCAGGGTTGGGTTGGATCTTATTCTTGACCAGCCACTCGTAAACTTTTTCAGAGCTGTCCCGTATTCTCTCCTTGCTTTCTTCTCTGTCACCGTCTGCCTAGGGCAATGCACGGAGCGAGAAAGAATGTATATCCTTGGCAATATGATGGAGCAACACACCTTTATCCATCTCAACCCTTTCTTCTTCTTCTTCTTCTTCTTCTTCTTCTTCTTCTTCTTCTTCTTCTTCTTCTTCTTCTTCTTCTTCTTCTTCTTCTTCTTCTTCTTCTTCTAGCCAATTGCAAAGGGCGCAATGTCGGATTTCAGTTGGTGTATTCTTCTGCGAAAACTCGAGAAGAACTTGGATTTTGTCTAACGGAATAGTCGCTGCATGATTGGAGTTTATGTGCTGCACAAAAGCTTCCTTACTCATGAATTGAGACCCGTCGCCACATGTAAAGCATATCCAGTATATCAGACTGCTGTGATCCTTCAGCAGATGTTGCTGCCAGCTTTGCTTCGTATTAAAAAGGACGTCGGGCTGATCGCAGTTGGCTAAAATACAGGTGTAGGGACTCAAATCATCCGTGTTTCCTAGTTTATTATCAGTTTACCTGTCATAAGACTCATGTCAAGGTTCTCACCCACCTCCATCTGTTTTGTCTGCGTTCTCGGCAGGCAGTACTTCACAACAACACGGGCATCGGAAGGTATGCGCACCATTTGCAACTCGAGGTGGGCGTGGATAATCGAGGTCTATTGCCGTGACCCAGATTGTAGAAGATGCGGTGGGTGCAACGCGTTCGAGTTGACTTAGATTAAGAGTATCAGAAACTTTAGATGCACTAGTCACAGTGATGCTTGTGCTAATGGTGTTGCCTTTTGGTGCATCATTCGAGGGTTTCAAACTCTCCTTTGCTCCCACTATTTCTTCATGTGCTGAAAATTTTTCGATATGAACAATGACCTCCTCGGCATTGCGAGAATGTGTTGTGAGCTGATCAAGTCCCTTTTGAATTTTAATTCGAGCCTTTTCGTGACACATTGTGCCTGGGAAGGATTCTGTTATCGATTCAAGAAAGGGGTATCCATTTTTTGATACTGGGTGTGGCCACTAGATGAAACTCGTCAGTCTTCGTTCGTGTCAAGTACAGCTGTGAGATATACTTGCATTGCGTATAGCTTCGATATTCGCAAACCCAGTTGCTTCTCCTGGTCCAGCCCCAAAACGGCCGCAAACTGCTCGTTTGGACTCAACGCCCAATAAAGCCGCGATAGTAGCGACTCGGACATGGCAGCGTGCACGAAATCTAGCGGGTCTTCTGTTTCCATTCCGTAATGTGTTTCTCGAGCGAAGCTGAGGCTGATGGGTGATGCGGGGCAGGCTCAGCTGAAAAGGCCGCCCCAGTTTATACTAGGCGCATAAATTAGAAAAAGGAGATTTGTTGGCGGGCGCCGGGCTCTATTCAAGCCCTAGGCTTGCTGATGTTTTCGATTTCGAAATTTGGTCGGTTCTGCTCCTTATGTGGAATGGAACCCTCGATGATGTTACTAACAAGATGCACTCGGTCTAATCCCAGACTGTCTCGGCCCCCACATGAGGTAAACGACGATACACTATTGCTAAATCGACAATACAACTCTTATTCTGGTTTAGCGTTGTAATGGTATTATTATCTGACAGTGCCCACGGCACTGCTGGCACAGGAAGCGAAGAGAGAAGAGGGAGACTGAGTCAATTGGTCTATCTAGAAAAGGAGACGAAGACGACTAGGAAAGGAAGAAGAAGCAGAAGGGAACAGAACAGGGTCTATAAGGCCCTGAAGCACAAAAAAAAGGAATAGGCCTGGACCTGGCAGGAAATCCCCGGCCTGCTTCATGCAGGACCAAAGAAGACGACAAACCCTGCAAACCCTATCGAGGTCAAAGGGATCGAGTCATCATTATCTTCTACAATAGAGTTCTATAGGTTGAATCCCCGACAGATATTCAAAATCATCTTCGCAGTGTCAAAGTAAACGGTGTCTGTGCTTTCAGGAAAGATAATCCGAAAGACATTTAGAAAGACCTCTCAAAAAGAGTGTTTGAAGCATGTCTAGTTAGTCCGTTCCTCTGGTTTCTAGACTCAGACTTTTGAACAACTATACAGGATATCCTAATATTAACTTTAAGATAGTGATACAGTTACAGCGCTAATCTCCAAAGGGGTGTGAATCTTGTGTTTAGCAATCTTGTATCGTCGCTTCAGCAATTCCCCGCGTGAGGGGCATGTATAAAAATGGCTAGCAGCGTCGTTATGTCGCTTGATAGAGACCTCAAGGCTCCGTTAATATACTGCACAGAAGTTATTTCGATAGTACTAGCTTATTTCACGACCCTTCGACTCGGAACAAAGGTGGTTATCAAAAAGGGTTAATAGTAACTTCTTTCCAGAAATCAATTCATATCATTGCATACAAATATAAACAGATAAGAAAAGGTGAAGAAAAAATTAACATAACAAACCAGATAGACGCTCCATCTATGACATGAAAAAAAAACAAAAGAAGAAAGATCCAAAATATTTTTAGACTCCACCAGTGAACAGTATACAACAGACACAAAAACCCCAAGCGTAACAAAGCAAACGAGATATACAATATAATGTGAGCATATACCTGACCCCGGTCTTAGTTATCGATCTTGAATTTCATGCGGATACCCATAGCCGCGAGCTCAACATCCAGGAAGCGCAGGACACCCGGCACAGCAACGACAGTAACGTTATCACCACCGACAAAGCGCAGACCATCACCGTCCTCCCAAGCCTCAGCACGGGAATCCTCAAAGGTCGCCGAGCGTGCACAACGACGGCAGCGCACGATACCGTTCGCACCGCCGAGCGCGCCAACAGTGGTAGCACCAGCACCAAGCTTCTGGTTCGGCGCAACCTTGGCCGCAGCAGCCGCAGCGCCGGGATTAACAACCGCACGGCGGGAGGAACCAGAACCCGAAACGGCGACTTGGGTGGACAAGAAGGAGCCGCAGTCACGGCAGATCCAGGCATGCTGGGAGTCGGAGCAGTTCATTAGACGGTCTTGCAGGAGGAAGGCGGCGCCGTGGGCGATCAGGGAATCACGCTCCATCTCTCCGACACGGATACCACCACCCTTGGCACGACCCTTGACGGGTTGGCCGGTTAGGGCGTTGACGGGACCTGTTGTGCGGACTTGGAACTTGTCGTTTACCATGTGACGCAGACGCTGGTAGTAGACGACGCCCATGTAGATGTCGGCGGCGAACTCGCGGCCGGTGATACCGCTGTACAAGGGCTCGTTGCCGTAGTAGTTGTATCCGGCTTTCTGGAGCTGGTGGCCGAAGTAGTCGGTGGCGGTGTTCTCCTCGGAGAATTGGAATGGTGTGCAGTCTTGCGGGTGGCCGTGGAGGGCACCGGCTTTGCCGGCCATGGACTCGATCATTTGGGCGATTGTCATACCTAGAGTTATGGAGTTAGATGATTGTCATAGTAGAGATGAGACGAAAGTGAAAGATGAGATGGGCCGTTGGACTTACGGGATGGGAAAGCGTGAGGGTTGATAATCAGATCAGGCTGCATGCCGCTCTCGGAGAAGGGCATGTCGACGGCAGGCCAGAGTTGTGAGCAAACACCCTTTTGACCGTGACGAGACGAGAACTTGTCACCGATGATGGGCTTACGCGGGATGCGGTACTTGACACTGAGCGACTGAGCGGGCTCGTTACCGTTCTCAGAACCCATGATACGAATGCTCTCGATGTAACCAGCCTCGGCATCCTTATACTTGATGAAATGCGTGATGCCATCGACGTTGACAAAGGAGTCGGTAGCGGCATCGTAGCGGACGTTATGGTAGGCGGCGATCTTATCGCCCTCCTTAACGCGCACACCAATGTGAGGCAGACCGTCAGAGTCGATCAGGGCCTTGGCCTCGGCACGGATTTCATCACCGGGCGCGAAACCGAAGAGCTTGGTGACCTCGCGCCTGGTCTTGCTGCGGCGCGAGTCGCGCTCAGCCAGGCTATGCACCTTGGTCTTGTAGATGGTACCGTGACCGAAACCACGCTCGTGAGAGGACTTGTTGATGATCATAGCGTCGTCCATGTCGTAACCGGTGTAGGAGATAATGGCCACGATGGCGTTCGTACCGTTGGGGAAGTTGTCCAAGCCGTAGGCGTTGTACAGAGGTGTGCGGACAACGGGTGTCTGACCGGTTTGTAGGCGGTACAGCTTGTTGTCTGTACGGTAGTTGATGGACGTGCCGGGGGTACCCATGGTCTGCTTGCTCATCTGGCACTGGTACATGTTACGGGGCGACTGGTTGTAGTCGGAGAAGGGGGTCATGTTGGCGACGATCGAGAGGATGTTGGTCGGCGTGTACTCAATGTGAGTGGACAGACCAGCGATCAAATCACCCTGCAGACAGGCAATCTCCATGAACGGCTGCTCGAAGGGACCCACAAAGTCCAGACCATCGTTGGCCAGGTACTTGACAGGGCGGTACATGCGTGCGGACTGCGAGAACATGTAGATACCGGGGTACTGACCACCGTTGGAGTTAGGGACGTAACCAATCTCCAGACCACGGGGAATGTCGTTGGTTCCAGTGACCTTCCAGTAACGGAGAGTGTCGTGAATCTGCTTGGCCTGCTGGGGCGAGCAGAAACCAATGATACGACCATCCAATTGAACGACGACGCTGTCATCGATGGCAACGGAAGACTCAGCCCGGACACCAAGCTGAACAAGAATCTTGGGCAGGTGAGAGACGTCGAGGTTATCCGTGGCAATCAGACACTTGTGAGCCAAATGGTTCAGCAGACCACAGGGCGAACCATCAGGAGTGTGAACGGGACACAAGAAACCCCAACTCTCAGGCAGCAGCTTACGCACGGTAGTGGTCTTCAATTGGGCGAAGAAACTACCACGGTGAATCATGCGGAAGTGACTGATGAAACGGTAGAAGTTGATCTTCTCGGCAATGACGGTGTAACCGGAAGTCTGTTGCAAATCGAGACCAGTGGGACTGACCAAGTTACCGGTGGAGAGGAAGTACTCGAGCGCGTTACCAATGTTCTCGTTAGAGCGCTTGACGATCTTGGCCAAGAACTCTCGCTCGAAAGCGGGATCCGAGAATTTGGCACCGCCATTTCGCATGGACCAGTCGCGGGCAATGGGACCGAATGAACGCAGCCACTCCTCGATACGCTCCTTGAGGATCATACCGTACAAGAAACCACCCAGCAGAATCTCCTGGTTGGAGACAGCATCGGGGTTGTCGGGGGCGCAGTCACCAGCAACCAGAGCGTACAATTTCCGGATCATGAAGATGATCATCTTGAACTTGTCGTAGTCCTGAGTCTCGGTGACGTTCTGGTTGCCCAGGTGAGGCAGGACCACCTTGCGCAGGAACTCAGTACCAACATCCTCATCAGACATATCGGTGGGGACACCGAGAACAGGACGGAAGCACTTGCCCAGGTGAGCACGGCAGTCGTAGCGGCTGTGCTTGTTGTAAGCCTGGTAGGTTCGGAGCAGAAGCTCGACACGGTCCGTCACGAAAGTGTTCTTCATGCCCTTGGAGGTGGCACTACCAACGAGGTTTTCAAAGATCTCACGATCGTTGGTCTCTACGAGGGCCTTGAGGATCATCATAACGGGAACGAGGAACTCGTTCTTGCGCCAGGAGAAACGGAAGGTGACATTTCCATCGGAGAGGTAGTGCAAGACGTTCGTCTGCGACGTCTGATCGGGTCGAACGGATCGTATTTGCACACCGAACTTGGTGTAAGTGTGACCACGCTTGACGAAAGAACCACGTACGATGGACATGGGGTAGTTGCGCTTGCCGACGATCAACATGCGGATCAGCTTCTCGTTACCGTTCACAATGAAGTAACCACCCAATTCCTCCGACTCCTCCTTGTGCGTGACAAGATCCTCCGGGGAGGCCTTCTCGAGGTGGCAGCGGTTGGTGCGCATCATGATGGGGACCTGACCCAACTCACGCACAGACTCCATCCAGTCACCATTGTTGATCTGGTACTCGAGACGAGCGCGGAGCTTGCCACGGTAGGTCGAGTGTCGCTCACGGCACTCGGAGGGGTAGATGTTGCGGTTCTTGTGGCTGAATTTGTTGGTAGGCGGAAGGACGGGCTTGTCGAGGAAAATCTCCTTGACACGCACGTTCAGACGATTGCGCTTGGGCGCACGACGGCCCTCGGCGATACGGGCCTTCTTTTGCTCGGGAGTCTCGGGCTCTCCATCAAGGAATGACTTGATGCCGATATCCTTGAGACCTTCCTCCAAAATCTTGCTGCCCCCGAAGAGCTGGTTGAACGAGTCGATATGCGGCTTGATCGACTCGGCCAGGGTCGGGTAGGCGGTGTGGTCCTTGGGTGGATTCTTGAAAAGATTCTCACGCCGCAAGGTGTCGTATGCGACAGACCACTGGGTGTCGGTAGGCACGGGAGCCATGGCTGGGAGCTTGCGGAACTGGCCCGGCAGGTAAAAAGAAAAGAATCTGGCGGTTTAATTTTAGGGGAGGGTTCCCAAGAGCAAATTGGGAAACAAGCAGGGCAATAAAAGGGATAGCCCTGTGTTCTGCCTCAGCCTCCTAGGAAGAGTATCCAACGAAGCGAGGGAATTGAGCCAGCAATGGCAGCTTGGATGAGAGCGAGAATGGTTCTGCTTGGGGAGATTTTTCGAGGTGGAGCGTTTGTTATCCTCACGTGGTGATAGAGAGGAATTTCATGCCTGAGGCTACAGTATTACATAATCTGCATGATGCGGCGGGAACGAAGTATACAAAATCAAGCTCCATCAAGGATTCAAGAGATCATGTATCGATCTCTACATTAATCTGACTGTATCATCCACTCTATCTTTCTTCTTTCTCCATGTAACTGCTTACCTCTTATCTTCTTCTCATCACTGCTGCCTCAAACCCGGGCGCAACTAGCCCCAACGCCAAACGCCGGGGCCTCTCTCTTCTGTGCCAGTTGACGGCAATACGTCAGGCTGCGAATGGTTGCGAATGGAGCCTAAGCGCCCCCTCTAAATGGCGGTCATGTGTGCCCGTAGATCCTCACTGACTACTTCCCGCTAGTTCATTTAGTTCAGCGCATTGTCTCCCAAATTGTATTGTAGCATTCTCCGTAGTATTCTGTCTGGATAACGAATCCAATCTCTCTCGACCGTCGGCGCTACTATATTCATAAGAGGAATCCCCCGGGTTGGAAAACATTCAAGCGCTCGGGTCCACGGTTACTGCCTGGCTCCTGTTTTCTTTTTCTTCGTTGATCTTCTTTTTGATTTTCTTCTCCTTCATCATCAAATTTTTTCCCACCTTTTAATACGTACAACTGTAAAACTCCACCACTCCCCTGTTTGGAGCCGCTTCTCTCAAACCTCAGCAGAAGCGCCCGCCCAGTTTCTCGTTCTTAACGCCGCCTTTCGACCCCACTCGACCACTCTACCCTCCCAGTTCTTTTGCCCACTCCCGGGTGGCTTTGGATCTCAACTCTGTCTAGCAGCCACTCTTCTAATCCTTTCTTATTTGTTTTGTGTTTGTGTTTTTCCATTATTCGGCTTTGTCTTTGGCTTGTAGCTCTTTTTGGACTTTTCATCTACGAGGATTTTCTCCAGCCCGTCCGCATCCAACGATCATCCCGCAACCCACAAGTTCCCGTCTCCCGTTCTTGTTCTTGTTCTTCTTCAGCCTCCTCCTCCTCCTCTCCTCCCCCAAAACAAAAATCCCAAAATCCATCAACTCCCGCCCACCATGGCCGGTATCTTTCGCAGCATCTATGACTGGCTACTGAGGATGTTCTGGTAAGTGGGCCTATCCAGCGCGCCGGGGGTGTTCCTTTTTGGCTCTCGGGAGATCCAACACGCCTCCTCCCCGGCCCGTCCCCGCAGACGAGTGCCCTAGTAATAACCGGATTTCTTTCCCTGCAGGGCGACGGAGATGGATGTCACTATGATCGGCCTGCAGAATGCCGGCAAATCCTCCTTGCTGCGGGTGCTAGCCGTATGTTTTTTTTCTCTCCCAATCCTTTCCCAGCTTTCCCACATGTTTTCCCCAAATCCCATCCCTACCCCTCTTCGGGTGGTGACTGTGCTTCGCTCGAGACGGTCTGCTGATTGCGTTACGTAGGGCGGGGAATTCACGGTAGAGTAAGTCGTTCCCGGCCGAGCACTGGACTGAACCACAGGGCCGACCGCTAATCAGTCGGAATAGTTCGATTCCAACCATCGGATTCAACACCAAGCGTGTACAAAAAGGCCATGTGACCTTGAAATGGTATGACGAGCGAACCAACGACTTCAGTCTGATCTGGACAGCATCGCTAACAAGCCGCAGTTGGGATCTGGGCGGACAGCCTCGATTTCGCCCGATGTGGGAACGGTATTGCCGGGGCGTGAATGCGATTGTGTAAGGCGCTCGTCATCAAGTTTGCGAAGAAAAAAAATCCTCGTCCGTGCTGCTAACGCTTGCTATCAGATATATCGTAGACGCAGCTGATAAGGCCGCACTGCCCGTGGCCACGGAAGAACTGCACGAGCTGATGAACAAGCCCACCTTGGATGGCATCCCACTCCTGGTACTGGGCAACAAGTCCGATCTCCCCGTCAAGTTGTCAGTCGATGAGCTGATCGAAGCCATGGACCTAAAGTCCATCACCCACCGCGAGGTCAGTTGCTATGGCATCAGTGCCAAAGAAGAGACCAACCTCGACGCCGTGCTGCACTGGTTGATCGCACGCGCCAGCCGGTAAAAATGATCAGGCGGTGCGATCGATGAAACTTTGAATCTTGACTCACCTCTATATCCTCTGTGTTTTCATTCTTTTAGCTTTTGAGAGCGATGTCTTTTCTTTTTTTTTCTGGTGCCTCCATTGCCGGGGTTTCCTGTTTATATGCCGTAGACTCTAGCGTTGTTGGCTCGCAGCCTCGGATGTGATGATGTCCATGAATCATGGTTTTCTTTCTATTGTGCTTTCGTTTCGACTTTGTTTTCTTCTCCTTTGTTCGTTCTGGGAGCATGCAATTTGGGGATCGCAAGCTAGCCAGTTGCTCGATCAAAATGATCTAACGGCCTATGTTAATGAGCAGCATCTGATGTGTGTAAGTGAACTGGTTTCGCCAATTTTGTTTTGTTTCATTGGCCATTGCAGCGTGGGCCGGAATATCAGTCTGGCTGCATATCTGCTCTGTTTTTGCTTTTGAATCTGTTTCGGAAATTCAAGCGCTTTTATGATTTTGTCACAATTGGATTCAGTTCGAGAGAGGGTTTTACCTCGACGTAAAGACTTGCACTGGAGGAGCTAAACAGAGAGAAAAAAAAATTGGTAGCAACGTTGGCTGGCAGCCAGACATAAATAAGTGCAACGCACACGGACCAAGTGATGCGTTGGCATTGCAGACGAAGCGACCTCGAATCAGCAGGTAGCCAACACCCCCGCCAAGTGGGAGGGGGCCACCAAAAAAGGTGATCGGTTGAGGGGGAGCTAGGATCGAGCTGTGGGAATGTGGAGCTGAAGTATCTAGAAGATTTCTGTTTTGTCTACTTTTAACTACGGCACAGTATGTTTCTCTCTTTTTTCAGAAGGACTAACGAGAATATACAGTAAGTAAGTAGAGTACCTAGTCTCAAAATTGCGATAGCTCCGGCTGCGCTGTAAACCACCATATCTTTGCGCTTCACATGTGACTTGAGGTTAGCGTTTCAAAGGGAAACTAGAACTAGAACTACGTCGTACTGTACATAGTAGTAAGTTAGAGTCGGTTATGCTCGGCGGATCAAGACCCTGAAGCCCCGTGGGTCTTGCGTCGGGGGATTAAACACGTAGTGGACACGCTAGATACTACTGTAGAGGGTATATGTAGGTACATAATACTTGCTATGCTAAGTATGGTACTGTTCCTTATAAGGAAAATGTAGTGGTAAGCACGCATCACATCCTTACTTTGGTTAGTTATACGCTTCGCTGACGAAGCTGATATGCCGATCGGGCTTATGCTTATGGCTAGTCCACCAGAGTGTCGAAGTCTGCTCCAGATAAAAAAAAAAAAAAAAGCCCCAGGCGCTGAGCCAATCCACTTATGTCGCAGGTTATCCGGGCGCCTAGCGATGTGGATGTGTCTGGGGCGAGAATTACAGTATATTAGTACGAGTTACTAGTGTACATGGCTTTACCTATAATTTTCTGTCACGGCACCTAGGTACATAATGTCAATGCATAATTAACCGAGAGCGAACACAAACTGTATTCGGCGTTATAATATCAATGGATGATCGATGGTCAGATCATCTTCAAAGAACCAAGAGGCAATGATATTGCCTCCCGAGTTTCCCGTCAGCCCTGCGCCCCCTATCCACTATAGCATGATTGGCTCTGGGGAGGGTATACCCGAACTGCGCCGCAATGCCCCCGTCCACATACGATGGCTACGTAGGCCGAGGTATTCTGTTCTTTTCTGTTCTTTTCTGCGTGAGGATCTAGAGTGTAGTGGCTGAGTGATGTGTATTTGAAATATACAAAAGTATGCCTTGACAAATATCATAAATATCTATGTTATGTAGTCAACTTCCAACTCACTGGGTCCTACTATCTCACTTGTTCATGAATCATCGCAAACTTGCAGCCTAGTGCCAAGACCCACACCCGCCCAGCCCCATTGATTTGAATCTCCAGACTGATCAACGACCCTCAGCCACTGCCAAACTATCTCTTATTTTCCCTTTCCTGACCCGATTCTTCTCTTCTTTCCATAACTCTCTTCAAACAGCCACCATGGCGATCATTCCACGTTACTACTGGTAAGTTTTCTATCTCTGGAGCCTGTCTACCAAATCACATCCATCACATCCACCACCAGCTCCCCTGAACCCGCTGCTTCATCGGCACTAACCTCCGCTACAGCAACAGCTACTACGATGACTGCTATTCAACCTGGGATAGCTGGGGTCGCTGGGTAGCCTTTGGCGTTATCGTCGGCGTCGCCTTCCTCCTCTTCTTCGGTTTCGCGTAAGTCTCCCCATTTATCCCCATCCATCACCCTCCTCCCTCATCCCCATCTACTCCCTTATCGCCTCACCTCTCCATCCTCCAAGTCATAAGTACTCACATCCCCTCTCCCAACAGATGCTTCAACGCCCGCCGCCGCCGCAACCACGGTCTCCGCCCCTACGCCGGTACAGCGTGGATGGCCCCTCCCCCCGGAAACCCACCCCCCAACCAATACCAACAACCCTACGGCGGAAATGAAGGCTACTACGGCCAGCAACCACCACCACCCCAGTATTCCGCCAACCCGCAGAACTACGGCTACTTTGGTGCCCAGCCTGCGCCCGGTCAACAACAGAATGGTATCGAGCTCCAGCAACCGGCGCATGCCCATGCCGCTGATGCTCGCGAGTACGCGCCTCCTCCTGGGCCTCCTCCCGCGAAGGCTTGAAAAGTTTCTGTTCTCCATGGGAGAAATGAGAAGGGTGGATTGAGCTAGTTGGTTACCTGCGGTACGCTCTGCGTCTTGTCTTGCGCTGTTTCGAGTCGCTTCAATTTGAAGAGAGTCGGGCCGCAGGACGGGAGGCTGGGCGCTCTGCCAGCTATCTCGATTCCATCCTGGTCTTGTTCTATCTGGTCTCTTTCTACTTTGCTTTAATCACCATGCAACGAAAGCCTCGGGATTCCGGCGTTTTTGAACCTTTTTTTCCGGGTCGGTGCGATCTTTTGGGATCTTTTTTTGTCTTGTTACGCCAAAGAATACCTACCTACCAACCTACATGGGGGATGGATTATGTCTTCCCTGTGTGTTTTAATGCCTGTCTGTCTGTCTTTGGTTGATCGTTTGGACCATCTCGATGAAGCAGTTCTGACATGTGGAGGTTATGATACGCATTTCAGGACTGTTGATGGTCGGCGATGATGGCGGCTCTTTCTGTTTGGATTTTGGATGCTATGGTACATTTTTCAGCTTCTTTTTACATTCTAATGACATACCCAAGATTTGCGAGTTTATGCTGGATAAGACAAGAATCTAGATGATAGTTCGTAGATCTGACACAAAGTGACTCGACCTGGGATACCAATAACACTATGTCTAGACACTTCTACCGATGCTTAGTCCTGTCTTCCATGTATGTCTATTTAGTATTTTCAAGGTCCAACTCTTAATCTAGTATGGCTCGCTCTTACTAGAATAAAGAGGTACATTCTTAGCTACTAAAGAAAGTAGTTGGGACGAGGCGGGTATAGTTCTAGTATAACTCTCACCTAGCAACGATTCAGTACGTCATTTGAGACTTATATCGGGGTCCATCCAGATCTATTCAATGCTCTTGCTATGCACTAAATAATTAATAACCATCCTTTAGAATCGTGGCTGTTCTAGACATCCTTATCTTTCTAATATAAGCTCCATCGTCACGTAAGCTTAGGTACCCCAGGCACACCCGCCCACTCCACCCACCATCACCGCGATCACCTCCGATCGCCGCCCTCCACATATTTTTTGAATCACTCAATCGCACTCGCCCTCCAACTACAGTCCTATACTAATGGATATCGACGACATTCTCGCCTCCGTCGACCGCGGCCCCGGCGCAAGCCCGGAATCCGCCGCCCTCGACCACCAACAATTAACGCGCTTCTGGGTCGCCGAACGCGCCGTCTCGGAGGTTCTACCCTGGCCGGCGCCATTAATGGAGCGAATGATGGATCGCGTGCGGATTCAGGTAGGTCACACTACAATGCCCTAGACTCTTCCATAGAGACCCTTTCTTCCTATGCGAGATTTCAATTGAGCCATCCAGAACCATGATTAACCTAAGCGTGGTGAACAGATCGAAACAATCGAAGACCTCGCCGCATCATCCGCAGACACAGACATGTCCAACACATCACACACTCACGCACAAACACACAACCCCAATCTGAACCTCCGCCTCTCAGTCCTCCAAACAGACCTCGCCAGAACCCAATACATAATCCGCTCTCTTCTACGCGCACGCCTCGCAAAGCTCACAAAACACAGCATGCACTACCTCGTGCAACTAGCCTCTCGAAACAAAAACCCCCTCTCAACATCCTCACAATCCCAATCCCAAACACAATCTTCCGCCGGTCCAAACACAACACCCGAAGACTCCATCCCGGACATCTCATCGCTCATAGATACATCACCGCTCTCCGGACCGGAAACCTCCTTCGTCCACGCGCACCAGACACTACTGGCCGGACACTATGGGGGCTCGTTTTTGGGCGCGTTTCCGCGACAATTGAGAAGGTTGGATGATAATGCTGGTGGGACGAGTATGGTGCAGGGGCCGGAGATCAAGGAGGTTTGTTTTGTTAGGTGTCTTGGGGCGGAGGTGCCTGTTTTGTTGGATGGGGAGGATGGAGTTGAGGAGATTGGTGTTAGGATGCGGATGGGGGATGTTTGGGTTGTTAGGTGGGAGGGGGTTAGGAGGGCTTGGGAGAGGGGGGAGGTGGAGTTGTTGTGATTTATATGGATGGGTATATGAGATAGATGATTTTGGAGGCTGGGTTGTTTCTTGGGGGTTTTGTGATATCTTCACAATGTTGATACCTGGGTCAGTTTGGGTTGGATTGGAGTAGCGGCATTTTCTGGCGTTGGTGTTTACTGTTATATTTCGCATACCTCATATCATACCTCGATGATAGCCTAGATGTACGGCTGGGAATGGGTGCATGAAAACGATATACTTTGTCTATAATCAATAGTCTTGCCGAGGACTACACAGCAAATGCAGTCATGGTACCGTGTCTACTCCTAAAAAAAAGATTGACTTGCTGTCATCTATGCACAATCGAATTCATCCTCTTGCCCATGGGACGCCAGTCGCTAAACCCAAAATAGAAACAAAATAAAGAATCCAGCCATGCCAAAAACCAGATATACATAAACGTCGTTAAGCAAAGGAGGGGACATGAGACCCGGAGGAGAAGAAAATCGTAATCAAGCCACACATAAGAGGCTGCTGTCCTAAGCGATGTATCCATATGTGGCCGGTTCATCTTCCAGACGCTCCAGATACTCGCGATCAATCAGACTCTCGATGCGCTTCTTGACCATGTTCACGTCCGGGACAAAGCGGGAGGAAAGCTGTGTGAGAACCTCATTCATCAAGCCGGTGTGGCCAAGCTTCTTCCGTTGTCTATATCAATGGTTAGTAAATGTAAGTTTTCTGCTATGTTTGATCAAACTTACTTCATAATACGGACGATGGCAGCCTCGATACTGCCGCCGCGCTCGTCATTCATCTTCTTTTCCGTCTCCTTGCGCTGATCCTGATTCTCAACCTTGTTCGCACCACCCGCAACAACACCAATTCGCACCTTCACGAACGGGCTCTGGAAGTCATTGTTGAAGAAGAATCTATCCGTCGGCTTGACATCCTTGCTCATAGGTTCTTTCTTCAGGACCCGCGTTTTCGGAGCTACCGCCAGCGATTGTAGATTGCGGATCAGGTCGTACTCGGGGATACAGGTACGTTCTTTAATCTCCTCGAACGTCAGAGATTCACCATCCGGAATGTCGTTGAACAGAAGAAGGATGACCATCATGTAGGTAGAAACATTCAGCTCGAAGCGCTGCGTTTTTCCGTTGCTTCGCTGGAATGTGGCTCGGATATCTGCCGAGCCCATGCTTGCTTGCCAAGACAACTTGCGACCACTGTGCTTGTCGAGGTAGAACTTTTCAAAGCTCTGTCTGAGATTGTCGACCTCGCGCGGGAAGATGCAAGGTAGCTGTACCTGGCCGTCTCTGGCCTTGACCATGGCATCCATCGGCCACATCGTGCTGGTAAGAATGTGGATGTCCAAATCAATACGCTTCTGATCTGGGTCGGCACTGCGGGCAATGTGTTCCTTGTAATTCACCGACAGATCCTCCGATACCGTCATGTCCTTGAACATAGCCTCGATGCGCTGAGTAAACTGGTTGCCGACTTCCATCTTCATCTTGGAAATCATTTGCCGTTCCGCGTCCATACTTGCTGACCGTTTCATCAGCAGTCGACGCGCAAGGTGCTTCTTGTAGTATGTCTCGAAGAGATCCTTGTCCTTAATGTATCGCAGGAGCGTGATACCATTGTCGAGAAGGGCATCGACCTCGTCCTCTGTCTTGCCCTTGATTCCCTTTTTGAGATTCTCGTCAAAGAAGAGAGAAAGGTATTCTGAGCTCCGGGTGTTCCTGTTGATAAAGTCTTCGAAGCTGTCTTCAATCGACTTGTGGAGGTTTTGGTCGGACTGGAAACATTTCTCCCACATTTGGTCGAATTGTCGCTTGAGAGCCAGAATATCGTCGACCCACTTGATCGCTGATGCAGTCTGTGGATTGACGGCTTTCTCTCTCTCCTTGGCCTTCTCCTTTTTGTCTCCGCCGGGGTCTTTTTCAGTGGCAGACGGTGCTTGTGGTGGAGCAATGGATGAGGCATTGATTTCAGAGCCCAGTTCGACAATCCGCTTGCTCACCTCTCCAGTAAGTGCGCTCTTCTTCTCATCGACTCTGGCATTGAGCGTGTAGACAATTCGTAGTCCATCCAGCTGGTTCTGGTCGAGCATGTGCCTAACTCCAGTTCCTTCCAGACGGACCACTTCCTCGATGTTCTTGCGGATTAGCTCGTTATTCAATACTTCGCCAATCTTCGGCTCTGTCGCGGTGACAAGTGTGTAGCGAGACCGCTCCGACTCCTCGGCAATGCGCTGCGAGGCAATGCGACAGAAGGTTGCAGCATCCCCAACCTCCAATAACCTGGCTCCCTCTTCCTTGTAGAATTCCCGACTGGTGCTCAAGAAAGCCGGTTCAAAAGTAGTGAGATAGAGGTTAGAGCTCTCCTCTTCTGCAACTGTCTCATAAAGGCCTTCCAACATGTACATGCAATTCCGGATCAATGGTCGATCGATGATATGACCGGTGCGTTCTAGCTGTATCATGAAAAGCACTGTTGATTCGAAAACGTGAGCAACCGTGATATCGGAGTCGGGACGAACGGGTGCTCGGAGAACGTGATTGCGGAAGAGGATCATGGAGACGACGAGGATGGAGGGTTTGGTTCGATCTGCGGAGATAATGCGGTCCTGAAGGAGTGAGTCGGAAGCATTCGAGGCTAAACCCCCCCCCTAGAGTTTCGTACCATGTACATCAAGACATCCGTGATCATGCCCATGCAGAGCAGATGGTCTGACCAGGCCTCTTTCAAGACAGCTAAAAATCGTTCCCCCGCAGCGCGCCTCTCGTTCGACTGGTCTTGGACATCCGTAATACTTTGAGGGTTCTGTGCCCGCACGAGAATCGGTAGAATAGAGTCTGTGACCTGCTTTCGAACGTGGTCCCGCAGCCAATTCTCCTCGAGGGTCTTGACCCGCTCGTACAGGTCATCACCCCGCATCATCAATACCATCCTGTATGCATTTCGGTAGAGTTCTTCGAATGACAGCGTCGAGGCATTTTTCGTGTGAATTTCTATGAGGGAGGAGGAGAGTACGCCCCATAGAGTATCGAAATCCTCTGTTGGCGCAGTTGCAACCTGTGGTCATTGTCAGTATTAAGCTTCATGACAGACCTCAACCTCACGTACCCGTCGAGGAGCGCGAATCTTGTGTCGCGCTCTCATAGCCGCCATGATGACAGTATGAGAATTTCGAAGGGCCTTTGACAAGTGAAATTCGAGAACCCAGTCAGGTCTTCACCATAGTTGATAAGTGCAAGCTGTGTCCCTCTCCGCGGAGGAGTAGAAAGGAAGATAGTTTTGCCGGACCCGCTCCGCCTTTCAAGAGGCGCTGGCCGTCGACCGGTGCGGATGTTTGACCGTTTGAACTTCCTCAAAAGTTAATCCTTGAGAAAGAGAGAACGTTCGTTCAGTTGCAGCAGAACAGTCTTATTGTAATTCTGTTTGTCTTCAACTGTCTCTCGCTTTTGTGTCAAGAAATATGTTCAATATGCGTCCTTTTACGCCACAGGGCCTCCGGCCACTTCGATCCCTCCTCTCGCAGACCACAACACTCACTACCACACGTACACCTCCGTCTTCATTGCGCCTCTTCTCATCTCAGATCACTTATCCTCGTCGCGTCATATCCTCGCCTATTCTCTCTCACTCCCGGCGCATCCTTCCTCCCACATGCCGACAAAACTCCTCATCTTCACGACCTCTGACCGATGATCCCAGCGACAGGATCGAGACCGATGCTGATCGCCAGAAGAGAAATGAAGAACGCCGTAAAAATGAGGAAGCCTATCAAATTGTCTTCACCTGCAAGCCATGTGGCGAGCGCTCCTCACATCGCATGTCGAAGCAGGGCTATCACCGCGGGACAGTTCTTATCCAGTGTCCCTCGTGCGACAACCGCCATGTTATGAGTGATCATTTGGGAATCTTTTTCGATAAGAGGACTACACTTGAAGACCTTTTGAAGGAGAAGGGCCAGAGTCTGACTCATGGACATACCGATGGCAACTTGGAGTTCTGGGAGGACGGCACTGTCAAGAGCTTCGGTCTGGATGGAAAGCAGTTGTTGGACTCTTCCAGCGAAAAGACCTCTTAAGAAGCTATGGACGGTATGCCCGTTTGTGTACCCGTTTTATCGTGTCTAGTGCACAGGATAGACCCGATTGACTCGGGTTCTTCTTTGCGCTGGAGGCACTTGTTCTATATCACTACTCCCCACTCTTGGCATGGCGGGCTCCTGGCATCGATGAGGAAGAAAAAAGGATATTAATCTGCATGGCATATAGAGGGCGATGCTTTCATCTGTCGGACATTTCATGATCATGTATCATAGCTTATACTGTACAATATAACATGCCTTCTGGGGTAAAATAACAACTACCTAAGTTGTTTGAATAAGGAAACTTTGAAGAATCCAGCAAAAAGGAATTCACTACACCATATGAACAGGTTCTCCTCCTTAAGTCCGTCCAACTTATTCTATGAATTGAAAATACATAATGAGAGGAACAGCCCATTTAGGCTACACGGCCAAAAATTTTGTTTTTCTCAACACAAAAATCGTCTCCGGCCTTCTCTCCAGGTTCAAACTCCTCCCATACTGGAAGTATATCACCTCTACCCACTTCCAGCTCTCAAATCGCACTTTGAGGACCCAAAAACAACAAAAAATTGACCGACGCAGGGGTCGAACCTGCAATCTCTTGATTCGTAGTCAAGCGCCTTGCCATTGGGCCAGCCGGCCGTGTCCTGCTCTGTGACCAGTAGGCCAAGCAGTGCCGGATGATGGAAAAATGGGCCAAAATATGCAGTATGAAGTCAAAAAATTCTGCAATCAGATCAAAGACTCTGATTGGCTGAGACACCTCAGTATATTGTAATAGGACCCATAAGAGGCCCACATAAGTGGGTATAAAATTTCTTCGTTGACTCCACTGCGGAATTCAGCTGGTGAACTCTCGGCATCGCATGGGATAGAATCGATGACGTATTCCAAGGGCTGTGTATCATGTCAGTTGTTAATTGTCAATAATACAAATGTTGAATTCATTGGTACTCAGTAGTATAGATAGCCAGCCTCTGACTACTTCCAAATGTTTCATAAAAATAGATCAAGGTCCGGATGGAGTACGATAGAATTCCGCCTGAACGGCAGCTTATTGTATGAAACATCTCAGCTCTCTAGCCTGAAGATAACATGAGGCCTTGTCTAATTAACCTGGTTTTAGCTTATGAGTAGCAGGCAACCATAAATGTTTTACAATAGCATGCGATACAGTCGGCGGCAATGTCGGATTCGATCGGTCTTTTCAACAAAACACCGAATTGTCCGTGACGTGAGGCTCCCCAGACGGGACTATATATTGCAGCTAACCCCGCGCTTATCGGGACTTTTACTTCATTCCGTTTAGGTAATTGTCTACGAACCAATCAATCATCAAGATGCTTACCTTGCATATCGCATATACCGAGCCAGTAAACGGCAATGATTCAGACGGTCCAATCCTGACTCGAGGGAACGTCTGGAACGGTCTGAAATTAAAAGGTCGACGTCCTGAGCTATTCATTCCTTCTTTCGACGATTCACGAGTCATAGAAGAAAGAGAGAACGGCAACGTTATCGTTAGAGAGGCCCATGTTTCAGCTGACCTCCATGAATCTCCTATGGCTGGAAAATGGGTCAGGGAGGAATGCAGGCTGGATGAACCTGTTAAAGTGAGTGCTTCGAAAAGGGCGTTGATGGGTCACCGATCTGGTTGCCTAATTAGAAAGCAGACTTATTTCACGCTACCTGGAGGATCCATCGTCCAAAATATTATTTCCAAAGGACCTGATAAGACCTTATTTCTCACGTTTACCTACGATTGGAATCTGCCTGGAATTGAGCCCGGGACCCCCGAGGCTGAGGAAGCTGAGAATGATCATATGAAAATAGCGGTGTCTTCTGTCCAGGGAACCATTCGGGCGCTAAGGAAGATGGCTATGGAGAAAGCAGATATTTCTTAGAAGCAATTACCAACGATGAACGGACTAAGTGTTTGAAGGACGAGCCCTAGGCGGAGGATATATATCGTGATCTAGACACGACGTTGAAAACGGATTTTAAGTTCTTGATTTCCACTGCATGATTCTGTATCTCATGCTGTCATACGGGCGTAACGATCGGCATTTGCTAGCTCAGCCGCTTCTGCTTACTTTACAGCCTTGCTCTATGTAATTACCGAGAAATAACTAGACTTTGTTAGTGTGGCTAGGAGACTAACACGCGGCTGGGGGTTCGGACTCGGGAGGCCTTAACCATCTCGACTAGCGTCAGCTGAATCAGTCAGGCTCGAGTGTAGCATCCAACAGCTATTAATATTAAGCCCTCCATTGCCAAAGAATTCTGCTAATTCATCACGATTCATTACTTTCTACAACCCTGTATACGGACAACTGGAAACAATGTCAATCTCGGCCAAATCCCCCGGCGAGTACTTGCTGATTCGGAATGCAGTCGAAAAAGAGAGGTCAGTCTGCATCCAACTACCCTACAACCCAGTCATGAATGACACATGTATCTAAAACACCCCAATAGGCTAGAATTGCAATTCAAGGCGTGGCAGGCTAACATCGGGTACCTGCTACATCCTGCCATTACACAGCATGATCATATGTGCATTGCAGATGTCGGGACAGGGACGGGGTGAGTACAATCGGCAGGCTAAAGGAAAGCCCTTTTCATTTAGGACAATTGCTAAACCTGCATATCCAGTATCTGGCTACAAGAACTCGCAAATATCCTTCCAAACTCCTGTCAACTCGATGGATTCGACATCTCCGATATTCTACTTCCCGATAAATCCAGCCTGCCAGAGAACATCACCTTCTATCTCCAGAACTTCCTTCAGCCATTTCCAGAGGAATTCATTGGAAAATACGATGTTGTCAATGTTCGAGTAATGGTAGTCGCACTGTCCTCTGACGAATGGGAGCCTGCGGTCCGGAATTTGATGACTCTATTGCGTATGAGCAAGACCCGTGAGCCTTGATCGAGGATCTAATCTGACAGTTCGATAGATCCTGGTGGCCATTTACAATGGGTTGATTGCGCAGCCCATGAGTGCATCGTGAAAGCACCCGAGGGCACCAATCCCGTCAACGCCAATCGTGGCATGGATTTGTTCCGTAAGACCATGAATGCCCTTGGAAAGACACCAAAGTAAGCTTCACCCACTCAATATGGAACGCGACTCAGATCGTTGACCAAATCCAGTACTGCTGCCTTACATGGCATCTTCCAGAAAAGCGGACTGGATGCTTGTGAAGAGCAGATCTTTACGCTCACGAACCCCGAGGTTCGTGACAATCTTAATTTCTCAGTGGCTACTGCAATTGCGCATTGTCTTACAGCCGCTCTGAAATTGCACAAGTTGGAGGACATGCAATCTGAAGATGAGATTAGGAATTTGAAAGAAGGGATGCTGGAAGACCTTCGTAGTACTCATTGCTGGTTTTGCTATGATGTTTATGTTGTGGTTGGCCGGAAGTCTTGATGTGGTCTGCTGTACATTGACAGGATCTATCCAACCATTGACACCATGTCAATGGAAGCAATATTTAGGCAGTGGAATGCAGTTGGACTTACCTCCTGGGGAGGCCATATTCCATACAACTACCTTACTACTCCACGGATGCGCGAGGTTAAGAGTCTGTCTTGTAGAGTTCTTACTTGGATTGCATCTTAAGTTGAAGTGTAAGAATCTGTACAACATGAATGAATTGTTCCAGGTATATACTCAAAATAACCCAATGCCTCTAAACGCCATACTTTTTTAATGCCGGCGAACCCAAATCGTAATCCTAAAATGCAACACGAAAATCCACTTCCTTTCTTTTTACCAACCGCGTCTCTTACCGCGGTGCTCCAAGCCCTTCTCATGGCGCTTAACTCTCTTCCGCTCATTCTTCCTCCTCTTATCACGCTCGAATCGCTCAGGATCAGCGACAGCCTCAATGCGACGCTTGGCACGACGGCCTTCACGACGTTCCTTGATTTGGTTTTGAACTTTGGTCATCTCGGCGATGTACTCAGTGGTGCCGAACTTCTTCTGCAGCAAGTCCAAGATTTCGTGGCAGTTCGCGACGAGAGCTTTGTAAGTGTTCTGGAAAGTCTCATCCGAGGAGCGGGGCGCGGGAATAGATGCGTCCGTCAAGTGCTGCAACGGCAGAAGAATGACCGGCAGAGATGGGAGAATCTGCTCGGCACCGAGGTGGCGAATAAGAGCGGCGAGGAGAGCGATGGAAGCAGTCTTCGGGACAAGGACATTGGGTCTGGTTGAGATAACCTCCCGGCGCAAGAGTGACGAGATCTGCGAGAAGATGTAGCGAATGGCAGATTGCTTTGACTGTGTCCCGTTTGTCTCGTTGTCTTCGCCATTGACTTGGCTTCCTGCATCCTCATCCTCGTCCTCATCTTCAGACTGAGCTTCCTCGGCCTCCTCGGCTTCGGTCTTCTGAAACTCGAGACCGTTCTGCGCACAGCATCTACCAAGGAAGACCAGGTTGCGGACACTCTGCATGGCCAGTTCCTCGGAGATACCAGGAGTACGAAGAGACCGCAGACTAGCCCGAAGCAGCTTGAGCATCGAGTCCCTGTCCAGGGCGAGGCCAGAGCTGCAGGCCAAAGGAATCTCACTATATCCAGTGGCAGCATGTGTCTTCGCCACATCAGCCAGCCACATACCGATAAGGTTTGCGGCGCAGGTCTTGACCCAGGCGTGAGTGTAGAACATTGATTCTTGAATGGCGGCCCAAATGGAGGCACAGCCGTCGCTCAGGCCAAGAGCTGGGTTCGTTTTGCAAAGCTTGGTGAAAAGCTGCAATGCGAAGTAGAGAGTCTCCCAATTTGCACCTTCCTGATCCTCGAGGACGGACTGCATCAAGCCTGGAAGAATGCTGGTGACAAAGCGTCCCTCCTTCTCCTTTTCGGTCTCTTCGGTCTCAAAATAGATCCGCATGGCCTGCAAGCCGATACTACCCAAAGCCATGTTGTCGGTCTGCTCCAACCAAGAGTGAAGGGGAGTGAGAATAGTCTTCATATTTTCCCTGTCTGCTCGGCTGAAGAACTGTCCCAGCAATGCACCGGCCAATTCACGGCACTCCGACGAGTCGTCATTGGCCATGGCGAGAACAACGGGCAAGAAGAATGTGCTGACGATATCCTGAGCCATCTCCTCGCCGGTCTTCGACAGGAGCAGATGAATTGCCTCCAATACCGATTGCCGACCTTCTTGGTGCTTGTAGTCCAAGTTCTTGGCGAGGAATCCAAGCTGTTTGGCCCACCGGCTCTTGGCTTGTGGGTACTCGATGAGGAAGTGGATGTAAGTACCCCGAGCCAGGTCGCGAGCAGAGCGAGTCTGATTGGTAACCATCATGGTCGCAATGTTATCCACGAGCTCGTACATCTCCGGAACAACGAACTTGCGCGACATGACCGCCCGGATGAAGCTGAACGTCACACCTTGACGGTCAGGTTCCTCGATATCGGCTGTTAGACGCTGGAGGAGATATGCAAGGTGCCCATCACGGAGCTTGGTGCTCTGTCGCTCGCGAATCATGGAGGAAATCAGCTTCAGCGAAGCCTGTGAAGCCTCGGAGTTGGTGCTTGGCGACTCTTTGATCATCTTCACGGCCTCGGTGAGGTACACGTGGGAGTTTTTATCAATCTCGGGAATCTGGAGCTTGACAATAGTAGAAAGTAGACGCATAGCAGAGACCTTGACTTCTTCCTGGGCTTGCACAAGTGCATCACCAATGATAGGCAGGAACCCAGAGAGGTTGGCTGCAGTCAAGAGCGAGCCAAACTTGTTCAAAATGGCACGCAGAATGTCAAGCGCAAAGCGGGTCAACTTGTAAACGTGGGACGATGTTGTGCCACGTTTCTCGCCTCGCTTGCCTCCTTGCAACCTGACCAGGAAACGTTCCTCTCTCTCTGACCGGGCTTTGGCCTGAGCAGTAGCTGGAGCCTTTTCCTGGTAAGACTCCTTGATGATTTCGTAGCAGAACACCAGGATCTCACGGCTTTCAGCAAGGGGATTTCTCAGAAGACCAATACCGATTCGTCGCATGAGCTCGTCAAGCTTCTTGACAATGTTGGAGTTGAGCTTCTCCCGCAGCAGTGATTGGAGCGGGCGAACGAGGCTTGCCAGATGGCGGATTGTGGCATTCTTAGCAAGAAGCTCCATGGAGTCGTAGCTTTTGTTACTCTTGACCTCCTTCATCTTGCTGACATAGTCCTCAGCATCCTTCTCCTGACCAACGGTACCGAAAGTGTCATCCATGACGACAGCAACCAGATCTTCCAAACAGTAGTCCAGGTCACCTTGGTTGAAATGGTCTGTAGTGAAGACGAGCATGGAATGAACGGTAAACGACAGGACGTGAAGCTGGTAACCACGAAGCAGAGTGTTACGCAGCTCCTTCAAGATGTAGCCAAAGTAGACTGGACCAAGCAAGAGGGCAATGTCATTCAACGTCTTTCGTGCAGTATCTCGAGAATCTTGAGCTTTGCTCTTCAGAGTACTGCAGACGTCGAGAAGGACTCCGGGGAGACGGATAGCCAACTCCTGCTCAGGAAGAATCTTGAGCAACTTGATTGTCGTGACAGCAGCGGGCAGACGAAGACTCATCTCAGTCTCCTGCTTGTGATGAATGAAATTGGTCAAGAAGGGGATGAAGTTGGTTGTTAACTCTGACGAGACCTTGTCATCGGATGGTAGTGTCTTTGTGAGCCTGCAATAAGTCGAATCGGACAAGTCCATCTTGTCGGCATCATCATCAGCAATGACATCACCGGCGACATCGCCATTGACCTCTTCGTTAGTGGTCGTCTTCTTCTGATCCATCGCGCTAGACAAAGCATCTGACATCCGACCCAGGAGTCTGAGGATGTTCTTCTCCATCTCAGGTTTACTCTGCATGTAGCTGCGGTATCTTCGGAAGTTGGCACGGAACTGACTCCAATCCAGCCACTCAGCCAGGGATCCAATGGTGGCGACTGCTTCAGCAATCAGATTGTGACCACTCTCATCCTCAGCTGCATCGAAAGCGAAATGCTCAACGAGCGGCAGGAAAATGGTGCCCAGGTTGGTGGACTCGATATTTCCCTTTGAAGCCTCTGCAGCAAGTCGACGCAAAGCGCGCAGCCGACGGTGCTGCTGAATGTGGAGGATATTAGTGAAGAAAGATGCCTCGTCATCATCACCAACAAGAAGAACATGCATATCCTGCACGGAGGGTCTGGTGGGGTTGAGCTTGACGAAGTAACCGAGAACGGCAACAATCTCGGAACGGATCAACTCGGACTTTTGGCGAATGCCGTACTTCAAGGACGAGATAAGAACATCATTGACAAGAGCCTCGAATGCGTCATCGCCGGCTTCGGTCGCTGATCTCTCGATGAAACGCTTCAGACCAAAAGAGGCACTAGATCGGATAGCCAGTTCCTCTTCATCCTTGACGTGGAAGAGCATGTTGAACAGAAGAGGCCTCCACTGCTTGGCATTGAGAGTTTGAGACATCTCCTCGTTGATCTTTCTGAAAGCTTGGAGGCGACGCTCGTAGTCGGGTCCAAGCTTCTTCGCTGAACGAGAATTCAGATCAGCGCAGAGTTCAGCGACTTCGCTGAGCTCCGGATCATGGGAAGCAAGGGCAGTGAAAACTCTCGCCAAAACCTCTCTGTTCGCGTCATCCTTGAAGTAGTCGAACATGGATGACACAGCCTCGAATACTTGTTGGGAGAGCTCGACATCCTCCTTGGGGCTGTACAGAGGAAGGAAGTGCTCGAGAATCCGCAAGAGGCCAGATTTGGTCTTGGGGTTGACACGGTCTGGGGGCTGACGAAGCAGGTACGTCGCGATGCTGATAAGAGAAGAGGTCTCACCAGAGGACTCGACACAAGGAGCTGTAAGAGACAGGGCAGTGACACCTGAGAACAGAACAGGCTTAGAGGGACCTCTCTTCAGAAGGCGACCGAGATGGGAGAGGGCATGCTCAAGGTAAGGGGAAAGAACCTCGGAGCGGATCTGCTCCGGTGGGAAATCTGGCATAGCCTCATCTTCGTCATCATCCTTGAGCTTTATACCGCTAGCCAGCTTGACCAAGGGCACAAGAATTTCGTCCAACACGAAGATCTTGACCTCATCACGAGCAGATTCGACGGCAAGGACGTCGATAACCTTGGTCAGAACGTCCTTGTTGTGGTTCACCAGATAAAAGGTTGATCGAGGAGCAGAAGCCCAAGTGTGGAACAGCCGAAGCAGTCCAGAAACACCTTGTGCGGTCTCGATGGGGAACTGCTCCAATCTGTTGTCGATGAGCTCACGGAAGATGATCTCTACATACGAAGTCCAATCCCGATCGGATGAAACCGAGAACACCAAGCTCAGGCATCGGATACATGATTGGCGAATGTTCTGGAAAATAGATAGCATGCGCTCGTCCTGGCGATCAACATACAGAGCGCTCTTCTCGTCGTAGAGAGATTTGCATGCTCGCACCAAACAGTAGATGATCACATTCATGGCCTGAGTGGTGTAGGAGGCCATGCGACTCTGCAGGGTGTCGAAAACGGTGTCGATCATTTTGAGCAGACCAAGCTGTCTCCTTGGGCTTGTCAACTCCTCCATGAAAGCCTTTTCATCGGTTTCCGCGTCGTTGGCAATCGCCACTTCGGCAAGGGGGCCGAATGAGATGTTGATGAAGAGTTTGAAGTCCTCCTCGGAAAGGTGCGACAGGGTACGCAGAATGGTCTTGCGGCGGCCAGATTGACCGGCTTGGCTGGAGCTAGCACCCGCCTTGGAGATCATGCGACCATACAGCAATCGCAGAAGCACTGGCATCAGAACTTGACGGTGCTCCTGCTCGATCAAACTGTCCTCACCACCAACACGAACAAAGACCATCAGCTCGTCCTTGAACCTGGACTCGTCCAAAATGTTGAGCAAGTTCTCTTGGTAGGGGTTGACATGAGCATTCTTCCAGGTAAAGAGAGCTTTGAGAGCAGCCTTTTGAATCTCCGAGTTACCATGGCAAAGGAGACCCATGATGGCTTCGTGGACCTCTGAAGCCCTGTAAAGGACCTTGGGGTTCACAAATTGACCGAACAAGGCAAGCATAGCCAAACGGTCCTTGAATCCCCATCGGATTGGCGCTTCTGAGTCATCAGCTTCAGTCTTAGCATCCGGAGCAGGAGCGTCATCCTGGTCATCACGAAGAGCCCAGGACAGGAACAGGGGGATGATTTGGCGAGATCGCTTCTCGGCAACATTGGGGGCAGCGTTCAGGACTTGCAAAGCATGGCTCCGAGGCAAAGCAGGGACAAGATCAGCAATCTTGTGTTCTTTTTGGAATTGCTGGGCGAGGGTGATGGATGGAGATTGCGCGACGTTCCAGCTGGTTCCGACAGTGCGCTCGATGTTGTTGACGTTGAAACACTCATAATCATTGGCCACAAAATTGGTATCTTTATCCTCTTCTGGCTCCTCATCCCCAGCAGCGTCAGAGTCCCGCTCCTGCAGCCACTGGATAGACAAATCCGAGACAATCTTCTCCCCTTCCGGGTGTTCACTGATGGTTTTCAAGGCCGCAGCAGAGTCATCCCACAGGGGCGCTAGCTTCTTCGAGAACAGACCAAAGCAGAAGTATGGAATCAAAGTGGCCATCCATTTGCGAGAAGCGATTTGTGGGTAGAGAAGCGCCAGCTTACGAACGTGCATCTGAACAGTTCTCGCACTCTGCAAAGTCAGAGGGGTTTCTTCCACCTCGATGGCTAGCGTGACTGCCGAGTGGTCTTCTTTGGCATACTGAACAATCAGTTGCTGGAGGATTTGTAGAGAAACGAACCTCAGTCGATGAGATGGGCCGGCCAAATTGAGAATGAGATTGGCAGCAAACTCATCCACTGAAGAGGTTTCAGGCTCCGAATCCTGCCTCTGCACAGCACACACGAAAGTAAGAACTCCTTCGAGGAAGAGGGGCAGGCGGGAAAACCTGGTGGAGGCAGCGAGAATATGCTGCCAGAGACTCGAGTCAAGCTCTCCAGCCTCTTTTGCCAGCTCGACATAGGTCTTGAATCCTTGCCCAAGATAGAAGGTAAACCCATCGATCTTCTCGCTGTCCGTCTCGGAGGCAGCATCTCTCATCGCAGACAGAATGTTATCGTGCAGCTTTTTGACAATCTTCGACAATGTAGCAGGGTCTGCAAATAGAGAAATCGCCTTGGGAAGTTTCACCAGAGCATTCAAAATAGTTTGATCCTTGGCAGGATAAACCAAAGAGTCGTAGATGCGGGTCTTCAAACCATCAGGACAGGACACATAACCTGGCCTTGAGACCTCCGGTGTGATACAACCAGCCTCTTGGAGTTTGAGAAGAGCCAGGCACATCTCGAACTCATGCTCTTTCCAGGAAGAGTTCATGAACTTCTGGAAGTAAGGTACCAGCAGACTCTGGAAACGCTCAGAGCCCCACTCCGAAAATGTGGTACAGAAGAATAGGAAGTACTTTGAAAGCGGCCCGGTAGATACCAGATCCATGTAAGAGCGTATAAAAGGCAGCATCTCATCCATTGGCGACAACTGAAGGGCATATGCAACAGCTCCAAGTAGCTGGGGAATTGCCTCCGAATGATCATCAGGGCTTGCCGCGGCCTGTTTGAGGAGCAACACAAGTGTTTGATGAACGGTCTTCCAATCTCTGATCCTGGAGGCCTTGCGAGTTGCCACGCAAACGAAGATCAAGCGGCAGCACTGTGGGAAGTTAGGATTTTGACCATCCTTGGAGCGAATATCGATGTACTCCTTGACGGTGTCAATGATAGGTCCGAATGTCTCGGGCGTAGTGTGGTGAATGAGATTGATCACGACTCCAGCGGCGACCTCTGCAGGAACTCGGTTGCTCGCAGTTGTTGGAGGAACTTGGTCCAAGACACAACGGAGGACGTCGACTCCATTGGAGTGGAGGCCATGGTTGACACCCTTGATGGCATCCGCAAACATGACCATCAGACCTTCCTTGTATGAGTCGATGGTCTTCCCCTCATCGGCGGTTTTTATGATATCTTCGAAGAGGAAGGAAACGGCATTCTCGAGTGGTGTCTTGTTTTTGTAGTAGACGAGGCCGGCTTTGCGGATCAGGAAGGACATCGACTCGGCGGCGAATCGAGCAACGAAGGGCTTCTGTCGCTCCTTGCCGAGATAAGGAGTCATAATCGACAGCAGTTGGCGTAGATCGGGGACCAACAACCGTGAAAGGAACTTGAAGATCCATGCAAGACATGTAAAGCTCCATTCGACGACCTCGACATCTGGGTGTGTAGCGGCCACAGATGCAACCAACGTGACGGAGGTAGCAAAGTGCTTCTCAAAACGAACTCCCAGATCTCGGGCAAATTGTGCAAGCAGACTCAGTAGTGGCTCCAAAGAGTTCTGGTCTCGTTTCTCAATAAATTCCACCAACAAGGCCATAATCTTCTCTTCATGGTATACAATCTGGCCGAGACTCTCGGAGAGGGCATTGACACGACGGGTAAATTGCGTAAAATTGTCTGACAGGTTCATATCAACCCAGTGGTCGAGGGCCGACCGGAAATAAGAGGTTGTCTCGCCATCATCTTCACCAAAGCTCGCCCGGCGCACTCGGTGGATCGGGTCGATTTTGAGCTTTGCGATACGTGATGAAAAGCCCTCGAATCGGTGTGTTTTGGTGGTTTCGGTGCCACCTTTCAAGCGCCTGGTGGGCTTGGCTCGTGAGCCTTGCGCTACCATCTTGATGAGTGCGACAAGTAGCGCTGTTGACGAGAATGATACTCGGGGAACTTTTTCTCAACCCGCATCGAATACAAAAAAAGTTGAACGGCATCCGGCTCCACTTTGTTCCGCTGGGGAGACTCGCAGCATCACGCTAGCCCAAGTTAGGCTAGCGTGGTCACGGGGTGGCCCGAGCTCCCGTTTTCCAGAAGAGCGCCGCATCCTTGCAGCTTCAATATCATTTCTGCTTTGAGCAACTCTCACGACGGCTGCAACCCGATTCACGCGTCTCTTTGAATTCCTAGAATTTAGCTCGACTGCTCTGTGCAAGACCTGTGGTGTCAATATTTGGCTAGCGCTCGAGCTAGAGCGCGGCTCTTTATTCCCTAAGCATGGCTTCAAAGATGTGAGACTTTCCATAGCCCAGTGAGAGAGCGAATGAACTGACCTCGAAAATAGCATCGTCATTGGTAGCCCCAACTGCCAGCTCCAGGCAGTGTTTACCAAATTGGCAAAGTTGCATACGAAACAGAATTTCGCGTTTGCAATCATTGTCGGCAACCTCTTTGGCGACTGCTCCACAGAAGTCGAGCTGAACGAGATCTCAGCCCTTCTTCAGGGAAGCATTCATGTCCCTCTGACCACCTACTTCACTGTGGGAAGTCGCCCGCTTCCCACTCGGATCGTGGAGAAGATTGAGGCCGACGATGAAGTCTGCCCCAATCTGTACTTCCTCGGCAAACGAGGCATCCTCAAGACGGCCGAGGGCATTCGCATTGCCGCTCTAGGAGGTCAATTAGAGCAATCGGGATCTTCAAAATCCAAGCCCGAAACCAATGCCAGTGGAAAATTCCAACCGACATACAGCGAGTCTGATGCTCGTGCTCTCTACGGCATGCACAACGCCGACATCCTGATCACGAATCAATGGCCCAAGGATATCCGCTTTGGCTCCAAAGCCGCTGTTCCAGAGGACTACAGCTCGAAGTCATCTGAAGTTCAGATTATTTCAGACGTGTGCTCCACACTCCGACCTCGATACCACTTCTCCACATCCGACTCGTTCTTCTACGAGCGAGAGCCCTTCTTCCACATGCCAACCGAAGACAACCCCGACACTAAGCCAATAACCCGCTTCATCTCCTTGGCTTCATTTGACTCTAAACAAAAAGCCCTTTACGCCTTTTCGCTTGATCTCTCCGCTACAGTCCCCCTCACCATTCCCGCCGGCGTAACCGCCTCCCCCCTCTCAGCACCCCAAGCCAAGCGCAAGAATCTCCCCAGTCAAAAGGAATCATTCCAACGCTTCGCCACCCACGACAGTCACCGCGACTCTTCCTACGGCCAACACCGCGGAAAGCGGCAACAGCGCGAGCCCCCCCAGGACCAGACAGATGTTTCTTCTGCCTGTCCAACCCCAACATCGCCACGCACCTCATCACATCCATCGGGGACCAAAGCTATCTCACAATCGCCAAGGGCCCTCTGCCCCCGGCCAATTTCTTCCCGTCTCTCGGGTTCCCAGGCCACATTCTCATCATCCCCTTCGAGCACAGTCCAACCCTGGGTATGATTTCAGACCCGGCTACCCGCTCAAGCACATACAGCGAGATGGTCCGCTTCAACACCGCACTACGCCATATGGTCAGCGACCGTTCGTCCGGACAACTTGGGGCCGTCACTTGGGAAGTCAGCCGTGCCGGCGGTATTCACACGCACTGGCAATTTCTCCCCGTGCCCATGGACCTCATCAAAGAAGACTTAGTCGAACTCGCCTTCAAAGTCGAAGCCGAGAATCTAAAATACCCTCGATTCTCAAGTCTCGCCGTAGCGAGTGCCGCGGACGGTGAAATCGAGACCGGAAGCGAACAGACCGAGGGCGGCGATTACTTCCGCGTATCGATCTGGAGTCCCAGTGAGAAAGAGAAAGACAGCGAAGAAGAAAAGGAAAAGAAGGAGGAAGAGAAGTCCGCCGACGACGCTGATACTAGCAGCAAGTCTCGACCTCCCGGCACAGAGAAGGTCATGACACTAGAGTTGAACCCCAATTTCCAATTCGATCTGCAATTCGGCCGTCGCGTTATGGCGAAATTGCTGCAGTTGGATAAGCGGATGAATTGGAAGGATGCGACGCAGTCGCAGGCTGAGGAGGAGGCTGATGCGAATGCGTTTAAGGAGGCGTTTAAAACGTATGATTTCTCGCTGGAGTAGAGATCGGGTGTTATCATTGTAAGAGTGGTGTGGACCTCGCTTCTAATGAAAACCTCGAAGTGACAACCACTTTCCTGTCTCATATACAGTAGAGAGCGATCTCCGCGTGTTCCGCAGTCAATGTACAATATTCCAAACTGAGTCAATGTCAAGAGTACATTTTTGAGCGCTACGTCTACTTTCCACCTAGGACATTGTCGAATAGAATCTGTACTTGAAGGTTTATAATGGTTTTCATTCGACAAGAAGTCCATCCTATTGAGACTCTCAGCATTAGGATCATTTTAACCTGAAGACCTTATTAAAATACAAGACCTCGCTGTTGACCCGAATCACGCGGCAATTCTGTGCAAGATTGCAAGATCGGGTATGCTTCTAGCTAAAATCTTAAAGTGTCGAAATGTTTGTGACGAACTCCTGCAGCGTCTAGATCGAAATCTCGCAAGACAGTGGAATTCGTCTCATTCATGGACATGCTATGTTCGCATTTGTCTTTCCTAGAATCGAATGACGCAGTAAGGTTATCGATTCCAAGACCCCCTCCGTGTTCTATTATGTCAGATTAGACTTAGCACACACTCACTTTTAGCGCTATAGCATTTATTCCATTTTCTTCTTTTCAGTGGACGTGTTTAGGTATGGCATAGTATGAGAGCATCGAACGATTACAGCACCATAGTGTGACATAGCTCTGTCAGTCTAGGGACGTGGGTAGTCTGTACTATCAGGTCGTCATCGGACGGACATAGATCAACATGCTAGATCCCGGATCCCAGAGACCAGAGCAGGAATCGAGATTATAGACCTAACCCTCAGAAACAAAGTACAAAGCAGAAAGAAGAAGAAGAAACAACACAATCATGGTATCAAAAGTGCCTTGCTTTCCTTATGAACCCAAACATCACAAGGAAGCATGGCAAAGGAACAAAAAAAAATCAAATCAAATCATCCCAGATAATCAGGACCAAGAAGAAAATCGATCTTGAATGCTGGAAGAAATGGATATAAACAAGAAAAAAAAAAAAAGAGATCAATCAAGTCATCTCCATCCTTCATCATCTAAACATCCCTAAACGTCCCCGGCACCGGCCTCCTCCCACTCTGCAACAAACTCGGCGGCCTCTGATCACGTCCCGACTCCGCAACACCATACTCATGCGCACCATATTCCGAGCCCGCTGTAGACTGGAACGGCGGTGGCGGAGATGCAGGGTGCGACGTATACGTCGGCGGGTACTGGCTAGACCCGAAGGAGGGTTGACGCTGGAAACCACCTCGGGTCGCTAGCGCGGGTGGGTGTTCCGTCGGTGGTGAGTATGCTGGCATGGCGTTGTATGTGTTGTTTTGTTGGTGGGTTTGGGATTGGTAGGGGGCAGTGGCTACGGGTGAAGGGGATGTCACGGCGTGGTAGCCGGCGCCGTTGTGGTATTCGTCGTATGGCTGTTGACGTTGCTGGGAGTGGTCGTAGCCCTGGTTATAATTATGTTGGTGGTTGTCGTAGGGCGATGGTGCGCCGACGGGGGACGTCAGGCCTGGTGAGCGGCGTGCGTAGGGGTCTTGCGGCGTGCCTGTGCCGTAGGCAGTTGCCGGGCCGGGCGAGCGGCGGCCATAGGGATCCATCACCCCCATCCCCTGTGGACCTGGGGAGCGGCGCGCGTAGGGATCCGCGGCGTGGGCATTAGGCGGGGGCGACATGCCCGGTGAACGGCGGCCATAAGGGTCCTGAGTTGCGGCCAGAGCAGTCGCCGGACCTGGAGAGCGACGCGCGTAGGGATCCGTCGGTGTAAAGCCCCTGTACCCAGCTGCGGAGCCCGTGCGGTCGGGCGGGTAATCCGAGACCGCGGTTGCGACGTGGAGAGGTGATGCGCCGCCTTGTTTTCTGTCCAGGTGCTGCGGGTTTAAAGGTTCTAGTTCCACGTCGTCGCGGTGGGCAGACGGGTCCTCGACGTGTTTATCCACTGCTGCGGCCCAGGTGGGCATGTGTGGGAGAGCATCTTCGTCTATTTTCGACGGGGATTTGGGATTGTCGAATGTTGCTGTTTGGACGGCGCCACGGTAGACGGGAGGTGCGGGGGAGGGTTGGTATGCGGTATGAGGGTTTGGTTGGTGTGCAGGAGGTTGTTGGTGGTTGTTGTAGGGGGTTGGTTCATCGTAGTATTTTGCTTGTTTGTTTCTGCGTCGACCCGAGGGACAGCAACATCCGCAACAGCATTTACAGCATTGATAACCACAGCAGAGACAATTGATGATACAGCCTAGGATACCGATGACGATGACGGAGACGATGATGATGGCGGCAATAACGGGCCATCTAAGTGTGAGACATTCATTGATCAGTATGGGGATTCTCCACTCCAGCGCGCGCAGACCATCGCACTTAGCTGATCTGGGTAGATGGAACTCACTTGCAGTATGACTTTGCCATACATTTATCCCAGCTCGAGAAGGTAGAGGGCACAGACTCGATATCACTCGCGGTACTGCGCACCCAGTACATCGCCATACTGGCCGGACTCATGATGAGGGTGTTATATCGGGTGTTCTAGCGCAACTAGAACGGTCGAAACATTCACACCCCTTCGTATACGGACATTCGCAGAACCAATTTCCGATCAAGACAGATCACAATTCGCAAGGTGATGTCCAAAACTCCAAAGACAACCCACGATACTGGACGCGCATGCGATAGATAAAAGCGGCGTTGGACCCTGCAAAGAAGAAGGGTCAAGGCGGGGCGCAGCCGAGCCTGAAATCGTCCAAGAGTGGGTGATGCGGCGAAGCAGCACAGAAATAGAAATCAAAGTCAAAAAATGAATGGATACGGAGAACTTTCTTGTGTGAAAGTGTCCCAGGGTTTCAAGAAACCAAGACAAGACAGGTGACGAGGCTAATACTGGAGGATCAGGAATCCGCAGCCGATTGGATTGGAAACGAGAGGCACCAGGCAACAAGAAATGTGAACTGGTGAGAAGAAGGAGGGGGCTGGGCTGGGATCAGATCAGATCAAATGAGATCAGATCAAGCCAAATTCCAGTTTGACTCGAGACAGAAACATGCAAGGGCCATAAAACGAATGGATAGCCCTGCTATTTACTCGACGCGAGAGGCCGTGACGAAAAAAGAGGAGGAGAGAGAAGAAGAAGAGGTGCAAAGCGCAAGACGCAGCTAAAATGCTGAAACACGGAGAGTTAAAGCCAAGGGTGTGACAGGGCCCCCTCAAGTCCCTAGCCCCTACAGTCCATAATCCACTGTCAGGGCCCGTTTAACCCGCCTGTTCTCCGCCTATCACAGTCCACCCGCATTCTCAAACCGCCAATCTTCATTAATCGACGGCCTTTTAAATCCACCATTTGCCGATCGCTGCTAATTTGACCAGCTGAGAACTGAGGTCTGTGTAGAGGGAAAAGGAGTTGAGAAGAGAGAAGAGAGAATAATCCCAATCTATAGATAGCAATAGTAATACACGAGTGTTGCAGGTGAAGATGCATCGACTACCCAGATAATAGTGTGGGGATCAATCAATCTACTAGAGAATCCGAATCTACCAAGAACAAACTCATTGTAGAATGTTTTTTTTTCATTTCATCTACTCACAAAGGGAAAACAAGAAAATTTGTATCTGCAGCCTCCTCTCAACTGGCATTCCAGCAACACCGATTAAAATCCCACAGTGACACAGAAATGGAGTGTCCTGTTTCACTGACAGGCAAAGGGTAAGTCAAGTTTATGTACAAGCTGCATAGCCACTGATGATTTATGCCGTCCCCAATAATCCCCCCTCAGACAATGAAGAGCCTGAATCCCAAGAAAATCCAGGGATCCAGGTAAAAATGTGCGGGTATGGGGAGGGGAAACATGCAAGGAAAATACAAAATGCCCGTAAGCAATGGCTCCAAGGAGCACTCGCAATGAAGACATTAGTAGTAGGTGTCCATCGAGGTGCACACTTTGGTACAGCAGGGAATAGGCGAATCAGATCATTCCCTTGGGATGAAAAAAAGATACCTGTACAGGAAGGTGTGTGAAACACCGGATTAAAGGGCAATAAGTGTGAAAGGAATTAAGCGGGGAAGGGAAAAGGTGAAAATGAGAAAAAGCCAATGTGTTGGCGGCAGAGATGCAAATTAGCGGGCGTCGCTGGTCAGGAGAGGAACTCCGATGCATGTGGCGGGGTGACTTGACAAGCCAGGACGTCCGGGTCTTCGTGGGCAGTTTCACGTTGTTGGCGTCGGATTCAAGTAGTCATCGAAAACATAGGAAAGGTTCAATTCACTCAGGTCCACGGCCTGAGGAGTAATGGGTCATGAGGATGGATGTCAGTAGCCCAAGTCAAGTCATTGGTGATGTTCATGGATAGTTGGTGGCGCAGGTTATGTTTTGAAACCGTGCACGGAAAAGGAAAAAGTCGAGAAGCTCGGATATCGTCGAGAGAACAAAAAGGAAACGCTGAATCGTACGGGACTCTGGAGGTTGGAAGGTGGGAAAAAGAAGAAAAAAGAGAGCCCGGGAAGGAAAGGATGATGTGATATCGACGGCAGGATATCAGGTCGGTGGTCAAGAAAGAGGGTTGAAACGGGGTCGAGAGACAAGTCGGAGGAATCCACGCTCTGCGCAGCTTTCAAGGCAACGAAGCTGTCGTTGTCGAAAGCTGAAAGAAAAGGAAGAAGGGAGGTGGAAGGAAACCACACGAAGGGAAAAGAGAAAATGCAAGAAATCAGAAAACACCTCGCTGCAAGAACAAGACACAAAACATGGAAAAATCCACCATGCGCCAGTGCAAAATCACAAGTGCGAAGAGAGATCAATAAGAAAGCATGCGACGGCCAGGTGTCCGATTAGGAACCGGGCTAACAGCAAAGGGCGAACCTAATGGAGATGCCAGAAGACGGCTGCTTCGATCATTTCCCAGACGAGGACGTCCAGTCGGACTATCCTCCATCGGAGATGACTGCTGGCCAAAGGCAAAAGTCTGAGCGCGGTTCAACTTGGAACGCTGCTTGACCTTGCCGAGTCCACGCTCGCAGGCAAATTCATGACCGTCGGCGTTCATTTCAACGTAATTCTGGGGATAGCAGAGAGAACGATGCTCTGCGAAGAAGGAGCTGTAGCCTCCATCGAGAATGTACAGATCGGGGTACGTCAGATTAGGGTAGGAGTCGATATTAACAGCTCTGTCGTGATGGCGAATGTACTTGGCCATGATAGGTGCGCGGTGCGCGGAATACTCACAGTGCAGGATTAGGGCTGTCCGGGACTTGGGAGCGCCGAACAGTTCACCCGCAAGTCGCTCCTTGTCGTTGTAGTTAAGGGCGCCGTTGATATGGCCACCCTCATACTCGTACTCAAAGCGGCAGTCAACAATCATGATATTGTCGAAGCAGTCATTGAACTTCCCGTCAAGAAGTTCAAGCAGAGTGTGCTTGCCGATGCGAGGCAGAGTGTCCGCCTGATCCTCGGGGACGAAGTGAGGAAGCTGGGGGGTCGGCGAACTTTCCAGGTCGCTGATGGACTGGAGGGGTGCATTTGCTGGTACCTTGGCCTCTTTTTGGGCAATCACATCCGCTGGGTGCTCAAACATACTCAATGATCGTCGGCATTGCTTGCGAGGACGCATTGTGGAATGGGAGGGCTTGCGAATGGAGTTGGGGGCGGGCGAGCCGCTGCTACGGGCATGTTGGAAGGGTGGCCGCAGACGGGGTGGAGCCAGGGTGTTCAAGGAGCTATTACGGGAGACCGATCGCTCTTGAGGAGGAGAGTCACCGAACATGTCCTCCAAGGAAGTGGATGTGCTCAACGAGGTCTTGGCTCCGGCGGTGCTGAACCGGAAAGCGGGTGCTTTGCTCTCGTTGTTAGGGCGATTCACTCCAAGCTGAAAGGACTGAGCCTTGCTCTTGGCCAAGCTGGGACGGAGGAAGTGGGGACGACGGCGCCTGCAGGAATTGATCAGTCAGACAATGCTCTCATGGAAGTATATGCTTCGGAATGACCAATGGAAGAGAGGCATGTCTTACTCAAGAGGTGCCCGAGTCGGGGCCTCCATTGGAGAAGCCTGGAGAGGACTGGGTGCTGCAGACATGATAGGCGAGTCCATTGGACTGCACATGGGGGAAGGCGAGTGAACCTCAATCTCAGTGGTCACAACGAAAGCGGGCTTGTGAGGCAGAGGGGACATCTCCATCACATCCATGGCCGGAGATGAAGGGAGAGGCGGAGTGGTCATTACATCGTCTGGGTGTCATGTCAGTATTTGAAGTCTTCGATATCCCTCCCATGTCCTTGATACGAGTACTCACCACGAGCATTAGCCTGACCAAGGATGTTGGAAGTGAACAAAGACCGTCGTGGCGTAGCCAATTGTGGGCTAAAATTAGGGTTAGCACGGATTTAATGATTTGTGTTCATGGCCGTCTTTGTTCCCAACCCTCGAACCCTCAGAAGGTCAACACAACGAACCTTTGATCAATGTGAAAGTTCTGAGACAAATCCGCAGCGAGGCTGGCTGTGGGCGAGGGGATTGGCTTGACATTGAAGTAATCCGGGCCCGACTTCTTCATTGATAGATCCTTGAAGTTGAAGCTATTGGATCCAAACCCGGACAAGGACGGATACGACGTAGGAGCATCTGCGCGGAAGCAGTGACCAAAAAGCATAGAGGGAGGCTGCATGGCAGCCAAGGGAGACGAGTGCTCCATGATTGCAAGGGCTGGGATATCGAATTGCAACTGGACCGGAGTTGATCACGAGGTGATACAGTCGGGGAAGGTTGAGTCAAGTCAAGAAACGAGAGACGACCAATTCCAATGCCTTTTTTCCACCAGCATGAAACCCGGAAAGACGCTTCAAAGAAAACGCTGTATGCAAAATGCAAATGCAAATTCAAGTTCGACCGACACAATGTATGTCCAGTATGTCCACGACCGCCAAGACCGAAAACCACGAGCTCACGCAGACGCAGTCGACAATGACCTTCTCTCAAATCCGGTTCCCAGTACCTCAGATCTCAGATCCTTGAATACCTCGAAAGGCACCCTCACAGCCGCCTGTGGTGAGACTGGAATCTTTCGTGGAGCAGGGGTGGTCGGAGTTTAGAGCGACATGACCGGAGGGGGAACGATCGGAGGGTCGGGATGCAGGAATTGGGGAGGGGCCGGTAGCTCGTGGGCAAGCAGAGTGAGGGGAGGAGAAGTGAGGTACAGAGAGGCCTGGAATTGTCGAAGGAGCCTCTCTCACGGCGGAGGTCGGATGGAAGGGAGAAGGTGAGGTTTGGCGATGAGGTCGAAGGGCATTCGAGGAAGCTGGGATTGTCGTAAAAAAGGGAATTGAAGAGGAAAAAGAAGTGGAACAGCAGGGTTTGAAGAACGAAACTCGTGAAGCTGAAGGGATGGGTCTGTTGCAATGGCAACGCAAGTGGGGAGGATCTCCAGATTAGGGTACGGTATAGTCGGTATTGGTATGGATCTGTATGGATGGTATGGGTGGTATGGATGGTACGGCCAGTACTGGATACCATTCACATACTACTGAGGTAGCCTCACTTCACAAATTGGGTATTTTCCGTATTCTTCTCCGATCTTCACAGTGATAATATTGAATAAGCGACCGAAGGTATACAGTCAATACTTGAATTCTTCTATTCTACTAGTGTACGGAGTACAGTAGAATAATAATATCCTCTAACTATTCTTTCAATGATGGAAATCTATCTCCAGCAGATTCTCTTCTATTGTATCATACGGCGCATGATTCCTGTCGGTACCCTACGTAATGATGCCTCTACACTCTCTCTCTCTTCTTGACGGCTGCAATTGCCAATGCCTCTCCCCTGCCAAAGTGGAGCCTCCGACACATGCTCATCCTGCACTGCGGAGGTGCTTCTCAGGTACGATCGCTTTTGGCTGGTATGCAAGTATGCAGCCTTTCACCCTTTCTTCCAATAGACCACTTTTTTTTAATTCCTCCGAATTAAATCCAGACATAGTATCGATGTGCAATTAACCCTCCCTCCCCCATTCACTTCTCTCTCTTAAGGGGCCCTCTCTGTACAATACACCCGTGGTCTCCCCGTTTTTGGCCCCAGTGGTTGCCCGGACTCCCTTGCCGCCCATCGTTCAGACTAACTGGCTGCACAGCAACCCAGCGCCTATCAGCGTTTCCCGAACCTCCGTTCTCATTTCGGGCTGGCTGAGACGCTCGGTGCACCCCCGTTCACTGGGTGACTTAGTCTCTTAGGGATCTTTGCTGGGACTGCTTAGGGCACCACGGCAGGAGCAGACCTTTGAACCGTACCTTCGGCTCAGAGTAAGCAATCAGCACGTCAGCTCACCCAGGACAAACCTACTATCCTTGGCAGTCTCGGATCCTGGGAGACAGTCTTCAATAGCTGCGCTTAATCCTCGCTAGATATGCTCTCCCCTTCTTCTCTGTCTTTCCCCCTGGCCTAGTATTACTAGCTCTAGAATATTAATGGGGAGAACCAAAGAACTCTCACAGCCCTAACTTCTCGGTTCCAGATTTTATAAAACCGTTGTAAATTATGACAGCTTTCTTCATTATACCATACATCGTACATGATCATAATTTCCTCACACTCCACGTCTAGCGGAGCTCCCATCAATCCTCCCAATAAAACCACCATTCGGTGCGTCTTCTATGGGTCTTCCGTATCCACCAGTACCATAAAAGGGTGTGGTTTTTTTTCTTCTCGTCTCACCAAGCCCATCCCGTGCCGTTGCTCAGGAACCAGAACCACCAAGACGGTGGACAACCCAGCTGAAAAGAAAGAAAAAAACGGAGTAAGATCGAGGCTAAGAACACCAGTGGCAGTGAGTGGGCTCCACAGCCACTAGCAATGTTCCACTCGGTCGGAAAATAGAGCTCAGAAACCTAAACGAGGTGCGCTGCAAGTGATTTTTCGGGATCGGCCAACATATGCAAGGAAGCATAAATCTTGTCCCCAAAGGTTTTAATGAATAGAGTCAAAATGCCATGAGGGGAAAATGAGAATGTTTCCTTATTTGGATAGTTACAACGTCACTGGTCGTTCCATTGATGTGATGTGGAGGATACTGTTACTGGAGAGGTTGCGGAGAACCACGAAACGTATGTACTCCGTGACTCCGGTCGGCGGTCGCACGGTTAGTAACTATCGCCCGAGCAGCTCCGATGAACTACGGAATTTACTCTACGCTGATTAGTCGACAGTGGTAGGTCTCGATCGCGCCAACTGGCAAATAACTTCGGAGGAATAATGGGCGATGACTCGATTGGAACGGGACCAGGGCGATCAGTTACCCCTTGGGGAAGCCAGGCGCGCGATCTAGTCAATTGCAATCAAACATACAGCCAGTAGTCAAAAGTGAACAAGTTGAACCACTTACTCCGAAGGGGAGATAAGCTACTGTAAGATTGGTGAGATTATGGTATCTTGATTGGCCAGGGACATATAAGCATCATGGCAGGGGTATCGTCCCTGCATGAGCCTTGCCCAGGGCTGGGAGGCTACTCGATGCATGAGGATAGCAATACATACAGTACTACACTCGTGTACTCTGTCTGTACTGTCTATACCCCACATCGTGGGCACGGAGGAATTGAAGCCATGCAACAATCTTCACGAAAGGGTAACATTGAGTAAGGAATGGAAAAGATTACTGTAGTTCATTCTTGATCAAAGCGACTATTGAAAATCTGAGATCTCCAGATCTCTCTCTGCCTTGATTTCCACCGTTATCAGACCCAAAATATGGGGTAGAGTGAGGATCATCTCATACCCGTGACGCTGCCCTTACTTGGGGAGCTTCGTCCACATTCTCGTTGATCAAGGGCTCCGCGAGGGGAATTCAATGACGAGCATCCCTTCCATCCACCCCCTTGGGCCCTTTGTAGGGTTGATGGTCTTTCAAGGGTAACACTACTAACAGTAAGTAATTAAGCTATTAAGCCCTGGTAGTGCGCGAGACATTGTAGTTTATTGCAGGTCCCTCGTTCTGCCCTGGACCGGGTGACTCTGGGTATTGGCCGACCATTTCACACGGGGCAACCATCGCGTTTCCTGAGCAATTCTGGGGTTGCTCCGGTATTCGATCGATTATGAAGGCATCGTGGACATCTTGATGGTGATCGTAACGATGCTGATACTGTATGATTCTTCCGATCCGATCGGGTTGAGTCGTTTAGGCGTATTCGCCAGACGTCATTGATTGAATTAACCGCACAGCACACCCCCATACTATTGTGTATGGATGGTATCAAAAACACAGCTATATCGACTGAACCTACACTAATTGAACTCGAACAATACAGCACTAATCCATCTCCATCGAATAGATCCGATCGAAGATCACCTCTACCTCTGCCAATAATACTCAAAACGTCACTCGCAATCTAAAACTCCTCCATTGAACGGGATTCTTTGTTATGATACCCCCCAACCCGTCATAATCACCAACATTGAGCAGCACACAACACGAGATTATCAAAACAACCCCGCTCACAAAATTCGCCACCATGATATCAAAGCGGCTGAAATAACCTGAAACTGCTAGTCGATGGAGTCGACGACAAGGCCAGCCAGTCGCAGTGGGACTTGCGATCAGCACACAGCTCCCAAACTAAATCTTGCACCCCACGTCGTGTGTGGTGTTGTGCTATTCTGGGCTCGCATTGGACCCCCTCTTCTTTGATCACGCTCTTGGTGAAACGCCGACCTGCCCGTCTCCCACCCCGCCGTTGTCCCGGGATTCCCTCGGTCGAGGCCCGTCAGCTCAGGTCGCAGCAATTCTACTCAATGCATCCCAGCTTGCATTTGGTTGCAGCGCTCGTGCGAGTCTGTCGACAGTCTGCATGTCTGTAGAGGGACCGGGATGATCGGGATTGTGGGTTACGGTGAACACTAACACGTCGCACTGTCTATCAATCAATTAATCAATAATGGACCGACCGTATGATGGTCCGTGGGGCTACGTCACTCTCCGGATGATATTCTGAATCTTGCTCTACTGCTCCGGGCTAGACACTCATCGCCAATGATCATGATGCCTTCATGACGTCTTGAAGCCTTGAAGACATTCAAACAAAGAGGTCATTGTTTACGAAACGCGTTGGCCTTTTTAGGAACATTGTTTTGATCTGGGGTTAGGGCCCTTCAGAACCCAGCGCAGCGCTCAGACGGTCAGATAGCCGCCTGCAACCCTCAATGTCGACACCAATCAGACCAACGAAGCGGCTGCAATAACAGACTGATAACCCGCCCTACACTCCTTCGCATTGACATGGACCAGGGTGTTTGGTCGGGCATCCCGATCTTCCTTTGTCTTTCTCACAGCCTTCCCTCTCGTTTAGGCTGCGCCACGACTACAAAGACCCAGACCTCTAGGCTCTGGGGTGGGGTCAATCATCGCGATGATATGACCCGTCAGCTGCGTCACAGCGCCATGTGCGCAATCGGCCAGTCGCATCGAGTCTTGGTCTGGTCGCAACTCGCAGCTGCGGGGTTCATCACATCTTCTCTCCCCGTGCCATGCCTGCAGCCCAGACAGATCTGGACCACTTTCCCCCTCCTCCATGGACCTGGCCCTATCGTGATGTCAGAATTGATTCGATACTTTCTGGCCATGTACCACTTGAAGCTCCGACGCGTACTGTAAACAAAGCAAACTTTCCCGCCAACGCGAACCGGATGCGCAATCCCGTGACCGGCATCCAACCAGAACTCGCCAATGCCCCATCCAGTGACATCAGATGATAACATCGAACAACGAAACAACAACACAAATCAATATTAACCTCCATGGATCTTGTTTCTGGTTTTCTGGAAACGCATCATCCATCATGTTTATTGTTTTGGCGCTGACGATACGAACCTGCAAGTCAGATCTTCATCTGACAGCCCCAATACTTGAATTACCCTTACCACAAATACCATCTCTCATCTCATCTCGGCCTCCCCCCTCAATCTTGTTCCTATGCTACAATGCTTGGGCTATGTGCCTTGAACTATTCCCTACGGGGTATCTAACCTCCACTCCACAGTCCACTACTCTTTAGCCTCTCTCACCCATCCCATCGCGCCGGGAAATCGCAGCCCCCATCTTTCAAGGCGCCCAAAATCAAAATTCAATTTGTCACTAAAAATTCTCCAGTTCGGCGCCGCCGATCTACGGCGCTATTGAAATGCCCCGGCTACGAGTCTACTCAACAGCCATGCTCTCGGCTGCGTGCCTGTCAGCCGCCCAGAGCCCGTAGACAAAGCGCCCGTCCGTTCCCCTCCCCCTATCCTCCGAACCGTCCTGTGCTGTACAGTACCCCTCCCCCTGGCGGTGGCTGACATCTATGCTCTTACTGCTTACGGTTTCTCTAGAGCCTCATCTCATAGGGCGACCGAACACGGGGTAGAAAAGTAAGATACATTACTGTACGGAGAAATCCGTCTCCTCCCCATAATCCATCCATCCAGGGTAAATCGTAAATTAAATGTTCACCCACTAACCACTCTAGCGCACAGCCCCGATCGTGGCACGGGATGGCCGGTGCTCCATCGGCTCCCGGGTTACCATTTTACGCCGTCGCTGATAGATCACAGACAGGTTTGTCGCCTCGACGGACTAAGTTTATAGGCTAAGAGCTTGAGGCGAGTAGCGCGGGCAATAGTTGATTAGTAGCCCGCAGAATGGATTTTTGGGAAATGGGGCTCTTTGTTTCCCGCTCCGGATAACTCCATGCTGTGGGAAGTCACCACTCTCTGGAGTAGTCGATGATTCATATTGGAAACCGTAGTAACTGAGTATGCAGACTATAGTGTATGGAGAACGGAGTACTCCGTACTGCAATAGTCCAAATCCAAACCCGCATTAATCAAATCCCCAAGGTCAGTTCAATTGCTTTTTCCTTTCCCTCTTCCACTATCCTCTATACGGGGCACAGGCACACTGTACAGTTGACCTGGACGCTGTGATCTGTGATACAACGCCCGGCCAAAAAAGCAAAACACCCTTATCTTCGCGCCTTGTTGCCTCATTCCTCGGAACCCCTTTAAATAGTCTTCATTTTTTCCCACGCTGAATGCTGATCCCGCGGTTAGCTGTTAGCTGTCAACCGCGCACTGCAGGAGGGCGTCTGCATGGTTGACCCACGTAGTCCACTCCACGCCTTGTCAGTCGCTATCGTTTGTGCCACATTGATGCAGGAGGAGGTTAATCTGTAGCTCGTTCGGGATGAGATTACCTGTGGAACTTTTTGAAAAGTACAGTAGATCTCGTTGCTGGGGTTGCGGGTGGGACTCTATGAGTCCATATGGAGTATAAAGTCGAGAGTACTCCGTTGTGGACATGTGTTTGATTCGGGAACTTTTGTGTTGTATCTATTCCATTTGGCCATGCGGTGTCAGTCCCTGTGCATGATACCAGTAGATTCGATGCGTAGAGTATACTACGGAGGATACAGTACTCCGTACCTGCAGTAGCCATTGTAGAACGTGTGCTCGAATATTGATGCATCGCTGCCTTAGCTACATACTCAGCATAATTCATTGAAACACATCAGATTCCAACTCTCTACAAGTCCAGCTGTACCCCGTATACACATCCACATTTTCAAGCCCAGAGTTTGCTTTTCTCTATCTTTTCTTTTTCCAAGCCAACGCACATATGGATCCCCCATCCTCCATCTCTCCTATTTAATCCCGCCACGCTGTACAAATTGCTCCCGGCTACCCAGACAACGAGCCATCATCCAGACTCTCCACGGAACCGGGCTCGCGCATTCAAACCCACAGTACGCAATGGCATGGGCTCAGTAACTACAGTAACTGACGATCGCTTGATGGACTTTGAACTATTTAGTCCGGATTACATTTATGCCGTCTTGTCCATGCAAATGCCAGGCCTAGATCCTCGGACCGTTGTACATCCATGCTTACAATGCAGCAATTTACATACCCCTGAACACCTCTCACAAAGAACTTGTCAGATTACGAGGCGATGAGCTGCGGGTTTTGAGGAGATTCCTTTGGAAATATTGGAAAGACTGGAACTTGAAAGAACGAAAAAACATGTAATGACATGGTGAAAGATTGGAGGTTTGATCGGCTTCGTTTTTATGTGGTCGGGTTGATGGGGTTATGGTTGATGATGGGGGTACGAGGATGCCCGGCGGTTGAGGCGATTGATTTGGAGAGAAAAGTTTCATTTCAGGGCTGGTTGATAGGCTTGGGGCGTGAGATATATGGACTTATTTTTGGGTAGTTCGAGTGGCTTCATTCGAGGCATTCGTGGCTCAATCTGGGATTTTAGATCTGTGGATTATGTTGTGTGGTGTCATAGGGAGATTGAATATATATCGAGAATCTTAACATTCTGCTACTACATGTACATTGAATCTAGTAGCCAGTGGGATCAAGCCAGTGTATTTCTTTCGCTACAAGCACCGACAAAGAGGGCTGTTTTCTGTTCATATTCAACTCCATTATTCAACTTGGGCTGTGAAGATATGTCTTTGCTTAAAATCGATGTATAGATCCTCATGATAGTTATACCCGCAGACTTTCTACCAAGGCCCAAATGCCAAGCATTACCCAAAAGACCATAAAACTCATCTGTGAAAATAAGGTATACTATTTTGACATCTATTGTACTTTACCAATTTCAAATATCATTCTCTCACCGATTGAGCTTGCACTGGTGATACCACGCGAGAGTCTAAATTGATAAAGGACAGCTCTTATCAGCTTATCGGAACACGCTAACCCCAAACAGGCAATCGACTCCCAAATTTTCTGCGCCTCCACGAGCAATGCTACACGCTTCCCCAGCAAGGAGCACCAACTCAGCAGCTCCAATCTCAAAGCTGCAATTTTCAAGAGCCATAGCAGAAAGCTAATTGGCTTCCGATCTCCATACCACCAGAAAAAAAAAATGGGGTTCGACAGATACGCCACGAAAAAGCGCCGTCGCGAACCGTACAATGTCGACGTGAAGCTCGTCGAGATCTACGAGGATCTCGCCAGCGAAAAGGACGAGATTCGTCTGCGTGCTGCGCAGGGCCTTGTCTCACAGTTCACTCCCGATAAGAACCCGACCGATGAACAGATCAAGAAGACCCTTCAGCGGCTGTTCCGCGGACTATGCAGTAGCCGCAAGGCTGCTCGTATTGGATTCTCCATTGCGCTGACTGAGGCCCTGACTCAGATTTTCTCGGCTGAGAGGGAGTCGGCTGAGTTTGGGATTGCGGATGCGCTGAAGCTTTGGGAGTTGCAGTCCAACTCCACTGGCAGTGAGACTGGACAGGTGTGTTTCCTCAAAGCCGTGAATCCTAAGGCGATTGTGCTAATCTGAGATCTTTTTGGTTAATAGGAACAACGCGATCACCACTTTGGCCGCCTCTTCGGTGCGGAAGCAATTATCAAGTCCTCTATACTCTTCCAACCGTCTACCCCGTTCACCGAATGGACCAAGGTCCTCGATCTCATCTTCGAACTCGCTCACAAAAAGCCATGGTTGCGCGAGGAATGTGGTTGGATTCTCTACCGCTGTGTCTACGATCTCTCCGCGCGTAAGATGGACGATAAGTACGTCGAGGCTGCTGTCGAGCGTCTTTGCTCGCACGACCTGGCCCGCTCTCCGGAAGGTGTGGCTGTCTGGCTGGCCGCTAAGGACATGTTCCCCAAGGCTGATTTGCCGAGCAAGGTTTGGAAACACGATGACCCGCTGGACCCGAAGGAGCGCGGTAGTCTGTCGAAGATCATGAAGGAGTCATCTGCCGAGCAGACCGAGGGCGAGAACAAGGGAAACAAGTCGTCTGGAGTGTGGAACTCGAAGCTTCATTTCGCTTGGGATGCGGTCATTTCTCGCACCAGCGAAGTTCCCAAGGAGGGTAGCTCCAAGTCCAAGTCCAAGTCCAAGTCTGCACGTCTGAGTTTCGTTGACTTTTGGACCGAGGTTGTCGACAGTAAGTTTTCAACATGAGTTAGACCCCAAAACATTCCAGTACTAACTGTCTTGTCATCTAGATGGTCTGTTTGCCTCCTCATCCTCAGACGAGCGCAAGTTCTGGGGTTTCCTCCTCTTCAACAAAGTCCTGAACGAGGGCTCACCCCAGCAGGCGAACCACATTTTCACAAAGAACCTCGTCCGATGCCTGACGAACCAGCTCGCCGTGGAGGATCGCTACCTGCACCGGATGGCCGTCAAGGCTACCAAGGCAGTCCAGACTCGCGTGTCCAAGGAGCCCGGTTTCGCCGCAGCCGCAGTCCGTGGCCTGATGGGAACCAGCGAAATCGTCAACTTCGATCAAGCCACCAAGACCAAGACCATTGAGAAGATCGTGGCTGATGCCAACAGTGATGCTCTTATGGAGATCATTCCCGTGTTCGAGAAACTTATCCTGAACCCCGGCACTACCGAGGAGAAGGCTGCTGCGTCGAACCGCCAATTCGTTGCTGGTCTGTTGTTGTCTATCGTGCGTGCAAAGTCCGCTACTGGAAACAGTGACTCCGAAGAGGACTATCAATCGGTTCTCGAGCAGATCTTGTTCATCTTCGTGCGCTTTGCCTACTTCATGGACAGCGCGCCGAAGCCTGCATTGTCACAAGCGACCCAGGAGCTGTTGCGCAACCGAATCAATTCTTCCCTCAACAGTCTGCTTGCTTCTCAGAAGTATGCCGCCACAATTCCGTATGCTGTCGTGCGCCAGATCCGCGACGGTGCGAAGTCGCAGGAGCACGGCAAGTTCATTATCAACATCGATGATAAGCTACAGGACTCGGTCAAGGCTGCCTTCAAGTCATTGAAGAAGTTGTCCAGCAAGGTATGTCATTTGCAGCTACTCCCTTCCATTTTGTTCCCTGCTAATACGATTCTACAGGAGAAGAAGGGAGAGACCTCCAGTATCGCCGCTTTCAAGCTTCTTTACTCCTTGACCGTCTTGCAGGTGTACAGTGGTGATGCCGATGCTGTCTCTATGCTCGACGAGCTGGAGTTCTGCTATACCAAGTTCTTGGGAGAAGACTCCAAGACGAAGGATACTTCCGATGCCTCAGATGCTCTGGTTGAGATTCTCCTGAGCTTTGCCTCCAAGCAGTCGCAGCTGTTCCGCCGTATGAGCGAGCAAGTCTTCGGCGCTTTTGCTGACCAGGTCACTGAGAACGGCCTGGAGTCGTTGATTTCGGTACGTCCCAAACATTTACATAACCATTGTTCGTGGTCTAACCCTTCGTGCAGATTCTGGAAGCTAAGGAGAGCCTGGCTGGTCAACAGGAGATGTTCGAAGAGCAGGATGATGACGATGACGAGGAAGAGGACGACGACGAAGACGACGTTGAGATGATCGACGTCGACGATGAAGACAGCGACGTCGAAGTCGTCCTCGGCGGAGGCGCCTCCGACTCCTCCTCCTCAGAGGAAGAAGCAGACGAAGACAACGAAGAAGACGCCGCCGAAATAGCCGCCTTCGAAGCTAAGCTCGCCGCCGCACTAGGCACCCACCGCGCCGACGACGGCAAAGACTCTGACTCCGACTCAGACGCCGACATGAACGACGACGAAATGGATGAAGTCGACGAAAAACTCGCCAACGTCTTCCGTGCCCGCCACCAAGCCGCCTCTCAACACAAAGACAAGAAAGACGCGCGCGAGAACATGGTCAACTTCAAAAACCGCGTCCTCGACCTGCTAGAGATCTTCGTCAAGAAATGCCACTCCCGGCTCCTGGCCTTGGACCTACTCCTCCCCCTCCTCAGACTGACGCGCCGCTCGACCGTGAAGCAGATCGCCAACAAGGCCAACAGCGTTCTCCGCGAGTACACCAAGCTGTGCAAGGGTAATGCGCTGCCTACTATTGATAGCGAGGACGGTCCTGAGGCGATTTGGGAACTGTTGCGCGCTATTCACAAGGAGGCTAGTCATAGTGGCCCGCCTGCGCATGCGACGGCGTGTAGTCAGGCTTCGCTGCTTGTGGTTAAGGTGCTTGTTGGACAGGATAAGGCTGCGATTGCGGATGTGGTTGATGTTTATGCGGAGACGAGGAAGGCGCAGTTGATTAGCACTAAGTGTCATATTCAGCCGTCTTTCTTTACGGATTGGAATAACTGGTGTGTGTCGGCTAGTAAGCAGTTGAAGAATTGAGTGGACTGTGGCTAGGTAGCTGTTGGTGTATATAGTTGGTGTCTATTTTGGCACTTGTTATTCCCCAAAAATATGTGTTTTCATTTTCTATAAAAGGTCTTCTATTGGAAATGCTATCTAGATACCGCTAATATAAGGACTGCGATGAGCTTTCAAACAGAGTCCATTGAACTTGGCTTGATGGACCAAGTATCGTGGTGAACAGTATGTCTCTCACTTTCACTCCGCATAACATAAACTCTGCGACAGTAGAGACTTGGTCTACACTTTTTTAGTGTAGTACCTTTCAAGTCACTCAACGTGAGCGGCGGAGATATTTCAATCTGACTGCATTCCTTTCAAACTCCTAACCATCTCACGAAAAGCCACCGTCGAGTCCGCTGCAACTTCATCCCTCATACTAAAGATCTGTGGGTGTTTTACCAGCTTTTTCGCTAGCCACCAGTACTCCAACGCATGAACCATAAACCCCGACGGGCCCATCGATGAAAGCTGAAGCTCTGCATATTTCGAGTCCCATATGAGTTTCCATCTATCCAAAGCACGCTCCACAGGTTTAAAAGCTTCCGGGATGTTGATGATGGATGCTAGCGCTTGGAGGTCAAATAAAACGCAGTGAAGTGCTGGATGAAAGATCAGGTTAGTCATTATCAAGATGAATGGGTGCGGTCATCCTACCACTTAAGATAAGGAAAAGTCCAAAGAGACTGTCAATTTGTAAGTGCTCCACTTCCAGATTGAGTGGCTTATTATCCATCAAGCGTTGCACTACCGATCGAAGAGTCGGAGGTGCAGCTTGGGAGGTCTTTTTTACAAGAACATCGCTTGCTTCAGCTGGGTTGATCGCATCGAATATAGCGTCGTGTGTTGGCAAGCCAAACTCTGCTTCAAAAAGTCTTAGTTGAGGAGGCGAGTGATAAAAGATGACGCAATAGGCGTCAAGAAGACAAACCCACGCCATGAGCCTACATCTTTCATAAGTAAATAAAAATTGCATAGATGGATGGCATAACTAACCTCACAAGAGTCTCTTTGTGCGAACATTCCTCCAGGGTGGCAATTTTACCATCGAGAACGATATCATTGACAACTTTGGTGAGATCTAATAATCGAACCACAGATATCAAAGTCGGCAGCCTCTGGACCCGGATTCGTCTCTTTATTTCCACATCGTGCTGTGAGCCCTGTAGCTCGATGACCAGTATTGCCGCTTGGATAAGTTGTATGATTTCCTTAGAAATGACTGAATGTTTTTTCTGCCGTAAAAGTTGTTGGAACTCAGGTCCCTCAAAGATAAGGAACTCAACAACATGCAAATACCCATTGTAAGCTGAAGCATTCTCGGGGGAAGCATAAGTCAACCCGAAGAGTAACATAGCCAGGACGAGATACCGTGACGCAGTATTGACATTGAAAGAGGCCTTGTGGATGAAAGGATTGCTGCTGTATGCATATTGGAAGAATGCATTCACGAAACGCATGATACTGGCCTCCGAGACGAATGCACGGGCTCTCGTGCGGTCAGACTCGATATCCGAAGTGTAGGGGAGACGGGCCTGGCCAAGACAACGAAATAGCTCTTCGCTTGTTCTTGATAAGCTCGGGTAGTCGTCTAGTCCGTATAACAGGTCGGGATGTTGAGAAGTAGTGTCTAACGCAGACGGGTTTATGAAAGCGTGAAAGAGAAATGGCCACGTTTCTGTGAACTGGCCCGACAGGTTCGTGGCCTCGAAAAGATCATCCTCATGTTGCTCTGCTAATCGTCGGTGAAAGTCGTCGGGGCAGTTGAGAAGGAAGGAGATTGATATTCGCCGCTGAGAGCTTTGACGAGTTTTCACACATGATTCATTGGTTGCGGGGTCTGGCGGGTGCAACTCGGAAGTTCCTTGATCATAGGTGTCTTGACTGGTAACTTGCTGTTGCTTTACGCAACTGTATGAGCAATCTAGACCCTTGAACAGACAAGTCTCGCAGGGAGAGTCCCCATCACAAGCCACACGTCCGAGTGCGCATGTATCGCAGGCTTTGCGCTTCCTGCCGCGTTTTACCGGTCCAAGTGGTCGGTTATCTTTCTGCTTGCAAGTTTTCGAATGACGAAGCAGGACATCACTGAAGGGTAATATCAGTGAAAAAGAACAGATTTGAATCCATTTATAGGAGGATATACCTTCGGACAAACCGGCGATCACAAAATGTACACACGGCGGGTCTTTCAGAAGAGTCTGGAGCAGATATTGTCAGTTTTGGAGGTTTAAATCCAGGGAGCTTTGAGTCTCACGAGTTGCCTCGTGTCGTCGTAAATGACTTGAACTAGAGAATTGTCGAGCACATTGATGACATCGAAGCTCTCGCCTTGAGATTGAAGCAGACATGGTTGGGATTATATCGGAGGCGAAGAAAGGGAGAAGACGGAGAAATTGTCCCACGTTCACAAGATTCCAATGGTTTTGCCACATCGCGACCGTTTAACAGACCGGCCAGCCTTGCAATGAAGCGCAGATGAAGTCCTCAAGGACACAACAAGTTCCACTCCAGCAATTAGTTAGTTGATTTTTACTTACTTTGGAAAATGATCCATGTCAAGAATAATCCTCCTTTATCATTGGGACAAGTATAACCCACTCGAAAGATAGTCGGGAAAACCCACATGGTTCGGGGAAACCCACCTCGTGTAAGGGGAGTATATAACGACTCTTTTAAAGGAATTTTTCTTCAGAACTGTACTTCAGTTCAAACACTATCTTGGCCTATTCAGTGTCTCCACATCAGCCTTGTCAACTTTCTCAAGTCCAGTTCTCATTTTCTTCGAGCGGTGATACGCTCAACCAAGAGAAATGCCTCTGAAATCTTGTTCCGCGGCGCTTCATGGTAAGTATTATGATCTATGTATAGAGATCTAGTGACTTACTAACGCTTTGCTTTCGAGTGTCCTTTCGTGCGAGGAACTCGAATCCCCTGTTACACTCGCAGCGCTTTATATCGAGAAGCATCCTCGATAACCCGAATCAACAGCGACAGCAATCAACATCCAAAGTAATCGAGGCCCGCGAGTCGTTAAAGAAACAATTTCCAGGATCCAAGACTGCCATATCAACCTCTCTAAAGTCCCCAAACAACACAGCAGAGCACGTCTTGTCAGTACCCATCCCCACGCACAACATCCCTCCACTCAAGACACTAACACAACCTTTTCACAACAGAACATCCTTCGACCAAATAGTAAACTGGGCCCGCCAAAGCTCCCTCTGGCCCCTAAGTTTCGGCCTCGCCTGCTGCGCCGTCGAAATGATGCAAGTCTCCATGCCACGCTACGACCAAGACAGATTAGGGATAATCTTCCGCGCATCCCCCCGACAAGCCGACGTGATGATCGTAGCCGGCACTGTAACCAACAAAATGGGCCCAGCACTTCGGCAGTGCTACGATCAGATGCCGGATCCAAAATGGGTTATTAGTATGGGCAGTTGTGCCAATGGGGGCGGCTATTATCATTATAGTTATAGTGTTGTTAGGGGTGTTGATCGGATTGTGCCGGTTGATGTGTATGTTCCTGGTTGTCCGCCGACGCCGGAGGCGTTTTTGTATGGTATTTTTCAGTTGCAGAAGAAGATGAGGAGGACTAGGGTTACGAGGATGTGGTATAGACGGTGATGGATGGATTGGAGTTCTTTGTGGATGGAGGTTGCGTGGGAATGGTTTCTAATTTGTTGATCTTTATCCTGGTTCTTCTTCAATTAGATGGGCACTTTCATTGTTTAAACCGTCGTAAGAAGAATTTGAGTGATAGTTCCCCCGGGAAATGATAAATTTGGACTACCACTTCGTGCTTTGCCGGTTGGTCCAACCAGGATAGCCATGCTCGGTACAGGGGCTCCCGAGAGAGAATATCATACTTCCGTCTTGGTTCAGACTCGATTCCTGCAAAGCATAGCCTTCTCGTTCAATCTCCACGAGACCCATCCTTTACATTCCCAAAAAGTATCCAAGTAGCAAAATACCGTCTTTCAATTTCCCCTCCAATAAACCAATTCAAAAACCAGTAACATACCGATGTTGATTTGTCTCTTCAAGTACCTCCAACTTCATCCCCACCTCCACGAGCCCCTCACTCCTCGGTGCAGCCAACATCCCAAAACAAGGCTTATACTTGATCCCCTCATCCACCCGACGATACGAAACCAGCGTATCCCAGGGTTGTTTCTTATGTTTCACCGCCGTATCCGGGTCTACATTTGGTACTTGGCAGCGTGCACAGCGGGCGACGATGTCCAAATCGAGCGGTGGATGGTTAACCTTTTGTTTAGAGATACCGGTACCGCTGGTATCTGAGACGGTCTTCTTGGTTGAAGTGCAGGTGCGAATGCGAACAGTCTTCCACGAATCCTCGACCCAGGGCGTTTCACCGCGAACAATAATATTCGGTCTGAATCGCTCAACGGTAATAGGATCGACGTCTATACGACGAAGTCGAGTATTCAATTCAGCCAGTGATGCCTCCGAAGCAATCAGAATGGGGAACACGTCCGGGAAGCCTATGCTCTGGACACGACCCAGTAGCTTCGGCGCGCCATTTCCTTTCAGCACGCGCGGCGTAGGACCCTTGTACACCAGCGCGACAGCACGGCCCATGAACTCTGAAAAGGGGGCATTGATAGCATCGCTGTAGATATATCCGTCTGTATCATTATCCCAGATTTTGACTGATGCCACGACAGTGTTGATCTCCAGCCACTCCGGTGATGGATGAGATGGGATTCTGACAGTGGTGACAGCATGCTTCTTATCGGTGCTTTTGCTTTCAGTCTTGGATGGATTAGGAATGGTAATCACCAATTCACTTCCATCAGCACTTAACCCTGTCCCGATACGAGTCATATCGGGGATTTGACGAATAGTCAGAAACTCGTTTGTGGACGCATCAACCAGCATCCAGCGCCGATCAAGATCGAGACCGTGTTCTTTGAGGATGGTAGATTGGACCTCGAAGCCTCGGCAGGACTTAATGGGGTACATGCGTAAGGAGACGATTTCACTGGATTGGCGGCGCCAGTGCCAGTGCCAGAGGTTGTTGAGGCGTGAGGAGGAGTGTTTGGTCCATCCCTTCAATTGGGGGATCAGGATGAGTGGTAGTAGAAGGAGGAGGACTCCTAGGATTAGGGCTATGAGTGGTGGGGTTGGATGTATATCCAGCATGATTTTGGTTTAGGTGTGTGTGTGTGGGGGGGTGTTGGATGGAGTGGGAGAATGTAGGAATGAGATTTGGAAATATACTTGGAGTCATCGGCTTATTACCTCAGGTTTCCCCGAGGTACGGAGTATAGTTCTGTGTCTTACTGGAAATTTTCGAATATTTCGTAGATGACCAGTTAACGGATGTATTTATCTGTATTTTATGAAAGAATTGGTTTTGGAGGTCTTTACGAGAGATTGATAAGCATCCGTTCTAGCCGTTTTGCCGATAAGGGCCGCCTTGGTGCCTGGCGGTAGATGATGTCGTATTCCATGACTCCATTTGAGCCGGGGTGAGATTACTTTGACTTGTATGAAAAATCAATTTTAACCTAGAGGCTTTCTGAGAAATTCAATATGGGTGAGCATGAGATATGAGGGATTGTCAATTTAGAGCTTTCAAGTCACAGGTCATTGCGGTTAGCATGTAACCTACGGTCACATGATCATCATACGAGGCTACATGATCATCATACGAGGCTACATGAACATCGATTGCGATCAATATTTACCATCTCGTGCGGGGATTACGTGCGCAGATGCTTAAATTATTGGGATGACTCAATACTTGACTGATATTCAAAGCCCTGCCGCGAACTCCCCCTTCTTTGTACTCGAGCCCTTTGCTCTATTATTTGACGGGCTTCTAAAGGCAAGAAAAATATACAGAGCAGTGAACATATACAATGACTATCTGCAGGGATGATGAAGATTCAAAATAAGCGACAGATAAAGTTATAAGTCATAAATTAAAACTATCAGAAAAGCACCATGCGCGCATCATATGCGAACGAACTAAGATAAACCCGAAAAGTACCATAACCCTGCTACAGATCCCAGTCTGCAACAGATGCAAAATCGAAAAAAAAAACATATCAGAAAAATACCTACATCAACGCAAGCGCTTCATGCCGAAAGGTCTCCGGGGGCAGCCTTACACCAGGGACATGCCCACACATACTTCACCCTGCTATACATGAAATATCAACGATCTTACTCAAAGATGGACTATCACGCAGAACTCTTCCTCTTCTCATCAATCCAGCAGGTAACCATAGTCTTAATCAGCGCGAGCGCAACCTTCCGTCCACGCTCAACATCCGCATCCTCCGAACCACCAGGAACATGCAAAAAGAGCACATTCCGATCCACACCCTGCCTCTTCGCCAACGAAAGACTCGTGTAGAAGATAAAGTCGCAGAGATAATGGCCCGGATCCTGCGAGACACGCAGATCCAAGTGCTCCGGTGTATAAGACTTCCATACATGCAGGAAATGGTCGTCCGGCGGGTAGGGCACGGTCACCCTAGTAGTAGTGGTGGTGGTGGTAGTAGTCAAGCCAGAGCTAAATGACTGGTTACTATTCTTAATATCATCTTCCGTCGCAAGACCCGGGACAAGAACAGGCGGAAGACCCATCTCGCGCCAGCGTTTCTCCCCGTCCTCGTATCCGTTTCGACCCTCGATATCGGTGATGTTGTAGTCGTCGCGGTGGGCGAGGGATTCGACCGAGTAGTAGGGTCGGGGCGAGGCGATGCCGATGTGGATGATTAGATCTGGTCGTCGTCCGTCGTGGGTGGCTGCGTATTCCTCCATGATTAGAGGGAGAGTTTCGCGTACGGTTGCGTATGCCACGGAGATGGGAGATGGGTGGACGTGGAGGGAGATGCGGCGTTCATCGTTGGTGTTATCGGTGGTTGGGTGTGAGAAGGTAAATGAGGGAGGAAGAGATGAGGCGATGAGAAAGGATGCGTTGACGAGATTGGTTTTGAAGGGCTGGATGGATGGGGTGGTGTGTTAGTCTTACGTTAGATCTTATCAGGGAATGAGATGCATAGGTGAATGGATGGGATGGGATGGAAGACAGAGTGATGTGCTGCTGCTGCTCTCGGGATCGGAAACAGGAAAGATCCGGTTGTAGATCAGTTGTACATCAGTGGGTAGCAACTTACGCCAAATCCCGTTACCAGCACGGAGATCTCGTTGGGACCCTGCGGGGGCTGGGAGGGTTGGCCCACCGGGGAGGAGTCGGTGGATGGGACGACGGGGCCGTAATCTCCCATGGTGAGAGTGGAGAAGGGATAGATGTAGAGATGTGAGGTAATACAGAGAGTCGAGGATGAGCAACAGGGAGAGAGAGGAAGAGGGGACGAGGAACGAGGGTAAAGAGTCAAGAGTCAAGACAAGACTCACTGCGGGGAGTGGCTGGATGTAGGAATGCGGGGACTCGGTGCTGATTGGTGGGGTACACTGGGGAGCTCTGGAGTCCTGATAGTTAGACTTTGGGTTCTACGCACTTGGGGAGACTTTGAATGAGCTTGTTACCTAATGGTGATAAAAGGCACTAGTAGATAGTTAGCATGCATGGCCAGAGCTCGCTATATTATTAGGAGACACCTTAACTATAGTAAAATTATGGATGACTTTAAAGGTCAACGTCAGCATCTTAATTTGAAGAGACTGAACTACGATAATTATAACTCTATAATTTCCAGAATCTATAGTTTTGTACTCTCTTGATTGTATAGTATCTCCGACAAATGAATCTCTCACCTTAACTCGACCGTGTCTCACTCTGACATCGGTCGTGACACCTGAGAAGGTCTCGGTATCCTATCCGACCCGTCCCCTACAGTAATCGTCATTCCTCTTAGAGCGAGTATTCTGCGCACAGACATATTCTAAACAAGGGAGATCAAGCTAGCACCACCTTACCTCCAGCTTAATCCCTGATCTCTGATCTAACCCAAACCCCCAAATGACCACTGCGTATTAATCGTATTCACCCAGTGGATCCCCCCCCTGCCATCTTCTCTCGATTTGCCTAATCAGGCAGGGATCGATTCTGCACACCCTCGTTCTCGCATTCCTTTCTCTATGATCCCAGTACTCCTTTCCAGAAAAGGTTTAAGGTTAGCCCTGAGCCCGCCTCTGAGGGACAATCCTACTAGTTTCCATAAATGGTCTACTCTTCGGAGTCTCCCTTTTCGGAGCCCTACCCTAGAACCCTTAGTCTGACCCCCAATTGATCGACTCTCGGTTGGCCCAACTTCCGGCTGTGGCGCTGATGGGGTCACTGTCTCTAGGCTTCGGCTGGTCGACTCCCGAAAATCTAATGAATAATACTCACGATCTGATGTTTCTTATTCTAAGAGAGAGGGGAGGGTGGAATAATCCATAACATATTGGCTCTGACTGGCCCGAGCGCAAGCATGGTCCTTTTTCCTATAAAGTGCTTTTATCCGGCAGACTGGCGGGCAGGGTGAGCACTTTCCTCCAGAGTGTTTTGGTCCTGTCTTTCTGCTTGATCGTTTTCATTCTCATTCTCATTCTCCCGTCGGTGAATCCAAACCATCTTTTTCAAATTTCTTAGCTTCAAGCTGGCTGGTCATGGCTCTTCTAGCCGAACTTCTGGCCACACCCTACCTGGCCCAGGCTTTATGCGTGGCTGTCCTGGTGCTCTTCGTCTCCAGCTTCTGGCAGGATCTGACGGATGAGATCCCCTATAGCCGGATTCCATTAGTCGGGAAGAGATGGTGGGATCTGTCAAACAAAAAGGCCAAGGCACGGTTCACGGAGGCTGCGAGAGCTCTAATTGCAGAGGGATTCGCCAAGGTAAGACCGCTATTGGACTCTCCTCTGACAGATATTAAGGACTTAATGCTCACGGGTATGTATAGGGAACAAGCGTCTTCCAGGTCATGGCTACGACGCGCCCCCTCATCGTCTTGCATCCCAAATACGTCGACGAGATCAAAAGTCATCCCCACTTGGACTTTGAACTTGCCACGAAGAAGGTAGGTTACACCATCTTTGTCACATCAACCTCCCAAAACCTAAAAATGGACACGACACTGACCATCACTAGAACTTCTTCGAGGATCGAATTGCCGGTTTCGAGGCATTCCACCCCGCCGGTGCTTCGAGGGTAATCCTGGACACGGTGCGAATCAAGCTAACCCAAGCCCTCGGTATGCGAATCGATATATCTTCCTCGCTTGACCACCCTAACATCGACCAGGCTCATTGACAATCCCACTCTCCATCGAGTCGGCCGCGACATTGAAAGGGACCTTTCCCCCATCAAATGGTACAGTGTCGTCTCTGCCCACTAACACCACCTACCACAATGTTCATGCTGACTGGTTCCATCTCACAGAATGGACCACATACAACTTCTCCCAGAAAGTCCCATACATGATCGCCCGCCTCTCCACACTCGTCTTCATGGGCGAGTCCGTCTGCCGCGACCCAGCTTGGCTCGACGTGTCAGTCAATTACACAATCGACGCCTTCCTCGCCGCCCGCGCCCTGCGCATGTGGCCCTCCGTCCTCCGGCCGCTGGTCCACTGGTTCATGCCCAGCTGTCAAAAGCTACGACAGCACTTTGCCGTTGCGCGGGCTATCGTTGCTCGTGAAATTGAGAATCGCACCTTGGCTAAACAGGTCCAGCTTGGCTCTGGGGGTGCACCACGCCGCGCAGATGCGCTGGATTGGCTGGATGAACTTTCGACAGCGTATGGGTCTGTGTCTGATCAACCGCGTGAACAGGTTGGATTGGCGCTGGCGGCGATTCATACTACGTCTAATCTGTTGACGAATGTTGTGTATGATCTTGCGGCTTATCCGGAATATGTTGAGCCGTTGCGGGAGGAGATTAAGGCTGTTTTGATTGAGGATGGATCGTTGAAGAAGACTAGTTTGTTGAAGTTGAAGTTGTTGGATAGTGTGATTAAGGAGTCGCAGCGCATCAACCCTGTGAGCATAGGTATGTTTCTCCCATCCCGATGCATTCTCTATCTCGTATCCTCCCACTACCATTCTTCGTATCAAATCAACTTACCACTCCATCTTCTCCCACAGTATCAATGAACCGCGTCGCCCTATCCCCAATCCCCCTCTCAGACGGCACCCTAATCCCCGCCGGCGCCACAATCGCCGTATCCGCCCACATCAACGAAGACGACACCGTCTACCCCAACGCCTCATCATACGACGGCTTCCGCTTCTACAAGAAACGGCAGGAACCCGGCCACGAGCACAGACACCAGCTTGTCACGACGACGAGCGACAATTTTAGCTTCGGGCATGGACGCCATGCGTGTCCGGGGAGGTTCTTCGCCGCTAATGAGACGAAGATTCTGCTGGTGCATTTGTTGTTGAAGTATGATTGGAAGTTTAAGGATGTTCAAGGCAGGCCGAGGAATTTTGAGGTTGGGATCGAGAGTATTGCGGATCCGAGTGTTGAGTTGTTGTTTAGGGGGAGGGGGTGTGATGTTGATCTTAGGATGTTGGGGGAGGGTGTTTGAAAGAGGAGGGTTGGTGTGTTAGTTGTGGAATTCGGAGGGTAGAGTGATTCAAAAGTTCTTGATGGTGGTTGTGATGCAATTATGACTATTGATTATTATGCGAATGAGCTTATGTTGCTTGATAGCCCTTCGGACACAATTTATACTTCGCATGGTATCATTCAAGCATCCGCATATTCCGGTATAGCTCAGTGAACATATTCGTTCCGATAAACCCATATCCCTCTCCTAGTAAATCATCCTGATTTTTGTAAATCACCTGGTATATATCCTTGGAACCTACAAATACTAGAGGTTATCCCTGGTAGCTATAATTCCTCGGTCATACCTTGGTAGCTTCACGGCCCGTGACGACAGAGTTTCGGCATTGATCTGATCTGGCTACCACAGGGAAAGGCGGCTGTCAGGTTAAAATGGGATTCATTACCGAAGCGCATAATTGGTACTTAGTATAGAGATTTGTTTCTCAGGACTTTGAATGGAGATGACAGAAGTTCGAGGTCGAGGAGTCCATGAATGCTAGGCGGATATTAGCAGAGCATTGATTATTTTGTTAGGTACTTACTGTAGTGTAGTATGTACAATGTGCATAGTGAATGATGGTGGGAAGGGTCCCGCTGTGGCTACTTTTTCTTTATGGTTCAGTTCCACATGATCGAGATTGAGATGTTGTACTGTAGCACGGACACACGAGATAGTCCATACTCCTCATTGGGATATTAGCACACTATACAGACATTAGTATACCAGACTAAGGATATTTAATAGACTGAGTATACCAAAACCAAAAGTGAACATCCTGATAATAATTAACTGAATGATAGTCGGCATTATGACTCAGGCCAACAAATCAGGTACACACCATAGACGAGGACAACATCTCAAGCGGGACTCCGTCATCTCCCAAGTGGAGTGGAGCCACCCGCCCATCCATAATTAATTACACCTTGCTGTAAATCAGTATCCACAATACCATTATTACCACCATTACATCCACACCAACACGAACATTCATACCCGTCATAAACAGCGCGACACGCGACGCGTCTCTAAACGCGTTACCGCGTCTCCCGTCCCGAAAGAGTTATATTGCCTCCTCTCTCACAAGCTAGTGCGATTTCCCCTCCACGGGGGCGTTTCTTGTTGGTTCTGGGCCCGGGTGGAGTTCTGGGTTTTCTGTTCACCGCACAATTAAATGCGAAAGGGAATGGAATGGAAAAGTAAAAATGGAATTGGTGATTGATCGTCTGTGTAGATAGTGATTTTGATTTTTAAAGGAGCTACTCCTGGAATCTTGTTAGTATGCTAGCTTTGGATTAGTATTTCTTGGTGGTTGTAGTTTTGAGGAAGGAGTACTCCGTACATACTACTGTATAGAGGACAGTTCTAAGTTCCGAAAGCTATGGGCAGCTGCTCGTGCCTACCTTGTACCTACTATTGCCCACAGTCATGAGAGGTACCCGCCACTCTATTTTGCGCAAATGGTTTCCGTGACTTTTCCCCTCCTCCTAGGCCCTGGCACAAAGTCAAAGTCAAAACCTATGCAAAGGACATCACTAATGTACGTACTAAAGCTGATCACCCGACGCAGGCAGCGTGACCGTTCGCGGGAGGATCAGTTCTCTACGGTACTAGAGTTCTGCTTGGGGGGACTTTCAGGGCCCTTGCAGAGAGAGATCCACTAGGAAACTTGGAAAGACGTGATCTTGTACAGTCCCGGTGATCTCGGTTCAGGTCTATGATCGACCGTACAGAGAGCCTGAGAGGTTAGAGCTAGAGCCTATGGGCTTTGTTAAAGTAAATGGTGGTGGGCTCCATCGTGCCCTAGGTGTGAATTGGTATTGGGGTGGACTCCCAGCCCCCTCAATTATACCGTAGAAACTGTACATTGGAGGTACGGTGGAACACAAGATGGAGTACTGGAGCTATTCTTGGGATCATCGAGGTATCATGAAAGTGGTCAATTTGCATACTAAAAACAGAGTATTCATACTATCAAGTATACTATACTCCGTAGTATGTGTAGCATGAATCCTCTGTACTCTATGCTCTGTATAATGTACAATGTACAAAATGTCCCTCTCAGCCCTGGTTATACGGAAAACTCCGTAATGCAATCATCCTCTTGATCAAGCTGCAGTGTGCATCAAGCAAGGTCCGGGCTGCAGGTGGTCCTTCACGACACAGGAAGGACTCGAGGAAGATCTAAACAAACCGAATACATTCCTCGAGTAGGCCGAGCAAAAAAACTCGAGAGTCGTTGGATGGGGTTTGAAGAGGGAGGGGAAATGGAAATAGGCGAGAAAAGAGACTAACTCACTCTGTAGTTAGCTACAGAATTAGGAAACATGTCTAGGAAATCGACTTTTTTAGTCGCGAGTAGCGCAGTGCCTCAGTGCCTCGAGGGTGGGCCGCAAGTTGGGACTGGCCAGTCTGGTACTCGATACCACCAGGAAAGTGCTGGCACCGCCTAAGGAGGGGGTACTGGGTACTTGGAGTAGTGGTACTCCAGTACCATCCAGTTGGTTGTTCCTGTGGCCCCGTTTCGCCCGTCTCTTCACTCTGGTCTCCCCTTCAGGGCCCTTTTCTCTTCCCACCCCCCCCAAGACTTACCCGTCCGCCTCACTGCTGGCGCCCAACCACGACCCTCTCCTCTCTCTCTTCCTCTCTCACCTCTACTCTCTCACTCTCTCACACTCTCTCCTCTTCCCTTCTTCCCACCCCCTTCCCTTTTTCTCCCTCGAAACCCACCTTTCCTCTTTTCTCTCCTCAAATCTCGCTTTTTCTTTTGTATTCGGCGGTTCGGTAATGACGACTCCTTCTGTTCTCTTCGCATTCGCCGGGATGGAGTCGCAGATGTGATTTGGTGATCTCCCCGATATTCTAGATATCCCCGAGTTCCCAGTTGGCGCATTCCGCAGGAGACCCTCACCTTACTCCCTCAGACCGACTCAACCGAGAGGTTCTACTGCACACGCCTTTCACATACACTGATTCATTTCCTTGTCACGCCTCACCTCTTCGCTCTCGTTCGAACTTTTTTTTTCCTTTTCTCTTCACGATTCACGACTCCGACACCCTCAGCGCGATCGCGCGAGCTGCACCATCTCACCACCACAGCCGCGTGACTTACTCTTTTACCCCCTTCCTTCCCCAACTCTTCCCCTCCGCTTCGAATTGATCGTTCCCCACATACCAGTGAGCGGATCTCGCCACGACCACCATCGTCATGGCTCAGCGTCAGCTTTCGCAAACGCTGCCCAAGAACTTCACGTTCCCGTCGCTCAGTACCGATGAGCCCAAGACCCCCGAACGCGAATCCACTCACATTGAAGTTCCCCCCCACCGCGCCATTCCTTCTCTAGTTGTCGCTTGCCTCGCGTGCGCGTCCGCTCTGGCACTGATGTTTGCGAGCGCATCAACTTGGATCTCTTCCGCTTCCAAGGTTCGCACACCTCTCAGGATGTTCCGGTGCCCTCCATTGAGTACCCGCAAGGGAGCTCACCCTCGAACGCGACTTTCTCCGACGACGTTTTGAATGACGATCGCTTCCTCGCGCCGCCTCACCAGCGCTTGATCTTCAAGACTCCCCCAGCACAGATTCGCGGTGATCCATTCGATGGCAGCGAGACCGAGCAGATGTGGCCTTCGTGGGACGAGACCCCGGGTCTTCTGGCCCGTGAGATCAGTCGTCCTGGCTCTGCGTGCTCTGATTCCTCCATTGAGTCTGTCGAAACTTACGCGTCACGCCCTTCTGTAGGAGGAAGCTGCACGAGTGTGGAGAGCGACGGTTTTGACCACTTCCCGCTGGAGTTCACCAAGGAGCCTGGTATGGAGTCTCCCACCCTTCCCCAGAGACAGCACGTGCAGCGATCCCACGTCAAGGACAAAACCTGGAGTCGCGAGATGGACAATCATCTATGGAACACATATCAGCTGTATGTGCAAGACCCGACTATCACCCCGTTCAAGAGAACGCCCGGCAGTATCCCACCCTTGGGCGTCACGTCCAGAGTCGCGCGTCGTGCACGGCGCACCTGGGAGACCCAGCGACTGCCCTTTACACAGAATTTCCCGACCCAATCGAATGATCGCAGCGGCAGTTCCACCCCCCGCGCGCGGGAATCCTCTGTGCAGCCCTCGTGGCCCAAGACGGATGCAAAGACCCGTAGCCGGCTCAAGCTACTGTGCCGCCGCAAGTTCTCCATTTCGCCTCACTATCAGCGCATCATGCAGTCCCGCAGCCCGGAGCCCATTGCCGACACTCTTGGTGTCCCCTCCGAGCCGCGCGTCCGCGACTTTGCCGACAACACGAATGCATATGCTACCCGTGACCTGGGCGTCTCCCTTGTTTCGACTGATCACTCGGAGGCTCTGGCTCGTATCACTGAGCAGTCGGTACCCGCAGACTTGAGATCTGCGTGGCCCCCGGTCTCGTATGCCAACGCGATGGCTCCACCCCCAAGTCAACATTATCCATTCCCCGCACTTGATGTGCCACGTCGTTTGGGATCACCCTTTATGTACAGCACATGGGGACCAGCAGATTCTCGTCGCCATGTTCCAGATGTCCCGACTGCGGCTCGACGAGAGACAATCCATGTTCCTACCCGTCGTTTGCGTCGGACCGCCCACTTGGAGAATACCCCACGAGAGCAAGATGATGTGTTCACCAGCAAGGTGAATGATGACAAGGAGGCCGTCGAGGACGAGCAAGTTCAGACTCGCTTGGAGCAATACATCCGTGAGAACAAGTTCCAAAGCATCGGCAAGGGTCGCGTTCGCGTTCGCAACCGCGGTGCTACCACCTCTGGTGCCGTTGCACCCCGCGAGGTTGACCAGCTCTTCTCGCCTCCTTCATCTCTGAACTCGTCTCAAGCTGAAGAGACCACCCCCATGTCCAAGCCTCCTGTCAACCACTTCTTGAACATTGGCGGTGAGAATATCAAGCGACTGGGGTCGCCCTTCAAGGCCGATTCCACTTTCAAGCGTCGAGAAGCACATGGTCGATTCATCCGACATGCACCCTCGCTGTCGGAACCGTTTGCCAATGGCGGCATCCCGCCGTATGTCGCCCCAGCGACAAATCTTTCTCCCTTCCAGCACCAGGAGAAACCCGCAGCATCAGTCCTGCGAAACCCTTACGAGGAGGGCCTGTCAGAAGCCGAGCGCATTCGCCGGCAGATCTTGACCTTGACTACCTCCATGCGCGAGTAATTGTGCACCCGCCGCTTGTTTGATTCGCCGTCGCTCTTCTCCCGTCGTCAACTTTTCCCGAATTTCCCGATTGCATCGTGGTGCCCATTTATTTTGAGATATTTTTTCCTGCCCTTTGCATAACGACCTGAACGATACACAAGAGAGAAGCACGTTGCGCATTGCTTTTCTCTTCTAATCGCAGCCTTTTTTTTTCATGACAGCAACGGCCTTGACGAATGTAACGATATGCTTTGAGATGGCCCGAGATTTTCCTTCAACATTCCAGTGTTTGCGTTTCCAGCACCTGGTCTGCTTGGGCGTTATCACTCCCCTCAAAAAACAAAACCGACTGCCTCCCCACTCTCATGACTTTTACTCACTCTCGCCACCGAAGAGAAACTTGTGATGGGCTTTCCCCACTCCTGATATGGTGTGTCGGACAAAACTGTACACTGCGTCGACTTGTCAATGATGTCTTCGTTCGACGAATAGATATCATTTTCCGAGTTTTCGACATCTCAACGTCGAACGCCGTGTCAGGTCTCTCCTTGAATCAAAAATTTGGTTCTGCAAAGGAGTGGACTAGCCGACTCCCATTGGGACTTACTTTCATTATCTGCCCCTCTATTCATTTCACCCAGCGTCTTCGATGCCAGTGTGGTTGCCTTGGATTTGAAGACAAGAATGGACATGACCAGAATCTCTGGCTGCACAACTTCATTTCCCTTCGATACCTGATATTACTTGATGCACATCCACTCACTTTCATCGACTCGACCGATCGATTCATTTCCTTTTCATCCCCCCGCTCGGAATTGTGTGGCTTATGGTCATAGGCCACCAACCGACAAAGCAACAAAGAAACCGTGAAAAAAACCCCGCAAAACTCTCGAACCGAAAACCTAAAGGAAAAAAAAATATTCCCCGCTGTCAACTACTTCCTCGCCTTGCGAGTTACTTTCTTTCCACTTTTCCTTTTTTTCCTTTCTGTCTCCGTCTCCAGTCCTCGTTGTCTTGCATGCGCACTGCACTGCAAGATGACACGACCTGGATGACTTTATCGCCTCACAATTTCTCTTCGGCAACCTTCCTCCGACAGCATAGTCGATCCCTAGCTATGCTGGACTGGAGCCATAAACACCATCTACCGACTTCATCTTGATCACCTCTTTCCGAGATGATCCATGACCACGTCTCCGAACCCCAAAAAAGAATGTGCACGACGATACATATGCCATTTCACTTCCTTTACATAGACGAACCGAAACGAAACGACCGCACATGACTTCCAATGCCTGTTGCGCCCCACGAACGACCCCTTTCCTGACGCAAGCGTGGTGTTTTGGTTGTCGTTTTTCCTCTTGCTCTGCTCCGCCTCGCCTTTGTGCCTGTGCCTGTGCCATTTCGACCTTGATGCCAGCGAGCTTGCTTTTTCTTTCCATTTCTTTTCTATTCGGGCTCTCATCTGTCATCTTTCGTTTGTCTGATGAGATCTTGTCCTTTTTTTGCCCTTCTTGATTTGATTCGACTTTTATGGAGAGCGGGCTTAATTTGTTTGCCTGATCAAGATCAGTCTTTGTTCTTGAACTTGATCGGGTGGATGCAGATGGAGATTTACCTTTGATCAATCCCTGCAAATTCTTTGATTGAACAATTTACTCTGCTTCTCTCTGCCCCCGCCCGCCCATTCACCCAGCATGCACGTCTCCCGATCTCGAGACTTCAGTGCAATACGTCGCTTCCAGCTCGTGTTCCAGCACTTGAGCTTCCATCTATCTATGACAGTTATGCATCCAGAGCCTCGCCTTGCTTGTGCCATGTTATCTGGTCCCTGTTATCTGTTTTTTTTTTTTCTCGAATCTTTCCCAAGTTTCATTCCATCATCTACGTTGCTCAATCCTCAATCACGGTTTTTAGAATTGGGACTCTTTTTTTGCTTGTTTTCTTTGCGAATCGGGGTTGCTTTTTCTGGCTTTTGATCTTGATGATGATCATGGGAACTTGGTTGGATCGTTGAAATTTATTCTTCTTTTATTCTCATTCTTATTTTCTTTCGTGCTTGTAGATGGTTGTAGATGTAAATGTAGATATCAAAGTAGAAGATGCTTTGAAGGGTGGCTTGAGTATCGACTAGAGTAGATGGAATGGATGAAATGAGGAAGTTGCTGATGCGTTCTACCAATGAAATGCGATGCTGCGCTGTGCTATCTATCTACTTGAATAGTCCAGAAGTTTGACAGAATTAGAATACCTTAAATAGTAAGCATCAACATGCTCCTCAGTAGAGTATGCAGAAATAGCATAGATAAGCCAAAGGGGTATAAACGAAATATCATACAAAACATCCATAAAAACATAGGAAAACACCCTGCTCTAACAAAACCGAAAGAGGGCCCCAAACCCAATCAAGACCAAAACCAAAATCATACCCAATATAATCGAGAGTAGAAAGAAGGTGTTGCTCAAACACGCTCAAGTTTCTTCTTCCTCTCCGCCAAAACAGCCTCAATCCTTCTTAACTGCAACGCAAGACCCTTCTTCTCCGCATTACCCACAAGCCACTCCTCCATTCTTCCCCGGACAAAAGCCATAGACTTGAGGACTGGTAAAACAGGGCCCTCAGCACCAACCCCAGGCACACTTTCAACGGCGTCTTCCATCTCCATACAAACCCACCTCTCCCCACCAGGATTAAGCAACAAATCAAAAACATCACTCCAAATCTGCCGATCCCAGTATCTCTTCAAAGATTCGCGGATGCGATACGTGCGCGCAGCAGCGCTAGCGCTCGCATCGCTGGTACGAACAGGCGCACTTTCAATGTATTTCCCGAAAAGCAAGACGTGAATTACGCCCGCGATACCGTATAAATCGATCTGATGGGTCCAGGGGCGTGCTTCACGGATTTCATTGCATTCGTGGGTTCCTGTTTCCCAATCTGCTAGGAATTGGACATTGGAGGGGAATGCGTTCATGTCGATTGCGCGGCCGAAGTCGATTAGTGCTAGACCCTTTGAGCGCCAGTTGAATGCGCCGGATGGTGCGTAGGCGGGGGTGTCCCGCGGGTCAGTAAAGGTGGAAGTATCGCCGAGATCAAGCAGGGAGAGGGCTTTTGTGGGTGGGTCTGAGTCGTCTAGACGGACGAGACAGTTGTCTGCTTTGATATCGCCGTGTAGGATACCTGTTGCGTGGAGGGCTTCGATTGTGCGGAAGAGCTCGATTGAGAAGAACATTGCAAGGGACTCGTCTAGACCGCCGTCGCTGGGGTGCGTGGAGCTAATGGAGTCGTTGCGGAGGATGTTGACTAGGTCGAGGAGTGTGCCTTGGCCGCGGTAGTCTTCGACGAGGAAGCTTTCGCGTTGGTGGACGTGTAGCTCGTGGGCGCGGACGATGCTGTCCACGGCGCGGGAGTATTTTCGTGCGTGCCGGAGACGTTCATGGGCTGTGCGGATCATGTAGAATTCCCAGGCGCTGGAGGGCCCGTTTTCGACTTTGACTGCTTCGAAGGAGTATCGTGCGCTGTCGTATGGGTTGGATTTGATATTTTCTTCGTCTGTGTCTGAGCTGTAAGACTGTTGACTGTCGACATCGACACTTTCGGCGAGATAGACTGGAGCGTATGCGCCGGCACCGAGCTCACGGCGGATGATGTAGCTACGCTCGGCACCGGGGAACTCGAGAATTGGCGTCTCGGAGCGCTCGTCATCGGCGCTTTTGGACTTTCGGCTGTGCGCTTTGACAAATTTTTGGATCATGCTGGCATAGTTGCTGTCTTGGACGTGGCCGTGGTATCCCGGGTAGGAAGCAAGTGGTGGCTCCAAAGAGTTCAAGATCGTGTTGCGAATGCCCTTGTCAGTTGGGTTGCACTGCAGATCCTTGATGATAGCTTCTCGTCGGCGCGACTTTGGGGCCAGAGCCTTGAAAGCTGTTGGACTAAACGGGACATCGACCGCCGAGCCGACAGTGTGATCTCCATGGTAGGGTGTCGTTGTCCCAAATGGACTGGAAAGCAGATCACCCATTTGCGGCACACCCGATGGTGATCGAGGCTTACACGGAGTCTTCGCGTTGTGAAGACTCCTAGCAGCCGTCATTGAAATGGACGACTCGGTTCGTTCCACAATCGGTGTCATGAATGGCAGTCGGTTCTGCGCCATAATGGCAGGATCGCGATACGTTCCATATGGAGGGTTATAGTCATCAGGCATTCGAGGTATGAACCGCTCCTTTTCGGGAGTACTATGCTGTGACTCGACATCTCCTTGACTTATAACGGAATGGGAGGTAACTTCGGCAGACTCAGCACCAGGTACATCCTTGCTGACGCTGAAATCGGTCCAATCGCCTCCTGCGACACTATCAGCCCGAGTCGTGTTGCCATCGCCGTATTCTGTGTCGTCATATGATTTGTGGAAGGTATGCGTTTCATCATCGCCAAAGTCACTCGAAGCTGCAGAAATGTGGCCGGTGCCTGTACTGTCGACCGTGCTTGCACAATCCTCATCTTCATACTCGCTGCCGTAGAGGCTGTCAGCCGCATCGTCCATCTCGGCCTTCAACGGTTGATTGAATATGCCATAGATTTCATCCGTTGCAGCCCGAGTATGCATAGTCATTGTTGGCTCTCGAGTGCTCTTCCGTCGGGCCTTGGAGCTAGTCGGCGAGTCGAACTTCATTTTGACTGTAAAAGAGCGTTAGCATCCCACAAGCAAAGCATAGGGTGACGAATACTGACTAGTCTGTGTCTCTCCCTGCACCTTGAATTTCCTCGCTTTTCCAGCTTTGCCTTCATACTGTCCATCCTGGTGCTGCGATTGAGACGGTTGTTCATCAGTAGCCAGCATTTGCCGAGGCCGCTCAGACAGCGGCTCATCCTTGAAAATCTTGAGTTTCGCTGGCGGAGCTTCCCCAGGAGCGTTGCCAGAGATTTGTTGCAGAGGTTCCTTTTGGCGTCGCCAATCCTTATCCATCCAACCACGTCTCATCGCTCGCAACTCTTCGAAACTAATTTCATGGGCCGGATTCTTGTGGTCGGGGTATACTGCTTCAAGATCGACGAAAACGCGCTCTCGCCGACCCGTCCGCGGGTTGACCGCTTCCCTTACATGGTGTTCTGGAATGTGATTGAGAGCACTTGGTTGTTCAGAAGGTGGATTTGAATTGGACTGTATACACACAATCAAAACACATGGTTCAAGCCAGCAATTAGTCCTGTGATCGTAAATATACGGAAGGTCTGTGAGGAAGAGGAAGGGCAGCTTAGCGTTGCAAACTCACCTCGTCCCTGAAAATGGCCATCTTCTGTGTTGGCGCGGGTTTCTTCCCGGCCTTCAATGTCTCTCCCACCCAAGGTTTGGCCTCGACCTCGTTTTCCTTCCTGCGCTCTCGCATCGATCCGATACTGTCCCATCCCTTTGTCTGTCCGCTGGTCGCTGGTTGGCTCGACTGTGCTGCCTCGGCATCGGAGAAGATTGCCATCTTCATTTTGCCAGACTTGGTCTTGGCAGGGCCAGGAGGTGGTGCTGCTGAGCGAGAGGCTTGCGGGTTTGCAGCGGTTTCTGTAGAAGCAAATGGATCCATCTTAGCTGCCAGAGCGGGTCGGACAGCTGGGAGAGCAGGCGAAGATGGCCCTGGCCCGGCATCTTGTGATTGCAGCTCATATCGTTGTTGGAACTCGCTGTATTTCCGCGCAAGCCGCTCGACTGGCCGGGCCTCACGGTCCATACCAAGACGGTATACCTCGTCTGCCTGTGTCCAGCGCCCGGCACCCTCTAGCCATGCCGCAAACTCCTCGTAAAATAATGCAAGACCCTCGCCAATGTTGTGCCGCGCAAGGAAAGCAAATGTCTCGCGCGGGGCATCGGAGAAAAGCCTGATGTAGTGCATCCACAACCGGAGGTACCGTGGGTCATTCCTGTAGTGTGACGATGATAGGAAAGACTTGGTAGCGCGCTCGAGCAGCGGGAGAAGACCAGATTCAGCCGTAGCTTGGGCAGAAGGGTACGCGTTCAAGGTCCATTTCACGTAGCGGTCGTAAACATCGAGGGGGTCGTCCGATTCTCCTATTGATCCCAATTCGTTCTCATATTCCTGGCGAATTGCACCGTTGATGGTCCTTGTGTCATTTGGCGAGGGTGCCGCAAATTTGTCGCTTGTGCTTCCTCCAGAGAAAATCCGAGCCAATTCTCGGGCTGATCGGCCGCCGGGGAGGGATTGGACATTCTCTTTCTGGGCCTCGATAATGTCGAAGTCGATGAGGTCGTCGGAGGCCGCCATTTTGCCGAGATCTGTGGCCAGTTCTGACCTTCGGGAAATGTCGACAAAAGGTTTCGTGGGAAACGGCGAGGGGTTCACACACGACAAGTCGAGAATCGGTTTGTTGGTTCCCAAACGGCCAATTGGGTTATCGATAAACATCACATGACTTGTTACCCCGGTGATCAACACGTGATACGTCACCTCGATGTGAGGAGTCCAGTTCAATCCAAGACGAAGGAGAAGATAAGATATAATTTCAAGAAGAGCAAATGAAACTTGTCAAAACAATCATTACATCAATCACATTGCATTTTCCGTTCGAAGTTAATACGAATCAAGTGATCGTGGCGCTTCCGCCAGTGGCAGTGGCAGTTCTTCTTGCAATTCCACGCAGCCGCACCCAATCAGCTCCGGACCCATCAATTCTACCCAATTGCTATCAGACTCCATCAAAAGCTCCGAAGACATCAGTTGGCCCAACTTGATACAGTAGGCTCATGTCTATACTGCCAAAAGAAGAGTCATCCTCTACTGCAGCAGCCTCAACAACTCACTCCTCAATGCAGGCCTCAAACGCCAAGGGCGGCCACAAAAGGAACCTGAGCAATGGGACACCAGATAACTCTCCATTGAGAAGATCCAAACGACAAAGATCAACCGCCAATCTCAAAGAGGCCTCGTCTGGTGAAGACTCAGAGGGAGAACACGAGGTAGTAACTACGCCGAAGAAAGGGTCCAGCGCCAAGGCTACCCCTAAGGCTGAGCCTGCTGCAAAGTCTAAGAAGACTCAGGTTGCGGCGTCGTTCAAGAAAGAGGTCACTGAAGGAACGGAAATTGACTCCAGTGTTACTGTTGCCAAGGGAGAATCTGGGGTCAAGACTGAAGCCGGAGATATCGCCGTGAAGACCGAGGCTGAAGCAGCTTCCTCCGTTAAAGCGAAACCTGCCAGGAAGGCTAGAAAGACCAAGGAAGAGAAGGAAGCTGAAGCGATGCCGTTAGCACCCCGGACTCCGGGGCTGAAGATGTTTGTCGGTGCTCATGTTAGCGCTGCGAAAGGTCAGTATCTGGGACTATGTCTAGGATGGATGGTCAAGAAGCTAATTCAAGATTCATCGAGCAGGTGTATTCAACTCGATCACCAATAGTACACAAATCGGGTGAGTAGTGAACAAATCCATCTTGTTAGGACATGAATCTAAACAATGTCGCCAGTGGCAATGCTTTTGCACTGTTCCTCAAGTCACAGAGAAAATGGGACAACCCGCCTCTGCAAGATGATGTACGGGATCAATTCCGCAAGATGTGCGCCGAGCAGAACTACGATGCGGCCAAGTGAGTATTCTCCAATCATCATTCAATACCTACATAGCCACTAATATCTCCAAGACACGTTCTACCTCATGGATCCTATCTCGTCAATCTAGCTCAAAATGACAAGGCAAAGGCCAAACAAGCCTACGACTCATTCCTCGACGACCTCCGCCGCTGCGAAGCCCTTGGCATCAAACTCTACAACTTCCAGTTTGTCCAACCCCCCAAATCTCCTCTCTATCTAAATTAACACACCAGCAGCCCGGGAAGCACAAACCAACCCCCCTCCCTGAAGCCCTCGCCCGCCTAGCAGACTCCCTCACGCGAGCCATAGCCGCCACATCAACCGTTATACCCGTGCTCGAAACAATGTGTGGCCACGGCAACACAATCGGTGGCACCCTCACCGAATTCCGAGACTTATTAGCCCTAATTCCAAAAGAACACCACTCCCGAATCGGCATCTGCATAGACACATGCCACAGTTTCGCCGCAGGCTACGACCTCGTCAGCCCGGAAGGATTCAAGTCCTTCCTCTCCGAATTCGACAATCTAATCGGCCTCAAATTCCTCCGCGCTCTGCACCTAAATGACTCCAAAGCTCCGCGCGGAAGTAAACGTGATCTACACGCTAACATCGGCACGGGATTCCTGGGTCTACGTGCGTTCCATAACGTGATGAATGAGCCGCATTTTGAGGGATTGCCGATGGTCCTTGAAACGCCTATTGATCGTGTCCCCGGTCAAAGCGCTTCTTCGGCTGATGACGACGATGCGGATAGTTGTGAGAGTGAGTCCGAGAAGAAAGGGAAGAAGAAGGTAGTTAAAAAGGGCGGGAAAAGGCCGGCGGGGGCTTCGCCGGCGGCGGTTCCTGACCATGGGGTTTGGGCGCGCGAGATTAAGTTGTTGGAGTCGTTGATTGGGATGGATCCGGAGGGGGAGGAGTTCAAGGCTTTGGAGGCGAGGCTTTCGGAGGAGGGGAGGGAGATGAGGGAGAAGCAGATGGAGCAGTATGAGCGGAAGATGGAGAGCGAGAAGAAGAAGGAGGCTAAGGCGAAGGAGAAGGGGCAGAAGAGTCTTATGGATATGATTAAGAAGGGGAAGGTAGAGAAATAGATAGTGATGTGACGGAATCAGAATGGGTTATGGCTCTGTGGGTTAGGGTTTAGAGTGCAGTAGTATCTAATACAAGCTAGTAGACGACCCAGCTCCAAGCGGGATATCTACAAACGAACATGGCAATTATGAAAGTAGAGAGATCGTAATATTGATTGATTTGATATTCAAAATAAATCAGGCTAGCCAATAAGGCCCCAAGAAAAGAAAATGGAATTGATGGTATCAGTCAAGCCACCGCTCTGCAATGAATTCAAAACCCAGAGCCACCATGCAATAATAAACAAGACACCTCCTGTACCAACCCCGGCCTCATTGCTTCATGAGAAGAAGTCAGAAGTCAGCGCGTACATCATTATCGGCAACATGCCACACCACAGTTGCGGCTACCTGGCTTCTGTGCAGGTCCCAGACCGTTTATCAGGTGTTGAACAGGCAGGAGTCGGTGGATTGGTGTCCAGGCACAGAATACCATTCTAAGGTATCATAGAGATATATCACATAGGAGAAGAATTTGTCGTCGTAGAAAATGAGATTGGAGGACTAAGGGTGGGCGGGGGGTTGGCTCATAATCGGTGAGACAGAGGAGCTGGAGTGAACACCTGGTGAATCTTCCCGATCGGATGCTTGGAGGTGCGAGGAAAGTCCCGCCTCGGCCATGGTGGTTATCGTGGGAGGAGCGGATTTGATAGGTGTTTCGATAGAATCGTCCTCTGGGATGGTCGTGGAGATTGACAGGTTGTGACCGCTTGCCCGGACACGGAATGAGCGTCGCTGGTCCCCTGCTGAAGAGGCTTGCAGATCATCGTCGTAGTGCGCTGCAGGAGACGTGCCCGATTCAGAATCGGTGACAGGATGGTAGTCTCCAAACTCGCCACCGCTGGCATCTTCAGAGTCCGAGTCTGGTGTTCCGTCGCGGTGCCAGTCGTCATCCTCTACTTCGCTGCGCATCTTGGAGATCTTCATGTAATTATAGCACCCAATGCTTCCAATGGTCACAACCAAGCCGGTTATATTAACGACTGTGAGCTTATCATGGAAGATTACACCCGCAGCACTGATTGTGACGACTTCTTTAAAGATTCCACAAATGCTGAGAGTGACGACGGAAGATCGTTTCAGCAAAGCGAATTCAGATGAGATCATGCAAAAGGCGAGAACACCGGGGAATATCAACAGGCACGAGCCGAACAAAGTTCCCCGTTGCTCGGCGAGGGCGAGGAAACCGTAATGAATATCGTTAGGGCCCTCGACCGCGAGCGAGATGGCGAGAAGAGAAAAGAACATGACGGGCGTAAGGAGAAAGAGAGTCGAGAAGGGATTTGAGGTGGCCGGATGGCGGAGCAGGAGAATCTGTGTCAGTCCCCATCGGAAACCTGAAAAGAAAGCGGAAGCAATGACGAGACTGAATCCAAGCGCATTGAAAGCGGCCTCGCCTGCGACCATCATCACCACACCAATCGTCATTGTAGCGATGATCAGAATCAACTTGACAGAAGGAGATTCCAGGCGGAAAAGGAAAGCAAAGAGAAGAACGAAGGCGAGTGCAGACGATTTGCACATGGTGAGAAATGTGAGAGAGATGAACTTGAGGGAGGTGTTGCCAAGGCCGATATCGAGCGATGTCGCCGCACCGCAAGGAACGAGGCGTGTGAGGTAGAAGGATTTGGTGAGCACCGGTTCAGACTCTTTGGAGCCTTCCACGGGCGATGCAGAGGGTGACCCCGGGGGATGTTGAGGACGCAGAGAAGGAAATATCCATAGCAAAAGAGAGGCGAGGGTGAATTGGACAGCCATGTGCAAGCTGGTAGTGAAGAGAGGAAAGGGGAAGACGATATCGTTTTCGGAGAACATCCATTTGTTGTACTGTAAGATAGAAGCAGAGTGTTAATTATCACTCGTCCTTCCCTTGGGTTGTTCGACTGCGGAAAAAGGGATACTACTCACGATAGAGATGGACAAGGAGAAGAAGTACCACATCAAGATCAATCCAGCATTCGCAAGTAGCTTGCGAGCAAAATTGCGATCGGCCAACCCTAGTGAGGGCAGACCAAATCGAGAGAACTTGACGTCGGCGATACGAGCATCCAACTTGCGACGTTGCCGACGCCGTCGTCGCCGCTGGCGTTTCTGGTTTGCTGTGAGACCCGTCTCCTCGTCATATTGGTCATCGTCCGAACTCATCACTTCCAACTCCCGCTGTTCCAGGGCCGAGGACGATAATTCTGAGGAATCGGTATCCTCGGCTGTCAAGGGCTCCTGTTCGTCCCATTTGGTTGGACCTCCTTCTCCATGGGGTCGCAGACTATCATCCCTCCGTTCCGAGGAGCCCGGCTGCATTGAACGACTTGCGCCCGTGAGCACCGAGCTCCGCCGTCGGTGGTGCCCGTTGCCGGCGGGTGACAGCCCCATTATGGGACTGGGGCGAAGACGAGGATGTGAAGGGAGAGGGTAGATGAATCGAGATCAGTTGGCCCCATGAGGGTGCGACCGGGGAGTGTGTACACACGACCGCGCACCCTGTTGTTGCGAGGTGGAAAGTAGGGAGAGATGCGGGTTTGGCGGGTGATGTCGTGGGCAAAGATGAGAGGACTCGAGGATATGAAGATCGAAAAGGAAAGTGAGTTGCAGTCGGGGTAAATTCAAGAAAAGGAAAGGAAGGGGTCACGCGGGGAGGGCGGAAAACGAGCAAGTCGGAAAGTGACCAAAGTTAAAAGTTGAAGAAACACTGGCAGCTTTTTGGGGCGGTGATGGGCGGCGCTCGGAGTCTCTTAGTCTCTTAATAGTGGAGTTGTTGGTCAGTTAGTTGGCCCTGAGTACTTGGGGGGCCCGGTTTCTCTCTTTGCTTTCGCCTGGCCCCTTAACAAACTGAAGACTCCTTAGGCCTTAGGCTTAGGCCTTTGTTACTTGGCCCCTTCAAGAGTTCAGGCGGTGGCCCCTTCCATTTTCTCCTCTCTGCTTTCTCCTCTCTCCTCTTAATCTCCTGGCCATTATCTGCTGCTCCTGACTGGCCGCCACCACCAGCTCCACCCACCTCATGCTCCACTGTCCGGGCGATCCGGGGTCCAGAGGGCATGACGGTCCCAAGGAATATTTCTGTGCATCCGAGGCTTGGACCTGGCCTGCTACGATTGGCGGACTGCGACTTCCGATGCGGCTTGCTAGGTATTGCCGGTTGTTGTTGATGACCAGGATGAAGCTGGCGGAGAGCTCGTCGAGATTGAAAGAGGATGAAGTGGTGGTCCATCTTGAAACCGATGGCTGCCCGAGGTCTCCCGGCTAAGAAATTGCTGCAGATCCGCTTGCTCTTGGCAAAGTTGGCCATAATATTAACCACGCTGGAGTCCTCGCTTTAAGAAGGTTGCATACATAGCAGCACGACTTGCTGCGATGCAAATTAGCCGGATGAAATGGGGTTTGCCATTATGATGATGGGTTTCCGGTGGGTAACAATGCGCCTCCGTCCAATGGCCTGTCACAGAGGAAAGAACCTCTCCAACATCGATATGACCTCAGTTCGAATCCATTCTCATCATCATGTCGTTGCCTCCCAAGTCTTCTGCCCGGCATCCGGGGCCATATATGTCACCCTGGGCATGTAGAAGTTATGGCCGACTGAGGTTGCTCTCTTACAACTTCACCCAAGTTCACGTGAGAGTCTTGACCCCGTTAGTGGAATCAGCGCTGCGCATCATTGCAATCAATATCATCTCTTGGTTCAACTGCCTGATAATATCATCCTCGTTTGATTCCTTCTCCTTCCTGTTCACCGTCGTCATCCTTTCACCATGGCACAGAGACCTTCGTATAATGCAATTGAGGACTATGGCTTGATCGGGGACATGCACACATGTGCCCTGATCAGCAAGGCCGGTAGTCTGGATTATATGTGTTGGCCGGTCTTTGATTCCCCCACAGTGTTCTGTCGTCTGCTGGACGAGAAGAAGGGCGGCTTCTGGTCCGTGGAGCCCTCCAAGTCAATGATTGATCCGCATAACAAGCAGCGGTATCTTCCATACTCGAATCTGCTCGAAACCCGCTGGACCAATGAAGACGGTGTCGTGACCCTGCTGGACTACTTCCCGGTGACGCCCAAGAAACTGCCTCAGTCGGGCCGACTGCTCTCGGGTTACTGTCCGTGCAATGAGTCCAACGCCAACCGCTTCAAGTCTGGTCTGCAGCACTCTGGTCTGATCAGAAAAATTGAGTGTAGCCGAGGCACGATGGAATTACAGGTGGAATTGTTCCCGGCCTTTAACTACGCACGGGATACGCATACCGCTCGTGGAAAACTGGAAAATGACCTGGCCGGCCACCGGTTACAGACTGTCCATTTTGAGAGTGAGTCCGAGCGGCTGCAGCTCGACATCTTTGCCGATTCGCGGGAGGCCGACAAGTTGGGCCTCCCCAAGGCTACTCTGAGCCTGGAGGAACGAGAGGGTGCAAAGGGCCGTGGACTGGTGGCGTTGATTCGCCTGTCCGAGGGACAAACCGTGCATTTTGTGCTGCATAGTCCCGAGAAGGCGGTACCTGGCTCGACTCTGATAGCAGCATATCTGGCAAAGATGGAGGAAGACACATCCGACTACTGGACTGACTGGACTCGCAAGTGTGAGTTCCGTGGGCACTATCGCGAGACGGTCGAACGCAGCCTTTTGATCTTAAAGCTACTCACTTACAAACCCACGGGAGCCATCATTGCAGCGCCCACCTTTTCACTTCCTGAAAATGTGGGCGGTTCCCGTAACTGGGACTATCGATACTCCTGGGTGCGCGACACAGCGTTTACGCTGTACGTCTTCTTGAAAATGGGATACAGCCGCGAGGCAGAAGACTACGTGAATTTCATCTTTGAACGGATCTTCCCGCATGCCGCACAAGACATCGAGCCGGGAAGCAAGCGACCCTTCTTGCCGCTGATGTTCACTATCCGTGGCGAGTACGACATTCCCGAGTTGGAGCTGGACCACCTTGACGGTTACAAGGGTAGCAAGCCCGTCCGCGTAGGTAACGCAGCTGTCTTCCACACGCAACTCGATATCTATGGCGAACTCTTGGACAGCATCTACCTCTACAACAAGCACGGAAATCCAATCACCTACGATCAATGGGGCTCAATCCGCCGCATGGTGAACTATGTTATTGGTGTAAGACACCAAAAGGACATGTCCATTTGGGAGTCTAGAGGCCAAATCCAAAACTTCATCTATTCCAAGGTCATGATGTGGGTAGCCCTGGACCGTGGAATCCGCTTGGCAGAAAAGCGAGCCAGTTTGCCCTGCCCGGACCGATTCCAGTGGATTCAAGTGCGGGATGAATTGTACGACGAGATCATGGATAGAGGATACAATGCCGAACGTGGCCATTTCTGTCAGAGCTACGAGAGTCGTGAGGTTCTTGATGCGTCGATTCTCATTGCGCCGTTGGTGTTCTTTGTGGCACCTAATGATCCGCGATTCATCAGTACCCTTAAGCGCATTCTGCAAGGCCCTGAGAAAGAAGGTCTTTCCAGCGCTAAACTGGTATTCCGATATGACCACCTCAAAGCAAACGATGGTAAATATCTCACCTCACCTCACAACCTCTATCCTTACTCACCCCTCACGTTCCCCTCACCCAGACCCAGACCAAGACTCGTTACTAACACCACCGTCGTACAGGCGTCGGCGGAAGCGAGGGTGCCTTTATCATGGTAACATTCTGGCTCGTCGAAGCAATGGCTCGTGTACGTCTGCCCCTCACCCAAAACCCTTATTGTACAACCTTCCCACCCACCCTTCATAATTCCATTCCCTTTGCCCTGCTAACCATGACCCCACCTCGACATATCTCTATATAGGCCGCTAAATACGACGTCACCATTCCAAATCTCTGGAAACTCGCCCTCTCGCACTTTGACAATATCTTGTCTTATTCGAACCATCTGGGCATGTTCTCTGAAGAAGTGGCGATTTCGGGTGAACAGATGGGTAATACGCCCCAGGCATTTAGTCATCTTGCTTGTATTAGTGCTGCGATGAATTTGGAGAGATTGGGTCGTGAGGAGTAAGTTGATGGTAGGTAAAGTTGGAAGTTGTTTAATGAAATGGATGGGTAATGGGAGCAGATGGAATTCTCAGGCTGGTGTTGGGTGTGACGTGGGCAGTTTTCTCTTCAAAAATGGATTGAGCCGGGCTTGTGTTTTCATGTGATAGATGGACTGCTTTATCTCTTATTCATTCAATTTGATAAACTTTGGTTTTCTGGTATCTATGCAGGCTTCGACAGGTAGTAGTCTAATAAAAGTACAGAATTATATACTATGCCGTATCCTAGGACCGGTCTGCAATACTTCACCTTACTTAGCCTTGGAAGTCGCTGGCCAACACAATGGCATTTTCTGAGATAATCAACTTTCACCGAAGCCACGCAAGTATTCTCTCCGTTTATTCACCGTACAAATAAATGTAAAGTGCTGTAAAACAGAGCAGACGTACAAACATCTCTCCTCTAGATCTGCCTCGATATAATTAGTCAGCCACCAACGACCACGCACTCTCATTGGTCAGTTCTCTTTGAGCTGTCCTTTCCTCTTTAGGATTTGTGGCTTCGGCCTTTCGGGAGAGGGAGTCTTATTGGTTGGCTTTCGCTAGTTAAGGTTATCCTTTTAGGGTGGTTGCTTCTCTGGTCTCTCTTTTGGTGGTGATTAGTCGGTACTGGTTAGCCACCGTTTAATAACTATCGTTTAATAACTAACTAGTTTTTAGACAACAACATTTAACCTCCACCGATTAACCACTATATAACCGCCATCGTTAAACCACTGTCGTTTAATCGCTATCGTTTATCTAACTGTTTATTAACCACCCTGCTGCGTCTACCCCGTACTAGCTCACCATTGTATAACCATCACTGTGTTGTCCACTATATTCAAGTAAACGCTACCACAGATGAACCAAGGTAACTGCTACTGTGGCATTAAATGAGCCCAATCTATCATCACATTTCTCGCACCAAGGAATCATAGATGCATATCGAAGTTAGAGACATCCATGCGGCTGCCCGTCAGGTGAGGCTTACATAACCCCCGCTTTGATGCGGGATCCGCACCCACTCCCGACGGGCTGATCCGTTGCTCACTCCACTAGGTTATTGCGTCCCCAGACGTTACTCTCCGCTCCCTTTCCTTCAACAATCAGCTCTGTGACTCGGCACACGGGACTGGATTCTACTCTGGCCTGCTTGACCGGTCTGATGATGCTGACTGGACCTAGCTTCCTCAACCTGACTTAGCGCCTGGAATCCTTGGCGTCCTCTCAATGGCGGACGCAAGCGCGGATTGGGCTGATCGGCTTGCCTCCGATCAGGCGTTATCGTCAGACGAGGAAGACTTTGTGTCAAGCCAAAGCACAGCGTCGGCAGATCCCGAGACTCGCGATCAAAAGCATCTTCCTTCCGCACTTAGAAACCTCCACCTTGATACCTCGCAACACTCAAGTCAGACCTCCAACCAGAACCTTACTCGGACCTCCACACCTGGCGCCAGCGCCTCGAATATGGGTACCTCGGAGATGACGCCCGAGAAGAAGAAAATGGAGTTACTCGATTTGCCTTTAGACGTGCTAAAGGATATCGTCAAAGAGGTTTGAAAGCCATCCTCTTGACACGCTATGAACAGTGGAACTAATAGACCCGCTTCATGATAGGTGACACATACGAATGACCTCACTTCACTTGCACTAACATGCTCCGCCCTCCACAACCTCACTATTCCGCATATGTACTCCCGTTTTGACATTGTCTGGCCCGAGTCGCTGAACCCTTCGACGGACGAGTACACCGGAGTGGATGCCTTGTCTTATGGGTTGTCCACTCTCGTGATGGGCGAGGATGTATTCCACCAACTGCCGCTACCAAAACATAATCAGCAATCGCCCGCCTGCGCACATTGTGGCTGCAATGACCCTGCCCACCAACCAAACCAGACACAGGCTGTAACTCCCGGGTTTCGGTCGCGGCGAGGAAACTACTATGCGCAGTACACTCGCACGTTCTCGATTGGCAATGGTCCATTGAGCTGGGTCCAGGAATACTCGGTGAACAGGGAGGTGGGCAAGATGTTAGGGACTCTTGTGGCCTTGGCCGTGGCGCGGATGGTTAATCTTGAGGCATTCATCTGGGACATGCCAACAGGTGTCGTTCGTGAGATCTGGCTTGCCCTTGCGTCACTCGCCAACCGACCGGGTCATGAATGTCGCCTGGAGCGGGTCTGGGTGCGCTGGCATGATAATTCAGAGCATTTGCTGCGCCCTAACACCTCGCTTTTGTCGTCTTTGTTGAGTACTCTGAAGAACACCCATATCGAACACCCTTCACTATCGGTGTTGCCGCCGCTGAAGAGCGTGACTATTCTTGACATAGACGAGGCAGCCTATGTGGATGAGCTTGCAATTCTAATCGAGCGGTCTCGTGATCGCTTGGTTGAACTCCGGATCGGGATATCCTCAAAGGCCAGTGTGTTAAACTGGGTTCGCTGCCTCAAGGACACCGATAATTCCTTGAACTCACCCAAATTTTGGCCAAGAGTTGCTGGAGTGCTCAGTATTCTCTCTAAGCCTGAGGAACCGGCTCAGCAGAATGGCAGCATTACAAGCTCCTCCGCAGTTGAGGAGTCAGTGCAATCAGAATCTTCCTTATCAACCGAGCAAGATAAAGAGCGAGAGACCGAGATCCAACAAGAGACAAACCACTCATCGCAAGGCGACGACAAGCAGTCCTCATTGTCGAGCAATAAGAGGGATGTTCCACTGATCGCAGGCGTCCTCACCTCCACTCCCAAGACCCGTACTCCTTACTATGGTGACCAGGCCAATAATGATAAACTGAAACTTCAGGTCTTTGAATTGGAGCGAGTTCCTCTACATGTGGCAACTCTTCTCCCAACCATCGAGTGGACGCGTCTCACTACTCTTACTTTGATGGCATGTGCGGACCATGAAAGCCTCTGGAGAGCATTACGCCGAAAATATGCTCCGCCACCTGTACCAGCAAACAAGCTCAAAGGCGATCGTCGTCCAAGTATTGAGGCCTCAGAGTACTCCCTCAACCTCAAGCATCTGCGAACGGATAACGTCTCTCCCTATCTGATGCTTTTTATCAAGGAGGCCATCGCTCCCAATACCCTAGAGAGCGTGTACCTGCATGAAGCGCCCGACTATGATTCAACCGTCCAGATAGATGCCATCTACAAGCACATACTCCGTAGGCACCGACTGAGCCTGCGAAAGGTCCTTATTGACGCATCGGAGCGATTCATCAGTGGCCCGGATCTCCCAGATAGCCGCTGGCAGAAATGGACGTTCAACCGCGACATGGTCTCTTTCGTCACCGGGGGCCGTATGCCACAGTTACGGGAATTGGGAATGGCGATGGATCATCTGCACTGGCATCACTTCCTCCAACGACTCCCTAACATGCCGCGTCTCTACGCCCTCTACTTAACTCATATCGGGAATACGCCCCAGCGCGATCTGAAAGAGCTCGCCCTCCAAGTATTGGATATCGTCAGCATACGCCCTGACCTTAAAATCACCTACATCGGTCTACAAGGGAAATGCTACCAGATCCTCGAAGGAGGGCGTGAAGGGGAGTTTGACGAGACGCCCGGAGTCGATCGCCATTCAGGTGTAGATGACGACGGCGTCTTTGAAGAGGAAAACAGTGACGGCCACCAACATTTCAGTGCATTGGATGACTCGGGACACCTTTCCAGCGATCTCTCCGATGGGTACGATGACACCGAGCAGGAGGATGAGGGTGTATCACGAGTGCGATTCCGGCTACAAGAGATTCTCTTTTACGACGATAAGATATCCATTTTCAAGGCCCGGCACGGGGTCATCTGAGTGGGGGAAAGGGGCGTCCTTATTTCGGCTTACATTGCCTTGCTTCGCTGTGACAGACATTGCAAGGCTCTGTTTAGCTCCCTTTCATTTACAGGCGTCGGCAAATTTGGGGATCTCGGGAGTGCTTGGACTTCGATTTTCTGCTTTAAGATACCATATGCACATCGCTTAGGATCAATTATGTTCATTATCTGAATTTTTTGGAACTTCGTACCTAGTGAACTGTATGGGCTCGCAGGACTGCAGGATTCACTGTAGCGGTGATAGAAGATAGATACCTAGCTGCATAATAGGCTTAGTCATCGCTGGAAGTATTGGCCGTCTGATTTACATGAAAGGAAGCACGTGTGAATCTTGACGACAGGTATACGCGCTCCAAAACATGCTGTGCGTTCCTCACTTTTCATCTCGACCATAGCCGTCTTCGTGATGTTTGCGGGCTTGGGACCCCGGAATTCTCTCCTCACTACCATCACCACCGTTGGCAGGGTTCGCCCCCGAAACATTCACCTCTACCCTATGATAATTCTCATCATCTCGAGAAGTAAGCTCAATTGCCCCCTCCGTCCTTGGTCTCAAGGTTCTTCGATTGGATCTTGTGCCGTATGCCCCATAAACGTCGTTAGATGGACCGCGGTAGGATCGGACGTAGGATGAGCTTTTGAAGACAGTGGCGAACAAGGGACGAAGGCATGGGGCCGAGGCGGAGATTATAGCGACGTTGACTCCGATTTGGGACCAGAAGAGGATCTTTAGAAGAGGTTGGGTATTGATGAACAGACTTTCAATACCAAGGAGCTAGGGGATGTATCAAGCCAAAGATATGCTTACCTGAATCGTAGGATATGTCTTTTGTGATGGTATACTTGTATAGACCGTTCAGACGAACAATCAAGGCTACAGATGCAAATGCTCCGCTTTAGAAAATGCCAATCAGAGCATCTAAGTATTCACAGTCAGTCATATCTGATACCAGAGTTATATTTGATGTCAGGATCTCACATTTTCTTCGACGGTGAAGGTTAAGCTTCATAAGGAGAGACAACAGCCTCACCAAAATGACCAGGTCTGTTAGGATATTGATTCCGGCTGTTGAAAAATATGCAGCGTGCAGATCATTGCATCCCTCTAGAAACGTTGGATCCCATGCTCTCCAGGGCCTTACTAGCGGAAACTATTCCAAAGATGGTAAAATGGAATTAGTTTTCTCGACGTTCAATTAGTGCTCGGGAAGTCCCTTAGTTCAGGTCTGGCGGGGCAGGGGCCTGCATCCTTCATTAGATCTCTCAGTATGATTCGGATGAAATAATTCGAGGTTTATCCTGATTTGGGCTTCATACGGAAAATACTCGCATTGGATTTGCCGAAGTGCTTCACCTACTACGGGATGAATCGCGGAGAATCATAGTTGGTCAGTGTATGTGGCTCTTACCTTCATCACTGTGAATATGCAGTTTATCCATTCAATATCTCAGAAGCCGGCTTGAGATCATGCAATGGCCCGCCATATCTGATTTATGGCGCCCGCCAGAATTATGCGGCAGGAAAATCTCCATTTACTAAATCCTTAGCATGGGCAACGTGGACTTGCCTATAAATCACGCCTGCTAATTGGTGGATCCCTATATTAGCTCCTGGGGATCACATCAGAGCTGGCTGCCCCGCAAGATGGTGGAAATACTGGTGGTTGGACCACTGGCCGTTATGCCAGACGTGGATAGGAAGTGGAAATACATGGGAGCTTTATTTGTATAATTAACGATGAATGGGAGTATTCTCATGTCTTAATCAATGCGCTGTGAGTTTCTAGAACTTAAAGGCTGCCTCTCCGTACATGAAACTCTATGGTTTTGAGGAGACAATTCAAGTGGGAGAGAAACGTGAAATCAAGTATTCTCAATCAGAAAGTGGGCTAATATTGATAGTATCTATTACTTGGCGAATTATGATCTTCAAGGGTTTCAAGACAGTCCACCGAAGGAAACTAAGTCCAAACCTTATAAACTCTGTAGTTTAGGGTCTGACTTCAACAAACTCTCAACCTTAGCCATTGTCTTCGGAATAGTAGTAAAATCGCACCAATACCCGCCATCCGCCTTGCACATGATTTGAGAACTGAATCTCGTGGGATAATTGCGTTGAAAGGAGTGCCCAAACACCAAAGGCACAGCTCTGGTATTTGCACCAGCAGTCAAATCGCTGTCCTCCGTTTTCACCACCGCTGGTCCGAAATCAATAACACGCCATGCTCCGCACCAATTTGTAATCGCATAGCTGAGATCAGACGGCTCGACGACATGAAGTGGGTACTTTCGCTTGTACAGCTCCTTGGTGACGGCCAGACTGCGCTCGATATTTTTCAACTGAAGCTCTTCGTTGACTGCAAGGCGATTCTGGTACGCCACCTCGGCTAGTGGAGTCTTTGCAATTGGCAGTCGTGCAACGGCGAAGGAGAGCGCGTTGTGAAGGTAAGGTTTATCTGCGGGGAGAGCAGGATGTCGGCCTCGCATATTGAGAGATGTGCTGAGAGTTACCATTTTCGAAAGGCTTCGGTCTAAATATGCAAATTTGGCAAGGATGGCGGTGATAACATCGGCGTTTGATAATGTTGCTGCTTCCTCGCCATATTTCGCTTTGAGTTTTTCCATGCAGCGCTGGCGTAGTTCATCGACGACTTCAGTTGGCAAGAACAGAGTCCTTCGAATTTCTTTCGAGCACCGCGCAAATTCAGAAATGTAAGGGATGAACTTGGTAGCATGCTCTCTGCCACTGAGAATGCGATAAGTGCCTTTCATTCTCAGCTCTTTCTGGGAAAGTTTGGGTCCGTCGAGGGCATTCAAGCCAAGCTCGAGAAACTCTGGTGGAGCTTCACCGTTGAGTACGCTCATCCAAGCGTTGATTAGGCTTGCAAAGCCTAGTTGATCGGCAACACAATGTGGAATATTCAATGCGACGACGGTGGTGTGGGTGTACTTGGTGATGTGTACAAAAAGGAGAGGTGCATTGGGCTTCTCGTATTTTCTTTCCACGGGCCAACTGGATGGAGTCCATTCCTTTTCCATCTCAGGGATATTGGATGGCGCAAAGGACAGAGCAGAGTCGGAATGGGACCCTTGGGGTAACAGATTGGTGTCTTCCAAAGAAGATTCTACTGTTTTTGACGTCCATTCGAACAAAGAATAAGTTGGAGGAAAAGATTTGGGTAGACGATATTCCAGATCAGTCTTTTTGAACTCGATTCGAGCTCCAAGAATTGGCAGATGATCTCTGATGAGTCGATCGAGGGAGTCCCGCATGGCTTTTTCATCGAGGATTTCGCGCACGACTAGAAACAAAAGAGATCGAACATTCTCCAAGGGTCGCCATTGATCCAGAGGTTTCAGGGGAATAATTTGCACGTCGCTGTGGACGTCGCCATCTGTTGTGACTGCACTCTTTCCTTTTGTTTTGGTCGCCATTGGTCGTCTATATCAGCTAGCAAGTTGGTTGAAGTCAAGTTTAAGTAACAGAGCTGCAGCAATTTTGAGATAAAGAAGTGGAATACAACAGGGTTGAAAAAGTTCAGGGATAGGAGAAGCTCAGCTGAAGCAACCCAGCCCTAGGGCCCCAGCTGCCCAAGAGTAAGCCGGTGATATACTTTCGCCGGGCCAATTATCGATACGCTAATCAGCTTGCCGCCACTAAAATCGGAGTTTAAGCCAGAAAGGGATCGGGAAACCTTAGATGCGACCTGAGCCATTCAAGGTACGCACGTAAGGAACGAGGCTCGCTAAAAGTATATCACAAGTTGCTATTTGTGTACTCCTTCAACTAGCTACAAATAGTTCAATTTCCTGTTAAATTTCCTCTCTGCTGAAATGTCTGTTTTGATGCAAAATGCTATAAAAAAGATGGAGAACAATATACCTTCAAGAATAACCGTAACCCAAGAATGAAACTCTAATCAAGGCTTGAGGGGAAGAACTTTGATCGGGTAGATTGAAGAATCTCAAAAATCAGCTAATCATTTATACGGGATAACCCCCATCAAGCATATTCCCGTTCAGCCAACACACTAGCCTCAATAACATGTCTACGTTCCCGCTCATGCTCACTAGAATTATCCTTGAACACATGGTCCATCTGCTCAAGTGTGCGACCCATAGTCTCGGGCATAAAGAAAAAGGTCCAAACACCCGAGAGCACACAGAATACAGCAAAAAACACATAGGCGCCGTAGCCCGTGTCTTCGACCAAAGGTGGGGTAATAAGACCAATAATGAAGTTATTCAGCCAATTTGAACAGGTGGAGATGGCGACACCCTTTGCTCGGAGGGAGGATGGGAAGATTTCTAGAATTGAGATTAGTGTTGGCTCGTGGAGGTTGGATATAAGGGGGTTGGGCTTACCGGATGGCACTGCCCAGGGGACAGGGCCCCATGTGGCGCCGAAAGCTACCATGTAGAATAATAAGAATGCTGCGCTGACCCATCCTTCCGTCCGGTGGCCTTCCCAGTTGGAGCCGAATCGACCGACTAGGATGGCAATGACGATGTGTGAGATGGCCATGAGAACGGATCCGCCGAGCAAAAGCTTCCGACGACCGAGAGTATCCATTGTCCAGACACTAGTCGTCACACCCACTAGCTGCAGCACATTCAGAACTCCAGACATGATGAGCTGCATGTTGGTATCGAAGCCCATCGTTTTGAACAAACTGGGTGAGTAGTAAATCAGTGCATTAATGCCAACAAACTGCTGGAAGAACATGATGCCAACACCGATATGAGTTCGGCGCCAACAGCCACTCTTGAAGACATCTGCCCAAGAAGCCACCTCCAATCGGATGGAGTCTTTGGTGCTTCCACCCTGCAGGTTCGGATGCTTTTCGGCATTCATTTCCTGGTGGAAACGGACCTCGACTAGGATGTCCATGTACTCCTGGCGCACGCGTCTGTCAGAGGTTGGCAAGCTACGTAGTTTGGCCAAGCTTTGGAGTGCTTCCTCGTTGCGGCCTTTTGAGGCGAGCCATCGTGGTGAGAAGGGGAGGATTATCACACCAGCGGCGAGGATGAATCCGGGGATCATCTGCAGGAGGAAGGGTAGACGCCAGGACCATTCACCGGCCATGTATCGTGTTCCGAAGGTGATCCAGTAGGCGATCACGATGCCGAGCACGATGCAGAATTCTTCGAGGACAAGCAATGTTCCACGACATTCTGGGGGACCTAATGGTAGCAGAAAGAGAAAAGGCGTTAGCCTCCGTAACTTGCATTCGACGGTGAAATATATGACTTACTGATTTCAGCAATATACAGAGGAGCCACCATGGATAGCATGCCGATTCCCAAACCTCCTATCAACCGAGCCACCACTAGCATGGGGTATCCAAACGCGGCAGTCTGAAGAATCGAGCCAATCGTGAAGATCACAACAGCCACCAAGATAGAATACCGACGGGAGATCTTATCGGCGATCCAGCCCTGATTCAAAGCACCCAGCAGTGCACCCAGCTCAATCATCGCAGTCAAAAGTCCCTTCCAGAAGCCAGCCCCAGAACCCCCGACCCGCGGGAACTCGTCCAGAAACTGGTCCATCACCAGGATGACCGAGACAACACCCTGGTCATAACCAAAGACCAAACCACCCAATGTGGAACAAGCAGCACACATCAGCACAAATGGGTTACTGATCAGCCCACGCAGTCCCGGCGGGCCATACGGCTCCCGGTCTGCGGTGATATCCTCATGATGCACCACCGCAGCATCTGGCGAGAAGACCTTGCCCAGATCAGCCTGGTCTACTGGCGTGTCTGCCATTTCCACAGCAAAGAGGAAGGATCTATAAAAATCAAAAATCAAAAAGAAGATGATAAAAAAGGAAAGAGGCGGCGCTTTTCACCTCTTTCAGGAGGAAATTTCCGTATCTGTCCAACCGTTGGAATCGAGCGCCCCCAGGCGCCATATTTATACCAACCTCATCTCGCTCTTCCCCTGTCCTGTCCTCGCCTGGCCTGTGACGCCCTGGCCAAGTTCTTCCCCCTCCCCTCCTGACCAGACGTGTTCAACTTGCACTAACGGCAGCACCATGATTGGATGGTTGTGACACCAAAGACCGACATCGGTGTTGCGGGGCGCCTGCACAACCCGAGTCGCCCTCCAGCCTGGGGGGTTCCAGGCAGAGATGACGGCAGTGAGCAGTTTACCGGTCGCCGGACTGCCCGCAAAGGGGAATCTACGGGGATGATCCACAGCTTACATCGTGCGTGGGGAAAACACGGGGAAACTGGGCGGTCCATCGTGCGAAACTGTGATACCGATTGGCCTTGAGAACGGCTATTGGAAAGGCCTCTTTTATCGATGCCGACTGGCTGGGAAAGTCTATCCAATCCAGGACTCCTGGTGGATGAACGGTTTGAATGGAGGGTCTCGAATCTGGGGAAGGTCATCTTGGATGCTATTCGATGAAAGCACGAGACTCGATGGATGGTCTCGTTGTTGGAGATGTACTGGTACTCTGAGCGTATGCTGGGAACGCGGTGAGTTCTCTTCATGAATCCTCCATCTCTCTATTTTGCTCGAACTTGCTGATTCCTCTCTCTAGAATCACATAGAAGCTCTGAGCCTGGCTGGAAACCAAGATTCAAAGCATCTAACTTTTGCCAATCCCGGCCGATGTGGATCCCACACTCCTCGGGCGCACTCCGAGAGTTTCGGTACTACAGCAGACCAGTCCGGGTTGGGACTAAATGCCGCTCACAAGTGGAAGATCCCCTGCAGATGAGCATCCAGCATATTCCAAGAATCTAATAGGGCATTTGAATATCCGGAGACTCTCATTCGGGCCGGTTGTAATCGGCGTGGCAGCAGCATGATGACACCCCGCGACTATTACGAATGATGTTCGCATCTGATCGCATCGCTAGGGCAGTACAAAAGATCATTATTGTTTACTTGCAAGTTCAAACATGTTAGTTAACTAGCAAGTTTCTTCCCCATGGGGTCCCGATTTAACTTGTCCACCCGGAATTCTCCAGCGAGGTTGTCCTAGCGAGGTAAGTGGTTGTTTCTGTTTGTTACTAAACGGCCCCTCTTCCACGGTGTGGAGTAACTAAAGTTGGGCTCTTAGCCTCTTAGCCGGGTCATTATTCGGAACACGGTCCCCGAAACCGAACCCTCTCTTGCTATCTTCCTTAGCCTCTTTTTCTCCTCTACCTTTCCCCCCTCTCCAACGGATACCAGTTTCCGGTCCTCCCCAGCGACGTCACTCCTGCTGCTTATCCCCCCCACAGTCCAGCCCCCTACTCGCCCAAGACTCCCTGCACAAAGAAAGTACACAGACTCCCCCCAGCCCAGAGCCATGGCTTCCTTCATGGAAGAGCTGTGGTCCAGCGTCTTCACGCCAGGGCCCACCCGGACCTTGTTGATCGCAACCAACGCAAGCTTCGCCGCCCTCCAGCTCGTCCTCTTCATCCTCGGTCTGGCCACGTACAGTATCCATTTCGTCGTGTTGTCGGTGCTGTGCGCTGGGCTATGGTATTCGATCAACTGGTTCGCGCACGAGGTGCGCATCGCACAGACGGCTCAGGAAGCGGAGAGGAAAAAGCAGGCCGAGACAGAGGCCGGGTCCACCGATAGGAAAAAGGATCCCGGTGCCAGGGACAGTGCCGACAGCGAGACGGAGACCGAGTCCTTTGCAGGGTCAAGGAAGGTTCCTACATCGTCCGCTGTTGCGACGGGCAGCGAGTCTGCCTCGGCCAGACTGCAGCCCCCCGAGCGCGATACTAAGAAGCGGCCGAGCACGGGCGGTGATAGTTCGGGATACGGGAGCACCGATAGCGAGTGGGAGAAGGTGGATGATAACAAGGCGTGAGGATCGTGAAAGAGCGAAAGAGGCTCTGGGGGGTGGGCTGTGGCAGCTCCTAGCCTAGCAACTTGCGGGCCCTCAGGAGGAGGAGGAGGTTCTCATTTGGATTTTTATCCTCGCTCTCCGGACATCGTTTCCGAGGTGACACGACACGACTTGATACGACCAGTCTCGCATTATTTTTTGATTCTGCGTCGGACTTGACCTCCGTCGCACACAGCGTTTATCAACGCTCTCATCACTCGTCTATTCGCGGCGCATCGTTGTTATTCCCGTTCCGTTTTGGAGTCACCCCCGCATTTCTTACAGAGTCAACCTCAGTGCACTCCGAGTAGCATTTCAGCTATTAGAGTAGATATCCCGTCTCTTCTCTGAGTATCTATACCCCCCAAATATTGATTATTTCGAAGCAAATGAGCTCCATGTAAACATCTCGTAGGCGGCCGACAGTGTCGCTGGCCACGTGACCACGCGCCGCTATCGAAGTTGCGGACCTGCAAACACTCTTCGTTGTTGATTTGTTGATCGCAAACCTTCAGCTTCCCGCAAGTTGGGCTTGCTGAACATTGTATTCAGCTTTCTTCCACCATGCTGAAAGTACCCCGCCCACAATGATTTCCTCCGTGCCTCTCAATGCAAGCCGACGACGCGTATTCGGCTCCGTCTTTTCCCCCGCGTCACTACAAGCTCGGCCAACATCTGCACCGGGCTCGGACCACGATCAAACGCAACTCGCCTCCTTCCAATCCACTTCTTCGACGGTGAAAGCAGGGTCGTTTGCCTCTCCTCAACAAGAACGCTTCGCTGAAGCACCACACGATCGAGAAACATGGGACCAGGCCTGGTCCGCGGCAACCACCTTCCTAGCCGTTCCTAATCAAGGCTTCGCCCCGATCTACGATGCGAGAGAAAGTGATGGAAGTGAGGCGCTGAAGGATTGGAATCGACTGAGCCCTCCGTCTAAGGAGACTGCCGAGGCACTGTCGTATTTGACGGCGTCCGCTCAGCGGGGTAGTGCGGCATACGGAGCGACTAGTTCGAAGAGTCTGATCGACTGGTATGGCGACGAGATAAGGCGGCACTTTCTGGCCAATATTCGGAGTGGACTTTATGAGGTATGCACGACGCTGTTCGCACACGGCTGTTGACACTAACGGATCTACAGCTATTGAAAACGACGGAGAAAGAAGGTCTGCTCCGGACAATCGTCGACTGTTTACAACTTGCTCGTCGCATTTACCTCGCGCCTGTCGTTCATTACCTACTGCCCCTGCTTCAAACGCCGGAACGGGGCAGAGTCCTGACGCAGCTTCAGCGTGGCTTCCATACGGTTGTCTCTTACTCCTTGCCATGGTCCAAGATATCACCACTTCTGGGTGGGGAGCTGGCCCAGGATGCATTAATTATCTTGGGTATTGATACCTTGCTGGAAGATGCGGCGGAAAATGAAGGTGAAGGTAGCCAGGATGAGATGGAAGTCGATCGACAATACTCCGTCTCATACGAACACTGGAAGAATGAGAACTTGGAGACGCGAGCCCGAATGATGACTGAAGGCGAGGACGAACGGGTTACAATGGCTCGGGATCGCCTTCTCGCTTTTCTCAACGGTCTACAGCAGGTGGGGCTTGGCGGAGACAAAGCTCAAAAGGTGTTTGCCAGCGTGATGAATATTATGATGACCGAGTTTATTCGTGCCGCCTACACGAATCAATGGGAGGCTCCGACATCAGTCCCACAACATCTACGACATTGGATTGAGAACATTTTTGCTCGACTGGCTGTACAGGTCTTGGCAATCATACACACACCTCAGACTGGAAACCAATCTTCCAGTCCTCTGGATGTGAGCTTCGGCGATGTGGAAAAGTGGCAGGAGATGGGCATTGCTCGCCTAGGGGCTCTCCGCACCAGCGAGCTGTTCGATGTCATCGTTGAGTGGCCCGCGAGTAGCGGGGCCGTAGAGGACTTGCGACATTTCACCACGCATCCTGCTGCCCGACTTCATGTCACACAGTCGTTCATTACGATTCTTACTCAGCGACTGTTACACCCCGGTGCCTCAACCGTTGAGATCTTGCAAGTGTACATCTCCATCATTCGGGCCTTTCACCTGCTAGACCCGAAGGGTGTGCTCTTGGATCGTATTGCTCGGCCAATCCGGCGATACCTACGAGACCGTGATGATACTATCAAGGTCATTGTTAGCGGGCTTCTGGCCGACCCAGCAGCAGCAGCCACCAAACCCCCGTCATACGCCAATGAGACCCTTGTCGAGTTGTCGACCGAGTTGTCCAAGGCCCATCAGCTTTCAATGGAAAACAATACCAGTGAACTTGACTGGGATGATATGAACTGGATGCCTGACCCCGTCGACGCAGCACCTGACTATCGCAAATCAAAGAGCTCCGACGTCATTGACAGCGTGATCAGCTTATTCGACTCAAAGGAGACATTTGTCAAGGAACTCCAGACCCTGCTCAGCGACCGTCTCCTCCAAAAGCGCGAGAAATACGATCAAGAAATTTCAGTGCTAGAACTGCTTAAGGTGCGCTTCGGCAACTCAGCACTGCAACCCTGCGAAGTCATGCTCCGCGATATTTCAGACTCTCACCGCGTCAACATCGCCATTCGCAAGGACCAAGGCCTAATTCAACCCCCCGCCCGCATCAACAAGAACAAGCGCCTACCAGTCCTACCCATCCCAGACCTCCACGCCAAAATCCTCTCCCGTTTCTTCTGGCCAGAAATCCAAGACCAAGAATTCAAAATCCCCGACGAAGTCGCCTCTCCTACAACGCCGCTACGCAGCTGGCTTCGAAGCCCTCAAAGCCTCCCGCAAACTCACCTGGCGCAACGGACTAGGCCAAGTCCTCGTCGAACTTCAACTCTCCGACCGCGACTTCTCCGAAGAAGTAACCACCTGGCAAGCAACCGTCATCCACGCCTTCCACTCCGACTACGACGAAGCCACCAGCAGAACAATCTCCTCTCTCTCCACCGAACTCGAAATGTCCCCCTCCCTCGTCCGCTCCGCCTGCTTATTCTGGGTAAGCAAGCGGATTCTCATAGAATCCTCCCGCGACGAATTCAGCGTCCTCGAATCCCTCCCCTCCGAAGACGAAGATAACGACTTTGGCATCGCCGGCGCAGACCCCACCGACGCAGACCCACAATCCGGGGATGTGTCCAATGCAGCAGCTGCTGCTGAAGCCGCAGCAGCAGCCGCAGCGAAAGAATCCGCTGACGCGGCGGCTATGGAGAAGATGAACCTTTATTGGCAGTTCATCGTCGGAATGCTGACGAATCAGGGCGCGATGCCGTTGGCTAGGGTTGTTATGATGTTGAAGATTGTTGTGCCCGGTGGGTTTCCGTTTAGTAATGAGGACTTGAGGGAGTTTTTGGCGGGGATGGTGGCGAAGGGGAAATTGGAGATTGTTAGTGGGGGGAATTATAAGATTGTGCCTTGATTTGGGGATGATGGGTGTATGCATTTGATTGGAGTTCTGGGGTTGGGTTTGTTGTTTTACCTATACCCTAGGTTGTATGAATCATGATTATTTTTGATTTTGTGAGGATCTTCATCCTTTGGGAGAGTGGGTAGAAATATTTGTCCCATGTATCAAGCTGGACCTATGTGAATAAGCTTGAGCTATCAAGCTAATGGGTGGCGTTGTGTGGCTTCGGGAAGTCTGGCAGATCCTCCTCGCTTGAGATACTCTGTCAATGTCACTCATGCTATATGTTTTTCTTGATTAGGCTTTTCGGTAAAGACATCATCTATATGGAAACAATCCTGCGTGTGTATAGCCTATAATTGTCCTGTACATGAGCTCCTATCTTTACACTCTAATCTTGCTATACGTGATAGGGCTGACCCGTGAGGATCATTCTTGGCAGTTGAGCCCCCGTCTCGGGGCCCTTGCTTTGTGTCGCTGTGGAGCTCACGAGACGGGAGGCTTGTCATACACCCCCACTAGGGTCACCAAGTTAAGACTTGTGATTATTTCAATATTGGTCTAGTGCGGGGTTAAAGATGAATTAAGATTGCCTTAGATTGATTCATCGACAAAGTCATATAATACTCAGCTCAACTATACTTCACCTGAACTTCACTCACTATCAAGACTGTGGACTACTAGTACCTTGGAAGCTGTGCATCATTCCAAGTTTACAAAATGGCGCTTTCTATCGCCAGAACGACCAGGATGTCATCATTCTTCAAACCATTGCTCTTCAACCCGAATCTGACGCTTCGCACTCTGAGCACACGCACAACCACCCGCAAACTCAACAATGGCACCACTATCCCAGCCCTCGGGTTCAGCACATTCCAAGACCCCGATTCCCAAGAGGAAACCGTCAGTCTCGCCCTCCAGAAAAGTATGCGCCTAATCGACACAGCCCGTATCTACGACGTCGAAGCGCAAGTTGGAAAGGGAATCAAGAAGAGCTGTATTCCCCGCGAGGAAATCTTCCTCGGCACAAAATTGTGGTGCAATGATTAACACCCCGAGGACGTGGAGTGCGCATTAGATGATTCTTTGCGTGATCTTGATACTCCATGTGTTGATCTCTTGTTGATGTATTACCCCGTGTTCATTCAAGCGTGGTCCGGAGCGGTTCCCCCGTGATTCAACATTGTCGGTGTGGTGGTGGCTTATTGGCCAGGCTTTGGTCTGAGCTATATTGACAACGGTCAATCAGAGTTCCATGGTGATTCCCAATCGCTTTCCAAATTATCAAGTTGTTTCTTCTCGTGACTGGCTGCTGGTTCTTCTGCATGATGGGTCGTCGGGATGAGGCACTCTTTATCCTGAAGCGTGTTCGAGGTACTGCAAACGAACGTGCAGCCATTTTTGAGATGCGTGAGATTGAAACTATCGTTGAGCTGGAAAAGGAATCAGAGGATCATATTACCTACTTCGACATGTTACTTGGTACTGGGAATGAGAATTTGCATATCGCACGCCGTGTGCAGCTGGTGGTCTGGCTGCAGATTTTACAGAGCTGGACAGGCATTGCAGGTGTCACCATGTACGCGCCGAGTAAGTAACAACCAAGACCTCGACTCGTGCTCTCAATCCTGATCTGTCCAAAGCGATCTTCAAAATTGCAGGATTTGATTCCCAAAAGACAACGTGGATCTCAGGATTGAACAATATCTTCTACTCCTTTGCAACTCTCCTTTGTGTTTTCACTCTCGATCGATTAGGTCGTCGGTGGACGCCCTAGCGGGGAGCAGCAGGACAAGCCATCGCCATGTTCTCACAGGTGGCCCCGCTCGTGGTGGATTAGATCACGCAGACAATCAAGGGCCCAGGGGTATCGCAGCAACGTCCATGGTATATCTTGATACATTTATCTTCGGTGCTACTTGGCTCACTGTGCCATGGCTGTACCCCGCGGAGATCTTTCCATTGAAGGTTCGAGTCAAGGGAAATACCTGGGGTGTTGTTGGCTGGAGCTTGGGTAATGGGCATGTCTTCTGAAGACTTTGTGTGTGATTGGTAAGGGGAGAATGCTGCTTATACGACCTAGATCCCTCACGTTGGCTCTTCCTTACATTTTTGGGGCATTCGGTGAGAACACTCTTCACGCTTTGGAGCTGTCAATCTCATCAGTATCCCAATCGGTTAGTATGACCTGATATTTCTTCTGAATTTAGTGGCGACTAACTCACAAAAATACAGTGTGGGCTGTCTAACCAATATCTAGCCAACGAACCCTTGAGGAAATTGACTTACTCTTCGCCGCTGACTCTCCCTGGGTCTGGGCCGCCGAGTCTAACTTCAAGAGACTCACGGCTGAGAATCCAGCTCTTGGTGGTGCTCGTAACCGAAAATCGCACTTTGGAAGCGGAGAAAGGCCTCGAGAAAGGGTGGTTCAATCCGGACACGGAACATGAGGAGAATGTGTCGGACTACTAGCTGTCTCTAGCCTGATCCCATATTACCACTATTAACATACAATGGTAGTGGTATTAGTGATTTTCGAGGCCAGGACTATTAGTAAATTGAATTAATGTTAGCGAGATGTATTTCTAAATTTATCAAACAAAGTGACAGACCTAAAGTCTCAACCTAAGGGCCGTAGGAAACGGCTAAATAAGACATTATTCAACTTGATCAGCTTAGAGAGACTCTTTCCAGTGTTTACTAGAGCCTCGGGTTGGGGTACATCTCCCTCCATCGTGTTCAAGCGGGGTACGCATCGCCAAGTCGGGAGTGGAGAAACAAGTTGAATCTTCGATCCTGGCAGGTTCTTCACATCACTACAATCATCTTTTAATCCAAATGGAGAAACAAAAGGTCCAGCCAGTGTTGAGAATTGGCGGATCCACGGCGTGGATGTAACGCTACCCGGTGCGATGTCATTGATGCGGAGTACATACAGTGGCGGTGATGCGCATGTCTCACCTGCTACTCGTGTTAATTGGCTTCAGCATGGAACCCGACCGGTGGCCAGGTAATCCAAGGCATCAGGCAAATGCCATGTCTTAGATCAAGGCCCCCCTCTACTTCCCCCTCGGATGTACTCCACTGCTGGTTACTACTTGTGGTCCGAGCAGCAGACATGTATAAAACCCGTCAGTTCCTTCGGGAGGGAAACAGATCATTCAAGTTCTATTGCAAAACAAAAGACATAATACCAACTATGAAGACCTCCCTGATCCCATTTGGTGTCCTCTTGGGGCTGGTCTCGGCCCAGAATGCTGTCGTGAACAACCACTGTGACACCACCGTGTATGTGCAGTCGTTCCCTTACGATGGCAGCGCCCCAGGCCCTCTCACCACCGTTCCCCACGGGGGAACTTTCTCCGAAGCTTTTAGAGCATCAGGCTCGGTAGGTTACTCCATCCTCTTCGTCTGCGCTATAATCTATATAGTAAGAGAAAACTGACCAGAGATGGAATATGCAGACCGTCAAGATCTCCAAGACAAAGACGCTGAATCAACCTCTCTTCTTTGGCTATTCGTTCTCGTCAAACCCGGACTACGCATACTGTGAGCGCACCTATTCTACCTGTCAGCGAGGAAATTTTATTAACCGCATCCTTCTTCAAGATGAACTGAGCACGGAATGGGGCAACCCCTTCGCAGCGTATCCAAACTCGCTCAGTCCTGGGGACGGCTGTGAGGTCTTTGACTGTGCCGCCAATGATGCCGGCTGCTACAGTACCCCAGCTCATAAGAAGGTTTATGGGTGCCCCCAGCCAGTCACCTTGACGGCGGACCTGTGTCAGTAACTACTAACTCATTATGTGCTCCCTGAGCCGATCATTCCCCGAGGTGGTAGTTTGGCCGTCACCTAGATCACATTTAATATTACGAATAAATATTTTCAATATAGTGAGCGTTTGAATTTATGGTGGATAGATGCGAGTAAACTGCAACAAGCTTGTAGCGGCGATGAATATAAAAAGCTCTTTCTATGCAGATCAAAGTCTGACCTAACAGATCTTTACAATAAGAAGAAAACGATAAATAGTTTTCAGCTCGCACACATCAGAGGGCTCAGCAAACTGCCTTAGATAGCCATGCATTCAAACTTGATGGAATTATTTGGAGCACTTACTGCCAATCACACCGTTGACGGGAATATCAATAGAGGTAGTATAGCTTGCTGCATCACTAAGGAGGTACACGTAGGCTCCACCGAGCTCTTGAACTTCAGCCAGCCTGGGAAAGCCACCATAATACTTCAGCTGTTGTTCCCAGTCGGGTTGTTGAGGCACCCAGTATGTCATTGCAGTCTTGACCAATCCGGGGGACACGCTGTTCACCCGGATACCGTACTGTGCCCATTCAATTGCCAGGGTGTGGGTCATGTTTCGAACGCCGGCCTTTGACGCGCCGTATGGAGTGGAAGGGACACGCTGGGATTCTCAATTACCGATCATCTAGATCTATGGGAAACTGGGACGACATACCTTGTTGGGACGGTAAGAGGCCATGGAAGCAGTAAAGACTACGGATCCATTGATACCGAGCTTAATGAAAGCACGAGCAGCAGCGCGAGCTGTGTAGAAGGCACTAAAGAGATTAATATTGAATAAGCTCTCAATTTCCTCCTTGGTGAAGTCGAGCGCGGCCTTGTGGTGAGTTCGACCGGCATTAACAACCATGCCCTGCAGTGCACCAGCTTCCTCAATTATCTTATCGATTGCCGCGGTAATAGTCGCTTCCTTGGTCACATTGGCGTTGACCGCAGATAACTGGCCTGGGTAACGCTTTGCGACAGCGGCAAAGTCATCACCAGTCTCTCCAATCTCGATAGAGTAGACCTTGGCGGCACCGTTTGAAAGACAGCATTCGGCAATGCCCAGGCCGATTCCGCGGTTGGCGCCGGTAACTTCGCAGATGTATATTATTTGAAGCTGCTTTGAGCTTTCCCAACAACTTTTAAGCACATACTAGTAATGACTTTTCCACCAAGAGTAACTTGAGTCTGGGGAGCATCCGCCTGGGTAGTGGCGGACTCTGATGAAGTTGCGGCGGGAGACATGGTGAGAATTATTTTGTAGAAGACGTACACGTATACAGCAAAGGAAAACTTGAATGGTAAAGGAGAGAAAAGAAGTCCGAATCAGGACTTTTAAGAAAGAGTTTGCTCTCTCCTTCTAGTCATCAAGCAAGAGGCTCCACTTCAAACAGCTCTAGTCGGTGATCCCCTGAGACGGCGAGGCAACTGGGGAAGAGCCCCAGAGACGGGACCAAATGGCCCACTTCACCCATTTATCACACTCCGATTGGACTGGACAACGCAACTTGCTTGATTCTTGAAGATAGGGAGAATGAGGTGTTAAAGCGTTCCCCGGTTGAAGTTGTAACACGCCTGCGGGCGGGGCTGAGACCTTAAATTGTTATTATCCAATTTCTTCTTTATTCATGGCATAACGTCTCAAGAACTCACACATTCCCTTCCTTCCTATCCCAAAACTCACTCGTTCAGAATCAGAACCCACTACACTTTACAATTATGGCTGCCCTGCCAGCATGGAATCTTCTCAAAGGCAAAACATCCGCGATCACTGGCGGAACAACTGGGATTGGCCGCGCAATCGTGTTAGCGTTTACCACGCAAGGGTGCAATATCGCTGTCAACCATTTAGGTCCCATTTAGGTCTTCCTAAGGATGATGCGCAGCGCCATAGTCTGATTGAAGAAGTCAAAGCGAACGAGAAAAGTGGTGTCAAAGCTGGGAAGATCTTGGACCTTGCAGGCGATGTGACCAACCCAGAGACAAGCACAATATTGGTCAGTGAAGCTGTGTCAGAATGGGGTAAATTGGATATCTTTGTTGCCAATGCCGGCGTATTCAAACAAGCAGAGTTCCTGAAGTAAGTGAGATTAGATGTGATTTCTCTGCTTGAGAAAAGTCACGGGGCTACTATACTGTTAGAATCGAGCCCTCCCTCCTGGACCACAGCGTGGACGTCAATATCAAAGGCTGCTTCTATTCCTGTCAAGCAGCTGCCCGTCAAATGGTGAAACAGGGACACGGTGGCTCGGTCATCGGCATTTCCTCCGTCAGTGCTCTTCTGGGCGATGGTTTGCAAACACACTATACTCCTACAAAGGCTGCGATATTGTCAATGATGCAGTCTATGGCGATTTCCCTGGGAAAGGACAAGATTCGATGCAATGCCCTGATCCCTGGGACTCTTGCCACTTAACTGGCTGACCACGGCATGAAGAACCCTACTAAGAAGGCGGCTCTGGAAGCTCGCATTCCCCTCGGACGTATCGGTGACCCAGAAGATATGGCTGGTCCTGCAGTTTTCTTGGCTTGCGAAGAGATGAGTCGTTATGTTAACGCTACGGGCGTGTTGGCGGATGGTGGAATGCATAGTAATTGCAGTAGCCGAGTTGAGCTTTTGCCATGGTTTCATTTTTGCGTTTGTTCCAATCGACTTAAAATCGAATTCATTGGAGTGATCCCATCTTCTATTCAATCTTCAAATTTACATGTATCGATCAAAACGAGTTCTTACTTCTCTTTGCATTATTCACTGCTAAGGTCAACTGTCAGAGCCGAGGGGCAAAGGCCCTCTGCTCTACTGTGAGGCTGGTATGCATTTGTATTTACCATCCCCTCTTTAAAGTGGGAGTAGGATAATGGTGTCTAAATATTCATGCAGCATGGACACGGTATATTCCAATAATGTAGTGTTCTTCTCTACTATAGTTCTTTTTTTTAACAATTTGCCTTCCCAGCAGATCCACTGATCTCCATCCAGTTTATAGTGAGATCTGCCACCTTTTGAATCCCTTCCTCAATCAGCTGAGTATGTGGCATTCTATCCACGTTTGCCCGATGATGCTCAAAGTAATCATCCAATACCAGCCGGTTCACATTAATCTTGCTGACACCAGCAGCCACTCAGTGCTTCATCAGTTCTGGCTCAAAGCCATTAGTACCGTGGAGAGCGAGATTGACGCGGCCCTTTGCCTGCTGACGAATTTTCTCAAATCTGGACCCAAGTTAGCATAGGCAAATATACAGTATACACAGACACTAACTGACCGTCCAAAATCCAGTTGGGGCCCTCGTGGTCCATATTCACCATGGACATTACCAAACGCAGGTGCAAGAACGTCCACACCAGTGGCAACAAACTCGTCAACTTCCTCAGCCGTAGTCATACAAGCTTCTAATCCCGCGGTATCCATAACCTCATCTTCGCCTCCTTCGATTCGACCCGGTTCCGCCTCAGTAACCTTTTGGCGCTCGTTGCAATATTGTACTAGCTCGCACGTCTTCGATAGATTGACCTCCTTATCATAGTGCGACATATCGACCATGATACTGTCGAAGGGTAGCTCGGCAGCGCGCTTGATAATATCTTCGGATTGCGCATTATCGAGGTGAATACTGATGGGTACACTTGCGCGTTTAGCAAGCGTCTGCAGCTGTGCGAATCAGCAGGCCATTTGTGGCCTTGATGGCCCAGGGGAAGAATTGGATGATGAGGGGTGAGCGTGCAGTTTCAGCAGCCTGTACAAGTCCAAGCACTTGTTCTATATTGTATGCGATGGCGGCAATGACTCCGTACCCACCGGCTTCTGTGTTGTGTAGAATGCGCTTATGGCAGTTGGACTCCTTCCAAGACATGTCGTATGTGGACTTTGTGTGCGTTGAAAGCGAGGCAGGGCTCTCCAGCGGAATTTAAATATATCAGAATCAATTTAGCCATATTTTCCATTGTCTGTTTACTAATAACAAAGTAAGTGTCTTGGATGCAGCTACCGTACAACTGAGTAGGCAGCGGTGGGGGTACTGGTGGCCTCGAGACGAGGGTTGGAGCTGCCCCACCATCGGCCTTTCTCCGAGTGTCCATACAGGCCCGCGCTACCTTCCCTTTACTTTTTCATTCGGCAGTAGCTAGACCATCATGCAATAGGTTCGAGATCAGTGTTACTCATACCTCGATCTGTTTTTTGTCATTGCAACTCGTTCCGCATTTTTCTATAGCTATTACTCAACATATACTCATCCCGAACACTCACCATATCCCCAAACCTCCAACAATATGAAAGACCCTTTTGAGTCGCACGACCCATGATTTAGCGCAATCGTTGGAACATCTCCAACAATGGAGCTCTGAGTAGAAAATGAATCCTATCCTTTCGCCCATGAGGCTGGAGTTTTCTTCCCGGATAGAAACAACCTCTACCTTACCAGTAACAGATGCCTCGATTCCGATGGAAACCAAAAAGTTTATATCACACCCCTTGAATACTGCTCCAGTTACTTGCAAAGTGACCACTCCTCCTATTCCAATGGGGAACGGAGGTGTAAATTATGGCAAAGACCACGTTCTCTTCTGCGCTCAAGTAACCATGACCGAGCCTAGTGGTCTTTATCGGATGTCTACAGAGCCTCCTTATAAAACCGAGATTCTCAAGACAGATTTCTTGGGCCGGCCTTTTAATTCTGTTAATGATGTGGTGGTACACTCGGATGGATCTGTTTGGTTCACCAATCCTATCTACGGCTTTGAGAAGGGAAATCGACCTAGGCCCCGTCTGCCTAGTCAGGTCTATAGGTGGTGTCCCGATACTGGGGCTATCCGGCCATGGCCAAGGGATTTGGAAGACCGAATGGCATCTGCTTCTCACCTGATGAAAAGTTATATATATCACCGTCACAGACCGAGTTCACAGTGACGGTACTATCGATGATCAGCGAGTCTCGTCGATGTAAGAATAACAACTACCCCAACCCTATAAGTGTATTCAGAGTGTCATCCTGACATTCATACAAAGTTACCCTTTCGATCTCACATAAATACACGGAGAGCCGTTTCTTGTTAATCAACGATTCTTCGCCATGGCAGCCGAGGGAATTTCAGATGGGATCAAGTGCGATTGCGAAGGAAACGTTTACAGTTGCTGCGGCGATGGAATCAATGTTTGCTCACCAGGAGCCGTTCTTCTGGGGCTTATCTTGATTGAAGGTGGCGCGGCTAGCTTTTGCTTCGGGGGAAATGGGAAGATCTTCGCTCTGAATGAGCATCGATTGTGGAGAGTACAATTAGGAGCAGAACTAAAGGGTGCATTGCTGGGTATATGAAAGGCCTCTTTTAGAGGAGCGGTAGGATATAGTGAAAGGAAGGGTAACAAAGCTAGTTCATATCTGATTGACTCGAGGGAGGAACCAATGCGAACCCTCATCTTACTGGGGAACCTTTTGGAGATCCATGTCTTTCCCATATGTGTTGCAGCTCAATCCCAAGAGACTTTGGTGGGCCAGCCAGTCCGGTCTCGGCATAGATCAAGTAGTTCCGCATGGGACTCACTCACCAGCCCTTCGTAGTCCTCAGGCCACGCCCTCGGGAGTTTCGAATGCGGACTCGCCTCGAAGAAACTCGCGGGGTCATCGTCGTGGTATCTTCAGCGCTGCAGATGCTGTGGTCAAGATTCGAGTTCATCGTGGCTTATCCCAGTAGTCTGTAGGAGATGGTCCCGATCTCGGGACATCACCGATTAAATAGTTTTCACGTGGTATCTCCCCCACACCCCGCATCATCCCCGACATTACGTTGTACAAACCGACATGTGGTGATCAAGATTTAGGGAAACTACTATGTAGAATGATCTGGGTTTGTTGTCTCGCGGGAAACAGTAGCAATCAAGGTCATAAGTATAGGTAGTGGTGAATATGTCTCAATGAGGTCTTGATCGGATAGTAGTAGATCAGCACCCACAATATATCGCTACCACCTGACGGCTGCTCTCAAAGTGGGTTCAACCTTCATTAGCCGAGTACCATTGTTTCAAAGGTCATGAATTGCTGTGTGAGGGCTCTACTCTATGCTCGGTGATTGCAATAATCATATAGATATTTAAGTTGCATTTGATTAGTGGAGCACAGATGTGTAGATTGAAGACAGAAGAAAAGGTATCATTGAAAGAATATCTACAAATAATTGAATCATCAAACATCACCCGGCATACTCATCTACTCGGCATCCAACGGCGCAACGGGTGGCTGATCATCCACCTGAATACCACCCCTCTTCTTCTCATTACTATCCCAAAACGGCAACTTCCAACCCCCTTCACTCTCAGGCGTCGCCAACCACAAGCGCATAAGATGCCGTCTCGGCGTAGGCGGCGCATGGTCCGTATACGAAGTGCGCGCATGCAAAATATGCGAATTAGCCAAGAACTGGATATCACCAACATCCAGAATCATATGCAGCGAAAGACGGTTGCAAGTCTCCTCCAGCACCTTCAGAGCTTCCTGCTGGGCGTCCGAGAGGGGAGGGATGATTCCTGCGTCGGAGAAGCGGGTGAGAGAGCGGACGTAGTAGGGGTCCCATTTTGTGTAGACGCGGCCTTGGTCGCCACGTTCGAGGTAGATGACGCTTGTGCGGATGTATTCGTCTTGGCCCTTGGATGTTTCGCCTTTGCGGTCGAAGTACCAGATTGGCTCGGTGAGGGTTTTGAGGACGTCGGGGCGTTCGGTGGCTAGGGTGTTGTAGACGTGGTGGGAGGAGACGATGTCGGATTCGCCGCCTTCGAGGGCTTTGGCGATGCAGAGGAGGCCGACAATATCGGAGTCGTCGGCGTGGAAGAATTGGCTGCAGAGGAAATGGGTTAGGAATCGGGTCTGGATCATGGGGATCTAGGGGTAGGTGATATTTTGACGGGACATACCGAGCGTTCGTGCGGTAGATGCGCACTTTGTCAATCTGAGTTGAATCCTCGCCGAGATCCTTGACGTGGCCCAGGACGTGGCCACGGCTGTTCTGGCTCACGAAATAGCCTAGGTAGGTACCCAGGCCCATGTATGCGACGGCAGACTTGTGATTGCCCCATTTCTCGACAGGGAAGCCCTTGAACAGAATGAATCCCTTTCCATCAATGATATCCTTGCGGAGAGTTTCCAAGTACTCTGCAAGCTTGGGCAGGGTGAAGTTGGACTATGTCCCGGGTTAGCCGACAAGAATATGCATCTCAGACAGGCTGTGAAACCTACCTTGGAGATACCAGTGAGAGGGGTCTTGGAAGCAAGGAATGCATCCGCCGCGATGCTCAATTCCTCCACTTGCTCCTCAGTGAACCTATGTGTCCACTTCTCAGGGTTCTCGCGATAGTCCTCGGCCTTCCATACTGTCGGGCCGGTGATCTCGCGGGGAAAGCGATCAAAGGGCACAATGTGATCGTAAAGTGGGGGATGTTGGCCGGTCGTCTTCAATCCATCGGGGAAGATATCCCGCGGGGCAGTACTAGCCAGATTATGGGGCGCTGTAGGAAGCGCATCTGTAAGAGCGGGAGCCATGATAGACGCGAGATGCAAACAAAGAAGCTTTTAGCAGGTCGATGGTGAACACAGCAAAGCAAACACAGGCTTGATTAATGTAGATGATGCTGGTCAGTGAAGGCACTAATGCCTATTTATAATTTCGCAATCCCGGCCGAGATCTGAATGACGAGATGGGAGGTCATCTTCTTTGTGTGAACAATGGTGAGGAATCAAGTTGCCAGTATGGCGTGCGAGAGACGCACTCCACTCTCCTATAGGGCGAAGCATGGCGAGTTGGATTTCCAATAGGGTGAAACGGGTTTCACGGGACTTGTGAACGGAACATAATTGCAACAATCAGGCCGAATGGAGTTGCAATGTCTTGGGAGACTGCGCTTGACTGGACGAGTCATTTTGATTGGGAGACTTGGGCGGGGGATGGCGCAATTGGCGGGGGTCGATGTTGTGATTATCGCGACCGCGCTTGGGTACTTGGGGTTTGTAGATTGCCGCGAAATCAAAATCTTTGATTGTTAGAATTCTTCTTGTTTTAATAGGTATGTTTGTTATTACCAGACCTATCCGCGAGTCATATAAAGCTGGATGGTAACAGGTAATAGCAAGAGATGGGATGGATGTTGGATTGAAGATGAAATAAAAATGACCCGGCTGGTCGGCACCGACCCGACAACCCGATACTTCAATAATCTATCTACCTAAACACCTGCACGGTAGCATCCCAATTACGTGGGCAAGGTGATCCAGGAAGTACTCGGCCGACAATTATAGTTTTCTCAATCTTTGAATATCCATTGGACATCATCTCTGTATATAGATGGTAGGCGATCATCTTGGATCTCCCTAGATTGCTGCTTGTGGTTGGCTAAGTGATCCCTGAGAGCAGAGTGTCTGAAATAAAGGTACATTCCTTCTCGGACGAGAGAAAATTAGATCTGATAAGACGTGAAAGAGAAAATAGTTGCTTAATCTTGACTGTCACTGGAATGGCTTTTTCCCATTGGTTGTCTTTGTCAGTATTCCCCTAAGTGTGGCACGACTAGACCCCTGTTTGAGAATGAGAACAAGCAAACATTTCTGGCCCTGCTAGTTATCAGATTTTACGAGATTAACTGGAAGTAGAGTTGAATCTTCAAAATGTTTGTTTCTCTGACCTACAATTACAAAGTTACCACAAATTGTTTGTAGGCTAAGACTACTTTCGAGATCGATAACTTGGTGGGGATTTTACTGCAGCTTGATAGCACTGAGTAGGCCAGAAACTCCTCCTCCAATAATAAAGATGTGATACGATGTCGTACTGTTGTTGTCCTGGATGATTCCGTAGCTTTGATAGTATGCTCAAAGGAGATACAAAGGTGTTATAACTAAAAAAACCATGAATAGGAGAAACGTGCTGACAGAAGGAGCTTTGACACTAGCGCCTTTCAGGTCTCGCCTTGCGTCCGCATCTCCGCACCTGAGGTCAGCTTCTTGTATCTAAGGTCGGCATGCGGGTAGACCGCACCACTTTCAATCCAATTAAAAGTCGGCTAATCCCGTAGTAGTAAACAAAGAAGAGTGAAGATGATCTGTTCTCATGCTTTAGGTTTATTTCCGACCTCGGGTCAGCAGATCCTAACACTCGTCTTTTGCTAGGCCTGCCTATTACAGTAGGAGGATTCCCTTTTCTAGGCTGGCGCTAGCTATTTTAGACTCTCAGCCTTCATTAGTAATGTTAGACTGTCAGCTCAGCATAGCAGACTTTATTTATATATACCAGCTTGATACTGCTCTCAATTGAGATTGCTAAGATCATACCCTTCACCTGTGATATCGGGACAAGATGGGCGAATCAAAACCCTGGGTCGACGGCCCGTACACTCTAATTAGCCCTTCCAGGAGCGGCGCTTCGGTGCGACCACATCAACACCACCAACCTTCCTGGATGCCATATAACTAACAATGGTATAGGTCGGGAAGAAGCTATCATCGGCCCGAGCGATGGCAGCAGAAATGTCAATTGTGCATAACTGCCTAATCCGAGGGATCAATTCAGTGTACAACCAGTGTATCAACGTCACGACACGAGGAACCGACACCGACAAGCTTGACTTCGCCAACTATGCGTTCCAGTGGACGGAGATGGTCCATGAGCATCACTCAAGTGAGGATAGCACGATATTTCCGTCCATGGGCGAGATTGCCGGGGTACCGGGTTTGATGGACGTTAATTCCAACGAGCACGCCGTGTTTCACGATAAGATTGGTCAATACGCGGATTATTTGAAGGGGGTTATACAGGGCAAGGAGAAGCTTGATGGAGAGAAGGTTAAGAACCTTATCGATTCGTTTATGCCGGAGCTGCACACCCACCTTGGGAATGAGATTGATACACTTGTCGATTTGGAAAAATATGATAAGGTCGACTGGGATGCTTGGTTTAAGAAGGAGGTGGGTAAAATGATCAAGGATTTGATGGGCCAATATGAATACCGGGTAAGTTTCCTTTCCTTCGCTGTGAGCGTATAGAAGGAAAGATGATTCCTCTGATAGCTAATGGCATGGCGTGGAATTTAGATCAACATCTTCCCGTTGAGCATCATCTTGCACGATAAGTCATTCGACGATGGCGTGTGGAAGACCTTCCCCCGATTCCGTATGTGGTCGGATTGGTTCTGCGCTGGATGTATATGTACAAGAATCAGCATTGGTGGAGGTTCGCTGGCTGTGATTTCAAGGGGTACCCCAAGGAACTGCCATTTGCCTAGAGAGAAGGAAGCTGAGTTTGTTATTTGGAGGATATCTTAGTTAAGGTTCATGTTTGAGAACCGACCAATGGTCATCCAAAGTTTGGCCTCGCATGAATAGAAGTATACGCATAGAATGCGTATAAGAGTAATGCCTACTAGGAAGAGAACAAGATCTAATGAAAACAGAGAATACTAGTAGAATCACGCAAAAAAGCCATCGAAATCAAGTAGATTAACAATGTACTCCAAAATGTGTATAAACCATAAACATGATGAATAAAATGTGAATGTGAATGTAAAGCAAAAATCGAGATGACCACCAAGCCCCAAAGATAAGAGAAGAAAGAGAATAGCAAAGGAAAGTAGACTAGTCTAGCTATGGCTAGACCAAGATCCGCTCCCACGCTAATCCCATCCTCTCATCCCATCCCATCCATCCTAACCACCTTCGTCTATAACTGATAACATCAAGACTGAATCGAAGAACAGCGTAGTGCAAGATCGCATCATATGAGGCGTTTAATCAGGATGAAAGGCAGAAGGAAAATGAAAATGACATGAACAGAAACAGAAAACACATAACTCATAGATGATAAAACCAAAGCATGGACATAAGCGTAAATAGACATAACCATCAACATGGACATGGACATAAACATAAAAATCCAAGAGGGAAATGATGACATAAATTGCAACCTCAAATCAGAACAAATCAGCAGAACAAGAACCCATATAACCCCCCAATATGCCACCGGTAACCGTAAAAACCAAGGCATGAGAACAAGAAAATCGAAAGCGTGAGACCTGAGACCAAGATGACAGAAAAGAAGGACCGTCTCAGTCCACTGCCAAAAAAGACCAGCTTCTTTACAAATTTTTTCAATTCGGAGTCCGGCACCGAAAAATATACTCCAATCCAATGGCGAATCTTGCGACAAGTCCTGTCATCCTTGTCAAGTCAAGGAATTGATCCAAATCGAAATCGAGACCAAGGTCGAGATCGAGATTGAATATCGTGTCGTGTCATGCGAAAGAAGTAATCCAATCCAACCCACCCAGCGCCTCCAAATGTGAAAGGCAAAAAATAAAAAATAAAAAATAAACAAGAAAAGGAATGACCGTATATCTCAAATCAGGCATAATTCATAACATCCGTGAAACCCACATCCCCCATTAATCCGCACGCTGCACCCCGTCAAGGGCTGTGGCATGGGACAGGCAGTGGGGCCAGACACGATCATTTCACATCGATCTGGAAAGCCTTCCACTTGCCACCAGTCGTCCGGCAGCGGGGACAACCCCTGGCACTGGGGTAACTCGTCGGACCTGGGGGCGGAGCATTGTTCAGGGAACCATTACCGGGACTGCGGAATGAGGCAGGTGGACTGGAGATGAACAAGCTGACGCACTCGCGACACACGCCGCAGATGCACTCTGTACAAGCGTAGCACTCGTTCAGTGCCCAGGGTCGCTTGCAGTGGGCGCAGTAGATCTGGATGTCATTGTTGCGGAATGACGCGGGCGTGGGGTTTGAGAAGCGGTGGTGCTGGCGTTGTTGGGAGAGTGGTGGGATGAGGTTTAGCACGGGGCTGGAGTCGGAATTGATGGAGCGCGCGATGCCGGAGTGGAAATTCTTGCCCGAGGCGCTAGACATGGAGTCTAGAGATGACTCAATGGATGGGAATGGTTCCAGATCGCTGTCGCGACCACGGTGGCCTTCGAAAGGTGGGGGAGTGAGCGACTTGTGTAATGGGGAAGCTGTGTATGAATGAGGCGGAAATTGTCGGTGCGAGGACAAGGGCGGGAGTCCGGAAGCCGATTGGAAAGCTGGTGGTAAAGAAGACCGGTTCTTGAGTGCCGAGGGTGCAGATGTCACATTCGCAAGCAGTGGCGCGATTGTTGGAGATTGACCAGCCTGGAGATGAATGTCCATCATGTCAATCTTCATTGAATCGCTTGCTTGTGTATCACTGAAACTGACCTCAGAATACCGCTCATCATCAGCTTCCGTCGCGGATGTCGCCGCTTCAATCAGATCCTCCCAGCGCTTGCCCTGTGCCCATGCCGCGGTCTGCGGTTCTGCAGACAGGGCCTTGCGTTCGCCGAGACTCGGGCGCCGACCGAATTCTTTTGATCTCGGGCGGTCGTGCTTAGGTTTGCGGGCCGACTGCGTGATGGACGATTTGCGCGGGCGGGAAAACTTGTCTCGTCGCTGAATCGGGGGAAGAGTCGAGGAGCGACCGGGGGGAGAATGATTGAGAATTGACGGAAGGAGTTCCCGCGGGCGGGGCGACGAGAAAGGTGGCAGGGATTCTTGCTTGAAGTGGTCGCGCAGCGATGGGAGTTCAATGGAAGAGCGCATACGGCCTTGATGGATATCGCTATCAGAGTGGGCGTCCTGTGGGGTAAAGAGAGCGCGGGGGAAAGTGTTAGTCAAGGTATCTCATTATCTGGAGAACCGCGGGGATGCCCAGGAAAAAATAAAGAAGCAAAAAAAGTACATACCATATCAGTATCCCAGTCGGAAGCTAAGCGATGGTGATGCAATTGAGCGAGCGCAACGGCTGCGGTCGCAGCGGCGGGGTGGGGTTCATCGAGAGCTCGAGGGGTGGCCGGGGAGCTGGGATCAGCAACGTAAATGTCTCTATCCGCGATATCTGCAAGTAACCGTCAACAATCCCTGTCACCGGGGAGGAAGACAGAAAAAATTGGAAACTAAAGGCGCAAGACTTACCATGGCCATGAGGACGTCGAGGACGAGCTGGTTCTGGCGGGGACAAGTGCGCACGTTGATCGGGCGGGGTGGTCACCATGAGCAGGAAGCTCTCCTCGGTAGCCGGCAGCTTCGGGATGTAGTGGTTCGGATGTGCACGTCGGATATGCTCCTGCATGGAGCGATAGCGCTTTTCCTGGAAAGGCACATGGGGGTTAGCTACATGGAAGCTTTCGATCTGAACGATTTCAATCGAATTAATCGTAGGGGGGATTTCCCATGCCACCGCACTCATCTCGGTGGTGATAAGGTGGGGCTCGAAGGGCAAAGATGCTCTCTCTCTCTCACTCCCTCTCCCTCTCCCTGGGGGAGGGGGATGAAGGCGAGCAAAACGAAGATAAATGGAAAGGCAAACTTACTCCTGTACATCGCTTGCGACAACTGGAACCATCGTTATTCTTCAAGGGACAAATGACTTCATTGTTGGCGTCGGTGACCGAGAACGAGCTCGTCAGCGAGCTTCGAGGAGGCATGGTGCATATGTGCTCTGTCCCTCTCTGACCGTCTCTCTGTCGCACTGCTTGTGGTTTGTTCTCTTGGTCTTAGTTCTGTGGCGGGAGGTTCGGCAGGAGGACCCCGAAGAGATGTATATGTACGTCGAGGTGAAAGGAAATGAACACAATCGAGATTCACCAAAGAACTGGAGAGATGCAGAAAAAGACCCTTGAATCTCTGGTGGGGAGGAGAGAGAAAGGAAGAAAGGATGAACGAAAGCGCGGCTCATCGAGTGGCACAGGACTGAAAAGACGGACTGGGTACTGAGGTACTTGACAGTGGTACGCTGGGTACATAAGATGGTAAACTGGTCAGCGTATCGGAGAGTACCTAAGGGAAACTTACCAATTGGTTACAATGAGCACTACGGAGTACTGGAGGAAGTGAAAGAGCACGCCTTTTCTCCAGTACTGCCTTAGGAGGGGAAAGACCAGAGCTTCGTACTGTAAACTCCGTAATTACCATACCAGACACCGTAAATAACCCGCAGTTCTTCCTGGTTTTTTATTTGCTTGTTTCTTCGTCTCTCCCACCCCCCAGGCACAGCTGAAAAATTTGATCCGATTCCCATTATCAAGGATCTCATAGGATCTGGGATCTACTGGGCCCTCCCCCTTCAGCTCGAGTCCCGCCCTAGCTAGGACGGGCAGTGTCCGCATGCATGATGTACATGGTGTGCCGAGAGGTACAAAAGGTACTGTACTCTCTCCTTGTCAAGTTCTTAATCTCCACACCTAATCGGAGGAGCTGGGGATGGTGCGTACGGTCATTTTACGCTTCGGAAAGCCCGGTGGAACGCCGGACGAAGGAAAGCAGGAGGATCAGCTTTTTTATTTTCCAGGTTGGAATCTGCTTTGCTTCAGCTTGCTATTATATTCATTTCTTGATTCTCATAGAGGGATTGTGTTAAAAGGTGGTCATAAATCTTCCTTGTTCTCCTCCTCGATAAGCGTTGGGTCACGATAGGCGCTATCAGCGGCCCCTCCGAAGCTCTCCCCAGCTCGAAGCTCTCGACATTCTGGAAGCTCTTGAGCGAAGGAGGGGAGCTCCGGGTGGCGAATGCCTTAGCGCCACGTTACTTTGCCGTATTACCCGTACCCGGCTCACCGGAGATACTGTACTTACTGTACAGTTGGTAAAGTATACATGGTCTTTTTCTACTATCTGGTACAATTGCCATGAAATAGGTAACTCTATGCATAGGAAAAAAGAAATAGTATAATGAGATGAAAATAAAGATTCAAGATTGAGATCTACTTTCTAAACACAATGGCTATCTCACAATGAGTTTATGTCTGTGGTGGCAGACACAAAGAAAACGGAGATTACCCTCTCCAGTTCCATCTCGGGCTCGGTGCCGTGCGATACCGAGGCTGGCTCGTGAAGTACCGGTTTCTGTCCGTAGCTGTAGCTGCCTTTGATCTATGTACACTGAGGAGGAAAGAAACATAAGACATTGTAGCATCCATAGCTGTCTATTTACTCCGCAAACCAAAACCTCCCAATTAATGCTTCTTCCCCAGCTGAAGCTCCCTTCTACAATACAACACCCCCTCCCAACTTCCCTCCGACCTCGCCCGCCCAGCTCCAACTTTAAATTCCCGCACCTGTATGGTCACATAAAACACCACTTGTAATAATAATACAGACCCAATCCAAGTCCGGCTCACGCTGAGTTTAACCGACTCCACCTAGCACGGGGCACATGCCGATGAAGAGCATACCAAAGCAGCATGATAGGTGCGAAAGATTGGAAGGTGGAGGCCAATTCTCCCTTTCACCTGCATCTTGATTGGGTGACGGGTGTCTTCGGTAAGGACGCCATCCCGGATGGGGATGGTCGTGCAGGAGGAGGGGACGGAGAGAGGAGAAGAGGAGAGGAGATGGGAACTGCTGAGCTTGCGAGGGGAAAGGAAATTTAAATTTAAATTTTGAGAATTGGAATATTACTAGGAAGGGAAGAAAACTCTGAATATGTACTTTGTCGGGACCATGTACGGAGTATATATCGCCAGCTACAGTAGTAGTATCCTGTGTTTCGCAAGCTATTTTGGATGAGCGGATTTACTATTGTATTCTGGCAATTGCATCTCAAACCTCTAGCATCACCTTATCCCCAACCCCATTCTCCATCCTCCGTCTTATCTATCCTCCAGGCTTTTTCTCCTCCTCCTTCTTCCTTGGTGGTGGGGTGTGTGGTCCCGAAACGGCGGAGCGGAGATCTGTCACGGTGGAGAATTTGCACCCGTTCTCGGTACGACATTACAGGTACTCCGTACAGTAAGGAAGATTATAAGGAAGGTTACTGGTGGTGTGCGTAACTGCGTATCCCTATCTGGGAAGGAAGCTTTATCGCCTAGGTAGCTCTAGTGGTTACTACTGTAGCTACACGAGTACACCCGGCTCTTTATGGCTAGCTCGAGTTGACTAGGAACCGAACTAACTGCTTTTGTGTCTATTTTGGGGAGGTGCGCACCCGACGGTGATCAATCTGGTACATAAGAGTACGAAGAAAGGACGCTAGCGCATATGACTTGACTTTCTTGAATTGAGGTTTAAGCTCCAATGTTCTGAATGGTACTTATAGACACAGGGATTCATCATTCTTCTTTAAACTGCTTACTAGCTATAGCTTCAATTTTCAAGTTCACTAGTCGGTCGCCTGAGCTTGCTGACCATCTTAGACCCAGTTATATGAAACAGGCCATACAAAGCCTCCAATGTATCAGGAAAATACTGGAAAATCTTTGAAAAGCGCCAAACCATTCTTAATACAAGGCAGCTGATTACGCTGATTATTCAATGACTTTCAAAGGTGAAACATGCCATCGCTTCATATGTTTACGAGGCAAAAATCTCAAACCCCGAGTTCGCCATCACACAGCTCAGCTCAGTCTGTAGGGTATCGTATATGCATGACAATTCCTCCTTGCCTTCCCTGAAGAATCAACATACCAACCGTGTCGCAGAAACGCACGGTCCAGCAGCACACTCCAGGCAACCCAATTCTCGCCACTGTCGAGGGGTTCACTGCCGTAATGACAGCTTACGATCAGTACCAGGACCATCCCAAACAATAACCTGACAAGCTCTTTCGAAGCAGGAATGAAACAATCATCCGAAAGGTCGACCCTCCAACCCCATCCCATTCACGCAGAAACCTCCTCAAGCGGCGGCGTCATCAATCCATCTGCCACCTGTACACCCTCAAACTTGGTGGTACCTTGATCTTCCCCCGCAAAGAAAAGCACCACGGCTTCCGCCGCAGCTTTAGAGTCATCATCATCTTCTTCCTGTCCCGGAACCTGCGAAACATTAATCTGATCCACATACTCGGCAACCTGCGCCGCAGACCAGCCCGAGCGCCGTCCAAATTCGGCAGCTAATTCGCTATTCACGAATGTATCAAATTCAAAATGACCCTGATACGTCAGGATTCGACCGTGGATGTACAGTCCTTGAATCGGACAGGCCGCGCTACTGCCGATGTTCATCCATGGCGCGGGTAGGGCGACGGATGTCTGTCCTGCGGATGTAGCTGCGGCGACAGCTTGCGGAGTAGGCAGTACTTGATCGCCGTGGATGAGCTGGATGCGGAACGGTCCTTTGGAAGTTGTCCGTACGAGTGGTGGGAATTGTGCTGTGAATGAGGGGTCTAAGATGATAGAGTGAATACCCATTTCGAAACCCGTCTGTGCGGGCTGGACACTGAAAGTGTTGGTAATAGGTGTGTTACTCGTAGGTGTGGAGAGAAGTGCTTGCGCGATAATTTGATGACCGAAGCAGGACCCGAATATCTTCACAAGTGGGTAATTCGCATAAACCGTTTGGATGAAGGACTGAAGCTCTGCGATCCAGGGGAACGGGTCATATGCCGACGAAGCTGACCCCGTAATCAGGATAGCGTCGATGACTCCGAATGGCCCGTTGACGGGCTCGGTCGAGGTACGTGGGCTTGCGCGAAGAAACTCGAGAGGTGGCAGTGAACCGCCGACGGCGTCAAAGGCCGTGACATGTATGGCTAGCGGGCCGTTTTGGAGGGTGGTGTTGGCATTTTGATTTATACGGTTTGCGGCTGCTTGGAGTAGGACGCGAAATTGGGAGCTGTAGAGGCCTCGTTTGTTGTAGACGGAGAGACAGGGGACGTCGGTGTCTAGGACCGCGATATGGATGCGGCGGGGGTCCATGGGCTGAAATGCGGAGAAATGGAGTGTAGATATGTCGGCGATTTAAGGTGGAGAGTATAAATGCGATATGCCAGAACAAACAGTTGGTAAGAGGCTCAGCGAGAAGATAGTATGAAATATGATTTGATTCGAAAACTGTTCAAAGAATGACTAGATCTCAAGAATTTGTTGAAAGAATCACCAGGCAGACGTGCCGAATGTCACTGATAGGGCGTCGGACCGCATCCGAATGCCTGATAAGGAGGTGCTGGTGGTTCTCGTGAGTAATCTGGTGGGGAAGTGCCACCCCGAAAGAGGAAGCTCAATCCTCGTTTGCATTGGTCAGAGTTTGGGACGCTACGGTAAGGTCCGATTCTTTTAGTCAAAGTCGCCATGTTAGACCGAGGATATGGGGATTGACAACTACATAGTGTAGGCTATTTTGTTAGTAGAGAGTGAGTGGTTGTTCTAGCGGAATATATGAATATGAAAGTTGGTGTTATACCTAGCTTACATAGAGCGCGCTTCATGTAAGTAGTGCAACGTGACTAGTGTATTCTTATCTAGCGTAATTTTAGATCTTAGTTTAGGAAAAATTTCAGAGTTTATAACACAATCACACTTTATGAATATTAGTAGTAAACTCTATCTTAGAACGATTACAACGGGGCCAGTCTCCCTTCCGTCTCTCTTATGCAGCCACCTCCAATAGCTGCCAGGGACTCACTCTTAATCGCATTATGCTAGACTCAACGCTGCCAGTGTTTGTCCAGGGCCAGCTTGACACCTGCTTTTTCATCGTCCATCGCCCTCTAGATCACCGGAGGCCTCGAACTGGGCTTCGAGTTCTAGTCCTTTACCCTTACTTCTAGGCCTTGGGCACGACTTGCAGCCAGCACACCATTGATTTAAGAGAGAATTACCCGGTCAAATGGAGTGATATTCAGAAGTAAACTTTCCAAAATTGATACTTAATCAAATAGTTTGGGAACTGTGCAAAAGGAACGTTCACGGCTAGGCAGGATAGAAGAAATGGATAATCCTCCCCTAATATGAAAAATATATGATTTACAAATAGAAAGCCGAAGTCAATGCATCATCTCCATCCTTCTTGCTTTACCACAGACCAAGTCCGCTCTACTCAAGGACTAGAATTAGCTGTCAAATAGGGAAAGGATGGGAAGCTACAACGTTAGTCTAGAAACGGTTATCGAGCAGCGCTCTATAAGTCTTGCTAATATGAGATCAAAATTCCATTCTTCGTGCCACCTTTCTGCTATCATTCTAAACCAAAGTGATTCCGGTATAACAACCATCATTCCTCACCAACTCCACCTTCATCCCATCGTCAAGCCCAACAGAATACAAACTGCCCCCCAAATCAGTCAGATACACAATATTATTCTTCCGATCCAACTTCAGCCCCACCGGCTCATGAAAATGTCTCGCCAAAATAACCTTATGCATATCAACCTGCTCCCCACCAACATAAGACCGATACAAAGCACACCCCATCGGATGCTCCCCCCGATCCGTCCAATACAAAGTCTGCGTATCACTATCAATCTCGACATCAATCGGTTCCGGCAAACAATCAAACAAACGCTCGATATCGGATCGATTCTCCGCCGTCTCACCGGGTGGAATTTCAAGTCCCGCACGGAATATCTGGCCCCGTCCACCCTTGCTAGGACCCTTTTGCGTCCAGTACATCATACCATGTTCGTCGTCGATGGCGATACCAACGCACCACAGCCGCATTTGCTCGCCGAGTTTCATGTCTGCGGTGATGCGGCGCTGGACGATGATTTCATGGTTTGTCCCGTCGTAGCTTACCCGGTGTACACTGATACCCTCGCGGTCGCAGAAGTAGACTTTCTTCCGCATGTCACTGACAGCTATTTGCTTGGGTGTGTGCACTTTTCCCTTCGGAATTAGACACCGAACTTGACTTCCGTCCATATTCGCCGTCCACACCGAGCCATCGCAGGCAGCAGTGCTACGGCCCATGTTCGTCCAGAAAATGCGCTGACATTCAAGCGAAACGTCAATACCGTCTGGCAAGCTCTGGCCCACGACGATAAGCGTGAGTTTCTGCGTTGCCAGGTTCAGACGCAGGATCTTTCCGTTGGCGTGGACTTGCGAGACGTCGCGCGCGTTTCCGCCCAGTCCCACGTCTAACATATAAATGTCCTTTGCTGCGGTGTGTGGGTTCGCGGGCTGTGCTTCTGCGGTGGCGGATTTGACGGTTGGTGGGTATAAGCCGCCCTTTTCGCTCTGTTTGCCCAGACGGCCGTGTTTGATGTAGTGCTCGCGTAACCAGTCGACGGTCTTTTTGGGATCCAGACCGCGCTCTTGTACGTAGTTGTCTTCGATGTAGGCGACTGTGTCGAGGCCGACTTGGTCCATGAGTTGGCAGGGGAGGGGTCCGTTTTTGAACATGTGTTCCCAGAGGAGATCGATTTCGCTGGGGTCGCTGACGCCGTCGGAGAGGATGTTCATGATTTCGCGTTTGACTGCTGCCCAGAGGCGGTTGAAGATGAATCTATGAAGAACAAGAGTCAGTTGAGGACACACATGGGAAGATAGAAGGAAGGTACACACCCTGTCGACTCGCACCGTGCAGTAACTGGCAACAGTCCACACTCGCCCATGACATCCTCCAGATAAGCAAAAATCTTAGGATCCGTCTCACCACAAGTCATCATCTCCACGGTCCGAATCATCGGCGGCATAGTAAAATGCATATTAAGGAACCGTCTCTTTCGCTCAGTAGAAACTTTCGTAGCCAACAGACTCGACTTGAAAGACGAGCTATTCGAGCCAATAATACAATCTGCTGGACATCTCTCATCCAACTCCCGGAAAGTCTCAATCTTGAGATCCACTTTCTCAGGAATAGCCTCAATAACCAACCACGCATTGCTCACCGCAGGGTTCACCTCAATAAAGGTCTTGTAGTTGCCAAAGGACGCCTGGGTGTACGACTCGAAATCAACAGTCGAAAAGGCGTGATCGGTCAATCCTCCATTGGCATGGTGGTTATCCTCATCGCGCGCTTCGCGGGCCTCTTGGGAAGATCCCTTGTCTTTACTGATGCGGGGCATCAACGAGTACTCCTGCTTGTGGGCGTCAATGTACTCCACGACACCCTGCAGTGCCTCTGTCGATGGATCCTGGACATGCACGTTGTAGCCAGCTGCGACGAAGGCGCAGGCAAGACGCCGGCCCAGGACGCCACCGCCGATGATGGCGACGGGACGGTCGGTACGAGGTTTAACTGCCATGATGGCTGGGTTTGGATAGAGTCAAATGAAATGGATGATGATTTGATAATGGTGTTCAAGGATAGGATATGCGGTCCGGTATGTCGATATGACGTACAGGGGAAAGTGGGAGGCAAGATGTAACGAAACCGTCCGGAAGGGAAAACGCCATTTATATGTGTTTTCTCAGAAGGTTCAAACATCGAATATATTGCATAGGCACTTATCCGCGCCGTTCATCATATTCCAAATTCTACCTTCATTAGACGAGTCATAAACTGCGTCACCGGAAAGCCGGCAGCATCAAGAATGAACAAATAGTGTTTGGACAAAATCCAGTTTCGGAACACTCGGGCTGGAGAATTGTGTTCCCAAAATTGCGTTGGTAGTGAATGGATCTAAGACCCGGTTGGATATAGATCCACCAAGACGTTGCAGAATGGGCCCGTGCTTGGCTCGTTTGATAGACGGAGCGGAGTCGGTTGGGAGTCGGTACGGAGACAATTCGGACGTCATCGGGTTGCCGAAGTATTTCTTGTGCCCGGTTAGGTTGGAAGATGAATAGATCGTTGATTTCTTGTCTATTACGTGATCGAGTTCAATGCTCCGAGTTGACTCAAGGTGTGGACAGGGGTAGACTGGATAGGGGGTAGGCCTTCACACATCTGCAGAGTGCATGTCACTACGTGCTGCATGTAACGAGTTTAATCTAGAGATTGGAGACCAATCCTACCGTTTTCAATTTTTTTTTTTGGGTAGTCTTCAATGGTGTGAGCCAAATGTGTATACACGATTTTCAATTCCATCTACAGTCTATCTATTGATATACAGCTGCCAACAAGCTGGATCTACCTAGAACAAAAACACCTGATCCGTAGCCTTGGACAAAAACCCCAGGATCCTTCCACCCGAGTCCACCAAGCGCCTTCTTCGTGGCATTGACCATAGGTGGAGGCCCACACAACAGCGTCTTGTTGGTCTCATCCGCAGGTGCCATGTATTTATTGATCAGATCCGGACTAACAAATCCTCTATGTCCCTTCCATCCCTCTCCAGCCTGTGAAAGCACATGCTGCACTTGAAACTTGCTCAGGAACCGCATGACGAATTCATCCAGCTCCTTCCGTAGCAAAATATCCTCCTCCGTATTATTTGCATAGAGCAGACTCATCTCCGTCGAATCGGTTTCAATCGTCACAGATCGCACGGATCAGCTGATAAATGGGTGTGATCCCCGTTCCACCGGCGATCATAAGGATATGTTTGGCATAGGTAGGACTATACTGCATAGCACCCTTAGCCACGGATTTCAAACACGTCCCCGATTTGCATTGACTTGAGGTGTTTCGTCACTTGGCCCTGCGGGTATACCTTGACCAACAGCTCGATACGCCCCAAGCCGGTATTGTTTGAGACGGGGGTATACGAACGTGAAACACTTGACCGTTGATAGTCGCGCGCAGCGCAATGTGTTGACCAGTGGCGAGACCCAGGACATCGTCTGCATTGGGGAGCCCAAACAGGGAGCGGTATCCTTCCGCATGAGGGGGAAATTCTTCCTTTTGCGAGGGTCGAGAGGAGGAGTGCGCTTTGATTTGCTCGTATTGCTGCTACCTAGTTTCTTTCGGATGATGATCTTGTGGGTGGGTGCGGTGCGGTGTGGTGAGTAGTGGGTGAACTCTTGCTGGACGTCCAGCTTGGTTGATAGCCACATTGTCAGAACCATTGTGAGGGACAATTGGGCCACACTGGCAATACCAAATCCAGACTAGAACTGCCCCAAGGAAGTAGAGCGGTTGGAGAGCAGAGCGGACACATGGCTAGACAGCTGGTTGAGCGACTCAAGGGTAGGTCTCCATCCTTGTCGGTAGCCATGGAATGCTACAGCGCCCAAAGCGCCAGTAAACCCGACTTTGGCGAGAGTGAAAACAATAGAGTGGATTGGACTCTTTGAGGTGTTTTTCACATTGATTGCTGCTGTCTGGGCAACTTGTTCGAATGTCGGGCGGTGGACCTCGATAGCCTCCGCGTGTTCCTAATCAAACCCATTAGTGGTGCGTGAGAATGACCGGGAGAAAGTTGAAAGTTTGCTTCGTCCCTCAGTTGGAAGATCTCCGATATGATATTTCTCGAGCTCCTTCCGGGCCTCATCGGAGTGTCCTGTCTCCTCAAATGCTTCGGTAGCATCGGTGCCAGCAACTTCAAACAAAATGGCACTACCACCAGGATGATCTTCAAGGTACCTGGTGATATCATAGACCTTGTTATGGAGGACGATCCACACATCGTCGGTCTTGTTGTGCTCCTGTACTTCTTCAAGGGTGTACATTGCGAGTATATCTTGGATGTCGGCTCGATGGAACACAGGCTGTGCAACATGGTGCACAAGTATATATAACATTGAGCTTGATCATTCTCTCCTCGCTTTCCCTCATCGGACAAGTTCGTGTCAAGGAAAACTCCATTCTCGTCCCGAAAGCAAGGTCAAAGTATTCTTTGATGCAAATAATCTCATCTTAACTGGCGTGTCACTGCCCCACAGGCTTCTCGTGCGTAGTTCGCCCGAGTTTCGGAGTCAATGGAGATCCTCTTTGGGAGATGGATTGGCGTCAACTCCACTCCTCTAGATAATCGGCACTCACAACAGTCTGGTGAATTCTAAATACGGCAAAGCTACTGATATATAAGGACATTTACTGTGATGGCCCTTGTAGATCAGCAACGCTGGAACAATTGAGTCCATCACAATGCCCATTCACATCGGGATATCACCAAATCTCAACCCTTCGTTCTACTTGATCGGGGATGATATTTCAACTGCTCAGTGAGTCACAATTGATGCAAAATTGAAGCTTGAAGATGTGAAACGAGCTGTTGGTGGTTTCTTCCATGTGGCTTAGCCATTAGGTAGGTACCTATCAAACAACCACCAAGTCATCTCCACTAACACCACCAGGTCTGAGCTTCCACGTAGGCGATAGCAATGAAGAAATCTCTACAGTTGAGGAGATTCTCTCCAAATCTTCATCCACCACCCCAATTGGCCTTCGCGTCGACGGCCAGGCAGTCCAAAGTCCCCAGGGCCCCGACGGACTTCCCCTCGTCCGCAGCTTCTACGAAATCTTCCCCGACCACCTGGGCAACCACTATCGTCTCTTCCAAAAATACGGCCATGTCATCAAGACCACCAACATGGGGAAAATAACATACCTCACCGATAGCCCCGAGGTAGCAGCCGTGTCTCTTGCCGAATCAGCTTACATGACGAAAAGATCAACGAGAATCAGCTTCTTTGGGGTGTGAAAGACAACACTGCTATCTTCATTGGCGACACAGAGACAGAAAACGTGCGTCTATCTCACAAGTTCCTACCACCAGCCATCGGACCCAAGGCTGTGAGGCACTATACACCGCTGGTGCAGGAGTGTGTCCGCAAGTCATTCGATGTATTCAATGAACTTGACAGCCGTGATCAGTCTTGGAATGTTTACTAGTACATGGTGAAACTTGCTTCGCAGGATATCGGCAAGTTCTCGGTTGGTACTGATTTTGAGCACTTCACGCACGTCGATGCCCCTTTACATCCTACCATGACGAACATTGCGAATCTACTTTCCCTCAATAAGAAGATCACTGCGCGTGGCGAGTGGTATCGACACCTCCCTTTTGGAGATCCTGCGCGGCTGAAGAATGTTCAAAAGACCATATACTCTCTTCTTCAAGAGCAGATTGACCGAGTGAAGGACTCCAGTATTGCCGGTATGCCAATGAACGAGGCAGCCATCAACGCCTCTTGCGTGGTGGACTACCTACTCAACACAGTCGATGAGGCTGGCGAGAAATTCCCCGAGGGTCTGATACTCGCCAACATGCTGATCATCACGGGTGCGGGCTTCACGGCCACATCCACGCTGATGTCCTGGCTAATCTACTGCCTGATCAACTACGAGGGCACGCAAGACCGACTGTACGAGGAGCTATGCGAGGCCGGTATAGCCAACACGAACGAAGCAGTGACATGGACGCCTGAGCTACCGCATAGCCTCTCATACCTTGATTGCGTCGTTAAAGAGACCCAGCGTTTACACAATGCCTCTTTCCAGCCTGGTCGTACGACACAAGCCGATGTCGTCTTACCTGGAGGGTACAGTCTTCCTGCAGACAGTGTGATTGTCCCCGCACTGTACGCAATCCACACGAACCCGGAAGTATAGCGCGATCCATTCCGCTTCGATCCTGACCGGTGGAACGAGTGATGAAGTCAAGAGCAAGCACCGGTACGCGTACATTCCCTTTGCGACTGGACCACGCGGCTGTATTGGGTTCAGCTTTGCTTTGTTGGAGGTTAAGATCTTGTTGTCCGAGCTGGTGTCTCGGTATGAGTTCTTCAGGGAGGGATTAGATGCGATCGAGTATGATCCTGAGTTTCAGTTGATTCGGCCGTTGAACTTGTATGTCAGGGCTAAGAACAGGACTGGAGTTGCATAGAAAGGGCTAGAAAGTACTTTAGCATTAGAACATGGCGTTTTTTATACAATCCAGTCTCTGATCAGAAAGCCAATAACTATCTCCAGGAATCTGCACAAAGTTTCAAATCAAATTACCTGGAGGTTTAGTAAGTTCTGAGTCTGATACAAGTTGGTAGGACGGACCTCGTGAATGCAGGTCCTAGTAGGAACTTTAGTAGAGGCATCGCTCTCTTAGACCCAATTAGAGCAATAGCCTGTGTGGTCTTTGTATATATTTAGCCCGTGCTGCAAGTCTGGAAAACTCAAAGGAGCGTTTTCGCAACGAGAATGGATCAAAATCTAGTGATCATATATTTACGGTAGAACCCATACTGTTTATCTGGTATATATCAATAAAAGGAAGCTCTGCTCAAAAGCATCGATTCAGCTCTCCATGGAAAAGTGTATACTTGCTTATGAAAGCTGGTCGCTTTCCCCCTGTTCTAGGGAAATATATTTCTCAATCCGCGATAGTATATTCCTACTTAGATGGCCGAGTTACATAAAGCCAGACCTCAAAACGGATCAAACATCCATTCTCGCTAAATCTTTGACCCTGCCCAATCACCCAAATACTTAGATAGGATCTCTTCTCGTCCTCAAAGCCGAGAAGTTCCCTCCTGCGCTCATCACCCCAGACTCTCACAGCCCACCCGAAAACGAATCAGACACGCCACACCGCCAAATAGGCTAAATCCCCGGCCACCCCAACCCTCCCCAGACTCACACCTCTACAATAAACCTCCGTACACAAGACATTTTGTCTTCCCCGGCAATCCCGGACTCACTTAACCACCCCACCCGCCCGACGCACGGAATAATACCCCAGCTACATTTACCCCGTGGCGTCGACACATCCATCGGCCCAGTGCAGCCCGAGTGTGTACACTGCAACTTAGCCGGTGGCGGGGAGCGCGCGTTGCCTGCTTGCCCTACCGTGAGTCCGTGACCACCGTCTTATGTACCCTATTAGCCTAACCCGGGTCTAGTTAGTAAAAGTGAGGTAGTCACATATTTAGAATAAGCTCCGGGCGGACTGGAGAAACACGGGGCTAGACTATCTTCGCACCGGGGGTAAGGTTGCAGGCTGAGGAGATTTACCGGGTGATATTCGGGGATATAGCCAAGCTCGGACCATAAGCAGGAGCATAGAGTTAGAGACGGGTTTAGTTTCACTACTCTACTTTATCCCGTAAATAAGTGTACGGAGTGCAGTGTCTACTCAATATAGTTTGTGAATAACACTTGACCCTCCATTCATAATGGAGTAGTTCGTCACTTCATTAGCGATTACTAGAAGGGGCCGGTCTAAATTGGGCTTTGGCTTTGACCTTGACTCTGGCTTTCCAAGACCCAACCAACATATTGCATATCTTCCGTGATGAAAGTAGCCGTCAAAATCAAGTAACCCTCCGCCTCCAACATAGCCTTCAAGCCCTAACCAAACCTACGTACCACTGGACAACTGCACTCCGTACTTAATGCTGTCATTGTAATCCCGGGTTAGTGCCACCGCCGCACACACCCCCACGCCCAAATAGATTCATAATGAAATCATACGTTTTCACCCCCCGTGGGACTTTCGGAATCGGGATCCCACCGGAGCAGACTTGCCTTGACCTTTTTGTTCAGGTTTTACCCGAGGCCGATGTGGGGATTTTGGGGGCTGGTTGGTTGTTTTGGGCGTGGGAGTACGGAGTACAGTATGAGTGATGGGTGGGTAGGTGGGTTTTGTCGGGGAATGAAAATTATCGGTCGGGCCGATGGGTAATATGTGAGGGATGGAAGAAGGTTAGGATGTAATCTTGGAATAATAGAGAGTATGCTGATGGGATGTATTTTCAGTTTAAAGAAGATGTTTCTCTGAGCTTTTGCTATGTAGCTTTATTTTCTTTGTTCCTGGCTTGGCTACTTCCAATACTCAGGCTGCATTATGTATGTCCGGAGGATTTATAGGGTTCAGGAACGGTCGGAAACGGCTCCGTGTTGCGACGGGAACTTTCAACTGTGGGTTAATAAGATCCCGATCGCTTATTTTCCGGTTTTCCAGGGCGGACAACAGACGTTATACATAACTACTGGGCGAAACTCTTGTCAACAAGTATTGTACAGGACAATAGTACATCAGAAGACGCATGGAGAACCCTGTCCGTCAGAAGGCTTATTATCACGGACAAGTGTAAACCCGCTTGAGAAGTATTATCCCATATAACAAACTAGCCTACAGCATCATTTAACCCATCATAACTATTCTCCGTTTCTCCGTGGATCCATCTCATTGTAATGTCTACCGTAGTCTGAATCTCCGCCGGCGATTGTCGTAGAATATTAAAAAGTACATAAACGGTCATCGAGGCTATGGCAGACCGATTCGGTAATCCGGAGCGCGGGACGGGAAACCCGTTAAATCGGGTAAAAAGGGGATCGGGAAATGGGGGGAATACAGCAGTTGTGGTTTGTCAGTTTGTGAGGACTTTTGGTTTGGAGGTGGAGTTTAGAATCTTGGATTGGTCCAGTGGTAAAATGATGGAGTTGTGCAAGTGTTGGACCTTCTATGACGGGGGATATGTGGATAGGAATAGGATTGAATTGGGTAAAAGTCCTTGAGGGGTGGAATAGTAACATTGTCTGGTCAATTGCATTCATGGTTCCGTTCCATTGCAATGTGTAACTTCGTGGGGTGCTAAATGTTAACTGCTAAGGCTAAGGTGCTAGATTACTCCGTCGAGTCAGGACTCAGCAGGAAGATTTGTGGATCACGGAATTTCTTTTAATAATAACCGTCAGCTGAGGGCACAGTAGAAAGCCCGGGTTCGGGCTGTCTCCGGCGAAAATGTCGGACGATTGGACGATAAGAATAACGAACCAACGACAGGACCGTACTCCGTAGACTGTAGTCTGTCTGTGACTCCTGTAGATATTCATTGGCCAGGTAGTATTATACCGGGGCGGGTTTCCAGTGGTCTGGTTGGACTAGGTTTCTTGGGAATCTTGGAGATGGCCCTCGACAAGGTTAAACAACTTGGGACTAGTTCCCCCCAAGGGCCAAAAAAGCCAAGAAAGCCACATGGGAAAAAAGGAAAAAAAATTAACAAAAGGGACGCCCCCTCCAGGAAAAAAAAAGCAAAGAGGCGAGCCGAGCACCGCTCGATCCTTCGGAACCGGCAAGAAAGAACGGGGTCGACACGAGGGTTGACGATTGACGGGTAACTACTGTGTGGGGGAGTGGACAGAATAGAGTCGCATTAAGCGCTATTGTTGACATTTGTGAAGATATTTAGAGAGTATAGTAGAGTGCTACATTGTATATCTATTACCCCATACTAATCCTTCTCTATACTACGTCTATGTTATTGTGGTAGTATAGTAGTAGTACCGTAGTACTGATGTGGTATGGAAGACAACCTTACCCGAACGGTTACGGTCGCTGAACAACAGTCAAGCGAGTGAAGACTTGTCCGGACGATATTCCGCTCCCCGCGAGTCCGCCACAGTTGGTTAAATTTCCTCTTTTAGCTTTGGACTCTTCCGAAGAAGCGCCATTCAATTCCGACAGGGACAAGAATAGTCACCATGAAGTTTGGAGAGTGATAAAACTCCGTAATATAGTACTACAGCTTCTTTATCTACGGTTTCTACGGCCAGTACTACTATGCACGGATTTACTACGGAGTATGCAAGACTAAATCTCGGAGACAAGCCGGGGGCTCCGCCGGGCATATTTCTGACAGGCGTAAAAGTAATTCCCGTGGACCACATGATGGACACATGATCACTGATCAAGGGGAAAGACAGGGTTGTTAGGGTATACTTCGGAAAGATAAAAAGCCACATTGTCACATAGCCCCAGGCACATACTACAGTACAGGTACATATTCATATTTCTACTTCCTTCATGAGTAAAACAATAAACCATAGATCGATTGGTTAACAGGAAATCCCTCGGGGAAATTGCTTTTCTCTTTTTTATTATTTTTCTTCTTTTTCACACAGACCCCCCTCCTTCATCATCATCACCATTTTCGTCCTGATTTCAGTCTTGGTGTAACCGCCACCCTTTTTCCCACCCTTCCCACTCTCAACCCGAGGTTTTCTCTGGTCGGCTCGCAATGGCCCGACCAACTTACCTAATGTGAATTCATCAAATGCGGGGTTACCCGGGGTCGGTTCGCTGGCGGCCCTCGGAGGCTGGGGGCCAATCAAACGGTGAAGGCGTTGAGTCGGACGGGGCCGAAACGCGACGGGTCTGCCGTGGGGGGAGAAATCTCGGTCTATGACTTTTCCGCGAGTATGGACAGTGGACGGATGTAAGGGGGAAGAAATTAGGATAGAGAAAGACGGTACGCATTCATCAGGTTGTGGATTTTGAATTGGATGGATAGGATGGAATACTGTAAATCTTGGTGACGAGGGTTCTGAGTATGTGGTTCGGTTAGGTAGGACTAGCTGATGATGAATAAAAGCACAAGCGCCCTTCCCCGTCCCATGTCAATTTTCTACTAGGTTCATCCGTCCCGAGTCGCCCGTCGGCCTCGGTGTGACTCGTTTGTTCTAAGCATCAGCTGTGCTATGCAGCTTCCCCCGGTCGAGACTAAGTGATACACCAACTCTCCGCTATGTACGGGGTGAATACTCTGTGTTTGATCCATCTGGGGGAAATTCCGTACCAATTCCGCTTGGATTTCACAAGCTACAGAACTGCCGAGCCATGGACTGCGGAGAAGAATTGTCTAGGGTGAATTACATAGTCAGGTAGACATCCGATGGGAAGCGATGTGGCAAAAGCAAATCCGACAATTGGAAAGCTGGGCATATTGGCAATCTGGCAATCGCCGGGCAGAGCAGGAACCTAGCTAGCCAAGAGAGTATTGCTACGGCAATAGGCGAGACGGATAAACGTACAAAGGGAAGACGAGCAGAGAACCGGTAAGTCGATGACTATAACACGGTACGGAGACCGCCGCACATAGGAAGGCTAAGGCTAAGGCTATTATTAACATCCTTCATGAACTAACTAATTGGCATCTGCAAATTGCATACAGTACACAGCTTGATTGGCATGACATCCTCCTCAATCTCATGGTTATCACAGAGCCGGGGCCGATCCTGGCACGTCACGGTGCAGCAATTCACAAGCGAGCGAGTAGTAAAAGCCACCAGAAACCGGCCCCCAGTTTCCATCGGCATGGCATCACTAGGACTGTCCACTGTCCATTGTCCAATGTGCTGTACGGAGTAACCCGACCAACTACTTATGTACAGCTCACTCTACCCACCAATAAGCCAGTGCTCTGATGTAACTTCCGCACTGGGAGCAAAGCGAGGATCAATGATCAACAACAACCACCTGGCAGGCTTGCACCTGGCACCTGCAGCGCTCGGCGGATCTCGTCCTCTTCCCCCGCGGGGAGCCCCGGGGTCAAGAACAAGGATCATCGATTGGGTCGCCTAGGCTGGTTGGGCCCGATTGTCCCGATAGTGGATTGGTGCCGGTAAGTGGTACCTAGTCACGAGAGAGGTATACCAGGGGGGAAATCCTATACCTTACAGGAAACTCGTGACGACAAGAGGCGTCAGATGTGTGGTGTAAGTGATTCTTTGGTTGTGTTACTGTATCGGGCCCCCAGGAAAGATCAAAGTCCGTCCGTCCAGTGCCACGAGAAGACAAGGTACGGGGAGTACCCGAGGAATCACAGACCTTCGTTAACTTCTGTGATCTGTCCCGTGTCGTGGCAGTTATTCCTATTGCTTTTGAAGACCTACGGAATGAATCGACACTCCGTTTTTTGCTTAATTTCGTTTCCCCTCTTTTTGGGATCTTGGATCTGCCCAACTGATTCCGGGGAAAAAGCAATCCCTACGAATGGTTTGACTAGACCAGACTCGGCTTCGGTGGAGGTTTCTTCTTTGGAGATACTTTTTAGTTTAACTACCTATTCCTTCTCTATGGTGATTACGAAGTACTGGGATAATGTGTACTTTTCCGTTGTACTTTACTGATGTACTCTATACTCTATATTCTCGGCTCTCGCACAGCAGTCCGAAGAAAGCTCGGTCGTGCCGCTTTCCTATTCAGGAGTTCCCGACGGCAAATGCACGTCCTTTGTGTGAGGGGGGATCCATCATCCGGGTCTGGATCTGTCTCTGTCCCTCAGCCTCTGGGGCTGCCGATCGGGCGGAGGACAGTTTGGACAGGGCGTGATCGGACAATGGATGACTGGGGGCCGGGGCGAGATAGTAGAAACGAGGTGAAGAATTCGGACAGGGCGTTCATCCATGACCCTGGAAGCTCATCATATCAGGGGGCCTTATACATATCGCTCGTAGGTCAGATTACAGAATGATCTTCATATACAGTAATCCGTACTATTCTCGAGGTCTTGATGTATAGGTCAACTCCGAGGGAAATGGAACTAGCCGACGAAGAGTTAGAGTTAAAATTACGTATATTCCCTGGACCCCTTGTCCGAATAAGACAACCTTTTCGGAAAGTCTTTCTACTCGGCACGAGGAGGAAGAGGACCTAAGATCGGGGGTTCGGATCAGATCAGCCGTTGAATTGGGGGGTGGTCGGTCTCTCTGATGGTACAGTATCATGATGCATCACATGAGTTTTGTGGTAATGTGGCCAGTTAGGAGAAGCTGAATGTTTGGATCTTGGCTAGTAGGTGAGTACAAACGAGTAGTGTTGGGAATTGGACCGAGATTATTAGCCATCGGTATGCTACTTACTACTGGAGTGTGTCCTGTATTGCTATTCCGAGGTGCGACGGTCGCGGTGGTGGCGGATGTTCCACACGGGTGGTTGCTGGGCCGTGCTTTTTTTCGGTCGGTAAATGGGCGACCGGGGGGAAAAGACAGTCGGAGATGATTATAAGAAGATAAAGTGGTAAGAATAATTCTAAGATTGATGGTATATAGGAACAGTATACTACATGCTAAATTATAGTCAAGTATAGATTAAACTTGCATATATAAGGACTCTGTAGACTCTCGGAGAGCACAGCTCTTCAACTGCTTTTCCCGGTTGATGTCCCTCGGCAAGTCAGCCAGGCCGGTCCTAGGTTCAAGTCTCTGCCACGTCTACCCCGGAATACGTGCAAAGATGAGCAGATATACGATAGTGTTATTCTATGCATATAATATTAGTATAGAAATAATTCTATTTACCCTATTTTACTAATATTGCAAGTGTTGTATAGTTATACTCCATCATATATCACCATCGGCGGCTGTCGTTACTCTTTCTAGCTTCTCTCGGCCTCGTGAAAAAAAAAAAGTCGGGGGGCTCCACACTTTTCCCAGCGAGACTCCAGGAAAATCCCAATTGAGCGCGTCCTTGCATCAACTTGGGCCTCCGCAATTTCCAGTCCAGTTCCCCAGCGGCTCTCGGCTCCATTCCTTTTTTTTTTCCCTCGACTGTCTTCTCCGCTCGTTTTCTTCTTTTGTTTTTCCCCCACCATTATTATTTTATTTATTATTTTATTTTTCAAAATTTATTTCCTTTTTTTATTACCCTTTTTCCTTTTTTTCCCTACTTGTGACTTCCCCAGGCTGTTCTTCTCTTTCGGCGTTCTCGACTGTCCCCGTTCCCTCCCGACTCCCCCCAATTCGCCTTCCCGGTCCGCAGCCCCGACTCTCAACTGAGTTTCCCCCACACTCCGCCCATTCCCGCACTTTTTGGCCTCCCCTTCCCTCTTTTGCTGGTCTCTTCTTCCTTTTGTTCTCCTTCTACCTCCCCCTCCTTCTACACTACTTCCGGCTTCATCGCGGCTTCATATCAGTGCCGCGCACCACCTCTGCTGCACCCTGTTAGTCTCGCAAATTCCCACCGACTGTCCGAGCCGGTCTGAATTCTATACTCGGCATATGCAATACTGACGCGGGTTCTCTCCCATAAAATAGCCGAGCACGCCGCCTGGTAACAAACCCGCCGAACCGGACACGACAAAGAGAGACTCGTACCACTTTCACATTCTCTGCCTTTCCCAACTCTCCTCCCTCCCCCAAGTTTACACATTCCTGGTTTCCCCCCGCCTATTCAACCACAGGTAGATGGGATCTCGCAAACCGCCTGCAGTGTATCAACTCGAGTTTTCTCGCCCTGCCCCAGACCCGTGGGTCTGCGATATCTATAACCATGCGATCCAGTATCGCCTGCGCCCGGTGCCGGCGCAGTAAGATCAAGTGCGTCAATGCCGGCATCGACACCACCTGCCGGGCCTGCGAGTCCTCCGGCCGTGAATGTGTTTATCCCACCCCAGCGATTGGTGTGACCGGGAAACGGGATCTAGCAACTCTGGCTGAAGGAGATGACCGGAATGGTGATTGGGATGGTCCGAAACGCTCGCGCCCACGCAAGTCCATCGGCATGTCTGGCGCATCTCCCGGCTCCAAGGCGGGCCTGGATGCTTTGGACTCGTCGATTCTCACTACGAAAGTCTGGGAGGCGGTCTTTGATCTCTTCCAGTCGCATTTCGCTACTCTCCTGCCCTTCTTACACCCTGCGACTTTCCTCGGCCAGATCCGACTTCTTTCTACACCCCCGGTCCCACCGTCAGTCGCCCCGCTAGATGGTCAGGATGCACACAACCCGGCCCTCAAGACAGACCCGTCATCTTCATTGATTCCGCTCGGAGTCCTCGCGCTAACGGCTCGTTTCCATCCTCCCCTCGTGGCATTTCACTCACCGGCCTCACCCGGCCACTCTTCCAATCCTCTCGCCGCATCCGAATACTATGCGACAGCGTTGCGCAGCCGGCTGGCCGGCCTAGATGGCGCAAACCTCGCAGTACCCGATTTAGCTCGGGTACAAGCTCTGTTGATGTTGGCGCTGCACGAGTGGGGGATGTGCCGGGGAAAGAGTGCCTGGGTATATGTGGGCATGGCCATCCGGCTCGCACAGGCCATGGGCCTACCATTTGAATTGGAGAACGAATTCCCGTCGCGCGATGTTTCCCGGTCGTCGCCAGGCTTCAAGACCGAGGCGGACCACTTCGGTCTCACCCGCCGCGTGGAGCCCAAGGAACTTACCTCCGACGACATTATTGCACAGGAGACGAAACGTCGAACCTTTTGGGCTTGTTTCCTGTTGGACCGGTGCCTGAGCAGCGGCAAGTATCGGCCTCGGATGATCCGAGTCAAAGAGCTCGGAATCCAACTTCCGAGTGACAATGCTTTTGCCTTTGGCGAGCGTGTACGGACGGCCCGTCTGAATGAGCCGACGGCACGCCGTCCACAAAGCTTCGGTGCACAGGGTGTGCAAATCCCCAGCATTCGACAGAGCATTGGCGGGTTCGGTGATGAGAAGCTTCAGACTGCTAATGGCACTCCTGATAACAAGGCCTGGTCACCGGTCTCCCGGCGCAAGGATTCCAGTGAGGACGATGTTGATCGCTGGGAGGTTGGTGCTGAAGAGTCAGTGCTGAGTCGAGTGATTCGCATCATCCGAATCTGGGGAAGCATTGCTAAATGGTCGTGTGCTGGCGGTCGACGAACAGAGCAGTACCCGCCCTGGCACCCTGAGTCCCGCTTTGCGTCGCTGCGTATGCAACTGAACGAGTTCCAGGACAGCCTCTCCCGCAACCTACAGTACTCTCTGCGGAATACCGACACCCATATCATGTATAAGACCACCCTGGCCTCATATACCGTGATGCATGTCGTCTACTTCCTGTCTGTCATCGTCTTGCACCGCGCTTATATCCCATTCCTGCCTCTTCGCTGCAATGAGCCGGTGGGCCCATTGGATGAGCCACTGTTCCCCTCTGATAAAGTCAGCGGTCCTCCCGAGGCGTTCTGGCGTGATAGTGCTCGCGAGTTGTTCAAGGCTGCCCGCCAGATGGTCGACCTCGTGGTCACCTGCCAGGCTCGGGGTGCGCTCGTGGAAAGCCCGCTGGTCGGCTTCGCGATCTACAATGCCGCCTTCATTGGTGTATATGGTACGCACTTCCCCCACATGGATCCTGAGGGTCTGCTGGGTGTACGGTCACCCCCTCCGAGCCACGATAGCCACCAGCCTGGTGCTGCCCAAGCTCGCAAGGCACTTGATATCCTGCGTGAAATGCGACCCCGTCTGAAGATGGCTACTGGCTGGTTCCGCACATTGAACCGTCTGCACAGCTACTTCTCCAAAGTCAAGCGTGACTTCCGTCGGTATTCACGAAACAGGCTAGACAGCATGTCGGACGCATCAGATCATGGTCCCGCCAATGGTATGCGACCCATTCGTGAAGGCGGATCTGGCGGTGGCTTGGAAGAGTTCAGGCTGCTGGAGAAGCTGTTCCTAGACTTTGGTACGATCGAAGACCAGCTGCCAGAGTCTCTTGATGACGATGGTACCGCGATTGCCATCACCGGCGAGCCCATGCCCGAGCGGACTATGAACCTCAGCGACGCCGGCAGCAATGCCGTTAAGAGCGACGTCGACGGCAGCGAGATCTTTGACGGCGGTCGTCGCGAGTCCTGGGTCCCTATCAACAGCCCGGGTCTGCCACCGCCAGGTCACGAGGGCGACCGCCGTCCAAGCCTGCCACTCCCCAACAGCCGGCCGATGCCTTCGCAATCACCCTACTCCCTGCCCTCGCTGCAACAGCACCACCCGGATGGACCGATGTACACCTCCTCGCCACCCAGTCTGCCCAGCATCGCAGCAACCACTCAGTCACCCTCACAATATCTCACCGCAACAACCAACCGTCTGCAGCCGATCAACTCATGGCTCCCTTCGCGCCCAACTGCACCACCACCCCCATACCAGTCTCTGCCTCCTATCAACGCCTCCACTCCGAATGGCATGCCCGTCCTCCCACCCCCTGGCTCAGTCACTCAGCTCGCCCCCTCGCCCCCATTGACTTCCACTGAAGTTCCTGATACGAGTCTGCTGTCGACCAGTCTAGGTGGTGACGATGTGCTCGCCTTCTTGGATGGTTGCGAATGGGCACAGTTTTCGATGACTGCTCCATCTGAGGTGGGTATTCCCGCTGGCTGGTTGAGTACGGTCTGGGCACAGTTCGCCCGGTAGGCGTGCGCGCTACTTAGATGACCTTGTACTTTTATATTTCACGACTTTCCTTGACCTGTTTTTTCTTACCTGTTCCGTCCTGCCTTCCTCCTCATAACTCCCCCTCTCTCTCTCTTTCCACCTATCATGTCATCTTCCTTCCTCTCTATATTCACAATCGCGGGCGACTTTCATCAAAAATGCAGGACCGATAGGTTTCTTTGGGCCGGGGTTGTCACAGCGTTGCAGTGGGATATTACTCCCTTGAAAACCTCAGAAGCTAGTGTTGATGTCTAGCTATATCTGAGCGTTACTTTCTTCTTCGGAAAATTTGTTCATCTGTGATGGGGATCCATGTTCTTTCCCACTTCCTTCATCCGTTCTACCCGTTCCATCTGAATGGGAGTCGATCAAATGCTATCCTACTATACCATCCACTTCCCACTTTATCTCCGGGCCCCGTCCTACCATTTCCTTTACCTCTCATTGTTTTTCTTCGAGCGGAGCTACTGAATTGCCTAACCACGCAATCCCCCAGCCCCTCCTATACTGTTGGGTTGACCTGGTCTGGATTGATTGGGATGAAATAGGATGGACTCGGATGGGATGGGATGCGGCGTGATGTGATTGATTGATTGATTGATACCTTTGCGGGTCCGGTCGTTTTTACCTGGTCTTATTATTGTGATTGGTACCCGTCTTTTGGAACGAGTCCCTCCTTGTTTTCTTCTTTTGGATGTTATTACGAGCCATGGCGTTATGTCGAGTGTGTGTGTCTGAGTTTGTGTTCACCAATGGTTTTGGTTTTGGTTTTGGTTTGGTGCTTATGCTTGCGAGCCGTGAGCCCTTTTTTGATTACTTTTTAAACCTTTTTGGAATTGACATAAACCGAACTTCTTTAAGTCGGTTTCACCATATTATTTTTTTATTCTTGTGATCAATTTGTAGCAAGGGTACTACTATGTAATGATGTGTTGGTAAAGTTGGATGGACCTTGGTTTGATTATCGATTATCGTCGATGAATATGAGTCCAATATGTCCGGTCACTGGAGTAACTATACACAAAAACTAGTCCACGAGAACAACCATTTTCCCCTGTGCCTCATTATTCTCCATCAACCGGTGCGCTTCACCTATATCCTCAAACTTGAAAACCTTCCACGGCTTAACATTCAATTCTCCACTTGCAGCCATCTCAACGACATCTTGAAGAGGCACATCGGACAGGGGAAATTCAGGTGCCCCGAACGCAAAACTACCAAAGAAACTAAAATGAACACCACTTGCCATCTGCAGAAGGGGATTGAAATCTGGGATTGGGGCTAGGCCGCCCAGAAATCCCGCCAGACAAACTCTGCCACCACGGCGAACCATTTTCAAAGAGTCAAGGATGGTGCTGTTACCCACAAGCTCGAGAATCGCATCAAACTTTTCGGGAAGCTGTTCAGACAAGTTATGTTCTTCTTTCACCACTTTCTCCACGCCAAGGGCTATCAGTCCAGCAGCCCGATCTTCCACATTTCGAGTCGTCGCGATAACATGCACTCCAGCGTGAACCGCGAGATTAATAGCTGCCCTACCGAATGCAGAGGTCCCACCACGAATTAAAAGTTTTTGACCCTCCGAAAGCTCAAGGTTTCGGAACAGACAAGTCCATGCAGTAGCATACGATTCTGGGATCGCACCAAGCTGGTCCCAAGGAAGTTTTGAAGCTGCCGGACCGAGTGGCACAACATTTGAAACCCGGGCTTTGGTGAACTGCGCATAACTACCGCTAACAGTGCGTCCAAGACCACCCATGACAGTTGCAACGGGAGTTCCCTCTGCGAATTCACCGCCGGGACATGCGGACACTGTACCGACGCATTCGATGCCGCTGATAGGTACCCATTCGGCCCACTCGCCTTTTCGCATGTGCATTTCGGCATGGTTGACGCCGAAGGCTTTCACACGGATCACCACGTATCCGGGAGCTGGTTCCGGTTGGGGAACTTCTTTGATCACGAGAGACTCGGGTCCACCGAATTTTTCGATCACGATGGCCTTCATGGTGTACTGGAACTCTAATGACGGTAATAGAGATTGGGTCGGGGATTTTAAGAAAAGGTCAGAGAATATGTGATCTTGCAAATGTTTAAACTGGAAAGACATGGTCGTCTTGCCATATATTTGTATAGTGGTCGAGGTGAGTGTTTGACTCGATTTAGTCTGGTCTGACTTACGATTTGCATTATATATTGACTTGCCGTTCTAACCGTTCCTCTGTGAGTCTGAGTGGACTAGAAAGTAATTTGAAATGCTAGTTTGTTAAGTTTGCGTTGTTTGACGAAGCGCCACGTACAACGTAGTACATCTATTGCATGCGGTCAGACTTGCAGAAGAACTATTTCGTCGAAGTAGGGATGAGATCAAGCGCATCTAGCTACCTCAGGACCACCGAGTAATACAGTAGTTCGCGGGTTAGATGCGGGTGGGGTTAGATTGCGGGTTAGCGTGCGGGTTAGTCTCCGGGTTAGTCTAAGACCCACAAACTCGAGTCACGACTCACAATCGCCCAATTCCGATGATTATCATCTCCGACATTTGATTGGAGCCAAAGATGTAGCGATGGATGGGGAAAAAGTAAAAACCAAAAAGGAAATGGTCATCTGCAGGATTCAAACCTGCAGTCACGGATGAACGCCCCTAGAAGAGCCCGGATCCTGCGTCTGGTACACTCGTCGCTGCAATACCAAGGGTGCGCCTCTACCATCAGGCCAAGGATTTTGTTGAAAATACAGAGGTTGCGACCAATCATAACCTTGGAATGTTTTCACTTTGCAGGGTTAGTCTGCGGGTTAGCGTGCGGACTAGCGTCCTAGCAAGCAATTTTGTTGGTGGTTCGGACACCGTCATTACTTTACTACCAGATACTCGATAATCTCTGAGGACTCAGCGAGGGTTACTCACCCGAGAGTCGCGAGGTCTTCCATTTCATTTTATTCCTAGCCGATGTTCACTTCGTAATCGCTTGCTAGAAATGATTTCGACAGGAGGGTCCTCAATCGATATACGGGTTTACCCGCAATATTGCGACTGTCTGAGTCGTATGCGCGGGTCTCTTTATTATCGCTTACAGAATCACAGTCTTTTTCATTTGTCTCGAAGAGGCTCTTCTAAAATCTGTCTCTTCGGCTCTTGGCTACTGTTTTGTGTCGTTCTAGAATATTTTGACTGTTATGTTTTGACTACTCGTTATTAGATTTTCTGAGCCCCTTTCAACTATCACATATTTGATGGTGAACTCAGTTTGACGAGGCGTTTATCACTTTTGAAAGTTGCACGAGCATTCGTTTCAGTCTTCGATTTAGCTCGCAAGATAAGGATAGAAGTAGCCTATACTAGAAAAAATCCCTCAATGCATGAGAATTGATTCTTTTTGTTGCAGCTAGAGATGGTAATAGCACAGTGATCCAGCCAAACAGCAACTTCGAAAGCAGAAAATAAAAGCAAGATCGAATCATTCTTCCAAACGAGGACCCCGCAAATCTCGGTCAGCCATAATAACCCTCCAATCATCTTTCAATTCACTATCTTAGATCAACCACTAAGCTGCTCCAAGAAAGAGATGACCTCTTCAGCAACCTCCTCAGCATGGCTCTCCGACGCAAGATGACCAGCATCAAGAAACTTGACCTGTGCTTGAGGGAGATCCTTCTTAAACGCTTCAGCCCCGGGGGGAATAAAAAAACATCGTTCTTCCCCCAGACAGCCAAGAGTGGTATTTGAGAAGACCTGAAGTATTCTTGAAACTTTTCATAGATCGCAACATTGCTCTGATAATCCATAAAAAGATCGAGTTGAACATCCTTGTTGCCAGGACGTTCCATCAGCGCGTAGTCCAACGTGTAAGATTCTGGTGCAATGCTGCTGGCATCGATTGTCCCATTAAGGTACTGGAACTTCGTCATGTCATATGTTAACATTGCATCGGCCATTTTGGCTCGATCCTCTGCAGAGTTCTCGCTTGCCCAGAACTCCTGTATAGGACCCCACACGTCGCCGAATCCCTCCGTATACGCGTTCCCGTTTTGAGAGATGATGGCTTCAATAGCGTCCGCACGCCGGAGCGCTAGACGAAGACCAACCGGGGCACCGTAGTCAAAGATGTAAATCGAGAATTTCGAAAGGGACATGGCGTCTACAAACTCCTCAAGCGTGTCGGTGAGCGTCTCGAATGAATATTTGAACCCTTCTGGTACTTCCGTGAAGCCGAAGCCTGGAAGATCCGGGGCGACAACACGGTGTGTGGTAGCAAGGAGAGGAATCAATTTCCTATATTGATGGGACGAGGAGGGAAAGCCGTGAAGAAGGAGGATTGTTTTCTTTGGAGTACTTCCGCTGAGTTCCCGGTAGAACATGCTCACACGGCTGTTCGGTAAACTGATTCTCTTCAGTTGGGTAGACATGGTGAGGTAGTTCGAAAAAAGGTCCTAAAGACTTTTTATCCAAGATGAATGAGTCTTATGGTATGTATTTGTGTTGTCAACAGAGAGGAGTAAATTTGTAAGATAGGTGAGGTAACAACAGCTGGGTAATAGAATGTTCTCAGAAGTCAGAATGATTACACTTGGCGGTCATCCCTCTGGTTTATATATTCTCTCAAGGAGCAACCGCAATACCTACCGTCACCGTGCCGCAGCACTTTTCACAGATCTTCTATCTCTTTACTAATCTACATCTATGGATGATGGGAGAAAGTGGGGCCAGAGAGAGAGAACTGACGTCAGGCCTGATCCGTACACGCTAATCCGCACGCTAACCCGCACGCTAGTCCGGTCATGCCTCCGCCTTAGATAGCTACATCTATGGTTGGTAGTTATCACGGCCCTAGTCTGCTATCATTTAATTGCATTACGCTCAGACTCTGCGAAACGAGAATTTGTTTTCCAAATCCATTAGCTCATATACATACAGGTTTACAACTCTTCGTGTTAGTAATATGGAAGAGTCTCGAAACCCTGGGCGGCTTTCGCATTTTCGAGGAGCCGAATATTGTTAGAAGAGGAGCTCAGAACCCATCCTTAAACAAATTCCGCGAATAGATCTCCTATTTCTATCTTAAGGCTCATTTACATGAGATTCTCACTAATGTAAAAGTCCTGCGCTGGCAAAGTCACTGGTGGGTGAGGAGAGTACAATGCGGCTATGTACTTTCCTGAGATCCCCAGCTACCATGTTAGTTCTCTATATTTGCAGGATATCACGAACACCCAAAAGCTTACTTACCGGCTATAGACCAACGCTTGCTAAACAGCCAGAGTATTTGTATCATTCTGTCTGCCCTTTCCTTGTATTGTGGTTCACCCTTCTGCTTCCAGAGTCGTAATTCTATTACTGCGGTCTGGTATAGAGCATATGGCACGAAAGGCGACAGCATGAATCGTTTGTTTTCGTCTTGTGCCATGCCAAAAATGTAATCGGAAATTTCTGCCATCTTCGCAGAAAGCTGTTCCATAGCGAACAGAGGAGTATTTTCATCGAGGGTTCGGCTCTGCGAGCGAAGCGAGGGAGCTGCGTATAGTGTAAATAGGGAGCTAGCCATGCGGATAAAACCTGTTAGAACTCCTATGGATGAATATTATGGAAAGTCAGAAAGGAAAAGTCACCTTATGCAGGTCGACAGAGCTCCGCAATAGTTACTGAATTGGACTTCTTCCTCGATCAAGAGCGGTAGAAATGAGAGCAGTGTCCGTGCAAGTTGTGTTGCCTCCTCTTCGTGGAAGTGTACGTCCGAAATAGGACTGAAAACATGACGAACAACCCTTCCAACGAGATGTGCCACCTGGCATTCCCGTGCAAATTGGCCTAACCTGAAGAGCGCAGGTGTGGCAATGGTCGGTTTGATATATGGTAGAGGCTGTCTCACCGTGTTAGTTAAAAGGGGTGATATGTCTCCGAATGACCCCAAGACAACTGAAACGCAATACTAACCTCCAATGAAAGAGGTCCATCATCAGGAGGTAAAGGGTCCTCCTCGCCAGCATCCTCACTATTGAAGATTGCATCACCATTATAGAGATTGATGAATCTTTTCAGCTTCGTCAGCACCCCTCTCAACGACCACTTAATTGTCACGGCCAAACTTCATAGTATTGCGGTAATAGTGCCTCACTCTTATACGTACCTATCGAGATTGTGGACTGCCCACCAGGTCCTTCTTTCCTCGGCGACTTCATTCTCGATTTCTGAAAGTGGCTGAGATCGGATTTTGTGCAAACCGAGATTGCGGGCCGCTCTCGCACAAGACGCCATGGATATGGAAGCAGCTGGGTAAATTCCATGACCCACTTCATAAAGCACTATCAAGAGCATACTTTGAATTGCTTCTATGGATAAGCAACCCACCATTTCCAGCTGATTAATACCTGTCTTAACAAGAACATAAAGCGACGATAGCATGCTACCGTTCGAAGGCGAAGGGTTTTGTTGGGCTAAATGCATGCATAGGCATAGCGTGGTAAAGCCTAAATCCGCAGACGTGGACACGAACAGGCTAGGTAGGCGCTCGTAAAACTTCTTTTCAGATAGAATTGCCAGCTTGAAATGAGTCGAGCTGAAGTAAGTGCGAGACATCTTTCGTGTCTTGTCCACAGAGCCAAGGGCGCTCAGAGCATTCGTCCGGAATTGAGCGATGACCGTAGCCGCCCACGGTTCCTATAAAGAGAGTGATTAGAAAAGTGAGATGACCCGGCAAGAAGAGCAGAAATACCGAGAGTACTGCGGGGCTCTCAGAAGCAAGATTCGGTGTCGTCGCGGAAGTGAAGGTGCCCTCGTCGTAAACGCAAACCCGCTTCAGTCTGGTATTCATTAGAGCCCAGCCGCTGGAAACCGAAGAAGGGTTTGAGGAATATTTGGCCATCATTTACCGTGCACAGGAGGAACAACTGGGTACCGCTCTATCACACCTCCTTTTGCCAGTATTGCATGCGTTGCATGCGTGCGTAGGAGAGCGAGGTTTTTGTAGCGTGATTTGTTCCATGCTTTGTGAGATTTGACTGCTAGGACGGCTTGTCTCGAGCTGGATCAAATTTCTTTTTAAATCTGTTTCAATTCGCTCGATATGTTACCTGTTGAGCGGTCTTTAAGATAACTTCCACACCAAGGAGCTAAATGGAGTTGGATTAAAAGAGGAGTAGCAGAGGACTTGTGGCACCCTCAGCGAATGGTGGATCTCTCCGCCTTGCGATCGGAGCACGCTAAACTGTGAATAGCCGCCTTCGACTACGCAGACCACATGGCACTCCAGTGGATTTTATCGATTATTCAGATTAGGAAACCTATTTTTCGATTACAAAGCCATGGACAATTGGACGAAAACAACTTTGATTGCAAAAAATGCTCTACGCAGAGGTTGCTCGTTCTATGTGAGCTCCTCAGGGCACCCGGTGGATTTGATCTGAGGTTTCCGGGAATACGAAGACTTCCCCCTTAATCGCACTTTTGTGATATATACTGTTCATCATCTTTCTTCCCATCCCTTTCCTCTTTACTTTTTACTCTTTATTCTCATTCCTGACTTGCTTTGATAGCCACAATATTTCTCACGGCTCATTGGTGTATCGGCTCTCGTCGGGATGACATAATCAACTCGGCATCCCGCGGCATGCCTCAAGTCCAAGTTACGGCCGAGTTCTGTACGAAAGCATGTATACCCGCTTCACTGATCCCAATCCTTTCCACCGTGATTTTAGACATGTGTTAGATTTTTGCTTCTAAAATAGAGGATTATGGCTCCACATTCACCAATACAACTAATTCCACTAATCCCTATCTATACGATACGGCCCATGTGAGCGAGTTACTCAAACGCAAGCGTCGCATGCGCGGCATCAAATCGTGTTTCCCTTGTCGACATCGCAAAGTTCGGTGTGATGGGAGTTTGCCGTGTGTGAGCTGTGTGAAAAGGGGCCATCCTGAGCTTCGTCGTTTACCGGGACGAGGCAATGATCTATCTTATTGAGGGGTCTAGTCCGCAAGAGGAGAGGTTGAGGTATGTGCTAGGTGTTGATCTGGGTGTCATATGAGACAGAATAACTTCAGATTGATTGAAATTATTGTGCGATGGATACTGAAATATGTCCAGCGAGGAGAAGGAGTCTGGACATGGCCCAGAGCATTTTGAGGAATAACCTAGACATAAATAGTGCATGGATTCTCATGGGTAAATATCTCAGGTCTTCCAATTGAAGAACATTGCTAATCCTAAATCCAGGCGCAACTATGCGTCTTGCACAAAGTATCGGATTACATGAGGAGAATCTATCACACGAATCCACAAGCTCTTCACTAGATCACTACCACCGCAGAAGACTCTGGTATATACTCGTGAACTCTACCTCCCTCGCTATTCTCATAATAAGAACCGAAACAATCCACCACGCCGCCGAAGCAGTCGAAAGTTTCCTAGACATGCACCACCTCTCATCAAACGTATGTCGGTCATGGGCCTTCGTACAGAATGCCGTATGTTGTGCGTTTACATTACGCAGTTTCGGTGCCACGGGGGCTGAAGGTGAATATGCGGATCTTAAGGGAAGATCGATTTGTGTTTTGGAAAGGGAGGAGCGGATGTCGGAGTGGGAGGATGCGGATACGAATGTTAGGTGTTTTGGGCCTTATTCGAGGGCTTTAGGGGCTTTGAGGGATTCTAGTGAGGGAGGAAGGGTTTTGGGGTGAGGGGTTGAATGTTGATGTTGATTTTGGGCATCCCGAGAAGGGTGGCTCAGATACGCAGCAAAAAACCACCATAAACATTACAACACGTATATATAATTTATAACCAAGACATGAGATCAACGTAAGAAAAAACAGTCAATAAATTAAAGAAAAGGGTATATTCCCAAAATCAAACGAAATAGCGTAGTGCAGAGTGTTTATTGCCGCCTGATGACTCGAAGAGTCATTTAGAAGAACCTGGTAAACAATATTAGCCACACGCCCCGGACAACCAAGTATGGATAATTGTGGGTTAAGACGTACCAAGCAGCGAGAGCGATAATCAGATACATCATCATGAGGAGAACGCCTTCAAGCCAGTGAGATTTGCCGTCTCCGATGAGGTAGTTGACCTGCAAGAAGAGCTGTTAGCAAACAGAGATTGGGGTGTTATGTGGGGTCCAAGGTGGGGATCATACCAAAAGCACAGACACAAAGAGCAAGATAATCTCGAAACTGTCAAAGTTGAGAGTCTGCAAGAGAGAAACAGTTAGCATCCCACAAACACAAAATCAAAACGGCATCCCAAGATGCGGGCACCTACCATATCATCCACACCCATGATCCAACCCAAAACAACAATAAACGGCAAAACCAACAGCGCAATCTGCATACTCGAACCCACAGCAACACCAATCGCCAAATCCATCTTATCCTTACAAGCCACCGTAACAGCCGTAGCATGCTCCGCCGCGTTACCAACAATAGGCAACAGAATCAACCCAACAAAAGTCTCACTAATATTACCCGTCGCAGTCAAAGCATCAATCGAGTCAACCATGAACTCAGCGCAAACAGCCACCAAAGCAGTCGAAAGACCCAGCGTAGCCATAGCGACCCAGATATGCAACTGCGGCTGCTCGGGCTCGTCGTCTGCGTCTTGGAGGTTGACTTCAGCGGCGTTGGAGCCGCCCATTGTGCGGGCGGTCATTTTCCCGATTTGCGCAATGCCGCGGTTGGCGTCGCCGGACTTTTTGGAGCGTTTTGCGACTTTTTTGGATGGCTCGTTATACATGTCTGTGTGGGATTTGAGTTGGAAGAAGAGGTAGCAGCCGTAGACGATGAGTAGGAGGACGGAGGTTCCTGGATAGTGATGGTTAGTATTGAAGATAGCGTGGGTGTGATAGCTGCTTAAGTGTGGGTGGGAACTTACCTCGCGAAAGAGGAGCCGTATTCTCCTTATTCCCATCAGACCACTTATGGAACGCAGTAGGAATAATCAAACTAGCCACAGCCAGTGCCAAAAGACTAGCCGCAGTCTGCGCAACGACGACATTGAAATGCTGCTCAATGCGGTTCACACCACCAAAGAAGAAACACATGCCCATGACCAGTAGCAAATTAGACAAAATACTACCAATCAGCGAGGTTTGCACGATGAGAACCTCCTTCTTGACCAGCGCGATAATAGCAACGATCAACTCGACCGCATTGCCGAACGAGGCATTGAGCAATCCACCAATCGTCTCACCGGTTCGCAGGGCAATTTCCTCAGTCGCATAACTCAGCATCGCGGCGAGCGGGATAATCGCGATGAAGTTAACAACGAAGATAGCGATAGGATTCGCCTTTACCACGTGCAATGCGATACCCACAGGCGCAGCGATAATAAGCACGTTGATCCATGAATTGAATACCGTCGCGCGGATCTGGCTGGCCACCGTGAACTTGGGACCCTCGAGGGGCTTTTCGTCATCTGGCTCAGGCACAGACGTTTCTTGCTCTTTCTTATGGCCGAACTTGCCAAAGAATCCCTTGCGCTGACGCGCCTGGGTTCCGGTTGTGTCCACGCTCGCAGTGCCGTTACCCTCGATTTCGGCTTCGAGGTCTAGTTCCCGCACCGTGGACTTGTCTGCCGTGTCGTTGATGGGTTCTTGACTGAGATTGGATGCGGCGGGCTCGTAGCTACCGGCCGATTCAGGTGGGAATGTGCCTGAGTAGGCGGGACCTTCGAGATCGCCGTTGAACTCGGCGCGGCGCCGTTGATCTTGCGAGAGACGGAGGTCGCCCAAGCTTCGGGAGTGGGGGGCTTGATCTTCTAGTTGGACGGAGTTGGTGCGCTGAGGGCGCCGGCGGAATTTCTTAAAGGGGTTGTGCGAGGATGGCTCGCCATCTTGGTCGTACCAGGCGAGATTGCGGGCCTGACGGCGGTAGATATCTATGGACATTGTTTAGAGGGGGATGTTGATGGGATTTTAGGAGTCGTAGAGGAATGGTAGTTGCGATAGACATGCTGGCAGGTTGAGGATAAATAGGGTAGCTTGGGACTCACGCATTATGATCGATGAGTGTCGGGTTGTACGTGGGAGTGATAGGTCCTAAATTCGAAGCAACAATGAGGCTCCAAATAGATCTGATCCGGGTGTCAGTCTTTGATAAGATCCGAAACAGCCACCAGCCTCAATGCAAGTTTGACAAGGGAGTTCATGCAAAGAGCAAAGGCACCGGCTTTCATATCAGGTTTTTGATCACCCTCACTCAGCCTGCGCCTTAGCAGATGCGCCAGCCACGGCTAGCTTGTAAAATGAGGCGTAGCCGCGCGGTTCCTCTAACGGTGAAAGCCACGTACGTGAGATGAATATTTCCAAAATTAAACTGCCATACAGCTTCCAGAAGAGAGGCGAATAGTGGCGAGTGACAGAGTCCTGAAGATGCGAATACGGGGCTCGCGAGGTGGCGCAGTCCAGGCAGCCACAGGGTGGAAAAGGGTGAAAGAATTATGAGAATAATAGTAAGAAAAGGCGGGGACTATGAACAAGAACGATGCGGATGCTTTGTGCGATTCTGAAAATTGTGTCTGTGTCCAGAAATCCCAGCTCTGGGGGTTGTGGAAGAGATCAAGCAAGGGAGGGGAGGGACGTTCGCGTTGGCGAGAAGTCAACAAAGCAGCGAGCGGCGTGGCACGAAAGGAGTGTGGTGGGAGCAAATAGTGCAGCCGTAAGCAAAAAGGAAAAACACAAAGGGAGAGACAGGAGCCCGAGGAGAAAGGCAATGACAAGGCCGCCCAAATGATATGATTTCAAGATGATGGAAACGCTCAGGGTTAACTTTTGGCCAAATCTTCAATAATTCAGCACAGCCACATTCGTGGGACCCAGGGGCCGATCGCAAGTTCCCGCTGTGTACGAAGTACGCTTGGCAATGGAATAGTGATTCCCAAGAAGGAGCGTTTGGTATAAAGTCGTGCGACCGGAGAATAATCAATTGATCCTAGTCAGTTAGTTTTCAAACTCGAGGACCACGACGGGAATATAATGTGTAATGCAGCTTAGGCCGTGGTCATAATTCTGGTGATGATGATGGTGGTGCTGATGAGTTGTCATTTCCTTAGGGGTGACCCCCCTTAGGCGAAACACGGGCGTCACCACGGAAGAACCAAGGAAACCCAAGCGAAAACAAGCAGGCGAAGAAAGGCTTCGGCTGGGGAAGCTTTGGCTGCGTGAGCTTATGGTTTCTTGGCAGCATGTATCACCACCATCATCATCACGTCCGCCGTGTCTCGTTTCCTATGATCCTCCGCCATGTCAAGGTGAGATCTTCATGTAGCACCAATGATCATGATGGCCAGCACCAGGATGCTCAAACAGCACAGACGATCAAATAATGTCTCGAGTGTGGCACATTGGAGCACACCGGCCAAGCAGGGATCCACCGTAGAATTGCTGTAGAATCCCGCAGGGAGGGAGATGATTGGACTGGGTAGGGACCATAGCCCGCTCTTGGCAGCACCCAGCAAACGAATCGCCGAATCATAAACGAGCGTAACATCACATCGGGTCTGGAGCGCCACAAAACCCCTGTTCAATTTCTGAGCTCTGACACTGACGTTTGTTGGCACAGGCAGAGGAGAAGGTAACGGCCGTAAGAAACACTCGCGTCTGCAAGCAGTCACGTGTTACCCCGGTCGGGTATCCTCTGCGAGGTCCATTCAGTACTGGTCACTGTCAGAAACCAAACTGGGCATCATGCACGTTTGCAAATCATGGCAGCAGCCACAGACAGGGCCATGATGAGGCTTCCGTGCCCAAATCGGGTCGATGTGCTGTCGACAGATAGTCGGGTACGTCGGTGGCTGGTCAGCCTGTGAGATGCCAATGATGGAGGGCGATCACTGGGGAAGAGCCACATCGATACTGGAATAATGGAAAGTTGAGTCGTGGCCTGAGAACTGAGGACTTCAATGTCGGTGAGGCCTCATAAGTCTCCAGGGCTCCAGCTGCAATACTGACTCGATAACCCATTGCATCGGGTCTAAATAGACCTCAACTCGCAAGATAGTGCCTGCTTAGGTTAGTAGTTCGTAAAGTGTAAGCACTGGTTCAGTCTTTTTTTCAGCTCAAAGGCCCATCAGCCTCTCAAGTCTTCATAGATTTCCTCCATAAGGAAAGGCCAGGGGCGGAGTGTTAGTAGGCACCAGGCACAGGGAGGAAAAAGAAAGAGTAAGCGCCAGATGACGAGGCCCCGGGGGGTTTTGTCCTTTTTGATTTGGAAAGAAGAAGAGCCTCCTCTGTAATGTTTGTTGTGAACCCGGGTTGAGGGTTACGGGTTGCGGGTTTACTGACGAGTATATTATTCCTGCTGCCTGCAGCGGGGAATGGGCCACTGGGCTTGATTTAAGCGCCTTGTTTGCTTGCCACTTATGCCTCGTGGGTGCATATTTCAAACAATCTGGTCCTGAATTCATGAGGTCGTAGGGCTGGATTTCTATTCTTGGCACGCCAAAGGGGCAGGTCACTGCACTGCAGGGGGAGTTGCTTGAAGTTGAAGTGGAGGTTGTTATCCGGTCGGAGGATAGCTTTTCTTCACTCCCAAGACCATCTGCTTGAATATTGTTGTTACTATCAGTTGAGTCACGAAGAAAGTAATGTAAGGGTCGGTAGTGGTGACTGGCGAGGAGAGAGATAGCCGAGTCTGTGGTTGCCGGTAGGGCTGAAGCATACGTAGGGCTGCACGACCCGCCCCCATTCTACCCACCTCCAGGCTATTTCTTAATGTTCTTAGTATGGCTCCATAGATTCAGCAACTAGAATAAACCTTTTCTTTACTTTAGTCCCTCAATTGGCAATGATTCATCATCGATACTAGATATTTCTTCACTAGTATTGATTCCTGTTTGCTTGGAGATTCTCGCACTTCGGGACTGCTACTTTCATGCGATGTCCGAAGACGAGCCTACACCAGCCTCCATTCCATCCTGGAACTAGACTAGGGCCTTTTCTTTTTGGGTTCGTGCTATAACATAGTCTTGAATGGATCTTGGTCTGCTGGACGAAAGGCTTTTTAATGCTCCGTTGACTTTCGAATCAATAATCCCGAGCTGTTTTTAACCATTTACAGGGAAACGTTACAAATCGTATGATCTGGAAGAGCCAAACGATGATAACAGCAGAGAACATTCAGGTAAGGACCTGCGAAAGTTATGCAGTTTTCGTGGATTTCCAGTTGGCCGAAGAACTACCGTCATCTTCGATACAGTTGAAACACATTAATGCATTTTAATTCGTGCGAACCTCAAACCATGAAAGGTTTAGCTGATAAATGAGGTGTTGACATGTTGGCATTCTTGGAACTAAATAACTGACGAGCTTACAAGAATTTTTGAGTGATTTCTTTGTGGGAGCTGGGAGACGTAAAGCCAAGGCCTGGTTCTCCGAAGAACTAGCGAAAATATATGTCTGAGATCAGACCATCGGGAGTTTCCATGTTGCACGTACGAATCAAACCGGGCTAGATGGTCAGTCAAATCCGAAGAAACTGAGTGCCTTTTAGTCTTTGACAGCTACTTCAGAGTAATGGCCTTCGTAATGGATCTTTAATGCCTGCCCCCTAGTATCTCCTGACCGAGCTTTACTGTAGATACGATAGACAACTACCGAACCTAGCCCGCTAGGTAACCAAACATGGATGACATGGGATATGGATCGATTCTCCGATACTTAATAATGGACTATTTGCTATGCATATACCGGTATTGGCTGTGGTCCACGGGCTTCCATGGTGGAGGTTGGAGGTAGCATGTCATGCAGGTTCAAACCCATCGGCAAGTAAGTACTGTAAATGATCACTACCTCCCGAGGACAATCGAAATTCATCATTATACCCATTAATCATTGTCTGATTGAGATCGCAGTCGACTTGAATGATGCTACTCACGAAGTAAGCTGAGTAAAGTCCGATATGTCTACCTACCACCATCGCGTCTTGTCTCACATAGTACCTATTTTGTGAGTTAAAACAGCGGCAAAAGCCTAAGATTATCTCTTTTCTCGAAGCAAATTAACTCAAAGTACTAACTCTCTCACTACATCATACAGTAAACACCCCTTAGCCCTCCCATCTCCAAAACTATGCACCCGTCCACTACGTCAAATCCAACCATCACCTCCCGCCACGATCTCCATAACCCCTGGAGCAAACCAACGCTAAAAAGCTTGGTCTACAACATAGAGCATACACTTCCGGAGTCTCGCTATAATCACCCCCGAATATGACGGAATGGATAGACTATGTACGTCGAAATATAAGTGACAGCCCGTCCTGGGTCATTCTGCATGCAGCCCTTGCCGTCCCGATCGTCAGGGGTAAGTGATAGTCCGTAGCTATGGAGTACATAGTTGCGTGATCGTCTTGCCGACGGAAGGATGAAAGTTATATGTATTGTCTCTGTGGGCTATGTGGATTGCGCGATTCTTATCTAGTATCAACGAAGTCGATGATCTTGTTCTACAGCGTAGATTTGCAGCATATGGAGGGAAGAGGAGCCTGATATGCCGGCTCATCACTGGTGTAGTCAGTATCGAGGTGGTCCACACTGAGGCGAGAGTTGTCTCCCTATGACCCACTGACTCGATGATAATGGTCAAAAATGGGTTTGACTTCCTCTATTTGGTCCATTGAAGAGTACGGGAAAAGGGTCAGCCAACTGAGTACGCGCTGACGGTTGGTGAAATTTTGATCATACCAATCGTCGAGCTCATGGGTTCGATCAATGACCCGAGTCGAGGAAAAGTGTCTGCCTGCTTGAAAGTCTCGTCGTGGTGGGATGGGAGACTATTATTGACCTGAGATTGTCTGGGGCACGGACGTGGAGCCCATACAGTGAGTGACCTCGCATTCCTCGCATTCTCGGGATGGACACACGTTGATACGGCTCGGAGAAATAATCTAAGAATAAACATGGCTAATGCATTCCAACGTCAATTGTTTGAGTTTCATTGTTTTGCGTGGCAGTCAAGCAAGAATGTTTATGACGATGAATCAAGACTTTTTGGTCTTTTCTTGACCGACGTATGCCCAGATCGCCGAGGATTCCAATCGACACCACCACGACCCGGATCGCCCTTGGCGGGAGAGACAAGCTTTGTTGTTCGATGCGAACCGGGCGTTTGACGGGGGATGAAAATGGAATCGAGTCGGTTATTATTGGAGGGAGTGGACAAATATGCTTTGGACGGGTGGATGAATAGCAAGATGTGCATGGTCGTGATGCGATATTTGTGCATTGATTTGTTTCTTTTTTGGGCGCGGATTATGACTGGCTGGACCGGGATGATATTCCTCTGTTATGCACTAAGGCAGGGGCCAGCCACTCAGGGTCTCGCAAATCGGGCATTATTATGGACCCTTATGTCTCGAGCAACGAGAGGCCTCTTGTTGTTAGGACCAGTCAGGGGCAATTTGTTTCGGTTTGAAAGGGCCCTTCTGAGGGACTTTTCTCTTTCTCAGTGGGGTCGCGACACCGGGTTCCGAGGGAGCAAGCGAATAATATCACCAGGATGGAGATTGTCTCAGGGGCTCCCATCCAGCCAGGGTCGGCAGGGTTATGGCCCCACACGATCCGAAACAAGCAAAGGTTCAGGGCCAAAAGGGCCAAAAGGACCTTTCACAGGTGGGGGCCCAGTTAAAGAGATCCACATTGGTCCCTTCAGGGCCCAATGACCCTGAACCGCCCCAAGATATCGGGGGCCTCACCACACTGGAAGCCTGCGATGTGTTGCCAATGATGGTCTGCATTTGATAGCAGGTTGCTCCATTGATGTGCAATGCACCCACTGGCACAGCCCGCCTGATGATGCGTCACCATCAATAATTAATCATGTTGCATTTGGGGGGATGTTGGTGGTACTTGATTGATGGGTGAGGAGAGTATGAGAAAGAGAAGTCACTCGTCTTCCAATAATAAACCCACTCACCAGTCCACCACTTCCCCTGGGGCCAAACACCCAATCAACCTGGTTGGTTGCTCCTTCCCCTACTCCTTCTTTCCTTCTTCCTCTCTTCTCTTTTCAACCTTGTTCCTTCCTCTCTCTTCTCCCCTTCCCCCCATCTCCTCCCAATTTCCTTCGTTTTGTGTTTTGGTTCCTACTTGTTTGGTACGACTCGACAACACACCACACTCCTTTTCCAACCCGTCAATCCTTGACAACACTCGCTTCCGAGCTCTCCCGCGCTCATCATGAAGTACTCCGTTCTCGCCGGCCTGTCCCTTGTGGGCTCGGCCATGGCCACTATCCCCTCCATTGAGATCAAGGGCAAGAAGTTCTTCTACTCCAACAACGGTACCGAATTCTTCATCCGTGGTGTCGCCTACCAGGCCGACTACTCCAGCCCGACCAGCGGTTCCAGCTCCTCCAGCACCAACTATGTCGATCCTCTGGCCGACGTCGAGAGCTGCAAGCGTGATATCCCCTACCTGACCCAGCTCCGTACCAACGTTGTCCGGACTTACGCCGTCAGCCCTAACGCCTCCCACGACGAGTGCATGAACGCCCTCGCCGATGCCGGCATCTATGTCATCTCGGATCTATCCGCCCCCTCCCAGTCCATCCAGTCCGACGACCCGACCTGGGATTCCGACCTGTTCACCCGCTATTCTCAGGTCATCGATGCCTTTGCCAAGTACCCCAATGTCATCGGTTTCTTCGCCGGTAACGAGGTCGCCAACAAGGTCAACAACACCGGCTCCATGGCCTACGTCAAGGCCGCCGTCCGTGACATGAAGACCTACATCAAGCAGAAGAACTACCGTAGCTCCCTGGCCATTGGTTACGCTACCGATGACGATGCTACCGTCCGTGAGCAGGTCTCCAACTACCTGGTTTGCGACACCGCCGCCGACTCCATTGACTTCTTCGGTTACAACATCTACGAGTGGTGTGGTGAGTCTAGCTTCTCCACCTCTGGCTACGAGGACCGCACCAAGGAGTTCGCCGACTACCCCGTTCCTGCCTTCTTCTCCGAGTACGGCTGCAATCAGCCCCGTCCCCGTCCCTTCGGTGACGTCCCCGTACTGTTCGGCCCCAAGATGAACGATGTCTGGAGCGGTGGTATCGTCTACATGTACTTTGAGACCTCCAACGAGTTCGGTCTGGTTTCCACCGACGGCAACAACGTCAAGACTCTGTCGGACTTTGTGAACCTGTCTTCCCAGATGCAAAAGGCCACCCCTACCGGTGTCAACAGCGCCAGCTACTCCGTCAGCACCACTGTTGGCCGCAGCTGCCCTACCATCGATGCTTCCAACTGGCTGGCCGCTAGCGTCCTACCCCCCTCGCCCAACGCCGATCTGTGCGAGTGCATGTACAACCAGCTGGAGTGTGTCCCTGTTGACGACATCTCCGTCAAGAAGATGACCGACACCTTCAACTACCTGGGTGGTGAAAAGGGCGCCATGGACGGTGTTTCCCACAACGCCACCACCGGCAAGTATGGCGCTTACTCCATGTGCAACCCCAAGCAGCGCCTGGGTTGGGCCATGAACCGATACTACCAGCTGAACGACAAGAGCAGCAGTGCCTGTGGCTTCTCCGGTGCTGCCACCACCAAGAAGGCCACCAACCCCTCCTCTTGCTCTGCTCAGTCTTCTGCTATGAGCGCTATTGGCTCTGCTGGCACCAACAACGTCAACGGTGGTCTGGCTGCCTCTGGTAGCGCTACTGGCGGCTCTACTTCTACTTCCAAGGGCGCTGGCGCCGCTACCTTTGGCCCCCAGGCCGTTCACGTCGGCTCCTGGCAGACTGGTGCTTACGCGGTTGCCGCGATCGCCTCTGGCCTGTTCATGATCATGCTGTAAACCACTTTTTGTCACACTAAGAACCAAAAATGGGCCTTTTTTTCGTTTCCTTTTTCTACATTTGTTTTTTTTTCTGTGATAAACTGGCGTGTCCATGTCCAACTTGACGCGCTTTTCTTTCGTGTGCTATAGTTTTGACTGTCTTGCACCTTGGCGCACATCCACCCGCTTTCTTGTATTCGAGAACCCTTCTGTTCCGATAAATTGTTTATATAATACTCTTCATGCTCCAATAGCAAGCCGGTGTTCATTCATTGAATAGTATCATGTAGGATCTAGTCCACTCTAGCGTAGCGTTCAAGGTAGATTCTCGTCGTTGGAGTACTCCACCCGCATGGAGTCATTTTTCGAATCGGGAGCATCCCACCCAATTAGTTACAACTCTTGAACCTTTGATTCAGCAAAGCACAGCTAAATTCCACCCAATGGCATCACATTTTGCTTAATCTTATCTTCTATGTAAAACACATCCATCTCTCGTCTAGAACAACCTCGGCAGTGCGAGTAAGTTCCTGGTGGAGTTAGTTTTAGGCCGGGTGCGCGGCCCGCGCACCTCTCCACTTCACCCGACCCGATCCCATTTCCGACACTGATTGTTTAATATAATAAGTCCACCCCTGGGGGCGAATTGGTTCTGACTCATTTTGTGCTGAATGGTCTAGTGTGTTGGAATGGGATTGAGGATTTTAGGTGCGTGGCTTAGTGCCTGAATTGTGGTGAGGGTGGTTGTTGGGGAAAGGGACCTTCCCCCGGCGGTGGAGAGTTACTGTAGATAGGCATAATGTAATGGATGTAATTGGTAGTGATAGAATAGTGTACATTATTGTGAGTTCCAATTATTGTGATTCGATCTTCAATTGGATACTGATGATTTAAACTGCCATTGGCCTGGATAAGAGCTACGGTGGGTCAATAATGGTCCCATTCTAGCCCAAGGTTTAAAGTACGTGGCTCACCCTTAGCATGGAATTGTAGATGAAGGATTCACGGACAGAATTGTGAGTCAGAGATACCTAGCTATCAACATCTGGGAGGGATTGAAGTGAATATAAATACTACTCTTGATGTCTTCAATTGATTCTTTCAACACACTATCTCAACTGTCTCCGCCAATTGACGACAGTCATCCTTGCTTGGAAGGTTTCTTCGTGGCGATTTTATCTACTCTTTCTTGAGAATTACATACGGATCGAACTTTCACCATGGAAGCTATTAGCTCCGTATTCGCAACATGTAAAAAGGAATCCCGCGCTGCACTTGTCACATACGTGACAGCCGGGTATCCTACCGCAACCTCAACACCGGATATCATGCTCGCCATGCAATCGGGCGGCGCAGGTTAGTCCCCAACACCCATCCCCAATCCCATCCATATAACCTACCATTTATCCAATTCTAACACACCCTGCTTCCACCAGATATCATCGAACTAGGCATCCCATTCACAGACCCCCTAACCGACGGCCCAACAATCCAAAAATCCAACGCCCAAGCCCTGCAAAACGGCGTCCGGATCCCAGAGATGCTACAAATGGTGTGTGAAGCTCGAAGCCGAGGTCTCACAGCGCCGGTCGTATTTATGGGATATTATAATCCTGTCCGGGCTTATGGGGAGGAGAAGATGTTGAGGGATTGTAAGAGAGTGGGTGTGAATGGGTTTATTATGGTTGATTTGCCGCCGGAGGAGGCGGTTAGGTTTAGGGGGGTTTGTAAGGGGTTTGGGTGGGTATTTCTCTTTCTCTCTTTCTTTTTGAATTGATGTCTGGGGCTTGGTTGTGTTTTTTCATGGGAGGTAGAGAGACAAAGTGCTGATGACGGGTAACTCAACAGGTTATCCTATGTCCCACTTGTTGCGCCATCGACGCCGGACTCGCGTATCAAAATGCTTTGCAGTATTGCGGACTCATTTGTGTACGTTGTTTCGCGGATGGGCGTGACGGGATCTCTCAAGGTGCTCGATGAGGGCTTGAACAAGCTCCTCGAGCGTGTGCATGTATACACCGAGAACAGAGTTCCAACGGCCGTTGGATTCGGGATCAATACCCGTGAGCACTTCGTCGACGTAGCTCGCATCGCGGACGGGGTCGTTATCGGAAGTAAGATCATCAGTATACTCCGGGATGCACCCGAGGGAACTGGGGCCCACAAAGTGCAGGAGTATTGTCTGCATGTCACCGGCAGAACAGAGCCTCGAGTTCTCACTCCTCCCACCGAGGAAGACAAGCCTGAAGAAGACACAACTACATCCACAATCGCTACACCGAACATTACGGACGGCACAGATCTCACACCCACCGATCTAACAACCCGCTTCGGCCAATTCGGTGGCCAATACGTCCCCGAAGCCCTAATGGAATGTCTCACCGAACTCGAAACAGGGTTCAACACCGCCATATCCGACCCAACCTTCTGGGCCGAAATCGCATCCTACGCCTCCTACGCAAACCGCCCTTCAAGTCTACACCTAGCACCCCGCCTAACAGCCCACGCCGGCGGGGCCCGTATCTGGCTTAAGCGCGAAGACCTCAATCACACAGGTAGCCACAAGATCAACAACGCACTCGGGCAGATCGTTCTCGCGAAACGTCTCGGTAAAACAGCTATCATCGCTGAAACAGGAGCCGGACAGCACGGCGTGGCAACGGCGACATTGGCCGCGCGGTTCGGTATGAAATGCACTATCTTCATGGGTGCGGAGGATGTACAGCGGCAGGCGCTGAATGTGTTCCGGATCAAGTTACTCGGTGCTCGGGTTATTGCTGTCCCCGGTGCGCATCCTGGTGATGGGGGGACGCTGCGCGATGCGGTGAATCAGGCGTTCCGGACTTGGGTGACGGACCTGGATAGTACGCATTTCGTGATTGGGTCTGCGTTTGGACCGCATCCGTATCCGACTATTGTGCGGACGTTCCAGGCTGTTATTGGGAATGAGGCAAGGGCGCAGTATCAAGAGCTTAATAATGGGAGGCTTCCCGATGCAGCCGTTGCGTGTGTAGGTGGTGGATCAAACGCCGCGGGCATGTTCTATCCCTTCGTGCAGGATGCAGGCGTACAACTCGTCGGCGTCGAAGCAGGCGGCGACGGCTCAGCCGTTGGTCGTCACTCCGCAACGCTAGCACGCGGCTCAGTCGGTGTTCTACACGGAGTCCGAACATATGTGCTTCAAGACGATGATGGCCAGATCACTTCGACGCACTCGATCTCCGCGGGACTGGATTACCCCGGTGTTGGACCGGAGTTGGCGAGTTGGAAGGAGTGTGGGCGGGCGAGGTTCGTTGCTGCGAGTGATCAGGATGCGTTGGATGCGTTTAGGTTGTTGAGTGAGACGGAGGGAATTATTCCTGCGTTGGAGAGCGCGCATGCTATTGCTGGTGCGGTGAGGTTGGCGAAGGAGTTGGGTGTGGGGAAGGATATTGTGGTTTGTTTGAGTGGACGGGGTGATAAGGATGTTCAGACTGTGGCGGGGATGTTGCCGGAGCTGATGCCGGAGACTGAGGAGGAGTAAATGTTGGGAGTTATGGATGTGTAAAATGGTGTTATTTTGGGGAAATCTTTGTCTACTTTTGTTTTTTATTGAAACACATATTAAATTGACTATATGCATGTGTTGATCCACTTCTATTCATCAAGCGACGAGTCAATTACTAGGCCATGTAAGCTGAGAAGAGGCTGCCCGGCTGATGTGAAGTCACGAGTTTCACCAAAGTATTCAAGCCATTCAATCCTGTTATGAGTGCTTAGGGCTGCGTAACCTTTCGTACTCAGGCAGAGCCCATTTCACCATCCAACTCCGATTCAGGAACCTACCAAGCACAGGGACGATCCTCCGGCCTAAAGGAAAGTATCGAGCGCAACATTGCGAAAAGTGAATCGCGTTCGCTTGATTCAAAGGGCCGAATTTTCTTTTTTATCCGTAGTTTCTGCACGTTTAATTCGAAGAGATCCTTCAATGATTGATATGGCGGCTCTCCCCGCTCGGTGAATCTTTCTCGACGTGCTTCCCATTTTTCCCAAATGCATCAATTTGCTGGCAAGTCATATCATCTTCATTGGTAAGAAAGCCTTCAAAGAGAGGCCTTTGGGCAATGATATCCCAGATAGTGCAGGCGAGAGTCCAGATATCCGATGAAAAAGTAAGAGGCTTATTTGGCTCAAATCGAGCCTCTGGAGGGCGGATCAGAAGAGGTGTATGAGAATCGTATCTCGTTTCTTGTGCCGGAGAGAATGCTTCACCAAAGTCCGAAAGGATAATCCTGGCTTCTGGGAGTGCAATTTTTTCACTTGCTTCCCCAAGCCAGATAGGTAAATACACCATATTCTGGGACGCCTGGTGGGAGTTTTTGGCTATCTAATCGATTGACTGGCACGAGTACCGGCTCCCTATACTGTTCGTATAACGTTTCTGTGGATAAAGAATCGAAATCACACGATAGTTGAAGGAGGATGCTTCCACGGTGGAGATCTCCATGGACGAAGCCTTGTGAATGGATATAATCAACATCAATCACAAGCTGCGCTGCTAAGACTCGGGCCACCTCAAGTGGAAAAGTCTGATCCATAATCCGTTCTTTACATCAGACAGGCTTATCCTTGCAGGACTGGTTACCAAACAAACGTGATCCCCATTTGGGCTTTGAACACTGAATTTATCCAAGATCGAGGGAATCATAGCCCTCCCGATGTTTGATGACAGGCGAGGTTCGAGAGTTTTGACAGGACGTCATTCTCGGGTGATTTCGAATCTGCGGTGCAGACTTTGACTGCAACGTATCTGCTGAGTCTCTCATCTCGGGCCAGCCAAATCGTTGAGTATGTACCGTGACCAAGCTTGTGGATGACCTGATAGCGATCGTTGAGACAATCCCGATTGTTACTGGGTGATAGCCCCCAGCCCGGTAGTTTTCCATTCGTTCCACGTCTTCGATTGGCTCGTACAAGATGGATGATTTTGTAATGGTTTGCATCGCGCAGACAAAGCCTTACGATTTTAGAATGAGATTGGCTCAAAGTGCATGGCCAGTTGGAATCTTAGCCTTAACCACTTTCTGTTGTGAAGGTTTGAGAAGAGGCGTGTCTTGACGTGAGCGAAGAGACCCACTCTAAGCCGCCACGCAAGTGATGTCAAAACAAGCTTCATAGCCACGTCTTGGACATTGAAAAGTGATAACTTTGTATACAAAGCTCTTGATCATATAATTTTGATGTTCAAGTAAGCAAGCAAACATGCAACAATATGGTGTCTGCACAAAGAAGCACAAATGGCTCTAGTCTCGTCTAGCTGACGCGTTCCAGGACCTATCCGCTAAACGAACGGCGCTCGGACATGAAATTAAAGCGCGGCCCGCCAAGACATCCAATAACCTTGTCCGTGGAAAAAAAGAAATAAAACTACAAGGGATAGGCCAGATCCCTCGGTTCCAATACCCCCTTTTCCCGCCAGAACAGTCGATGAGGCACTTGAGGCTTTCCGTTTAACGAAACTGGCCATGGAAGACGTCAAAGAGGCACAAGACTTGGCATCCTTGGCGCCTGCCGCGCATGAGGCGCATCTCGTCTTGATTCCTCAGCCCAGTACCCACCCTCGTGACCCCCTGGTATGAACACAATGATGTTCTTTAGGCGCGGATTGCGTCACCGCGAGGCGCTGATGTTCGAGTGCTAATCTGACATCTTGGCAGAACTGGTCATTGCGGCGAAAGTATATTATTCTTTCGGTGCTTTGCTTGGCTTCGTTCTCGGGCGCGATTGCGCCGCTGTCTGGGCAGTTGAATCTCGCGGATCAAGAGAAGCTTTATCATAAGACGAAGCTGCAGCAGTCTTACGCGGTAGGTTTTTCTGTCTGCTTATCTTAGTACTCAGTATTCCTAGGTTTTGTACCGAACTGACATCTATGTAGAACTCGGCCGCTCTGGCCGGTATGGCCGCAGGGCCATTCTTCTTTGCGCCCATCTCCCACCTACTGGGTCGTAGCTCGGTCATATTTTGGTGTATGCTCTGCGCACTTATATGCCAGGTATGGGGTGCCGTGATGACCCACCCGAATGATTACATACCATACATCCTCTCTCGGTTATTCTCTGGATTCTTTGGTGCAGTGCCAACGGTGCTGGGACCTCGTGTTGTCACGGACCTGTTCTTCCTTCATCAGCGTGGTCGTGCTTTTACTGCATTGCATATGGCATTTTTGTTCGGCACAATCGCTGGTCCCACCTTCTCGGGCTTCATCTCAGCCGGCGCCTTTTTCCCCGTGGAGTTCTGGTGGACCGTTGGTCTGCTTGGATTCACATTGATCTGCTGCTTCCTATGCCTTGAAGAGACAGGGTTCAACCGCGTGGACCTTGACAAGAACCCAAAAGTCCCCATTTCATTCAGTGAAAATCGGATGGCGACTTTCTTCTTCGGGCATCGAGTTGTGCAGCCGACTACATGGAAGGAGACGGTATGTCCTAACACCCTTTCAGCCTACAGCTTTGACTAATAATCAATAGGCCAAAATTGGGATCACTCCCATTCTCATCGGTATCTGCCCCGTTACTGTCATCATGGGCATCTTCACTCTCATCTCCTTCGGCTTCTACGTTGGCGTCAATGCGCTTACCCCGGTCTGGCTCCAGAAGCCCGTCGCAGCCGGTGGCTACGGCTTCACACTGAAGCAAAACGCCGCATTTACCTTCTGCCACTGGATCGGTATCATCTTCGTCCAATTCTACGGACACTACTTGAACGACCGGGTACCTCTCGCACTCGCGCGCCGTTTTAACAACGGTGTCTGGAAGCCCGAGTATCGCCTGCACGTCCTCTGGCTCCCCAGTCTAATTCTTAACCCAATTGGTCTGGGAATTTTCGGTGCCGCTCTTCAGTACCACCTACACTACATGGTCCTCGCACTGGCAGTGTTCATCGTCACTATCGGGTCGCTCGCTAGTGTGCCGGTCACGGTGAACTACGTCGTCGAGTGTTTCACCAAGTACCCTGCTGAGGCAGGCATTGTGATTGGCGCTTATCGGATTGTGTACGGACTGACGATTAGCTTCTATATTAATCCGTGGGTGGAGGCGGTTGATGTGGGCTGGGTGTACGGAATGATGGCGTTCTTTGCAGTGTTTTCATTCTTCTTTGTCATGCTCCTGATGTGGAAGGGTCATGCTATTCGGTGTATCCAATTTTCAAGTCTTGCGTCGAGTGAGGAAGGTGAGAGGTTGGTTGAGTGAATGTTGAAATTTGGGGTCTGGGTCTCGAAAAGGTGTAATAAATCCGACGACACGGACATGATTGATAATCGCACGCTTACTTGTGCTTTCGCACGACAAACTATTCCGTTTTTGGAGCTAGCGGCTAATAGGTATATCGGGTGCCTAGGTATCCTTGTTATATCTACTAAGCCTTTTACTTTAGCTATTAAGAAAGACGATTCATAAGACATTCAAAAAGATCTTTCATAGAAGGGAAGCTAAAGCATATACGTCTATATTATCAATATACCTCTCTAATCTAGACATTAAGGATCCAGTGTACCTGTTCTTTCCTATACCAGAATACGGAATAGTGTGTTGTTCGAAAGCATAAGTTGTCGAGCGATTAGCCTGAGCCTTTATTGATCTGTTGAATTGAAATTATCTCTAACCGGCCAAGAGAAATAATATGCATGATATCGATGGAAAATAGTGTTCCATTTAGCTGTTGTTATCTGATGTGACTTGCTCAACCTGACTGCCAAAGTAATAGACAACATCAGGAATGTTGATCTCATGCGGCTCCAGGAAAATACCAAGCTTCATTGTCTCCTGGATGTGCTTTTCATCGTAGGAGCCAGGTTTTGAGAGATATTCGACCATGCGGCCATGCCAGTGATTGTCCAAAAACTCCATGATAGGCAAGCCAAGCTGGTCGAAGTCTCCACCCAATTCATCGACAAGTCGCTCGAGTTCAGGATACCGATGATGATCTTCTTCTCGGATATCTGCAACCTCTTGTTGATCTTGGATATGCCTGAGTAGAAACGGATATATCTCGTCATTCTCTGTACAACATGTGTGCCTCAAGTCCAAAGCATTGAATGTGAGAGACCTGATGATAATATGACCAGTTGCAGGTCTGGCTTCAGTCCATTGTACAAGCAACTGAAAGACCTGGCGAAACAATTCTGTCGACTTTTTCAACGACAATATACCAAAACTTAAACGTCGAACGGAACTTCGCAGTGCCACTGAGAAAGTGGTACATCCGCTGGGACAGCATGCGCAGACGCAACGATCACGAACCGAGGGGACCAGAAACAAAGCATCACTGTATGCTGTAATTCTTGCCTCCAATCCCAGCCATCTACCAGAATTGTCATAATTGTCCATGCAGATTATATGTAGGATCTCGTCAATCACCCACGAGCTGGCCAAGTGAGCGACCGTCCCATTAGAACGGGGCAGAGTTTTGGTTAACCCCGCCCCTTTTTCAAATAGCCAGATAATGCATTCGATACCACGGCTCACACCGATGGAAAAATCGATGAAGTAGGTGAGTTGATACATCAAGGGCGTGAGGCCATTTGCATCCGGAGCATCGATACCTCGAAATCCAAGTTTGTAGAGCTCCTCCCAAGCCTCCACGTCCTCGATACGCTGATGGTATATCGATCGAGAGTCTTGTCTGCGGACTTGTAGTGAGGGCTCAACCTTCAAGCCTTGTGTGAGTAATTCGGTGGATATTTGAAAGGCATGGACGTCAGGGATTTGCTCCTCACTTTCACTACCACCATTTACAAAGAAAGCAGCGAGTCTTTGTGGTGGTAAGCAAGATTTTGCTAAAGTTTGCAACCTTCTTCGTCGCTTGGCTAGTTCATGACTGAACAAAGATCGTACCTTCCGATATTTGCAAGTCAGTACGTCGTACGATTCAAGTATACATCCGGCTTGAAGTAGAGGTACCACCGAATGATAGTATAGATCACAGTCGGTATCATCTACATGGAAGGGCCTGGACGGCGAGTAACCCAGAGCGAATTTGGTGGCATCTGCTCCAAATTCCAAAAGAATTCGTACACCAGCTGGCCATCCAATAGCAAGAGCCAGCGAAGATATGCCTTGTAGACAGTCATTGGGTCTTGCAGAGCCGGATTCCAACGCTTTCCGGAGGTCGGCCTCCGACTTTCGCAGAATAATCTTCGCAATATCCGGTATTTCAACCACTTTTTTTCGTCATTTAGTTAAGTGCAAAAAGAAAACGTCACGGTATGGAATGTGACACCGAAGACTTACGCTCATCATCTCTGTCGAGAAGGCCTCTCATATTCCTTTTTCCAGCAGCAGAATACGGTATAACCCTCAGAGGACCACCCAAGTTGATCAAGTACACGGCGAATGCGTATTCGTCTGGTCCCCAATCTTGCAAAGCGCACATCCGACTCAGGAACCCCGGTTGTCTATTATTAGGCACAGAGCCGCAGTCGACCAGGAATCGAACGAATTTGCAATTCTGAGTCATGTCCTCCGCGTTGACGAACTTAACGCGAAAGCTCTGCTTAGGTGAGTTGAGGACATCCAATGAAATGAGGTTAATAACATACATCCACAAGTGAAAAGCTACCTCCACGCTCTTCCAACATGTCCGAGGGTGTTACTTTCCTCGTAGAAAAGGCGATCTGAAACTCATGAATTAAATCATCCATGTCTCCATCAAAAATTGGGATCCGCAGTCGGTTCATTGTTGTCAGATCCGATAACTTGCTGCATGCCCAGCTATTATGGTCTAACACAGTATACATTTGTAAAACTGGTCCGATTGACAGGCCTCCGGCTCCAGTCGACAGCGAGAAAGAGAATTTGATAGTCCGACGAAGCCAGTGACTGTGGTATTGATAAGATCTTTCTACTGACTTCGCTGAGTATTTCCGCTTATTCCGATAAATCGATATTGGCCGAGTTTGACTGGCATGTATGTCGCATATGGCATTTTGGCTGACTGAAGCTCGTGAATGATGATGGACCAACAGCGCCTTCTTATCACAACGGTCACACAAGGATTGAAGCAACCCAGGTGCTGGTAAGTTCTTTGATGAAACGCTTAACATGGTGACATGCTGGGGTATAGTGTATCAGTCAACGAGCTCATCATTTAGGTAAGGAAAGTTACCATTTCTTCGATCAGTTGAACCATCTTTTCTTGCGTGGCTTGAGATTTCTGCGCCTGCTGGGCATTGAATCTGATACTATGTTAATATTTCCTTCATCTTTCTTCACATGCTACGTTACACTCACATAGCCAATGTCATTTGTATCGTCGATTGCATACTATCCAAATTGCCCCGAATATCCTGTAGACAGTCTTGCGTGACAACCGGGTAAGCAACTTTTTTAAGCTTGTTGCGGAATTTGTCGGTGGGTTTGTCAGAGAATACAGGCTTGATTAGCTTGAGTTTCTTCTCAAGCCTTTTTACCTGACTGTCGAGGCCCATCGCCTTTTCATTAATATCGGTCGCAATTTCAGGGTCGGTCAGTCGGGTGTCCTCGACCAGATCTCGGAGTCTCTTCAAAGGGATTTTAAGTGACTCGGCTTTGAGGCCGATGCTCTGGATATCTTCATCGTAGCCCTGCCAGGCCTTTGTACAGCAAGAGATCTCTTTACACAGCTGTATGCCCAGTGAAATAACACCGACGGCGCCAGCTGCGACCGAAAATGGATCAGACATGATATTCCCGTCGGGAATACTGACAAGGGATATGAATCTGAGGTCCTGAGCAACGAGAGAATCTAAAGGGAGTAGAAACGAAGTGCTAGGTAGTTCCGGAGAACGGAAATATGAGCACAGATGTGATCATAAGCAGACTCAGCCGCATTGCCCGGCGGGAGTGCTTGTGAGTTTCCGACGTGCAGGGATAGCGTGGCTCCAATTAGGGCAGCGGAGTAAGCGGGGCTGGCGGTTAACATCGTTGACCATTTCAACTCGCACCATACAAGGTGTGAAAATAGAAACGGTCCGATGGTCGATTTTATGTACTCAACCACGTGGGCGGCTTGTTGGTATGGGTCCCAAGACATCTTTGAATACACCACAACATATTGGAACGGCTAGGTGCGCACACTGTTACCTAGTAGAGCCTCAGAGAAATTAAATATACACAATGTGACTGCTGAAACATGATTCGGTACCAAAGACTCTACCCGGGTTCCTCTGTGTGGCCCCGATGGATGACCATTGCCATGGGAGAGGCAAATTCATCACGTTTGTATGTTGGAATCGATGACTCTTGAGGGTGTATATATTGGTTGGGGCCCCTCGCATGATACGCTATAACTACCCCATTAAGCCCTGGAGTATGCTTCAACTTTCTGTTTTTCAACTGATCTTTCTAGGTTGAGGCTACTCGCACGCCAACTTGCACTTTCGCACGACAGACTATTCTATTTTCGAAATGGATAACATGTACATCGAGCACCTAGATAACCTCAAAAATACCCACTAAGGCATATCAAGGATGTATGAACATACCAGGAATAAATCGATAGGCTTCGATGTAGCTCATTTTGACCACTGCTCGAATGGCAGGTGATAATGTCTTAGTAAAACCGTAGTCTTTGAGAATCTCGTTGATTAACTAGAGGCTTGTTAGTATGCTAGAATTGAGTAAGACGGCGAGAACAATGGTTACCTGGTCCTTTTTAGGCAGGGAAATGCTGCCCAAATCGATGTCGAGTCGATGGAGAAACAGTTGCTGAAGAGCTGCAGTGCTCACGATGGTGCCGATAATTTGTCCAACTTGCTGTGAAAGATAATATACCGCAGTGGCACTGGCCATTTGCCCCTCGGGAGAACAAATCGTCAAAGCAATGAATTGTGCTGACAGTAGCATTCCACTTCCCATTGCCCAGGGAAGGCAATAATGCACCTCAACCCCATGAATGCCATTTGCCCATCGCACCATCATGATGACCTGGGATATAATGCTTATAGAGATAGTAATGAGAGCCACTTTGCGATATTTGACAGTTCTGCCATGGTTAACATTGCAGGAGATTTTAGCTGACCCTTGTGCAAACTTACTTGCTGATAGCTCTTCCGGCTATTACAGATCCCAGAATCAGTCCAAGGCCAGAAATTCCAATCCGCATGGAAATGGCCGAGCTGGAAAGATGATCAACTAGGGACAAATAAGGTGACAGGTTGTTCAAAATCTACATTTTGTCAGTCAACTGATAAGCGTGGTGATCCTGACCGGCTCCCATCGATGTTGTTGGAAGCGAATAAGATATTGAAAGAGGATGGGCCACAGACGCAGAAACGAACTGAGCAGGAATGGCTGAAGACGCCGCGTGAATCATTCGGTCCGGGTGGCTGGGCTGAAATGGTTGGAGAGGAGAATGTCGAGTGCCACGTCATAGGCCATGCAGATCACGATTCAATGATGGATCCAGAAGTGGTATGTTTTTGTTTCTCGTACTTATTCCTTGATCATTAATGTCGGCTGCTTTCTAACTCTTGTAACAGGTTCAATTAACTGCGGATTTGATGCAAATCGCCATACAGAGATGGTTGTCTGTTTAACTACATTAGATCATGTCTTGCTCTTGACAGGCTTAATGCAGCCCGTGGTGAGTATAATGGATCTGAAGTCATGTATTTATATGGAAAGAAAGGACAACATGAACAAGGAGAAAAATGGCGATTTCAAAGCATAAATCTAGTCATTCAGCTTGTCGTCACAACTTCAACCTCTCTACTTCAATCTTGATCATGGTACCACACCTCTCTCGACTCGTCCGGCGTGTATTTTTACTTTTCTGACTTGATGAAACCATTTATTAAGTACGCTTTACGCCAGTCTTTCACTTTTTAGCAGTCATGGCAAGCTCGGTCGGTTACATGACCGCTAGTGGGGCAGGCCATTTTTTTGTCATCGGCGACTTGATTTATTGCCGAGAGACCTGCAATACAAAACTGCAAAATTTCCATGATTTTTTAGATCAACATATTAGCAATGCCAATTTTAGTACATCATCAATTGTGCCTTACCTCTTTTATGATCGAAAATCGCCAAAATGGCTTCCACTTCAGATCCCGAGTCCCAAAAACCCGAGCCACAACTTGACTCACCGCACGACTCAGAATCGGATTCGGAAATAAGCTCCAAGCCACAGCCGCCCACTGGGTACAACCTGCCACTATGGCGCAAGTGCCTCATTCTTTTTGTTGTCAGTTGGATGACTTTGGCAGTCACATTTTCAAGTACATCATTACTTCCTGCCACTCCAGAGATTGCCAGTGATTTTTCTACGACGACGGAAGTCCTTAATGTTATCAATGCGGGCGTTTTGATTGCGATGGGCTTTTCATCATTTATCTGGGGACCCATTACGGACTTGTTTGGCCGTCGAAGCGCATACAATGCCGCTATCATGGTGTTGTGCGCATGCTCGGCGGGCACAGCTGTGGCGATCAATCTACACATGTTTATTGCGATGCGTTTACTTTGTGGATTTACTGGGACATTCTTTATGGTCGCTGGTCAGACGATCATTGCGGACATTTTTGAGCCAGTCAGTCATTCCCTCAATATACTTCTTGGTGGGAGGGTTTCTGACGATACTCATGTTATAGGTCGTACGAGGGACAGCAGTGGGCTTCATGATGGTCGGTTCAGTCAGTGGTCCTGCAATCGGTACACATACATCCTCCTACTTCGCCCGTGTCGCTTCAGTACTAACTATATCAAGGACCATGTGTTGGCGGTGTCATTGTTACTTTCGCCCAGTGGCGTATAATCTACTGGCTCCAATTTGGTATGACTGCGCTCGGGCTTGTGCTATCTCTTCTGTTTGTTCCAAATATCCAGAAGAAACAGCAGCCTCTTCCAGCCCGAGGGCCTGTCAACCTTTCTCTAGTTCTGCGCATGTTCAACCCGTTGCGCATCTTTGGCCCATTCATCTACCCGAATGTCTTTCTTTGCGTAAGTGAAAACAACCAACTTTGGACCAGCCCCAGGACTGACTCCAGTAGCATTTCACATGCGGTTTACTAGCAACTTTCCAATATGCTATTCTCACCTCTGCGCGCTCCATCTTTAACCCTCGTTTCCACCTGACAACTCCGCTTGTCAGTGGCCTTTTCTACCTCTCCCCAGGAATAGGATTCCTCATTGGTAGTGTTATGGGTGGCAAGCTGTCCGATCGCGCGGTAAAGAGGTGGATTAAAAAGCGAAATGGCGTGCGCCTCCCTCAAGATAGGCTAAACAGTGGTCTAATCACACTATTCGCCGTGCTTCCGGCTTCGACATTGATCTATGCCTGGACGCTGCAGGAAGAAGTTGGAGGCATGGCTGTGCCTATCATCAGTGCTTTTACTGCGGGTATTGGGCTTCTGGGTACATTTAACGGGTTGAACACCTATTCAGCTGGTGAGTCATTGGATCTTTTTGAAGACAGCAGCTTGAAACCCTCTAATCTTTGTTCTAGAGGTCATGCCACACATTCGTTCCGAGGTGATCAGCGGAAAATACGTGGTCCAGTATATCTTTGCTGCAGCCGCAACGGCCGCCGTTGAGCCATTGATCAATTCTATTGGTGTTGGCTGGACATTTACTATTTGTAAGTCAATACTTGAGAGACAATAACTACAATGTGTGAGCTATCTAACACGTTGTTAGGTGTCGCTTTTGCGATTATTGGCGGGTTCTGTGTTTTAGCGATTACTCAATGGGGCATCGACATGCAGCGATGGGTGGAAGAAAAATTGGGCATTGACGCGAAGCCAGCGTAATGCCTTTGCATTTGCATTTGATATTTGCGACATGAAGAAAATTGCATATAGACATAGAAAGATAGACAATTACATAGAATAGAGATGGATGATGATACGAGATTAATGAACATCGGACTTTTCAAAATTGAAGCCATGCCTACTTCGACAGTTCTAAGAAACAACGGATTCAAGGTTCGCTACTACCTGGGCAAGGATGACCCTCTTCAAGGCTAACACGCCATACAAAGTACGATCGGACTCCTCGCCGACCGATTTGAGACTATGCTAAGTCGATGCTAGAAGTCTTTGCTGACACGCTCCACTTTGGGATCAAAGCGACATCTGATTGGCTAAAAGCGCATGCAACATCTCGGCCAAAGCAGCCGAGCTCGGCGATGTTCGCCGACTATCCAGAGTGACACACCAACCTCCTCCCATTTTCACACGGACCAATCCCAAAAGAAATGGACCAGACAGGATGGCACGAGGTATAGGGCTGAAACGGCACTCGCTATTTGCCGATGAGGAAGAAGAAAGTCCTCGACAACAGCGAAGGAAGTTTGTGGCGTGCGTACACGGTCCACTCCGATCATTCCCACAGCCTTGTGAGAGAATGCTGACTGACAAAACCTACAGATGCCAGCGATGCCACGCTCATAAAATCAAATGTTCCGGCGATCAGCCCTGTAGCAAATGCCGTGCAGTGGGTTGCGCCGACGAATGCGCGTATGCTTCTAGGGATCGCCAGGTCAAAGTTAGCGAGAAGTATGCCGGACTCCCCCTTGCCGAACTGGTTCTCGGTCGCTCAGGCAGGTTCTTTAAATAAGTTTGAAAACGCTAATACAACGACGATTCAGTTATCTTGATCAGCTCCTGGCGGAGAATCGGCGCTTAAAGGAGCAGTCGGTCACCTCGGCCGACGCCACCGAAGCGAGTGGCCCGCCACATGCGGAACGGTATATTGCTTGTGCGACGTTACAGAATACATAGAATGTTCTGCTAACAGTGTGAACAGGGCCCCTTCTCGGCCTGCGGATGCTACTGATGCCCCTGATGCTACCAGTAACCAGAATCCCATCATCGGTGATCGAGCATGGTTTCATCGATATGACCCCTCATCACCGCCTATCTACATCGGCGAAGCAGCATGCTCTGCCTTTGCGACTCGCTTTCGCCGTTTCTTAACCGGAAACAATGCGACTGCGCATATTACCCGAACACAATGGGAGCGAGAAGAAGTCATTGCCGCGGCGGCGAATGAAGCAAACGCCCAGTGGCCGAGTCTACATCACGCTCGGCTGCTAGTTCGAATCGCAATCAACCAGATCGGACACTTGTATCACCTAATGATGCGCAAGACCACTCTAGAGAAGCTGGAGGAAATCTATCAAACAGGAAATTTCGAATGTGTATCGAACAAGTGCAAATTCTTCGCACTGTTTGCCTTCGGTCAGGCTTACTCTGTTCGATCTGATCCTACCACCGGATCGCGTGTTCCAGGCACAGCATATTTTGCACGAGCTATGAGCTTGGTTCAGGTCCTACCAGAGCGCACTAGTATTACTCACCTTGAAACGTTGCTTTTGCTGGTAAGTTTCCTCTATCCTTGAGTATACCTTCGATAGCTAACAAGGCTAGTCCTTATTCTCATATTACCTTAATCGACGACACTCAGCATACGTGCTGATTGGAAATGCCATGCGCATGGGCCTAACAATTGGCTTGAATCATAATATCCCCGAATCCCAACTCATCGACCCCGTGGAACGCCAACACCGCATCGAGATCTGGTGGACAATTTACATCTTCGACCGCATGTGGGGATCAAAAATGGGTCTTCCCATGCAAATCCTCGACGAAGATATCCATGTCGACATGCCTACAACTATATCCCCCAGCTGGCGACATGAAGAAGAACTCTCCGACACAGACTATATGACAGCGAATATTAAGCTTGCCAAAATAGCGGGCGAGACAATCACCCGGTTGTATAGCAGACGCAAATACCAGGAGACATTTCTCCAGCGTGTGCAGAAACTTCTAAAAGCACTGAAGAATTGGGTCGATACCCTACCCGAAGGCCTACGGCTAAACATGGAAGATCTCGAATCCAGCAAGAAACCTGTCGTCTCTTTGCACATGGCATTTAATCAATGCGTCATCCTCACAACAAGACCTACACTGCTGCATCTCCTCATCACTCTTCGCAAAAACAACGGTTCAAGGCCCCTTGGAGAAAACATCCGAGATTCAGTCTCTCAGCCAGTCCTCACCCTCAGCGAAGCTTGTATCCACGCCGCGCGTCACTCGCACTCGATGATCCTAACGCGTTGGATCAACGGGACCTGTCCCTCGTTCGGCTACTTCCACGCGCACTACCTCTTCTCCTCCGCCCTAATCCTAGCAATGTCCAGCTTCGTGCCCATCGGCAATCCAAATGACATGAGTGGTTTCGACTCCGCCCTCGACGTACTACGTTCAATGTCCGAGAACGGAAATCTCGCTGCAGCTGAGTTCTACCATAACCTGGAGCAGGTGAAAGTCTGTCTGGACGCGTATCGCGGCGCAAGTCGACCTCAGAAAACCGATTCAGGACCTGAAATCAATGTAGACGTGACTCATTCACCTACTGCGGCGGCGCTGAGACCAATGTCTGGTTTGGCATCGACGCTGGCGCCGTCTTCTTCGGCACATCTGCCTGGAATTTTGTCTACTGCGTCAACGGCGCATGTTTTGCCTCCAGACGGCGATTTATTGGCTGGTCAGCCGTCCCATGGGCCTGATGCGTATATTCTGCCGGCGCGGGATACGATAAATGGGTATACGACGGAGATGGCGTTCTTGGAGCCGACGATGCAGGACTTCCTAGCTCAGTCGGATATTGATCTCGGCCTGTTACATCCGGTCGATACGTTCCTTAGCGAGGTGGAGAATCTTTATACGTGTCATGAGCTTTAGTAGTTTCTTATTTTCGCAACCATTCCGATGCAAATACAAGGATACCTCTCTTCTATCGCTATTTTGGATTACTTTCTAATACCGGAGTTATACAAACTTATCAGGAGTTGCCGGGGGCTGATCTAGGTGATCTTTGAATGTCGAGGGTACGGGTGACTTATGACTAGTGATATGCAATGGTTAAGCCTCGTGAGATTTATTAATGTTTATGATGCAGGTCCTGGACGTTAGTTTCGCTCCGCGCCGCGATTATAATTAGTTATGAGTGGTGGTACCAGGTAGTTAGAGAGGGTTAGCACAGATCCAGGAAAGAGGTCAGTAAGCATTGTTGTTGTTGCTCAAGGCAAGGGAGGGGTTGAGATATACGAATGTAGCAATCTAAGAGAAGACTGCTGAGGAATAAATAACAACCCATCACCAACATGAACAGACTCCCGATCTAGCGGGGATACCAAGTAGGACGATATGACCAAAATGGAGAGGTTTCAACCCGCACGAGCATCTCCTAGGCTGGCTGTGCCTAGACAGAAATTTTGAGGCTGACACGGATATGAAAGCCATCCGCGAGGGCCCGGGCTCGACCAGAGCCTAGAGACTGCGGTCAATTTTAATAGAGAACTTCTCGCCATGGCGAGTGAGGATGTCCATACAGACAAGCCAGGCTCGGTGCGAGGAGGAATCCTTGGTGGACATCTCGAGGAGCCATTGAGTAGCTTTCTGGATTTTTTTGACCAAGTTGGCGGCCTCGGAGCTCCCAGGTGTTGTACGGGCGAAAAGCTCAGTCATAAGGACGGTCGTTGATTGCATGATGTAGTGTAGGACACACCACCAGGGAGAGACTTCGTATAGCCACGTCGCGTCCGGCTCGGTGGGGAGCATATCGAGCATTTTGCATGCCATTTGCACACACATGGCTGCCATCGTACCACAAAGAGCTCCACCAGGACTCGTGGCGGGGGCTTGGTAGGCAAGATGACGAAGGCAGGGCTGGGAGATGACAAGTTTGGTATTGTAGAAGCGAAACCCAAGGTCGGCACGTTGACGAATAAAAGGATCGGTAGCGGTGGCGTCTAGCTTTGTGAAATGAAACTCTGCTGGGAGGCGGGAGAGCCACTTGTCAGCGTTCGTGTTGAGGTGAGAGATTGCAATCTCCATTTCCATCCAGGATCGCTTCGTTGCGCCAGGGGCGTACAAAGACCGAATAGCTTCTCTCATGAGAATATCCAGGTCCACTCCGTATAGAAAAGATAGAGAGATATTCGGCCTAATAGTATCATTCAGGTCCATCAATGTCTTTTCCGCTTCCTTTCCTTTCCGTGGGCTGGTTTTCGAGAAGTAGGCAGGGTCGGTCGAGGCTTCGCTGGCGGAAGGGGTGTCACCGGCGGAGGTCAACAGAGAATTCATCAAATTATTTCGGATGGACAAATTGTCAATAATTTGAACAATTCCTTGAACTCCAAAGTCCTCCTCGATATAGGGTATTGGCAATGGTGTCGTGCAAAAGGCCACGTCGGTGCTGGGCGGGCGGCCGGTCCTCACGCAAAGCACCGTATCCAACATGAACAGTGCCCACCACACACGGTATCGAGTCTCTTTCGAGACTTGTGCAACACTTCCAGTCTCGCTACGGAGGTTCAGCCCCATTGCCACCGCAGATTGAATCGCAATTCCAATACTTCGCCATGATCTAGTAAGGGGGAAAACGTTCGACGGATTAGACACCGCGCCTAGAAAACCAAAACATCAACGCCGGGGAATCAATGGGGTAACTACTTACCGGTTGACTTGACCAGTAGAAAGGAGATAGAAGGCAGTCAAGCCTTCTACTTGCACTTGCTGCAGGTTCGGATGATCCAACAGCGCGACATTATCCATGCTCAGGCGCCAGGCCCTTGCAAAATAAGACAGGTGGTCATCGCCGTCTCCTTCAAGGCCATCACCAACGAGTACGGTGTACCTTGCTGAAATTGCAAACACAAGGTTGAGCACAGCAATCCATCTCTTCCCAGGTCGCACGTTCGGGTTTGTGTAGAAGGATCTGTATTGACCTAGGAAGACCCCTTTCCCAATAATAGGGAACGCAGGGTGGACGGTTTGAAAATAGATGTCCACAAGATGGTCAGCAATAGGTTGAGGGGGTCGTTTCGATAGTTCAACGTGATCGAGGCTGGAAATGTCGGCGTCGTCCTGGAAGTAGTTCAGGGATGAGATGGAAACGGTTACTCGATCGGGGGTCTCGCCGACCGGTGTTGAGGTTTCGCAGTCGAGGTCGCGCTTGAGTTTGTATAGCCATGCCAGTTCCGAGTGCTCACCCACAAAACCCATCGCTCGAGCTTTCTCATCGCGGTTGAAGTCCTCTGCGGTGTGATCTGTAATACCCAAGGGATAGCTCGAGGCTTCCCCATCAGAAAAGGATATAGAAGGGCTCTGCAGGTTGGCATGGTTAGATTGTGTGCGATTGTTGGTTTCATTTATTTATTGAGAGAAATATGGTGGAAGGGAAATGTTGATGAAGAAATGGGTAGGGCATGGGAGAAGCCGTTAGTTAGTTTAGATCTCACCCTGACTAATTGGCGGCCGAGGGTCTGATCAACGTGTTGGGCCAACGAGGCCTCGAGTCTCGGGTACAAATCTCGCAACAAAGCCTCGTAGGTATTAATCTGGGCAGTAAACTCATCCAACTGCCTATATTCCAGTTAGAGCCCGCTAGAAAGGTTTCTTCAATACGTAGCCTACGCACTTGAGCATCTTCTCGCGCTTCCGGTCGCCGTAGGAACATGGTACCCCAGCATCCTGACACCGTTGGCAGGACGGACGATGGCCACTACATTTGGCTTTCTGGTCACGACAGTTCTCGCAGGCACGACCGACACGGCCACTGCTGGTATAGTTGATAGGACGTGTCGTTCGAGGGATAGGGACTTTTGGGTTCAGGGTGGAGGTTGGACTGGGCTCTGGGGGATCTTGGCGACTAGAGAACAGCTCGTTATAAGGTGAGAGTCCGAATGGGATAATGGGCTGGGTATACCCAGGGATCGGTCCGACTTGCTCAAGAGGAGCCGCCTCGTTCCCCGCGGCGTCCGGTGCATATTCAGGATACAACGGGCGAGGGGGAAGTTCTCACTCATCGTGTTGCGATTCGTGTTTCGCGGTTGCAGCGAGTTTAGTGGGAGGTGGTACACAAGACGTGCCTTTTGAGCTTAGCGGCTTTGCGGAAATAACCCTAGAGAGGGGCTCTGGGCGAGGCCTCAGCCTCTAGAGCAGGGAGCAGAGAAGCAGGATTTTTTTTTTCTTTCTCTCTCTGAGATTCTCCGCGCTGCCCGATTTTGCGAAAAGCAAAGGTACCACGCAAGGGTATCGTGAGACGAGACGAGACCCGGAAAGTGGGTGGGGCCCGCGGCCACGAAGAGCTGTGGTATGCTGGATGTCAGTGCCGTGTGCTTTTGCCACTAAATCCCGGGCCGCCAGAACCCAACAATCTTCTTCAAAAGCGCCACATTGGGGTTTTGTAGCCGATATGAACAACCAGCCAGCAAAAAATAGTCTCTAGCTGTGCAACGTGCATGCTAGAGAATTTCTTGGGTCTCGTGTGTCTTCAAAGTTCCGACCAATGAAACAGCAGGGAGTGGCTGCTATAGCTTGGTCGGGAAATTCAAGGCCTCTTCAGACGGAGGCCCAGCCACGATCGTGGGCATTGTTCAACAGACTTTTTAACCCCATAGGTTCAATGAGTTTAAATTTCATCGTACCGATCGGAGTGTCTGTGAATTCAATGACCTGTAGACATTTTGTTAATCCTATTGTCCCTGGTTTTTGTAGCTCGAGAGACACGCGAACATGGACGAAGACACACCAGTCACTCACGAGACAGATACTGTCAAGGTCAATCCATCTCATATGACCCACAGAAGCTTGCGATTGCGTTCCTGTAGTTATGTCGCTTGTCCTCGACTGTATTTTCCTTGAATTTGTTCCACTGGCTTTGGCGAGTCGTAAGGCGTTGCCATCCAGTCGTAATTTCCGAGGAGCAAAGGCAAGCTCCATGGCCAAAGGGCAGTCCATCTGCTTTAGCATGTAGTTCTGATGGGGGTAGAGCCGCGCTGGTGCTTTCTCCCTTGGATGAATTTGGCCATTCCGAAAAAGGGTCCCCCGAAGTGGTGGTTTTGTCATCCTGAATCTCTGCGGATGTAACTTTTAGCACATACCACGCCCCTACCCACCAACCATCTCCAGGTTCAATCTTCAACTCTGTCTTGCATGGTCGAAACTGTCTCTTTTCTCATCTTTCGCTTATCGCAACGACCCGTTAGCACAACTCGCCCGACATTCGCATCATGACGAAAGTGAAAACGCCGACTTGATGCACAACATACTCGGGAACGAGCAGACATCGAACCACCACACAACCAGGGCACCAGGGCCATTGGGAGATCTAGCCGGGAGATCTATCGGATTCATTGAGATTAAATTGCTTCAACAGGCAAACAATGGTGGAGGCACGACCATTGAGAATTGCAAGCAAGTCATCTTCTGGGCTCGGGTTGAGACAAGATGCCAAGCTCGAGACACGTCAACGCTGTGGCAGTCGACAACGCTCAGCTGGTGACATGAATAACTGTACTTGAACAACACTGATCATACTGAGATCCGGTGAGACTCTCCAGGGCGAATCTGTATGTCTGGCCGGAGTAGACCATCGCCTCGACGCGTGGAATTCAGGTTCACCGCGGCTCAGCGGGAGCTCCTCACAATAGCAGGTCCTCACTTCGAGGTCGATGAGTCCATCTAACAGAATCTCGCAGGTATAGGAAACGTTCCCCTCTCGATATTCCCTGCGAAATCAATGACGACTCGCTGCATGATGTGAATGCCCGCGGGCGCGACACAGACCGTATCGGACGAGCTTGAATGCTTCAAATAGCCAACCCACATCTCCATCAATCACAATATCCGGAAGCTCATTCAAAAATTACCACGAAATACTTCGACAGGCCTCATATCCCCAAAGGCAAGCCCAATAAGCCCTGTCTGGTGATAGGCAGCACATCCTCAGTTCCACGAAACGCCGCACCGACCGAATCCCGCACAAGCCGAATACACGATTGCAAGAGGCCTTCACGACTTCAACCTGCCTGCCATACACAATCTCTCGATGGGCTCTTGGGCCGGGTTTCTAGTAGTGATGATTGTCCTTCGATGCCGAGAGCTGGAAGATGAAAGCCTCAGGTATCTCCACTCGGAGCAGATTCATAATGATTCCCACGGTGTAGGGGCTTCAATCATTAAGCTGGAGTAATCTACCTTTGCAACGATGAGCCTTCTTCGACATATCTGTCACAGTGCCTGAATTTCAATGTTGATGAGGTGGCACCCTCAACTCTTGGAGATTGGCCCCGGGAGACGCTGGTATTTCATTGACACAGCCCACGGAAGGAACGTCTCAACGATCCCGCCAGCAGTCTGCATGGCAAGAAATCTCAGAGGGGGTGAGACTCAGGCCTTGGTCAATTTGGTCAATTTGGGATAACAAGGATTGTCGAACGGTTGCCATTGGGCATTTTGTGCCAGTGTTGGCGTTTCCTCTCGGATCAGAATCAGCTGTCTTCTTGACTCCCAGGATACTCGGTCAGAAAACCTCCAGACGGAGTGCATTTCCTCTCGGTCGTGGATCCTATCCGGGTGTCACAACCGCCCAAATCTCGTGCTGGTAGATGATCCAACCCAAGATCATTGGCGGTTGGCCCTAGATATTGAAAACTGAATGCCGTTCGGTCTGACAGAATCATTTGGTCGATCCTCGTGGTCGTATGCGGCGTTTTCTACTTTGGAGCGCATCACGCCGCACGATGCTGGGATTTTGTGAATAATCCAGGTCTTTCGTTCGGGGGATGGCTGCTCTTGGGCAAGGCAGCACGGAACGAAGACCGGCTTCATGCATGGCCCATCGGCTGTCTTTGTGCCAGGATTTTTAAGCCTCACAAATTGAGACGAAAGCGGTAGTGCATACAAGAGCATTATTCTTCGGTATCCGTCGCGACGGCCTCGTTGTTGATCTCAGATGGTGGCGGCTTTGCTTCCTCGAGAATTAGACCTGAACAACGCGATGTTTGGTGCTAATACTGAAGGCAGAAAACCAAGTTTCAAACTGACCCTGGTATCACGACCCCGGAAAGGCCCCGTGATAATGTGGTTGTCACCCTCGCGGTGGCGCCGCTCGATGACGTCGTCTCTCGGTGTCTTCAAAGCCTTCAACATCAAAGGTAATGGAATGCTTAGTAACTCACTTTTGAAGCATTTGTTGGAAGAGAAAGCGTGCGAAAGACCCTTGGTTGTGTCTCGCGTTCTGGTCATCGCGAACGGGTTGGCTCGTGCCGTGCCGTCGCCATGACGTCGCTAGCCTCGCCCAAGGCCTTGCCTGCACGTTTGAATCCGCACCTGGGGACAAAAGACACTTCCAGCTGCATCATTCCCACGGACTCAGATTCGCCAAATCCCGTCGCCAGGTGCCCTTGTTGCTGCAGACTCGAGTGTCAAGCCTTTTGCCAAGGCGCTGTCAATCTCAGTGCGACCGGGTGGATCCATGGACAGCTTGCATAGCTTCCGGGCTGCCATGCGAAGACGCTATAGAAGGTACCGAAGACTGACTAGCAGTACTCATCTGAAGATGTCCTGTACACCAGGTGTCAGGAACGACAATGGCGCCATGCAGTGCCAGGACCAGAATCCACGACCCAAGGATGTAGTGAACAGAACTACTCCATACCGCCGGAGATTAACTCCGCAGGAGCATTGTGGCGGCTCAAGGGCCCCATCAGACTTTCCACATACCGTGACGCTTGGGCTGCGCCTCCAGGAAATTTGCCGATCGTTCTTGGGAAGCTCCGGAAGACATGGGCAGACCGACCTGAAGGGTCCTCCGGATGCGTCGACCGTTTGCTGTCGTAGTGAATAGCCACCGCGAGAGCTTACCACGGTGCACCTGAACCACAGTGCTTCTTCTCCACAATTTGGCGGGAAGGGGGAATCCTTCACTTGTGGAAAAGCAGGGTAATTACCATGAACCGATGTCCTCCGAGTGGGCGAAGCAGAATCGTTCGTTCCATGGTCTTAAGCTGGAGCTTTGAGAAGACGGGCATTTGTGCCTGGAAACTGACCTGAATTTGGTCAGACTCGAGGTGTGTTGGGTGTTGGCTGTGCAACAATTCCCGTGTGCTCAAGCGCATGGGAACTTGGATCTGAGCTCTGATGACAACACACCAGGTGACTTGCTTAGACTCGTCACTGACTATTTATTTGACGCGAAGTCATGCCCGGTTCGTTTCGCAATATTCGACAATTCTTGATTAACTCTTCATTTCGCCAGTCTTGTTTCGCCGACTATTCAAGTGTTGCAACTGCCCTGCCAAGGCCGCCGAGGGTTTTCATATCCTACGCATCTCGTGAAGATTGTTCCAATTCCTTGTTTTTTCCCACTTGTTATGTATCTGCTGTAAGTTGTGTTAATCTTTTGTGCCAGGTCTAATGGGTATGATTGCCCTAAAACCTCCGTTACCAACTTACTGGCCCTTTCCCCCACACGCTAGGGTAAGCCACATTGGACAATCTCCTTTTGCCGACCGAAGTGGGCTGGAAAACACCGGGGATTATTTCCGAGCAAAAGTCTCCAGTATTTAACCGCAGCAGCATTGCTTATTCATCGCTACTTGAACAGGCATTACAGTATTGACATAGGAATAACACTTTGAGGTTTCGATCACAACAGATCTTGAAACTCCAGTACCTATTGATTCAATCCTATCAGCCTGATGTGTGACTTTTTACCCCTAGTCAGTATTTTCATGAATTGGGGAAAACTGTTGCAACCACACAGGCTTGTGCTAACTAGTCTTCTCTAATACCAATTCCATGAGAGTGAACTGGTCTGTCCATACATTCAATGGCTCAATACAAGATTTATCCAAGCCTGCATAATTAGCATTTTCTGCCTAACTAGTTGGTCCTGGATATAGCTTCAGTAGAGAAACTGGCTAGACCTGAGGCTCCAATCCAAATGATCAAGTAAGAGTATGGCAATCTCAACATCTCCGTACTTAAAAAATTTTTTTTCCGTATTTAAGAAAATCATCAGTCCCATCTCATCTGCCACTTGCAACAATCCTAGACTTAAGGCCTAATTTAGCCATGCAAGGTTTCCTACTGGAAAGTTCGTAGTGTTGTGTTGAGTATTGAGCAGTTTGACTGGAACTCATTACATCCATCGAATAGGCCTATTCCTACCTACCTGGCTGTTCGTTTCGAATAATTATGGTAACAAAGACATATTTTACCCTTTCTTGGCTTTCTTCAGTTGCTTAGATATTGGTGCGTAGGTCAATAACGGTGCGGCCATGTTCGAGAAGCTGGTCTCAGGATGCGCCAGTAGCTGCTCCTGGGTAGGTCAATGGGCAGCCAGCAGGCCAATTCGACGACCAAGGGACAAATTTAAAACTCAAATCATGATGTAGGAGCTAAAATATCGATCAACTACCTACCTCATACCCAAATTTTCCATCGTTGGAGTGGCACTACCACTACGCATGTCTAGATTTGATACGACGAAGGCCTCAACCTACTATACCTGTATATATCTTAGCAGATCTACACATAGTTGGGGGTGCCTCCTCATTAAGTAGATCTTGCCGAATTTTCAAAATCAGAAAGCTTAATGAAGATCCCAGAAGCTTAAATCACAACTCAGTAATTTATCATGTCCTACAAAGTGATATCTTGCAAAAATTTTGTTGTTAATGTGTCGACTGTCATAGATTGTATAGATCGACACCTGAGGCGACGAAATAATAACGTGACACCACGTGATGCACCGTATCTTATCGGTGCTCTCTTCGGATCCACATGATGCCCCCGATGTCGAAGCCGGCCGAAACAATCCCCAAACTCTCAAAGGAGCTCCCAATTCGCCTTCGGCGATGCAGTGAAGCTGAAAGATGTCTCTGCGTGGGCCCATGCGGCGGTCCCACTTGCGGCAGGTGAGCGCCGCAAGCTTGGAGACCCTTTCAACGGCCCACTCAATGGAAGCATCGCATCGCGACCACGGCCCCACGCCGGACGAACGCATTGTCCGGATGTCTACCAGCTTGGCCCGGCGGCAATGCACACTATGGGTTCACGATGAGATGTTCTCTCGGGAGGAACTCCTGCTCAATCCCTCGGCATTAGGCGAAAGCGGAGTTCAAGTCGGCGATATTGTGGAGATTCTGCCTGTTCGCGCGTCCGGGGATCCCATCCACTCGAGCTTGAAGCCGGATGCCGCTGTGAAGACAGCTCGCGATACCCATAGCGATTTGAAACCGGCGGCCAAGAACGACAGCACTTCCAAATTCAAGACACCCCTCCAAAGCCGGTGTTTATTCGTGGTCAAGCCGCTGCCGCAAGACATCAAGACCCGACATCCCAAATTGGAGATTTCCGTGACGAGTAGTGTGGCCAATATTTTTGGCTTCAAGAATCGGACTCAAGTTCATCTCTCAATTGTGGATCGGAAGAGTTGCGCCGCATCGCATGTGGATATCGCATTTCGCGATCAATACATAGTTCGTTCTGACATGTGGCGACTGGTTGAATCCGAGCTTGTGGACAAGATTGTCTACAAGGGACAAAAGATCATGTTCATGGGTAGTATCAAAGCGACCATCAAGAACATTTTTATCCGAGAAAAGAAGGTCCTCTCTGGCTACTTTGCGCCCAACACCATTCCCGTCTTTCGCAGCGAGTCGGCGAAGTACGTCTTGTTCATTCAAATGTCTCGAGAGATGTGGGACTTTGACTCTGAGGGATCTGGAGATATTCTATTCAGCCGAGTCATCAACGGTTTCCTACCAGAGCTCTTCAAACGATGGGCTAACTCCGATGCCAAGCATTTGGTCACTATCGTGCTGTTTACTCGCGTCGAGTACGATGCATCTGCTCATCCTGGCCTATCCAAACTCAACAGCGGAAACTTGAAAAATACTTCTGGTCCAAATCAAGTTCCGACTCGGGACTTTTACCGCGTTGTGGTGAATGACATGGCAAGCGGCCACTGGACGACCATTCTGGATGAGCTGAAGAAGAACTTTCGAACATTCCTCAGAGACGTATCCATCTTGAAAACAGATGACTTGGAGGTTGCAGCTGGAAGTGGTATCAAGTTCTCAGCAAAGCCCTCCACCGCGACCATCGCGGGCCGTCCGAGTACAGCTCTGCGAGGCAACATTCTAGAGGCTATCCACCTCGCTTCCGCCCACTTGGCTTACGACCATATTGATCGAGACATGGTGCACACAGGCACCTCAATCATTGTCATCACACCCGGCAGTGGTGTGTTCGAAGTATCTTACGACTCCCTTGCCTCCACGACAGAAGCCTTAGCCAATCGCGGCATAGCTATTGATCTCGTCTGCCTGAGCCCCATGCCTCTTCACTCGGTTCCTCTCTTTAAATATCGCGAGCCGGTAGAACGGCATTCTAGCTCATTGCCATCAACCAGCGAGATTCCCAGAAACAACATGTCACCGGAAATACACCATTCTATCTCCAGCTTGGTCAGCAGATCATCCTACCTGTCTCCCGGATCATATCTTTCTGCTTCTCGCATGCGAGAGCGAGGTAATCTTCGGTCCAAAGACTGGAGTTATGGAATTCCTCATTGGCTTGACATCTCCTACTGGAATCCTGAAACTTATCGAGAAGCTCGAAGAATACTGAAGAACGATCCCAATGCACCCATTCCATTTACAGTCACTCGGCCGGCCAAAGCCTTCACTCCGAGAGTGCGCATGTACGAAATTCAAATGATGGGTGTCATGGAAAGCGAACAGTCGAACATTTCGATTCCATATCTACTTGAAGGACTTGACATGCCTAGGCGTCGCGGATCCTGGGTCGGGACCAACCCTGCTCGTGCTCCTCCGAGAGCACGCTTTGCGAATTCCTCGTCTCTAAAAGCCCAGTACAGTGACAGCCTGCGGCCAGAAACATCGTCATTCCTGGAGAATGTAACAGATCCAAGTGAGCTGCAAATCAAGGGCTTGCAGAAATCACGCAAATCCGTAATGGCTTGGATGGATCAGTACGATGAGAATGTTTTCTCAGCAACACCAAAACGACGTCAACCCCAGAGACCTAAAAGTAAGCGCCTTAGTGAGCCCGAAGTCCAAGTTGCCGGAATACATGAACGGATATCAGCGCGATCTATCTCGCGTCTACGCGAGCATGAATCGAACGCAAACGAGAAAGATCAAATCATCCGAGCAAGTGGCCCTCGAAGGCTCGATGCGTCATCTGTCACCACCCCAAAGAGTCCTGTTTCTACAAAGAGCCCATCGCCGACCAAGCCGGCGTTGAAGACCCCGACAGCCACACGACCCGCCTCCAGAATTTCCCGAACAATCAGCTTTGCGCTTCGTGGTCTGATTGCCACCCCGCCAAGAGCTCAAGCAAGTACAGGAGTCCATGTAGAGCATGCCAACGCAGGGCCCATGTCCAACCAAAGAGGGCCTAGCAGCACATTCTCTGATACCAGAAGTATTACGTCCCTAAGCCCTTCGGAGACCGCCTCGATCCCCACTATTGTCGATGTATCATCACGGCCATCTACGCCTCCAAAGCTCCATCAAGAGCCCCGGCCAACCCCCTCCAAGCCTATTTCTATCAAGCCTCCGGCGAAGAAGCCTTCAGAGGTTACGGAACAGTCAGATCGTGGAGAAACACAGGGTTCGTTGTCAAGATCGGCTGCCGAAGTTCAATTCAACGACGATGTTCGCGAAGAAGGCCCAATTCGGTCTCATGACCACAGAATTGAGATCACTGTCAATCACAGCTCTCGCGATGGGTCGATACGGGCCTCGCCAAGCAAAGCTTTGTCTCCCTGGGTACGATCTGTCAACCCATGCAATACCCCCAAGGACGTGCTACGCGACACGAGCTGGTTTGGTCGCTGGCAACATGCTTATCCTCGTCCTCCGCACGTCGCTGTCGTCAAGTGGAAAAGTTTGAAGTCCCCAGCAGTCTTGCCGTTGACCACTGAGGAGTTTCCCACAGCCACTGAACTTGCCTCTGATTATTTGCAAACACCCTATCGCGTCTTTCCTAACGACGACGCGGATGTCTTTGAGTCCCCTAAGACCCGTGGTGTGTTATTACGAGAAATGATCGCGCTTCGACTTTCTCATGGCTTCCAAATCATCGTCGGCAAGAACGTGGCTGAGGTATCCGCACGACCTGCTCTTGAGTTTTTGAATGTCTTCGACACGCGAGGCCTAGAACGCGATGGAGAGACCGTCTTCCTGTCAAAAGGAAATGCAATCCACCGTCTGATCTGCATAGATGGTGGGGAGATAGAGGTAACACGCTTTACACATCAAGCAACCGCGTCACTCGCATTCCCCAAGCGGGCAAACTTCACGCTGTATCAACCCGCCATGAGGACTATTTTGAGGCCAGAGTATGAGATTAAAGACATCAAGCTAGACCCGACCGCGGAGGAATACAACTGGAATTATGCCGACAATTACGTGGCTGGCCATCGTGATTACCTCCATAATCCGGCACAGCAGCTCCACTTCTGGCGAGTTCGCTATGTCCTGATCCCAATGCATCTGCACACGAATTCCCGACGCCATCTGCAATCTTTCAATGACGATAACGAGGAGGAAATCCACCTACTTGGAATCAGCCACCTCACCCACATCTGGCAGCGACACAAGTACGTGTCTGCCGAGGAGAAGCGGTTTGAAATTTCGACCAAGAAGAGGGATGCGAACCCACTCAACATCATGTATCAAACTCGAAACCCATCTGAAGTGGTTGCTGCCGAGCTAGATCGGCTGTTGCTCACCGACCCGGGACTCGACAACCCGCCGGCTCAGCTTCTTCCCGAGTCGGAGCTACTGGAGCGATCCAGTATCAACTTGTCTAGCTTTGCGCAGATCATCCAGGGTGATAAGGGCGTGCGAATGATGGATAGAAGGTGGCATTGGCGGCTGCATTACAACTGCTTCATTGGCTTCGAGTTTACAACTTGGTTGCTGCAGAACTTCCGGGACATCGATACCCGCGAAGAAGCGGTTGGATTTGGCAATGAGTTGATGAAGCACGGCCTGTTCCAGCACGTGGAGAAGCGACACAATTTCCGCGATGGCAACTATTTCTACCAGATCTCTGCCGAGTATCGCGTGACGCGCCCGGAATCTCGAGGTGGATGGTTCCCTCAACTCCGAGCCGACAAGTCGATGCCATCGACGCCTGCAATTGGAAATGTGATCGACTCTCCGTCTAGTTTCCACACTCGTTCGGACAGCACCGACGACAAGGTGCCGCCAACGCCAAATACTCCGTCCAAGTTCAAGAACAAAGTTGCCATCATGCTGTCTAAGTCGCTCAAATACGACGTTGACAGTCGGAAACGATCGAATCGCCCAGAAGTCATTGATCTCCATTATGATCGGCTGCACAATCCCGAAAATTGCTTCCATATTGAGCTCAGCTGGATGAACACCACGCCGAAGCTGATTGAAGATACTGTCCACTCATGGGCTTCAACTGCCGAGAAATTCGGTCTCAAATTGGTCCAAGTACCAATTGCGGAAGGATGCGCCATTGACAGGACCCAACCCTTCCGCAAGCCATACGAAATCCGGCTGAAGGTTCCTCCTCCCAAGGGCCCCGTTCATACCGTCTTCAACAATGCATCATTCGCACAGCCGGGACCACCGGACAACCTGTATTACCAAAAGGCCCTCCTGCGAAAGTTTGACTTTGTCTTGGACTTTGAAGCATGCACAGCATTCCCTGCGGACGTGGAGGTCTCATATTCATGGGGCAAGCTAGACTACAAGTATCCGCAGTTCATCCACCGGAATGGCAGCATTATCGTCCAAATCACCGACGAGGGTCATTTCTTGCTGCTTGCGAACCGACTCGTGAGCACGCGCAGCGCAGCCAGCCGAGATGCAGGCCGCTACGAGCATCACAATCGGGCGGATTACCGCGGGCGCACTGCAACGCACGATCCTCTCGATCGCATCTCACCACGCCTGTCGCCGCTCACCCGGCCACTCCATGAAATCGGCAGTCCCCTCCCACAGCCCGGGTCAAAGGACATCGACTCTGCGAATCTCTATCGGGCTCCCGAGATCATCCTTAACGCCTTGGAGGAATTTTGCAAGGATGCCGCGCAGCTACAGCAATTCTACAGCGAGTCACACGTCCGCCCGGTCTCGACCAAGGTCGAGCCCACTACAGCACATCTCATGGACACGTCCATCCCGTCTCTGGAGCTCCCTGCCAGCGTGGTCAGTCACCACATCTCGCCTCCTCCCGGCTTGCCGTCGCGAGTCACCCGAGAATCGCGAGATAATCGGGATGGGCTGAAGTCGCCGGAGATGACAAGGGCTCGCGCTCGGGGCGAAAGTCTTAGCCTGATGGGCAGTCCGAGGAGTGGGAGTCTGCGTCCTCTGATTTGAAGGGTTTAACGCGGTGGCGTCTCGGAGATCATGCTGAATCGAAGCTTGGAAGAGGCCCCCGTATACCCCTTTTGTCATAGTAGGGTAGCTTAGTTGTTTATACTCCATGTACTGTGATAGTTAATTTGAAAGGATATGATATGCCATCTACTATACTGTATGCTCCTACGACACATTGGAATGCAATGTTCATTTGCGGTATCTTTGAAGAGCTGCATATTAATCGTTAACAGTAATCAACGAACAACTTATCAATCCACTCTATCATAAAACCCATCCTCAATTCTTCCAACTTACCGACTGTCCTCCTACTAATTCTCCCTCTCAGAATCGCTTAAATTTAGACCGAAACACCCCGCCAAGCACAACTCAACACGAGGCAAATTAGCCGAATCTCCCTGAATTCAACCGCAATCGACATCTCCACGCTGGTTGGTGGACCAACCCTGGTCAATCTGCATTTCCCCCAGCTATCATAGTATCCACTGCCTACATACTCCACGCAGTTCCCCGACAAATTGTGGATTGCCCCGCTACAACCAGTAGAACAACGCAGCGGACTCGTGTTAAGCTACACATCATCTGACCATGTCGGACTGGCTTCCGTGTCGAATGGGGGAATCCGAAATGGCAGACATGCCTTGAAAATAGAGCTATAGTCTGCTGTATTCCCCCTCATTCTCGCTCTTTTCTTTAGTTTACTGGTCTCTTGTTTTGTGAGCTAGAGTCCTTTGGGGAAAGTAGTAACTTGGAGCTACGAGTGCGGGGATACGGATACCTGCGATACAACCAACATTTTAAGAGACAATTACGTGCTGGCAACAGCTGTTGAGCCAGGATGAAGTTTACAGAGGGAATGTGGTGCCTTCGTGTACGTCCAAGGCAATTGCTAGCTTTTTGTTTGATTTAAAGAAAGAACTGACTTTTGGACTTGTAGGAAGGCGTCCGGATTGAGTGGATGAGCAACATTGAGCGACTTCGTACCGAGAACGAGACGGTTCATCTTCTGCTGAACAAGCTCCAGAGACATCGTGGAGACACATTGAACTCACGTATGTTCTTGTGGCCATTATACGTCTCCCAGGCTTCAAGAGAATGCTGATCAGTTTGTAGCCACCATCTCGGCACAAGTCACCTCGCCACAGGAAGGAATCATTGGCGTGAAGCTCGTCCACTGGTAATACCTCCTTCGTACTAGCAGTATAGCTGAGCAAAACTGACTCCCAAACAGGGCAGGACAAGTCGACAATGGCCCACACTACCATCTTAACACTGCCTCCGGCCACAGCAGCATAACCCACGATAAAGAAGCCAACAAGCTCAACTACACCAGCGGCCCCCTAGCCCTGGACATCAACACCGCAGCCAACGAACTCGACTTCATCTTTCGCGCTCCAAGCGGCAAGAAAATCACCGGTCACTCTTGGCGCTCAATCGGCTACGTCGCAGACCAACGCACCGAGAAGCACCGCTACGAAGACGGAATCTACGCCGAAAAGCAGGGCTACATGCTCGCCGCGCTCGATCTAGGCGTTGGCGAGAAAGTCTACGGCCTGGGCGAGCGGTTCGGCCCCTTCGTTAAGAACGGACAGACGGTCGATATGTGGAACGAGGACGGCGGTACCAGCTCTGAGCTCGCGTACAAGAATATTCCGTTCTATATGTCTTCGAAGGGTTATGGAGTGTTTGTCAATCATCCTGGAAAGATTAGTCTGGAGGTTCAGTCTGAGCGGACTACGCGAGTGAATATCTCCGTTCCTGGTGAGGAGATTGAGTATTTCATTGTTTATGGGGACTCGCCTAAGGATGTCCTAAGGAGATATACGACTCTTACGGGTCGGCCGGGTCTGGTTCCATCTTGGAGTTATAATCTCTGGTTGACGACTAGCTTTACGACCAACTATGACGAGCAGACGGTTACTGGATTCCTGGATGGGTTTAAGGACCGCGATATCCCGCTGGGTGTTTTCCATTTCGACTGCTTCTGGATGAAGTCGTACCAATGGTGCGATTTCCAATTCGACGAGGAGATGTTCCCCGACGCTATCGGGTATCTCAAACGCTTGAAGGAACGTGGTTTACGTATTAGTGTTTGGATCAATCCCTATGTCGGACAAGCATCGCCTTTATTCGAAGAAGGCAAGAAGAACGGATACTTTATCAAGGTCAGCCACACACCTCCTCACCAACCTATACAGTCCACAATCTAACCTACTTCCAGCGCACCGACGGCTCCGTCTGGCAATGGGACTTCTGGCAAGCCGGCATGGCCGTCGTCGACTTCACCAACCCATCCGCCTGCAGCTGGTACAGCAACCACCTCGAACGGCTAATGTCAATGGGCGTCGACAGCTTCAAAACCGACTTCGCGGAACGCATCCCCGTAAAAGGAATCAAATACCACGACAACGCCGACCCCGAACGCATGCACAACTACTACGCCCTCCTCTACAACAAGATCGTCTACGAAACGCTCAGCAACCGCGTCGGACCTAACCAAGGCCTCCTCTTCGCCCGCAGCACCGCACCGGGCGGCCAAGCATACCCCGTGCACTGGGGCGGTGATTGTGAGAGCACATTCGAGGCCATGGCCGAGTCACTACGCGGCGGACTAAGCCTCATGCTTTGTGGGTATATCTTCTGGGCCTCCGACATTGGCGGCTTCGAAGGAACACCACCACCAGCACTGTACAAGCGATGGGTGCAATTCGGCCTGTTATCATCTCACTCCCGTCTGCACGGATCATCCTCGTTCCGAGTCCCCTGGATCTACGGCGAAGATTGCTCGGCCGTGCTACGTGATTGCGCGAAGCGCAAGATTCTTCTTACGCCGTATATCCTCGCGGAAGCACTACGCGGACACCGCGATGGAACGCCGCTGATGAGAGCGCTTTTCTTGGAGTTCCCTGGGGATTTGAACACGTATTCTATTGATACGCAGTATATGTTTGGATCGAACTTGTTGGTTGCGCCTGTGTTTTCTGAGGATGGCGAGGTTACCTTTTACGTGCCGAAGACTGAGGATGGGAGTGCTGGGAAGTGGGTGTCTTGGTTTGATCATTCGAAGTCGTATGAGGGTGGTCAGTGGTATACTGAGACTCATGACTTTGATACGTTGCCTATCTTGGTGCGTCCTGGTTCGGTGACTGTGGTGAATCCTAAGCTTAAGGCGCCGGAGGGTGATGCGTTGGAGGGGATTCAGTTGTTGGTTAATGGTCCTCTGCCTGCTGGGACTGTTGTTGAGGTTGTGAACCCAGGTCAGACAGATCAGGTCTTGAAGACGCTCCAACTGACTAGCACCCCTGATGGGAAGACTGTTGAAGTGGAAGGACATGAGGTGGAAGTGGTTTACATTGGACAGTAAATGAGAACACTATGTCTACTCGGGTGGACTAGGACTTTTGCATAGAAGACTAGACTTTTTTTTTTGAAAAACACAAATTGGAATGGTATTAAAACATCAAAGATGGACCTCTGAAAGTAATGAGTGAGGTATAGGTAGCCTCAACAGAAAGATGGGTATCATAATCAAACAGAAAACGCATATGCAAAGTAGCAGAAAAATGAACAAAACGCAATATGGGCCGTGGAAATGTGCTCCAACCGAACAAACTCTCACAGGAATGTAGAGAGTGGAAATGCCAAAGCTACTAAGCGAGGTCTCGGTGTGAATCACCAGCAGTCCTCAACCTCCAGCAGCCATCGCCGAATGCCTTGCCTCAGGGTGTTATCAGCACCCGCCAAAGCCCTTCTCCGCTCTCGATCAGCGGTTCCCAGCTCTCCGTCTACGTCCTCACGGCAATGCTCAGCGGTGACGGCCCGAACAACCTCCTCCAGGGCCCCGAGTAGCATCTTCCGACACTCTGCGCGTGGAACCTCAACGGGTGGGGGTTCTTCCCCCCGAGGAGTTGTTTGGCCCTTGTCCTCACCTCGTCTTGCGCGCGAGGGAGACGGGGCTCGTGAATGTGCGAGCGACGAGTAGCCACTATGGCCGAGGACTCGCTCCACCGCATCCACCAGAATCCCATCTAGGTCCATGACAGGCTCCTCAATGAACTTCTCTTCGACGTGATTCGGACCCTGTGCCTCGGGGAAGGCGCCATCGGGGAACCTGCCCTGGCCAGTGAAGAAACTGGTGAAAGGGGAAGCTGAGCTTGCGGCCCCGCCCGAGTTGCGAGAGCTGCCCGAGTAGGAAGCGTTGACAGGCGATGGAGGCGTATGACTCTGTCCATAGGGATCTCCCACGATAATCTTCCGTCTCAATCGAAGACGCTTGACCGTAGAAGTCCTGGTATCGGCGATCAACGTTGTCGCCACATCCACCCACCTCTCGGTGCCCTCGGCGTCAGGCGTCATCGGAGTATACGGGGTGGGCTCCGCCCGCATGGCTCGCTTGATATCAGCCTCGACAGCGGCATAAGGTCGGACCGCCTGGAGCGAGAAATCTTCATGGAAAGACTTGAGCCAGCCAGCAACATGAGTACTGGGGCCGTCAGCCTCCTTCGCAGCACTGTGGAATCCAGATCCACTACTATGAGTAGAGGCCATGGCATCCATGCTGGTGACCGACGTTCGAGTCTTTCTGGGAGAGGCAATTGTAGAGTCACCGGATGAAGAAAGGGACAAGAAACCAGGTAAGGGGAGATCAACATCGACCACACCTTCATCCGCACGGACCGAAAGTTTCAGGGGAGACTCGCGGATCTGACTAGTAAGGGACGATGGCTCAGGAGAATCATCCTCGGGGCTATTGGCAGTGGCTGGAATAGAGATATTACCACTCTGCGTAGCCTCCTGGCGATGTTCTGCTTCAGTCTCGGCCACTTCTTTCACCATCTGAGACAGAGTAGGCGGAGCACGAGGGGGTAAACCAGAGATTGTAGAAACAGATCGCTTGCGGGCTTCAGCCGGGGAGTAGTAATCAGGTCCATCGGTGGACGACTCCTGGCGGGAGCTCCAAAGTCCAGAGAAGATTCCACCCCACCGTCCTCCAGCAGCAGGTAGGCTGCCATTGCCACTCAAAACTGAACTGTCACTTCGTTGCAGGTTTTTCAGCAAGGTCTCCGATGCCAGGCTCTCATTGGTATCTGCTGCACTGCGACCAGATCCTCCCTGGCTGGAACGGGTTTGCTGCGATGTAAAATGCGGTACGGGAACCGTGCTACTCTGAGTGGTCATTGAGGTCGTGGCTCCACTGGTATTCTGTGCCCGAATGTCCTTTGGTTGGATGGTCGCACTCAATGTTTTGATCGAACGAGCATCTGATCCTCTGCGAGCCGTGGCCGTAGATGGTACAGGAGTAGCTTGATCAGCCACATCAGAAAGACGCTGAGCATTGTCCTGGGACGACATGCTGACAGAGCGCCTGTGGTGAAAGCTCTCACCAGGTCTCAATCTTTGAGCACGAGCACGTCGCTCAATCGCTCTGCGGAGTGACTCTTGGCGTAGCACCGGCACAGCTGGTGGGCTCTGGGAGATGGCACGCATTGATGCCGAGGTACCGGGTCGCATCGGTGACGGTAGAGGCTCCAGGCGTTGCTTGGATGGAATAAAAGCGGACAGCAAAAAAATCAGACGGCGGGCAGTCATCTTATCGGGACATACGATGACAGTGCGGTGGGTCAGGACGGGCTCGCTATCCTGTTGAGCCTTTTGCTGCTGACTGTGGCGGCGACGGTACCATTCTGGTCCGAGGACATTGAGCCATTCTGTATGGTTGCCCAAGAACGCAGTCAACAGTACAAGGAAGAAGAAGTTTGAATCCTTGTCACCTAGGCCACGGACGATGGAACGTCCTTCCTCTCGCCACACTCCCCATCGGCTTTGACCAGTCAGGACATAGGGTGTTTGAAGAGCCAAACTGATTCGACGAGAACTGCGAATTGCCTCCTCCTTGAGCTTCGAGTTCACGGACAGTATGTTGGCGGGCAGATGGACAATGGTTTGATTCGTCCTCTGCATGTTCGGGGGCTTGGCGGGTTTGGGGTGGGCTCCAGACAGGGAATCCACCTTCTTCAGGAGGAAAAGGATCTCGTTCCTAGCGAGCCTTTCCAGGTGAGACAAGGTGCGGGTGATGACATCCCAGTGGTCGACCAGAAGATCTAGACGCTCGTCCAAGCTGGCGGGAGGAGATGCTGCGGACAAGCTGTCGTCGAGAAAGGCGCCCGGCCAGCGATAATCCGAATCCAATGAGCTCGACAGACCGACTCGGGGTGAATCAGGGCCGAGGGTACTGAAGCGGGATACCGGTCGTCCAGAATTTCGGGCCAGCAAAGGGATTTGAATGGTGATCGCAACTGCATACATTGGCGTCTTCTTCTCCTTGATCTTCTTTCGCTTCGATACGTCTGGGAAAGGGAAGCCCATCTCCGGGAGAGATTCCTGGTAGATGGCATTGGCGTAATCGTTCTTTTCAGCGGATGCCTCGGCTCCTTCTGGGAGGTTGACGCTGAACATGCGAGTCACGAGAACCGTCACTTTTGCGGGTGGCTTGCCCTCCGACACTCGTGGAGGCCCCATCAGTCCTGAGGGACTTCCAGTAGTATAGGCACGGGCCAATGGACTCCGAACAGCTGGAGAGGAACTTGTGACCATTCCCGGCTCATCATCTGCGGATATGATATGCATCTTCGTCGAGGATCCACGGTAGCTGAAGGCACTGCTGCCGAAGATGCAGTTGAGCAAGCCAGTGTCATTGGAATCAGAACCATGTCGTGTGACTCCAGGTTCATGCCATGTTCCTGCTGGTGCCAGTGTGGAGCTGCGACCCCGAGCTCGAGAGAAAGCACCGGGACTTGCTGGTGTGGCGCGTCGAGCATCGGCAGCGTTGGAGAGCGGGCTGGATTCGACAACGGAGGATTGATTGAGGAAGGCTCGGCGGGAACCACGGGTAAGACTGGATACAGTGCGTGAATGCCGTGCACTGGGCTGGTCAAGGCCTTGAGCGTCAATACCAAGACCGGTGGGGGGCTGGTCAGCAGAGGCACGTGTGTCCAGCAGGACGCACGCATCACGATCACCTAGAGCATTTTGGGCCACGATAACCCGGAAATCTTTGATGGCATCCAGCTCTAATCCTCCGCGGTCATCATAAGCACCGGCTGTGGAGGCATTGGGGGAGTGGAAGGTTGTCTGGAGTGGATATGTGTGGGTGTTGGAACGGCGGAGGAGGCTGGCGTCGGGGAAGAGAAGACCGGATGTGTGTTCCTCCTCAGTCACCGATTCAAGAGGAGTTCCGTGATTTCGTGAAGAATACGCCGCCGGATTGAGGCTCGAGGCCGCGGTGCTAAGCAGTCGACCCAACATGGTGAAATCACCCGGAGGGTGGTGCAGGGCCGCCGTTAGAGATGTGTACTAGGGAGTGCAGGGAAGACGAAAACGGTCCGGACAAGAAACGCAGTGTAACGATGGGTAGGAGACAGCTAGATGGATCTAGACTGCATCTACCCATGACCTAATTCCACCGGGCAGAGACCATCCTCAAGAGATGGCGGGGGAGATCAGAAGCGTGATCGAGTTTCGATGGAGGGGGGAGAGTTGGAGAAGGGAAAGTGGGATGGGCTGCAGACAGTGGGGCGTCTGGGGGAATATCAATGGAGGGGAATTGGTAGGCGAGGACCCCACAAACAACAAGTAGTGTGGTCAAGGAAAAGAAAACGACTCTCAGACAGCGTCGTTTTGAGTAGATGGTGAAGAGAGCGAGGAGAGTGGGGAGTGGTGGGATCAAGAAAGGGTGGAGAGATGAGCCGATGGAAAAGGGCGGTGAAGAGCGGACAACGGGCATGCCACATGATCTCAGCCTCAAGTAGCAAGTTTGCAAGGTGACACTGCATCAGTCCAGTCGCGATGTGCAGTCGACTCGGTGAGAGCTCTCTTAATGACTGTTATTGAGTGACAATCTGCTTATTGGTATCTACAAGGTCGCTGCGTGAGATGTCGGTGTCCTAGCCAAATGAGATACGTGACACTATAACATGTGAGATATGATATAAGATAGGAACCATGGGAATGAGAAAGAGTATCTATGTGGGTTCATCATGCCGCTAGAAACTAAATTAAAAGTAAATCAACAGGAGCTTTTTTGTTCACGCTTTGGACCGCCGCTTGACCTTAGCAGCCAGTTGTTTCAAGTCATCCAGTCCAGACTCCTTAGAGCCCTTCTTTTGCTTCTTTGACCGATCCCGGCTGTCCGTAGGTTCCTCCGGCTCACCGTCATCTCCAGTGTGTCGGCGCTTGCGACCCTCGTCTAGGAGGGCCTTCATGCCGGAGGTGGCCTTGAAGCGAGGGTTGGTCGGGTCAATGGCGAACTCGTGGCTCTCAAACAGGCGAGAGAAACGGGGATCGTTGACATTGACATTGAAATCGTCCGCAACCGCAGCGGCAGCCTCCTTGGTCTTGCCCTTGCCCTTGCTCTTGCCCTTCCGCCGGGCCTGTTTCTCTGCCCTTTCAATCTCGTTCATATCAAAGTGCTGGATCTTGGCCTTCTCATCGTCCACCATCAGTAGCTCCAGTTCGGCGCGTTGGGCAGCCGAGGCAGCTTCCGCAGCAGCACGTTCCTCGCGCTTCTTGCGCTTCTCCTCCTTGCGACGGGCTGCAGATGTAGCCTTGCCACTAGGGTCGTCGAAGAAGGGATCGTTGAAGCCCAACTCTTCTTCCGCTTGCTCCTCTGGAGCAGGTTCATCCTCCGCATCAGAACCACCCTCCGCATCTGGATCCTCACCCCGTTTCTCGGCCTGACGCTTTTCCTTGCGTCTCTTCTTGCGTTCGCGCTCCTTCCGCACGTAGCGCTCGAGAGCCGTCTCTTCAATTTGAGGCTCGTTCTCAAAGATATCAGTATCCTTGCCACGGCCGCCGGCGAGACCAGATGTGAAGGTAACCTCCATCTCACCGACAGGGCCAGCTGATTTGGATGAAGGAGTAGGCTCGGTGCTCAGACCCAGCAATGCACGCATGCGTTGTCTCTCGGCCTCCTTCTTGGAAAGCTTGACACTTGTGCCCTCGTTTGCAGTGTTATCGACCACCTCCACGCCGCCATCTTCCTCATCCTCGCTCTCGGAACTATCGCTTCCAAGGTAGGCCTTCAGGTCGTTCTCATCGATTTCTTTCCGAGAACCGCGGAACGCCCGAGCCTGTGCCTCTTTCCGTGACTTGTCGTCCGCATCCCAGGTCAACTTGACCTTACTGTGTTGCAAAGCGTCTGTGACGAATTCGTTCGGCTTGTACCCATCGGGGATTCGAGAGCATGCATCGCGAGGCTTGTCATCGGAGAAATCGGTATCATCGGGAACGAAGCGAAGGTCGAAGAAGTTGGCGCTGGAAAGGTACTCGGCACCATCGACGAGGTCGTAAACGTGCTTGGCACATTCTTTGTTGGAGAACGTAAGGATAGCGTAGAAGTAGCGGAGTCGCTCCAGTTGGTATTGCCGCAGTTTCGTAGAATTGAATTCTTCGCCCGTGTCGGGCTTGAGCAGAGACTTCTTAATTTGCTCCTCTTCCTCCTCAGAATCAAGTTCCTCCTCCTCGTCCTCATCTGCAGGACCTCCGCTGGCTGAGGCAAAAATTTCTCTTGGAGGACCCTCGATCTCTTCCTTCTCCATGCGCTCCTTTCCGAATTCACTGGGGTACACAGTCACATTTTGAACACGGCCACCCGCTGGTAGGAAACTGGAGAAACAAGCCATCAAGTCCTCAGCGCGAATGTTATCCCAATCCAAGTTGACAACGGCGATGCGATTCGTAACCTCTCCGAGCGGCACATTGGCTTGCTGCTTGTCTGGGAACTCGACTTCATCATCTTCAACCTCCGCTTCGTCTTCGTCGTCGTCATCGCTGGAGCTCTCTTCAGATGACGAGTCTGTGAAACCACCATCTCTAGCCGGGTCATATGAGCGTTCTTCCACGCGCTTCAACTCTTTTTGGACCTCATCGTCGTCATCTGCGCTCAGAGCCTCGTCGTCCTCCTCGTCTTCATCGTCATCTTCCAAGCTATAGAACTTCTTCAGTTGTTTCTTGGTATCGTCCTTTGCCAATTTGCGTCCATATCGGTCCACGGCAGCATTGCGGGAGAAGTCCTTGTCCTCCAGCATGTGCTGGAAGCGCTTGTCGAGTTTGACATGAGTCTGGCGCTTGCTCGGCAGGCGATAACGAGGATCGCTTTGGATATTCGCAAAACGGGGATCAGCTATATTTCCATCAGTCAGTGAGCTGTGCCCGTGTAGATTCTCTTCCTGTTAACTAGAAGTTGCACGTACTGATCACCGGGCCAGCCTCTCTGGCTCCGGTCTTCTTGGACTTCTTCTTGTCCTGGCCTGCCATTGTGAAGTTGAGCTGTGTTCAACAATGCAACCAAGATTTTTGATTGACAGAATAAAAACAGCTGACAGAATTCTGGGGGACGATGTTACGTAGAAGAAATGGAGTGTCCAGCGCAAACTGCGGACAAATTTCTTTTTTCTGCCGGTATTTCAACAGGCGGTGTGTAGGCACGTGAGCCTTGCCTCAAAAGGAGTCTTCCGTCGGGTCTCATTTTATTGGTCAACTACTGTAGATATTTGATCAAGTGTTATTGGGCTTGTCACGGTGCCAAATGGGTTACAGCTAATGGGAACACAGCTTTACTGCTGAATTGTTGGTTCTGCCAGTCGGCCTTTCCCAGGGTCTCCCGGTAAGCCTTTTTTACAAAATTAAAGGTCATGATCCATATGTACTTCATTGACGAGCGACTTCCTTATTTACCTGACGAAGGGAGTAATTCAAACGCAAAAAAGGAGCGTGAGGACAACCTAACATCCAAAGTAACGCTTCTCCATCCAGCGTGGCTCACCATCCGCCTCAATACGACCAACAATGACGTTGATCTTAGGGAAGACTGCAACCAGACGCTTGATACCAGTTTCACCAGCAGCACACGTCACGAAGACAATCCTTTCTTCTGACACGCCATGGTCAACCAAGACACGGACAGCCATCAGGGCAGCTCCTCCACTGGCCATCTGTGGATCCAAGAGCATAACCATAGAATGCTCCTCCAGCTGGAGAGGAAGCTTGAGGTAATGCAGCTCTGGCTCGGAGCTGCTTTCGTCGGTCTGGATCAGGAGACGGCCAGTAATGCAATCTGGGATGGTCCGCTTCAGAGCAGTCTCCAGGCAAGAACCTCCACGTAAGATGGCAACTGCAGAGACAGAACCTTTGGGGTTCACGCCCATGTACTTATTACCGTGTGGTGTCTCCACTGTGGCCTGGACATACGTTGTCATATCCAGGGCTCTGTAGGTTCAAAAAGTCAGTAATCAGGATTTGTAGCATATAGGGGGGGGGGGGGGGGGGGGGGCAACGGGGACGGACTTCTCAATAAGGATCGAGGCAAGTCGATCAAAGTAGAAGACAAAATCGACATGTTCCGTCGCTGGGTCTTGCAGAACGGTGTTCATGCCCACGAATTGCGGGGTGGTGGGCATGACATGCACGTTGGCCGGCAATTCGACCTTGGCAGCCAAGAGGCCAAGCTTCCGGAGAGCCTCAGTATGCTTCTCCGACTTGTCCTGGAGCTTACGCTGAATATGCTTCACGACCATGTCTTTGAAAAGTTAGTATCGGTAGGGTTGGTGATATGATTCCAAAAGGATGGCTTACCAATAGCGGTCGTGTTTTCAATACCACGAGGAATGATAATATCTAAGCCACGAAATTAGACCGTTTTCGAACGATGAGAACTAACGCTTGCAGGTACCTACCAGATATCGGTCGCTGAGGTTCCACAAATCTGGTGAAAGAGGGCTTCACAAAGGCGAACCATTGTTTGATAATGCCTTCAATGTCTCGACCACGCTCGCGGACGTCGCGAAGGACTGTAATATAACAAGGCGTCAGTACTGAAAAATTGTTCGAACAGAAATGGTGAACTCCAACCTCTGCGTCCCAAGCAGACATCCATGTCGGCCTCTACGAAAATCTATCGTGGTTGTCAGCTTGAATGGCCAACGCTGACAGTTTGTGGCTCACTACTATACCTTGACATCGAGTAGATTCAAGATTCTCGGGTCGTGAAGGGCCAAAATACCCTCGAGGATGAGCACTCGGGGAGAATATAAGGTGGTCGTCTGGGTTTGCCGTTGGTGGTCGGCAAACGAGTAGACGGGAATATGCGCCTTCTTGCTTTAAGCACAGTCCCGATTAGAGACGGTCATACATGAAAATCAATAGATGAATAGATTTTACCCTTGCTTCAGATCTTTGAGAGTATCTACCAGGAGGTCAAAATCAATCGACTCCGGGCAGTCAAAGTCATATTCATTGGCATGGGCCTTGGCATGCTCCTCGGGAGTCAAGGTCTTGTAGAACGAATCCTGTCGCGTGCTTATATGTTAGAAGGTCCGATCAAGATCAAATGATCAAGGCTAGTATACATACCATGACCAAAATCACCACCCAGGGCAGATTCAGCGACTTGACAATCTCCATAGCCACTGAAGTCTTGCCAGAGCCGGAGCTCCCAGCAATACCGATGATGCTCAAGTCCTGCCATGGCGGAGAGTACTTGGCCTCCGGAACAAGCGAATAGAACGGCGATGTCGACTCCATATTCACTGTCAGAGGAGCCTCACACCATGGCACCCGGACACAAGCAATCGGGAATAGGGTCCTTTGGACTTGAGAGGGTAATGGGGGGTCTCTTATCTTGTGGTTTTGCTGGACTCGTCTCAGTTGCGATCGATTGGGCTTAGCGCGTGACGCCCGTTTCGCTTGTGGCTGACATAATCGCTTAAGTCATTTTCTTTCTTCCGCTCTTCTCGACTTCCTCTTTTCTTTTCACTTCTTCTTCCTCCAGGGCTTCATTCTCCCACTCCAGCGTTCTGCCTTTCCTCCATGGCTGTCGTCTCTCGGGTCGCCCTTCAGCTTGTCACATAGCTGAATCTCTGCAATCCTGCCACTCGGTGGTAGTACCTACCACGCAATGTCCTCCACTAATCTTGTATGCTGCTTGGCGTGTTGACTACCCGTGTGAAGCTGGGGTTTTTTAACACTGCACAGATGTCTCGTACTCCCTCAACTGCCACGCCAACATGGCACCAGTTCGAGCGGAAGGTCGACGAGGTGAAGCCGTCCAAAACGTGAGTCGCCAACCTCCCTCCCGCTACCAGCCTATGTCCACTCCTTCCCACCTCGGCTTGCCGTGACATGATGATCTTAAACTCAAGTTGGGAATCTCTCTGAAAAACCTTGAAGAGAAAAACATTGACTTGTCTACCTGACCCCTTCGTCACATTCTTTTTTTCTGCCGTCTATGAACATGACTTCGTCATTTGCAACAGCTGCTAATACCCAGCTCTAGTGATATCAATTACCTGGTTATGGACTACCTCATCACCAACGGCTACCCTGCTGCTGCGAGTAAATTCGCTGTCGAGGCCAACATCCAACTGCGGACCGATCTGGAGTCGATCCAGGTACGAGTTGAGATTCGGACCTTCATCCACTCGGGGAATATCCAGGCAGCCATTGAAAAGATCAACGAACTGAATCCTCAGGTAAGATTCTACTCTACACTTAGCTCCGATTTCACCACCTCTCCCCCTGTTGTTATGATTATTCAAAGTTTCATGCACCACTCCTATTACACCCTTCGGGGAGTTGCGGATAGTCAAACATCTTCAGTCCTCAGTATGAACAACAACCATTGCCTTCAATTTGTCTTGCACATCTCACACATTCTGTCATGTGCATCGGCTAACAAGATTGAATAGATCTTGGATGAAAACCCCGCGTTGCATTTCGCGCTCCTGCGCCTGCAACTAATAGAATTAATCCGCACCTGCACTTCCACTCCAGACGGCGACATCAGTCCCGCCCTGGAATTCGCGACTGCGCAGCTCGCACCCCGGGCTCCAACCAACCCCCAGTTCCTCGAGGACTTGGAGCGGACGCTTGCTCTACTGATCTTTCCCAGCGACAATCTGACCCCCTCCCTCGCCAGCCTCCTAGACCCTAGCCTCCGTAAAGACATCGCACAGCGTGTCAATGAGGCCATCCTCCAGAACCAGGGCGCTCGTAAAGAAGCGCGCCTGCGAAATCTCGTTAAGCTTCGTGCTTTCGCCGAACACAAGGCCCGAGACGCCAAGAAGGATATCCCGGATAAGCTGGACATCGGCCTGCTCGGCGACAACAATGATAACACCCAGTCCCGTAACAACAGTAATAATGCGGCCAACAATGGAAACAGCCAAAATGGTTCCGGCGATACCGTGATGGCCAATAACGGCGATGTCGATACCATGGTAGCTTGAGGACTGCACCGCAGAATTTTCCCTGACCGGCGCTGCGGAGCTGCGTCTTTTTCCCGGCTCCTCTGTGGTTTTTTTTTCTCTGGTTTCTTTTAGCGAGGCGCTTCTGGGGCTGGTTGGCGTTTGGGCAACCCACTCGGGTTGGATACCTCCGGATCGAGGTCAATACAAATACATTTCATGTTTCACAACACACCATTGTCTGTATTTCAATGGAAATAAATCCACCTTGTCTACTTCCAAAGTCTAGCACCTGGTAACTGTAAATATATTCGGTGCTTAAAATGGTATTTGACAAGCATTCTACGTAAATCTAGGTAGCAACAGGCTATAACTAAGTTATAACCAAGCTAGGTACCTAAACCTAGTACCTCGAGTTACAGGTGGATATCTACCGAGTACCCGGACAAAATATATATCTAACGTAGCCGTTGACATACCCATGGGAGACATATTCATTTCAATGCAAGTGTACATACACAATCCAGGCTATAGATACTAAATATATGCATGCAGCAATGTGCAAGAGCTCATAAAAGTCAAAGAAAATCCGACGCAAGGCAAAAAAAAAAAAAAAAAGGTGAAGAAAAAGAAGAAGCAAGTACGTAGGTATGCATGGCCAACTCGGCCCATACATCAAACAAAGACAGACAGCCCATTAGATCTATCCCGCCTAGAACAAAAAGAACTCGGGGAGATAGAAAAAAAAGCCCAAGCCCTAGGCTGGCTCAATGGAGCAAACAATGATCTATGAATGTTTCATGCCGAACCAGCTCAGCATCAGAAAAGACAAGACAGCCCTGGACTCTCCCCAGAAAATAATTATCCAGGATGAGTAGGTGCAAAGAAAGAGGTACTGTAGATATGGTTTAGAAGCTCATAAGATCTGCCAGAACAAATTAGTCAGAATGATCCCTTTGAAGTCAAGTATAGCGAATTGATGGAACATACCTCTTCCAAAAAGAGCACGCTTAGCCCAATCCATCGCCAACATACAACGCGTCCGGAAGCTAACGCTCTCTGCGAAGTAAATACTACGCCAGAGATACATAGCAATAACACCACCACTGAAGCTCATACCGCCAAAATCGAAAATAGCAGCGTTGCTGATATACGCCAGACTGCCCAGGTGCTTGTACTTGAACGCCTTGTAGACAGCCTCGTCCAGGTCACCGTAATCAATCTCATTAGCCTTGAGACCGGGTAGGGCGGATGCGATCTTGGTCAATTTGCGGCCCAGGTAGACACCCTGCTGGTTCGCGCGCTGGGCAGTGGCAGGCAGTGAAGTGAGCTTGGTATCGATTTGGTGTAGGAGTTCGGATAGCTCGCCGTAGTCCAGAGTGCCGGAGTGGTCGACATCGTACAGTTCGAAGAGGCGGTCTAGACGGCGGAGATGGTTAGATGCTTGTGGGAAGCGCTTCTTCACGCGGTTGGCGACGTCGCGCCATTCGGTGAAGGTTAGATGCACTTTCTCCGGGTCACGGCCCTTTTCCCAGGCGATGGTGCGTAGGAACTTAATGATATTTTCGGCAACGTTGTTCTGGACAGTTGAACAATCGCCAATAGCGTAGACGTCGCCTAGGGGAGCGCCAATCACGCGGAGGTGGGAGTCGGTTTCCAGAGCGTGCTTGTTGTTTTGCCCCTCGAGCTTCTCGGAGAGGGTCTCGCAGATCTCGGCGCGAGCTGAACGGGAAATTAGAACTGAGGCGAGGATTGCATGAAGCGAAGTACTCACAAACTCCAGTAGACCAAAGGCAGAATCCGGTCGGAATTTCCTTGACGACAGTTTTACCATCCTCAACTTGACTGAAAAGCACGCGATCCTTCTGGACCTCCTTGACTCGGGCATTGGTCAAGACTTCAACGCCGTCACGGGAGAAACGGCTCTATTTAGCATTAGTATAACAGGCATCACAATAGCGATGTTCAGCCGCGTACCTCAGCGTATTTGGAAAGCGCTTCGTCATAAGTATTCAAGATATGAGTTCGGCTCTGGATGATGTGGACGGAAATCTCATTGCGGACAATCCGAGGGAAAGAGTGAAGCAGGTCCTCATTGAGTAGATCGAACAGCTCAGCAGCGAACTCGACACCAGTGGGACCACCACCACAGACAACGAAAGACAGCAGGCGCCGGCGCTCCTCGTCAGTAGTAGTGGGCAGACAGGCCTGTTCCATGTTATCCAGCACCTTGTTCTTGATCTTGCGAGCATCGTCAATAGTCTTCAAGAAGTTGCAGTTCTCGAGACCCTTGACACCGTGTGGGTTTGTCACGCAGCCTGATCAGATATTGCGTTAGTTCAGCAGTCCACCAAGACGACTCGAACCCCAGTCTCTTCCGGATTGTCACACGTACCAACACCAATAACAAGCTTATCATAAGGAAGGTAGAAGTTCTTCGTGTTCCCATCCTGATCAACCTGCGAGACCTCAACCAACTTATGCGAAAATTCAACATCCGTCGCAGAAGCCTTCAAGAAATGCCCATTAACACGATCAATAATGCGTCGCACAGGTTCAACCAGAGACCGAAGCCCAAGCGTGCCCACCGTAGCAGAGGGCAACATGGGAGTAAATAAGAAGTAATTAGTCGGAGAAACAACGGTAACATGGTAGTCACCCGGGTTCAAGTTCTTAAGCAGCGCAATGCTACCCCAACCAGTACCCAGAATAACCAGACGAGGCTTATCCTTCTGCTGAACCATAGAATCCGAATCGTAATCACCGACGAGAAAATCCGCAATTGGCAAATTCTTGGGTCCACCACGACGCGGGTTGAGAGCCAATTCCGAGACAGGGATATCCTCCGCACTGGGGGTTTCGCGGTATGTACTCGCATCATAGAGGAAGAAGGCGACGATAACGACACCAGTACCGATAACGAAGAAACCACAGAAGGCGAAGGACTTGTAAAGAGCTGCTAGGACCTTTGGTCGTTGCTTGACGGTGACCTTTGCAGCCACCTTATCGGACAGGGACCGGATCGGGATCGACACATTGGGAGTCGGGCCGCTGCGGCGCTGGGACAGGGGACGGCGAGAGGAGGTGTTCAACGAGCGGGTGATTGGGAATCTGGCAGGCAAAGCAGTCTTTGAAGCTTTGAAACTAGTCGCCAGAGATCCAATTGACCTCAGCGCAGGGCCGTCCGGACGACTCCGGAGTACCGCCGCGCGCATCGTGAGCGAGCGCAAGCCGCAGGAGAGACCAAGGAAGTGGAGATAAGCTATGTGCCGACGTGAACCACGCAGGACCGAGCCTGCTGGCAAAAATGCAAAAGGAGTGACCTCGAATGTCTTTGTCGAAACGAAAGGAGGTGTTTGAAGAGAGTCAAAGAAGAGGAAATGTGCCAGCACCGTATGCGTGCCAGCTCAATTGCCCGACGTCATGTAGAGGTCACGTGGGGGCCCGGGAATCGGCACCTGCGGAAAGTGGAGACTGTAAAACAGGACTGGACTTGGCAGGGAACTATTTTAGGCTGTTTATGCCGTGACTAAGGGCTGATGATATTGTTATGTAGTTATTAGCAATTTAGCACGGGATATCTGGATTGAAGTACTGTAAATTCTATTATATACTCATGAAAAATTGGAATCAACGAGTCATAGGTACTGTAGAGTAGCTCTGCAACTCTGAAGAAGCAAATGAACCCTCCGCTCGCGCCACAACATGCATAAAAAAAGGAAGGCAAGTAAGAGCTATGTATCACCCGCCGCCGGTCTTGGTATAAGTAAGAGAAGCCGTGCCCAGTAATACCCCACGCAGAAAAGAAAAAAATGTCAAAATAAACGCCGGCCTTCGCCTGATATGCAAGATTGAAAAGACAAGATAACTCTCTGAAGAGTGTGAAATATTCGGATCGCATCGGCTGGGGTTATTTTTGATTTGAAAAGGGCAGGCATCATTCTAATCCCAGCCGTCATCAGGCTCGGCACTAGATGGCTTCCTGCCGACAGAGCTTTTGCGGGCCTTGGGTCGCTTGTTCAGACCGGTGCTGGAAACAGAGCTCTTGCGCTTCATTGGACGAGATCCACCAAAGCCAATCATATCATCGGCATCTCCGATTGCGTCGAGGCTGTCGCCCTCCCCATCATTCTCCCGGTCGACCTTGAACTCCTCGTCAATGGCCAGCAAGGTCGAGAATTCACGGCACTTGGTGAGCATAGCTTCTTCACTGTCGAGCGAGGCCATATTTCCCACAACGGCTTCCCAGAACTTTTCACCAGTCACACCATGAACCTTGGTGGCCGTCTTGTTGAGCTCCTTGGCGCTCTGCTTGCCGTTGCCATCCTTGTCTTTCTGGTGTGAGTTGAGTCCATAGAGACGGCGCAGATAGGTTCGCGCTTCCCAAAGCATAGAGAGTGATGCGGCAGCGGTGGTCAAGAGTCGTAGAGTTGCGGGATTGACTGGCTGCGAGACACTGGGAGGCATCGGCATCGGCACATCAGGGCCAAGGCTCATCATGCCAGTTGGAGTCTCGACCACAGGTGGACCAATTGGACTTGGGAATAGATCTGTTTCGATTGCATGCGCAACAACAGTGCCGGTCGAAGAGACAATTCGCTCGAGACAGCCAACGGTAGGTAGCAGTTCAGCCAACTGAGCATAGTCGAAATATGCCAGATTCTGAGAGATGAAGCGGGCCATCAGGAGATGTTCTGGGGGGTCACCAGAGGCATCAAGCTTCTTCAACTCAAAGTCCGCCTTAGAGCAAAGATTGGAAAGGAACTTCTTTTGGTACCGACTGTTGCTGATCTTGACGATTTCGAATAGAGGAGCAAGCTTTGCAACGAAAGGCCGAGGGGTAGCACCGTTCGAATCGCCGACCACGTCGCGCTGATAGTAGAAGGCTTCTTGAATGGCTCGCATGTACTCTCGCTCGAACATAGATTCGAATTGTTGGTGAATCATCTTGTGCGTGTCAAAAGCGACCTTGGCGATCTTTGGATCAGTCGATGTCTCCAGCGAGACGAGGACTCCCGCGCATTCCTTGGGATGCACCAAACCTTGACGGTTGATGCTTGCAATGAGTTCGATAGCGGTCAGCGCGTAAGTATCCTGTCGGGACTGTGCAACCTTCAGCATGTTCTTGAGGAAGTGTTGGGCAATCAATGCAGCAGCGCCATCATTATCGCTAGCTCTCAGTGACCCTCCGAGCCGGGTGGAATCCTCCTGGGCAGCTGCCTCGGGAGTTGGTACCACTCCTTTCTCATGTTTGCCCTCGTGAATGAAGAAGAAATCTGCGAAAGACCGAAGCACTATATGCTGCAACCCAGGAGCATCTTCCTTGAACACCTGTGCGAACATCTTTCGAGTGGGCTCCCGGCCGAACTGCGCGGGCCAAGATTGACAGATGGAACCCACGCTCTCAAGAGCCGTAACTCGAAGCTCAGTAGGCTGGTTGGAGCTAGTGAATGGAAGGATACAGTCGACCATCAGGGCAGCCACGGAGCTACTAGAGCCAGTAGCCCATGTCGGAAATGAATTTTTGAAATGAGGAATATACTTCTCGAGATCACAATGCTTTCCGACGCAACCTGCGATTCTGAGGTAGCTCTTGGCACGTGCTGATATCTTAGCATTGTCGGGCGATGACAGGTCGACGCTCTTGTATTGCTGCAATGGCTTGAGAACGGACAGAGTCAGCTTGACGAGTCGGTCTGTGTTCTGCAAGACACCATTGATGGTCCACAGACAAGCCATGACCTCATTCAACTCGTGACGACTCAGCTTGGCGACACTCTTGAAGAGATCATTCTGAACGTCCTTGAGCAGCTTGTTGTGGGAGGAGGATAGATACGGTAAGACACATCGGTAAATCACGACCACAGATCGGAACAGGAATAGGTCGTCCGCATTAGCAAGGTTGCCGATGTACGGATGCAAGGCTTCCAATTGATCTGGGCTGAACAGCTTTGCGTTGGCCTTGGCAAAGACGGTTATTGTCTGGAGCAGGGCTTGCTTGAACTCTTGTGGAGAAGCATCGGCATCTTCCACGAGTCTCTGGAACATGATGGCCACCATCGATTTGCAGACTTTGAAATTAAGGGTCGCAGACTTGGATTTTTCGGAAAGTACCGCCCTCAAACAGATGCCAAGAGAGTCAAGGGCGTTGTCACTGCGCTCAACAAGGCTGACGATCAACCCGACCTGCTCCCCGAGTGCGATCTTAAGCTTTGGTCCGTCGGAGATGGCATCAATTGACTCATGGAATGGGACAAGCCAAATTTCTTCGAAAGTTTGACGGGCCAAGGTTGCCACACTGTCCTCATGATCGCCCGTCCGTTGAAGGAAGCTATCAAGGATGGCCAACTTGAGCTCTTGCCGATGGGTCTTGTGGTAGAGTTCTTTCAACAGACCAATGCAGCGCTTGCGAACACCGGCCGTGGGATCAGCAGCGCACGCAAGGATACTGCGACACCCTTGTTCCTCCAGCTTCGGTCGAAGCCCTATGCATTTGGCGATCAAGGACAAGGCCGAATCACGGACCATAGGTGAAGCGTCCGTGGTGCAACGAAGAATCAGATGCATAACTGAGGCATCCCGATCAAGAAGATTTGGATCTTTCTCGAGCATTTCAATGACACTCTTCAAACTTCGGCTGCGAACCTTGGCTTGGTCGCTAGCAATTGAATTTAGAAGGACCTTGAGAATGGTATCAAATGCTTTGCCAAAGCCCGAATTCAGAACCGTCAGGATATAGGCAAACTTTCCATGAACATTGGAGATGGAATTGAACTTCCTGTGTGTCTCCAGCCAGCGAGAATCGGAGAAGGATCTCGATAGGAGAACCACCAGTTCGTTGGTCATATCGTCTTCTGGCATTTCTTCCTTGTCTTCGGAGTTGTAATAGAGGTTACAAACGACCTTCGCCCACGCAGCCAAATAAAAGCCCCTTGTGCTAGTCAGCTGAGAGTTGTCCGAGCTCGTATCTTGTGACAAATACTCAAGGGCCATTCGGTAGGGGCCATTTGGTGCGACCAAGTCCTGTGGGTGTAGCGCACGACTAGAGAAATCCTCGAACTGCTGCTTGAGGGAATCCGTAAGCTCACTATCGGCGTCCTCCAGAGCGGGAAGCATATGTTGAGCGGTTGCGATCAAATCCGAAATTGCAGAACCCATCCATCCTAGAAGCTCGAGAGCCATGCTCTTCGCTTGAGCCGAGCTCTTGTCGAGATCTGCAATGCCGACCATATGCGACGCCATGATTCGAAGAAGCAGCTCCGACGCAGGCCAATCGGTAGATCCGAGCACGTTGATCAAATCTTCAGTGAAAAGATCAAGAATGTTTCGGAATGGCTGATCGCCACTTTTGGTCGCGTTCATGGCACGCTGCACTATAAATGTCACGATGTATTGTGCGCTTCGAATGGCGTTGTCGTATAGTCTGTTGACCTTGGCCGCCAAGCGCTCCAGAGACTCGTCGTCATCGTCGTCATCAGGCTCATCGCCGCCCATCAATTCATCATCGTCGTCATCTGTTGAAGCTTGTAGTCGACGCTTGGTTTTCGAGCGTGTAGGTGTTTCCAGTGCAGTGGTCTGCACAAGTTGAAGGACCAACGCCGTGAGAAGTTGGATGTTTTTCCCGTCAGCCAGTTTGAACTGCCTGGCGCTTTGACGGGTGGAAGGGAGCTTTTCCAAAGAACCTAGGATTTGATCCAAGATATAGGACCGCTGGGCTGGATACCGAGCGAAGATTTTTGCGAGCACGTCCATTGCTCCACGTCTTGCTGGCTCGAACTTTGCAGATCCAACAGCGGAGTCTCTCTCGTTGTGTGCATTTTCAACGAAGATCAACTTGGCAGCGAAGAATAAAGCGGAGTTGATAGGGCTTTCAGGCACTTCAATTCGGGATAAAAAGTCCGCGAAAAGAGTCAACGCCTTTTTACTTTGATGAATCAGGCTTGCAATGATGCGTCGCTGGGCCGAGAAAAACTTGAAATGCTCCGCATCCTTGCCGCCTGGGCGTGATTCAACAGCAGGAATGATGCAGTGATCGAAAACCTGCTCGACAACGGGCGGAACGGCTTCGATGAGATCTTCGGGGCATAGATCTCGCTCCGTCTGGCGCCCAGACATTGTCTGCAGAAGTGTTCCAATGGCGAGCAAAGCATTCAAAATATCCTCAACTTTGCCCAGCCATTCCTGAGTCTCAGCCTCATTGAGAGGATCATGCAAAGTGAGCGGTGCGGCCTGAGCGGCAAGAATTGGCTTTTCGCAAAGTTTCTGAATCCTTTTTAAATAGTCGGAGGGAATGTCCTGAAGTCGATCAAATCCAGATACTTTCCGAATGGCTTTTTGTAGACGGGTATGAGCGTCGGAAGACAAGACCACGCCGTGAACCTCCAATGACCTCGTATTCACAAAAATTGGGTTCGGCCTGTCCGCAGTTAGAGCAATTGAAGAGTCCGGCTCGATCTGATCCTCCGCCTCGAAGACTTCATGCAGAACATCTTGTAGTTTCAGAAGAGCGTCGTCGGCTTCCGCCTTTTGGTCCCATAGCCGCCTCGCGGTAATCTCATCCTCATGATTGATTTTTGGCTTTGACTTCACTTCTTTCGTGGGTGTAGACTTCATTGGGATGACCACGGACACTTGGCTCGAAGGTTGTTGAGACTTTTCGAATGAGGCGGAATTCGTGCTGTTTGCAATATATGCCTGCTGATTCCACTCGGTAGCAGCTTTCGATATCGTTTCTTTCTTTTCAGGTTTGATCTTGGGAGTTGACGTCTCGGGATCTGAGATGTGATCATTAGCAGCCGGCTTAAACAGCGTTTTTGTGTGTATTCCGGTCTCACATCTGAAGGCGATGTCCGTTGACTCTAGGATCATCCGAGCAAAGGAGCCGAGTTGACTGCGACAGGAGGAAGGGCCATCTGAGGTGATCGAGAGTGAATGTTGACTGCGGCTGAGAGTAGGAGGGATCTTGAATTTGCTGGCGGGAGAGGTATGTCAGTAAATATGAGAGTGAAATTTGAGGATTTCCCCTACAATTCAGTCAACTGATCTCCATCCAGCAATTGCTGAAGGTATTCACGGGACGTCTCCAGGCGACTTGACTCGTCCAGGCCGGACTGTATCTCCGCATCGAGCTCACTCAAAGTATTGCGACCAGCTTGAAGGACATGATTGATAGAGGTGGTATTGGACGGACGACCAACATCAGGGCGTATCACGCAGTCTAAAAGTCAAGAATGAGTTAGATGAGCTCTCCGTCTCGGGATTTGGGGGTAATTCGCAGGTAGACGGACCGAGACCAAAGACAGGAGCACTGGACATGGACGAGTACTGAAGCGCCTCATCCACGGATAATGGTCTGGACTGCGGTATATGCTGGTTCTGGAACGACATGGTCGGACCATAGGCTTGCTGCGCCGATGGATGGCCGTTGATGACGACCTGCACCGCTGGGCGTCCATTGAGATCCATGTTGGCGGTTGCCGAGTCGAGCAAGGAAGGCGCTAATCAAACGGAGGGGGACCTGCTCGTGGCAGAGTCATGACAGAGGATTTGAGCATCTATGGCATGCTTCTCGACACTCTTATCGTACACGATCGGGCTGGATGGTCGGAAATCGGATCAGGGAGAGCTCACGATGACCATATTCGTTCATCATTCCATCGGGGAGTATTACTGCCGCGTCTTACCGCCTGTAGTAATATCGGAGTGGCCCGTGCGTTCAAAAAAAAGTCCAGTGCCGCAACTTCATCTTCTCATTGATCTCGATTACTGCTTTTTTATTATTATTGACAGGACTCGCTGGTGGATTTACGCTTGACTACCAGTATTCAAAATGTCGGCTATTGGATCTTTGATTTTCTGCACGGATTGCGGTAATCTGCTGCGCGAATCTACCGGAGATGAAAATGCGATCCTACACTGCAATGTCTGCGGAGCGCGGAACAAGGGTATGTGAATTGCATACAGTACTGGAAGATGGCTTTAGTGGAAAGCTGAATGACCTAACATTTCTTCAGATATCATTCCGCAAACTATCGTCTCCGAGTCCAAGCCCTCTGCCTTCCCCTCCGCTTTGAGATCGAAGCGCTCTGCCGTCCAGACTCTGTCTGCCGAAGATCGCAAGACCGAGGCCGTCACAAACCACACCTGCAACAAGTGTGGAAGAACGGAGATGTTCTTCACTACCGTCCAGCTGCGCAGTGCTGATGAAGGTAGTACTGTGTTCTACCGCTGTGTTTGCGGTTACAAGTATGTCTTCCCTCGTGGGAAGCTCCACATCACATTCCCCATCCAGTCAAATACTAATCTTGCTGTATAGGGAAACATCGAACAACTGAGGAAGGAAAAAAAGGACTGTACAAAAAGGAAAAGGGTTCTATGTTTTGGCTGTATAACAGAGCGGGATAAAGAGTATCAAAATAACGACGTCACGACATTTTTCATTTTTCATCCAGAGATTCATCATGCCGCCGAGACAGCAGTAGCGGCTCCCTCTGGGATGAGCGCATATTCCATCTCACCATTCTTCTCGAATTCTGCCATGTCAAGAGCCACAATGACACTGTCGCGTACCACCTGCTCAGGGTCATTGAGGAAGCGCTTCAGTGTGTCCTCAACACCCTCCTCGTCACCCAGACTGCCCAGGGCCTCGGCCGCCTCGTGGCGCACCATACCGACCTCCTTCAGGTCACCCAGACACTCTGTGAGGCAGGGAATCGAGGCGGGGTGGCATAGTTGGCCGAAGACGAACGCAACTTCGTGACGGAACAGAGCAGAGGGGTCCTTGAGACCCTTGGCAAGCGCATTCACAGCGTCGACGGCAGTGGGGAGATCAGGAGGTGAGGCGAGGTCACGCAGACCGAACATGGCGCGGTATCTTTGGAAGAGAGGAAGCTTAGTGTCGAGCAGTGTCTTCTCAAGGTCTGGAATGGAGGGCTCGTTGGCCTCCAGAGGCATAGGCGGGGCAGGATCGATAGATGTAAAGTCACTGTATCGAGAACAGTATTAGCTTCCTTGAACCTCGAAGACGAAATAAAGTTTCTTTTTCTGAACTGCATACCTAGGCTTCAACTTCTCCGCCTTCCTCTGCTCTGAGTTCTCCCAGACAATGCGATCAACGGCAATATCGCAAGTCTCCCGAACAATCTCCACCTCACTCTCATCATCCCGCAACTTCTTCAAGATATCCAAGCTCTCTGCATATCCAAGGGCACCGAGAGCCTCAGCAGCCTCGTGGCGGCACATCGCATCCTCCTCAACATCCTTCACGACCTGCTGCAGATAAGGGACAGAGTCGCGGTTCCTGGTCTGACCCAGGCAGTATGCAAGCTCGTGCTTAAGGAGAGCCGACGACGAAGCGAAGGCGGCGGCGATCGCCTGGATCGCGGGAAGGGTCTGTTCGGTGGTGGGCTGTAGGCAGGCGAGATGCTTGAGGGAGAAAAGAGCGCGGAACCGGCGAGCGAGAGGCTCGGACTCGTTGGTGAGGACCTTGCGGAGGGCGAGAACGGTGTCGTCGGCCCCGTTGGGCTCGGTAGTAGCGGAGGGAGACATTATTAAAGGAGGGACAGCGAGGGTTAAAGTGGTGCGTGTGTGGAAGAGGGTCGACGATACTTTTTTTTGGAGTAGATCTTATCATGAATTTTAGGGTGGGGTGGCGGGGCTGCGCTGCGCCCATCCGGGTCTGGTTGGCCCGCGCAGAATTCTCTTTAACACTATGTAAAATAACAGTCCAGGGCAAGGGGATTTTTTTGTCTTTATTTGATCAATGTAGAACTCGGTAATTGCCTTTCTCTTTTCACTGTCTGCTTATTTACTAAAGTGTTAGGAAACATTCCATGAACTGCCTCAAATCTCAAGAGCCGCATCCACAGTCGGCCTTAAGTATCACTCGAGAATCTCGGACTATAGTATAGGGTCATAGTTTGAGTCATTCTGAGTCACCGCAACAATTCCCGCTCGCCATTTGGGCTAGTCTACACCTTTTATGATTAATTAATCTGGAATTTGCGCCAGTTCTCCCGCTCCGACACCAAGATAGTCATGGAAGCTATCCGAGTTCGCTTGAGCCGTCAAAGAAAGTTCAAAGTCCTGTCGATAGCAAGAACGCGCTAGTGCTATCACTCTGAGCTTTTTTGGACATAACCTTCACCCAATCTTCTACGGAGACAAGTTTCGAATGATATAGACACTACTCAAGGACGTTCATTTCTCGAGTACACTTGAACTTCATACCAATCCTCCAAACTTGACGCCTCCAATTTTGCTCGACTGGCCCATTAACCACCGTGCTACTATCACTATCATGAAAGAGGAACAGACCCATGAAGGCTTGATTTGAATTTCGCACACACTAATTGACTGCTAGCTTTTTATCTCCGACTTGAATGTTTGAATCTCAGATCTATCAAAACATAGCATCTGCGAGCATGACGTTCACGGCATGTGCTTGGAAAGTCCTTGAGGGAATCTCATTACTAGCCGGATTCTCTAATCTAGAAAGTACATCTTTAGGTATAACTATGCATGCCGCTTTGTTAGGCTAACTCATATTTGATGATCACATAATACCGCCTTTAGTTAGCTCTGGACCCTTTCCCCACTGCCAGCTTCCAGTTTGAGCCTCGGCCCTCTAGGCGAGTAGACCCAATTGTCAGCGCAGACAAGATTTGAAAGAGAAGGAGCACCTTTCAGCTTGTCACAGTCATATTAATAATACTTAATAAACTTGAGATTCATAATGCGTGGTGCCCAGTCCTCTGCGTTTAGAACGCCCCACGGCGTCTGAAACCACATAGAACTCCACCATGTCTGGTTGCTCTTAAGGTTTCCTTTTGTTTCGCTTGGCTTGAAATTACTGCTGCATTAGTAGATCATGAGGCGTACTAACAGGATAGCAACAAGTCTGGATTGCTTAGTCAAATAAAGCAAGTTTGACACCTCATCTTTGTTGTTCATGAGTAGAGCTCCCGGGCATACTGACCATTCTGCGTCGACTTTCCACTAGTCTAGGTAGTTATCAGGTACCTCTCTGTTTAGTAAGCCGATCTTTGCTCTCTCGTGCCCAGTCTCTCTTCCACAATCGTGATTCGTGGGTCCACGATTAGAACGCACGACCTTTTGTCTGCTCCTGTGCACGATCGCTTTCGTGCGCATAAGGATTTTTTTGCTCCTTTGTGACGAATATAGGGGTGTCTAGCGGAAGAGACGCCTAAGATCGGTGATATCAAGTAGCGAGTAGGGTGTTTGCCTGAGGTGCCTCACGCGTTTCCGAGAAGGGAAGGGTGCGAGTAGGTGCCTTAGGCAGGAAAGGTATAAAAACCTACCTCACCCCCCCCGTATCCTTTCTTTTCCCTTTCCATTCCATAGGCTTGATAGTCTCGTTAGACTACAACGAATAATAAATAAGTCTCTCCTATCATTTTCATCTCTTCACGTTAACTAGCCGAGCGAGGAAACGCGTACCGTGTTCGTACGGGGTCTCAGGCTATCTAGCAACCTTCTTTTTAGATAGGGCTAACTAAGCCGACTAAAGTGTTAGTAGAAGAAGCTTCTCGTTTAGCTAGAAGCTAGTATAGTTAATCAAGGACAACTTTACATTTCTCCAGTAAGTCATAGCTTCTTATGTAGCTCGTACTATTGCTAACCATTTCTAGTATACTGCATGCAGGCCAAGCGATCGTCACCTGTTTATTGCGGCATCAGATAGATCTGAATGTGTAATGATTGGTCGTCGCGTACAATGTGATCTCATATAGCTCATTTGTTGACCCCTCGCGTGCTCACTAACTTTCCATGACTCTTGTCACTCTATTAATCCGAGGTAATCCGAGGTAAGGTACACATCTTGATATTTTTTTGGTTTTTCACACTGTTGAATAGTACTCATCTCCCTCTTCACCGCTTCTCGATATAGCTAGTATAAGAACCTCGCCACTATGGTTGAGAGAATCTCATGTCTCCAATCGCGGCATTCTCGGAAGAACGGAACATCGTAGCCACAGCCGCCGAGTCGGAGCCGACATAAGCGAGGATCACTTGGAGACATGCCATTCTAGACCAATTAAACGCACGAACCAGTCATGAAAATCAGCCGCCATTATGTCAAAGGCTCAAATATTTTGGAGGGACAGCCTTTATGGCGAAATTCATGGTGATTGGACCGTTAGTACTACCCAACTGGGAATTCCACGCAGGTTCTCTCCTGCGGCTATCAAGTAAGCGGGGCAAACCGCCAGAGACATTTCTTCGCCTTTGCCCCACCTTCTGACACTTACGCTATACAGGATGGTGCATCTATTCAGAGCCGAAATTTCTGCTTCGAAATACATCAAACGGCCATTAAAACTCAATTCTCTAGACGGGTCGAGTAGCGGTGTGCCGTGGCGGCTACATACATGAGTTTCTCTGGAGGATGCTGACCCTTGCACGGACAACACACCCGTTTTCGTCGGCTTTCCTATGCTCGCTATCGGTACACTATTTCCAATTACTCTGATCAAAGTCGGAAGTATGTCATCAGGGAATGAATCCAGTGGGTCTCAAGCACCCCGGAAGACCGTGCCAGATGATAGTCGTCCCCGATTTGCATTTGTCACGGAGACCAGTCAGTCAAATGCTCGAAGCCATGCGATGCGTGAGCATTGGAGACAGCGTCACAGTCGTAACAACAGCACCAAGACCAGACGTGTTCAGCCCAAGCTCCTTCCAAACATCTCATCAGCTGCAGACCGGCCCACGAAATCCCATGAAGTCCCTACTCAGTCACGCTCATCTCGAAGCCGTGGGAGCCCAAGCTCAGGGCGACAGTGCTCGGAGACTTCCTCTAACGAGACAGACCAAGAGCGCGATGATAGGATCGAGCTTATAGGAGTACCCTCACAGCTATTGAGTGGAGTGGGCCGCGCGTTATCAAGCTCGAGACTTGACCCTTTCCAGACATTTCCAGTACAATTAACCAGCCAGCATCATAAGCTGCTACATCACTGTATGTATCTCGCCGAATTAAGCGACTTGAACTGATTTGTAACCGCTAACATGAGAATAGGGATCGGCACTCATGCAACCATGATGTTTGAAGATCTGGATATCCCAAGCTTCAATCCAATGAAGGATGTATGGTTCCCCCTGGACCTTTCCAATGCATCATCATTCAACGCAATCATGGCCCATGCCGCGGCGCATCTATCCCATCTTTACGCAGGGACTAGTCCGCAAAAGGGAACCAACTCAGCGGATGCCTTGAAATACAAGGCAGAGGCCGTCCGGATTCTCCATGAATGGCTATCAGACCCACAAAAGGCACTTAGCTATGATGCATTTGCAGCTGTGATTCGACTTCTGACGTTCGAGGTAAATACAGTTCGCACTATTTTAGGGTCCGGGTACTCCGGTGTGGCAGGTGACTGATTCATGCATAGAGATACTGGGGAACTGCGGAGGAGTGGAACATCCACCGCATGGGCCTCCAAAGGATGATCGACGCTAAAGGCGGGATTGGACAGCTCCATGATAACTGGCGTCTCGAGCTTGTTGTTTATCTGTGGGTCCCAATTAATCTAATATCCATGTCTGGCCACTAACATATCTAGCGTCTCCCTAATGACCAAGCCTTCATGGTTCGAGCCGACAAACAACATCTCCGAAGTGTCCGAGCCTTCAGCAGATGCATTCGCCTTAGATCCTTCAATGGACTTTCAAAAGATACGCTGCTTGTGGCTGATATCTTTCATCCAAGATCTACGAACCTTCATGGGATTTTCTTCCCGATTTTACGTTCAAGGACTTTCCACCTATCCCTCGCTCTACCAAGCCGTCCTCCATCTCCGTGATGAATTCCAACGTTCCAATTCATCTGCGTCAGTTACGCTTGGAACATCTCCATCCGACTATGATAGACTGACATGCCTATTCTCAATATGCTTGATGATGCAAGAATCCATCTCTTCCCCGCCTATCGACGCCATGAGCAATTCTTTCTGGTCCAGTGGGCTAGATATCTTGGATGGAGCCCTGATGCAATCGCGGGGTCTGTGGGACTTTTCGGTGCAAAATCTGCGCCCATTTTTACATCAACACCTGGTCGAAACTTATCCAGATGCATTGCAGAAGATAGAATATGTGCGGAGGATGACAGAAGTACTGGGTCAGGTCAGCCTCGAGGCGCGCATTGGTGTTGAGAAGTGTCTTCTCAATATGTTGTGCCGAACGAATGACGCACAAACTGTGTTCTTGGTGGATGATGGATGGACACCTGACTCGTTGTTATCATCGATGCATGGACAATAATGGTGATAGCTGCTCAAATATTGATAGAACATGCTTCGAGCCGTTGACCCGGCCAGTATGGCATCAATGTAAATGACAATGCCAAATCATAAAATACGCATATCCCTCTTGAAAAATGCTTGTTCTACAGGTTCTTCCATAATTTATTCCAAAGGCCATTTACTTTTTCCTCGCGATAGATCTCCGTATTCAATGGCCATGTGTCGATTGTCGATTGACCTCGTGGAGAGGAACCACTCCCCGGACCCGACATTCTTCAGACATACTCCTCATAATTTTCACAGAGTATCTATCTGTATCTTACGACTGCTAAATGCGGCAAGACCATCAATCCAACCATCATGGCAGCTTATTGCACTTGATCCCACGCGGTCGATAGACCCACCAGCCGGCCCCGCTCATTAGACTTCATCGACACCCTCAGCACGCAAGGTGGCGGAAACATTTGGTCGATGATGCGCTCACTATTCCAACAGCCTATAATAATAAATGCCGCCTTACTAAGTCCTGATTGCGCATTCTGGGATATTACTCGATGACCTACCACGGTATCGTCCCACGATATGATGCTTGTCCCCGGAAATATATACTTGAGATCACCCCGCACATACCTTGTGGCTTAACATCCATAACTCCTGTTCTATCCTATTCATCCGCTATCTCCGTTCAATCAGTTTCATTTCACAGTTTACAATTCATCATGTCTGACAGTGAGCACATCCCATCACGGATCATATAGATATCACTAGTTAGTCACAGGTACTTACCATTCACAGAACCATCCTCCCAAGAGCCCGCCCACCAACACGAGGGCTTCTTCGAGCGAATACTCCATCACCACAACCAGAACGAGGATGCCAAATACCAGAAGGAGCCCGATCAGGACAAGGCTCATAAAGATGACCATGACCACGACCATGATGCTCATAAGAAAAAGGAGAGCGAGTTGGACAAGATGAAGGACTACCTCCATGAAGATGAGGAGCTTGAACAGGAAGGAAGAACCTACGGAGGCTTGATGTAAATAGGCCCTCTCTTTCGTGAGATTGCTTTGGGTGTTCTGGTAGTAATGTTTTGACAGTGATGATATCTACTCGTATCGAAGTTTGTAAGGGATGACTATTGGCGGTGGTGGATTGGAGAGAGCTCGATCTCGTAACTATAAGCTGCAATCTTGGCTGCAAACGAATTGGACTTTGATAAAATAGGGCGGCGTTTATTATGACTCTCGGTTTAATTTGAATTAGGTGGAGCAAAATTGATGTTTTAAATGACGTGACTTCTCGTGGCCTTGAGCTCGGTGGTATATTCTTGGACTGATATGAAGCCTTAATAACGTGATACATACACTAGCCAATCTCCCCATTCACGTAGAATTGAAATAAGGTCTCGTGCTTCTCAGTTTCGGTTTTCCGAAGCTGATACATCTCTTACAAGCTAAGATGTGTGGAATGACGACAGATCGCCGCCAACCATCATCTTCAAACCTTCCAGTCAAGGACCAGATCAATCGATTTAGACATAGAGCCGTAGTACACGGCGAGAGTGTCATCATGTCGGATTGCAGCGTCGTGCAAGAGGGTCAGATTGTTTCTTGAACCATATTTGCATTCCCCTACCGTACACAGAGCTGCCTGTTGCTACCTAGCAGCAGGCGAGACCGACCAAACACAAGCCAGCAGGTCATCTTATCATAGGCAAGAATGAAAGATTCTAAAAGTCTGATTTTGATTCAAAAAGAAAAAGAAAGAAAAGGGAAACCTGCAAATATTTACATAGTACACTGGAAAGCACAATCACTTGGTCTTGATGTGCTTGAGCTTCTTGGGCTCGTGAAGGAAGTTGTTGGCATAAGCCTTGGGCACGAACCGGCGCTCATTCGGCTCCTGCACAAAGTATTCGTAGCCCTGCTTCTGGGCAAAAGCAATGGCATCCTCCTTGGACTTGAACTTGAGGTTGGTGCCCTGCATGGCATCCGCGGAAGATTGCCAGCCCATGAGGGGGTTCTCCCAGCGGTGACCCTTCTGCAGAATGTCCCAATCCATGCGCCAGTGGTGTCCGTGCCAGGTACCAGACTGGGTAGCAGGCTTTGTGGGGCGGTAGATTCTATGAAGATCGAGGAATTAGTAACATGGATACCCCGTATAAGACACGATCGAGGTGGGCGAAAGTACCTGACGGTGCGGGCCTGGAGGTCGGTAGGAGCGCCGGAGAGAACTGCAGCGGGCAGAGCAGGGCCGGGCTCGCTGCCATCCATCACGCGCTTGGGGACTGGGGAGAATTGACTGCAGAGTCAAGTAAAAACATGTTAGCGGACTGGATCTGCTGCGGAGAGCAATGCAGGGTGCGAGGCATCGTACGAGGTAGCGTGGTCAATGGTCGCCTCATAATCAGGCTGATGACGGGTCATTGCCTCCGAGGGGCTCTGCTTGTTGATCAACGAGCTGTCCTTGTTGGGCGTGGTGGGAGCATCGGCCGGGCTGGTCTTGATGTCCTTGGCGACATTGGAGACGAAGCGGACATTGACAGGTGCGGCAAGCCGAGTCGCACGGAGGCCAGCAGCACCTCCAATTCGGAAGAGCGACATGGTGGACGGTGGGGAGTGGGGATTGGTGGTTATAGCCAAAGACGAGGCGGGTTGTAGGAGGAGGTCAATCGCAGAGTGCAGGTCACGGCACATCCGAATCGGGTTTAGCGCACCTAACTCATCCGACCACCCGCTTCCCGACCGAAGAGTCTCTTCCTCCTGCATCATCAGTCGTTCCCGGTTCACTTGCGCTGCGAAAGACAGTACGTGCCTCTCGTTGGTTTTGATGGAATACTCGAGGCCGAAACTATTGATTGCGACCAATTTCTGACCCCCGACAGTCCAGACAAGATGAGCTACATCGCCCGCCGTGGTCTCTCGACCCTGATCCCTCCTAAGGTACGACGACCCGGCATTGTCTCGTTAGAGGCTTCGCAAATGACTGCTGATGATACTAACTGTTTACTTAGATCGCCTCTCCCAACGTGAGTCACCCGCAACCCCTTCGCGAATGCCATCGCATCTGGCACCTCCCCCGGTTCCCGTTCTTTCCCGAAGGCTCTTTTCGTGCCATATATCGACGCAACACAACATCCCTCGTTCTCGAAAACATCGCTAACACAGAATTTGAAGGCCATTGGTGCTGCTCAGGATGCTGCCCGCATGGAGCGTGTTGTGAGCTTCTACGCTGGTCTGCCCCGTGGCCCTGCCCCCGAGACCAAGGCCACCGGTCTCCTCGGCCGCTACCAGGCTCGCTACTTCAACAAGAACTCCCCCGCCCGTAAGTTCAAGGGACGAACCCATTGCCGATATAAAATGGATACTGATCCGAAGCAGCTCTGCTCCACGCCATTGCCGGAATCCTGATCATGGGCTACAGCATGGAGTACTACTTCCACCTGCGTGAGTACCACCCTGAGCAAGAGACCGTCCAACTCCCGATATCTCTCTTGCTGCATGAAATGCTGCTCGCACCTTCGCATACTAATAATTCTTGCAGGCCACCACAAGAACCACCCTCACTAAACTATTTTATTTGTTTGGAAATTGGGAGGAGGATCTGGATGTATATACTGCATCCTCTTTCCCGAGAGTCACAGTGTAGGCGTTAGAGACTCCTGAAATCGAATCTCACCATGTTTTATTATTATACCATATATCCCCATTAGTAGTCCCATGAACCTGCGCAAGGCAGTTCATGGCCATGCTCTCGTACTTTGGATATTCGTAGTCGCACCACCACGGCCTAATAAGTTGCTGCGTCACCTAGCCGTTACTTAGCCGTCACCTAGCCGTTACTCTAGAACTACTCCTACAAGATAATGCTAAGCGTCAAATTCTCTTCATTCTTTTCCCAAACCTCTGGACATCTGCATATCGAGGCCGCCGACGACTAAGCACTCCTGATCCTGATCGTCGTGGGCGACAGAACTGTGCCACACATCACCTTCCCGAGTCGGCGCTAACCCAAAACAGCGAGCGCTCAGCTTCAAACCCGACAACCATCTCAACGGGACGAACCACGTACACATTCCGTTACCTCCCCCTCGACACCGTTCTCTTCCGTGATATCCTCCCCTATTCTCGGGATTTCTTCAGGGCAGCGGCTAGCCTCACGCGCCCTTCTCGATTCCGCACCAGCCACTCTCGCGGAGCACTCCACCCGGCTCTCTGACAGCACCTCCGGGAGGTTGGCCGCCCCAACGATCTCTACGTGGTTGTGGAATCCCGACTTTCCAGGGGAACAACCAGACGAAGGATCAGAAGTTCAACCGTGGCGATTCCTGGACTCTGACAAGAGGTACGCGCCGTCGCCAGTTCTCCTCTGTGCTTATGCGACTTTGAACCTGCGGCTGTCCACTTGTGTCCACTTGTGCCCGCAGGATTTCATCCCATACCCCGGATCCATTCTTCCCAAAGTATCGGTCTAACAAATGCCGCTTCTTTCATTTGCAGACTCGAGTATTGTTATGGCAGAGCAGTTCGGCCGCGATGTGGTAGATCAGACCCTGTCGGGCGGCGAGCTTTCGCCTTCCGGCGTTCCTGCGAGCATCAATGACAACATATCTGCTGGAGGGGACGTGGGGGAGACTCAACATACCACATCAAATTTGACCACACAAGTATCGACTGATCCGCAAATCAACGATAAGACGAGGCACGCGCTTGGTTCTCAGGTGGAGGACACTGGAGATCATAAGGTTGCCGGAGGTTCTGCGATGGTGGGTGCATACGGATTGGGAAATGGTTTGATCACGGAGCTGAACATGGTGCAGGATGCTTCGAAGCAGGGCAGCGGTTTGGTTGCTTCCAGAGCGCTTGAACTGAACGGATTAACATCGGTATCCGATGGCGGGGATGACACAGCTTCACAGGGTGGTTCAGAGTCAGATGCCAGTCGAACGGATGGCAGACATCATAACCGCACTGGATCTGTCAAGAAGCCCACAACTTTCAAGCCCGTGTCATTTGCCAAGTTTGCGGTTGCCAAAGCCCCCGGGGCTCCTGCAGCACCGAAGGCACCCGAGAAAGGTTAATCTCCTTTGTTCATTTTGCTTGACTATTTGGGGAAGGCACGACCCAGCTAACCACCTACATACATAGTTCCGTCTACCTCTACTACTCCTCTTGGTACCCCTCAACCGACTTCACGGCCGCGCTTGGTCGCAAAGACCACCGCTGGCATGCGAGACTCTTTTTCCAAGACCGGTGCAGGTGGTGGGAAAGGCGCAGCAGGACCTGACCCAAATCAAGTTTGGAACAAGAATCGTCGTATGTGTTCATGCTGGTGTAGAATTTGAGTCGCAGAACTGACCAGTTGCTTCTGAATATAGCTGTCCAGCCACCCCCACCAAAGCACTTGACTGACGAAGAGTTGAAACAACAATATGGAATCCACATGACATCTCGAATTCAAGAAGACGGAGGTGGTACGGAGGCCAAATGGGCTGATATTGATGACGACGAGGACGACTGGGCTCCGGAGACGATCGAGTGGACCGACGGAACGAAAGTGACTCTCACGCATACCGATCATCCCGCACCGCCTGCAGACCTGATTCCAGAAGAGTCAAAGGATGTAGCACCGGTACCCGAACAGACCATCGCAAGAGACCCCATCAAGATTGCTGCTCCGAAGCCGACCACGTCCGTGGGACCCAATGCTACAGTTCTCAGACTTGGGGCCAACGCAGAACGACAGGCCAAGGCTGCGAGTATCTCGTCGAAAGGAACGAATGATCGAGCACAATCTGGATCTACAAGCCCGGCTCCACCAGCCAAGTCTCCATGGGCGGCTTTGCCTCCTGTTGAACGAGTATCCCCTGTTAACCCACCCGTTCATGTATCTCAACCGCCCCGTGGCCCCGGTCCTGTCAGCCACCCACATCGAGACGATGTTCGCCAGGGTCCATACGCACCGCAAGAGATCGCCGCGGATGACTTCAACCGGACATGGCGAGAGAGTGCACCTGGTGCGCCTCGGGAGTTGTACAATTCTCGGTCTGGACGCTACGAACCAGTACAAGACAATCGAAGAGGATCCTGGCGACAAGATCAAGGCCCTCGTCCTCCTGCTGTTCTGCAACGACCCAATCACGTGGAGTCAGGTGGTCCAGCGGAACCATCTGCTGCATTCCAGACTCATCGTTCTACTCACCAGGATGGTACGGGTTGGAATCGACGCCGCACATCGTCAAATGTCAGTGGAGGAAGTGGAGGATTTGGTCGTCGCATGTCTTTTGGCCGCGATGCACCACCGCCCAGGTATATGGAGGGTCGACGGGGATCGCAAACAAATGGTATGGTTGATCCAGCATTGATGGGCCGTGAACCTGGACCCACACATGAAGGCCCTCCATCACAACAGCACACTGCTGCCTCATGGGCTGGACAGGCACCGCGGAGTGTGAGTGTTGCCTCATCGGTCGAACAGGCTACCCCAGCTTCTGTGCCTGAAACTCCCCAGGAAGACCCACTTGTTCTACAGGAGCGAATCATGAAGGATGCGCGTGCCCAAGCTCGACAGCGCCGTTTGGAGCAAGAGGAAAAGGATAGGCTAGAAAGGGAAGAAAGAATCAAGAAGAAGCTTGCTGCCTTGGGTCCACCCCCCGAGAAGCCTCAATCGCAACGCAAACAATCCGTCGAGGCAAGCAAACCTCAGACTCCTGCCCCACCACCCCCGGCCATTCTTCACTCTCCTCCTCTTCACTCTCCTCCCAAACCTCCTGTTCCTGAACCATCTGGCGCACCGAAACAGTACGGCATGATGAAAGTTCACCATCCTGATTCAGTCAAGAAGCTCGTCGCAGCGAACGAGCGGGATCGTGCAACTGAGAAACATACTGAAAAGCCTACCTCACCTCACTTGCGTCGCGTCCAGCCATCTCCACGTGAGCAGAAGCGTGAGCTCGCCAAACAGCCCCAGAGCGAGACGCCAGATGAAATGGGTGATGATCACGGTCCTGGTTGGCGCGCAAATTTGAATGTTCCCACCTCCAACGTTCCTACTTCCAACGCTCCCACCTCCAACGCTCCCAACTCTTACGCCCCGTGGACCAACGCCAATATGCCTTCAAATCCTCCTTCGGTGAACAACCCCTGGAAGCTTCTGAACAGTGATCGGACCCTTGGCAACGGGATATTCGACCAGAGCCTTGGTGGGTTCCCGTCTCATGAAGTTCCTCTCCGCGGTCAGCTCAAGTTGGATCAACCATCCGTGCCTCCCCAGGCATTTTCTGGACCACAAGAATCAGCTTCGATCTCACCTCTGCCATCCCCTGAGACTCGACACGCTCCCATCGGCCGTCCAGGCCCGATTGGCCCCCCTTCTTCACAGCAGAATATGTGGCAGCAAGATTCTGGTCGTCATGGTGGATTGCCCTTGCCGGCGTGGAATAACTTCGATACACTGTCACGGGAGAGCACCCGTGCCATGCAGGAACGGGCCCGCGCGCAATTCGAGGCGAACAAGGGCAAGCCGAACCCCATTGCTGCTTCCCTCCAGACAGAATGGAAGCCACTTCGAGGAAGCTCGGCAGAGACTACCCAGAAGAAATCTGTGATTGGCATCGCCCCCGGACCGGTGAACAACAACAAGAACGGTCCTCCCACCAACCGTCTGACCGGACTGGATGCCCCTGTGGATGGTCTTCCCGAGAGCCATGCTCGTCCCATTGCTAGCGTCCCAGCTCGCAGCTCGCGTTTCTTCCCGCAAGCCAGTGAGCAGTTAAAGCGCCCAGCAACGGAGAAGAGCGAACACCACCGCAGCCCATCGCCACCTCCCCCAGAGGAGGTTTCGACTCACCCCGTGTACTTTGGTGGTTCTGGCCGGCCTTTGGTCCATCTTCCAAACCCAAAGCCGGTCGTCAAGCTCCCCCGAAAGCTCAGGCTCCCCCCGCGGCCCCGGCTGCTCCACCCACTTTTGCCTCTATGGCAGCTGCTCCTCCACGCGGCCCCCCAGCTCCAGCGTCGGGTGCTATCTCTTGGCAGGAGAAGTTTAATGGACTCTTCGGCAAGAAGACCCCCGTTGAGAGAAAGTCCGCTCTCGCAATTACGTCTGCAACCAAGGAGCCTTTGGATGTCTCGCTGTCCGTACCAGCTGTTTCAGTCTCGCTGCCTAGCATTGAGAATGGCGTACAGATCGGTGACGGTCACCTTGCCGTCCGCCAAGTCGAGGAACAAGATGAGATCTTTGAAGATCGCGAGCCAGGCTCTCTGCCCAGCGTCCGGGTTCCGAACATGGCTCCGGCAAACGCGTGGACGGCCGCTCCCGCGCCTCCACCTTCCCGCCAGCGTGCCAAGGTTCTTAAGCCGATGCAAGTCCAAAGCATTGAGCAGTATGAGGTTGGGTCTGATGAGAAGGATGCAGCTGGCAACATTCGCGTTGTGGTTCGCCTGCCCGGCGCTGCCGAGGCCATGACACTGACTCTTCCGAAGAAAGCTGGAGGTCCTCCCTCGCGCCAACAGCAGCAGCCGCTGCAGCAGCGCAACTCTTCCAACTTCAACAAGACCCGCAAAGGACCGAAGCCCCGCGATGCCTCGGGAAGTACTTCGGGTGCTAAGAAGCCCTCTACTCCATCCCAGCAGCAGTCAAGCAGCACTGCCTCTTCATCCCCTCGCCACCAGTCGCGGACTACATCGTGGGGTCCCCGCAAACAGAGCGGGCCACGCGCCTAAGCGCAATTCTTATCCACGAAAGGATCATGAACGGGAATTTTCCATGAGCATTTTCTCCGTTCCGGAGTGAACTCCTTTCCGGAGTTTCAGAGTCCTTCTAGAAAGCTGATTCATTTGCTTTGTGATTTTTCTCCCGATCTGCACCTAATTTCGCCACATACCTCAGTGTTTGCTGCTCTGCAATCCGAGCGTTCCAAAGAAACGATGGACTCAGCAACACAAATTCCCTAATCTCCCATCCGCCCCCATTCCACACCTTCACACCCCGTTCCCTCTTCATGTTATGTACTTCTTCGTTCACACCCACAATTCTCTTGTGGCCGCCGGGCTGTACGCATTCGTGTACGGCATGGCAAAGCCACGAGAGGATTACCGAGTCTGCCATACTCATTTCTCGGGTCCTACTTCGTTCTTTGATAGCTGCGGGTAATATCTGCCTAGCCTCACGTCCAATGGATTTCAATCCCAATGTGCCTTCCTGTGTATTCTGTAATGCGTTTTAGCTCAATCCTACTGCATCATAGGTGTCGTTTGTAAGTCTTTGGTGTATCATGCAGCCTACTCAATTCATGTCATGTACTATGTAGTTCTGAGTTGTTGGTTCTTGCATGTTATATGTCTCTTCTAGTGTAGATGCTACGTGTAGGCCGTGGGAGATATAAGTAGATGTTCAATGTTAAGAACCCTTTTGGCCATGAGCTCAAGATACGCAAGTTTGCTAGCACCACATAAATCAAGACACATTCCACAACATGATAACACTGAATAACTGGTTTGCTCAACCGCATGGCATTCATGGCATTCCATCCTTACTAAATTGTGTCATCTATCAAGCAAGTGCTACCAATCTAACCGACGACAAGCACACGTACATTACAGAGCATTTTGCATGCTAATCCGCCAAAGTAAAGAAGAATATCATTATCGACGACAGCAGTAGATGTGCAATTCAACCTTTCCCTTTATAGGCCTGCAGAAGAGTCATTAAAACTCAACAATGCCCTCTAGTGCTGGAGAAGTGTCAATTTCCTGTACTGATTTTTCTGATCCTTCTTTGACGGGGTTCCCCTTATATTAAAAGTGCTTGAACCTTGGAGAGAGTAGCCTCTTATCATATTTTCTTTTCAATAACGTAAAGGCCCGCTTTACAGGCTTCGATCCAGAATCTCTTATGTACTCCGTTATGTCAATGTCAAATTGATATTCCACAATAAGCCCCTCATGCCACATGGGATAAAAGCTTAGCATTGATGCTCTAGCCATCGAATCTATTGAGAGGGTGTCCAAGCCAGTTGAGGTACTTAAGCTCCTCCCTAGAGGCGGGAAACTCAGGTTTCTCGCCAGATGCTCAACAAAAAAAACCTCTATCGACTATATGAACAGGTTCGAAACGATAGTTATGCCATCTTCCCTCTTACATACCTGCGCAATGATCTTTACCCTTTATCGATGCTCCGTATAGATTGTGCTTTGGGTATAAATGTGGAGTATTTGATGATAGATCAAGTGTAAAACACGTTCTCATCAAATTTTGTTGCTAGTGGAGACACTTCAGACCTAAGTGGAGCGAAGAATGGAACAATGGAGAACGGGTTCTTTCTCCGCGATAGATACTGCCCGAGAACGGTCAAATTACACGATTGAATAGTCAATTGGAATCGGTAGATAACGACAGCACTCGCTTCTCTCGGCTTCAGCAAGAAGATGAAGAAGAACAAATGGCCAGTCTTGCCGAATATGCTTATCTTCTAGAACAACCACATTGCTGTCAAAGCCCTCACTATCCAGCCGGATACTAACGGCAAGAACAGGATTCGCTCGGATCAGCAGAACAAAAACTAGCGTATTTAGCAATTCGTTGATGCATCGCTTCGTATCTATGCATGATGGTTCCATATTGTCTCTATTATGCAGGGATGACTTTTTTTCCGGGGCCAAACGCCGTACTCCAGATATCTTGCTCCATACTCCATACAGAATGCTTCTGAGAGGTCAATCGGCTGGCAACGGCGCCCCAGAGTCCACCAGGACCCAAGTAATTGTGCCGATAGTGCCGAGTTGAGACACCATAACCGAAAATTGGCTGAAGAAATTGGCCCGAACTAAGCACGAATGCACCTTCCCGATTAGTCCGCGCCGGTGCCCCGCCGTAATCCGGCGTAATCGTGTTACCTTCAATGAGATTTGAAGTTCATAAGCTGTTTCGAAATACGGATCAAATATGGCTTATGAGACGTACTATGCGCTACATATGTCCCATGGACCCGATTATCTCTCAATGGCTTAATTGGTGGTGAAATTCTAGAAAGCTATCCTGATCCACTATGGACAATTTCCCTTTTGGAATTTTGTAGCCTGTAGGATATCGGACTATCTCCACCCTTGACCCGTTTTTCCCACAAGAATGTCTCCCCTCTGAGTATTACAAGTAAAATGCCCCAGGCTTTATCTCTTGTCAATCTAGAGGAAGGAGAAATGATGAGTGGCACCGAATTCCTCACGACAGGAGGACCATGCACGCATGTACAACTCCATGTACTCCGTCCGTATACTCCGGTTATAATGTATCATCCGGATAGAGTTCAGGCGCGTCAACGCGTGCATATGTGGCGGAAACAAGAAATTAACCAGACGCTTGGTATTTCTGCAAAAAACTATCAGGAACAGTGGCGCGGCCTAAGCGAAGCGACGTGGGCAGGTCCACAGTGTAATGCTCCGATTCGCGAAGCTTATCTGAATCAAGCCTCGGATGTTACCCAGCCCACCTTCTTGGCTATGCTTGGCTACGCTCGGCCCGTTGAACCCATTGCTCTTTACTCGTTGCGTCCGAGTCCTTTCCCCGGTTGGATTTAGTACAATGGGCTAATCTCGTGGATGTCTTGGTCAATGGCCAACCAGGGACACGCGATGCCACGCCATTGCCGACCTCATGGCGACGGAAAGACTGGGTTGGCCACGTCTTCGCCCGGACTAGTGAATTCAAATTGCTTTGACCACGAGGTATTATTCAGAATTGAACGGATATTACTGAGCGAAGCTAGAATGACCGTCGGGGTTATCAGATACAGTGTGAGCGGTATACGCCGACGCGACGAGATAGGGCCGAGGGTGTGGGTTATATGAATTGGGTCCTCCAGACTCTCGCTCTCCTCTTTCCTTGGATCTCTTTTCCCTCAGTCACATTTACTTGTTGTCAAGATGTCGATGCTACCTGGCCCTATGGCCATCACGGCCCCTACAGAACAGATTCGTGAAAAGGGAGCTACGGAGGATGAGATCCGCCAAATGGAACAGGAGGGCACCCACCCCGGCGTGCGCCATCGCATCTGGGGTCTGGAAGCCCGTCTAGATCCATCGGTGACTTTTGAAGAATTCACCTATTGGGCTAAGATTGAGCGTGAACTCGAAGATGTGGACTATCGTCGCTATACTGCTGTGACCGGCGGCGGCGGTATCCTCGGCTCCATCAAGGGCTACTTCAAGAACAACCCTTATGAGGATGCCAAAATCCAGGAATCGCGTGAGCTGCAGGCAAACGAGCAGTCTCTCCAGGTCTCCGAGAAGAAGGCCAATGTTGCATCCAACAGCGCATCCAACAGCAGCGACGAGGGTGCTGTCAGCCCTATTGCACCCCCTCCCTACGAACTCGATGCCGAATGGCGCTTGGCTGCCAGAGCCCTGCGCAATGCCGGTTGGGGAACCATCTTCTACCTGATCACGACCGATATCCTGGGTTGGTCGCAGACACCCTACGTCTTCGCCAACACTGGTTACGGCCTCGGCGTGGGCATCTTCGTCCTTATGGGGCTTGCTGCTTTCGCCTCCGGAATCATGATCTGGAGAACTTTCCTCGGTCTTGACTCGTCCCGGTACCCGATTCTCAGCTTCGGTGATCCATTCCTGCGTCTGTATGGACCTCGCATGCGCCACTTTATCAACTTCATGCAATCGCTGCAGATGTTCCTGAGTGTCGCTGTCGTTCTGCTTGGTAATACTGGTATCATTGCTCAGCTGGGTGGAAACGCCAACCTGTGCTATGTTGTCTGCGGTATTATCTCGCTTGTTGTTGGCATGGCCAGTGGTTACATGCGCTCTCTCAAGCACCTCGGTTGGTTCTGCAACATGTCGGTGTGGATCAACATTGTCACCTTCGTTATCATGTAAGTCTCCTATACCTCGCCATACCCGTTTGATATAGTACGCTGACGGGGCTGTTTAGCTGTGTTGCTGCCGCCAAGCATGGCCCTGACCCGGCTGCTGCTGTTGAGAACGGTATCCTGAACAAGGCTTGGTCTACCGTCGCGACAATGGCGCCGGTCAAGACCTTTGTCAGCACTCCTCCTGCCGAGTACCAGCCCACCGACACGAACCTCTTTGCTGCTCAGTTCAACGGAATCAACAGCATGGTTTGTAAGTTATCCTTCGAGGCCTTTGGATTGGAATTAAATTGCTCACTGCTCTCTGTTTAGATGCCTACTCGGGAGCTGTGATGTTCGTCGCCTTCTTGTCCGAGATGAGACGCCCTATGGACTTCTGGAAGGGTCTGCTCGTTGCGCAAACCTTTATCACCGTTGTCTACATCTTCTTCGGTGCCTTTGTAAGTATTCAATTGCTCTCTACTGCAAATATCACACGTAATACTCATACCATTCCCAGGTCTACCACTACTACGGCCAATACAGCTACAGCAACGTCAACCAATCCGTTAACCCCAAGAACCTCCAAGTTGTCGGCAACGTCCTTTCCTCCTAACCGGTTGGCTTGCCATCTGTACGTATCAATCCATCACAATCCATCCCCACCCAAAGCAACATCACATCACAATAATATCCCCAACTAACATCCCACCCAGTCCTCTACTTCAACGTGGGCATGAAAACCGTCTACCTCGAAGTCGGCCAAGCAATCTTCAGCCTCCCGCCCATAACCTCCAATCATGGCAAATACCTCTGGTGGGGTCTCGGCCCCGTATACTGGATAATCGCCTTCGTCCTATCAATGTCCGTCCCCGAATTCAGCGCCTTCACAAACTTCGTCGGCGGCCTCTTCAGTCTAAACTTCACCTACTCCTTCTCGGGAGTCATGTACCTGGCCTATAAGATCCAAGACGGTGCTAGACTGCCCGGCGAGGGATTCGACCCCGCCACAGGCCAGACGACCCGCCTTGATAAGGGTGTTAAGCGGTGGGTGCGCGGGTTCATGAAGACTTGGTATATTAGTGGTCCTGTGCTTGTTTTTACGTGCTGTGGTCTTGCTACGTCTGGGATGGGTACTTGGGCTGCTGTGTTGGCTTTGGAGTCGGCGTTTGGTCCGGGGGGTTCGGTGGTTACGTCTTGGACTTGTGTTAACCCTTATTATAATGGCTGAGGGGGTGTAGTTGGACTGCTGGATAGTCAGTGTATGGGGTTGGTGTTTTGATAACTCGCCCCCTGCAGGGCTGTCGGGAGTGCCCGAGCATGAGTCGCCGATGACATTTGAAGCCTTATAATCGTTACGTGATGTTATGTCAATGCATTACGACTGGTAGTTAGTTTAGCTAAATATTGACGTGTTATCAATATCTGCCATTCCCTTCACAATTTGTGTTGTATCGTCCTAGTTTCGAAAGAGAAAGGGATGGGCTAGATGATGGATCTCCTGTACAATGGGACGACTGCCATGGTCCCGGGACACCACTCAGATTGAATATCCAGGCTCGCCTAGGCACGAAAGGTCTTTAGCGGTTGTCCTCGATGGGTATGTCTCATAACTTCCACTTCGTCATTTCTTCAGGTTGACGCCCTGTTACAAACTATTATTACAAACTATTATACAGCACCTGGTTGGATGCCACGGACACCTTGCACGCCCAGGGCTACTATCTAGAACGACGCTTAGAACCATCTACATTACATTCACATTCATCCAATGTACGAGAGAAGAGCACAGTAGTCACACAATAACATTTTCTAAAGAAGATATGGTACAAAACCGAGGTATCAAGTAAAGTAAAAAAATATCCAAAACATTCAGACACCAAAAACAACGCATGCCCAAATCGCTCCCAAACACCATGAGAAGACACCACCAGACGCCGATGAAGTCATTAATCGAGAAGATTACAAGAGATACTCAACGCCCATAGTTGAAATAAACGGAATAGATACTGGAGTGATGGCTCGTATGTCCATTACCAATTCCAAGTACGGCTGGACGCCGTGAAGACTGGCGGCTTCCACTGCAGACGAACGGGGTCGATCCTGCGAGAACCCTTGATCTTCTCCTTCTCCAGGCGCTTGTTGTGCTCGTCGAGGACTTGGTCGGTTAGAACGATAATCCAGTTTCCTTTCTGTGAGAGGGTTAGTATCGTGTTCAAAGAAATAAGGACAACGAGGGGAAATGATAGCTTACATGGTATCGGAGCATGTTGTTCACCAGCAATGTCTCGTGAATATCCTTCTCGGTCATAGACGTGAGAAGAGCGAGTTCATTCTCGCTCATAGCCTCACGGTTTGGTTCCGCCAATAGCTCAACAAGCGTCTCCCGCCAGTATCGACGGTAACTGAGCAAACCCAAGTCACTAAGCGGTTTCTCGGGAGAACCCAGTTTGCCCTCGCGCTTGCTTAGCTCGTAGCTCATGGCGATGAGTAGACGACCATAACCTGCGCGCTGGAATTGCGGGAAGGTCGTGATACAAGCCAAGTTGTAGCCCTCGGCAGAATCCTTTTCTTTGGAGAAGTAGCCGACCAGATGGCAGCCCGTATCGTCGCGCGTGCACATGCAGTAGAAGAGGAAGGGGTCCACGTCATAGTAGAGCGTCTTGTGGTCTAGGAAGAGCTTGCTGAGAAGACACAGGTTACGACACCATGTCCGCTGACGACGGCCGTCAACCTCGAAGAAGGAAATGTTTTCGTCACGGTAGATTTCGTTGCCGGGCGGGTGGACCATTGTGCACTTGGCACGGTGACGCTCAAAAGCACGGTAATTGTCAAAGTAGCTGAGACAGAACTCGTCGATGTAGACTAGATCCACATCGGAGAACGAATCGGGGTATGGCGAGAAATACCACGGCTCGATATCGTGCTTGCCCATTTGAAGCTTGGTCAAGTTTCGCACACGGTGGACCTCAGTTGGATTCTGGGTCATACTACCACCGGTACGTAACCGCTCAATTTCCTCTTCGCGGGTGATCAGTTCACCAGAAGCGGTCTTGACTTCGTCCTTGAGTGGCGCATCGGTCATTTCTAGGTCCTCCGAGTCCATCATTTTCGGCGTCCCGACGGTGGACACTGCTTCAGACCCGATCATTGAGATATCGGGCGTATCCCGGTTCTCTTTACCCCCAGCCTTTGAGGGCCGGGAAGCCCTTGCAATGTTCTGGTTCTTACTGCCAAAGGCATCTGGAGTCCCTGATACCTCGCGGCTATCGGCGCGCTGCTGTTTCTGGACATTCTTGCTAGGGGCCTTGGTCGTAGCGGCGCTCTTCTTCTTGTCCGCCTTTTCAGGCCGAGGCCACTCTACCTCCTGAGTGAGGTCGATTCGGGCAGCTGGAACCCATTCTGTAGATATAGTCAGTATTCATTCAAACCATTTTACTGCCTTGAAATAAGCTTACCGTCAAGACGTTTGTTGAAATCGACATAATGAACACTAGATAGATTAGCATGATTGAAACAGACTAGCTTGAGGGAGCTAACTCACTAGAATGAAAGTCCACCCTTCCGTTCTCGAATCGACAGAATCTCAGCTTTTCGAAGTTCGCCATCCTAGCATCCTGGTTAATCCTATATCACGTGATATCCGACAGGCTCTGCGCCAGGACAACTCACCTTCTGAACCATGGCCTTCACACCCAGGCTATCATCTTGGTCAGTATATGCGACCGAGGAAAAGCGACTCTGCGAGCCCCCAAAAAATCCTCAAGGTTCTTCTCGATCGGGTTGAACTTACGTGATGGTGTTGATGGTGGCAAGGCCTCTCTCGACGGGGTCGGGCGTCCCCGTCACCTCGCCGGAGTCTCGGACGCCCATGGTGATGTCTGCAGTGAGATTCCTGGGCAGTATCCGGGCTCAAAATAGATGAAATCGATGGATGCGATGATGCGCGGTCGATGGCAGGTGAGTGGTGAAGGCAGAAGGGGGAGGCGTCGTCAAAGGGTATTATGTCAGCGGGACCGCATCGGGAAGTTGTCACTCTTGGTGAGTGGAGAGTTGGAGATAACTATGAGGAATGTTGGAAATAGAAGCAGAGATGGTGATAATAAATCTGATTTCTTCTTATCTACATAATATTATCTACATAATACAGAACACAGCAGATACTATGGAAAGTCTTTGTTGAATGATTTAATTGTGACCAGATTCAACTCCTAATGATTTGCATTATCCACGCAAATGTAACCACCCTAATGATACAAAAATACTAAAACGGAGCCTGCAGGGGGTCATGATCCAAAAATATAGAAGAAATGAAGGAAAACTAGCCTACAATTCAATGCCAACCATTGATCGTAGCTGTACCAGCGACAAGCTCATCGAGCTCGTCCTTTCGGCTCTTGTACAGTTCCTGAGCCTCACGCTCGCGGCGCATCATGAAGGACACCTCTTCTCGCAGGCGCTCCAGTCGCCGAGAGACGGCAGCTTCCTCGGAGATCTGCAGACTGCGGAACGCGTCGAGGTCATCTTGTGCTTTGGGCAAGGCCGCACTGGCTTCCAGAATTTTCGTTCGCAGCATCTTGGCACGGTTCTGGTATCCGCCGTAATGCAATGCCAGCTTCTTCTCTAGCTTGTTGCCCTTCTCAGCGGTGGCGAGCAGGGATGTTTGCACTCCGTCAAAGGCTGCTATCATCCGTTGCTCCTCTTGGAAGTCATCCTCTTCATTGTCGTCGTCGTAGTTAACTAGGCCAGGTAGTGATTGAGCCCGAGTAGATGACCAGACGTCGTCAAACTTGTCTTGCCAATCTTTTTGTTGCTGCTGTGCCTCTTCTGAAGCGAGTTCAGCAGCAATGGCAGCACGAGCGGCCTCCAAGAAGCTATCGTCCAAACGATCCAATTTTGGTGCTTTTCCTCCGATCTTGGCACCAGGTACAGGGTACTTGCGCGAGTCGTGAGCGATAATGACAGCAGCCTCCCTCGCAATCAAGCCTTCAACAGGATCTGTGACGTGAGAAGCACGCTGCATCAAAGCATCGAGGTCAAGAACCACGGGTCGAGGCAGACCGCGCTGGTATACTTGGGACTGTCGCTTGAACTCCGCTTGTGCAGCCTTCTCCTTTGCCTCCTTCTCTCTGCGATCGATTTCAGCCGCATCCTCCTCTGTCATCTCCATAGCAGCAGACGGCTCAGCGTTTTCGGATGGAAGCTCTTCCAGCTCCCACTCGGTCTCCTTGGGCTTGGGGAGTGTAGCGAGCTTGCTGCGAATGGATTGACGCATGAAGTTCTCGTGCATCTTGATATCACGAGGAGTGCTACCAACAAGTTGTCCACCCTCACCTTCCCGGTTCAGGGCAAAATGATCACGAGGTGTGCGCAAGGGAGTGGCCCCAACTCCGCCAGTCATGGGGGTGGCTCCCATACCATTGGCCTGTCTGAAGGGAGTGGCCATGGGGTTGGGCGTAACAATATCCTGTCGTCGAGGGGCAATACCTTCAAAACCTGTTGAGGAACTGCCTTCATGGAGAGGTGTGTTCTCTCCTCCGAGAAGAGAAGACTGTGTCTCGGTAAGGGCCCGGATGTTTTTAATTTCATTGGCGATGTGATCCTCCTCTGGTGCAGCCCGGGGCGTGCGGATAGGAGTTCCTCCAACAATCGCACCATAATTCCCAATGAAACCCCGAGTCGTTTCTTCGTCGCCACTCATCCGGCTGGCCTTTTCTCCGGCCATACCCAATTTAATAATATCCTCCATCTCACCCTCGCCGACCTGCGGTGCAGGCAGAACGAGACCCCGTCGCTTGCTGCTTTGCTCTGCTTCGCGGATCTTCTGCATTTGACCGGCACGTGCAGCCGCAGCGAAAGCAGCCGAGTTGCTGTTCTTATCATTCTTGCGCTTCTTGCGCTCGGCGTCTTCGTCTTGGTCACCCTTCCGCTTGTTGGCTAGCTGTTGCTTGCGGGGATCGAACATTTCCCGTTGGCGCTCATTCCGGGTTTGCTCATCGGCCGTATCGTAGAATCCAGGAGCAGCGGGCTTCTCAAATGGAATGTCTGCGTTGTAATCCATCTCGCCGGGCTTCCGAGTAACCACCTTGACATTGATACCGGCATGCTTCAGTTCGCGACGCTTCTGCAGCACCGCCAACCGACGGGATTCCTCCAATTGGCGTTCTCGGGCCTTGCGCTTGGCCTTTTTACCCTGTGTGTTGGCGAGACGGGCACGAGCTTCACTGAGCATCTCCTTCTCATCTTCATCGAGGTCAATCGTGTCGGGGCGTGCGGGTTTAGACTCGGGATCGGGGTCCAACTCTCCGGGGCTATGGCCCGTTAGTATCATCGTCATTCTCGAATGTGGGTGAAAGCTAAACATACCGAAGGCGACGGACATCGTCCGCACTAGGCGCCGCCGTCTCTCCACCTTCTGGTCCTCCTAGACCGAGCTCATCATTCTCGCGAGCTTCGGCCTCATCCAAAAGCTTTTGGTAGCGCTCGAGGCACTGTGTTGCGGTACGTCCGACAATGGGGGCGATGGTTCGCCATTGCGTTGGCATCAACTTCGCCAGGTGCAGAAGCTTCTCATCCTCCTCTCGCGACCACTCCACTTTGCGAATACCAGGGTCCAGCCATTCGATCCAACGCGCCTTGCACTGCTTCGGGGTCTTGCGGGCGAGGAGAGACGACACACGAGCCCACTGGTTGAGACCATATTTCGAGACCTGCCAGACAGTCAGTATTTGCGCGACTCGTCAACACACTTTGAAAACTTCGGAGAAAGACGTACGGCGGCCCGAAGGACCTCGTCCTCGATATTGGTCCTAATGAGCTGTTAGCTATAATTGGTCGCGAATAAAGACGAATGAGGTTGAAGTCTTACCAAACACCACCTTTGACAACCGGCATGGTGCGCGACTAGACTTCAGCTAGTGATTCTATCAAAGAGAAGAATCAAGATCGCGAATCAACCTCCGGGGAGATAAAGAAAGAGAGATCCCCGGACAGTAGCAGTTGACGCGCGGTGACTTGACGGAGCTGGAAGAAAAGCGAAGTCGCCAAGGCTCGAATCCCTTGACCGCCCGCCCTGGCCGCCCCCGCGTTAGGTAAGCGGATCCAGAAATTTTGGTTTTTTTTCTAGATTTTTAATTTGGGGACTTTGCAAACAAAGCTGATAAGAGCATCAACCATGTCGACGTCGGTGGATGCCCCTCAACAATTCAAGCAGCCTTCCCGGAAGGGTAAGAAGGCCTGGCGCAAGAATGTCGATGTCACAGAAGTGCAGGAGGGTCTGCGTCAGCTGAAAGATGCTGAGATTCAAGGGTGTGTTTTTACCGTTTACGATTAAGGATCGTCTGCAGGGCTAATGCTGACTCTTTAACAGTGGTCTGATCTCGGAGAAGCCCTCCGAGGAGCTGTTCATTCTCGACACCACCGGAGATCAGCAGGTTCGCCAATCGATTGCGAAGAAACACAAGACGCTCAAGGCCGACGAGATTATCGCTCAGCGGTCTGCCATTCCCGCACTAGACGGACGCAAGCGCATGAATTCAAATATTACCGACGGCGTTATTGAACCAAAGACGAAGAAGCATAAGAATGACTGGGTCAGCCGCAAGGATTACCTGCGCTTGAAGCAGGTGGCCAAGGAAGCGAACCCGATCAGCAAGAAGGGTAACAACGAGCTTCACGACCCGTGGGCGGATGATGCCGAGGAGCCTACTGTCTACGAGGATCCGCGATTCGATTTCTTGGTGAAGCCGAAGGCGAAGGTCGCCCCGGAGACCCTGAAGCATGCCCCAATCTCACTCGCTGCCAACGGAAAGCCGATTCCCGCCGTGCGCATGCCCCATGCAGGCACCAGTTACAACCCGGTGTTCGAAGACTGGGACAAGCTCCTGCAGGAGCATGGTGAGCAGGCCGTTGAGGCTGAGAAGAAGCGCCTTGAAGAAGAGTTGAAGGAGCAGGAGAGGCAACGATTGATCGCCGAGGCCCAGAACAACGACGGCGAAGTCAAGTCCGACGATGAGAGTGCCTGGGAAGGCTTCGAAAGCGAATACGAGAAGCCCGAGTGGCTGAACAAGAAGCGACCCGAGCGAAAGACCAAGACCCAGCGCAACAAGATCAAGAGGCGCAAGGAGGCCGAGAGGCTCGCGAAGTGGGAGGAGCAAAAGGCAAAGAAGGACGCTCAAGCTGAGCGCATCGTCGAGCTCACCGAGCTCGCCAAGCAGAAGGAGCTGGAACGTGCCAACGAGTCTGATGCTGATGATTCCGAGGAGGGAGACGAGACCACCCTGCGACGGAAGCCGTTTGGCGGCAAGCTTCCGTATGTTCTACCCTATGATCAACTATATTTATTGTTACTAACTTTGTCAACAGTCCCCCAGAGAAGCCATTGGAGTTGGTTCTTCCCGATGAGCTGCAGGACTCTCTTCGTTTGCTGAAGCCCGAGGGTAACCTCTTGGACGACAGATTCCGCACACTCATCGTCCAAGGCAAGCTCGAGTCCCGCAAGCCGATCACACAAGCTCGCAAGGCGAAGAAGAAGATAACGGAGAAGTGGATGTCCAAGGACTTCAAGGTTCCTGGGTTCTAAGTAATTTTTTTCTAAAAATTTTGGCTTTCTTAAAACGGCGTGCATTGGCGATTGGTTGAATATACATTGTGGTCAAAACATCGAGGCTTTTTCACATAGTTGTTTCTTCTGGGATCTTAAATAGCGGCAGTATGAATCTATACAGTTCAATCCAAATATGAGCTTTTCCTTATTATGAAACCATACCTCTTCCCGGTTTTCAATTTTCATCGAGCTCAGGCTGAGATGGAAAACCTAAACTTGTTTGATCCAAATCCAGATTTGCGTACCTACTGTACCGCATTGCACTTTGAATGTGTTTCAATTTCCTCAAAACCTACTAGTTAGTAAATAGTTCTTTCTAAATTCCCAATCTTTCCAGGTTCGAGAATGTTGATGTACAGGCTCTGGCCGCCGCCTGCTACCACTTAACGCGGGAACGCGACGCGCCTCGGTCACCTCAACTTTATCCTGCACCCATCCACGGCCGACACCCTCAGCTTGCCCTCGACCTCAACAACGCAATTGCCCCTGATATACTTCGAGAACCAGGCGAACACTCAAGTATCTCATATAAATCCTAGTCTTCGCGCGAAAATACCAGCCTCATACCCTACCTACACGAACTCGACCTAAACCGAACCATCCCACCCTGCGACTTTCGCGCCATAATGCCAGAGATGTACACCTTCCAAGCAGGCTCCAAGTCAGTCTCATCGCTTGTGAGCGACGAGGCCCCTACGAAATTCACACCCAACATCCTCCCCTGTCGGATTCACCACGACGGCCCAATCGAGTCTACCAACCGATTTTGGATCCCCCAGACAGACGAGAAGGGTACGCATAGCATCAATTGCGGCAATACACGGCAAATGTCACTGGGCTTGCTCTGACACTATTTTTCCTGCAGACAACAAACAAACAGCGCACTTCCGCGGCCGCAGACTTCGAGGCCGGCGCGTCGCGATTCCCGAAGGCTATCAAGGTACGAAGGCCCCGATTCACAAGCATACTGCTCCACCATGTTGTGCAACTAGCTAATCTTATTTATCGTTAACTATAGGTGTTATCGCTACGCCAACAGACCGTGTACTGCCCGCATCCCAACGACAAGACAATGGTACAATGGAGGATGGAGAAACCGAACCGGAGGAACCCGTCAAGTTGCTCGAGGCGCAGGGCACATTCGACGAGTTGATGGTATGGGGGCATGAGACTCTTCCTGCGGCAGATGATACGTTCGTCAAAGGTGTGGAGGAGTGGGTGCGGTTTGCTGAGATGGTGGGTGCTTCTCCAAATACGTTGATGATATCAAAACTAACTTTATTGGTAGATGCATGGGACGGTTTCGCCGGCGATAGAGGGGAAATAAAGCATAACATTCGGGTGTTTCGTTTGAGGCGTGGTCACGGTTGAGAACAGAACCGGTGGAGTGAAACCGTTTAATACTGCATGCAGTTGACTATAAATCTCGCCTCGCAGCCGACCATGAGGTGGAAACGCCGAAATTACAGGAAAATTGCGGTCCTTGATAATCTCGTTTCTAAGGGGCAATTGAGACCAAAGCTACCCAGAGAATGAAGCCAGTAGTGGTGAACTCATACCTGTCGGGAGCGGGTACTACATTCAACGGCCTTCCCAAAAGAGTTAAAGATTGAGTGTTCAATTTGAACCCTATTTTAGAAACAGTCCGTGTATTCCAAAACCGTTGAGGTAGATATTATCTCATACCCATGCTCAGACAACAAAGCAAAAACTAGAAAAATAAAATTTCAACCTCAAAATACTAGCCAGCGATACACTTGCCTCTATTTGATCATCCGAGATCTCGATTGAGATCTCCGTGCTAGTAACATTGAACACTGGCAAATTGGTCGAATTACGCACCTTCAACATGAAAACAATTCAATGCCATGGAACACCTTACGAGGTAAGCTTATTGCCTGCTCCTTCTAGTCTTATGACTTCGAATTCATGATGACTGGTAACAGATTGGGAAGGCGCATGGCGTGGAAGCGCAAGAAATGATCTGTCGCAGTATCTCGTTCTACCAGAAGATGTTTCTTCATACTTGCAAGTTGAATTGGAATGCCGTGCGTGAAATAGCCAAAAAATGGCAGAGTGAGATCGAGGGAAAGTGGCCAAGATACCATCATGAGATACAAGGTAAGTCAGACTGCATGCGCCTTTGTTAGACTCGAGGTGCTATCTGCTATGGAATATCGCTAACATATCGAGAAAAAATAAAGGAATCTCAGATTTTGCTGGACTGCCTCTCGTTGACATATTGGCTCTCAACATCCGAACCGAGATCGCGTTTGGAATGTTTAACGATGGCTGCACGAGCCTGTATTGGAAAACCCAGAGCAATTCGTTCTTGGCTCAAAATTGGGACGTAAGTACTGCGTAACTTGAGAGAGAATATTCCCACTCATCTACTGACATTCAGAAAGTGGATAGAAGAACAGAAACAGAATCTTATCATCCTAGACATCACCAGGGACGATGGACCTCGAATCAAAATGATCACCGAAGCTGGCATTATCGGAAAAATTGGTTTCAACGAACTAGGTGTTGGCGTGTGTCTAAATGCCATCAAAGCGCCCGGCTGTGACCCTTCCCGTCTTCCAGTTCATCTTGCTCTTCGATCAGTGCTCGATAGCCCATCGGCCGATGATGCCGTTCAGCAACTTAAAGACGCCGGAATAGCTGCTTCCGCGCACATACTCATCGCAGACAAAGACAAAGCCATCGGACTAGAGTCTACATCAGAGACTATCCGACTGATCGAAATGGACGCACAGAGTCGTATCTTTCACGCAAACCACTTGCTATTGCCACATGACGGCCCTGTGGAGGCTGGCTGGCTGGTCGACTCACCTTTCCGCCAGCAACGTATTGAGAGACTAGCTTCAGAACTGGACCGGCAGCCAAGTTTGACAGATATCACGCGCATTTTGGATGACCATGACGGATACCCGCATTCCATCTGTCGTTACGAAGAAGGTCCTTTGGGGATGGATGCCACATTGTTCAGCATCGTTATGGAACTTCGGGGTGGAACTGCAAAGGTATCGCTAGGGAGACCTTGTCAACCGGAAGAGATAGTAACACTAGATTTTGAATGATGGGCCAGAAGCTTATATACCGATATCGAACACCGGATCTTTACATTATACTACCCATTCTACTAAATTAGTTCCTTTGAAGGCCTGGTAGGTGGAGCTTCATTTCCCCACGCATGTTATTGTTTGATGATCGGATAGACGAATCTTTATATCACCCTCAAGTTTATTGTCCTACTATCCTCAAAGTATAGCAAATTATTTCCTCAGGTAATGAATTAGTATGCGATTAACTATCATTATTTACTTCAGTCTTTGAATAATGGAAAAGAAATATAGATGAGAATTTGACATCATTCATAACTTGCTGATAATTGCAGTATCAGAACACGAGCAAATCGCCATCGGTCACCTATTTATCCCCGTAAGCTGCCTGAACCTGAATCTCGACCAGTGCCTCCGGTGGGAAAAGAGCATTGACACAGATAGCCGCCCACGCAGGCTTATTCTTTCCAAAGTATTCCCTAGCAATCTCTGCAATCTGCAATTGTTCTTCCCTTGTCAAAACGCCAACATGGAAGGATGTGACATAGAAAATTCCCTCCCACAGTTGTCGCGGATCAGTTATATGCGGAGAGGCGGCCGCCAAAGCTCTCTCGATGTTGACCATTGATTTTTCGAATTGCTCCGCATGAGTTCCCCACAGTGGCTCGTGGTTATCGGCAATCTGGCCAGAGGTGGCGACAATACGGGCATTCGCGGGAATGGAGACCGCTGCTGAAATGTTGAAAATGCTTCCCAGCTGCTCATAGCCTGGGAAGTCGGATCCAGTGATGACTGACATGTTTGGCTTCGCGTGTGTGAGGGTTTGAGGAAGAAGTGATAGGATTGTGTCGATGGTAGGCTTCACGCCGTGGAATGATTGATTACTCTGACCTTTCTGGCTTGCCTTTAAGTACTCTTGGGGTTGTAGAATATTGTCATAGTAAATGATGATTCGTGAATCTATAGAGACGAGATTCGAATGATATGGCCATACTTATTTGGGTAGGTGAATGATATCTATTCATCAAAACGTGGAAAATTTGCGGCCTATCTTCCTCTTGGTTGAAACTATGCGACGGGATCATAATACACAAGGTTTAAGCATTAACCTGGGTTCGATACTCGACTGGGACAGGCCAGGTGAAGCGAGATTAAAGCATATCCGTTGACTAGTCCCATTTCGGCATATAAATGAGATGCCGTATCCGGTTCAAAAACTAGCTAAGCTATTCGCCGATATGGTTTTAAAGGCTCTAAGAGCTTTTAGAACTGGCTATGATAAACACTCGTGACTATCTTAGCTCTGGGGAAATGTTATGAAAGTTTTGAGGCACATATCATTTAACTCTCATTGGCAGGTGTGAAACCCTATCAGCTGGCAATTTGCGGGGAGCTACCGAGTTTAATGTTATACCAACTATCTGTGTGCGCGTACGTGGTATATAATATGCAGTAATGATCGAGATAGTGAAAATTGTTTGTTTTCACTCCGAAGTTCCACCAAGTCTTTGGCTCTCATCAATAACTTGGCTTTCATCTGCGTTGACTTGCCATCACGATGACAGAATCTGGAACTGATTGCATGTCCAAGCTGCCAGAGCATGTCCATACCACCGATGGCAAGGGTGAGCATAATGATTCTCCCCGTAGCCGTGAGCTGAATGAGCTGCCTCGACAATTTTCACTCTTTTCCACTCTTGCATTTGGATTCAGCATGACGAACTCCTGGCTCGGTTACTCTGCTACTTTCATTACACCACTACTGTTGGGTGGGAGCCCTACCGTATTTTTTGGTCTAATTGCTGCCTCAATCGCATGTTGCTTCATCAGTAGGAGAACCGTCTCTAGATTTCACCACGAGAACCCTCTAACTCTTTTTCAGCGGCCGGCTTGGCTGAGCTTGCGTCAGCGTACCCCTCCAGCGCCGGACAGTATCATTTTGTCTATATGGTCACACCTCCAAAGTATCGTGCTCTGGTGGCTTTTATCCTTGGATGGTTGAGTGTAGTGGCTTGGGCTCTCACCAGTGCCTCTACTGCCCTGGTCTGTGGTGAGTTTTGATCGGAAGAGTCCGGAAGCAAATAAAGCGTCGTGGTTTACTGATTGATGGATACTCGCAGCTCAAATGGCTGTAAATCTGGCAGGAATTTACCACGCGGACTTTATTGTAGAAGCTTGGCAAACATGGATGATCTACTTTTTGTTGGTCTTGATTGCAACAGTGATTGTCTGTTACCTGCCGACAGCGCTTCCTCAAGGGGAAATGGTGATGTTTGTCAGCAGCTTTCTGGGATTTATCGTCAGCTTTGTCACTGTTTTGGCCATGCGGAATGGAAATGTGCAGTCTGCTAAAGCAGTGTTTGTCGACTATCAGAACACCAGTGGTTGGAGTGACGGCACCTCCTTCATCATCGGGCTTGGGACCTGCATGTATGCGTATTTGGCCATTGATGGAGCGTGTCATATTGCAGAGGTAATAGCCCCTCATCGCGACATTTATGTCTCCCATCTGTTTGCTCACCCACGATTTATAGGAACTTCCTAATCCCAAACGCGATGTCCCTCGAGCTATGGGGCTTACCATGCTAATTGGAATCTTGACCGTCATCCCTTGGACAGTTGCATTCCTTTTCTCCATTACAGATACAGACGCTGTTGCCTCCTCCTCGATTCCAGTGTATACCATCTATCTGCAAGCAACACGAAGTCAACCTGCTGCTACAGTTCTCACAGTGTGGATTCTCTTTGTCTATTTCGGTGCCTTGGTCTCATGCATCGTGACGACTGGACGACTCGCATATGCGTTTGCTCGCGATGGAGGCCTTCCGTGCTCCGGGTTCTTCGTCAAAATTCATCCCAAATTTCAATCCCCCATCAACGCAACGATGGCTTGTGCTGCCGTCATAATACTTTACGGATTAATCTATATCGGATCAGCAGCGGCTTTCAACAGCTTTATATCTATGTCAATTCTATCACTCAACTTGACCTACGCTTTACCTCAGGCAATTCTTTTGATCCGAGGCCGAGAACGAGTCCTTCCAAAACGACCCTTCAACCTGGGTCGACACCTTGGGCCAATCTGCAACGCATTCTCAATTCTCTGGGTCCTTTTCATTACCATTATCTTTTGCTTTCCTACATCCATTCCGACCACAGTCGCCAGTATGAACTATGTCAGTGTGATCATAGTGGGGATCTCATTTTTGATCCTCATTTCTTGGTGGGGAGGCAAAAGAAAGACATTCTCCGGACCAGTAAGGCTTCCTTGAGAGATTTTACCCAGAGGCTCATTTCACTTTACAGATTCAATGCTAATTTCAATAGACTATTGAGATCCAAGGGCTTGAGGTTTTGCTTCAGGATCGTGATTTGTCTTCGAGGGTGTCAGCGGCAATGATTAACTAGGGAAATGGTCGAGATTGAAGCAAATTGAAGATTTAATTTAGCCCTATCTTTTTTCACCCAAGTCCAATGGCCTGTAGTAAACCATATTTTGCAGTGAATAGCTTTCAATTTGGTGGAAAACATCAAAGTTGTGACCTTTTTCCCCGCGTTTGACGCTCTTATTCCCCCAAAATGCGGATATTGGTCTCGGTTGGGCCGGGCCCTAAATATGTTTCAAGCTTACCGAGCTGATCATGAGCTATGGAGCTCAGAGTCTGACTACTGTGAATGGGTCCAGCTGGCTGTAAGATAACCTGCCATTATCTACCACGATTTAACCCCTCTCGCTTGTCCATAGGTATCTTATTTTAGAGCTCCATCGTATCTTCTAGTGTGGCTGTGGCCGTTTAGCATTACAGACCCACTCTCTGCGTCCACAGTGGGCCGGCTCACTATTTTACCCTTTTCGGTTTAGTCGATCCTGATTCAACAAGTGCATATTGTGGACTTATCGTGGTCTTTTGATCGCGTGGCTGAAGCCGAAGTCGAAGATTTATTTTGTGAGAGGTGAAAGAAATGAAAAGAAGCTGGTATCCTTAGATCGAATTACCCAAAATAGATACAATATGATTCCAGATTGAGTGATGAGTTGATACTCACTTACCTATCACGACGTTGACCGTTTTGCCCCAGAGACGGGGCGTCTAGAATGGAGTCTGATTGTCCCTGCTTGCTTTCTGAAGTGCGTCAAAGCATATCATAATAATGGAAATGGTACTTAAAATACCGAAGGGCTCCATACCTCGAACATCGGACCTCATTCATTCCAACAAGATGGAACTTCACTTGTACTACGCTATCGCCTTGTTCGGCACCATCGCAGCAGTTTTCAAGTTCATCTTATACCCTGCATTCTTTTCCCCTCTGGCGGAGATTCCCAATGCGCACTGGTCTTGCTGTTTCAGCCCTATCTGGATTTTCTGGATGAGATGGACGAAGCAAGAGAACAGTCGGATATATGAGCTCCATCTAGCCAAGGGCCCTGCCATTCGACTTGCTCCGAGTCTGGTCAGTGTGAACTCTTATGAGGATGGATTGAAGAAAATCTACCATGGGGGTTTCCCGAAACCAGAATTTTATTTCAACGGATTTGCTGTCTACGGGTATGAACAAGTCCTACTCGCCTTGATCACAGAGAGAATCACAGTACCTAATTCTCCCGAATATATAGTACCGACAATCTATTTACCATCAAGGACAATCAAACTCACTCGACGCAGAAAAAAGCTCTCTCAAGCTGCTTCACGAAATCTTCTGTCATGTCATCTCAGACAGCCCGTGGCTCGTCGCGCGACATCTTATTCAATCGTGTTCTCCCCTTGATTCACAAAACAGCCACCGAAGACAAGCCAATAGAGGTGATGGATCTCACTTACGCCTACCTACTGGATACCTTTGTCCAGTGGCAATTTGGACGGTCGTTAGCCAGCAACATGGTTGAGAACGAGAAAGAAAGACGGTTCTACTTTGATGGGTTCCTTGGTGTCGCTGAATACACCTTCTGGCAATACTACTTCCCACGTTTGGTCACTATGCTCCAGAAATTCGGAGTTTACTTGATTCCCAAGAGTGTTCAATCAGCTTTTGAAGGCGTTGAGAACTGGAATTTGGAGAAGTGCGATCAAGCTCAGCAACTTCTGGCTAGTGGGAAGCAGTTATCAGTGGATGACCAACCGGTCGCATTCGAACCAGCTCTGAAGGGAATGAGCGAGGTCAACTCAAAGCCCAAAATGTACCCTCACCGACTTCGATTGGCAAGCGATATGTTTTCCTTGAACTCAGGAGCATTCGAGACTAGCGGAAACACCTCGACTTATCTACTCTACGAGTTGAGTCGACACCCAGAATGGCAGACGAAACTTCGTGAAGAACTGCTCGGTCTCAACCCGCCTTTGAGGCACGTACCTGGGAAGCTCGTCGAAGTCGGCGATATCACCAACCCTCAAGATATTGATAAATTGCCTATCCTTCAAGCTGTGCTAATGGAAACCCTTCGACTTTGGCCTTCGGTGCCTGGTGGCCAGCCCCGGGTAGTGCCTCGGCCTTGTACCCTGGGCGGCTACCACAATATCCCTGTTGGAACCACTGTGCAATCATACGCTTCTGTTCTTCACCGTATGCCCGATGTGTTCCCAGAGCCTTTAAATTGGAAGCCGGAAAGATGGCTCGAGTCATCACCAGAACAGTTGGCTCTTATGAAAAAATATTTCTGGGGATTTGGCAGTGGTGGAAGAATGTGTCTTGGAATTCACTTTGCTTATTATTGTGAGTCCTCTGGCATGACGTTGAGCTGAACTAAGGCATGCTAACGGAGTTCTAGCCATTAAATATTTCTTTGCGAGTGTGTACTCCAATTTCACCACCACCATTCACGACCATGGAGATATGGAAGCAAGCGATGGTTATCTTGCAGGTCCAAAGGGTCACCGCTTGGAACTGAAGTTTCACCTTGTCGAATGATCTATGATATATGGGGCGATGATAGTGATTGGTGGTGTTGTTAGAAATTGCAAAACCCGTTTTTATCATGGTCGATATTCGTCGTATTTATCGGTGGCCAGATCCTAGGAGCATGTGTTAGTCTATTCAAATACTCGTTAGACGGTCATAAGGCGACGGGAATCTGCAGTGCTACTAGCTTTTACCAATCCCGAAGCTTTGAGAATCTGTATGATCTGTAATGTGTTGATGACAGTAGTTTACGGACAGCGACTTACTCCAATTTCACTCATTCTAAAAGACCAGTCAAATTATCTTCGAAATTGCGGTTCTTTACACAACAGACGAATCTTGATTCTATTCAACTCCTCCTTCCACCTGGAATCCCTCAATTCTGCCCTCTTTGAACTCCTTGACCATCTGCTCAAATGTACACCACACCACACCATCATGCGAGTTGATATACTCAATGAGCCTTTCATGGAGCAAAATGACTTGAGGCTTCCCACTAACTTGAGGGTGAATCGATATCGGGAACACAAAAGTATCATACTCTTGGTAGAGATAATCAAACTGGGCTTTCCAAAGTCTCTCAATAACGTCTGGATCCACATATCCATGCGATGGACCCTCCGTCAGTTGGAAGGGTGGCCAGTCATCTAAATGCCAGTTTGCAGGCACTTCAACAATCTTACTCGGCTTGAGCTTTTTCATAGGCTTCATCCATTGCTCGGCAGGCTTCGAGAGGTCAGTGGCTACTACTTCGCCTGAGTCGTATGGAACGTAGTAGAGTTGGGAGTCGTGGTGCATGAACGAGTGGTCGTACTCCTGATTCATTAGTTAGTCTTCGGTGTGAATATTCGTGAAACATAAGTTGCCTACTAGACCGAACTCTTCCAGCAACCTGATGCTGCGGCTCGATGTTCTCCAAGACGGCGCCGTCCACCCTTTCGGATGCTTTCCGGTGAGCGCAGTCACTGCTTCGATTGATTTTGCAAGCACATCGCGCTCTTGCTGCTCAGTTAACATATCCACATGTTCATGGGTATATCCATGCAGACCGCTAAAATAGATAGTGTCAGTTGAAAGCTACCAATATTGATCAACGCGTAGCGAAGTTCGTAGCTATTTTGAGAGAGGCTTACATCTCATGTCCAGCATCGTGGATCTTGACCATCTGGGCTGGGAATGACTCCAGTGAATGAGCGGGAATAAACCATGAGGTTTTGATGTTGAATTTGTCCCACAATTTCAGAAGTCTGTCGATTCCCACGGTAGCACCAAAGATACCACGCGATATATCGGTGAGATCGGGGATGTGGCCGTCCTCGGTATTGATCCTAGGGAGTGTTCATTTTCAGCCTCATTCCACGAGTCTGAGACAGCAAGTGCTAGTCTTACCAGCCACTCACTGCATCCACGTCGATGCCATAGCCTACAAGCACGCGCTTTACCATGATGTCTCGAGTTTGCTGCCAAACGAGATTCGATAATATTATGAACTATTAAACAGGGACTTGCTCCATGATCAATGGGGGCAAGTAGTTAAAAGTAAAAATGGGCTAGATAGATACTAGGCTCTTATTGGTCAGCTCATTGACCTTCCCAAAAGGGACAAACGATAAGAAACTCGCGTTCCACAACACCTGAATCATATTATTGGAACTTTGTTACGTACAAGATGATGGATTCAGATAAAATGAACACATAGCATGTATAACAGTGGAATACAATTCCTACGGCGCATTGTTGATCACGTTAGTTACATTTCTTAGTCAAAGGACCGGGGTTCCCCATGATTTTGATGATGATTAAATGTGGGGAAGAGAACTAAGTGAATTAGCGTTTCAAAACTCCCGTTGATAGGAACTGCCGAGCATTCTTCTATTATTATTGCCCTGGGACTGAGAGTATTGATTCGAGGACATGACCCCTGCATTAGAGACCTGCGTGTAGAAATTGAATCTAGATTTGTATCTATAGGTGCCGAAGCCGAATTTTAGAAGAAGATAGTCTCGCGAAAACCAAAGCGAAAGGCGTTCCAGAGTTCAAAGCGATAACGATGACAGCGATATCGCGGTGTCTGGTGCTTCCCCGCTTTTCCGCGAGATAACAGCAGCGTTGCCTCGAGTGATTCCGATCCAGACGTCTGCAACTTGGACTTGGGTTCATCTTCACTTCTGCAATGGCAAACGAGCGCTATTTCGGTAGGGCATGCAAGACATGCCGTCGCCGCGGCCGAGGATGCGACCGGCGCATGCCTTCCTGCAACACCTGCGAGACTAGTGGTCAAACATGCGAGGGATACCAGCTACAGTGGCCGGGCTTAGCAAGCCGTGGCCAATTGGTGGGCAAAGCTATACCTGTAGCAGAGACAAAACGTCGACGAACGCGTCGAGTTCAGCGATCGACCGTTCCAAGTCCACCTTCGCCCACGCTTCCACAATCACCCTCGAGTCCTGCCAACAACGATAAGGATCAGACTGAGCTACAGCCAGAGCGATTCGAGGATCTTCTTGATCCGATACAACTCTTCGCGGATATCGCCGATCTAGGGACACCATCAAACCTGCTGTGGTCCAATAATGTCCCTTTGATAAACAACCTTGCCGATGACACTGTCGAGCCTCAACTGGATCCCGAATCGGAATCTCCCTCGCAAGACCCTGAGCCTTTCGTAGGATCCTTGGGGTTGAATCATATACTGGGGCCGAGTCTTGATATTTTGGGAATTCCGGATGAACTCAAATTTATTATGCAGTACCGTCAGTTCTAAGGATTCACTCCCCACCTTGTCAAGTTTGCTAACTATTGGTTATAGACATCTGTGAGGTGATACCAAAGTTATGCGTGGACAACCTATCTCCTCAAAATCCATATCGTGAATACATCCTCCCTCTCGCCAACGAGGTTCCATCATTACTTTACGCCTGTGCAGCGCTAGCAGCATGTCATTACAACGTACGACTCTCCACAAATCAATTCGAGCGCGAATTTTTCCGATTCAAGGGCAAAGCGATGAAGCGATTACAAGAGGATTTATACTCCCAAACCCGGGCTAAACATCCCGGGACACTTGCCACAATACTCATGCTTTGCTTGTGTGATATTTGCCAGGGAGGAGTATCGGACTTCCAGTCACATTTTCAAGGAGCTAAACGCCTTATTGAACTACGTCAAGAACGAACAATTAGTTCCTTTGTGGAGCAATATCTGGCTTGGTAGGCTAATATAATCTGGATCTCTCTTTACAGTTCTGACTAATGGGTGATTTATACTTCAGGCTTGACGTGATGGCTGCTGCTTCGCATTCTAGACCTACTGTGTTTTCGTCACAAGAGATCAACACATTATTAGGAGAATCTCAGGACCGGTGGGGCTTCGATGCCATACCTTGTCCATCAGATCAGTTCCAAATTATTTGCGAAATCGTCACTCTATACAAAACCCAACCTGATCCCGACAACCCTTCAATCGAAACGCTTAGCCAAGTCCTGGATATCAAGCAACGGCTCTTACAACAACAAACCCATTGTGCTAAAGGCAAGAACTGGCTTCACATGACCGAAGCGTATCGTTTCGCTATTATTCTTTATCTGTTACGATTATTTTCCTGCGATATCGATGAGTTCGAGGTGGATTGGCTTGTCAGCAGTGTGCTTTATCATGCGAGAGCTACACCACCAGCCTCTGGATGGTCGGATCAATTACTATGGCCCTTATTTCATGCCGGTCTTGAGTTGAAAGATGCTAGACGTCAAGAGTGGGTTCGAGAACGGGCGAGGTGTATGCAGAGCTCTGGTGGATTTGGTAATGTACAAAGCGCGCTTGTTTTACTTGAGGGGGCTTGGAAGGGACACCGGCCAATGAAGTATATTGATCTGATGTTAGGAGGTGGAAATGGGGCTGTACTTTTAATCTGACGTGATTGGAACACTCTGTATTTTACAACTCAATGATACCAATGTCCGAAGAACTGGGAGACTTATAGCTTGGCCTGCTGATGACGGGCCTTGTGGCTCTCAAACATCTCCTTTGCACATCGCAGACCAATCAAGTAGGCATTAATCTGCGTGTGATTGCTATTTCGGTAAATCAGTGATCAAATAGCAGTCAATACAAGTAGGATGACTTACCAAGTGAGAATAGGACACACGCTCAAGTCTGCTACCCGCAGATTCTTCATTCCCTTGACTCGGAACCGGGCGTCGACCACCACATCGGGGTCACCAGCCCTACCCATACGACAGGTAGACACGCTGTGATAACCTTGGTCCAAATGCTGGCGAATGAAATCCAACATCACCTCATCACCGATCGCATCAAGATCTGCCGTTGTAAAGTCAATGTCTGGACCATGCACCATTCGCTCAATAGTGCCTTCGTAGGCCTTGGTACGAGCAATCTTCAATGCCATGCGAACAGTCTCGATAGCAATACGCCGATCGAAAGGATGATTCATGAAATTTGGGTTCACAATCATCTGGTCTCGTGGGTTGTTGGAGCGAATGCTGACAGTTCCCTGTGAGAGATTGTTCTGAAGCAACAGCTCATGAGTCATGTAACTCTCGCTAGGTCGATCATCCTGGAAGACAGATGGTCCTGATCCCAGCCAAATCTCAGCAGAAGGCCTGGTGGGCTCCATCAAGAAGTCTTTCTCCTTGGTGCTCAGGTCAGAGAACTCTTCCGACTCAAATAGGCGTTGGATTCTGGGGAATGTCAAGGTACCACTAGATCCGAACTTGGCGAGTGGTCCAGTGTGGTCTTTTTCGTATTGTGCTTCGGCTTTTGCCAGCATAGCAGGGTCGAGAAACAGCTGGTTGTGGGTGGGAATGGAGTTGTTCACTTTGTACTCGCATGTGATGATTGAATGGTCGAGCATGTTTTGACCACATCCTAGAGGAAGTCAGCGGCGTGGACAAAACTTTCGGAATAAGGGCTGGTAACAGACCTGGCAAGTCAACTTTCACTGGAATGTTGAGTCTCTCCAGGGTATCCCTAGGACCAAGACCAGACAACAAGAGAATTCGAGGTGATCCAAACGTTCCAGCACATAGGACAGTCTGCTCACGGCAGTAGACATGGACTTCTCAATTAATTAGCTTTTCCCAAGTCATTCATGAGTTGCGAGAATGATTTCGGCACTCACCTAGTGCTTCGTTCAGCCTGTCATACAAGTCTACCCCCGTGACAACTCCGTCTCTAGAGTGAAGTCGATCGCACTCTGTGTTTGTCACGATGGTCAAATTATTTTGCGATGCCCGAGCTGACTCTCCTAGGAAAGCATTCGCTGCATAAGATCTCTCTCCGTCCCGAACGTTAAATTGGGCCAACCCAACACCCACCGGGTTTCCCGAATTGATATCGGGGCACAATGGAATCCCGGTTTCAAAGCATGCTTGAATGAAAGTTTCGATTCCAGGGACCACTTCGTCGCCAAACCCGATCTTCAGCGGCCTATGATGACCATATTAGCACGTCTCCAATGCAAAAGCATCCGAATCTTACCCAGAAGCGCCATGGTCTCCTGCGCGCGGAGCAGCGAACTTTTCCAAATAGGCAGGCATTTTCGGATCGAAATCCTCAAGCTGTCATCACTGGTCAATATATTTCATCAGCAAGCTTTTCAAACGGAAATACTGACCTGTTTCATCAGTGGTAATATGTTTTCCCACTTCCACCCATCATCACCGACAATTTTAGCCCATTCATCATAATCAGCCGCCGGGCCGCGAGCAAGCGCCATATAGTTGACAGCCCTAATTTCAAAGCTTTAGTCCCTCTATCACAATGCTTCATGAATAGAGAATTACTCACGAACTACCTCCAATCTGCTTCCCCCTGAGGAAAGTCAACTTCCTGGCATTCAATTGGGGCTGCGGAACGGTCTCCAATTCCCATAAACCCTCCTTGTCCTCTTGTAGCTGCTTGACATATTTGCCTGGCACCAGGACATCCGGCGCAAGGCCTGAGTCCCTGCCTGCTTCTATCAGAAGCACAGATACATCTGGAATTGAGGCAATTCCTGCTGCAATGACACATCCAGAAGTTCCTCCGCCACACACGATGTAGTCAAATGTCTGGCCAGAAATGGCTGTAGCGCTTAAGGTAGGTTGGGGCTGCATTTTTGAGGCGAGACACTTGATGTATGACAAAATTTGAGCAAGAAAGACTCCTTCAGAACCGGGTATTGTATATTTAAGGACAATTTTAGGAGCCGTAGATTGTGGATAGATTCATCGTCGACCTGATCTAGTATCTCAGCGGATTTCCGTAATAGGAAGTTCGATGAGTGCTCGGTTGGACCAGGTGTGCTTGGTACTTCCAACAAGGGAGGGCCAAGCTGATTGTTCACCAGTCAGATTCACAAACAGAGCGGTTCTACATGAGCCTGGAATATCTCTCTAGCCATAAAACCTTCTTCTTGATATCCCCATCAAACTGAGGAGTAAATGGTGTTTTGATGTCACGTGATGAAATATGTATTTAGACCCTCCAAGCCTCCGATACTTCACTTTCTTCTTTTCGATCAACTATGGTGATGGAAATCACCCATGGCGTTGGAATTTGTGCCTATAACAAGCGGACATTGTTCGCAGTCCTACAACTCCAGGACATGTTTCTCTCCAGGAGGATGATACTTCCTGACAGATAGCTCAATATATATTTGTATCCTTTAAATCGAACCCTTGTTTCCGCTGCCCAATCTTGCTTCATATACCATAAATACACCTAAGACTAGGTGTAGATCGATAAATTCCACTGCCCCTAACTCGCCATTGTATACATTGCGATAAGACCGCGATAAGACACGATAAGATGCGATAAGCGCGACCGCCTACTGATCAGGTCGCCGATAACAAATTCCCCACAGTTTCTTTTTCAATTAAAGCTTCACTCGACTATTAGCACAGTGATAATTGTCCAACATGGCTGAAGAAACTAGGGACACAAAGCCCGCCCCAGAGGCATTGATCGCCAAATTCCGAATCAGCAGGCTACTGAAGCAAGGTACACCCGCTAAACGAATCACCCCGCGATCTGAATCAAGGACTCAAAAACTAACCAGCCATAGATCAAAATGGCCGGCGTATCGCTGTGCTGGGAACAATCGACGACCAACAAGGCGTATTGACGGCCGAGCGCGCTGCTTTTGCCACCGAATCTTTGGAAGTCATTCAAGCATTCCACGCGGCCATCACTCGCGTCAAGAACCTAGGCGACAACGATATTTATCGCTGGTATCTCGCGTCATCCAATGGCAGCACTCAATCAACAGACAGCCAACAAGACTTGAAGCTGAACTTGATCTGGCCCTGCACAGCAAAGCATATCAAGAAATACTCAGATCAACAGCTTCGCATGGTCACCGAGACACCCGAGATTTACCAGCAGCACGTGCGCCCCTTCATGCAAGCCAAGCGTGAGGAGGGACATTTGAACTGGGTGTTTAATATTCTCGAGGGTCGCACCGAGCAAGAAGATGTTATTATGCGGGATGCAGGCCACGGACCCGAGGATGCGTTCCTGATGCTGCCGGATCTTAACTGGGACCGGAAGACTTTGAACTCGCTGCACTTGCTGGCACTAGTGCATCGACGGGATATTTGGAGTCTGAGAGATCTTCAAAAGAAGCATATCCCCTGGTTAGAGTATCTGCGGCGGCGTGTGCTGGAAGCTACAGTGAAAATGTATCCGGAGTTGGAGGAGGATCAACTGAAGCTTTACGTTCATTGTAAGACCATGTCTCTTGGGTTCGATACACTGGAAGTTTCAAATACTGATAATTTCCTTATCCAGATCAACCGACATACTATCATTTCCACATCCACGTCGTCAATGTCATGTTGGAGGCGGGTGCTACCCAGGCTACTGGCAAGGCATTCGGATTAGAGAATATCATCTCCCAGCTAGAGACTATGTCTGGTGGGGATGATGTGAGCATGGGAGATGTTAGCTTGACGTATTATCTCGGCGAGGAAAGCGAGTTGTGGACCGATATTTACGCACCTTTGAAGAAGGGGCTTCAACCGGTTGCACACTGAAGTTGAACCCTTTTCTACCTAGAAACACGTGACAAATACCCATTAAAGAATTCAAAATAGCAATGTCTTTTGACCCTTAACAAACTAGCCGTAAAATTAAAGTAGCCAATCGATAGCTCAGTGTGGCTGGCACAATCTCTACGAGCCGGAGAACCATGCCGCTAGCAAACCGGAAAGTTCAGGTCAGGTTTCAGTAATCAGATCACTCATTGAGCCTGAGAGCCAGGTTCTTTAAAATAGGTCCCTGAACAGCTTACGCTGATCTGGCGCGTGCTTAATTCTATTTCCATGAGCAATCGCGGCGAGGGGGTAATTACTAGAACGGAAAGGAAGTGCTAAGAGTTACCGGACAAAATCCGGTGTATATATTACATAGCTTCTAAAGTCATCCTTTCCATCAGTTCTCTTCTATCACCCGGGTGAGGGTCGACTACAAGACCTATAAATATTGACTGCGCTATGGCAGTTCCAAAGTGGCTCCAGGCTCCCGTCCGTGCGGAGAGGCAGCGCCGATTAAAGCTAACCTTAGCTAACCCCGCAACATCTCCTCTTTCACCTTACACTCAACCTCTGTCCAAGCTCCAGCTCAACAAAACCGCCTGAATCATCTTCAATCCCCACTGAACGGCTATAGTTTCAAACTCGTATTCTCATACGCACCATGGCTGCCAATCCCGACGTCCCCAACACGCAAAAGGCCTTCGTGCCTCTCGGTACGCACCCCTCTGCCTCGGCAGCAACACCACCACCCTCAGACAACTAACAATATCCTCTCCAGAGAACAATCCCGAAGTCATGTCTCACCTAGTCCACCAACTAGGCCTCCCCCCAACCCTTGGCTTCACAGACGTCTACTCAATCGACGAACCCGACCTCCTAGCCTTCGTCCCCCGCCCCTCCCACGCCCTCCTCCTCGTCTTCCCCGTCTCCCAAAGCTACGAACAATCCCGCATAGCAGAAGACACCCCCCCTCCCCGAATACACCGGCTCCGGTCCCACTGAGCCCGTAATGTGGTTTAAGCAGACTATCCGCAACGCCTGCGGTCTCATCGGCCTCCTACACGCTGTCTCTAACGGCGAACCCCGCCAACACCTCACGCCCGGCTCGGACCTGGACAATCTCCTCCGTGAAGCTGAGGGTTTGGAGCCGGTCGCGCGGGCTGATCTCCTTTACGAGAGCAAGGCGTTGGAAAGTGCTCATGCGGATGCGGCAAAGCTGGGTGATACTACGGCGCCGGAGGCTGAGGATAATGTGGACTTGCACTTCGTGGCGTTTGTTAAGGGTCTTGATGGGACGCTTTGGGAGCTGGATGGGCGCCGGAGGGGTCCTTTGGCAAGGGGGAAGTTGGGGGCGAATGAGGATGCGCTGAGTGAGGCTGCGCTTGCGTTGGGAGTGCGGCGGTTCTTGAAGATGGAGGCTCAAGGGGGGAATCCTGATTTGCGGTTTAGTTTGGTTAGTTTGGGGCCTGTTTTTGATTGAAATGGGCTACTTGGTTGAGATGGGATATCTGAAAAAGAGATCAGTGGGATGAAATTTGTCTCTTTGAACGGCGTTTCAGGGCTCTGGGATAGACATTGCTTGTTCTTCTCCGAAAGAATACCTGGCTATTCAAGCAATTTCAGGCCAATTTCATGAGCCTTGATATTTGACACTCTTGACGAGCAGCGGGATAGATGGACGAATCTTGAGGTCATCTGTTCTCCTTGCTAATTCACTTGTGCTAAGGTTGCTAGAATAGAGAAAAAGTATACAGCAGAGAAGGTCAAGCCTGATACAGTGAGACATCTTCCTGTGCCTTGTCCTTCGCCAAAATCTGCCTTTTGGAGGAGAAATATTTGAATCAATTTCTCATGCACGAGATCACTAGAATCGAGTGTCTATTTTCTTTCAAAAGCCATTCAAAAGAAGCCTGGTCGAGAACTCGTGGTAAGGTATTATATCCGCTGAATTAAGTATTCTATATCTATTATGAATATCAGTAGTCCCAAACGCCTCCTGTAAAACCAATAGCAGGTCTATCCGTCTCTAAATGTAGAACGGGATATTAAACAACCCCAGCTTCTGTTGTTATGACTTTTCAAGCTCCATGACTGGCGTCGCAACGCGAGTCTCCGCGCCCATGACGGATTCAGAAGCAGCCTTCTTCTCACCAGCATCATCATTATCAGAAGCCACGACAGTCTGTTCACTCTTCGGCCCCGTATCACCACCTTGAGTACCGAGTGTCAAAAACGGCACCATAAAAACGGACAAGCCCGCACAAGCAGCTGCGAACCAGTAAACAGCCAGATAAGGCCGAATAGCCGGCGTAGAAGCAGTCATCTGGCTGGCAACCGAGCTATTGACAGATGTCGCAATACCCAGGCCCAGATTATTGCAGAGCTTGCTGACAGTGTTGAAAATACCGCCGGCAATAGACTGCTGATTTGGCGGGAGAGAAGACATCACGTACATCTAGACAAATATTAGCAGATGTTTCAACGAGGAAAGATCGATAGCAGAGAAATGCATACATTTGTGACATTGAATTGGATATCCGCGCCAACCACGACGAGAACCAGCGCCGGGAAGATATAAGCCCAGTAGATAGCGTCTTCTTTCATGAAGCTCAGGATTAGGAAAGAGACAGTGTATGCCAGAGCACCGATACCAGTGAGTAACTTGTTGCTGACACGGTGTAGGATCAGGCCGCAGATAACATTGACTAGTACGCCGCTGACGACCATGGGGAGGAGGCGGACTGTGATGTCGAGGGCTGTGAGGTGCTTGACTTCCTGCAGGTAGAGGGAGAGGTAGAATGAGACGGCTGAAAAGCCCATGAAGCCGAGGCAGAAAGTTGCCATAAGCTTGAAATGGTTAGCTTATCTAGTCAGGATTTCCAATGGCGTGTGAACTTACCAGGGTGAAGTTACGATCTTTCCACATCCAGAGAGGCATCAGGGGTTCTTGGGCGATAGATTGCCAGTACAGGAAACCCGCGAGCAAAACAACACCAACAATGAGAAGAGCGAGCACATAGCCCGTCTTCCAACCGTCAGGCGCATCACCAGCCAACCTATAAATCCAGTTAGAAAATTTCAAATCCCCAAGGAAAGCACCAAAAAGAGATCACAACTTACGAAAGCGAACTCGAAAAGAAAGCAAATCCCACAATAACCAACCCCGTCCCCAAAAGATCAAACCTCCTCACCACATCCATACTAACAGGCGTCCTCTTAAACCCATCCGCCGGCACCGTCCAAACCGTCAAAACAGTAAAAATCGCATAAACCACCGCAAGGGCCCAAAAGCTCGCCCGCCAATTATACTCATGCGACGCCACACCAGAAATAATCATACCACCCACGAAACCGAGCGGATTCCCCGCACTGAAACATGCAAAGGCGCGATTCTTTCTTTTAGACGGCTTTTCGTATACAGCGCCCAATGCGCCGACGGCTGGTGGTACGACTGCGGCAGCGAAGAGGCCCAGAATACCGGAGAATACGTCCATGTAGATGGCATTTGTGGCGAAGCCGGCTACTAGCAGGGAAAGTGTGAAGCCGGCCATGCCGATGATGAAGAGCACTTTGCGGCCGAACATGTCGGCTAGTTTGCCGAATGTTAGGAGGAAAGCACCACTACTGAGACTGTAGATGGAAAAGCAAATAGCGATTAGCATTCTCTAGTATTGTTTTTGAAGGAGTGCTTGGTCAACTTACGAAGCACCGGCATTAATCCAAGTAATTTCCGCCGAATTCATATTCAAATCCGCGCCAATGGAAGCCGTCACACCCACAATACAACCCTGAAAAAAAGATTGCTGGCCAATCGCCATCGTGGCCGTTAAAACGAACAGACATTCCTGAAGAGTTGAGCTGAAGCATTTCGGCCTTTGCGCATGACTTAATTGCTCATCGATCGCGAGGGTCACGTCCGGACCTTTTTCCCGGTCATTTGCGCCGGTGTCTGATGGCGAGGCCATAATTGTGGTGAAGTTGTACCAATGGTATGTGTTGTGAGCTAGTCACACACTCGTCGCAATTGCAATTGCCAAAAGGACAACCAGCAGAGAGCGGAGAGGAGGAGAATGAATAGTGAATTATTGCGCGAGCGTCGGAAAAGCCGAAGAAAATAAAACCCCGGCAATTGAAGATGGCGATTACGCGCCAAACTAAAATTTAGTTTCCCCCCGACAGGTACAGTTGCAACAGCTTTTTTCCAGGGGCGAGCCCTGACACGTAACGGGGGTGGAAGAGTGTTTATGTATACAGCTCTAGATGCACATCAGACTAAAGTGGGGTACTTAGAGATTTTATATTTCTCTTTTTAATTCTTCAAGCGCCACGGACATAAAATCAGACCCGAACCCGATAGATCAGATGGAGTTACATTGTGCATGGCATGGCATGGCATCCACGATACTGTGCTTCCGGGGAGGACACGCAAAACCTATCGGTGCTGAAAAATCGGGGCCTTTGTAAGCCCGCGGCCCTGTTCCGCGGGGCTTTGATTGGGTGTAAAACAGGGTAAAATGGGTCTTGATGGGTCCAAATAGGCCCTAAAGTACTCGGGTTAAGGTGTGATTGGCTAGTGTGGTGGTTTGACAACGCCCGCTTTTTTCTCGATAAGATGAGATTTCGAGGTTGTCCGTGGAGAATGGTGAGCCTGATCATTGCTGTTGCTGTATGTGGCTGTATGTAGTGGATTGCAGGGTAATTGCGGCTGCAAGGCTGGGATTATGCTAGACATTGATTGAGTCATTGCTAACCCTTGTAGTCACTTGATAAGTGCTAACTAATAAGAGTGTTGCCATCGATGTCAGGGTGAGTCGCATACAAGCTTGCTAAGCGGCTTATTGTTTACCAACGTTTTTTGTCAGATTGAAGAGATTCATTCCGCGATGATTATCATAACGACCTCACGGCAGATAGATTATACTCATTAGCTAGGGCTAGTCTGTACTTCAAGCCCAAAAGGACCTCGGTCTCTTCCATTTACATTAAGTACACTTCCAGTTGCAGTTCTATCTAATTATGTATCGCAATCATCAACCCAACACTCCCGCGCATTAAACTTGAGAACTTCATTCCCACAAGCCCACCAACCAGCAGTCAAATTCCTCGCAAACACTTCAAGCGCAGAGTACGACTGTATCCCAGCATTCACTCCATCAGACTCGGGATTCTCACCTGTGAAGAAAACCCGCTCAAAAACCTCCTTCAAATTCGGTTTCCGCGAGTGCAAATCCGGCACTGCAGCAATGACTCGTCTCTTTACACCAGCCGGATCAATACCCAACAAATCCTTCATATCCATATCCATAGCCATAGCCATAGCGGCCGAGTCTACAGTCCTTCCATCCTGGTCAGCCCGCCCAATAACCAAAATCTCATACGGCTTCCTCCAAAGCCCATTGACCGCACTAATAGCCCTCCCATCAATCGTAGTCTTAACCCAAATCCACTCCTCAATGACCCGGAAACCGGTACTGCTTAGGGACTCATAAGCAGCGCGGCGAGCTTTTTCGGCGTTTGTTATCCACATAGCTGCCAACGATGCACGACTTGCACCACAAGTCTCTGGGAAACCAGATCCAGATCTGGATACTCCAGCGGAATATTTCTTAGATTCACGGGGAGGGGTGATGTGAAAAGAATGCACATGCAGTATATCGCGTAATTTCTGTGTCAAAAGGTCCATCTCCGAGTAATGATGCACCTGGTAGTGACCACTCCGTTTAACAGAGCGGTTTGGCCAGGGGGGATCGAAGAGGAGAAGGTTGAATTTTTGGGTGGGTGGGAGTGCGGGGATTGGATTTTTGAGTGTGGTGATTTCAGTTTCTGGGGTGGAGTTGAACGGGGTGGGTTCTGGTTGTGAGAGGGGCAGAGTGCAGAGGATGAAATTTGCTTGTGGAGGGATGATATATTCGGTGTATATATGAATATCATCGCCAGGCGAGGAACAGGAAAAGGGACGGGGACGTATTGCAAGAATGGCACTCTCCGAAGAAACATTCTTCACAATACTCCCCTCCAAATCGGAGAGTGATTCGAAAGAAGTAACCCCCGTAGAAGATAGAATCACAGGTGGCATTGGCATAGCCAGCAAAGACTCTTGGCCCTTGATATCCTGGAAGTCAGGCTCATCCGCAGTGATATGCTCATTCCGCCTCTTCCTCACAGAATTACCCTTCCTCCCAACATCCCGCTTCGATACTTCCACTTGCCGCCGCGATTCATCATCACAAACCCGTCTGGGAAGACACCACCGCCCATCACCACGAGACCGATATCCACTTCTTAAAACTTCCAAAGCAGATTCAACAAGCGGCTTTATAAATTCCCCATGAAAGCGCAGCTCACTCGCTGGAATCCTCTCGAGCACTTTTGCACGCGCAGCATGGGATTTTGGTTCCGTTGATGGGAAGGGGGTTTCTACTGGTGGCGCAGACAACAGCAATCTTCTTCTATTTTTGGATTTTCCCTTTGAGAGCGTGGAAGAAACATTTGGTTGGGGACGACTTGCGTCCCGTTTGCGCGATGCTGATTCCTGCGCGAGGGCTATGGAATGGGGCGTGTCGATGAGAAAGATTGTGTTTTCTGCATTGTGGTAGAGGATGGCCGAGTCCTGGGTTGGGGACTGTGTCATTCTAGTTGTGTTTTGGTCATGATGTTACTGGGCTGGTGGGATTGATACAAGGCGAAAAGATGATGGTGGATCTCAAGGGTGAACTTGCCAGATGCTTGGCGGTCGGCTGCCAAACTACCATGGGCCTGGCACCACGTGTACCACGCAAGAAATACCTAGGTAAATCTGACAACTAAAGTGTATACAAAGCCTACAAGCTACAATCAAAACTCAGACTCATACATGCATAAGATAAAATTTGTCCATCGACGCCCCTCCACTCCATAGCCACTAAATAATCCCACAATCTCAACCAACCCCAATGATCAACATTCAACCACACACAACCCGTAAAAATACCAATACCAATATCACACCAGAGAAGAATGAGTCAAAAAAAGAAGACAAAGCATGAAGAAAAGGGGAAAAAAAAGGCCCATAGATCGCAAAATACATGGTCATTCGAAACGCTGTCTCCATGAAGATACATGAAACGGGTGTCAGACTTCGCGCCAGACCCGACTTTTTTTGTAAAATCCACACATCCCAAAAACAACAGATCAAATCTTCAATCGCATACCCCATTTCCATTCCCCTTACATCTAATCCACGCCAGACCAGCGATCCAGCGTCTGGTGGCTGGCGTGGAAGATGAAGGGGAGAAAAAGCGAAATGCATGATTTGAGACGAATTTCCGATTCACAACATAGCAAGAGAATCCGCTAAAAATCTTCATGATGAAAATGGCCACAAGATGAAGGTGAACGAGGAAATGAATTTATACAGTAGATTGAAGCAGGAAAGATTTGATTAGAAGATCATATGCCGAGATCAGCGCTGTAGAAAAGGAGAGCGTTAGCAGGTTGTATCATTACTGAGGAAAAGAGATAAAGGGAGGAGTATCTTACCCGTCCACGTCGACCTCCAGTCTGGCCCTGCACCGGCTGTGCCTGGGCATAGAACTGTGGAGGATATTGGTACATTTGGGCTGGGTTGACCACGGGGCTGAACTGCTGTGGAGAGTAGCTAGATTGACCCGGCATGGCATTCGGGCTCATGGCGCCTGGCGCAGCGGACAGCTGTGTCTGCAGAGAGCGAAGGTTCTCAACTGATGGCGATACAGCTGGGTAGCCGAAGTTGGCCCCCGGCATGCCCTGGTACATACCGCCAGGAGAGACACCACGAGCTTGAGCAGCCAGATAAGCCTGGTACTGAAGTTGCTGCTGGGAAAGAGGCGCGTTGGGGTCCTGGAAACCATTTATTCCCCCAAGCCCGTTCAGAGGATTGCCAAAGCCATTCATGCCGTTGGCACCATAGCCATCAAGAGGAGCATTGTTCTGATCAGAGGAAATGGGCCGCGAATCAGGAGTCTGGCCAAGCATGTTGGAGCCGAACTGGCCGCTGTACTGGCGCTCCATAGGTGGCTGTGCCGGGAAGTTGGCGCTTCCGTGGCGGGAAGACTGACGGTGCTGAGACTTCTCGGGGGTAGAGGAGTCGCGACCGTGGTGGTGCTCCCGGCCATTGCCACGGGACGAAAGGCCAACCTCATCCATCAGACGCTTGTATCCCTGGCTTGGTGATGCCTTCAACTTGGTGAGAACCTTGGACACGTTCCTAACGACCTCGGATCGCATAGACTCGTCAAAGAAAGGGGTGGTAAGGACCTTGAAGATCAAAGTGGCTCCCGAAGACTGATCACTCAAGATCTTCTCCAACACCTCATCGCCAGGGCTGAAGAAGAGGGCCTTGAGAACGACATCTCGAGCCTCCGCCTCATTGCGCTGATTAATCACCTTGAGAACGGTAAGATATGCAACCTTGTGGGTGCAAAGGTGCACCAGATGGGGCACGAGTCTGGGAGCAAGGACGGTTCGGCGATGGGGGAATGTACAAGTATCAAGGAACCATGTGAGGAGCAAAGCACCGTTGGCATTAGTAGCCAGCTGCACACTGTGAAGAGCAATAGCAGCAGCGAGGGCCCGCTGCTGATCCTTGGTGGAATGGTGGCTTTCCAAGCAAGCCCGCATAGCTCGGGCACCAAATCGGCCCTGAGCAACCTCCCACATGCGGCTCAGCATGGTCTCAAAGATAAAGTCATTAAAAGGAGCGCCGAATCGAAGACAGCACTGCAACACGTAGTTTCCATACTGGTCAAGGAAGAGTGGCACGGTGTAGGGGCGGAGTGCATCGACAATCATCTTCATCTGAGCGGGGGTCTTGGCAACATCGATGATCTTCTGGGCAGCCCAGGTTCCGTTCTTGTGCACACCAATTTCAGCAAGATGAGGAGCAATATGGGACAACATCTGTTCCTTGGTAGATTCAGAGCAAAACTCGAACAACTTCTGAACAACAGTGTTGCCAAGATAGTCAGAAGCGAGCTCAGCGATCTCAGGGAGCATAGCGCTGGCAGTCTCTTCAATCTCTTGGATTGAGCAAGCACCGTTATCGATACGCTTGCGAATATCACGCAGACGAGGGGCGTCAAACATGCGGGTCTGGCTGGGTTCTGAGTCTGAAGGAATCTCGTCTTCATAAGCCTGGAAGGCAATGGCACTCTGGATGGTAGCATTGATGTTCCGTGAATCATCTTCAGTAGCTCCAAACTCTTGCACAATTTGAAGCATCTCCGGCAGCAGATCAACCAGAGCGGGGATTTGAGGAACGACACCGAAGTTGTTCGCCTGGTCGATACCTTCCGAGACAATGCTAGACTTGAAGTTGGGATCAGGAGTAGGGGATGACTGAATGCCGTTGGCACCGGGAGTGCCAGCTGCAGAGGTGCCAGGAACCTTAGCATAACCAATTCGCACAGGTCCAGCGCCAGGGAAAATCTCCTTGCCATTCAACAGAGACTTGGCCTGCACAGCACTTTCGATACGTTCAAAGTTGACAAAACCACAATTCTTGTGCGTCAGCACGCGAGTAGACTCGATCTTCCCGTACATGCCAAAGATAGCATCGAGAGAAGTGACCGTGGTGGAGACAGGAATGCTGCCAATCCACAAAGCCCGAGTTGGGCCATCTTGGTTGTTTTCATCTGCCAGCTCTCCCGTTGCACGAACTCCAACTGCAGGGCCACCAGCTGCACCAAGATGCATCATCTGAACTGCCTCGGCAAGGTCATCATACTCGCCGTTTTCTGATATATGCAAGTCCGAAGGAGTGAAGCTGTTGTCGAGGCGAGAAGGCGTAGCGAGGTAGTTGCGGATGGAGGATCGTTGAGGAGGGGCCTCCAGAATACCAGCAGTCCGTGCTCGAGGACGGTTGACAGAGGCATGGCTGGCGAATGCCTGAACGGCCAGATTGTGCTGGTGAATCTGCGCCTGCGTGGCAGCAAGCTGAGCAGCCGTCGCAGCGGCCGAGGGGGTCAATGTACCCGAGGGAATTCCCGAGTATCGACTCTCATACTCCAGATCCTCATCATCGGCATACTTCTCCTTTGCGTTCACCGAGTACGACCGGAACCGATTGTTGCTCTTCATCATCGCCAGCTCAGCCAGGAGTGGCGGCAGCCCAGATGCTTGCTGCTGCTGTTGGTGGTGAATCAACTGCTCCATTGAAGGTCGTGCGAGGGAAGCCCGCGGTTGCTGGGGAGTCTCTGCAAGCCCGAGGTAGTCCAGGGTTCTGACATCGGCGGTGTCTTGAGAGAAGGACGAATGGCTTGGTGAAGCCGGGCCCTCCGACGAGCGAATGCTTGTCAAAGTAGTGGCTCTGTCGCGACCAGTGGACCAACCGGATGAAAAGACAGATGAGCCGAAAGGACCGCCAGTTCCGAGGAGACTGTTTCGTTGCGGCATCGAGCCAGCTCGAAGACGGGACAGCATGGTTGGGTTGGGAGCCGCGGCCGAGCTTGCAATACCGGCACTCGGGTCAATACCTGACACACCGGGAGGTCGGAAGGGGCTTGTTGACGGAGTCGGCCGGGAGGTCTGCGACATGAACGGCTGCTGAACATCCATCTCGTTAAGGGTGCCCATTGGTGGGAATCGAGAGGGCACAGTGCCAGCTCGAGCCCGGCGGCCAGAACCAGTCATTGAGCCATTGGTAGTGGGAATGAGATCGGGAAAGCTGTCCTGATTAGGCGACTCGGGAATGTTCTCGCGCAGCGGGGTCGAGTGGCCGCTCGTCGGGGGACCCCAGATGCTGGTGGGAAGACCTTCCTGGGCTTGAATCTCGCGGGCGCTGTATCAAGCGAGAAGCGTCAGTCAATGTGTTCTGATAAAGGCGCAATTTCCATATCGTAGGATGAACGACTTACCGCTTCGGGTAAAGACGTGTCCCCAACTCATGAGAAGGGGAGCCAGCCCCCAGTCGCGAAACACCGATCGACGTGGATGAGCCGAAAGGCGCCTTCGCAGTCCCCGAGCCAGCCAGATCGCTAGGAGAGCTTCGCCCTGTCGAAGTTCCCGACATGGACTGTGTGGTTGGGATGTAGTTGAAACTCATCTGTCCTTCAGGTCGCGAAACCGGTAACATTATGAATTATGTCCTTCTGCCTTTAGCCAAAGGCAGTACTCTTGATTTCCCCACTCTGAAACCCTGCGCAGATACCGGAAGGGACTGTCAGAGTCGATCAACTCGAGAAAAAGTGGAGGTCAGACACGGTGATGCAGCGCAAACACCATGCGGTGATGGATTCGAGGGAGACCGTAAGGATGTCGATGAAGGAACCGGAGAGACGGCGAGGTAGTAACCGCGGGTACAGTCTGTGGAGGAGATGCAAGGTCGAGGTCAGCCGGGGAGTTCTTCGAGGGCGAACTCGATGGATGATCGGTGAATGGCTGGTAGAGGGATGGGGGGATGAGATGGAAGGAGGGGTTGACAAAGGGCTTCCACTACAGCCAGACACGACGAGGTGGGGGAATAAGGAATGAAAGAGTGGGTTCTTCTCAAGACTGACCGAAAAGAACGAGTTATGCTCACAAATCTCTCACAACGACAATGTGCTGAACTGTATGGCGATCTTCGGTCCGTGTCCCCAAACGCGATTAAATCAACCCGGGTGGGAATCACCAAAACGCTCACGTTTTCGCAGCGGTCGTCCAAAGAGAGGGGGACGCGGCTAAAGGTGAAGCATGGAAGAATTGGAAAAGGAGTCCACAACCAAAGAGCGCCGAGTGAGGACTAAAAAGAAGACGGATGGAGGAGGATGACGAAGAGGGTTTTCGGGAAAGGGATCGAGGTGGCTGGAGGACTGGTTAGTTTGCGCGGCTCCGGGGGGACTTAAGGGAGGATGAAAACGAGGTCGGGGGAAAAAGAAAAAGGGTAAGACTGACCGAAAGAATCGCACAAGAGAAGAATGCAGAAGAGCAAAAAAGAGGAGTGAGAAGAAAAAGTCACGAGGAGGAGAAAAGGTGAAGAAGTGAGAGAAGTTGAGAAGTTGTGGAGGAAGACCGGATGTTCGAGGAGTTGGGGAGTTTGGGAAGTTTGGGACGTTGTGGTTGGTTGACAGAGGGAGAGAAAGTGTTCTTTTCAGCTTCAATTCCCACAATCCCATTGTCCCCTCCCAGTTGGTCCGGGATGGATATACGGTAAACAAAACAATAGACCATAAATGATGAATAAGTAATTATCAATTAATAGTGAGAAAAGTGTTCTTTTAACCGGTCGTAGAATAGGCTGTAGGCTAATCCTAAGACGATGGCTGCATGTTTATACAAACTACTACATTTGTACTTTTTCTACGTGGACTTCACCCAAGCTATTCAAGTCAGTACTACTAACATACAACACGTCCCTACGGTTCATCCAACGGCTTTCATCTGGCATGCATCATCTCGGGCAGTCGGCACAGCCAAAGTGGATTATCGACTCAGCCCCATCGATGTCATCGTTTTCCTGGTGGTCCCAGACAATTCAAGTCTGCCTGGAACCCTCTAGGCCCGCAGTAAACACTGAAACACCCATCTACATACACTACTCCCCTCCTACCAGGTTCCTGACAAGTGCCGGATACTCCCTGTTGGTTCCTCGACCTCCCCCGACATTCCGGTCGGCACAACCTGCTGGGTCTGTCATAAGGCGTGTGTTTTGTTCTTCGGGAAAGCATGGCATGCTCGGTGAAGCACTGGCGTGGAAAAAAGACACAAGAGCCCCGCATTCCCGGAGCGTCATGCCTCAATAGTCGACTCCATAGAGATCATGGAACACGGATGGGATAGCAGTCAGACTTGATTGGAGGGGCCTGATATATTCATTCGTTGCCTCGAATGCTCATATCAAGGCCCTGACTCGACGGATGAGGCAATTGCCCATGCAAGGGGAACAACTCTGTCATGGTTGTTTGGAGATGTGAGTGGATGCGAGCAAGGGATGGGTCAGGTACGTGTCCGTATCCTTGTCCTGGAGAGAAGGGTGTTGGTCAACCAGATAGGGCCGACAGGGTAGTCATATCAACACGATATCCAGGTCATCAGCGAGAGAGATCACTGTAATCGATCAGCGCTGAAGCATTGTCTCATCTGGACCTCAATTCTTCGGAGGGAACGGCATAGTGGGTACGGAACACCCGGCAGGTTGAATAGCGTATGCTGCAATGTCCAGTTGCCTGCAATTGAGGGTCATAGTGGAAGAACCATTGGGTTCCGAAACAAGCTGCAGATCCAGTGAGAGTAGAGTAGAGCAGTAGTGAGGAATGGTAGTTCCAAGTTCAACCAGTCGAGGACGACAACTGGTCGAGACGGTCGGCAGCCTGAGGCAGCAAAGACGCCACGCAAAAGGGTCAGCCACACTGCGATCTCCGTTTAGCGCGTTTCTGTCCAGTTACTCATCGTTCAACAGTCAAAGATATCACGCTCATCCGATGTCGCGTGCTTTTAATCTAGCCAAGCCGCGCTGATTATCCCACTGCAACCATCAAACTCCGTTTGTGACCGTGATCCCCAAGTCTAGCCCGCGTCTCATGCCCGACCGACCATCCACAACGCGATCGCCCGATAGCCTTCCGCAATAAATCTCCCCTCAGAGCTCTTGCGACATGGCGGACCTCATGGAAGACGACCTATCCTCGGGACTCCAGTCTTCGGAAGAGGAAGAGGAGGTCGACATGCCAGTGGAGTCTCTAGTTTCAGGTCGTGCAAAGCGAAGCACTGCCGGTCGGCACATGTCCGCCCTGATCGATGCGGCCGCAGACGACGATCTTACACTGTTATTCGAGGAAGTGGAGGATGATAACGAGTTTGCTATTGATGCCGGAGCTGCCGAGGAGGAGGATATGGGGCTCGATTCTTCCTCTGAGGATGAGGACGACCAAGGCCCCGATGCACAGAACGACTACGAAGGCGAGAAACAATTACAGAAGGAGGAGCGCAAAAAACGCCGAGCTCAAAATGACCTTCGATTCCAGACACTTCGCAAGCGAGTCAAGATCGATCCTACCGCCGTATCATCCATGCCTGCTCCCCCGCCCCGCGCGAAGAAGAAGTCGGAGCGCATCTCGTGGCTGCCCACGGTGGAAGATGGACCGACTCGATCCTCCTCGCGTCGACAGACGATGGTGAATAAGGAACTCACGCATGCGCGTTTGAAGGATAGCCAGGAGAAGCGTATCAGGATTATTGCTACGATGAAGGAGGCTGAGAAGCGGAAAGCCCATCTCAAGCCAAAGGAGATGACTCAAGAGGATCATCTTGCTGAAGCTGCTAGGGTGGAACGAACCAACAGCAAGAGTCTGAACCGATGGGAGCTTTCGGAGAGGAAAAAGGCAGAAGAGCGGAAAGCCAAGATTGAGGCATTACAGAATCGTCGACTTGAGGGTCCTGTTCTTTCCTACTGGAGTGGGGTGGCTACGTGGGTGGATGGAAAGCTCACGAAGGTGGGTAAAGTTGAGATTAAGGCGAAAACCGAGAAAGAAGAGCCTCGCAAGAAGAAAAAGGACAAGGATGAGAAGACTGCTACGGAGTCACAGGATGCGCAGAGCGCTACGCCTGCTCCAGTGCCGCAAGCGAATACTGCGGCTCCTGGAGATGCTTCCACTTCTATTCCAACTGCAGTACCTGGCGAGCCTGGAGCTCTCCCAGCATCTGAAGCAAAACCTCAATCACAGACGCCGGTTGCCACGATTTCTGCGCCCGATATTGTCGCGGCTCCGACGTCAACACAAGAACCACCCAGCAAGCCCAGCGAAAACCCCTCCGAGCCACCAGTAACCGCTTCACAACCCGTTGAGAAGGATGGAAACAAGGACCCTGAACAACAGCCGGCTGCCGAGTCCATCGATTCAAAGAAAGAGGAGGCCAAGACTGGGGAGCCAGAAACACAAGCCGATCCCTCCAAGGTCTCTGAGAAACAAACTGAGCCAGGCGAGACTATCACAGGTCACCAATCTACTTCCCCGGCCGAGCAAGACACTTCAGACAAACCTGCAGAGACGTCCTCAACGGAGAAGTCAGAAGAGAAATCAGAAGAAAACCCAGACGTGATGGACATTGATTCCGGGTCGGGGACTGAACCCATCAAGGGTGATGGACCACAACCACCGATCGAGCGAGAATCTCCCGCAGCTGCCGCGCTCAACGGTATCGGCACCAGCACAGATGCACAACCAACATCTGGAGAGGTCTCTCAGGCCACCTTGGCATCAAGCACTACAGAGCCCGTGACAGAACACGTTACACCTGCGGCCGCCGCATCCGCACCCGCACCTACGCCTGCAGACCCTCAAGCCCCTCAAGCTCAAGCTCAAGCCCCTCCAAGCAATGCAGCTCCCCTGCAAGCCACGCCACCCAATATACCCGAGACCCTAAATCAAGGCGTCGACCAACCCCAGCAGACACAGCAGGGACCGCAAGGCGACCTACTTCTTCAGCAACCAACCCAATCACAAGATTCGATATCAACGCCAGTACAACCAGAGATGCCCCGGCCACCGCCAGTTATCGAGCATACAGGGCGGAACTTGACGATATTGGAGAACTTCGACGATCGCACCGCGCACAGCAAAAAGTTCAGCATGTACTTCAATGCGAAGAAACCACCGCGGTTGACCAGTACGTGCACACCCCTCTACTCTACACCCTTGTCCAGCCAGCAATACCCCACTTCATCTGCTTCATCTATCATGTTATCAATCAAAATCAAGCACAACCAGCTAACCCACTAATCAGAAATCTCCTCCTCCCTCTGCGTGATCACATCCCTACCCTCCCGCTACCGCGATCCAGAAACTTCCCTCCCGTATGCAAACTCCTACGCCTACGGGCAGATCCGCCGGATGCTCTCGCAGGGATACATATGGAGTTCGATGCTGGGCTGTTTCGTCGGACCCGGTGGGACTGCGGCGCGTGGTGTGCCGGATCGGTTCCTCGGCATTGAAACTAAGGCAGGCGAAGATGCTGAGAAGGAGAAGAAAGAGGAGAAAAAGCCGGATGGTGGATCAGCTGGTGCTTCGAAGGCTGATCCGATGGAGATTGATGCAAAGTGAATTGAACTGAACTGAATTGCGTCTGTGAGTGTATCGTCATTGATCTAGATCTAGATCGAGATCAACTGATAGATGTGGTGTACGATATATGTCATAACTAGCCTTGTCTGAGCCTTTAACTGTATAGATACCCATTCGGCCCGTTGGAAACAAGGCCAGACCACAACCGATACCTAAAGTAAAGCCTAAGCCAAGAGCCGATAATCATTCAGTTTGTTCGGGCCCCGGTGTAAACTCGGGCCAGCCCTATCTCCACCATGTAGTCATAGACTACAGACTCTATCAATAGAGCAAGCATACCCAAAGTAACATAACCCCTGGAAGACACAAACAGTAAGTTTTCAATAAATCCACACTAACCATCAAACTGCAGCAGTGGTTCGTAACAGCTTTAAAACCTTTCTATGATGTCTTCCCTGCCCAACAAGTGCGTTGGTTACCTTTCATGTCCCCCTGGGTAAATCAGCCACCCCTTCCCGTTCCAGGGAACCAAATCCACGGAAGGCGACGGGAGTCAAAAATAGCAGTAACAAACCATAGTTCCTCCGCATTGAAGGTTTTAAAGGGACCCGAATCCAAGACATGACATTATGAATACCGAACTCTGTCTAGGCTGCGAGTTTATTATTTGTGTTGTGTGTTGTGTTGTGTCATCATAGCATACTACGCAATCGAGCAAGTCGTCTTGCGTCGACGAGTGCTCTGCAGTGTTTGGGTTGGGTCCACATTGCGTAGATTGTCAACAGCCTACTTACTGTATCAACTGGCCTTGTCTACGTAGGAGCTACGTGGTAGCAGGTAATCTAGACGATACAGTGAACCGAAATACAGAATACTTACTGTCAATGTGTGTCGGTCTAGGCATTCACCTTAACTAACTAGGCTTCGGGCATTATCAGATGGTAAGCTCGAATCTTATCCAATATCCAGTGATTCTAGAACATCTCATCCGCTCTACAGTACCTAACCGCCAGGCCAGACCGTTACAGGTAGCGCTGGCCTAACGAGTCAAGTATTGTATGCATTCCAGCACAACACATCACCCCATCCACACACCCACATCTTTCCCCATCGACACGAAACGGATGATCGACGCCTAGCACCAGCAAAGCGCCGAACAGAGCGCAAACATAAACCTATAGACAGGGCTACGAGTAACGAAGTGGATAGTCTCCCCGTTCCACATTCTGGAGCACTTGTTTCGCCTCACTATTTTAAGTGTAGAGCTATGTACTAATCTATAGCATATTTTATCGAATTGTTCTTCGCTAAATTCTAGAATTCTAGATCATCTTGGCTCTGGGGACTCGACGTGTCAGGGCTGTGTCACGACTCAGTACATCACTGGGGTGTGTGGGGTGTTGGCTTGGTCGAGTGTCCACATACCCACACTGTGGCTACAGTACTCCGTACTCCGCGGTGGCACGGCCGGTCTGGGCGGCGGTCGGATATTCTTGGATTCTTCAATTTGTCCTTGTCCTCGGACGATAATGTGATGCGGGACTCTGTTTGGCAGGGCAAGTATTTACTCCTCGGGTCTTGGAGTGAAGATCTCGTCCGACCCTTTTTCGTGGATGGGTGCTAGGTTGTTTGGTTCTTGTAGCGGTGTGGAAGAACAAGGTCAGAGTTATGGTCATGGATATGGTTATGGTTATGACATGAGATATGAGATAGATTTAAGATGGAGGGAATGGCGTCATGGAGATTGGGGATGAGATGAATTGTTAATTTATTCTTATTTTATACTCCGTACATTTGCTTGAGATGTCGGGGGTGCTGTCGTGATTATTGTATACACTGTTCGATGCTATCATGACATTTTCCTGGAAATGATGAATGATGTGTCGTGATCAAGTATGTATCAATGATGTGCCTACTGTACTTTGTATGGCAAGAATGAGGTGCTCTGATCTATTATCCAATTCGCCCTGTCATCTCCATCAAATCGAATCCTCCGATCGCGCCACTTTCCCCCGATCACGCCAGAGCTGAAACTAAGAGGGGAGAGATAAACTGCCACACCCTACTGCAGGTGAACCGGCTGGCGCGTTCCTGTAGAATATATTGTAGAATATTATTGCCCCTCCATTATTAAACCGGGGGTCTTAGGGCCTGCGGAACTACTCAGAAACGCGTCGTGGCGTGGTGTCCAAGCACGAGGGGCGCGTGCGGATCTAGACTGGATCAGCGTTGATCAACGTGGTGCTGCAGGTAATGTATCCTTGGCAAGGATAGTACGGAGTACAGTATGAGTATAATGTACATAGAGGGGGAGGTTTTGATGGAAGGCGACGAAAAACTGGCAGGGAGGGCTAAGATAATTATAGAAGAGAGACAGTTACATTAAATATGATGGATACTCCGTTACTACGTGGATTAAAGGCAAGTCCTAAACATAGAAAGAAAGGCGAGAATTGCGTGCGGAAGGTGAAAATGAGTCAGCGGTCTGGACTTCCCAGGTTGGAAGGGGGACCTTGATAGGAAGGATGATTGGTGTGATCACTGTGATGGAGAGAAGTCGATTGCGTGGAAGAGGGTGGATCTGAGATCAAAGGAGAGAAAAAGTCTGGGTCTTGGACTGTTCAGGTGGAGTGCTCCGTAACTTGTTAGGTTAATAGGAAATCTTCTCCACGACCACGACTACTGAAAGGTACCTTCGTGGAGGGGTGGAGGGGGGAGAAGATCACCCGAAATGGTTCTGGACTTCTAGAGTCTGGACTCTGGATTGTCTTTCTCCTCCGAGCACGTTTTCGTTTTGCGATCTTATTTATACAACTCTCTCTTCCCTCGTCGATCGATTATTATTTCTTGCAACTTGTCTCTTCCACCCTCTTTATATAAGCTGGTCGGATCTTATCCTACTTGTCATCATCCCTTTGATGGTCGAAATTCCCATATCTTCCGAATTTTAAAGTTCCCGGTATGCTATCTCTGTTCTTCTGCTTATCTCCCCCCACTCACACGCCGGCGATCGCCCCGACCGAGGCCCAACCCGATTATCCTGCGTGACACAGTCTGAGACAGACTGTTAACGTTAACTAAATTGTTACTTCGTTAGTCAACTCACTAACATAGTCACCTTATCAGGACCCTCACTCCCCCCCGGTCTTTTCCTTAACGATCGATCTGGTTCCCCAGAAGACTTGATCATTCCGACGGGGCGGAGTAGATAAAAACCGAGTTGATATGAAGAGGAACAACCCGATGACTATATGATTACTGCTTATCCCCGCCTAAGCCTACAATAACTATTCTCTACTATCCTCTTAACGGGTCATTCTTCTCTGGTTCAACCTGCAACATCCCGTCTACTCTCCCACCACTGCTACCAACCATCAACTTGACCAGGCAAATACCTCATACCGGCAACAAATCCCTCAACTCACTCACCTCCTCCATTCCTGGAATCCCGCAATCTCGTGCTCCACCTGGCGCAAGGTACCCTGACCCTAAACAAAGGGCTCACCTCCTGATAAGATACCAAAAAAGAAGTGGCTACACCGCCACATCAGCTACAATAATGACTCAGTCCACGACCTCCCATCATCGTCGCTCCCCTTCCTCTCCTCATACTATCATCCCCAAGTCCAAGCCTGCTGTTCGACCAGGTCTCCATCGTCGTGGGACCTCCGGTGTCAGCCTATCCATTTCCAAGCTGGGCTCGGGCCATCATCATCATCATTCTTCTTATATCCGATCTCATTCACGGGGAATCAACAAGGCCGACGACGACTTTGATATGGCCGCTAGTTTTTTGAATTTTTGGTATGTTAGCTATGCGATCTCTTGTGGACTTTCATTCTTTTTCTTATTTGGGGGGACGTCTTATCTTTGCCCAGTCCCCCTGCAGAACTTGTCCTGCCCCGTGCATGCCGGTTGCCGTCATTTGCAGCGGTGCATGGGTCTGAATCCTGATGGTTTGGTCTTTAAATAGACTGAGACCTGGAAGGCTGGACTAGTGTTTATGAATCATACACTCATTCTCAATTGATTGAGACTCGGGGCTGACTTTTATATCTTGTGTTTATAGCGCTATGTGTGAGCGTCAAATTACTATCCCTAACAACACTATCCTCTACTGCAGTGAAAGGTATGCTTGATCCACTATCTTCATCCTCCTTATCTATACATGCATCTATCCATCCATTTTTTCTCAATGCCCTCAATTTGATCCTGTACACCCTCCACACTCAATACAATTCAATACTAACATCCCCTCCAGCTGCCGCCGCAAAGACTCAGCAAAACCCCTCTCAGCCTCTCTCCCATCAACCTCAACCCTCTCCACCAGAATGTCCTCCACCAACACCAAGACTTATACCTACTCATCCACCACCTCCCCACCAACATCCCCCCTCTCTCCCCGCGCACCATCGTCGCCCCCATGACTCCAACAGTCATCTCCTCCTCCACCCCCGTCCCATCCATCAGGATACCCGCCACCATCCACGACGGCAAGTCAGATCTTGACCCCACCGAATGGAAGCCCGTGTTAGGTGCCCGCACCGACAGCACCGGCTCCACTACCAGTACGACCAGTACTACCAGTGGTAGCTCGCTGGCTACCTCCGACGCATGGGGCTATCTCTCCCAATTCCACGGCGGCTCTTCCACCTTCCTGGCACCCCGCTCGCACCGCAGCACGACTAGCCTGTCCACCCTGGATGTGACGGGTACACCCTCGCTCACCCATGCGCCATCCATCGCAAGCTCTGTATCGAGCACTGCATCTTATGAACCTGAGCATGAGCTTGGGCATCGTCCGCTCCCACCGCGCCATAACCCGTTCTTCTCGCTCTCGCATGCTGCGGAGAAAGGTATGGCGCTGGTTGTTCCTCAGGTCGAGGCTGTTGCTGTCCAGGATGTGGAGAGTGATAGTGGCTCGATTTTCCCGGCTAGTAGTTCCGTCTGGGAAGATGGGGTTACGACTGCTACGAAGGGTAGTGCGCCGATCATGGTTCGTGGCCGGGGTCGTGTGACTAAGGTTTAGTCAAACTACGCCCGCAGGAACCATTGAGCGGTGCGCATTCAGGTTCGAGATGAGCATTGAGCTAGCTTGCGTGTGGATGGGTGTGGGATTGGATGAAAAGCGTCGTTTCGCTGTTTGAGAATCCTCCCTCATGCTATCCATGCTTTTGCTCTATCGCTTTCTTGTCTCGGGGCTGAGTGTGAAAGCGCATAGGATGCTCTTGGGGGTGGAGTATAGCTGATAGCTATGAGGAATATTTGGCTGGAGTGCGATTTGGGAAGTTGGAGTTATAGATTTTTCCTCTAATTAAATTATGCATGTGCGATGCACATTTTTTTCTGCTTGTGACCTTTTCCTCTATTTTCCTCTGTAGAAGTTTATTATGATCTCAAATAGTCTCTGGCATCATATACCAAAAATACATTATATTGAAAGCACTGTCTATGCACCAGCGAGATAACCGAGACAGGATCTCTCTTGGAGACCTACACACTTCCATCAAGTAGTAAACATGCTGGTCTAACATAGCTATCACATGTACTAGTTTATGCCTTAAAAACAGACGTTTTTGACCCTCTTGAAACTGGAAGGGATTTGGATCCTCAGGTAGTATCCAATGTATGTTTTCCAGGGCGCCGCTGAGGGTATTGACACACCTGCTGCGTCGGAGATGTTTTGGACTTTGCAGTAGGGTCTTTCGAAATGCTTTTGGATGAGAGATGTATCTAGGGGAGGATAGTCTTTTGGTATGGGTGTTAGGTGGAGGTTAGTTGGTTTGGTGTTGGTTTGGCGTTGTTCGTCTGTATTGATGATAACTTTTCTTGACGAAACCTCCCTTCCTCCATCACCTTCTTTCTCTTGGTAGTCAGGCATATCCATCGGCGGAGCATCATACCTAATGCTCATCTCACAAAACCTCTCCCTAGCAACTTCACCTGCAATATTCGCCCCCGACAACACACCACAATAAATCTGCAATTTCTCCATAATCATCTCGACTGCCCCATCAGATACATCACCACCCTTTCCCTCTACACACCATACCCCCCTCGCATAAGTTCGATGAAAACCCACAATTTCATCCAGCACCTCCTCCAAGAATCGGTCCGGGAGACTAAAAACAAGAATACTAGCTCCTTTCACCGTATCCTTAAGGTTATTGTTTGCGATGAGGTTTTCTGGAAGTGTGATTCCAGGGAGATATTTGATGTTCTGGTGGATTTTGTTTATGGCGGCGGATAGTTTGATCGGTGGTGAGCCGAGTTTGGAGCGGAGGGTTGGTGGTACGGGGGATTTGTCGGGGATATCGGAGCTGTCGATGTCGATTTCTTCTTCGTAGACCCATATTGGAACGATGGTGTCGAAGATTAGGCTGTTTTGTTTGACGTTTTGGGCGACTATTTTGCCGATTGTTGTGCCCCTGGTTGTAGGAGGTGGTAGGTGAGTTTTTGTTGCTTATGGTATATTAAGCAAGGAAAGCATGTAGATGGTTGCTTACCATTTTCCAGACCCGATTACGGCAATTTTGTGCTTTTGACTTGGTTGACTGGGTTCGGACATATTGTTCTCAGATGTAGAGGTGGATGGATGGATTTGGCTGGTATGTTGTCTTTTAGTGCTGGCTAGAGGGACGATAGACTTTTATAACATGAATGATTTTTGAATATTAGGTCATGGCGCAACGTTCTTACATACTACTGTCTAGATAGTATGAATGCAAAATACCAAAAAGTGAAGTAATGCATAGATATCTTAAACTAAACTTCGAATAACAGGTTTTGCCACTCAACGGGTATGTCAAAAGTACAAAGCGACGAATCAGGGGAGGCCGTCATGTTTCGTTCACTACTGGCATGGGGAATTTAGTCTATATAACCTAATCTCTATTGTGGCTTAACTACTACGACACTTCTCTATCTGGATCTGATGATTGAATTGATACATTCTTGCAAAGCGATTTCTTTTCCAGCTCAAGCCACATTCTAAACTTCAGACTCAAGAATATTTCAACTGACCGCATACCTTCCTCGACAGACTCTGATTTATCCGTTCTAGGTCGTTAAACCCCATTATCAGTTGATCTTGTCTCGTGACTGGAATTTCATCAGGCCATACCTTGTCAGCATTCGAACATCAGTTTGAATCCTCGGTATACCGCTGTGATGCACACAAGTATGCGCGGTTCCGATTAGTCGCATAACAAGGTCCCATGGTCCCTCTAGGAGAGTTCATTAGCCACTGAATTCGATAGATCGTGCCATCAACGTATCGTGGAGTTCAAAGTCGATTAAAGTTCGGACGCGGGACACTTGCCAACACGTGTTCCAGTGGCATGCATCTCATTCTTCAATCCTGACTCCCGCACAAGCCGCTGTACACCTGCAATTTCATGGGCAAAGGATGAAGCCGAAGATCCAATCTAATTGTTTCACGTTTGACCATGAGATCAGTAATCGGTATAAGATAATGCCTTTATTTCTGCAATGGCAGGGCTTACCGGGACCAAGGAGAAGTCGGCCGTGACATAGGAAGGTGTATCTGCGGTTGGTGCTGAGGTTGACATGGTGAAATTTGATAATGGTAGGTAAAGTTGTTGATTATTGTAGACCTTAAATTCTTCAACAGCCACTAGACAGTCACATATATATACTGGCCAAGCGTCATGACGACAGGACTCTCTCATCAACTGGCGCTGGAAGTTCTCCCCGTCAGTCATTCAATATCATTTATTAGATAGCTCAAGTGTTGCACCAATATCCGTAGCATTAAATCTTTACTCCTACTTCGCTTCTTTTAGAACGTGCCCACGCCGGATCACATGCCTCTTCCTTGATATCAGACGGTACAAATCGTTAAGGTATATCAGGAAGACTCTACGCAGAACAGGGCTATTTAGTCCACTATCTATCAATTGGTGGAGATATTGTCTGCAGGTTGATTGAGATGAAATCATAATCTAGTCATTGTGCACTAATTGTATGGATGAGCTCCAGAAAAAGTGGAACAGTTAGGGTTAGTCATCCTTGAGGCACTGGCACATGGTATTCATGCTTTAGAGAAACCGTGCGGTGGCCCCGGCAGACAGCGCCGGGAGGTAGGGGGGTACTAGGAGGTGAGAGCTGTGGACGCATGGAATGCACGCTATCTGAAAATCGGGAGTGGCGCACGGAAAGGGAAGCCAGGTGAGAGTGGAAAGGTGAGAGCTGTCGAAGCATGGTACGAGAGAGACAAGAGACAGAAGTCATGCACGTGCTGCAATTTAGTGCGCATCTTCCAATCACCGCTTCAACTTCTCATATTTCTTCTCTCTCCTGCGCCTCCTTTCTCACCACCCTTCCCCTATACGCGCTTTGCTGGTGAGACAGCTTTGCTATTGATCTAGTTCACCGTCCTCCCGCCGTATTTTCCTCCGAAGCAAAATAGCCGATCCTTTGCGGTCTCTCCCGGGTACTCGAGTGCGGTCTGCGCTGCCTTCCTCCGCCCGGCCTCGTTTCGGCTTGGTTTTCCTCATTGCAGTTGAGATGGGGAGTTTTTGCCCTTGATCCGCAACCTCACACGTCAATCGGTAAGTCGATCGTCGAGCCTCGGCGCCTCCGCCAACAGTCCACCCCGATCCTCGCTTGGTGTGACGACCAAGACCTTTCATTCCAAGATTAATGATTGTTGGGAAACATACTCATTCGAAGAAGAATGTCAAGAACAAAATGGCTATGCCCGTTTTCCCTTTTTGCGTGATGGATGGTGCAAGGAAGACAATGCATGGTGTCCTATAAACCCCGAAGACGATTCATGCGCCCTGTTACGATGTAAGGGCATATTGAAACGTTCACAGGAAGGAAAATACAGTATCAAAGTACCCAATCTTAGATGCAAGCTAAGCACGGAATAGGAGGAACTAGCTACGATTCTTGGATGAGTTGAATACTGTGAGGCAAACAGTATGGGGAAGAGGCCATTAATACCTCGAACACCTCGCGAGCTTGAATCAGAGGAGGTCCTCGTTGCTCTGCTTCTGATTGGTCAGCTCATTTTACTCCATTCTCCACCTTGGAGAAAACACGACCTCTCACTGTATCCTGGGTTTGCCAGGGCGGCTTTGCGATTATCACGGTTTGGAGGCTGTGCCATAGTGAAAGGTTTCTAAATGCATTTGGTGATTAATAGGGCTAGCGAGCTAGCAAAAAAGCAGATAACCCGATTCTGATGTTGTATCGTTATCCGCAAAAAGATAATATCGTATCGTCCAATATTGCCGATAGTGCCGCAGCCTAATTACTGATGTCGAATGATTTCACAGAGGAGGATTGGCAAGGTCAGATACGTTGCGATTACTCCGTACATGGGTTAACCACCACCGCATCCGCCGCATCCGCCGCATCCGCCGCTGCCGCATCCGCTTCCCCCGCCGTTGCCGCTGCCGCATCCGCCGCCGCCGCCGCCGCCGCCCCCAGAATATCCTGAATATGCTGAATATCCTGCCAATCCTGCAAATCCTGCAAATCCTGCAAATCCTGCCAATCCTGCCAATCCTGCATATCTTGCATGTCCTGGATATCCTGGATATCCTGCATATCCTGCAAAGCTACGCGTTGGGTTGTAGGTATCCGCCCACGTCGGCATGTTCCTCCCATCGTCCGCCGTATCCACAATGGGATACACACAGTGCTGCACCTCTGACGGCACGATCGAGCACCACGACCCGTCATACCGGTCCTCCTGGCACTGCTGCTGGGGCTGATCATCGTGCCTATCCCCGCCGTCGACATTAAACTGCCAGATCGCCTCTGCCGCCAAGGTCACCTCGAGCGCGAGCCGCTGCTCTAGGAGCTGCCTCTCCTTCTGTGCCTCCTCCCATTCCTTGTTGCGGAGCTCCTGCTCCCGCCACACATCCCGGCCCTCATGTTCGAGGGTCTCCACCTCGCGCCACTTGTGTATATACTCCTCCGCTAGCGACTGGCGTTTATCTTCTAGCTCCCGCAGCTGCTCCCTTTGCGACTTCCGGTAGTAACGCAGTTCGAGCAGCCGCAGTGCCGGCTTGACGGACTGTTTGGCCGTCTCCACACCCGCTACCGCCGCGCCGACCACGCTCGCCGCCGTATGCGCGTCGCGTATGCTGGCTTGCTTGGTTGCGAAACGGCCGCTTGCCTTGTCGAGCTCTTTCTTTAGATATTGGTGGTTGTAGTCGTACGCGGCTAGCTTGGCTCCCATGTCCTCCTGCTTCTGCTTATATATAGCCTTGCGTCGTTCGATCTCGATAGTCTTAGCCTTATTTTCCGGGTCGAAGTAGGACTCGCCGTACCGCATCGCCCAGAGACGCGCCGTGTCGTCCTGCCCCGTGGAGCGCTTCGTCGTGCGGATGGTATCGACGTGGTTGATCTGTCGCCCCACGTGCGTCTTGCAGTACCTATCGTAGGCGACTGGTGAGAGCTGGTGGGTGTGCCAGAGGAGATCGATGTCGAGCGTCGGGACAAGGATGGATTTACTCTCTTTCATGAGCTGCAGGAACTTAAGATAGCGGAAGATATGGTCTGGCATTAGGCCTTGGACCTGGGTCAAGGCCAGAATGCGGTCCACAAAACCTTGGTTGCCAAACTGTCGTTGAGGGCTGTCCCATAGGTTGAAGACAGGGAACCCGAACGCAAAGCGGGAGAGTTCAAGCAGTGTGTGAGGCTCGGTCGGTCTGTTAGTGAATGTTGTCTTACAACCCGGACAGATGAGCTTGGCTCGGCCAACCCGGTATTTGGACCATTCAGTCATTCGGATAACATACGCTCCCTTCTTCGTACAGTGCTTCGAGCCGCACTTATAGTTGTATATGTCCATAATATTCTCAGTAGTGATATATACGTGGTCGCCAGCAGGAGTAAACTCGACAGCCTGATAAGACAAATCGGGATACTCCTTCATCCATACACGTTCACTAGCTTTATCTGTATTAATTGAGCGCATCCTTGCAAGAGGAAATTCGATCTCTGCTTTCCAAAGGTTTGGGAAATTCGATTTAATGTCGCTCTGGAAATTGAATGGTGAGAGGAGATGGGCATAGAATATGATAGCCACGTCCCTGCCAAAGTATGTTAGTACATGCTCCCTATACCCCAAAAGTGGAGGCAACACGAATAAAAAAAAAGATTGTCACACCATGGTGGGAGTGGCCACTTATCCTTAGGTGATTTGAAACCATGAGACGCAATCCACCTTTCTAAAGTTTGAAGGTACATCGAGTACCGGACCTCAGCGCTCATAAGGAGGCATTGCACTCTCCATTTACCCTCTTTTTCCTGACCTGAAACGCCAGACGGAGGGCGCGGGAATCTATGCGTATACCTACTATCAGGGCGCTCTACATCTTCCAAAATGCGTTTGAACTTTTGCAGGAGCGCGAGATGGTCCTGTAAGCGGTGAGACGGGGTTAGCATCGCCAGAGCATCGGTCTGGTAAAATAAGAATAATAACGCACCGCAACTCGCTCTCTTGAGCCGAACTCACTGTTGACCGGGAAGGTCACCGGTAAAGTCGCCATATATAAAGGGTGCACCTCTTTCCGCGGTCGTGGTGGATGATGTGAGGACCACGGACCTGGGCGACGATTAAGGTGGGACGACGGGGTGTTATATGTATTAACGATACGAGTGAATGCACCCTTCTACCCCATTACTCTTGGCCCTCCAACCTCTTTAGAACATGGGGCACACATTAGCCCCGCCTAGGCCTAGAAGTAACCACCTACGTTATGCTCCGGGGGGATCAGTAATCAGCCTCCTCCATATTCTAGGCGCTAAGGTTAAAAATACTCAAAAGAGTTAGCGCCGTGCTATAAGGGAAAGCCATAGGACTTGCGTCCGCCCCAGTAACGACGAGCGTCCCCTAAACTCTAGCTTCTGCCCACCATTCGGTAGTGATACGTATGGCTTTGCCCCTAACACGAACAGCTATATTACTTATCGTTCCGTCCCTTAGAAGGATTACTCATCAGTCCGACCCGATGTATTAACTATGCTTTATTTATCAGTAATCGTAACTAATGAGTATATACTAGTTACTAGGTATAATATACGGTTATGCCTCGAGTACTAACTTTCATGAACATTCACTACTTCTGGTATAATAGTTCCACGTGATCTAAATATATCCTAGTAAGCGAAACGTTTCCTCCTGCATTACGACACTACCGAATCTATCACTTTGTACAAGGCTCGCAACAATCAATTCAAAATGCCCTCTGAATCACCTATCGTCTTTGTCGTTGGAGGAACTGGTGCACAAGGCATCCCCGTCATTCGGGGTCTTGTCAGGGATGGGGCATACAGAGTCCGATGTCTGACACGGGATCTGAACTCTAGAAGGGCAAAACAGCTCCTCGCCTTCGGAAACGTGGAGTTATTGGAAGGCACCTTCGCTAGCGAGACTGACCTACGCAAAGGGTTTGGAGGTGCTCAATACGCATTCGTTAATATCGATGGGTTCAACTCTGGCGAGAAGACGGAGATGTTTTGGGCAATGCGGTCCTATGAGCTTGCTATCGAAGCGGGTATAAAGTTCTTCGTATACGGAAACCTCGATTTTGTTTACAAGAAGAGCGGGTATGATCCCAAATTCCGAACAGGCCATTACGATGGTAAGGGCCGAATTGGAGAATGGATCTTGCAACAAAATAAGAGCCCTGATAACTCGGCAAGAATGGGGGCGGCGCTATTTACGACCGGCCCATACATTTTGATGACCATCGGCTTGTTTACACCCATGTCCCCCACAGTCGAGGACGGCGTGGTAACATGGAGAGTACCGCTAGGCCAAGGTGCAGTTTGCCACGTCGACCTCGATGACTGCGAACACTATGTTCGGTGGCTTTTCGACCATCAGGAACGCGCAAATGGATTAGACCTTGAAGTCGCAATCGATTTGATACCCTACAATGACTTAGCCAGAGCCTTTCAGAAAGTCTCGGGTCATCCGGCACGGTACATCGACACTTCCCTCGATGACTACTGGGTTGGAGGACCGCTTGGAGAAGGCAAGACAAGTGCCGGTTACAATTCCAACCTTAACGATCCTGCGGCAATGAGTCTTCGCCAAAATTTTACCGGCTTCTGGAACATGTGGAAATATTCCGGCGCTAACTGTGGAGTGATCCAGCGAAACTTCAAGCTACTCGATGAGATCCACCCTCATAGAATTAAATCTGCTGAGGAATGGTTCAGGCGAGAAGAGGCTAGAGGAAAGCAGGAGGGTCTCGGAACCCTATGGGAGCGAGTGAACAAACTTCAGGCAGTGCTGAAACTCGCCGAGGATGGAGTGAAGGGACGTCTCTGAGTTGTTGGGGTGGCTCCATTAATTCACTTCTTGCTTGAAACCTCAGTGCTAGTTTGGGCCTCTCAATTTTTGAGAATGTGGGGGCAAGGAGGTATATATGAATATATTCGCTGATAATGTGTGCATCAGATATGGAAGTCACGTTAATGCACTGTTTCCCACCCTCTCGCCCCACGGCGATCTCAGGGATGTTTGATGTAGAGCTTCTGCGAATTAGACCTGCTCAGCCCTAGCAGGGCCTTCAATCTGTCAACTGGCGGCTACTATGGCTGAGTAGCCATCTAGGCTCCAGATCTTTTGACGACGGTCTATATGGGACGGAAGTCTTTCGATCTAAATCTTCCATTCCTGTTGTTCTCCATGGCGGTACACATTGGCTGGCTAGGCCTGGTGTCAACTAGCGACAAAAACACATTCTTTCCCCTTTACGTTGAAAATGCGCTTGACCTTCCTCCATAGAGCGTATAATTACAAGCTTAGCTAAATACGTCCAGAAACAGACGGCTTAGTTATCTCTTGTTATATGTGGCTGCTCATGATTGCCTGGCGAACTAGGTAACTGTTGAGACTACCACAACTTGGTGTAACAAGACGCCCCGCGGACACAACAGTGACTGAATATCGTTCTTGAGGATCTAGATATTCTAGGCGTATCAGAGGCGCCAGAGGCTTTGCCTATTCAACCATCATATTGATGAGTTGCTTGCACCCCAGTTTAAGGGACCCAGCACGTAGCGCTTGAAAACCAAGGTCTTTTGCGACGGTTGATGCTAAGTTAATTGACCGTTATTGATCACTGTCTTTTTTTCTTGTCCTCGGTTGCACCTCTAGACCCAGATGACTGTTTAACTGTGACTTCAACGTGGTCAACGGAACAGAACGGCAGGGGGTGAAACCGCACTTTAATTTTAATAATCCAGGTGTTGTAAACGGAGCATACAAAATCTGGGGAAAAGTTGCTGGTTAAACATTATCTTCATAGAATTATCTGCATTCAGGTTTCGACTCCCAAAACGATAGGGGTTTTTAATATAGTAGTGTTCTACTCTCGCCTTAGAGCCCGATTAGCGAAACCGCGACCAGGTGCAAGTATAGAAAACTGCTAATACGCAGCAAAATTGAGATAACTCAGCTACTTAGCCCCCTTATTTTATTTCTCTCCCTTCAATTGTCTAAAAGTGACGCTTAAGATATCTCTTTATTTGTGGAAGTGGCTACTTAGAAATAGCTGCTGCACCACACACCCGACCGGGTCGACGTGTTCCGAGCAAGAAAGCAAAGCGCCAGAAACAGTGTCGTAAATTAACTCTGATGACAAAGGTATGCGAGTACAGCAAGATATACGATACAGATGTCTGTATAGGCATCCGGCCAAGTATATATTCTTTCGGCGGATGCTTCGGGATTTTAGGCCTTTCTTGGCTCTCAGCTCGTACGTCGCTAATGCTATCTGATAGAAAGTCCACTAATACCTCCAGAATTCATATTATCTAATCCCGAAGCTAGTAACGGATCGAGATCTTGAGGTAGTTTGACACGTATGCACTACTCGGGGATATTATATATGGATTAAGAGATCAGATAATGAAACTAAGGGACCTCCCTTCCCGTCATTCTGAATCGGCGCTCGTCTAACCCTGATATCTACGTCCTTGATGAGCTATGCTTTCTAAGTATAGCGCTCCTCCCTGTGCTTCTTGGATGACCCTTATTATACTTAAATCATCTCCCATGATAGAGCTCAAGCGAACTTCCTCGATAGAGAATATAACTGTAATCTGTCTCCTTTCTTCTTGCGCCTGCTTTTATTTATTAAGAGTTGCACTCGCTGTACCTGTTAATTTTCTTTTTCTAAAGACCTAAACCGTGAGGCTACGGAAGTAGAAGTCGGGAGAGCCGTGGACGCATAGAATACACGCTTTCTAGAAAATCGTGAGTGGCGCACGGAAGTGGAAGCCTGGTGAGAGTGGAAGCCGAGTGGGAATGCACGCTATCTGGAAAATCGTGAGTGGCACATAGAAATGGAAGCCTGGAGAGTGTGGAAATCGGGTAAGAGTAGAGGCCAGGTGAGAATGCACGCTTTCTAGAAAATTGTGAGCGGCGCACGGAAGTGGAAGTCAGGTGAGAGTACGGAGTAGGCATACACGCTTTCAAGAAACCGTGAGGAGGTATATACAAGCGAGACAAGAGAGAAGTCATGCACGTGATGCAATTTAGTGCGCATCTTCCAATCACCGCTTTAACTTCTCATATTTCTTCTCTCTCCTGCTCCTCCTTTCTCACCACCCTTCCCCTATGCGCTCTTTGCTGGTGAGACAGCTTTGCTACTGATCTAGTTCACCGTCCTCCCACCGTATTTGCCTCCGAAGCAAAATAGCCGATCCTTTGCGGTCTCTCCCCGAGTACTCGGGTGCGGTCTGCACTGCCTTCCTCCGCTCGGCTTCGTTTAGGCTTGGTTTTCCTCATTGCAGTGGAGATAGGGCGTTTTAACCCTTGATCCGCAACCTCACACGTCAATTGGTCAGTCGATCGTCGAACCTCGGCGCCTCCAGGTGCTTTCACACTTCGTTTCTGGACCATCGCGGCTGTGCAGGGTTTTAAATCCGCTCCAGGGGCGCAAGGCTCTGGCAAGGGTATTGGCAGCCTTGGGTGATGATGTTCGCATCATATCGGAACCGAGGAATACTGCTTCGGTGATTAGTGACGCTGTTACTCAGGAAGTGGCTCCTAAGAGCGGGATCGACGAAACGCAAATTGTCGCATGACGAAGACATCTCTTCTGAACTCAGACGATCTGTGCGATTGACCAAAAGAGCTAGAACTTTGCGGCGATGTTCAATGTAATGATTTGTTGTAGACTTACAACGACAACCATGGTCCGCCCTACGAAGGGTTCTCTCGAGAGAAGCAGAGCTGCCTGGGATAGCTTGGACGGAGGGGAAACTGTGGCCTGTCTCAGGATACGCCCTATCCGGAGCAGCAAGGTTGCCTGGGATAGATTGGACGGAGGGGAAACTGTGGTCTATCCTACGAAGGGCTCTCTTGGGAGATGCAGATCTGCCTGTGGTAGTTTGGAAAGAGGCGAAACACATGGGCAGCTGTGGTGACCCTGAAAGAACCCATTACTAACGCAGCTTCTAGAAACGTTATAGAGTACAAAATATGCCCTGACACGGTTGCAGTCAAGGTACGTTCTAGCATTGCAATATGAGATCAAAATCACGCCCGCAATCTCTTCTTCCAAGACATTTTATGGAATATAACGGGGAAAATGAAGACTAATGACATATATATGGATAGGCTGACCCGCAGTATTTGCGTTTTGAAATCCTCATCACGCGGTAGTGACAGTTGTGCCTTCCTTTGTCTCTAGGTCTCGGTCTGTAATCAACCTTGGCGTTGGGTAGTAGGAGTCCTAACAAGTCAGCTTTCTTTCCCTAGCGGAAGACTCTGCCCCATACTAATTGTGAAGTAAGAGAAGTCCAAAATCCGGAAGTATCCGCGGACAAAAGATGTACCTGACCCGTCTCCCGGAAACGAATGCCCACGCATATATCCGCGCTATACATCTTACTATATTCGTATGCCTTTTTCATCAAACTTGTTTTGCGACGGCATCGTTTTTGGCGTATCAATTTTCTCTTTAAGGAGGAGTAGTTGGATCGGGTTGGATTTATAATAGCTATTCCGAGTGGCTACCTTGTTCTTCGGGGGAGGGATACAGGTAAAAAGTATTAGAATCGCAAGTTCTTATAGAAATAGTCTGTTAACAAGGAGGAGCCAAAGTGTGTAAAGGGCACTTTCTAAAATTTTTAATATACAAAAGACCACGATTTGCCCTACGATTCTCCCCTAAGGAAAATAATAGTCTCTTGCGCGTTAGGTAATACTTAAGCGCTAAGGCGGCGCGTAGTTAGGGCCCCTCTACGTAATTTTAATACTATTTAGCTATTCTACTGAAAGTACGTAGGAAGAGAAAGCAACACAGAAATACGGTTTCTGTGCTTAAACTTAAGTTATACTAGACCTATAATACGATATATATACTTTATCCTATAAAAGGGTAGTATCCGATATATCCTGTGATTAGTGCTTAGCAGATAGGATATTTCTCTGTTATTCTAAGACTTCCTGCGTATAACCTATATGTCGAATTTACGCCGTGTGCATAAACCCTGGGGGGTGTGCTTAGAGGCGCACACCGGTCGATCGAATACCACGATTATGGAAGAGAGACGAAAGTGCAATAGAGGTGGGTCGGCAGCGAATAGGTTGAACAGTGGAAGGTCAACACAGTTAAATCAGAACTGCCTTAAGCTCTATTGGTGAGTGAAAATAGTGTCAAACTTATAACATTGTCGTCAAACTTGTTCAATTTAACTAGGGAAACAGGTAGTATTTATAACTTTAGGTACATAGCAGAATGTCACAGGAAAAGACTAATAAAAATCTCAGAATAACATAGGGGCATACAAGAGTGTTACGAAACTTTGTTGTTTTTTGCGTCATGATGTGATAGTTGAAATTTATCATCGTATTGTGTAGTCGTGTTCTGGGATGTTGATCCGATTGGTCCGATGTGTATTGCTTATCAACACGCTTAGTGCGGGGTATCGCACATCCATATGTTGACAGTAGCTCTAGCTACGTCTTATAAATCCTTTTAGCTCCGCAAAGAACTCTTTAATCAGATTTAGGTCTAGTGAGTATAGAGGCAAGTAGACTAATTTTACTCCCGTATTAGTATATATCTGTGAATTCTCTCGGAGTAGTAGAATTATATATTATCTATAACTAGGACAGACTTTGGCTCCGGCTATCTTCCACAATAGTGAAGCAGCTTATCGATAAAGTCCTCAAACACAGAGGTATCCGTTAAGCCGCGAAAGACACAAGAGAGTACGATACTATCTTAAGAGTATACAGGCAGAATCTAATACCTCTCGTCGCGGTAGAACTGTGCCACTTGTTTTAGTACTACACCGAGTAGTAACTAGCCTGGCCGTTAGAACCTAATTCGATTATCACATCCAGATTCATTAACATAAACAAGGTAGTACGACTCGAAGTCGGAGACGTTATAAAGATATATCTCTCGCAATTCCGCGCTCTGCTCTTTAGCCTTTTGTTGAGAATTTTTTCTAGACCAGCCTTTAGACAGAAGGGCTCTCCTAATACTAGAGGTTGTTGCTAGTATCTAGAATTCATCCCATAGAAATATAGCTATCTCATCGAGGTATAGGGTAGGTTTTTCGAGCAGGTGATCGCAGAGTGCTTCTAACATCAGTAGTGTTACGCTTCGTCTCCGACCGATACGATTTTTAGGGGTATAGACGCTTCCGAACAGTCGTAAGTTCCTACGAATATTTTTGATTATTTGTTCACAGTGTTCAGCTGCTTCGGCCATTTAAGACCTGGTTAGTGACTGGGCTTATATTATATCACGAATGAAGTGTAGCCTTAAGGAGGGTAGTCTCAGCGCTATAGAGTGCATATAATTCTAGCAATTCTGGAGTTGAGAGGTCTTTGCGGAAGGATATATGCGAAGGTGAGAATGAAGTGATGCGGAAGGGCACCAAGATTGCAGTGTATAGATAATACGTGTAATATATAGTATTTTACGTTCTTCTGTCGTTCTAGTTTTTTTATAGGTCTATTCTTAAAAGATAATTGTTGACCGCCTTTCCTGATATGGACTAGTGTGTACTCGGGTACGAGCCGAGAAACGAAGTCAGTGTGTGCAAGGGGTAATCTGTTTTCGAAATCGACTGTGTCATCGAGAAATCCATCAGAACTTGAAACAAGCCCTCAAAAATGTGATGCGACAGGGATGATGTAATACCTCAACCTCGTACCCACCATACATATAGAGCTGCGTGTCCCGAATGTGTAGTACAAAAAAGACATTTTGACCAATTATATTTCCTAATATTTTCGACTTGAAAATATGTATTTCATCCGCCACTCTATCACTCGAGCAGTAGCCGCAAAGCAATCCTCCTCAACCGTCGCAAAGCTCCAGGCCTCACATAACGCCCACAGGAGGACTTTCGCCACCTCATCAAATGAACCCGCAGATGACCGGAGGACACCATACTGGTAGGTTGGCGATTCATTTTTGGCTGCGTAGAGTTGAAAACCATGATCTGGAGCTGACACAGCGCTTCTTTTAGGATATATGGGATGGTCGCTGCTGGAGCTGGAAGCGTTCTTTACCTGTGGCAATTGGGAAATCAAAGAGCAAAGGCTGCCGCTTTGGAGGAGATTCCAGCTCATCATGGGGCGAGTTCGGGATATTTAACAAAGGCAGAGGGTAAATAGGGGATTGGATTGTACGCTAGAAGGGGTTTCCATGCCGATTTCAAACCCTACTCATTTGTCGAAGATCGAACGACGAGAAATGGCCCCGGGGGGGGGGGGGGGGGGGGTAAATCTGTCGATTTTTTCATACTACAGAGATCTGTGAAGAACCTCATCAAATTATCCTGTAGTTAGATCAGGTCCCACGTTGGCTGTGAACATGGATAGTAAAATTCAAAGGTAAGCAAGGTAAGATTTCAGAACTCTTAAGCTTGGAGATGCTACGACTGTACCGGGGTACACAGCTCATGTCGATCTAATAATAAGCTTTGATTTTTGAGTGTGAAGCTGCTTCAGGGTGGCTCAAGTCTGATAATTTGTTTTCACTACGACTATTACATAGCATCCGCCAGAAGGAAAAGCATTGAAAGCTGAACATGATCACAAACTTTGACGAGATCTTCTCAATCTCTGCTTCATGTTTATTTGCCGTCGAGGTCAGTGAATAACTCATATCCGAAGTCTTTGCTAGAATCGTTGAAGCGGAGCTTCTTGTCCAGCTTATCAATCTCATCAATATCCGCCTTGTCAAGCGTAAAGGCGATGTCAAAGTTTTGAGTGATTCGCTCCGGCGACTTGGACTTCGGGATGACAGAACGGCCGTGAGCGATGCCCCATGCTGAAATTTCAGTTAGATTTCACAAGCTTAGACGTGCAACAGAATAGGGGGCTTACCCAAAGCAACTTGGTTTGAAGTTTTGCTGTACTTTTGGCCTATCTCAACTAGCGTCTTATCGTTCACCAGCTGACCGTGCTTCTCACGACCTCCATAAATCTCGTTCTGGTTGCCAAATGGTGAGTATTGGGTGACATGAATACCCTTATCCTTATGGAACTCCATGAATTCCTTTTGCTGCAGCCATGGATGGCACTCCATCTGGTGGACTGCTGGGACGGCGTCTGCTTCTTTCAGCACACGCTCGACTTCCTTCTTGGCAAAGTTGCTGATTCCGATAGCCTTGACTTTGCCATCTTTGAGAAGCTTCTCCATAGCTTTGTAGGTCTGTATTCGTCAATTTGTGAGTGTTTTTTTGGGAGCGCGGTAAGGTGTAACTCACATCAACATAATCAATTTTGTCAGTGATCATGTTCCCATCCTTGTCGGTGGGGAACATATCATCTCCACGCTTAAATGCAACGGGCCAGTGCATCAAGAAAAGATCAAGATAATCAAGACCCAGATCATCCAATGTTTCCTGCAGTGCCGGACCGACATCGTCAGGGTGGTGCTTGTTGTTCCAGAGCTTGCTGGTAACGAAGATCTCGCTCCGCGGCACGCCGCTCTGCTTGATGGCCTTTCCAACAGCCTTTTCGGTACCATAGCTAGATATTAAGTTAGCTTGTATGCTTCAAGGAGATATGTAGTATTGCTGTTCACCATCTAGCAGTATCGATGTGGCGATAGCCCGCTTGGAGCGCTACAAGGACCGCAGCCTCTTGAGCAGCCGCATCCTGCCACGTTCCCAGCCCGAGAGCTGGGATTTGGGCACCGGTGTTGAGCTTGAACGTCTTCTGTCCTTGGAACGCCATTTTCTTCAGCTAGGACCAAATATTATCTCTTTATTATGATCGATTGGTCGCGATGATCTGGTGACAGAATTTAGTTTCCTACTTGAACATAATATTGGCCAAAGACTATCTTAAATAAGTACAGGAAATGGCAGGATCTTGAATGTAGAATTATTACGTTTTCATGACATGAGCCATATTCGAACTTGGCGGGTTATTGCAAAATCTTGTCTGGACTGTATCTCGCTAAAGCAAGTTTGAAATGTTGTGACGTCAGGCACGCAATAAGGACCTCGGATGAGAGGTTCCTCGCCACGTCGGACGACTTGCTCAAAATCATAGCTGCAGTGCTCCTTATCTTGCTCACACTTTGATTCCCATTGGGTTATGTGTTTGAAGGAAATCTTAGGCGGCTACTGTTAGTTGAAGCTAGTCTGCCGATCCTTCTCGGGTATGTACCGATCACGGCTTTGAGCACCAGGGAAAGAGAGGAAAGAATTTATGGTCGTCTCGATGTGCAAACGAGGCAATTAAATTGCTGCGTCTTGAGGTAATTCTAGGCCGAGTCCCCGGTTAAAGCCTACGGAAAAAGTTATAAGTCTTGCGTTAAATATGTCTTGTTCAACTGCTCTCGCATATATCTTGACCATTCCCTGTGATCCCGACAAAGATCCTTGAAATTCCCAAGAAAACAAGGGGAAAAAAAATTAAAATTAAAAGATTATAACGCTCATGACTGATCCGGCATTAAATGTAACTAAGCAATTATTATGTTGGGACATATAGTGTCCCATCGACCTCAAGCTCAGGGAAGAATGTCTGAATGAAGTCCTGATCGAGAGGACAATAGGCAAACGTGTGATCGCCGACCCCATCCCCCACTGGAGCCGAGGAACCCACAGGAACAGCCCCCAAGAGGCCACTCTTCGAATCTGGTGCGGTGATATGGACCCCATCTGGTCCGCTTGAAAAGCACACTGCAAGTTCCTTTTTCAAGTTTTGGTCCTCTTCCTTGACTTGAACGACCGACCCCTTGCGGCTTTCGAGTGGTGAGAACCCAAAGTAATCGTTGGTAGGTGGCTTTCCTTGCCCGTAAGGATGCGATGACAAGTCGCTGACTTGAAATCCCATGGACGATGCCAGCCGACGAAGTGCCATGTCACACAGCTGCCATGCCCTGCGTGATGCAATGTTACTCTCGGAAGTCCTGTGAAGCCAGCGAACACACTTCTTGGTCAATTGCAGTAGACTATTCTCTCCTTTGGGCATATGGATACTGCCAAACGAGATTTCAAGGATCATGATCGTTACTGCCTGCATGACGGAATGGAGAAGGCACCACCAGGGCCCGTTTCGATGCGGCGAGATAGGGACTTGGCCATCTGGAATTAAACGGGCTATCTGGGCGGCGGAATCCAAGGCTGATAGCGCCATGGCTTGGTTGAATTCTTGTTTCTCGTCTGGTTGTGAGGTCTTGTGTCGACAGAGGCACGGTCGACCTAGTAGGATTCTTGCTCCGTGGTATTGGAATGCCAGTCGCATCTTCTCGTTATAAGCAATATCATCATCTTCTACACAGGTAAAGTCCAATGCCCTGGGTAGGGTAGAGAACCACAGATCGACCTTTTCTTGTATTTCAGCCAGTGTGTCCCGGAGATACGCCCAATGTCGATTCAGACATCGGATCGCATATACACGATCGAGGACCTCTTGCGTCACCATTGTGAGATCGCAGGAATAGAGAAAGCATAGGCCAGGGCTGGCAGGCTGTTCTTGAAGCCAAAAGCGAGCTGCCCTCATATCTTCGGTACTTGCCGATCTCCCCATAGGTGTTCCCGGGATATGTGAACTTGCCATGGCGATGTTGATGCGCTTATCGCGGAGAATCGGATCATTGAGAAGCAAAGCAGCAGATGGACCCAAAAGTTCAATCTCATCCCAAGGAAGCGGGAATGGTGCACTGCACATGTTGACAGACATACAAGTAGGTCGACCTGTCATCATGCCAAGTTTGTTCTCGATGGCATACAAGGACCACCAGACTCGGTTGCGGATCTCTTTGGAAACACTTGTGACAGCTTGGCTATTGTTCTTCAAATTTATGCCCAGAGATACCGCGGAGCGAATCGCCAGGGCTGAAATTCTCCATGCCCTGTATTATCTGTGAGTTTCATTCCCTAGAGTAAGATGGTGCTGTCTTACCTGTGTATCTGGTCCGTCGAAAGCAGGTAGAAAGCAATTAAGCCCTCAACTTGGACTTGTTGAAGGTCTGGATGACAAAACAGGTCATCGCCATCCATACTTAGCATTCGCGCTCGAGTCAGGTAAACCAGATGATCTTGTGGTTCTCCACGCCAGTTCAGCTCGGCGACATGAGCGTAGTTTGCAGCGATAGCAAAAATCATATTCAGGATTGCCATCCATTTGTCACCTGGAAGAGCAAAGCTATCAAAGAATGTTTTGTACTGGTCACTGAACAAGGAACGATTAATGATGGGGAAGTATGGATGAGCGACTAAGAGATAGGTTTCAAAAAGTTTGTCTGCCAGTGGGCGGGGTGGAACCCAGTATCTTTGCACTGGCCCAGATACCGTAATATCGAGATCATCGAGATGATAATTCAGATCATGAGGCTGGCCACTCATGATGCCGTCCTGAGTGGCCTCGGAGTCTGCGGCACTCTCTTTGCGGCGAGCCTCCGCTGCCTTTCGCAGTCGCTGCATCCAGGTAATTTCAGAGCTTTTACCAATATGCCCTGTAGCTCGAGACTCTTCAGTAAGATTAATATCATCCTCTACTTGATCCAAGGCATCTAATGACCCGACGGAGGATGGGGAGCTGGGCGGTCTCTCCATTTCAGCTAGAGAAGAGGTTCTTGAGCGGAAGGTGTTCCCATTAGAGAGGTCGCTCGAGATGTATCCCGGATCCAAGCGTTGCTAGTGATCCTTGAGTTAGTATTTGACTGGAATTTCTTTCAACTGTATGCATTGAAGATGAGCACACTTACCAATACGTCTTTGATCCGTTTAGAAGTGCGCCCCGATACCAGAGGCTCCACTTCTCCTAGTAAGCTCTGACACTCTTGAAGTTTCTTGGAAAGGTCCCGCTGCTGCCTGATAGTGAGGGTGATAGGGTTCAGCTCTTGGTCTTCACATCGCGTAAAACATGAAACGTTCGATGTGTGAATGTTTCATAGAGTAGTTCTAGTGTTTGACAATTTACATTTTCATCTTCTCGCGCAAGGCTGGTGGATACACGCATTTCATGTCTAGATCTTGGCATTGCATACACACTGGGGTATCGCCACTGCATTTTGTTTTCCGGGTATGACATGATGCACATGCTCGTGGGACCCGTCGGTGATGCCTCAGGGGCGTCCCTGTGCGGTGTCGAGGGATTGCAATCTTGGAGCTTGGGCGTATTGTCCCCATCGAGGATCCGGATAGAGTCTGGGCGCTTGGAGCCGAAGACGTTCTTCTGGCATCCGGGACTTGAGAGACGTTGGCTGTTGACAAGCCATCACTTTGCCCAGGCATGCCTGCCGGCACTTGTGGAGGAATTTCGGGCATTAAATGCAATTTGTACTTCAATTCAGGGACGAGTCAAAAATCGTCTGAGTAGCGTGTTGAAAGTTGATGATGAATTAAGAATTGCCGATTCCGATAAATGGACATGGGGTGGATACGGGGGACGCTCAAATCAAGTTAGTACAGATATGACGCGCTAATCTTCCCCTCAATTATCCCTAACATCAAGTTGGACCCAGACTTCAAGAAAAGTCAAGATTCAGCATTTGAGTGGCTGAGAAGCACTCAACGCTGTCGGCCCCATTTTTCTCAGAAAATGTTGAATCATGATTTGGCGACTGAAATCACGTTATGGATGTGCAACCCCTCTTTTAATAAACAAGGGACCTAGCCTTACAAACTTTTCCTCGCCCGGGCTAGGGTGTGGCGTGAAAAATGACAGCCGGCATGGTACCAGCAGGAGTCTTGAAAAAATCGAGCTTGGCGTACATCGGATAAGCATCGCGACATGATTGTTCTTGATCAAGTAGAGCCGTTTCGTATCTCTAGTGTACCTGAGTTATGTGCAACCATCCTACCATCTTTGTTGTATAGCAATACCTAATCATCTATGTCAATGATACTGCCTCTGTAGTACTTTGATTTGCCTTGCTGACCTTGGGAGGATGCTTCACTGATTTCTCTTCCGCCCGTTGCTCGTCTGTAACAATTTCTTGTACCTAGACTCCCGGGGTTAGCCAATCTCATCAATTTTCATTTCCTGGCTGCTTGAGTATAGATGCAGCCGCTGCGTTCTACATACCTTGCCTTCGTGGGATCCGCCACGAATCTTGGTGAAGACGTAATCTCCTTCTTGAATGGCATTGCCATATTTATCAACAATATGGGCGACCATCTTACTAGATATACTGATAGACTCTGTTAGAATTTTTGAAAGTACGAGTTGAAGCACAGGAGAATCTTCTTTTGCCTTTAAGTCCATATTATCTAGAGAACCCGCCACACCTTGCCCGAGCACGTCAGAGATATATCAGTGGACGGAAGACTCTATCTCTAAGGCTTCAGTATGTTCATTTTTCGCCTCAATATGCCTTATCTCCAGCCGCATCCGGAATTACAATCATTTGAAGCACAGCTTCTTTTTCTCAGGCGTAGATCTACTCCAAGAAAGTACCTGCAGATCTAACTGTTTTCGAGCGGCCCACAGACGTGACCACGTGACACATATTTCAAGAGGCAGTGAGTCGGGTGACGTTACCTTGAAGTAACCCTGTGTCCTTGAGAATTCTATCTGTTCATATCTTACCTCAACCCTATGCCAGTTTTAAAATCTTCTGCGTTAGCGAGAGTGGGTAGACACTATCCGTCCAAGATTCTCTGCAAAAACTGCGTCTACCTTTGTCGATACCTTCTATCGACGAACGCAAGAGGCCAATAATCATTATTTGTAAAACATCATTCAGAGATTTCATAACACATCACATTCAAAAATAACACCCCTAGCGACCATCCCAGGTCAACTTAGCAAGAAAATTATCCCAAGAAAGCCGGCTTCGTACCGACGGCGGCGCGGTTATCCAAGTCAGAGTCAATTCGGGGATCCATTTTCTTTGCCACATCAGAGTCGTGATGGCCAGCTGTATGTCCCGCCTTTGGGTTCGCATAACCACTGCTGGTTATGGCTTCATGGCGGGCGCGATTATCTTGATCTGAATCGACTCGAGGATCGAGCTTGTTTGCGATATCGTGACGATGAGGGCCGGCAGTGTTCTCAGAACGGCCGCCTTTGCCATAGTTTCTAGCGTCGCCTAGTTTTGAAGCAGCTGGATCATCTGTGAAGTCGATGAGTAAGTGCCGTTACTTAGAGATGATGCTAAAGAAAATCGGTAGATATACCACTGATGTTGTCGCTGTCGACGCGAGGGTCCAATTTGTTCGCGAATTTGAAGCTATGGGGGCCATTGTCGGCAGATTCAGTACCCATGATAGCGATTCAAGCTAATGGAAATATTGTACTGGTGTAAATTTAACTCTTTTGCAATGACTAGTCAGGGACTCAAAGGAGGGGTATTAGAAGAAAAAGGTTATGGTATTTATGTCTCCACATAGGCACGCGATCGCAAGTAAATATAGCCATGATTTGCGAGCCCTGCAGTCTGACAGCAATATTGCGTTATGCTGAATCCTTGTAGTGGAGAGATCAGGTTGTTCATCAAGGTTCATGACGGCTGATCACCATGACCTTATTGGCGAGCTAAAACCTGGGTAAGGCTAGTTCTTGCTTTTGATTCTAGACTTTCCTAGAAGAGGAATCAGGCTGACAGGGGTATCCACAGCCGGTGTGTTAAAGCTGTACTCCGTACCACAATTAAAGAAGTTGAAACAAGTGTCTTGATAACTATCAGAATCTGAGAGATCACTTACCCAGAGTAGAAACATGATTTAAAGTGAAGACACCAACCATACAAACAACCTCTCATCGAAACCAAGAAAATGACAAAATATCCCCCCCAAAAAACATTTTCCCCAAAACCTCCTACAAAAGTAACCCGCACCCAATATTATTCGTTCTTTCATCCAAAAAGACATCCCCATGAAGAATACTAGATAACAAGAATTTCTGATCTAGAAATCACCAGCAGTGAAGCAGCACATCCAGCAATCATGCGCCGACCTATACAAAGGGGAAGCCTGTCCAAAATGATAATTAGCCACAAAACTCCAACTCTCTCACCACCAATCATACCACAAAAGGGAAGAACCTCACGTAAGGCTTAGCACAGTGCGCCTCCTTCTCACTAGCATAACACTGCCCTATACAGAAAGAATTACCCTCATCAATCCCAGTCGGCTTCTGAATCAACACCGGTGCAACATCACTACCAGGCTGCAACGGATCAATGGGAGCAAGACCACCATCCGGCACGGCATAAGCCTGATCGGGACTCTGCGCAGACGGTTGACGCAAACCCTGGTGCTGGTCTTGAGTATTGAAGGTTGATGAGGCCGACGGAGTCGCGGCCGGAACTACCGAGTGCGAGGAAGACGGTCTAGCGACGGGACGCATGGGTCGGTGAACCATTGGTAGGAAAGAGTGGCTAGCCATGTAGTGCGAGGGCTGGGAGGCCACTACGATCGAGCTCGAGGGAGAGGGTGTTGCCATTGACGAGGCGACGGCGTGCGAGGCCTGGCCGCTCCAGGTGGGAAGGTTTGGGGCCATGGAGCGGATGAATTGGGCGGGGACTTGGGCCGCTAGAAGGGTGGTTGAGAGCACGAAGATGGAGGTGATTTGCATCTTGGGTGGTGGTTTTGAGAAATGGATGTTATTTTATACTGTGGGTTTGATATCGAGGCTGTTGTTGAGGGCTGGCGTTGTCGGTGTCGATGGTGTCGATGGTGTCGGCGGTGGAGAGATGATAGGAGAAGTGAACGCCATGGCTGATTTCCTATTATTCTTTAAACATTGGAGCTTGGCAAGGGGTGTTTTGGGGTGGACGTGGATGGCATTTTTGAACTGCGCGTTCGAGGAATGCGGGATGTATGTATACGGCGCGCTTGGGCCTATGGTAGGTCAGGTCATGCAGCGACTCAACGGGCGTTGACAGGCCCTTTTGAGGCGACCTATATCTTGAGATTAAATTGAACAAGGAACTCAACCTGCTTGGCTATTTGTTAATTATTTATCGAAGAGAGTTGAGTATCTGGGCGACGCTTTGAAGTTAACCATGACGTGGGTAGTTTCTCCCCTGCATGCCAGGCTTAGTTGAGCTCAGAAATAGGATAGGGAGATTGCCGGATGAGCATGATGTAGATCAGTACAGGGACGTCCGCCAATCTGGCCGGCCTGTTAGTTGGGTTAATTTGACGTAACTGGGTGCGGATAACTGTGGATTTTAAGATTGCGCAGAGGGGGTCTGCAACGGTGTATCAGAGAGCGAAGCTAAACTCTCGTAGGATTGATTATTGTTCACAGATAAACAGTGGTACTTTGATAATAGCCAGAGCTTGCCTTCTCCGATGTTTGGCGTGATCCAACATACAGGAAATCACCCGCGGCCCAGAAAGACAAATACGAAAGATCTAGTGGCCTTAAAGTACCTAAAAGGGGCCTCGGGCTCTTTGTTATATAGCGAAGTGTTAGTGAGTCTATCTAACGACCAATGTCGTGCAATAATCAGCGCGTCACAACTCCATGATTTATCTTATTGAGGCGTCCAAACGGGGCGGTTCCAACAGGTCGCGACTGGGCCGATACCAGTCTGGGAAGAAAACCGTAAGTGCCAACAAACCGACAAAACGCCACCATTGTGGACTTGCATGGATATAAAAGTGTGGAATTTGAATTCGAATTCTAGAAAATGATGCGTTGATCTCTAAATGACCCTGTTGATCTGCTGTCGACTATGGCAAGGTCCACAGACTGTGTTTTTGATTGGAGGCTGTTCCTTCGAGCTATCGTTGATCGGAGGAGATTGGCTGGCGCGGACTAGTGTGTGCCTGAATATCATTTGTGAACCAGCTAAAAGGGGCTGGGTCAGCTCGCTTGTCGTAACCTAGATCAGTAGTGTTCCATGTATGATGATTTTGTCAGTTACGTAGCAGAACCATATGCTCTTCACGCCTCCTGTCCGCTAAACCTGGTCGGTTCCTGTTACCAACCTTGTTGGCTGGTACCAGCGTTTGTATTCATTTGTAATGTATATAAAAAGACGGCAGAGGAGGCTGGTGGATCGGTGTCATCCACCCCGGTCGTGCTATACAGCATGGCCATTCATATCCCCATTCATGAGATTTCGCCAGCTGCATGTTGATTGAAGAGATATCGACGCATTAAAGAGGCTGGCAATGGGAGATTATGCATCTGGTTTAACATCCGAGGTTTTCCACAAGGATCTGAATAGCACATGTCACCGCAACGAGCGATAGAACCATCAAGGCACTATCGATGCTCAATATTATGCTCAACATTGAACAATTAGGTCCTCACAGAGAATCCTTAGCCGACCACGCTCCACACGCGCCGAGTCCGAAAAGACGTAAACCTGACACCCGTTTAGGGAGGAGCCAGGTGGAGCGGTTACCCCAATAGCTTTGCAAGGAACGATATTCCAAGCATACCCGCGAATTCGGCATGCTTCTGGCGAGGAAAAAGCTTCGTGAGGCCGTCTGCCACCTTATCCGATGTCTTCACCCACTCGATTGGTGTCCTTCCTGGCTGTACTTCCTGACGCAGCCAATGGTGGTGGATGTCAATGTGTCGCAGCTTCGTTTCTGCTGAGGCAGTTCCCTAATCAAAAGGGAGAGAGTTTGCTGGTTGTCACACTTGAGGACGACGGGGTGAACTCTCTCCCTGTTGACAAAGGAACTGCCTCAGCTGAAAACGAAGCTGCGACACTTTGACATCCACCACCACTGGCAGATGATTGCTCTTGAAAAAGCATGCAGTCCGTCATGAATTGTCCAACTCAGTGTCTTCTTCCGCGCCACGATTCTGCGAGTCGATAATGCGTGGCATCGAATGGATCGGCCATCCCGCAATGATATCACAGCCATCCCTGCGCTGGGCTCGTCCCACTTCCATGAACCACAGGATACTCATCAATGTTGCTGGCACGAGAGTAGAATGTCTCGACTGAGCCTGACAGTGATGATATTCCAGAGGTCATGGTTTGATGGTCGAGTTCCTAGCACAGGAATGATTGTGCTCGAAAGGGGCCCTGTCCAATTCAGCAGTTGCGAGAACGAGGAAGTTGTTGCCTTTGATCCACGATCTGCCGTTCGCCCAAAAAGCTACCATGAGCCGTCAAGGGTTTGTCGATGACTCGTGTCGTGAAAGGTAGACTGGATCGATGCCGGGTGGGAGACGGAGAGGTGGAGTCGGGACGATCGTGGTCTGCGGTATATCAAGGGAACGTGGGATTCATTAAGGCGATCGTATGGGTGGTGCGCAGTTGACGGAGGAGGATAATGTGGTTTCTGATCGATGAGGTTGGAAGACGAAGGATGTGGCGGGTTAAAAAGGAAGGAGCGGGCGCCTGACATCGTCGACGAGCTTTTGACGACTTTGGATTCCCTGGAGCAAAGAGAGTCAGACATCCTCAAAGACGCACCGCGCGACCTCGATTCCAGCTACTGTGAGATCCTGAAGTCCTTCTCTCATAAAACGGGTTCGAGAGGGCATGAGACAGAACAGCGTGGGTTGAAAAGACCTGACTGAATAGCCATGACCGCGAAAAGTTCCTCCGACCACCTCGACATCGTCTCGTTCAATGACTCTATCTTCGAAGACTTCGTGGCCTCCAAAACATTCATGAGCTATCCACGGCACGATTCATTGCCACTGGCAGCGGTTGTACCTCTTAATACACACTCCATCTGTGTTGTTTGCAAATTCGGTTGTCGGGACGCATCGCTCGCTTTGACCAGGTCATCTAGAGGTATCGATTTCGTGTGGTCGAGGATCCCTAAGTGTAAGTGACATTTGTGTGACGAATCAGCGAAGAGAAACCTGTTTTCAACGGGTTTTGATGACAATCTAGCGTGTTGCATGGGGACAAGATCGAACATCTTCACTTCAGTCAGATGGTGGCGATGGCCTGACTTGATCGACTATCAAAGCTGACGGCTCCATACAGAATATCACCGGCAGCTACAACTAGTAGCCATGATCCCAGTCTCAGTGTTTGGTCTTCATCTCGAAACCCTCGAAATGATGACAAGCAGTGGTGTCTATCCGAGCTGAGAGCCCCAACAAGACTCGAGACATGCCGGGCAGGCAATACGGCAGACTCACCAATCAACATGAACCAGCTCCACCGGTTCTTTGGAAACTCAGGAACCACCAGCCAAACAAAAAAAAACCACTGATAGTCATTCCCCAGTTCAAACGGCAAAAGAATCAGGAAAAGCAAGGCTACAAATGTCGAGGCGAATCCCATTATGGATGCTTTCCAATCCCGAGGAGAAACTCATTTCCTCCCGCCAATTGGTCGGCAGTTTCTCCCGGGTCCGGCAAGAAGCTATGATTAGAGCAGAGCATTATTATTCACCAGAAGCAGTGAAGAACGAGAAACCTTGCGCTTCTCAAGCGAATCACCAGCTGCCGTGATTGAACGGCTTTATACACGGAAAAGGGCTCCCTGATGGTCCCGTTGGGCAGAGCCTCGAGCAGGCAGCCCCAGTGCCGCTGCCATCGCCGTGCAGTTCGAGCGACAAGCAGGGCAGTTTAAATTATTAGCAGCCAATACAATGGGGCATTGGGTGATTTTTCCACGCCTGTATATTATTGAAATAGCGTCCCACCTTTTTTTTCCATTTCGGACCTTTGTCTTTCAACGACATCTGCATCACTCTCCACCAGACATCCTTTTCTATTTCCCCCGCTAACTACACAGAAGCTGTCTCCGCGTGGAGTCGAGAGTGCTCGGAATACACGAATCTTGAAGTACAGACGCAAGAATATTGTTTACAGTGTGACCGACCGTTCTTATTCTATCCTATTCCAGTCGCCTTATCCCTCTCGGCCTTGTCACCAACATGGCTTGGATTGTGGCATCTTATCCTTTATTAGATGGCTATAGTCTACATCGTGTTGCTGTGTTTTGTGTCTTTCTCTATTGCTTTCAATACATATCGTCAGTATACCTGGTGCTGATTGTCCTCGCGCAGAGGAGGTGGTCCTACGCAGTTCTACTATAAACTCATCTTCCCATCGATCGCAGCCGTCTCATCCAGCCGTGGTGAGTGAACTCTGATAAATAAGACGCGCGTGTGAGTCCGCATTCCCTATTCCCGTAGTTTCTGTCTCCCGGACACCGCCAACCATAAAACAAGACAGCATGTCGTCCGGAAGGCCAGATAACAACCCGTCCTCCAGCCATCAGGGAGCCTCAGTTGGGCACACCCACCATCAACAAGGCTCCTCAGGACAACAAAGGTAAGTAGCGCCATCCCCTTCGCCATAGGTCCGATGTCGATATTTGTCGATGGCCTTCTCCCGTAAAGCCCCAGCCTGGTTACCACGTGCGGGTAGGGCGGAGAGTCACGACAACGAAAACGACACGGTCCCACTCAACTCTGCACAACGACTAGTTGAAGGGTGAACCTGACATCTCTGCGTCTCTCAACAATAGTAGCAATCAATCGGCCGCAACCAGACTCGCCTATTACCGATCCAACACCTCGAGGCTGCTTGAATTCATCAAGCAATGCGATCGGGACTCGCTCGACCAGTTCATCTCCATTGTCCGCGCGGGCGCCTCGCACGACGATATATTCGCTATCATCGATCAGCTTTCCCCGGTTACCGACGAGCAGAGTAGAAAGCGGACTGGTGTGTCCAATTAGGTACTTACAGCGATGGCCCTGTTGTTAGCCCTTCTGGCGAGGGTAACAGCGTGGCGCCAGTCTCGGGACGAAGAGCGGCTTCGTGAAGTACCGAGACCGCGGCCACGGAAATCAGGGCGAATATGCGTCTAGAGACAATCATGATTTGATTTTTCCTTGGTTGAGATTGGTTAGTAGGGGTCGAAGTGCTGGAGTCATGCCAGAATGCAGCCTGGTCTGACTGGACTAGTATGAAGACTGGAGTTGAGTTTTGTGTCTTGAGCCTTTGGACGAGTGACAGCAGATGACAGGCAAACAAGATAGCTCATGTTTGCATTCATACATAGTGCTCCACAGCCTCCAGTCGCTCAATTGATTTTTGCATTCGTTTCTCTAATACAGGGGTGTATAGCTGCGCATCAATATGCCGAATGGCGGAAGAAGCTAGATTTAACGAGCGGTGCATTGAACCGGACGTTTCGCCAGCGAGACCTGTTTCACACTGTGAGCCTGATTCTTGCCAATACCGTGGTGCGGTTAAGGTATATTTAATGTACGGGAAAGGGTTGTGTCTGATATCATTTCTCGCCACCCATGGGGGTCGTTCGCCGTTGCTCCGCTGTGGTATATCAAGCGGGAAAGGGGGACAAATGCCCATCAACGGAGCGCTATACGCGAAGATGTTCGCAATTTCGTCGTGCAGGGCTGTTGCTGTCAGGCAGGGCAAGCCAGAAGCTTCAATGCCACGGCTTTACGGGCCGTAGACCCAAGTGGGCCTGCTAAAGCCTCAACCAGACAGACCTGATCAACAGAGTCTCGCAAGGACGACGAAGAAAGATCACGACAAGCGTAAGACAACCCTTACCCGTCCCCACAGGCAGTGGCCCAGCTAAGCCACGATCATGAAGCGCGGCGGCGGTGGTTAAGCGCACCGTCAAGACAAAAACCAGAAACCAGATGATGTCCAGACAAGCAACATGACAATTCCGGGCTAGACACTCAGCCACAAGACCCATGTCATACCATTCCAACACAGCCAGTCCCCAATCAAGCAGGCCAGTCCGAACCAGAACCCGCCCTTCCCTCGGCAACAGGCGCCAAATCAAAATGGCCCAGCCCAATAGCCATTGTGGGCTGTTACGGAGATGATATCCGGGCCAGCCCCCTTGTCATCAAGCGTAGTGGAGCATAGGCGCGCTTAGATGACTCTGCGCGGCGTTTCGTCGACCCACAGGAATGAAGCCAGTTCTGGCCTTATCACTACTGTACAGTGCCGATGACAGATGCTTGTCTTCCTGTTTGTGGCCACTGGCAGGGTGACGTGAAGACGATCCTGAAGGAGATGAGGACGAAGGAAGACGGTGAGAGGAGACACCACTGGCCCCAAGGAAAGCACGCCCTCGTCCAATGGCCCCTGATGATCGGCGGTCGTACAACTGCGAGTGACCACCTGGACAGCTGGTCGATGCTTTCTCAGATACTTATCCTCCTTCTCATCTTTGTGTGAGATGAAGATGGTCAGGAAAGAAGCACCGTCGGACTGACTCTTGGAAGAAGCACACAAAACGCAGCGCTTACTACGGACCGACAGAACAAACCTACCACGTTTACCATCCAACGCTACCAGCAAACTCAAATCGTATAAACAGCCCGTCAACATCTGCTTGAATCTTCCTAGTTCCATCCGAACGACTAGCGTCCCAGATACCAGGCACCAGGCACCTCGACGACCAAAGCATACCACACATACCGCACACAATACCTCCCGTTCTATTTCTAACATGCCCAACACAAGCATCGAAACCTTTACACGAATGTATCCTGCATGCACATACCATACCACAACCAGAACGATCCCAATCTCGACTGATCCTTACCAGATGCCAGGCTACCGGACCCGTCGGCTACAGTCATAGAGCAGGAAGACAAGTCTTAATTAAAAGCCAATGCCAAAACTGATTGGATATCAAGGAATATACTGGGGATGCTGGATAAAGCTCGGGTTATGTCGAGATGTAATGATATCCGGCGATAACTATATGTCGAGGGGTATGTGAGCACATCTCCTTTTTTTCGGGGAAAGACCGGGCATAGGTAGAGATATCAAGAAACGGACTGGAAATGGGGTGAAAAAGTACTGGACAGCTTTAAAAGGTCAGATGATGACAGGCTGGGATAACCTATAACCTACACTTCATCTCGCGAGTGCTCGCTTGAAAAGTCTATATCAGTGCAAGGCATATGAAAAACTCAAGTAGACGTATGCCTTGTAGCTTGGAACAGTACTATACTAGAATCCTGCGGACTCCATTGGTAAAACTGACATGCGCTCTGGCTAGTACTCAACAGAGCTACAGAACTATAACCGAAGAGCTGAATGTGTGAGAATGTATCCAATCCAAGACTTAGGTCCAACGCCCGAAGGAATGACAAAGCAGGCATCACTAGGTATCAAAAAGAGAAGGTTGAGAAAAAAGGAAAATCTTCATTGCATCCATGCTCACGCTGCATCAGAACTATTTTATCGAACCAGCCCCAAATAGATTCATTCCAATTCCAATTCCATGAGCCAACGAAATCTTATAATTGCACTCGCTTATCTGGATTCCATGCAATATACTCATCATAACATGGCGTAAGCTATCTATACCAGTCCAGACACTTCCACTAGAGGTAGTTGAAGCTGTATAAGACGAACAGCTAGACCCGCATCTGGGCCTAACACCCGACTCGATTCTTCTAAGCTTTGCATTTAAGGCGTGCAGCGGCCGGTGAAACGGGGGTACAAGGAGCAGTCGCGGACAGTGTAGCGAGCGCACAGCCAGGCCAGGAAGCGCTCCAGACCGAGACCGTAGCCGCCGTGGGGGGAGGTACCGTACCTATCATAATGGTCAGTATAAAATCGAAAAAGCGATGATGAGGATGCATTCAAGCGGGATATGGGGTCACTCACTTGCGCTGGTCAGTGTACCAGTAGTAAGGCTTGGGATCCATGCCCTCATGCTTGTAAGCGTTCATCAACTCATCCCAATCATCCATACGCATACTGCCACCAACAATCTCGCCGACACCGGGCATGAGCACATCCACACTCTCAGTAACCCGGCGATCACTCTCATCCTTCTTCATGTAGAAGGCCTTGATCTCGGCAGGGAAGTGTGTCAGGAAAATAGGCGTGTTGATGATATCCGTCATCTTGCGCTCGGCAGCCTCGGCGATATCGTCGCCGAATTTGTGGGGTTCGCCCTCCTCGTTGGGAATGTCGTGGGCCACGAGCCAGTCGATAGCGTCGGAGTACTTCATGCGCTTGAAGGGACGGGATGGGGGTTGGAAGTCTGGGTTCAGGGTCTTGATGTACTTGGACGCCTCGGGGTCGGCGAGCAGAAGCTCGATGACGCGGCAAATAATGGCCTCCAGGTGGTCGAGCAGGTCGGTGAAGGTGATGAAGTCCAGCTCGGCTTCGATGTGGGTGTACTCCGACAGGTGACGGCGAGTTAGCGACTTCTCGGCACGGAAGGACGGACACACGCAGAAGACGTCGCCCAGAGAGGGAAGACAGGTCTCCAGGTACAGCTGGGAGGACTGGGTGAGGTATGCGTTCTCGCCGTAGTAGTCAAAGCCGAACAGGGTGCTACCACCCTCGACCTGGGTCTGCACCATAGCTGGAGGCGTAACCTCCAACATGCGGTTCTCCTCAAAGGCTGTGCGGAAAGCGCGCAGAGTGGCAGCGCGCACCTTCATCACGGACGAAGAAGTCTCACCACGCAGCACCAAGTGTCGGTTATCGTACAGGGTCTGGGGGTCGGCGTCCGGCGCCACGCGGGTAGTGATGGCCTCCTTGTCACCGGCGGCGCGGCCGATGATGGTGAAGAAGTCGGCGTGCAGCTCGCGGTCGTTGGGGGCGTGCTGCTTGGGAGGGACGGCGCGCATCTCACCGTGGATAGCGATGGAGGTCTCCAGGGTGAGGGTCATGATATCGTAAGTCTTGACCAGATCGCCGGTCAGAATGCACTGGAGGTAGCCGTATCCGTCGGCCAGGGTGAGGAAGACGTAGTCCTTCTGTGCGCGCATACGGTGGACACGGCCCAGAACGCGGACACGAGTACCAGGAGCGTCAGATTCGGGGGTACGGAGCGAGACAATGGCTGGGTCGGTCACGTCCAGGCGAATGCGGACAGGCTTGGGGAGGGAGGCATCCTCGGTGATAACAATCTTCTTAGCCTCGTCCAGCACCTTCTGACGCTTCTCAGCCTCGGCCTTTTCGCGGATCGCCAATTCCTGCTCCTTGGCGGCCTTCTTCTTGCGCTGCTCGTACAGGTTGGTGGCCTTCTTCATGGCCGACTTTGTCGCGGGCTTCCACTCCAGCTTGGCGGCGGGGTCGACATCCTCTCCAGCGGCGTCGGTCTGAGACTTGCGGGTGAGATATTGAATACCCTCGGTGGTCGGAGGGTGCTGCACCATGGCGTGGATAAGGGTCTTGTAGGGGGCAGACTCGGTGCCAGCGGCCGAGGCATCGTCGTGGCCGACATCCTCGTCGATGTAGATAGAGGGCGCCATGATTGTGGACTTTTATGTATGAGAAAGGTGGGGAGAGGGAGAGGCTGGGAGGACAAATGGTCCGAGAAAAACCCGTATGGTTTTCTTGTCGGGAGGTTGCTAGCTTGGTTGTCTTGCTAGGGAGGATTGGATTCTGCGGACACAAATTAAATAGTTAGCCGGGTTATCTGGTGAGTCATATTGGATTGATAGGGATAGATCAGGCATGCTGTTATCAATGGCAGTGTTGTAGAGATCTGATTGGGTCTGTATGTTATACGTACCCCGGACAGGAGAACTAGCAATGGCTCTAATTGAACCTCAATTGGCAAATTCTCGCAGAGAAAGAATCGCACAGTCTGAAGATGGAGGGGTAAATTTCCGCGGATCGCGGGCTTCCCCACGAGTGCCTGAGGCAGGAAGGGTTGGGAGCCTGAGATTTATGGGGCCACGTGAACATTTTCACTCTCTAGAGTCTAGGTGAAGAGTTGAGTACTTGATGGCAAAATATGGTCTTCTAGAGTATAACTTTCAAGAATTGAACTACTTGGTGAGATGCCATGGAATATCATGCCGTCGAAATATACAATTCCGTGTCGATTCAGGATTCAGGATGAATGAAGGAGT